TAGGTGTTCGGGCTGTCAGGAGATATCGCGGGTCAGTGCAGCACCCCGTGAGCAGCAATGGTAGCGAGCGTACTATCCGTGAATATCGATCACGCAGGGCAGCCACTACGCTGCCGTTGCTCATGCCAGTGTCGCTCCGCTCGATCGGCTGCGAGGTCTGCGCGTCGACGGGTCCACCTTGTCGCGGCCGCTTTTCTTCCCTAGGTCTGAGGGCGCCGAATTCACCGTCGTCAACATGGTCGCCTTGCGAAGATCCACCGATCGAACTAGTCGGACCTGATGAACTGCTGCACTCTCAAACTTGATCTTCTTGCTCGCAGCGCGCGTAAGCACTGGGGACGGGGTCTTTGCCTCACGCCGATCGTGCAATCTCGACTCTCCGGACTCTCCGGCGCAATCGAGTGCTGCGAATCTGATCCCTGCTGCGTAGCGTCCCGTCGACGGCCTTGCCATTAGTCTCAACAGGAACCGATGTGGCAATGGCAGCAGGTTCGGCGCGTTGAGCGGCGGGGGATGGTAGGGGGCGTGATGTCTCGGACGGCGCGAGCGGGATAGGTGACTCTGTCCTGCGCTGGAAGAGAATTTCAGATGGTGTACGTGGTCCGCGAGGGGACTCGGGCCTCGTCTCCTTCACCGGAGAGCTAGCCTCGGCCTTCGCAAGAGGTGGCATAGGGAAATGTGTAGGCGGTGAGGGGAAGGACGACAGAGATGCCAGGACCTGACAGAGTCATCAGCTATCGTCTTCGCAGGGTGTACTGCGGCGGAGCGGGTGACGAGTCGTGGCGACGGCGTGACGGCTCGTGAAGATGCATCTGTCTCCTGCTCGCTCGGACGACGCGATGAATATTCGGGCGCAGGCTTCTCCAACATCGGAGTACTGGGACCTTGCGGCGACTTTTCCATGCTCGGTGTCACGGCGCGTCCTTGGGCAATCGGCGTCACAGAGCGGTCGGGACGATCAGGAGCCTCGCCGTTCGGTAGGTCTGCAGGCAGCGGGCCTGACCATCCACCCTCGCAGTAGACGCGCCATTCGCCGAGCTGTCCGATGGTAGGAGCAGAGCGTCGCACGCCCTCGCAGGAACGAAGCCATTCTGCGTCCGCCACGCGAGAGAGACTGGCGGCCAAGCTGTGTATCGTCGAGTGATGCCTACGCGTCACCATAAGCGAGTGATTGCTGACCGGGGGTGAGTGACGGTAACAAGTGCGAATGACAGAGGTACTGACTACTTCTCCTGGTTGATCTCGGGGCCCAGAGTGGTCAGGATGTTCATGTAACGCGCATGCTCGTCGGCCGCGTCCTGCGGGTTCTTCTTGGCCTTCTTCTCGTACAGTTGCCCGGCTTGCTTGAGCTTGGCGTTGGCGTTGGCGAGGCGATCGTCGTACGCACGCTCTTCTTTCTGACGGACCGCCGTAAGGCCAGCACTTTGGCGCATACATGCAGAGCACTCACAGCGAGCTTCTTGAACCATTTCTTGACCTCCGCACTGACCGCGTCGCACTCCTTGTCGGCGAGCTTGACGAACTTTGCGTCCACTTCGCAGAGCGTGTCGAAGATGGTCGCGCTCACGTTCAGCGCGTTCGCTAGGGCACCATTGAGCGAATTAACGTCTCGTTGCTTGGTTCCCGTACCTGGTATCTCAGGCACACACTTCGCCGCCGCCGCATCTCGCAAGGCCTTGACGAGCTTCCGCTGCAGAGTTAGGATCGCATTTGCGGCCTCGCAGTAGTCATTGAGCACGTTGACAACGGCTTCGAGCGACCTGCACGACTTGTGAATAGACTCCCTATCCGCAATAGGCTCGTTGAGTGCACCGGAGGACATGACCGTGGTGGATGAGTCGCACAACGAGCGCCAGCCTACTGACTGCGCGACGGAACGCTAAGCGCCCAGCCGTCGGGTACCGTACCAAATACAGCTAAATCAGGAAACGTACATAAGCGCGTTCTTGAGTTCGTCTGTCTTTGCCGGCTATTGTATCCTTCACGCACTAGGCTTGCGCTGTCCTCGCTGCGTTCGCAGGATGCCGTCTTGCCCAGGTCTGCACCTCGCGTGCCCCGCTGCCTCCGCCCGCAGCTGCTCAGCCCACTCACGCCGCTCGCGCTGCATCCATGATGCTGCTGCAAGCGCCCGCAAACGCTCTCTCCGCCCTGTCCGTCTCGATAGCTCAACAGTGTCAACACCTCTTCGCTGCGCTGTCTGTGCTCGCTCGCTCTCGTCCCCTCGCTGCTGTCTGCCGTCCCTCCGCCGTCTCTCTCGTCGCCCCGCCCGCCCCTCCGCCGCTCTGTCCTGATGCGCATAGCCGAGACGAGTCTGTCGACACCGCCAACGCCCCTTCTGCGTCATTCTGGCTCGCCCGAGGTCAGTTTGTGTCTTTTCTCTCTGATCGCGCGCATTCATCCAGAAACAGCGCCTCCTCAGTCCCCGCCGCCGACCTGCTCCCGCCTTCCCCCGTCCCCAACGCATCGCGTGTCACGCGCCGGGACGATGCCAAACGATACGCCAGCATCGTACGAGGCCCCTGCAACTCGTTCAGACCAAAACGATGCCCGGGACGGCTCGCTACACGATGTTCTGTGCGACGCTCCCCAGAGCACCCGCGGTCCTCTCCACCATGCATGGCCTTCTCGCGTCCCTCCCGACGTGCGGGTGCATACCGCAACTGTCGGTCGACTTGGCGCGTAGCACAGATCGACCGTTGTGCGTACCACAAGTGCTGGGCCACGTGAAACCGGCGATACTCTCGTCTAGGCACCGGGAACAACACAGCGCAGCGCGCAGGCGGCTCCCAGGACGATCTCTCACTCTACAGCCAACGGATGGCCCACGGATCGCGGAGCACGACGCACGAAACGGTCTGCTCTATGGACCTGTGTACAAGCGCCCACCACCAGTACTGCACCGGCCTCGCCGCCACTGCCGACGAACACGCCTCGTGCCTAGGCGGCATGCATGCGGCACGCGGCGCAGGTCAGTGGGTCCACGCGGATCTACGTACAAGCACTCACTACTACAGCGCACGCATCGGCGGTCACTCAGAGCCGCACCTACGAGCCTTTCGCTCGTGCCGCATCGCGGCACATCACCGTGCGGACACAAGCATTGCGACGTGCGCCCTCACTCACCCCTTGTCCTACTCCTCCGCAGCCGTCCACGAAGCTCCCGTTCGCTGCAAGTCCACCGGCCGTCGCAAGAACCCAGCAGCACCCTAGGGCACTCGTCGTCAGCAAGTCCCACCACCGCGGCCAGACCATAGACGGCTTACCTGTTCCCATCATCGCGACTGCCGACGACGCCCACCAGTCAACGTCCTGCGCATCCTCATAGGGCCCGTCGCCGTCACCGAGCACGCCCACAGCGCGAGCGAGGCTGCGAGTGCCGCAGAGTTAGTACGTTCCCTTTCCATGCGGTCAGAAACCGACTCACCGATGTCCTCCTCCGTCTACAGCTCCCAACTTTATACCTCGCGATCGCTCGCAGTGGGTTGCTCGGCAGCCAGCGGCCAAGTCGCCGTCGCCTTTCCGGTGCACGATGTCCGCGGAAGCGAACATCGTACCATGCCTGCCGTGGGTATTGACAGCCTTCCCATCGCCACCGGCGCGGTGTACGGGTCCACGCTCGATGGTCCGGCGGCGGGTGGTATGTACGCGTTGATCGGGCACGGCTCGTGAACGTTCCTCACCAAAGATCGGCCGCGAGGGAATTCTTTGTGGGTTTTGCAGGAGACGTATGCGGTCCTCTTGGACGGCGTGGTGAGTTCACTCAGATTCGCCGGTGCGCAAAGCAACCCGAAGGCGGACGGCGCGAGGGCATGTCCACCGGGCATGCATGTCTCGACAGAGTGCATTACGGTGCGCGCTGGCGAGCCGGAAAGAAGGCGTACGATCGGGATTCCGTGCAGCATCAACGTGCGAGAGCGCATGCGTGTCCCTTCCATTCCGCGCGGCACGCTCTCCTCGTGTCCAGCCTGCGAAGGAGGGTGCTCGCCTCCGAGCTCGTCGAGTCACGCTCGCGTCCCTCCGCGGGCGTCGGCACGCTCCGTCAGCGAATCAGGCAGCCCGCTCGTCCGCTCGTCCGCCGGACAGACACGGTGCCCGCATCGAGGCATCCGAGGACGAGCACGTCCATGGACCGCCGCCGGTGAGTGGCCGCAACGAGGTGAGTGCCGTCACGGTGTTTTCTGATACTGACGCATTCTCTTCCGGCGGATCGGATGGCGGGGACGTGCGGGGCGGCGTGGGCAGTACGCGGGGCGGGAGCTGTGATGCGGGGCGCGACTTCGGAGGGCTTCGAACAGTGCTGGAGCCGTTGGCACAGGCTACTCGAGCTGTCCCACAGTGCCCCGCCCTCTCACAACGGTCAGCTGCGCATGCGACGGACGCATTGGTATTGGTATCTACTGCATCGGTCACGGTGTGTCCTGCCTTCGTACGGCTGCAATCCGAGTCCCCGCCGCATAGACAGTTGGTGTCGTCAGCGACGACAGGCACGTCGTACAGGCTGCTTCACGTAGGGCAAGAATCCATGTACATAGTGTCGCAGCAAATAGATATATTCGAGCTGTCTATGATACTTGGCGGACGTGAAACGTGGCGGCCTTCGCCTACGATATTCCGTGGACAGGCCGTGCTGAGCGAGCTGTGGATCGGTACGTGACGGCGACGGCTTCCATCCACACCCAGAGACGTGGTGCGAGCACGTCCTCGTTGCTGCTGGATGAATCCAGTGACCTTCGCCACTCTACCATCGGCCCTCCATGCACCTCGTGCGCTTCTCAGCGAGTGTTCGTCTGCGGGTGTTCGAGCGTCAGCGAGCCAGGCAACAGGCCGTGTGTGATGAGGGTATCACGCACCTGTGCGTTGTGACACACTTCCTGACCGAGTATGCGGCCCTCCTTGACGATCGCAGCGCCCTGGGCCATCAGAAAGGCTTGAGAACAGCCAGGGCACTCGTCGGATGGTCTACCACCCACAAGAACACCTGTCGCCATGGCCGCGGCGCGGCGCGGAATTCTTTGTCAAGAGGTCGATGCGTAGAGCTATTCGTTGCATGACTTCGCAGGAGAGATGGGCGACTCGCCGATGAGCAGCGGAGGGACCCAGAAACAGACAGTCGAACGTTGTCCGATTATGTACACTCAAACCATATCGTTTCCAGAGTCCACCTTGCGGATCAGGTCGCATAGTTCACGAGTTGGCAGTGGCCTGGCCGGGTGACGGAGCCGTCAAGGACAATGGGGACGTCGAAGCATAGGACCGGGCAAAGCACGAGTGTCGATAGTGGCAAGCCCAATGCGTGCCCAGGCGATCTATTCGGTCGGCTATACGTCGACGTTCACGCGTTCTCCGTAGTACCGATATCGCAGGCGACGAGTTATCCACGACATCCGACCGGCTCGACACTGAAAATACCCATCCAACGCCCCTGTGAACAAAGAACATATCGTGGTTTTGTCATCGAGTGACTGGTTTTGTTCAGTCTGCGAGTATCAACACGCCAGTGGGCTTTCGAGGGTCAACCGCGGGACCATGAAACAGGCCGCGCACTTGAAGTGACTACACACCTGTAGATTACGATTCTGGCTCTCGTGTACAAGCCGACTCGGAGTCGCATTGTGTTCGGTAAGGTCACCGACTTAGCGGTGACGTCGAGTGTTATCATCAGCTAAGCTTACGATTCGGGTCTTGACGGTCACGAAACGGTTCGAAATCGACAAAACGGCGCACCGGGTTTCCTGCCAAGGCTCCGAGGCAATGTATAATGAACTAGGATGTATGGGGGTACGGGGGACTCACCGATGTTTCGATCCTGCTGGGATTCGACACCGACCATCTGCTTCAAGCCTCGCTGAATTTCCCTCGCTTTGCGGAGCCGCGCCGAGGAGTATGCAGACCGACAGCTTAGACGTCATGGACACAGAGCTATCGAGGCAAACGCAAGCACTATTGCACAGAATTAAGCAGAGGGAGACAACATTACAAATAGCGGCCGGTTAGCATGATATGAGTCTGGCGACGATTTATGTAGAATCGGTCGGTACTGACATCCATGTCTTGCGTACCGACCTCGATGTGTGAAAGACACGGGAATGGCTGACAACGAGTCAGCGACGTCCTGCCGTGCTGTCAAAAACAGAACGGGATGGTACGCAGTACTTACTGGGACCTCGTCGTGGCATGCATATCGCAGTTGGCCATTTCATGCGGACGGCGAATGCGAGACCCTTGTCGACGCAACACTCACCTGTACTCCATGCACACAGGCCGCAGACCACTTTGCTGATCCATCCCTCGTTGTTCTGAACTTGAACACTGTGACATCGTGACGCGGTTTCGTGTGTTTCGAGACTCATACCGATCACGATCGAGTCGCCTGCGTATTCCGCCCGACTTGCACACCATTGTACATGGGCATCTCGCGCTGACACCCATCATCTACATGGCCTAGCACGGCATCGCTGACTGGGATCGTCACGGTCAGCAGCTGCTCACAGACCGACAGGGTCTGTTGCGAGATACTGGGCTTCGCACGGACACTGTGTAGATACTGCGGAAGAGTTTAGTACTGATCATCTCCCTCTATTCACGTCAACTTGTGTGCGCAAAATCATTACGAGACGCAATTGCCCGTGCACAGTTGGTCACACTGTATTGCAGGCGGGTGCAGCATTTGGTTTCGTTCACGAATGGGACTGCAGACTTGCTGTACACTGGCAACCCGACAATGACGCGGGGAGGCGGGGCGTCAGGCACCCTGTACACCAGTTAGATGATGCGATAGTCGTTGGCCGCTCGCCGACAGCACTTCCATGCACCATCATGTCTTCGAGCACGACGCCGTCATGAAAATCAGGCATGCCACATCCAGGAAACAAACCGAACAGCGTCGTACAAGCGCTGTCCTCGACAGACACTGCTCGGGAGCTCCGGAAAACCTTCATAATCAATGGCTACCAATCGGCGACGTTACTCAGAGTGACCAGCCACACATTACGCAGCGCCTGTCATCGCAAACGGGGCTAAAAAGTGATTGGTCTGTACCAATACTGCACTCGTCGGCTCCCTGACGATCGACGGGAAGTAGGGACGGTCATGCGGACAACGCCGCAGTGACTCGCAGTGCCTGATGCGAGCTTCAAGTTGCCGACGCGAAGGGCTGTGTCGAGAAACGGTGACGCCATCGCAAGGTACCGGTAGGTACAGAACATGAAAGCGTCTGCTCGCCTAGATCACCGTTCCAACTGTCATGGCCGGCGGAACTACATCTCGCATTTGTGTGCCTATATACACTCGGCGGCGGCGGCGGTGAGATCACGCGCAGATGAAAATTGGCTCAGAGCCGAGGACAGAATTGCTGTCATGTATGTCTCCGCCTTTGCGCCTATGGTGGGAAACACAAGGCGAGGAAATACAGAGATTGGGCTGTTTTGTCCAGGTACAAGACATGATAGGCCGCCGACTCGAACATTTGACCGGTGGTATGTTCGCACCAATGCCGAACACGGTCACAGTATTGACCCGACGACGGACTGGCAAGGAGATGCACTGTCGGCCGCGCCCTGAGACTACGAGCGCCCCGGTGGACATGCAGCATGGATGACAGCGCATATGCGACGCAACCGGGCATACGACGTACGTCAATCCCCCATTGCGGCGTCCGCATACGCCGCACACAGTCGAATGATCCAGGAAAAATCGGACTGACATGTAGCTCCAGCGTACGCATTCAATCACGACCAAATAGCTGGTACGTGAGTCCCGCTTGCGTCCTCTCTGCATCATACAAGTGATGCAACGCATGTAGCGGGAGACACTTCTCGGAGGCAGGCGCATACACAGACTCACCGGAATGATGATACCCGTCCCCACACTACACGGCCCGACCAAACCATTCGATCATAGCTTGTTGGACAGGATCTGTCGAGCGTACGGATATCCCAGTGTCACGGTGGCTGGTAGAACTCGTTGAGTATCCACGAGAACGTGTGGTGGCAGCTCCAACTGCACACGTATGGTTGCGAGCACGGCTGGGAAGCAGAGACCATTATGTCGTTCAGAGGACTGAGCTGTCGAAGGCGAAGCAAGATTTTAAAGCAGACGAGCCGAGCGCAAAGACGATGCAGTGGCGGTTGGCCCAGAGTCGGAGGATAGCCAACACCGACGGTGCCCGAGAGCGGGCCGCAGTGTTTTCGTTTCCAGCCAGAAAGACGGGCTTGGGTAATTGCATTACAGCCGCATATACACTGACAAGAGAAGGGGTCAACGTTTCGACCAGCGAGCGAGTGAGCAAACGGGAGAGAGTGGTGTTTGTGGCTGAAGCTCTGAAGTGCGACTTGCGGCGCACGCGTCGTGATCCTCCTCTCCTCTGAGGACGTGACCGTGTACGTACCCCGTCTCGTCTATATACTGTTACTCATGTCACTGCTGCTGCCGTGCATCTGAGTCGCAGCCCGGGTCTCCACATATGGGTGCTATTCACGAACGAAGGATTACATAAGTGGGTCACGTCTAGTAGTATCCGAGTGCACCTGGTAAGTATCATGGCCCGGCCCGGCTTCTCACTCTGGCTCGAAGCTTCAACTGGCTCTAACGTTTGACACAAGTACTGTGTTATTACGAGTACTACAGTCTTGAAGGTCAATATGTTGAAATGCCAGCACCATTGCATCGAGGTCCATAACAGCGAGTCGCTAAATCTGGCAAAGCTCACCGAAGGATCACCAGACTCCCATAATGAGTAGCTTGCCCTCCGACCTCGCACTTCCGTCGGAGCCCAGGGCTCTACGTGCCGGACACCATGAAGTGACCTGTGACCAAAAGACTGTGAGTGATTCATTGACTTGTTATGTGACTGATAAGGATGATGGGCCTACTACGTGAATGTCCATTCATCCTGTTCCGATGTACAGGTTCCGACTTGGAGTTCAATGTTCAACGTTCAGTATCGAAGATAGCTATACACGTAAGTATCATTCCATGCCAGTGATAGTGATGAAATCGGCTCGGTACATGGCTGAGAAGACATCAGTCGACGAGCATTGAGTAAGGCTAAGAGTGATTGAGTTCTCTGCAGTTGCTGCTTAAGCTGTCACAGCCCAATGCTGAATTTGTGTGGTTGAATCTCCCACTCAATATTCTTGGGTCTGAGTCATATTGAAGCACAACTGGGAGACATGAGCGAAGCAGAGTGTATGGGTGAGTAGAATTGTGGCGTGAATTGATTGATGAGCGCTGAGCACTTAGCACTTAGCATCCGAAGAAACCTCTGGTGGCGTTGACGTGGATTTGTGGCACCATCTTGAGGCGAGGATCGAGGCGAATGTGGACATGTGCTATCAAGGCTGTTCTGACACAAGTCTGGCATTATGTATGCTGGAGCCGAACACGGCGGGGAATATATAGGCTGGGTAGAATTGCAGGACGTACCACTCCCGATGCCCACACTATGCTAGCATGCACCTCCGAGTCGGCTGCCTAGATTCGGCGCACACACATCCTCCGCCTTGAAGCTTGACCATTCGCTCGGGGCTCACCAACTTCACTCTCGAATCCTGATCTCTGGTCCACCGCTGCCACGAACATTGAGGACGAACGTGCATCTAGTGAGTATATTCCTTACAGCTCGTGTACACATTCATACTCACTGTCTCTTTGAATCTTTCTTTTCCAACCGCAGAGGCTGCGAGCTCACATCAAATGTGCTAGTCACGGCGAGCCCGAGGGCTCGTACGAGCCGCTTTAAGTAAGTACCGTCTTCCCAATATAGAACATCAGACGCTCACCGTTCAAATGGTCGTGCGTTGGCAGGATGCTCCGAGTGACTTATAGTCTCAAGCTGTGCACAAGTCAGGCTCAACTCCAAGTCGGCCCAATCCTGGTGGCTCAATACAAGTAGGTTTGTGTACGTATCTGTGTCCCTGCGCGATGAACCCTAACTGTCCATGAAACCTGGAGAGCAGCTACTACGGCCTGAGTCAAGCTTCAATGAAGCGCACGCGCGCGACGTGCACCATATACCAGTAAGTGAGTACTGTCACTCCGCCGAGTTGCTCGATCGGTGTAATACTCAGCAGTACTGCAGGCCTCGACGTTCGTTGGCGCTGTGAAGCTTTGAAGACAGGACATTGACTCGATTGCCACTGGGACTGGCCCTACGCATGACCATATGGTAAGTCTGCACCAATATTGTCGGCACGGTATGCGTCAGATTCGGAATCTCATGACGTGCGTAGACTCATGCTGCGTCTCTGCCAGTGGGTTGGTTGCTTTAAAGCTTGTCTGCGTGAGACGTACTGACAGAGACAGACATGTGCCGGGGCATGAGCACGCGGCTCAGTCGAGTCGTTGCATGCGTGCAAATGCGCAGTTGACCCATGGACCCGTCGCCGTCAAATTGACCGAAGCATTCTGTCTGCCGAGTGGACAAGCTGCGTGACAAGCTGGCTATGACAGGTACGTTGGCCGCACGTGTGCGAACCGTCCAAAGACATTGATCATTGACCGGTTATGGATAGATGAGCATCCGCCACGTCGAGTCAGGGAGTATCGTGTGTCATATTTACACTAAAGTAGGTGCCTTGCCGCGGCTTGATTCCGAGTGTACTGACCACTCCGCACTCAGTTACATTCGTTCGACTCGGACTGATAGGCATGCATTATAAATGTGATGTGATCAGAGACGTGTACGCTCTGTCGGTAGCGAAGGTTGCTGGTTCCCGGCGTCGACGCCGAATGCCCTTTGAGGTAAGCTTAGCGAGTCTGTGCCCCAATAGTACACCGAGTATCTGTCGGGGGGCGAGTGATCTTCTGTATTGCGGCACTCTGAGTCTGTTCATTCTCAAACATGACTGGTACGGTGGGTGACTCCGGGAACATGTATATGGCTGCGTAAGTTACGAGCGGATGAATGAACGATGATATCACGGTGCGAGCAACGTCGCACAGACATCTCCGAGTCCGAGGTTGAGCGGTGCTCATGCACATCACATTGCATCCACTAGAAGGACCAACCGAAGGGCAACAAGCTATTCCGGGCCCCTTTCATTCATTCGTGAGGTGTTACTGCCTGTGAGGATGATGGAACGAGGTGGGCAATGTGTTTTCGTGTTGGTCTTCCTCTGCTGATACCAGCATGCAACGGATAGGTCTTTCGGCGCGGTCTGTCCTATGTTCCTCCGCGACGATGCCCGGCCTGAGTCAACCGTGCATGGCAATATATATATGGATCGTCTTCCCGCGAGCGGGGTGCCCGTCATGGTGCGTAGATGACTGTATCAACGTGTATTGACACCGACTGACTACTACACTGGACAGCGTCTGCTGTCCACGTCTACTCATTCATGCGTCGACTCGGATCGCCAAGGAGCAGCGCGGTAGCGCTGCCAGTACTCTGGCTACCTGATAGACACCATCATGCAGCCAACCCGCGAGTGGGCGACAGCGTCCGACAATACCGTCTACATGGATCGACACACAACGAGCATGAGACACGTGGTGAGTATGTCAAGGCAACAAGTCCTTCGTACCTTTGAGGGTACACTCAAGTGCTCATGGCCATCCTCTCGTAAGTACTCATGCGAATATAGTGTGTCACAATCTATAATGACGCGCCTGCCGAGACACACAGGCGACGTACCAACTTTGGAGAAGACCCTTCGCCAGCCCCATACACGTTCGCATGCGCCCTTCACGGTACCCGGAACGGCGATGTATATACAGATCGACGTCCGGCGAGCGACGTCTCGGGCACGTCGTCGACCCAAGACCAGTACTGATGCTCATGGCTCATGGCCGACGTGGCGTTGCGCCCCACAGACCTGGTCCGCACCTCTGCTATCCGCTTCATTCGCGGGGCCCCGTGTCAAACGTTATGGCCCCACCATCAAGGTCGAGCGTGGTACGGACATAACGACGTCCGGCGAGCGGCACAAGGCTCAGCGCCGGCCCGTCCATACCCACTTTCTGCTCGCTCCATCGATACCCATGTCAAGCATCAAGAAGGCCTTCCACCGGACCCGTGAATCCACATCTTCAAAGAGCACTATCTGTGCCAAGTCCCCCGATTCCAGCCCGACTGTGCTGCACATCCTCGAAGCGTTGTGCGCAGTCCGTTACCGGGATGCGCAGGATGATGGATCACCATTCAGCGTGAGTCAGCCTCTTCGTGCCTGCTCTGTCGGTCACTGACAACGGCGAGCCCGTCCTGACAAGGACGGGGCTATGAGGGACAGCGCGTGGCAGATTGCCTTCCACGACGTTCGCGCTGTGTGGTGCGAATGGCGATGCACGTTATCTGCCGATACGGTGAGTGCAACTTTGTCAATGTTCAGGGCTCCAATATTGACAACCTGAACAGCCAGCCCACGGTCATCGCACAGCGTTGACGAGGTATATTCGATACGTAGCTACTGTGCGACAGCGACTGACCGCAGCTGCTCCATTAAGGGCGTACAGCCTGCGGCCGCGACGACCTTGCACGGGCACTCACCTGGTACGGTACTCGCCTTGCTGTGTGTTCCCAGGCCGCCGACTGCCATTGAGATGGAGGGGAGGGACCAGCCGTCGCCGCGAGTGACGGCAGAGAGGGGGGACGCTTTTTTCGTTAGCACCGATGTACATACCGGGGCCCGTTTGCGTGATCTACGAAAAAATTCAGCACACCATAATTGACGAGCTCCCTGCGGGGAGGCGAAACTATGCCCCAAAAAAGGACGTTTTTTGGACTTGGTGCGCCAGTTGCGTTTTGCCCTCAGCCAATCCCTGCGCTCGCACGTAAACTCCCCACGCCCGCCGTGCGACGATCCCCGCCCCGCCCCCACGCCACGCTCACACGCCCACCTCTCGGTCTAATTAGGCTCGTACCATGACTCGTCTGAGTATTCCGCGAGGTATCCATCGACAGACGACGGCGGTCTGCAGCGGGCGAGGTAGGTGGGAGCCGCGGAGAAGTCGGGGCAACGTCGATGGGCTCGTATTTGTTCGCGATCTTAGATACGCTCGTCGGTGACCTTGGCACCTCCTTACGAGGCGACGTAGGTTGTTCGGGCTGTCAGGAGATATCGCGGGTCAGTGCAGCACCCCGTGAGCAGCAATGGTAGCGAGCGTACTATCCGTGAATATCGATCACGCAGGGCAGCCACTACGCTGCCGTTGCTCATGCCAGTGTCGCTCCGCTCGATCGGCTGCGAGGTCTGCGCGTCGACGGGTCCACCTTGTCGCGGCCGCTTTTCTTCCCTAGGTCTGAGGGCGCCGAATTCACCGTCGTCAACATGGTCACCGCCTTGCGAAGATCCACCGATCGAACTAGTCGGACCTGATGAAACTGCTGCACTCTCAAACTTGATCTTCTTGCTCGCAGCGCGCGTAAGCACTGGGGACGGGGTCTTTGCCTCATGCCGCTCGTGCGATTCTCGACTCTCCGGACTCTCCGGCGCAATCGAGTGCTGCGAATCTGATCCCTGCTGCGTAGCGTTCCCGTCGACGGCCTTGCCATTAGTCTCAACAGGAACCGATGTGGCAATGGCAGCAGGTTCGGCGCGTTGAGCGGCGGGGGATGGTAGGGGGCGTGATGTCTCGGACGGCGCGAGCGGGATAGGTGACTCTGTCCTGCGCTGGAAGAGAATTTCAGATGGTGTACGTGGTCCGCGAGGGGACTCGGGCCTCGTCTCCTTCACCGGAGAGCTAGCCTCGGCCTTCGCAAGAGGTGGCATAGGGAAATGTGTAGGCGGTGAGGGGAAGGACGACAGAGATGCCAGGGACCTGACAGAGTCATCAGCTATCGTCTTCGCAGGGTGATACTGCGGCGGAGCGGGTGACGAGTCGTGCGACGGCGTGACGGCTCGTGAAGATGCATCTGTCTCCTGCTCGCTCGGACGACGCGATGAATATTCGGGCGCAGGCTTCTCCAACATCGGAGTACTGGGACCTTGCGGCGACTTTTCCATGCTCGGTGTCACGGCGCGTCCTTGGGCAATCGGCGTCACAGAGCGGTCGGGACGATCAGGAGCCTCGCCGTTCGGTAGGTCTGCAGGCAGCGGGCCTGACCATCCACCCTCGCAGTAGACGCGCCATTCGCCGAGCTGTCCGATGGTAGGAGCAGAGCGTCGCACGCCCTCGCAGGAACGAAGCCATTCTGCGTCCGCCACGCGAGAGAGACTGGCGGCCAAGCTGTGTATCGTCGAGTGATGCCTACGCGTCACCATAAGCGAGTGATTGCTGACCGGGGGTGAGTGACGGTAACAAGTGCGAATGACAGAGGTACTGACTACTTCTCCTGGTTGATCTCGGGGCCCAGAGTGGTCAGGATGTTCATGTAACGCGCATGCTCGTCGGCCGCGTCCTGCGGGTTCTTCTTGGCCTTCTTCTCGTACAGTTGCCCGGCTTGCTTGAGCTTGGCGTTGGCGTTGGCGAGGCGATCGTCGTACGCACGCTCTTCTTTCTGACGGACCGCCGTAAGGCCAGCACTTTGGCGCATACATGCAGAGCACTCACAGCGAGCTTCTTGAACCATTTCTTGACCTCCGCACTGACCGCGTCGCACTCCTTGTCGGCGAGCTTGACGAACTTTGCGTCCACTTCGCAGAGCGTGTCGAAGATGGTCGCGCTCACGTTCAGCGCGTTCGCTAATAGGGCACCATTGAGCGAATTAACGTCTCGTTGCTTGGTTCCCGTACCTGGTATCTCAGGCACACACTTCGCCGCCGCCGCATCTCGCAAGGCCTTGACGAGCTTCCGCTGCAGAGTTAGGATCGCATTTGCGGCCTCGCAGTAGTCATTGAGCACGTTGACAACGGCTTCGAGCGACCTGCACGACTTGTGAATAGACTCCCTATCCGCAATAGGCTCGTTGAGTGCACCGGAGGACATGACCGTGGTGGATGAGTCGCACAACGAGCGCCAGCCTACTGACTGCGCGACGGAACGCTAAGCGCCCAGCGCGTCGGGTACCGTACCAAATACAGCTAAATCAGGAAACGTACATAAGCGCGTTCTTGAGTTCGTCTGTCTTTGCCGGCTACTGTATCCTTCACGCACTAGGCTTGCGCTGTCCTCGCTGCGCTCGCAGTGATGCCGTAAGGGTGCGTTGTATGCGCGATGTCTCCTGGGCGAACCTGACCGTGGGTTGTGGAACAGCAAGGGGACACGACGACAACCGTGGTAGCTGTTGGGCATGCCGGACACTCTGGGCTGTAGAGCGTGAGTTGCATATCTCGTAGGAAGTATGCGAGCTAAGTCGTCTATAGTCAGCAGGTGAAGCAGCGACTTGTTGTCCACGACGACAGTGTTGCGCTTCTGTGTTCAAAATCAAATACCCCAGGACATCCATATATTCGGCGTTGATCGCTGTTGGGGGCCACTTTCATTAGTAGGCTCCCCGCTCCGCCGACGTGTGGTCAAGGATCTTCGCCATCGCCCCCTGCTTCGGCACGTGGTGCGATCATCAAGCATAGGATCCTACGTGCTCCCCTCTCAGCCAGGCTCTAGTGACTCCAGTTGATGGCCGTCATGTCAGAGAAACTGAAGGTGCGTCGAGTTCTGGTATCATTGGACTCCGCTTCTGGCACTCAACCATTCATTGTAGTCGCCAATGTGCATCGCTGAGCAGCACGATGGCCTCCGAGAATGACCCGACTGCAGTCACCATCTCAGTCGCTTTGTCCTAGGAGGTCAACTCCGACATCGGTCCACGGTGGCGGAGTCGAGAGCTACGACAAGCATGATCGAATCAATCGATTGTGATTGCTAGCCAGAAGTCGCCAGGAAACAGCTTGACTTACAAGTCGCTGTAGTGTCTGGCCGAAGTGGTCACGTCGACTAGAGCCGACTCGCAGAGGAGTCCGGCTAGTGTCGCGTACAACACTTCCGTTTCCAAATCAATTACCCCAGGACTCCCGACTCTATGGCGTGTCGATGCCCTCCCGATGTCGTGCCCCACTGCCCGACGCATCGAAACACCCATCCTTGTCGGTATTAGGTTGCGCGTTCTCATTGTTCGCGTGGAAAGTCGTTACAGGTGCCGCGAGAGGCCCTGTCTTTAGGAATAGTCTGCATCGAAAGATCGAAGCAGTCGCCGCAAATCAAGTACCCCAGGACTACGGCCGCTCGTACTCACTCCTCAAGTCCCTCCTCCGTCCTCGTATCCCGGCACTCGCGCCCCCTGGTGTAGAGATGTAGGATATATGGCTCATTTGTACCATGAGACGGACGCATAGTGTACAGGCAGATCGTCTTGTATTATGACCCGAAATACAAGACAAGTGTGTGCGTGTGGTCCAAATATTGTGTCTGATATTGCTGTCTTGACGTCCTAGGGGCTTGTGTTTGCACGAAGGTATGTATTGAATATTGCAAGGCAACAATCGTTGGAATATTCGTACTGAGGATGTCTTATGTATTCGAAGGTCCTCCTGATAGCAGACTTGTAGCGCACCACAGTGCGATTTCGACAAAGTCCCCTCTGCTCTGGGTTCGACACAAACTCCGCACGACGTGGACGGTCTTATAGCTTGCGGCGAGACTACCCCCTGCTCAAGTGTAGCGTCTGATAAGTGTCCGCTGCTGTTTCGTGATAACCCCGCCAACTGTTGCACATACGTACACATCAGCCGTCACGCAACGACCTGCACTGTTTGTAGCGTCGTAGGATAATGTACAGATAAGAATTAAAGGATTAACGTAGAACTATCCGCCTCAAAGGTCCACGAGACCCAGTATCCCGACCAGCACCACGATGACCGAAAAGGCGGAGGTCATATATGCTAGCAAAACCCAAAATCAGTTCTTGCGTCAAGAACATGCATCTGATGCACATACACCCGATGCTGAATGCAGTGGACACGTCTCTTGTAATCCATGCATAGGTCAAAGAGACTATCAGCGAGAGGAAGACCAGTCCGATGACGGCGAATGTCAGCCGTTTTGCTTGCCAGCGCTCGACAAACTCAATGCCGACGCCAGGTCGCGACATGAGTTGCCCCATCAAGTCCCGACTCCCTCGCAGCTTCTCCGGGTGATTGAGGAAGAACCGGAACCGCATATGTTGCCGTGAACTGACTCTGGCTGGACCAATTCGCTGAGGATAGACGAACTTGTCCCTGCTCTGAATCTGCGTATGAAAGAGTCAGAGTCTATGACATGGCACACCGAGACTCCTGCTTACTGAGATCATCGTGACAGACCGTACGTTCTTGAGCGAGCACCACCTCCGCCACGAGCGAAGTTTGTCGTATGTCTTGCGCATCTCCGTGAGGAGCTCCGCATCATCCCAGTGAGGATCAAAATTCATCATACGACTCTGCGAACCTCTGTATGCATGCACAGCACGCAACGAGGCCAGACTTTCTTCGTCTGCATACACATCATGTGGTTGTGGGGACGTAGTAGGTTGCGGCACCCATGTGGTACGGCGCGAGGGTAGGAACGGCTGATAAGGTGTTCCTATAGCAAAGCCAGTAGCAACGGCTCCATTGGGATACAGATAGCCGTTGGGTGAAGCACCCCCACCCGGTCCAATGTATGGATGGGAAGTAGCGACATAAGCCCCGGAAACAGCAGCCATGCCTGAGCCTGGTTCTGGAAGCGGAAACGGGGTAGCGTCCGGCGCGATGGCTGAGTAGCGCGCTGTCATAGGCACTGTGAAAGCATTCGCGTGATGCTGTGAAGCATACCCTTGAGGCGAATATGGATTTGGAGGCGGAGGGATCATCTTGGGTTGCATACTAGATGCAGGTGTGGATGATGGGCGCCGAAGATGTTGAGGGTCAATGTCATGGTCGACGTCACCCTGATAAACAACAACCTGAGGACGAGGTGGTACGACCACTTCCGTTTCGGAAGGGGTAGTAGTACCACCTCGCACTGAGGTCGCAGATAATTGCTGGCGCAGTTGTTGGTGTGACGCTGGCCTCGACCCATCACCCGTCCTCTCAGACGAAAGTGGTACCCATCTCCCGGGGATGTAGTCGCTGTCGGAATCAGTGTCGGATCGTCCCTCGTACGGGTCAAAGGGAAGGATGGTAGGACCAGTATAAAGCGTCGTCGAGGGACTGACGTCGTCAGGGGAGGTGTTGGTATCATGCGACGATAACTTCGATGTCGTTGATATCGGGCTATCAACGATGGTGGAGAGGCTTGATGAGGGGACCTCTGCCGGGGGCACCTCTGCATCGGAGTCCAGCGACGATTGCCGCATCGAATTCGGGCGACCATGTTGTGAGCCTGGTTCCAAGTGAGCGTGGTTGCCCGTGCTCGTAGACACGCGTGCCGGAGCGCAGGGTAATGAGCGCAACCTCCGCAGATCCGAGATGCCGCTAAGCTGGGACGAGGTTCTTTGTCGCTGAGTAGTTGTGAGACTCAGAGCAGGACGAACGGTGCTTGGTGACCCCTCCTTGCCGGGTGCCGCTGCGGGGTCCCCCGCGCCGTTGCTTCCCTTGGGCGGAATGATTCCCGCCGCCTCCATCCAGCCCGCAAACGACTCCTCTTCATCTCCCTGGTAGTAAAGAGTGTTGCCCAGATTATTGCCCATCCTGGAGCTGGTTGGGGGACGAGGAACAGGGAGATACCGACTCGAGCTTACCTGTATTGTATAAATATGTTTCTTCGTCCTTATCCTCGGTCCAGTAATTCGGGGCCTCTCATCCCCAAGTATCTACGGACCGTGTGTCTGGGACCAGGATACCTAAAACTGTAGGGCTGTGCGTTGCGGACTTTTGGGGGGGTCGCATGAGCGAGATGGCACCTCGCCGAAGGTAGGGACCAACCTTGCGGCACGGCATTGGGCCCTTGGAATCGGGGAAGGTCATCGGAACGGCCGTGCGAGGATGTTCCCTCGCAAGCTACTTGTACAGAGCGGTCGATTCCAGCAGTCGGAGCGCTGAAAGTCTCCGAAGGCAAACTGCATACCGACAAAGGCAGAACAGCGGGTCATGTTGATCACATCGCATAGTGCTTGAAAGGGCTCACTGAAGTCTGACTGCCGGGTATAGAGAATCAGCTTGTGCAGAAGCTCTGTACATCCGGAGGCTTCTGGGAGGCGCTCTTGTGTGTTGTCGGCCTCGACCGGTTTCAAGTGCCAGCACGCGACACCGGACGCCGTATTTACCTGTGCGAGAAGGCCGGCGCACATGTTCCGCACATGTACCTCGGAAGAAGCGGTCAACAAACTGTCAATGCTAGAGGGTTGATCCAGAGATAACAGAGATAGAGCGTACCGATAATCCGATCCTTCAACGACTTCAACCTCACAGAGGGTCATCGTCCAGCCGACCAGAGCTCATTCTCTCCGTATGCCTTGCAGACTACGTCAGGCTCGGCATCCGAGTCTTCGTACGACCCGTACAAACGCCCGCAGTCTGGATAAGATCATCCGAAATCATCGAACAGCAACTCAAGAGCCACTGAAGACGTGATGATCCATTTCTGCAGGGGACAAAAGCAAAACCTGCTTGGATAACGCCGCGTTGGGCTGCATGTTTACCTAAACGTTGTCGCAAGTAGAGCGCGCATGTTACCTCATAGATTCGTTTCATTAACGCACCTGCGGAATGTCCTGCAGCTCCGTCCCTCGCTACGTAGTATATTGCGGTTGAATGCGTATTAGCATAGAGTAGGCTTGGAAGTGAGTGCGCATATATTTGCCGCTCGTGTAGTCGCCAGTGATATCACGTGAGTGCTACGACGCGCCCGGCATGCCGTTCAGCACGGTCCACGCCTCAAGTACTATTGCATACTCAAGTTCATGCTCTTAACGCCATTAATTCCTTCCATCCTTCCTACTTTCTCAGCCTGTAACGACGAGGCTGGAAGATCCACGAACTGCTAGGTTCCATCTGACCGGTCGGCACGATAGCTTCGGGTCGCGCGCGGCTTCAGCTCGCCTTGCATCGTCATTGCTCAGTGCTCATACGAGGGCAAATAGGACTTGCATGCAATATCTTGTCTACTGTGGCTATTGGAAAGCATCGCGCGAGATAAGCGGCAGTCATGGCAGAGTCAGGTCGTCATACACGCGCAGGTATGCCGGAAGCCACGCTCATGCACTGCTGTCGCGACTAACGTTGTGGTGATCGTCGCAGGCCATGGAAATGTTGTCGCACGCCTTCATGCGTTGTTTCCAGGGCCAGCATTGACCTCTCCGAGACAAGCACAGCAGCCAACCTCGCCGGTCCCACCTGCCCCGCCCCCGTCTAGACCGTTCCTGAAGGTGAGGATTGTGACATGGAACATGCACGAGAGTGTACCAAAGGTGAGCAGGCATTATTCCGATGTACATTCCACCCTAGACAATGTCATGCCAGGGCGACCTGACTGAGCTGCTTGGATCGCTACTTGACCAAGCCTCGACAACGACGCAGGTGCAAGATCCTTCGGGTCTAACGACCTTGCCCGCGGACGCGCGCCATCCTTACCATATTGTAGTCGTGTATGGACGTCCCCTATACCTGTGTAATGCTGCTGATGCGATCTCTCTTCAGTGCCGGACAGGAATGCCCGACCGCTACAGGTGAGAGCATGTCGAGTGCATTCGGGTTGACGTACAGCTCACTGTATTCAGGATTGCCGTTGGGCCTTGGCGCGGGTTTCAAGCTCAAAGACCTCGTCGTCGTCGAGAAGGACAAGGATAAGGGAAAGGACAAGGAGAGCAAGAAGGGTGTTGAGCACGAACAGAAGGATGCCGAGTCAGAGCATGGCAGCAGTCGCGTTCCCGCACTCACTGAACCAACCACTCCCCAGCTGTCCTTTGCCATGCCCGCCGCAGTAGATACCGAGGAAATCATCGAACCGTCATCAGCCAAAGGCTCGATAGAGATCTCGCACCACAAGAGCTTGCTACACTCGTCTCCCTGGTCGCTCACGCTGGACGGCTGGTACAGCAACAAGACGCTACCCCATCGGAGCACGAAGTCCTTGCCGGAAGCATGCGATTCCCCATTGCCCCGGACTGACACGCCCGGCAACTCGGATGCGAAGTCAATAAACGTGGCAGGGGAGGCTGGGCATATGCAACCTGCAACGGCCCCGTATGAGCTCCTCATCAAGGAGAGGATGATGGGTCTCTACCTCGCGATCTACGTCAATGTGAACGTCAAGCATCTCGTCCGAGGTGAGTCCCTGTGCATCGTCCCCAGTCTGAGCAGAATGGATGACGCTTGTGAATAGGTTCTTCGAAGGATGCGGTCACTACTGGTCTCATCGGCGGAAGAGTGGGGAACAAGGGCGGTGTGGGTATAAGCGTGAACATCGCTGGGACCACCCTCCTATTTATCAACGCCCACTTGGCAGGTAAGTGGTCAGGGCACGTGTTTTCCCACTGGGTACTGAATACGCTGCCTTCCCAGCTCATGAAGGCAAGGTTCAGCACAGAATCGCCGACTTCGCTAAGATCAAGGTGGGCGCCGACTCTGAGCATCTTGTATGCATCACCCCATTTACGGGTCGCGTATCTGCATTAGGCGGAATTGGATGTGGATGACTTCCTCTCGCCGGATGATCCGCGGATCATGTCAGAGGGTGAGTACAACGTCAGAACTTATTGGTAACAGCCCTGACACCGTTCGACAAGACATTACGGACAAGTTCGACTACACGTTCCTATGTGGTGATCTCAACTTCCGGCTTGACATCACCCGCCTTCACGCAGACTGGCTCATCTCACGCAAAGGTATGCATAGCATGCACGATATACATAAAAACATATCCTCATTCACCTACTCTGTACATGTGGACAGAATACGCTCAAGCCCTCGCATTCGACCAGCTGCGCAAGATCATGGATGCTGGCCGAGCATTCGTCGGCTTCCACGAAGCGCCCATCGCCTTTCCACCAACCTTCAAGTTCGACGTCATGCGCACGATGAGGCGTCGCCGGAGCTCGTCCAAGCCCTTTGCAAGCCCGTTCATGCCCTCAACGCCCATACCCGGACACCAGAAGATCCTCACTCACGTCACAGAGAAGGAGGGTGAAATTCTTACCGGCGCGCGCGACACGCTTGACGACAACATTGCGAATGAGCCCGAGCAAGTGCAAGAACCAGAGCCTGAGCAGGATGCGGCGTCCGTGGTCTCGTCAACGTTCACATCCGCGCGTTCGAAATACACAACCCACAGCCAGGGCGACGAGGCACAGGACATGGAAGAGGATGACTTGTTCTTTGCTACGGAGACAAAGACGAAGTCGGGAAAGGTCATTCAACGGCTCTCTCTCCATGCTATGAAGGCGAAGTGGGTTGCGATGGTGTCCCCAGCCAAGACGGAATTCATGAGCCATATACCTACGAAGCGGAGGAAACGGTGTGCATTATTCGCCGCGCATTCCTGTCGTTACACTGATGTAGAGAGTATTCCCAGACCGAAAGTAGAGTCTGTGAGAAACAGTCCTGCCCCTGAGCCTAACGGCCGTCGGTCCCAGAGCGCTCCTCGCTCAATCATGGACGATCGTGCAAGTTCGACAAATATGTTGGACGGAGCACAGGGACTGGAGCTCCCGGACGATGGCAAGGGTGTTTACGATTCATCTCACAAGCAGCGGGTGCCCAGCTGGTAAGTGTGGACAATTGGGCTCATCCTAAGCTGAGTCTGACTACCTTTAAAGGTGTGACCGTATCCTCTGGAAGTCTACGGTAGAGCCCGAGTTGGAGGAGACCCTCCCGCCCCTGCAGCCACCCCGAAACCGTGTCTCCAACATATTTCAAGTCCTCCGACCCATCCGCAGCCGGCGCGATTCCGCCTCCTCAATACTTTCCGCCGTCCTAGGTCCATTGAACAACTCGGCGACGAGGCTACCACCGTCTCCTCTGGCATCACCGGGCGGCAATCGTGAACCACGGAAATTCAATCGGTTGCAGCCTCACCGTGGCCCGCGCATGTCGAGGCCCAAGTCCGTGGATACCCTGCCTACGCTTACCACGCTCCGCTCGCCCAGTGAGCCTATGCCACCCCTTCCGCGTCGCCTGAGCTTTGAGGGCGTAACACCGACGTCGGTGCCCCTGACGCAGTCGCAGACGATGCCGCCGCCGATGCAGGACCGTTGGACACCCGACGTCCTCGCGACTGAGCATTCGGCTGTGCTGACCTCTCCGCCTGCGGCCGTGACGAGCCCGAGCTCTCGCTGGTTTGGGTTCCTTCCGGCGTTCTTGCACCGAGAGGGCTCGATGCCGATGATCAGCAGGCCGGACAGTCCGGTTTCACCTGAGCAGCCTCCGCCACGGCGGGGGACCGTTGTGTGCCTTGACTATCGGTCGCTCGACGATGCGGCCATGCGCCGCCTGGAGGGCCGCAGCGACCACCGGCCAGTCATTGGTTCGTACGCGATCTACATCTAGTGTTATGTAATGCCTCTCGTCTCTAGACATGTTACGTTAGTCCGTTCACGGAATCCGCTCATTACTGACAAGTTTACACATGTAGATACCCACATACACTCGGACGGTAGCGTAGATGATAATATCCATATCTGTACTTGCTGGCATGTGCTGTACGTATACCCAGCTCTCGATGCTTTATGTTTTGGTCTCTCAAACGTTCTTGGGTTCAAGTGTGCAGTGGGACGGTCATAGCATTGTTGACGCAGGTAACATACAACATAGCGGTACATCGTCAGCAGGCATACATCTCAAGCCGAGATAGTGACCTCGACCTCGACACCGGGCTCCAGGCTGATGCTCGTCTAGAATGCAAGGTCAGAAGTCAGTCACCTGCCTCAAGAGATAGGCTTACGATCTGCTTGACGATCTCGCTGGAGGAGTGCAGGTCGATGAGGCGCTTGTGAACTTTGAGCTCGTAGCGGTCCCAGGTCTTCGAACCCTCACCGCAAGGCTAAAATAATCATGTGAGACGGACAGAACAAGAGTACGACCTGATCCCACTTACAGTCTTGCGGGTGGTGATCTTGAGGCACTTGGTGGGGAGGCGGACGGGGCCCTTCACGCGGAGCTGCTTGTCCTTGGCCCGGTTAATGAGGTCCGCAGAGACTGTGATGCCCTGTGAGTCTCGCACCTCTGAAAAGGTGCAGAATACGACGTACACTTCTCCAAGTTCTTGACATTGCTGCTCGTGAGCGTGATGCGGATCTTGTGGATTTTGGCGGCGGGCACGGGGGCGCCGGTAGCGTCGTATTCCTTCTCACCCTTAGCGACGTAACTCATCCTTGCTGTCCTGGAGAGTCAGAAGGTGACTAGATATGATTGTGAGCGAATGTCTCTGCGGATACAGCGGTAGACGCACCTGAGGGCGAAGGCTTGTTGATGGTGTGTATACCGAAATTTAGAGTTTATGCGAGCGACTCTACATCTCGGCAAGTGCCGAGGAATCACCTTATGTCAGCGGGGCGCCGATCAGAAACTCGATCACGTGAGTGCATATAACGCGGTACACAAGTCGCGCAACGCGTCTCCAGACCTTTCACATCGAAGTGCTCCTCTCTCGTAGTAACCTCCTGGTGAATTCGGTTTTTTTGAAGCAGTAATATTGGAATTATTTAGTCTGGCCAAGTGAAGGTGGAGACAGCATTACAAATGCGGCCTGTGCAAATAGCTGGATTGTCGGACGGAGAGATTATCATAGCAACCTTGGTGAGGCTATGAGAAGAGCTGGTAACATCTGTAACACTCACATAGAGCTGTGTGCATGTCTTCCGTAGCCTAGTCAAGACGCATATAGCCACTGGCAAACACTGTCAGTCGAGCACTCGGTGATTCAAGTATATCGATGTGAGTATCATTTCGTCATGGTTTAGTTGCTACGTTGTCTTATTATCCCCACACGCAGCGGTAAATTATGTACAATATTGTAGAGGATTGGATCAATGGATGGATCGGACGTAAGTCCAACGTCCAATTGATTGCATTGTGCACAACACTCAACTGATCGCTTACCAACATAGAGGATCTCGCAGTTCTAGACATCTGGTCATACAATATCACATCGTTGAACCTATGCTACAGTGACAAACTCAGCAACGAACTCGGAGACTACGATTTGTTACACAATGGCAATGACCTTGCAAGACCTTGCACTGCATGCCGCGATACCTCGAGGGTAATTAATTTCCTTAAAGGGAATTGGTACAAATTAGGCAAGTGCTCTTCGCTGCTCACAGCCAGCCCCGACGTTTAGTTAATGCCTGTTAATGCTTTGGCCTTTTGGTGGCAGCCGGGTAGGGCTTATGAGCCATTCTTGTCATGAGAACCACTGATTTCCTGTTCAGACCTGGTGGTCAGCGTACCCAGTTTGGCCAAGGCTGACAGTGTAACTATATGGCAACGGAGCGCCCGGCCACTGCAGCTACTCTTCGAGTCCATTCGGCAGTGAAGCCCACTCGTAAGCACCCTCATCAGTGTTAACACTCGGATGGTGTTCATGACAAGGCCAGGACCGTATACTCACTTCGGCCGACTACGTTCGCGAACATCAACTTGAAGTCGATGACCATGGTCAGAGGGGTAACCCGGAATAGCCGTGGTTCTCACGGACGAGACAACTCCGCTCTGCTCCTCCAGCCGCCGACGCCCGCTTTGCTCTCACCCTCACTCGACCCCGCCGCCATGACAGACCTGCACCGACATCTGCAGGACAACAGATCAGCATACTCGCTCGCGACAGTGCACGACCCCCGTCGCCGTCTGCGCGCACGTCACTCCTTTCGCACACCGACGAGCCTGCCCAGTATGGTACGACAACACCCACCGGCCCCTCGAGCAAGCGCATCCTCTTCAATGCTACGCTCAAGATGGCGGCTATCTTCGTCGTCAGCACGCTGTTTCTCGGAGGAACACTGTGGCTTGCACTGCCAACTCTGGACGAGTGAGTTGCGTTCAGTCTGGCTGCGAGCGGGCACTGACATCGCGCAGGGAGGACCGCCCGGACCTCCGCATCCCAAAGTCGTTCGCCCAGCTGCAGGCACTGAACACCCTGCTTAAGAAGTACCGCGACATCTACCCCTACCGCATTGTTGTCTGTTACGTAACGACCTACCTATTGTGCGTACGACCGCTCTGATCCCTGTCGACCGACACTGACCACCCCGCAGCCTGCAAGCGTTCTCGCTCCCCGGGTCAATGTACCTATCCATCCTGGGCGGCGCTGTGTGGGGCGTGCCGCGGGCGATCCTGCTGGCGTGCACATGCGTAGCGTGTGGCGCGACGCTCTGCTACCTGATCAGCGCGGCGCTCGGGCCCGCGCTTCTCACCATGCCGAAGTACAGGGCGCGGGCGGACGTGTGGTCGGAGAAGATCAGCGCACAGCGCGAGAACCTCATCTCGTACCTCATCGTGCTCCGGATCGCGCCGCTGCCGCCGCACTGGGTCGTGAACGTGCTCTGCCCGCACCTCGGGATCGGGATCGCGCCGTTCTGGGTGAGCACGTGGCTGGGCATCCTCGGGGTGACCGTCATCCACACGACGATCGGCGGGAGCCTGGACGAGATGACGTCCGCGGACGACTTCCACCTCATCTCGTGGAAGAACTTCTTCATGCTCGCGGCGGTCGTCGTGGGCGTGATGATCCCCGTCGGGCTGCGGTACTTCTTTAAGCGCGAGCTCGCGACCGTCGTCGACGTCGAGGCGGACGCGGAGAGCATCGCGGAGCAGTACCGCGACGACGCGAGCGACGTCATTCTCGAGCAGGGTCCCACCGTGGGCGCCGGCAAGGGCAAGGACACGAAGCTCATTAGCCTCGACGACGAGGACGACTTCTCGGACAGCGATCCGGACGAGGACATCATTCTCGAGGCGGGGCCCGCGCTCGTGGTCAAGGCGGACGAGCCTGCAGAGCCAGCCCGCCGGGAATGGCGGCGAGAGGACCTTCTCTGAGACTGCTTTGACACTCCCGTCGGGTACGGACGCTTGCGCAGTGCTCGGAGACATGATGAGGTAGACGTGTACGCTGTAATATCAAACAACTACCGCCCGATGCTGCTGTGCTCACGGCCCTTTCTCTCCCTTGTGTTAATTAGACTGTCGGATATGGGTTTTTGAGGTATCATATTTTCTGTAGTTGCAATGCTCTGAGAGATCGCTGTATGACGACGAATAGTGTATCCATGATACAGCATGTGGGTTCGGAATGGTGGCTTGCTGTTCGAACCTACTCTATCACGTATCGTGTGTGAGGCTCTTTGAATACTAGCCTACAGTGCTGGTCAGCTCAGCAATCTTCTTCTCGACCTCGTACAGCGACAACATCTTGTCCTGAGGATAACGGCTGTTGAGTACCTCACGAATCGCGGTGTATGTGCCCTGTGGTTCATTTTGAAGGACCATGTAGATCTGCAACGAGTAGAGAATGTCTGCGTTGTCAATGTGGTTGCGCAGACGCTCAACCATGTCCTCATCCAGAGGGCCGTTTGCATGTGTCGCGGAGTTGAGACCGTCGATGAAAGCAAGACTGTGACGGAGGTCATCTGATGGGGCGGCGTACTCTTCTGGCTCGTCGAGGTCTGCATCATCCGGTTTCCCATCCATATTTCCCACTCCAGGGTGGTCCAGCTGTACGTCTTGCATGATGCCAGCGCGTTCTGCTTCCTCGTGCGTATCCTGTATCTCCGGGCTCCTATCTCCACTTATACGATTTGTTGGCGAGCGGGCTGTCCGCCTGTTCGCGGTTTCCTCTAGGCGCGCACGATACGCAGGATACCCAGGCTCGAGAATGTGTGGTACATTCGTGCTCCCGGTTGCGCGGGCACCATCCGCGCGGCCAGACACGGCGAGAGACTGCATGACAACAAGCAATTATGTTCTAGCCTGAGTACCTGAACAACTGTAGTCCCCACCTCAGATTCGCTGGTCCCTGCCCTGCCCGGCATCGGTCCTCCCAGTTCACAATCGAGAACAGCCTATGAGCCGTATTCTAAGTTCTGTATTTATCGTCACCTAAGCTAAGTATACATACCGACTGGGGCACTCCAGTGCTGTCTCTCGCATGCCTCTCGATGTCCTCCTCAGTGTCACGGCGTACCCTCTTCGAAGAGGGCGGTGTTACACCGTCTTGAAGCGTGGCTTCGTCTGCTGTACGGTGCAATGGAACTTGGACGGAACGTCCTTCGTGAGGGTTTCAGCGGCGCGAGCAGCATGCCAGGCTTGCGCGAACTCTTCGAAGCTGGGCAGCGGGTTTTCGCGCTCGCGGTAGATCTTGTGTAAACTGAACGTGCTTGGTGCAACGGACTTGCTCCCTCGGCATTTCTCAAGGCAGGTACACTCGACTCGGTTCGCTTTACCCTGGAGCGACACGCGAGGAAAGCAAAGAGAACGCAAACGAGATTACGACACTGGGTCCACTTGAATTTGATCCTCATGGCAAGGGCGAGGGGAAAGTAGTACAATTCTTTCCTCATAATTCAGGTATTAGAACTACGCTTACGTCGTTTCAATCCGCGCAGGCTTTGACTGGGAGGCTCAACGTACTCGTACTCCAAAGGGAATCACAAAAGCACCACACAGGGACATGACTGGCTGATCAACATAAGATGCAGAAATCCAACTTGAACGCGGAACTACATGCTAAACCTGTACTAAACACCACTCACCAGGGTCTCAATATCAAATATAGCCGGATGCCACGGTAGTATGTCTATTCAAGCTATGCTCGCCCCAAGCTTCTCCGCAAATTTGCGTGCAGCCCGCTTAACCTCTCCTCTTTCGCCCATGACGGTCAGCAGCACGGAGCCCCGATCTCCGAGCCCATCCGCGGAGGTCGGACTGAGGTCGAATCGCCCGAACGCCCAGTTCAGTATGCGGATGCCTTCTGCCGTCCGTACGAAGCCCTTGACTCGCCAGATCGTCTCCTTTGAGAGGCCACTGAGTGCACTAGACAATGTCTCCCCGTTGACTGCGTCGACCACCTCGGCCGCGGGAGGCGCATCACCCGTTTTCGTGAGGGAGGCGGTTGCGGAGCAATCACACGATCACCATGACCATGTTCGTGATTGTGGCCTGCGGAGTGGGGCGGCTTCCCGCCTTGAAGACAGTGACCGTCTCCACCTCGTCGTGATGATTTGCGTGGGGGTGCTCGGCTTCTACAAGAAAGAGCTTGGAGTCGAGCCCAAATATGAGGTTGGGGTCGACGCCCGCGCGGCCTTCACAGCGGACTTTGGGCGTCAAGTCATTCAGTGTATTCAGGTGGTCAATGAGGATGTCCAGCGCGCGGTCGGATATGTGTTCCCATTTGTTCTGCGCGCACGGTGTGGTCGGTGAGCTTTACAAGCGCAGAAGGGATAGTTTGAGGGGCTTACGATGAGGATGACGTCTGTGTAGCTCGCCTGCATCTTCGCTGTCGGAGAGGTATCTTCGTAGCCTGTGAAGTTCTCGGCGTCGATCACCGTGACTATCGCGTCGAGCCGTAGATCGTACTCCGTCTCTCGTTCGAGCTCGCGGATCTGGAAAGCCAGAGTAGCGGGGAATGCGGAGCCTCTGGAAAACGGATACTGAGATTGGCAGGTGGCTTTCACCTGCATTGAACTACACTCACGAGCACTCGATGATAATCCTGTCTGGCCGGTATTTCTCTATGGTGGAACAAGTGAGATCTCGACTTTGGGATCATTGAATTGTAATACCTTTGATCTCCAACAAGGCAGTCTTCATTTGCCCAACCAAGACACAGCACCTATACGGGGATGAGCTTTCAGAACCGCGTTCGTGCATCGACTCGCGCTCACATACATCCGTTCAGAATTTCGCTAACAGCGGCTAGACTAGATTGCTTCGCAAGTTGACTGTCAACTGTTCGACAGCTCACTTGAATATTCCCACCGAGCACAGCAGTTCGCTACATACCTTCGACATCGCCGAACTCGTTTTTAAGTAAGACGACGCGGTAGTCTTTCGGCAGCTTCGGTAGCAGGGACAGGATGATAGACGTCTTTCCTGCTCCCAAAAATCCGGTGAAGACAGTAATGGGGATGTGGGACGTTTCTGGATTGACGAGGACATGGTGGTGTGGCGGTAAGTGCAGAGCGAAAGTGCCGCCGGCGCAGACCCGCGGCTGATACGCGTCTTCGATCTCACCATCTTGTGATCGGACGAGGATCGAGATACGAGATGTACTGAACGTCGTCCTCTCATCCTCCGGTTCCGGATTACAAGGTCTCACTAAGATAGCAAGTCTTTACAATGCCAACAGCCAACCATAGTAAGAATTTCCGTCGATAGAGCGTGATAGAATAATAATAGGGTACAAATGACATAAAATCATAGGGCTACAATATATAGTCCGGAAAAGAAGTGCGAAATCGTCACCGGCGCAGGAGGCTTCCCTTGACATCGGGCGGCTTTAGTCTTCCGGTAGCACTTGATGGCTGTGATCGTCGCGCAGTGTTCTCGAGGATCTTCGCCCGCAACGAAGAGACGGCAGAGCTAGTCGCCGGACCATCCCGACTCCTCGCCAAAGACCCGACACGCGACGACCTCTCGCGTCGTGAGGGCAAGACAACATCGTGACTGAGCTTTCTGCGCTTCGCCTCCTCACGCTCACGCAGCGCCTGCTTCTCCTCCTGCCACAACTCCTTCGCCTTGGCTTTGCTCTCTTCGCTCTCTGCGGTGAGTGCTAGCGTCTCCGGAAGTCCGTACGCGCTCTTCAGCTTGTCGTCTGATTCCTGCTTAGCCTTCTCGATCTTCTTGTCTTCCCGAAACCGTTTCCGGACCTTCCGGGAGAGCGAGTATGGGTCGGAGCCGTACTGATCAGACAGCGACTGGAGGGATTCGAGCCGCGGAACCTGGACTTGGTTCACGTAGTTCTGGGCATTGGTGGATTTCTCGAGTGCTGCGAGGGGGTCGACGGGTCCCGCATTGGGATCGGTCTCTGCGAGTCCGTTTTAGCAGATAATAAGACGGACATGAACTGGATGCATACCATGCACTGCGAAACCCCCGTTCTCCTCAGGATCCCAGTCTTCATCCTTCTGTCTCGCCCCCGAGGTGACGACATAACGCGTATTCTGTCGAGGCGCAGCATAAGAGGCATATCATAGCTGAGAGCTAGCATACCTTCGGGTCCGTCTGGATCTCGAACCAACCATCGCAGAGATGACATTTGCACCGGAATGAGTAGATGGGCGTGGAGTAGTAGTTCCCAATCTTCTTCTTCTCCGCATTGTAGCGTACGCCCATGCCAATGTGATTGTTGCATGTCCCGCTACACGCACTGCGTGAGTGGTAGTTTGACCATAGTCTTTGGGCTACACCCACCACCAGATGTTGAACGGCAACTCAAACCGCGTTATCAGGATACCCTGGTCAATCTTCCTGGCCCTGTCGCCCAGGGCATGCTTTCCTATAGAGACGGTCAGGTAAAGCAGAGCTATTGTCAGAGACGGACGGAAAGCACCTCTGTAAGCATTGAGACTGCCATGCTTCTCGCCGTCGTAGTCGGGCGGGTAGTATTTGTTGAAGCCTGAGTCAGTTGTGTCAATACAGAGTTCATATACAGAGTATGATCCTTACGCACCCTGCATGGCTCAGCCTCTTGACCGTCCTGAACAACTTGAAATCAACCTCGGTCGACCTAGTGGCGACTCAGTTCGATCGGGCAACGCCGACGTTACCCCAGTAAAGTTCGGCAATTGCCGTGATCGCCTTAGCCGCTCACCATGGCTCGCTTTCCGACTTGTTTCCGACTGTCTTCTCAGCACCTTGGACTTCTCGACAACCACACCACCGATGTTGTCCTGCGTAATGTACACTGTAAGTGCAAGTGCTCGATCGCGCTATAGGGATCCCCACTTAGAATCAGCTCTGTACGATGCGCACGCCATAGTCGGTTGTGAACCCGGATGTCAACTTTCCGCCTAGCGGGCCGGGCTCAGTGATTCAATTCTCCGTAGGACCGTAACTCGTCAGGCGGGTTGTTCACGCGTCGGTCATCGTGGTCAAACAGAACAGACCGTGTTACCGTGGTTGATCCTTCTCGCCGAGGGACACGCCATGGGAGACGATCTACATAAAATACGGGTGGTCAGCGTACAGTGTACGCGCTCCGAGTCCCAGGCCTGCACCCGCTGGTACTAAACGTCACGGATAAGATGCTGCTACGGAGCTTCGTGGCTATTCCTGCGATTGCCCTAGCCACCATTCTAACGGGCATCGTGGTTGCTAAAGAGCCGAGCTCAGAGTTTGATTGGCGGTCCATCGAATACGTGTACGCGTCGGAGACTCGTACACGTTTGTACAAGGCACTCGTGGTCACGCGAATTTCAGGTGAGCATTGCTACTGTCTGTAGAGGCCACCAAACGCGCTGATGATGGCCCGCCGCAAATGGCTTCATCGGCGACTTGCTCGATTTCTCCTTCACTCCTTATGAACTGCTGACTGACGAAATCATATACGCTGACGTGAGTCCTCTCGCCTCTCCGTTTGTTTGGCGACATCTTGACAGCTCTACAGACGAGCTCGGACGGTGCCAATTGGGTGAGTCCATGGGCCGTTCGCACCCAAATGGTCACCCTCAATGGTCCTTTTAGATAGAATATTTGACGGGATGCTTCGCGGGGAACCCTGCCCTATGTCCGCGAAAGCTGTGGAACTTTGCTTTTGCCGGTGCAGACATCGACGGGAATATGTGGGCATCGATACCGAGAGATGATCTCTGTGACTGACACGTTCCACAGTTTGCCACTGCATCACAACTTCACCGTGCCGCTAGTTGACCAAGTGAAGCAATGGGTCACCAACGCCAAGGACGTCATCCCCCATCCGGTGAAGAATACACTGACGGCATGGTGGATCGGCATCAACGATACAGGAGACACTGTCTCCAACACGACAGTAAGCTAAGACGTACCACGACCAGTCCCGCAAACTGAGCCTACTTTTCGTCGATGCAGATCACGGACTGGACTGCGTTCTGGAATGCTGAAGTAAAATTTTCGGTCCATTCCAAGTGTCAGAGTGCTCACAATTATCATGGCAGATGACGTCGTATTTCAGTGCTGTGGTCAGTTAGTGCTCGATAAATGCATACACACGGCTGACAGCCCAATTAGCAATCCGCCTACGACAATGGTCTCCAGGGCGCATATCTTTTCATCAACGTGCCGCCCGAGGAACGTTCGCCGGCCAATATCAATTCCCCAGACACCATAAAGGCGCACATCGATCTATACAACAGCATCCTCGCGGACTACGTCGCGACCTTTGCCAAGACGAATCCGGCGGCAAGTGTGCTGACGTTCGACGCGCATTCTTGGTTCAACCAGGTGCTCGACAACGCGGCTGCGTATGGCTTCACTAACATTACTGGGTGCGGAAGTCAAATGAGCGTTCGATGGCCCAGGTGCATGCTGACGGTCCTAAGACAGGTACTGCACTTGTACCGACCCCTCATATTTTTGGTACAATACCGGACATCCGACCGAACGTGTGCACCGCCTACTCGCCGCTGCAATCGAAAACCGTCTGGAGATGCTTCGACTTGACAGTCAGTAGTGCAGAATTACTGGTTGGTAGATGAATAACAAGCGAGAGTAAACTCCTTCGCCATCGGATGCCCTTTGAAGCTTCCAGGCTGAGCCGTAATGTTTCACTTCAAGACAGACATTGACAGTGTCTCTAGAGATATTCCAGTCATGCACTGATGACGCTCGTACCTTTCACGGGCCTGGACTCGGATGGTCTACACCCGCATCTAATAGTAGTAAGGGCACGTTCCACTGCTATTCGCCCTCACATCGGACAAACGTGGTGAGGCTCCGTTCATACCAGCCTGTCGTGAGATAGATTGAAGGCCCAGTTCGTGAGATATGCTGTTAACGTCCTGTCAAATCAGTTCATAGTTTTCCGGCCCATCAGGACTACCTTACGCTCCGAAATCGTAGTGCCTACTAGATTGCAATGAAACTCTGCAAGTGCACCTTCCACACAACTTTAAGTGCTGTAAACGTTTGAACCCTCTGATCACTCACAATTAGTAACTCGATATCAGCTTCCACCGTGGTAACATCCTAACCAGACCCGGAGGATGTTCGGAGTCGCCGATGAGATTGACCGCGCCTCGGACGTCTCGACTTTCGCAGCGGCAAGTACTAATACTTAGGAGGCAGAAACGCCGTTCGAGAAAACCGCGTGTGACGCGATGGGGAGCACTTCGCGACTCGCAAGACCCAGGACGCGTCTGTTATGATCTCCTCCATACATAGCATCCACACCGCTATGTGTAGCCGTTTCATCTGGACGTCGTTGACCATTGTGGTGATACCTTCACCACCATCCCGCGTGGCCGAGATTGCTGCCTGACGATGGGTGAAACCCACTGGATGCAGCCGTGTTATCGGTATCCGAAGGCGTCGAAGGCGGATGTATGATTGTGATGTGTGAGGCTCTTGCGAGATCACAAGATAGGACGCTCACACAGGTCCATGTCAGCTGTCTTCACCGCGACCTCAGGCATGCAGCTAGCCAATAGGATATGGACTGTTGGGTTACCTCGGAATGCGGCGACATGCGCATGCGAAGTCGGTCAATTCGATCGAAGTGAACCTGTCGACGTCCGAGGGATGCGAACTTAAGTAGAGACTTGAAACGACGACTACAAGTATTTAGGTCGCAGCATTGAGCTCGACCAAAGGAATGGCGTGCTGCGCCTCCTTCTGCAATCGCCTACAGCGACGGTCACATAGCAAGATCTAAATTCCTGCTACGGAACCGATCGCAATGAGGCATTGGCATTTCTACCTAATAATGGGTCCCTGTACACAGCAAACTCAGTGAAGGACGACAGATATACTGCAAACAAAGTTGAAGGTCACAGTACATATGCTCTGCTCTTGCCCTCTCCGTGATGATGTCCCCTTATTCGCTTCGAAACTGACCGGGTAGTTAGCGGCGGGCAGTAGTTTGAGTCTCAACATATCGGCGCAAGTCCCCACTGGGTAGCAGCATTATTCATCGAGACCTACGACGGTACATGCGTAAGTACGATGAACGAAGTTGGACCTCGGTTGCTGGTCATTTTGCTGAATGGCCGAACATGCGCCCGACGGAGTGTCAGAGGTCACGGTATACGGGGTACAGACGCCCGACGAGCGCTGCACGCACGGGCCACGGAGTTTGATAATCAGCGTCGTCCTCATCGTTCTCGACGTCCATCTCAGTGGTTATTGCAGCGGCGAGCTCGACACCGCGATGGCGCACCTCCTGCCCCAACACGGAGATCTCAATTTGACGCACTCATCGCTTCAATCCGCCCTGCAGATCGATCCCAATCAGCAACCCGCCCAACAACCCGCCTCGCCGTCGACGAGCCGCAAGCGTAGAAAGGGCGAGGGCGACGAGCCTGCGCAGCCAGCAGAGCCCCGACGATTGCGGCGGTCGCACGAGGCATGTGCGCGGTGCAGGAGCAAGAAAATCAAGGCAAGTCCCGCCGGGCGAGCCCGACGGCAAATTCCCGTCCGCCCGCCCTCGCGGCCTCGCTAAGTCGTGGTCGCGCTAACTGGCTAACTCCTTTCCCCAGTGCGACTCCAAGCATCCGCGCTGCACAGCGTGCGCGACCGCGGGCACGGCATGCCACCAGGAGGACAGACACCGCCAGACGCTTACCCCTCGCGGGCACACCGAGCGCATCGAGCGCCAGCTTCTCCAGTGCGACGCTCTCCTCAAGCGGCATTATCCAGACTTCCACCTCGACGCGCTGGACGAAATATGTGCGCGCGAGGGCATACAGATAGATTACAACGAGGCCGCAGTCTCATCAACATTCCAATTCACGCAACAACAGGGCGGCCCAGCAGCACCGGGCCCACGACCGTACCCGCTCCGCAACGAAGCACCACAACCACCGCCAGGCGGATCGCCCCCGAGGTACCCGCCGTATCCTGGACAGCCGATGATGCCCTATGGCCCGCCGGGACCAATGATGCCGTACCCGCCTCCCCCAGGTGTGTACCCACCTCACCCACACATGCCGATGCAAGGCCCGCACCCGGCGTATGGTCAGCACATGTATCCTCCTGCGGGACCGCCGTTCCAGCACCCACTACAGCCGCACCCGGGTCTCCAGCGGCCGCCGTCGTCGCATGACATCAAGGGCCAGGACCCGCTGTCTCGCGACATGTCAGACACGCAGGCCCTCGTGAAGAGTTTCGGTGTAGACATGGAGATTGTCGCGGGGGTGAAGTTACCCGCTCGAGACAAGGAAGATCTTGCGGTGGGCTCAGGCGGGCTGAGCTCTCAGCGGGACCGAGAGATCACAGAGCCACGGGACAAAAGCAAGTGGTTGACCGTCTCCATGCGCCGAGACAACCAGACCGCACAGACACTCACTGTTTGGCTGCCGAAGGACCGTGGAATGGTGCAGCACATCGTCGAGGTATACTTCACTCGTCTCAACCTCCACCGACCGGTATTCTCGGGGAACGAGTTCCATCAGACGCTCGACATGCTGTACGAAGGACGGCCGGTGCTAAACGATCCAGGCTACATCTGCAGCGTGTACCTCATACTCGCACTGGGGACTCTCAGCGAGCTCAATTCGCGCTCAAACGGCATCGACAAGGAGGCGCTACAGCCACCGACAAGCCCGACGGCGTCCAAGAAGCTCATGCCGCCCGACTGGCCAGAGCACGAAGAGTTCTTCGAGCGCGCGCTCGCTGTGAAGCCTGACCTACGTGTGACGCTGTCTAGCTTACAGGCGCTCATCCTGTTGCACTGGTATCTGTACACCGAGGTGAGTCTCGCCCTTCAAATTGTTTGCTCCTGCGTCTCATTTGGTCTTAGCGCACCGGACGGACACTTTGGCGTCTTGTTGGCAGCCTCGTGCGGCTCGCCGTCGAGCTCGGGCTGCATCATAACCCTCTTTCGCAGTCCCATGTATTCACCGAGGAGGAAGCGCAGCTCCGGATCCGGTTATGGGCGATCGTGCTGGTGCATGACCGTGGCACGTCTATCCTGCTCGGTCGGCCGCTGGCGATTGCGCCGTCAGACTCCAATACGCCCAGCCGTCACGGAGCAAGGACATATCGGAGCACTTCGTGTTGTCTGCGCCGCTTGCAGATATCCAGGCGGACATCATCAACTCGCTGTACTCGCCGACACGCCAGAGCGCGACACGATCTTGCGGCATGCGCACGCATCATGAAGAGCATGGCGAGCTTCCGGAGCCGGCTGCCTGAGAACTACAAGTGGTTCTTCGTGAACAACCAGAACATGCCGGAGGAGCGGCGAGCGAAGATCGTGCAGGATATCACTGAGGACCAAGGGCTGACGCTGCTGAAGATCGGGATTACGAGGATTCTGCTGCTCCGAGCGCTCTTCAGTGCGACGGAGCTCGGATATCACCACGCTTCCGTGCGCTTACAGACGGTGCGTTACTAGCTTGTGTTGACTGTCATAGACTGACGTATCGCGCTGCAGCTGTGGTCACATCGCACAACATCATTGTGGTGCACAACCAGTTGATACATTTCCCGGACATCACGTTCTTCGTCTCACCCATTCCAGTGCACATCGCGGCGATGGTCATGCTGTACGGACAGATGTCGCGCTGCTACGAGGTGCCGCGTGACAATGTGATCGCGGACGTGTGGATGGCCGTTGACATCCTGCCCAAGTTCCGATGGCGCTGGGAGCGGCGTGAAGCGAACGGCGACCATTCGCTGATCGAGCGGCTCGCGGGGAGCGTGCTGAACGTCAACCTGCACGCGGTGAAGCCGACGTACCAGCCGATGCTCATCTGGGAGCGGGACTGGGACGACGTCTCGATGTCGCCGCGGGGCACGCCGACGACGAGCCCGACGGTCGGCCCGGCGTACCCCGGCGTGAAGGGCAGCCCGGGGCACGTCAATGGACTGGGAGGCGCGCCTGGGGAGAGCAAGCAGATGCCGGAGGTGCCTGGTGGGCTGTTCTTCCCGTTCTACCCGGAGAACCAGGTCCCGCCTGGGCAGCATGGCTCCCCGCCTGCGAGTGCTGGCGGAAGCGGCGGTGGCGGGCAGGAGATCAATACGCTGTTGGCGGCGGCAGCTGCGGCCCAGCCGCTGGGCACGTATGGCTACCCGCCGTCGCAGGAGTCGTACATGTTGGAAGAGAAGGATTCCGTCTCCGGTGTGCCTCCGCCGCCGCCGCCGCCGCCGACTGCGGGGATGTGGACCGTCCGTCGATGAGAGGAGATGGCTTTGCCTGGTGTCTAGGTCCCGGATTACTCAGTGAGACGTGCAACAGGCGCAGTGAAATACGAATACTCTACTCGCGTGTGTATCGAGGTTATTTTTATGTCCCCCCCTGTCGCAATAGTTTGTACAGTACCGTGTACCGACCTTCAATACTGTACACTAGTAGTCTCCTCTGTGTCATGTTATGCTGTCCGCCCTTGTCCGTCGCTTTCGCTTTCGGTATGCAATACAACGTGTGTTATTTCCTCTATGTGGACTACGCTTCTCCGCCCCGATGTCGCCACCCTCGCGACACCGTGCGTTACATGTCAGTTACTCTAAGTGCTAAAAGGGCTAGGTACGAGGGTCTAATCAGTAGTAGTGGAGCACGGCATCTCAATCAGCAAAACGTTACAACCAGATGGAGCATAGATCGAATAGAGAATGGAGAGTCCGAGCTAAACGGAATGGGTGGAGGTCTACATATTCATTTGAGGACGTGTTCCATCCGCTCTAAGACGTGCACTAGCCCGCTCAGGAGACGGTGCACACGTGCGTTCAGGAGGGCAGTCTTATCCGTGCCGCCGACGCCCTCGCGGGTGTCGTCCGCGGCGTAGAGGTCATCTGCCTGCTCGCTGAGCGCGCGCTCGAGCGCGATGGGGAGCGACACGGTGAGCCGCGCGAGGCGGATGGTGAGGCAGGAGCGCCGGCGGATGTCGAAGTAGGAGAGGTCGTGGAAGGCGCGTTGCACCTCGAGCAGGTGTGTGAGCTCGTGGTGCAGTGCGAGGACGCAGGTCCGGCAGGCTGGGATCGTCAGAGTGATGCGGATGAGGAGCTGAGTGAGTGCTCACTGAGGGCGCGCTCGCGGATGGCTTGGAGGGAGACGAGGACGGAGTTGATGCCTCCTCGCCTAATCGGAGTGAGGGGTTGAGGTCGTTGACCGTTCCTTGAAGGTAGCACACATGAGCCTCGGATCCATAAAGGGCTGAACTCGACATACTGAGAAGCGACCGGACCATGTCGAGGTCGCCATCGAGCAGGTCGTTGAACACGCCGATTATAACCCCGCGAAAGGTCTCTTGTGCAGGAGGAGTTGGTCTGGTCGCGAAGATATCATAGGATTGTGGAGGTTGGGAGTCGTAGAGTCTCCTGGAGGAGGGCTTGCTGAGGACGTCGTAGGCGACGGAAACCTTTTGGAACGCGCGGGTAGCCTCTGGATTATCCGGGAATTTGCTGCGTCCCATCCGATGAGCTCGGACGACATAACAAGATATATAAGTGCACATACTCTGGATGGCACGCTTTACTCCGTGTGAGGTACGCTCTCCGGAGAGTCATCTTATCTGTTCGGGACGTCCGTTTGACACCCAGAATGTGGTAGAGGTCATTCTGGGAAAGTATCTCTTGGATTACAGCTTTCTCTTTACGGTTTGTTTTCAATTGCGAACGAGCGAAGGATGTTGAGGATGTCGAGGGAATGGAAAGGGGTCCTGAATCGGAGTCGTCCGAATCTGTTGAGTCTGTGGATGGCGACCAGGCTATGTGTCTCGAAGCAGTGGGGAAGTCCTCGTCTTCATCCTCCTCGATCGGAAGGTGGAAGTACGAGCTCGCTGCCAGAATTGTCAAAAAATTTCGGCGAGAACAAATAAGACATACCGGAGCTCAGGACATATGAGAACATGTCGGCTGGCGACGAACCATGCAGTGGTCGCTGTGCACATCCTCGAGCACCTCAAATCAATTACAGCCACTCGGCGCTTGCATGTGATTCCCCACAGATCGCGTATCGATCGTCACGTGGGTCGCGACATCCACCGTGGTCCATCAACTAGCATTTGGAAACTTGAAGATCTACTCAATCCCTTCAAACATCTCATCGCATCCATGCTACATTCCGGAGTCTGTTCGTCAGATGCTATGTGTGACAGTATCCGAGTCGCGCGATGGCACCGATGGAAGGTCCTGCTGATTCGAGGCAGTGACAGTACCGTCATACGACGGTGCGTACAACCGCGGACGCACTGCCGCTTCAATATTTTGCGTTTGGTGCGCGACGGGTGCATCTATCACACGTTTGTCAACATATTACGAGGCTTCTATGGTGCGTATCGTCCACCTCAGCGGACATCCATTGCCGAAAGTTTGAAAAAATAGCGAGCGCCGCTTCCCAGTTCATCGGACTATTCGCCAATGGCCCATGGGGCCCTCACCCGCTGAAGGTACCTTCATGAATTAACATGATTCATCGAGAATGGGTTCCCGATCTCGTAAGTACCAGCCCACGTCGGATCCAGCTGCTCAGTCGCTCGTTGATGGAGTGCGGACGTGAGTGGGAAATCAGCACGTCGGGAGCCACTCACATCGAAGGACGAAACCCGTGTCCTTGCTTCGGTGGCTTAAACCTCGAGTGCGTGGCTCGAAAGTCGTGTCGAGGGCCTGTCCACTCATTGAGTTCGCAAGTAGTAATTGGGTGGATAGTACAGTGAGCGGCTACAACGCACGTCGACCGGCTGGGCACCTCTGGGCACTCAACGTTCCGCGCTGATTTCATGAACCCTATGCCCGCGTTCAAATAAGATTCACGCACTGCGAGGCAAGGATCGATGTCGACAGACTCAAGAGTTCTGTCACAGCCCTTTCGTCCTCCTCAGCCTCTCGCTGCCCCATCCCCGTCGTCGCGCGTGCTCGCGATACTCAGGACCGAGATCTCGTAGGTTCTCAACGAGAGCAATCTCTCCGGACTCGTGGGCTCCGCACACTCTCACCCTCCAGCGCAGTGGCCCAGTAATTCGACATGATGCCCAATAACCTTTCAAATGGGCTCGCACCCCAGCAGCAGTGGCTCCTTGACTCTCAGCAACTTGACCCTCAAGGTCTGCGGTGGCAAGGCTGCCCACCCACCCCCGACCAAGCCCAGCAGGGGCAGCAGCAGCAGGTACGCTCGTGCATCCCGCTCACGCCGCAGCCTTTCCGGCCATCCGTTACTACATTCTGCCCACACATGCCTGGTCCCGTTGCCCCGCCACTGTAGCACGGCCACCTCGTTTGCCGCCTACTCCTCCCACCGCCGACCTTTCCGCCCGTCTGCTTACATCGTCACGTACGGCGGTCGAGAGTGGTCCTCCTCGGGTCTCGTCTATTTCCTAACCAGTACTGACCCCCGCCCTTCCAGATGACCTCGGGCTCGCAGAACCTACCTCAGGCGTCACCGAGCATGCTGTCCACTCAGTCACCGATGCAGCTGCCTGCCGGCGTCCGACCTAAGGCGAGGCCGTTCGCTTTCCCGACTATGACCCCGGAGGTGTTCAGCAAAGCCTTTCCTACGTTCTGTCTTCGAAATGGTATCGCCGTCGATCAAAATGTACTGCAGTTCGAGGGCAGGCCGATCGACCTGCACGCTCTGCATACGGAAGTTCTCGGTAACGGCGGCTCAGGGAGGGTATGCTGATGTTTGCCTACGAATTTACGCTCCGCTAAGCTCCTGAAATAGGTCTCGCAGTACGACTTATGGCCCGCGATCGGCGCGAAGCTCGGCTTTGTGCAGTTCCCTGGTAGCGACACCGAGCCTGCCAAGTCGGGGCCTGGTGTCGCGCAGCACCTGCAAAATGTCTACCACCGATACTTATCCCAATTCGACAACATGTTCGTTTCGTCGGTGATGAAGCTCAAGAGGCCTGTGGATGTGGGCAACGGAGGTCAGCCGGGCAGCGGGACTTCTGGTTCGGGGCATACACCTGTGCCGACGACGAACACCATGTCTAACAATACTCCCGGCAACAATGTTATGGGCGCGCCCGGCCTCACCATCCCTCCCGGATTCGACCCGAAACTGATCAACGAGCTCGTGACATATGCGCGTCGTCCAGCAGAGGAGCTTCGTAGGCAGGGAGTCCCGGAACACGTCGTGAACATCGTTGAGCAGAATCGGCCCATCTTGGAGGCTAGTCTGCGCTCCCAGCAAGACTTCCACGGTCGTCTCGCGAAGCAGGCTCAGGCCAACGGCGGCATGGGGATGCAGCCTAACATGGCGCCCGGGTTCCCGAAGACGCCCCAGATGCCCCAAGGCGTGCCGTCTTCCTCGACGAGTCCAGCGCAGCAGCAGCAGATGTCTACGCAGGTCCAGCAGTCCGCGCAAACGAACCAGCCGCAGAATGGTACCGCGCCTGCAGAGGGCCCGCCAATGCCCCCGCAGGTACCGAAGCCTTTTGTTGACATAGCCAATGGGAAGTGGCCGAATCCGGAGGAGCTTGCGCAAGCGAACACATGGCTGGAGGCGACCAGAGATTACTTCCTGCGTACTCGAGGTACGTCAGGACGCAGGACGTTGAGACGAGATGTGGCTAACTTCGCCTAGGTAAACGAGCCATGCCTTTCATCGCCATCCCCGACTCTGAGAAGCAGGAATGGCACATCGTCTTCAGAGAGCTCTTGGGTTATCTCAACAATCTCTCGAACAAGCTGCCCATGCTCATATGTGGAGTCAGCATGGACGCTTCGCGGAATATGACGAACTCTGTGCGTATGTCGTGGAAGTATCGAATATCCAGCTGACCCGTCTCTCGATATAGCTATTGACGTGTCTGCAGCAAAGGTCGTTCTTGGAGTCGAAAGAGAACAACGGCGACTGCTACATGCTGACCTTGGCACACGTCCGTTCCATGCGTGAGTCATGGCACGGTTGGACAAACAGTTATCGCAGGTACGAGGCCATGGAGGTCCAACGGCAGCAGCAGCACCAGATGTCGATCTCCCAAGTACATGAACCCGTCGATCTCGACGCAGGACCTTTCACTCCCGCATCCCCCGCGACCTCCCCAAATGCGACCTCAGATGGGCTCGACGAAGTAACCAGCCTTTTCGAACTCCTATGAGTGCTTGAAAAACGGCTGGTACAACTGGGGGCGCGCTGCGGCTTAACGGGGTCCTGGATTTGGTACCCGGTGTGAATTGGGAATTAGTGAAATCGCGCGTATCCGACGGTATTTTCTCTGGCAACGCAAGGGCGGCTTTCGTTACTTCGCAGGAGCTTTACTCTGAGCTTGTTCTTTGGCATCCATTTGTATTTCCAGTCTCTCTGCAGTGTCACGACTCGCCCCATACAACGAGTCAAGGGTATGTAAGCAAGTATGTATTGAGACAGTGTACAATATTCCGAGTCGCACTCGCTGCTACCAATCTGGAACCATCTACGTACCTTCGCCATCCCTACGGGAGCCCGGGAGTCATCTGACCGCGCGGATATTCAGCTGAAAGCACCCCAGAAGGAGTCATATGTCTTGAATCAATCTTGTCAGCATCGTCTTCCGCGGTTCTGAGAGAAGTGAACATAAAATGTGGCGATCCATCGGGACGCAGGGGGTGAATAGAAAGGGCAATGAACTTGAAGAGCTCCTCGGTGCGACGACTGGGCCGGGTTGCTAGACATGTTCCCGGGCTGTACCGATGTGCGCTCGAGAATCAGTACTACTAGTGGACGGTAGCCATGTCGAATGCAGTGGCAGCAAACGAAAGGTCCGGAGTCCAGACAGGGCTATTGAAGCGATCGGTCGCGCTGTATGTGTGCTACCGTGATGTGGGCAAGAGACGATGCATTTGGAACGAGGCGCATCGGGATGTCGATGTTGGGACCTAGCTAGAGCGACGGCTACATAGTGGCATGAGCTGATTGACCCGCCACTTGCAGGAGAGAACGCACATTACTTACCAGTCGCGTCCCCGGCCAGTATGTCGGAGCGCCCACAGCCCACAGCCAAATATTCCTCGATAGGTTCACACATCCACTGCTCGACTCGGCGCTCACGACACAATATACCGCGTTACAAGGGTGTCGGCCATCGATTGTAGTGAGCCCTTTTTCACGGAAAAGAGTACGTTGAACTAGTACAAGACAGAGTTCATGGGCTTGTCCCCCGACTACGGTCTTGCTGGCGCTCGATCAGCCTAGTTCATCGTAGAACACTAGCCCTAACCGCACACTGGCTGTACGTCGAGAACTACAGGAGGCACCGGAAGGCAGTGCGTGTCCGAGATGTTGTACTGGATGGAGTAGTAAGTGGCAAAGGCGGACAACTGCTGCAGAGCGTACCGATGTATACAGGTCGCCTACCTAGTCCTCGTGGATTTACAGCTCCGAGACGTGATGCGGGTGATGCGGGGTGCGGCGCAGAGCCTAGAGGGGCGGTGCGAGGCTCATAGTATGCATCAGCCTGAAGGATGTATAGGAATGATTAGCGCGAATTTTCAGCGTGTGCGACGCGACGTGAGTGAGCTGAATACGTCGACATAGACAGGTTGTGTGCGATGCGACACGGTAACAGCGGAGTGAAGCAAGAGTGAAGCCACCAGCAGTTTTTGTCCATTCTTCGCCATGTCAGGTCCTTGTAGAGGCTCTCAGTCATGTTTGAGTATCGTACCAAGCCTTCGAGGTATAGCGCATCCACGGAGACTCGGACAGCCTGAGTACGCACTGAAGTTTGAAGTTGTAGGGCCAACGTCGAGCACGGAGGACACGATGTAGACGAGATCACCGTAGGGAGCCTGAGCGCCGAGCGCTGAGCTATGATTGAGCAACTTGAAAATCGTCGGACGGTCGAGCGACGAGCAAGCCGTAGTAGGATCTGAGATCGTGAGACAGGTGTCCCTGCTCCTCCATCTCAACGCTGAGATCTGAGATCTGAGATTGCGTCTCAATAATAGACAAGCATTGCGGAGACCCTTGGGAGACTCTGTCTCCGCATCGAGCTTCAGTCCCTCATCTGACATTCCCTGAGGGTGGCATTGCAACCGTTCACTCAGCCAAGGCATGTACCAGTCACTGAGATCGTCCATTCTCCTGATCTAAGCTTCGTAGACAAGTAGTCCTAGAACACGTCGTGAACATCATCGAGCGGAATCAAAGCGGAATCAGCCCATTTTGTGGAAGCTACACAGCCTGTTCAGCAGCCTCCGCAAATGAGCCAGCTGCAGAATGGTACCGCGCCTGCAGAGGGACCGCCAATGCCCCCGCAGGTCCCGAAACCTTTCGTTGACGTAGCCAATGGGAAGTGGCCGAATCCGGAGGAGCTTGGCCAAGCGATAACGTGGCTAGACGCGACCAAAGATAATTTCCTGCGTACTCGTGGTACGTCAGGACGCACGTACGCAGGACGGAGCGACGAGGTGTGGCTAACTTCACCTAGGTAAACGAGCCTTGCCGTTCATCGTCATCCCCTACATCGAAATGCAGGAGTGGCACACCGTCTTCAGAGAGCTCTTGGTCTATATCACCAACCTCTCGGACAAGATGCCCGTGCTCATATGTGGAATCAGCTTGCAGGCTGCGCAAAATATGGCAAACGCTGTGCGTATGTCGTGGAAGTATTGAATATTCGCTAACCCGTCTCTCGACATAGCTATGGACGTGTCTGCAGCAAAGGGTGTTCTTGGAGTCGAGAGCAAACAACGGCGACTGCTACATGCTGAAATTGGCACACGTCCGTGCCATACGTGAGGCATGGCGCGGTTGGACAAACAGCTATCGCAGGTACGAGGCCCTGGAACTCCAACGGCAGCAGCACCAGATGTCGATCTCCCAAGCACCTCAACCCGCCGATCTCGTTGCGAATGGCGCTCAATCACCCGTTGCGGGACCTTCCACTTCCGCCTCCGCCGCAGCGACCCCCCTAGATGCGACCTACGAGTCAGATGGGCTCGCAGAACTGACTAACCTTTTCGAACTCCTATGACCGTTCGAAGAACAGCTGGTACCCCTGCCAGTGGGCGCGCTGCGGCTTGGGGGGTCCCGGATTTGGTGCTTTGTGTGAATTGGGACCTTGTGAAATCGCGAGTATCGTCTTTGGGAGCGCGATAACGGCCTTCATTATTTAGCAAGAGCTTCACTCTGAGCTTGTTCTTTGGCATCCATTTATATTTCTAGTCTCTCTGCAGAGTCGTGACTCGCCCCATACAACTTTGAGTCAAGAGGATGTAAGCAAGTATGTATTACTGATAGTGTACAATATTCCGAGTTGCACTCGCTGCTACCGACCTGGAGCCATCTCTATGTAACATCGCCAGACCTACGAAAGTGATCGATCTGACCGCGCGGACATCGGGATGCTGCTATCGCCTGTATGTGTGTGTCTGCACATAGTAGGTCGTGGTCGACGCCGGGAGCACCGGTGTGGGCGCAGTAGAGCCACTACTATCAGTGCTATGGACGCAGGCTGTGGCTCGATTGCGCAGGCTGTGGAGTCGTCCGCTTGCGTGTTTCCTGCGCGCATTGATGGCGAGGCCAGCGATGTTGCTGTTCGTCCTGACTTGGACTTCTTCGGCGGGGGCGTCACGAATACGGTGTCAAGTGATTTGATATGGCACATGAGCTCCGTCCCGTACTTGACTTGTCCCACCAAATCCAGGTCAACTTGAGGATCGCCGTGAGGGTGTCGCGCGGGAGACAGCCTGCGGCCGCCAACCGTTCAACGTTCAACTTTCAACCGTCAAATCGTCCGAGATGGCCGTCGAATCGTACTCCATCGCCTATTTGCGAGTGAAGATGTCGTCTCGCCGTTTGTACAGGCTGAGCTGCATCTTGACGTCAGGCATGCCTCGGGGGATTCTTGCCGCCTGCCTTTGTTGCAGCACTCGGACGTGTGTGGTTCAACGTAATCGAGTCGCATATGTCGCAGCATGAACCGCAAGCATATATGCGAGCTGAAGGATGGCCATGGGACACTGCTCAAGCGCTCACCTGTCTGGGTTCTCAAAGACCTCTGTCCAGACACGCCGTCGACAGTTGGGTACTCTGCACAAACGTCACGTGCAATCGGGCCAGACCAGCGGAGGCCGCTTGTCTTGCGGTGGTGCATCTTTCCCATAAGTATAAGTTTCCCTTTCTGTGTGTAGCGGTGATTGCTGACTCGTCGTAACTCTCTGAAGCTAATAGATCCATGGGTTAGGCAGTGCGCTCAACGTTCAGGACGGCGAGGCCTGGTCGTCCCCGTCCCCTTGCGGCGCGACCTGCACATTGGACGGGATTCTGGAATATTACCGGGAGCTTCCACTGCACGACAATGTTGATGTCGGGAATGTCACAGCCCTGTTGCGACCACGGTAAGAGATAGATTTCTCGTTGATGAATGTTAACTTATCATGACTGAAGCCTCGGTGCAGATCATGACAGTAATAGAACACTCACGGAATGTGAGCATTGCGACCGTGCGGTATTCAGGTGAGAGCGCCGTATTGAACGGCCGGATGAAATTTGCAGACATGGTGGTGTCGCAGTCTGCGGACGTACGGTTCCGGACCTCCTTGACGAGGTACTTACTGTAAGTATTCCGCGGTGGCGATGCTGAATTGGCGCACTCAGCCCACCGTGGAATGGAGACAGCCTGAGGATGGTCACGTACAATTGGCAGGGAACACACCGCGCTCCAGTTCCACGCCTTTACATACCGTGTATTGAAACAGGGGACTATACTGCGGTCCTTCCACAATCCTGGAGCCCAGGAATTGGTTTCGACCAAGGACATCTATGAATGTAGAACGTCCGAACTGTGGTGTGCAACGATGCGATACAGAATAAAAAACATCCGGTCGCTATCTAAGCACTCAACGGGCAAATTTTTGACGATACATGGATACATATAGCTTACCATACAACGCGGATTGTGTTCGTCGGTCACGACAGCGGAAGTCTCCTGTATTTTGCCCCTGCACACTCTGAGCTGGATCGCATAAATCTTGGGACCGAACTACTGCGGCACGTACACTGACATACATGATAAAGAGCTTCGGAACGTACTGAACAAGTAATCGCAGGCGCGTACACGTGTCTTGAACGCGCGGAGTGAGTCGTTGGACCTCGCCGGGTGCTCGAGTCGAGACGACGAGCCAGCGACATGCCATTGTACTTGTCAGAGTAGACGGAGCTAACCGGGGACGAGCAAATGCTAACCTGCGTCAGCAATAGAAGGTGGAGGTAGGTCCTCACATCGGCGGCAGGCTCAGGTTCTAGAACTCAAGCTTACGATCTAGCCCGCCATTCCAGGTGCCCATGCACCTACTGCAGTGTCGTGTTCGGCGAGCAAGTCACCGAGACAACAGGCCACAGCCTCCGTCGTTCCGGGGGTCCCGGAGGCTCGCATCACCCTAGCTCCCCCGGGTCACGCACGAAGCATATGTGGAGTAGTGCAGTTTCCTAGTTGGTCGCAGCATTCGCGGCCGTTCTAGGGGATACAGGAAGCATGCGAAGCGCAACTCACCGAATACATGCGCCGTGGCCAGGAGGGCTATCCGGATGCCGGAGCATAGACCCGAGTGAGCGGGAGACCCGCGGGTAGGTGGATATTTCCTGTATAGGCCAAAACGCGCACCGGAGCGCTGCCCACCGCAATTGGCGCTTGATGATTGGGTGCGCACAGCTTGGACACTCGACGGCAGGCTGAGCGGGCCAGCGAGGGATGAACGTCGGTGGACACGCAGCTGGCGCCGACGGGACATGGGACACGATATCGGCTGAGCGGGCTGGGTTGCTTCTTGGACTCTGAAAGGCAAGACTTTCAAGTGCCCGGCAAGAGCGATACCACGTTCAGACAGACACCCAAGCCAAACGCCGCACAGGCCGCTGTGGCCCATCGCTGGACATTGGACGCTCAACTTGGCTGTCAAAGCACAGCTTTGGCCAGACAACGCGACGTACAGCAAAGGACTTGGCTGAGTTGTGTGCACGCACTGGGTGGCTGATCCTGTGGCATGGAAATCAACGCAGTCGCCGACGCGTTACTGGATACTACATAGTCCACGAGCTCACTTGTTCAATGAATCGGCCCAGATGGCACTGCGACACACTGCACTGAGCAAATATGTTGTGCTGATTTACGGTGAATTTATGGTGGGCAACAAAAGAGGGACAATTACACCGGACAAGGTGGACTGCAACAATATGAGAAAGGAAAGAAGGGCGTTGAAGCTCCGCGCTGTATGTCCCTGTATGGCCCGCCGGCGCCTGCCCGACTCTGCTCCTCCCACCATTCCCCCGCCCCGCCCTCTCGTCCTCCTCGGCCTCTCGCCGCCCCCTCGTCGTCGTCGCGCCTGCTCGCGACACTCAGGACTCGCCGTCTTGACCGAGATCTCGCACTTGCTCAACGAGAGCAGTCTCTTCCGGGCTCGTGGGCTCCGCGCCCGCTTCTCACCCTCCCGTGCGCCGCAATGGCCCAGCAATTCAACATGATGCCCAATAACTTTCCCAATGGGCTCACGCCCCAGCAGCAGGGGCTCCTCGACTCTCAGCAGTTCAACGCGCAGGGCCTGCAGCCGCAAGGCCCCCAACCCACCCCCGACCAAGCCCGACTGTGGCTGCAGCGACAGGCTCAGCAGGGACAGCAGCAGCAGATGCGCCCGCAACAGATGCTCGGCGGCGCGCACTCGATGAACGGGATGAACGGTGTGCAGGCTCCCAACATAATGAATAACCAGCAGGTACGCTCGTGCATCCCGTTGACGCCGTAGCCTTTCGGGCCATCCGTTACCACATTCTGCCCACAAGTGTGCCACGCCTGGCTCCGTTGCCCCGCCACCGTAGGACGGCCACCTCGTTTGCCACCTACTCCTCCCACCGGCGACCTTTTCGTCGTCTTTGCTTCATGCAGGCCCTTTACTCACGCCCGTCTGCTTACGTCATCACGTGCGGTGGTCGAGAGTGGTCCTCCTCGCGCCTCGTCTGTATCCTAACCAGTGCTGACTCCGCCCCCTCAGATGATGGAGATGCTCCGCAACCAGAATATACGCATGCAGGGCATTCAGCAGCCCCACGCGGCTGGCCAGAAGCCGATGTCAGTGCCTTTCCCCTCGCAGGCGAACCAGTTCCGCCCCGATGGGCAGCAAGGCCCATCGCCCGGCTTCAATGGCCAGGGCCTCCCTCTCAACAGTAATCTGGCGGCCCTCGCTCAACGTGATCCTGCGGCGATGCGCGCCTTATGGCGCGTCAGCAGCAGCAACGCCAGCTGCAGCTGATGAATGCAGCTCAGGCTCAGCAGCCGCAGAACGATCCTAACGCGCTCATCCGTCAAATGCAGCAACAGCAACAGCAGCAAAATATGGCGCGGCAACAACAGCTACAGCAATTTCAGCAGCAGCAGCAGCGGCAGCAGCAGCAGCAGCAACAACAACAACAGCAGCAACAGCAAGCAACAGCAACAGCAGCCGCCACACCAGCAATCCACGCAGCCGTTACACCAGAACCTGCTCATGAACTCCATGCAGCCGCAGATCTCGCAGTCGTTCCCGCAGAACATGATGCAGCAAACTGGGATGGGCCAACAGAACGGCATGCACAACGGTCTGCAGGCGTCTCCTGGCGCGCAATCGCCGCACATGGTGATGAACCAGGGGATGAATCAATCCTCGCCGCAGATGCAACTGCAGGCTCAGCTCAAACCCGGGATGCAGCTTCAGGCCTTGAAGACCAGAGTTCTGGAGAGCATTGCGCAGCGTAAAGCGATCATCGCCCGAGATTTACGCGAGATGCAGAGCCGTCTCGCAGGGGAGGCTACGGGTGATATCCAGCACCAGCAGAACCGGGAGAAACTACTGGAGGATTTTAAGACGAAGATGGTCCTCTTCAAGAGCCAAGACGTCGATTACAACCGTGTCACGCAAATGTCGGATCAAGATTTTGGTGTGTGGATCACAGACAAGCGTAACGCGTGAGTGTCAATTGTTTTGGATAGCTTTGTTGTCGACTCAACGCATATCCTCTTCATAGTGGTCGTAGACCCGACGCGATGCAGCACTCGACGCCGTTCCAGCAGATCGGACCTCAGCGAACTGGCCTTCGCCCCAGCCTCCTGCACCCATGGTGCCCTCCATACCCCAGCAGCCACCGATGACGCAGATCAGCACTCCCCAGATGCGACCTCAGATGCCCCCGAGTCCGGCGAACCAACCGCCTCGTACAGGCCCCACGCCCTTCCAGATGCCTTCGGGCTCGCAGAACCTACCTCAGGCGTCACCGAACATGCTGTCCGCTCAGTCACCGATGCAGCTGCCTGCCGGCGTCCGACCTAAGGCGAGGCCGTTCGCTTTCCCGACTATGACCCCGGAGGTGTTCAGCAAGGCCTTTCCTACATTCTGTCTTCGGAATGGTATCGCCGTAGATCAGAACATACTGCAGTTCGAGGGCAGGCCGATCGACCTGCACGCTCTGCATACGGAAGTTCTCGGCAATGGCGGTTCAGGGAGGGTATGCTGAATTTCACTCGCGAAATTACGCTCCGCTAAGCTCCTGAATCAGGTCTCGCAGTACGATTTATGGCCCGTGATCGGCGCGAAGCTCGGCTTTGTGCAGTTTCCTGGTAGCGACACAGACCGGCTAAGTCGGGGCCTGGTGTCGCGCAGCACCTGCAGAATGTCTACCACCGATACTTATCCCAGTTCGACAACATGTTCGTTTCGTCGGTGATGAAGGTCAAGAGGCCTGTGAATGTGGGCAACGGAGGTCAGCCGGGCGTACCGAATGCTGGTCAGCCGGGCGGCGGGGCTTCTGGTTCGGGCATACGTCTGTGCCGACGACGAACGCCATGCCTAACAATATGCCCGGTAACAATGTTATGGGCGCGCCCAACCTCACCATTCCTCCCGGAACGGACCCGAAGTTGATCAACGAGCTCATGACGTACGCGCGTCGTCCAGCAGAAGAGCTTCGTAGGCAGGGAGTCCCGGAACACGTCATAAACATCGTCGAGCAGAATCGGCCCATTTTGGAGGCTAGTCTGCGCTCCCAGCAAGACTTCCACGGTCGTCTCGCGAAGCAGGCTCAGGCCAACGGCGGCATGGGGATGCAGCCTAACATGGCGCCCGGGTTCCCGAAGACGCCCCAGATGCCCCAAGGCGTGCCGTCTTCCTCGACGAGTCCAGCGCAGCAGCAGATGCAGGTTCAGCAGCCTCCGCAAACGAACCGGCCGCAGAATGGTACCGCGCCTGCAGAGGGCCCGCCAATGCCCCCGCAGGTACCGAAGCCTTTTGTTGACGTAGCCAATGGGAAGTGGCCGAATCCGGAGGAGCTTGCGCAAGCGAACACATGGCTGGAGGCGACCAGAGATTACTTCCTGCGTACTCGAGGTACGTCAGGACGCAGGACGTTGAGACGAGATGTGGCTAACTTCGCCTAGGTAAACGAGCCATGCCTTTCATCGCCATCCCCGACTCTGAGAAGCAGGAATGGCACATCGTCTTCAGAGAGCTCTTGGGTTATCTCAACAATCTCTCGAACAAGCTGCCCGTGCTCATATGTGGAGTCAGCATGGACGCTTCGCGGAATATGACGAACTCAGTACGTATGTTGTGGAGGTATTGAATGTCCAGCTAACCCGTCTCTTGATATAGCTATTGACGTGTCTGCAGCAAAGGTCGTTCTTGGAGTCGAAAGAGAACAACGGCGACTGCTACATGCTGACCTTGGCACACGTCCGTTCCATGCGTGAGTCATGGCACGGTTGGACAACAGTTATCGGAGGTATGAGGCCATGGAGGTCCAACGGCAGCAGCAGCATCAGATGTCGATCTCCCAAGCACCTCAGCCCGTCAATCTCGTTGCGAATGGCGTTCCGCGCACTCCTCAGGTCAAGCAAGCTCCACCCGCTCAGCCAGGTAATCATGCTCCACAGCACACGTTCAACACGCCTCAGATCATCCCCCCGCAACTCCCGCCGAAGCGGACAAATCAGCTGTCCGCTCAATCACCCGCTGCAGGACCTTCCACTCCCGCCTCCGCCGCAACACCCGCGAACCCACCTACGCCCGTCCACGTTGCGAGTTCACCGCAGACACCAAAGTCGCCTAGCCGCCCTCCGAAGAAGACCAAAGCCAGCACCAAGCGTTCGAAGCCTACGCCGAAACCACAGGTGCCAGCGCCCACGCCCACGTCCGGTGAGGCGTCTACATCAACCGCTACTCCACCATCTACATCAGCCGCTGGGCCAGTCGTCGTACCAGTTCCTTCACCCTCCCCGCAGAAACCGCCAACACCAGCGCCTGCTACAGCGACATCAGCCGTGACAGGTTCAAAGCGACATAGAGAGGACGAGACGTCCGCTGGTACCGAACAGCTAGGCGGTCAGTCCCCGCCAAAGAAGCCTAAGACGGAGTGGGAAGGTGCCCCGAGCGAGGAGCTGATCAAGAAGCAAGAGGATATCGACTCCATCCGGACGGACGAGGATGCTGCCAAGTTCTTTGAGCAGATGACGGAGATGCTGAAGATGTACACGGCCAACGGAGACGGTCAGGACGTGCTAATCTCAGCCGAGATCTCGGACGAGCTGGAGAAGATCCTGAAGGGATATCCTGGCCTCGCGGATGATCCCGACGGCTCAGCATCTGTCTTAGGTGGTTCCGCGGAGTCGGGCGAGCTTGCGCATCCGATGCAGTTGAAGGATGAGTCCGAGCAGTTCTTCGACTGGGCGTCGTTCATGAGAGAGGACGATTCTCTCTCCAAGGCGGCAACACCAGATCTGGTGCACCCGGCCTCGACGAACGCTAGTCCGGGATCTGGCTCGGATAACGAGAGTGCTGGTCATATGATGGTTCGTCTGGCGCAGACACCGTGAGGATTGCCGAGGATGAATCCGCTAACGATCCGCTGGAGTTGTCGATATGGGGTGCGATCGACGGTGGTGAGGGCGCGTATTGGGAACCGCAGGACAGTTGGAAATGGGGCGAGTCAATGCAGCCGTTGGAATCGCCATGGGGGATTACATAGAAGCGGTGGATCTCGTACTGTTTATCTGGTTCATTATTTGGCTGCGTGTGCGATATCGTGTTTCACTGGATATGTGTCTCTGCCCGTCTCTGTCGTCGCATCTGCTGTTGTGTCTTGAATATCCGCTTTGTATTTCTATATACTAGTCTAGTTGCTATCGAGTATTGCTCCAGCTGTAGCAAATCTCTCTTGACCTTTCTCCCAGCGATGGAAGGAGAATGATACAGCGACGAGCACATGCTTGAATAATGGACATCAAACATAAATCCAACCCTGGTATTTATTGCGAACAGGAAACCGGGGATACTAGGCATTGCAACCTCAACTGCGCCAATATTGTGCCCAGTCGTGCATCCTATCCAACACGACGTGAAGGGTGATATATCATTGAGCAGCTTCTCGAAATGCTCGATTGCCTGCTCCTCCGTAAGGTCCAAGCAAAATTTGCCTAGTACTGTTCGTGAACGTCACGATGTTTGATGTGAGGGATGTTGGCGTCGACCATCAAAGTGACCAAGTTAAGGATGAGGTTCGCGCTCTTCCGCAGAATGGTGAAGGCCGTGAAGCAGAAGTTCTTGAAGCGCGTGTAGTGAACGGATTGTACGCCACCCATGGCGTCGTACATTTCCTTGCACACTTTCACGGGCGGCGCGAGTGGCTTCGGGTCACGCCGAGGATGTATCCAAAATCGACTATGGGGGCATAGTCAGCTTGGGATCGTAACAAATCCAGATACCTACCGTGGAAGAAGTGCCCTATATTCAAAGATCAGATTCGTCGACTTGCGAATTAAACAGCGTACCATCCGGCGCGAGCAGAAGGTTATCCAGATGACGATCTCCCACTCCGAGCAGATATGTCACGACACAGTACCCAGCTGCTCGCCTCCTTAGTAGACGCGTAGACCACGAGAACGCGGCACTCACCACAACTCCGGACGAATGTATCGATGACCCCGGGCTCTACGCCATAAGTCCCGACGCTGCCTTCGTCGGGATAGTGTGCGCGTAGGTAGTTCAGCAACGTCCCGTATTCGCTCACAATGGCCGCGATCGTCTTGCTGGGGATGAACTGCGCCATGCCTTGTGAGGCTCCCGTTGCGAGGACATCATACGGACTGAGCTTCAGGTCGAGATTCTCCTTGCGCAATAGCCTGTCCATGAGCGTGAACAGCTGGATGACGAGCTGATCCTGACGCATGTCATCGCCGTCCTTGAAGATAAGCGGATACTCCGAACCGTCGGCGCATTGGAAGTAGAGCAGCATCGGGAACATGTTCGACTTGAAGACGCTAGACTTCTCAGCGATGACGCCCGTGACCATGACACGCGCGTTGAGCGGCAGAGGGAGCGGCGACATCGACGCGAGGCTGTTCTTCGAATCTCCGATAAATGCGCGGAGTTTTCGATCTTCTTTGGCCGCGGGTCTTTGGAGGTACGAAGGTCCCGCGCACGTTTGGCCAGCGTGTCGATGAGTTCGCCCTGGCGGCGCATGAGATCACGCCGCTCAGCGCCCCCCTCAGACTAGATATATGTCAGTATGAGTAGTCGCACAATGGCGTGCAACGTACCTCTACGATCTTCTGCATGAAGTTGTACACAACCCTCCCGTACATCTTCTTGATTACTCGATCTTCGATAGCGACTTCAACCATGAGGTACCAGTGGAAGCGGTTGCCTAAGATGGGATTGCGGACAGCCCGATGGATGAGGAAGTCAGCGAGACCGCTGTCATCATAGGATATGCACTGGTCGTTGACCGTGAAGACCTCTGGTCGCCCGCTGCGCTCTCGAACTTGAGCGCCTGCACCAGTTGCAACAGGTACAGGAGTAACTCCTAAAATTACGGCTATGAGAACCGCGCCACTGACAGGAATTGGATTTATACATCGTCGTCTGCTCTGCTGAGCTGCTTCACGGCGAAGGCTCTCACGCGTGAGTCGACAGTGTTAGGTCCAAGCAGCTCGAGCGCATCGTCCGTGTCGATTTCTGTCCATTGAGGAAGGAGCTCCTCGACTGCCTGTTTGACCTCCGAAGGGTCCCGCCACGTCACAGATTTTAGGAACTTCGTCAGACCGCGTTTGTCCCTCGTGAGGTAGAAGCGGAACTTCCAGATGAGGTCCTTCTCCTCAGACGTCAGAGGCTGACTAGGCGCGTAATTCAGATTTCCTACAGACACTGTAGTTAGTTAAAGAACGCGTCGAATGTGACGTACGGACGGAAAGCTCGTCTCGAATCTTGGCATTGGGCTTAAGCTCACGGTCATAGGGGCTACTGCGGTGACTTCGGACCAAGCGGCGATGCTTATCTTCTACCGGGTTCTCTCTCGCAATGTCTGGGTCGATTACTTGCCAAAGGGACGTGTCCGCAATGAAGCTGGGCTGTTGAGGAACTACAGGAGGGACTTGCGCCTGGGCCGCAGCAGAAGAGGTAGAAGCTGAGCTTGTACCATCCTGGCATAGCTATTGAGCACTTGTGTCGCACGAGGGAAACGTACTCACCGGTTCACAGAAGATGACTGGAAAGTCGAAGCGCGGCAGGTCAATATAGAGGAACAAGTTTTCGGACTTATCCGTTTCTACCTAGGACGGGCGCGCGGAGGATCAGTCAGGGGAGACGGATAGGAGCATGAGATATTGACCGCATGTATTTCTGATATTTTGCGGAAAGCCATCGCGTCAAGCCAGTCAGACTTCGGCATGTCGCCTCTTTCGTACTTCTTCACAAGCTATGGGTACGTACATGAGAACCTCCAATGCATCACCGTATCAGTGTTACACACCTTCTCTAGTCTGCCCATCTCATCTCTTGTCCCAATCTTGCTGGGCGTTGTGGTTTCGATCGAACCATCTGCCTCTCTATCTGGCCATAGCAACAATCTGTGCTTTCCCCTTCTTAAACTCCTACATGATAGAATATGCATGTGAAGGAAACATAGCAGAAAGATAGGATTATCCGTACAATTTTTGCCGAAGAGACGAAATGTGGATCCACCAACTGGGATAGCAGACCTCGGACCTGATATGTCCCAAACGGTGAAGGTGACCTGCGAACTCATCGGGAGGTCGCAATAGCGTATTGGAAATGTGATCCACTCGTTCCATCTACGATTGGTAGACTGACGATTAGCGTGTACCTCGTCGGACCCGTTATCGACAGACGAACGTGTAGTCTTTCTTGAACGCCTTGTAAGACGTTCTGAATGGGATAGTCAGAGGCTTATTATCCGCAACCAGTTGACAGGTAACATATAAGTCGGACAGTTCACTGGGTACATGTCAGTAATCCATAACTGGAGGATATTGAGCTTGGCTTACGGTGACTGCTGAACACCATGAAACCGTAAATCGGGTTTCTCTAGAAGCTCAGTGAAAGGATGTGGCTTCCGCGTTCCCTCAAGTTGGGAGCTAGAGACACATTCAGCACGTAAATTTGACGGAGTGTTCTACTACCAACATCCGGAAAGTGACCGGTAGTTTCAGATCACTCAACTTCGCGAAAGTGAAATCGTCCCGGTTGTCCTTGTCCATGATGGAGATGGCGCCTTAATCTGATGCGGAGGCACCTCCTCAGCAGGCCGCTAGAATGGAATGACTGCAGGGTACAGGTGTTCCCTCAGAGAGGTCTCAAGTTCGAGCTAACTTGGTGTGCACCGTCAAGGTGCGGTGGGTGCGCGTGAGCATTGAAACTGATGATCTGAGATTTAATCGACATTCGGACTGTTCCGCTTCGGTGGCTTCAAGCTTCGACTCGTAATTCAGGCCCCAGGCCGAGTCGCAAAAACTTGGCGACTGCAATTACGGTCTCCGTTCTTAGGCAGCTCGGGTCAATGTCAAATCACCATAATCCTATTCACCCTCTACAGGGCCGGAGTTCTAATCGAAATCATTGTAGCCACCGCCACATGGGGGTTTGTTTCTGTTATATTTGGAAGCCTTTGGACAACAATGTCAAACAAGCCGTCAGAACTCTGCGACGCTCAGCGACGTCCAGCACCGGCCCAGTACATCGACACGACATAAGTAATCATGAGAAAATCCAGAACAGTAGCCTGCTCGTGTCCTGCAAATTATCACGCTCCTGCAGTGTATCCGAGCCGTCCAAGTTCAGGTTGTCACATTGTATGGTTGGTGAGGAAATCGGCCACGGTGCGCTTTGCTTTCTGCGACCGCGGTTTGATGTCACAAAGGAATTCCTTCGGATGGCTACGGAATGCAGCTGAGAACCGTGACCACCAAGTAATGCAATCCTTTCTTACCTGACAAATACTTCGTCGAAAGCGGCAGGTGGCACAATACACTTTCCGGACTTATCGAGGGCCTGATTCACATCAACCGCGGCGATGATGCATGCTGCAGCAAGCCAGACGCTGGAATCGGCGAACTCTTGGCCTGGACAGACTCTGGAATAGTCGCATTCTATCAGCAAGTTGCCGCACCGAATGGATTCAGTTTGACGTACCGACGGCCGAAACCAAAGACAACGTTACGGGGATCCCTGGACGCTAGAGTCTGAGGATCCATCTCCATGAACCGCTCAGGTTGGAATGCGCTCGGCGTTGAGTATAAATTGACGTCATTATTCATCGCCCTGGATACCTCTCGCTATGAGCTTGTCAAAATGAGTAGCGAGCGACCCAGATGTAACGCACCAGATATTGGGTATCACCATTGCATTAGCTGGAATGTCGAAGCCACGTAGTGATCCTGTACCATAGTCTTGTGCGGCAGCCCTGTAGCAGCGTCTCAGCGGGACAAGAACAATACGCGAGTTTATAGTCGCACCCAGGGGAACTGGACTATTCCAACTGATAAACAAGGTCAGGGTCGTGCCGTGAGTTGAATCGAGACACAAAGAACCTACCGCAAAACCTCCCTGATCACGCATTCGAGGTATAGCAGCGACGGCCTGTCATCGAAATCCGGCAGCCGTTCCGTACCAACAACGCGATCAATCTCTGTCCGAGCTTTCTGGTACACTCGGGATGTAGGACCATTGCGAGCATGAAGGTTGCCAGTACGGCAGTGGTCTTGTAGCAGTGAGGGACGGTTTACCATCAGCATTAACAGTATGAGTCAGCGGTCGAACGCACTGTGTCGGTAGCAGCTATATGACTGTCAGCTTGAGCTGACTGACATGAACATGTACAGAATCACCTCCGTATAGGAGACCTGCGGCACCCTTGATTTCATGTTCGTCCTGTTTCTTTAGTGTACCCTTTTGAATGATCTCCTCCAGTAATGATGTCGTGAAACAAGGACGAGCCACACCCTTCATCTAGTCTACTCATTAGTGATAATATCGTACCACGACAGTGAGATTCTCACCATCGCGCTTTTGACCATCTCGTAAGGGGTATCAAGCAGTTCTTGGATGACTTTCTTGGCGGCGGACGCTTTCTTCTTGAACCCTGCTCCCGGAGCCCAAGCAGGCAGTACATCACTGAGGACCGCATTAAGTTCATAACTCTCGAGACAACGGACAGATGCAGGTACATGATGGGAAGAAGTCGACCAGCATTGCCCCCGCATCCCCCGATTCTAGGGTGACGGTCGACGCGCGCTCAGCCAGGTGAATGTACTTGTCGTCGGAGGACTCGACGCAATGTCCGTAAGCGATCTCCATGATCATGGCGGCAGGGTATCTGTACGATATTGAGCAAATGACGAAGGTGCGGTGTGCCTGCTGACCTTCGAATGTGCCCCATAAACAAATGCGGCGTATCCATGAGACCCGATAACAGAGTGTAGGTTTCCCGGCGCTGCAATGGACGATAACTCAATAGAGCATCTTTGTCCTGGAAGGCGCCCGCGATCCACTTTCGATGTCTTCGCCATCTTTCACCATAAGAAAAATGCGTCATGACGTCCCAGCCCATCCTGAAATATATCGTGAGCGATGCTTCTCCCGAAGCCGGCAGCAGGGACTCCCTTACAACTCCTGTAGCAGAATGAAACGAGGCCTATGCGAGTATTTGGCGCTCCTCTTATCGAGAAGCTCTTGTGCGGCGGTCATCGAATTGACCACAATGGCTGGCGTTCGAAACAAACGGGCGTAAATAACATCACCTGTAAGTGGAGGGGTCTCAGCGGGCTATCATCCTGACGAAAACATTAAGTCCGACGCACCGTAGCGCTCCCCCCACTCTGCAAACGTCCTTTGATGTCCCATAGAGGGGAGCTGATGCACGTTGCCGAGTAGTGGCAGTCGCGTGGGGCCTGGAGGCAGGCGCAGCTTGGCAGACGTCCGTCCATGAATCGCTAGGAAGCACGCAGCTGCGATGATCAGTGAGGCTAACAGTATGAGGGGTTCCATCCCCGCAACAAAAGAGTGGGATCAATATTCTACTGGAGCTTGGATGCTAGCGCGCTTTATACGCCGCCAAAATGACGACCCCCAATTACGTCGCACAGGTGCACGCATGCCTGTGCCACAAGACAACATCAGAAGCCACCCAAGCTCCTCAGCATCTTTGGAATTCAACTAGCCAGCAGCTCGCCCGGGATGTGTAGTCGCAAGCACTCGTGGGCGACTTCTGACTCGGGAAGAACATGCCGCTAAGAATGGCGTGTGAGACACAGAGGCTCGGCAGTAGCACCTGCTGCCGGGTTCAACACAATAGCGAACGCACAAGCTCGAGAGAAGCTGGTGGTATTCCACCGATAGAGATCGGGGAACATTCATTCCGTATCTAGATGCTCAGCGAGTCTCTGTGAGAACGTCCAAATGAAAAAGGCGCCCGGGCGGCGTTACCTCAGTGTCGACTCGGAGGTCGATCATTCGGCCGGCGTGGAGTCATAGAGTAAACTTGATGCAATCTTGACGGGAGCGATACACTTCGTGAGACATATCGGCACGTATGCATGATCGCCTCCGACTCTCGCCATGGCGGACATAGGTTTTGCTAATGATTCTGAGATTACGGCGTCACTACAGAGTCGGGTCATCCCAATTGTTTGACGAACCTTGATTGTAGAGCTGCCAATTTGCGTTGAACACACTGGTGTGGTTCAAGTGCAGACACCCTTGCAGCGCTGTGATACTTCATCATCACCATAATCCTGCCGGCTTACCTTTTCAACCTCCCTGGTACTACTGCAACATATCAACAGAGGGCGAGCAACTCGTTGTCCGATACGATATAGATCTACAGCATCGAGAAACAATGACGATTGATCAGACGTTCTCCATGGCAGTGGCTGGCGGAGCGTGTCGGTCTTGCGTCTCTGTGGCATTTCCATCAGGTTTTTACCATATCCTTGGACTTGAAGGAATGTCGAGCCAAACCGATGTTTGACCTAGGGCAGCCGGCATGCGCATAGTGTACGAATCGCTCGACGAGAAGGTCCGACAAAGGTCCGACGAATTCCGTCTGTGCACGTGTTCTTGGGAGAAGTAGCTGAAAGTAAATACGAGCGCCTGTTGTTCTGGCAAGCAAGCGGTTGTTTGTACATATTTGAAACCAAAGCTCTTGGTCAACAAATACAAATTGATAGTTTTGCCCGGCGGAGTGGCTGGGCAACGCGTTTTCTTATATACCTGCCGCCTGAGACCTCGCCGTATTAATACAACAACAAACTGGTTCTTTGACTATACATTTGTCTAGTTTGGTGGATTGAAATTGGCTGCCATTCCGGAATGCCTTTTAACTCCTATCGAACTCGACGCCCCATTGTTACACGTAATCGCTGGAAACTGGACTTGTCCGGGCTAGGTCAGGAGCCCCGTGCGACACGTTCGTCGCGACGCCGATCGGGGTGGCAGTCCCGGATGCGTGGAGTTGTCCGCCTTGTTCCGCCTGCTCCAGTGCGCGAAGGACTGCGGTAAAGTCGGTCATCTGCCCAGGCGCATAGCGCTCAAACGTGGGAGGTCGGGCGTAAGCAACCTCGGCCACCGTCATCTACAAATGCATAAGAGTCATCATCTCAGGCGTCAGCTTGCGGTATGAGTGCGCTCACTAGTATCTCGGCGGTCAAGCCCTTTATTGGAGAAGCAGTGCTCCTGAAGCGGTGCATGCGGTAAGTGGCATCCCCGAGAAATGCAAGGCGGCGGTCATCGGTGTTCTGTACAAGCGGGTTATTATCACATCGTGATGCATTCAATATAGCCGACCTACATGAAGCTCGTCTTCGTAAGGCCAGTCCGTCGACCCTTTTCGACGAGCGGTTCGCCCAGCGCGATAGTGGGGTCGAGCATGGCTTCGAGGGGATGATCGAAGATGTGCGCCACTTCGGCTTCATTCGCCTTGAGGTTATCCAGAAGCGAAAGATCGTCGAGGAGCGCGATCACGGGCCGGACGACGACCTTTCTATTTGACAGGAACGGTCGCAGGACGGAGACAGTGTGGATTGAAGGGGAACGTCGAGGCAATCCCACTTCTTCGTTTGCTTCTCGAAACTAATAAAAGGGAGAATCAGTGGTAAAACGAAGTCCATCCAGGGCAGAAGGACGAACAGCTGTAAACACAAGGCTAGCGTCATCCTATCAACCTTTCCTCCAGGGAGAGCCGTCTCCCCGGGATGTGCTCGCAGGAGTTTGGATCGCGTGGTGAGGAGAACCCGGAGTTCATCCGACTTCTCGTATAGCAATACAAGAACCGCTGCCAGTACAGCTGAGCTAGAGCTGAAGCAATGCACGTGAGAAAATAAAGCACGGCATCAAAGTCAAGACGTACATATCTATCTCTCCTGGTTGGTGAACACCCAGATTCTCGATGCATGACCTGGACTTGGGTGATAGGGTTTCGAGCACAGCGGGGGGCACCTGGAAAGCCTTACTCATGGATGCCGACTTACGATGTCTGTTCATGTTGGCGAGAGCGGTTGCGTGAAGTCCTGCTGCGCCGTCCATGTTGTGCGGGTATTTATGCTGTTGTGGCTGCTGCCAACTTGGACGAGCATTGTCTGACCATTGTGGCCACTCGTGCCACCGATCGGTGTTGGGATCTTGTATCGGAGATCCCGAATCTAGCACTCATCCTCGCCGAGTCCATGCGCCTCGCGTCTCAGCTCTTCCGCCACAGCTCTGCTGCTCCAGCTTCATCGCCTCCAAACTCGTCGACCAACGGCCATCTGATTTCAACTGCTATCTGTTGCCAATTCTGCAATATTCGTGAGGAGGCTCGCAAGACTTTGGCAACTGCGCTGGCATAGTACGACTGTGGCTCGCAGTATCGCCGCACTAAGCGGTAGCATCTCGTTGACCATCCTATACTACGACCTAGCCTTGGCGTTGAGCGAATATCATCTTCAAAGAGAACGCAGACAACTCTCTGGCATCTGGGGACGCATTGGGGAGAGTAGACATACATTCGGCTTCGTGGTACTCACGACAGTACTCCGCTGAGAACGGTTGAGGTGTTTTCGTTGGAGAAAGCGGCAGAGGTGCGTGGGAAATATATCACAGCATGAACCACATTACAATGACCCATGTAGACCGACCGCGCAACATGGACTTCAACTCACTGGCCGAGAATGCGTCGAGGCTAGGCGCACGTCTGCAGGAGACACTCTCTGAACAGACACGCGACCTGAACATCGCCAGAGCTTCCAGCTCAGCCTACCTGGACAATCCCGAAGACAAGGTACGAAACATAAAGAAGCAGCTGGACTCGAACAGCGACAGGGAGAAGCTGGAGGCTATGAAGCGGCTCATCGCGGTATGTCCATGCATACTGTTGTATAGCGCTCATAGTTACGCGTACGCTCTGTCAGCTCATATCAAAAGGCCGCAATGTGTCCGAGTTCTTTCCTCAAGTGGTGAAGAACGTCGCCTCGCACAACATCGAAGTCCGCAAGCTCGTATACATCTACCTTCTCCGTTACGCGGAACATGAGCCCGAGACCGCCCTTCTGTCAATCAACACATTCCAAAAGGACCTGTCGGACTCAAGCCCACTCATTCGCGCAATGGCCCTCCGCTTGCTGTCAGGGCTCAACATGCCAGTCATTGCCAGCATACTCGTCATAGCCATCAAGAAGGCAGCCTCAGACATCAGTCCCTACGTACGTAAGGCCGCTGCGCTGGCCCTCCCAAAATGCTACAAGTGCGTATTATATTCTCCCGTCCTAGCTCCCATGTGTGACCCGCCTGAAGTCTAGATCCCTCGCACCAGCCTGAGCTCATCCAGGTCCTGACCAACCTCCTGCGTGACCGCTCGCCGCTATCTATAGGCTCTGTCGCAGCTGCATTCACTGCTGTCTGCCCGACTCGCTTAGATCTACTTCACCCTCACTATCGCCGGCTATGTCGTACGATCATCGATGCGGACGAATGGGGCCAAGTCGATCTACTCAACCTGCTCACCCGTTACGCGCGTACGATGCTTGCACGACCGACCGAGGAAGTCGATGCGGACCTTCGCTTACTCTTGAACTCGGCTGAGCCCCTCTTCCAGTCGCAAAATCCAGCGGTGGGTACTATGCCCGAATTATTCAATGAGTCTGATACGAGCGTGGCGACACAGGTTGTATTGGCTGTTGCCAGAGCTTCTACTATCTCGCGCCGCAATCGGAGGTACCCAAGATCGTGCTGCCGTTACTCCGCCTTCTACACGCCTCGCGCGAAGCCGAGCGGGTCGTCCTCGCGTATCTTCTCATCGCAGCACGCACCCTCTCAGTGAGCCATTCCTTGCCACGTTGAAGCTCTCGTACTGACTTGCAACAGCATGCTATCGCTCCGCATTACGCACGGTGTCTCGTGCGCGCTGACGATGTCCGCCAGACGAAAGTCGCCAAGGTCCGCCTCCTACGTGCACTCATCACACCGGAGACCCATCCAGCGCTCCTCCGCGAGTTCACGGTCAGTGCAATTGAATTAGGTACCTCGTACACTTATTCATCAACGCGTGGCAGGCATATGCTGAGGACGCGGATGACGCTCTTGTGGCGGACTCCATCCAAGCAATTGGGTATTGCGCGCGAATTGTCCCGGAGGCAACGCAGCACTGCCTGAGTGCACTCATGGGGTTCATTCAGAGCAAACATGGTAAAAAAGACGCCCTCCTGCAGTCCCGCATGTACTAATTCTCTACAGACAGCATCGTCGCGAATGCGGTCATCGTCCTCAAGTCCCTCGTTCAGATTCGCCTTCAGCAGCAACAGTATGTACCTGTCAACGGCGACCCCACGACATCACCACTCTCCATCATCGCCCGCCTCGCATGGCGTATCGACGAGATCCGCCACCGAAGGCACGCGCGTGTGTCCTTTGGCTCGTTGGACAGTACGCGCCGAACGACGTGCAGGCGAACGGGTAGGCAAGGGCATTGAGGGCATCGCGGAATGGGCACCTGATGTCCTCCGTAAGTCTGTGAAGGTCTTCATGGAACAGGTACTTCACTATCTGGGTTGTGGCTGGTCGCAGTGGGTCCTGACCCTTGCTCCGTGTAGCCGCCAATGGTAAAACTTCAAACGCTAACGCTTGCGGCGAAGCTGCTCGTGCTTTCTCCAACGAACCGCACGCTGGCGCTTTTAACCCGACATGCACTGGCGCTGGCGCGATACGACCAGTCGGTGGATGTTCGCGACAGGGGGCGAATGCTCAGCGCACTCCTGGTGGGTGTCGACGCGAGCATCGCGAGCCCCTGGAGAACGGCTGGTGTCACGCTTCGCGGGAGCAGGTCCGTATGATCCTGTTCTCGGGCAAGTTGGGTGTCGCAGAGGACATCTCTCGACATGGCGAGTACGTTTAAGTGCGAGAGTGACATGGGCTGACGGGGATTATAGACGACGATCGCTTGCCATTCGGCACGCTCAGCGCTGTCACAGGGAAGGAAAGTCTCGAAAGCCACCTCCCTGACTGGCTGGAAGAGGGCACGGAGTCTTCTCTCCGCGATTCGGAAGAAGACATGCCAACGGCGCCCGTGATCACTCAGATTTCCTCACAGGCCTCTGTTGCGCGCCCGATCTCAGCCAGGGCGACGCCCGTCGTGCTGTCGGCGTCGGACTCCCGCGCAAGCTCATTCAGTCGCCAAAACGGCACCAAGAGTAACTGGGCAGACTTGGATAAGTTCTACGAGGATGCAAACGAAGAGGAAGAAGAGACGGAGAGCGAGGAGAGTGAAGACGAGAGCGAGGAGGAAGACGAGAGCGGCGAGGAAGAGGAGGAGAGCGAGGCAGAAGACGAGAGCGACGATGGCCGAATACACAGGTAACAAGTACATACAACGCATTTACAACAACAGTGTTGGAAGTTTCTGTCCTCTCCGTACGCAAGAAACAGGTCCGTTTGCACAACAATCGCTACAACAGAGCATCGTCGGGGATTTTGTAATACAGAGGCTGCTCACGGAGTCAGCAAGAGGTACCGTGGCACAGGGATCACACCTCACCGTATCGAACACATGATAGAAATGGCCACGCTTGCCACCGAGTTCGGGATAGTACTCCATTGGGAACCACTGTAACGCTCTCAGTCAGCCTCGACCTAACTGGCTGTTACTGCATAATTACATGGTCTTGTGGCAAGCCTTCTTTCCATGATCTCGTGTACCGTGCCTCGCGACTCTCGTCGGAAACTTCAGCGCCATGTTTGGGAAGCATGAATTGTCCTATTTGCAGCTCCGTATCGGTAATCGTGCTTCGAGATACTCGAGCGTATGCCGTCCGATAGAGACCGCGATATAAGATGTATTCACACCTAGAGGTGAGAATGAGCGACGTCCAAGACGGCTCTAACACTGAAGCTTACCATCGATCCCAATCTTCCTCATCGATGTCGTGGACACGCCCGTCAGTGACCATTATTCGTATGGGGCGGCTAGAAGGAGACGATGAGATACATCGAAGAATTGGACGTAACACCACGTCTCGATGCGAGCGGCTTCGTCACAACATATCCAAGGAAGATTACAGGCTTCGGATAGGGCTGGACATATGCGCGCTAGTTCGGTCGCTTGAAGTTCACGGTCAAGCGGGGTTTCCTCTGAATTACAACACTTCATTCCCAGCCTGGCAGATCACACAGCGATGCAGCATACCTTGTCCATTGTGAGCGACGACCACCGTCACGTTTGTGCCATACATATCCAAGACAGCTTCAATGGCAGGAGCCAGCTCTCCGTGGGGAGAAGGGAGGAGGTGGTGCGTGGAACTGAGGATCGGAAACTGTGGAGGGTGAGCGATGTACGATTTATCAGACAAGTTGTCAGTCTCGCCTTGGATAGCAGGACTGCTCCCCACGTGTGTTGATTGGGACCGGGTCCGATGTCGACATACTAGACAATGTCAGCAAAGAATGATTTGAATAGGAAGCAGCACTCACGAAGCCGAGTTCCTCCGCCATGACCCGCGTTCTGTCACAATTAAGTCCTCCTGTAGATCATCGCGAGGGAAACCACTCACAAATCACGGTTGCCGAAGACAGTCCGCTGCGAGGGAAAACGGTGAGACAAGCGTGTCATGGGACAGAGAATTATAATAGCTCACATGCAAGTCCGTCTCCAGCAGACCAACCACGTCCAGTTCCATGTCCCTATTAGCCGCCGGTGGAGGTGAGGACATGAACTACCCTGTGAGCTAGTTGAACTTACTTGATCAGATCCCTCATGCGCCGCTGACTGTCCTTCCCTTCGTTGTCGATGCCGAAATGTACAGTCCATATCCCAGTGCGCACGATACGAGGGCCCGGTCTGTGCGGCTGGATGATCACCGACGGCCACCTGTACAGCGACACAAGCAGAGACACAACGGACAACACAGCAATTGTGCTCCCCGCCGCTACGCGAGCCCGTTTGCTCATCGTGGCCGTATTGAGTTGCACCCTCCCTCTGAGTGCCGGCCATCGGAACGCCAGAGCAAGCCCCGCCATCTGCACCATGAGCACGATGCCCGTGTGCTCGCGGAAGTACTCGCCGCCAGGGACGAATGCGTACGCCACCGTGAACACGTTCGCGACTACGAATACGGACACGACGAGCCACGCCACGCCGAACGTACGCGCGATCCGCCGGCAGACGCCGTGCGGTGCAGCATTGCAGGAAAGACCGCCATGAGGAAACGGCGAAGTTCGCGCCGCCGGCGTACCCCAGCCATCTTGTAGGCATACATGACGTACGCGCTCACGCTTCCGTAGGCGAACCAGAGTGGGTGCAAGAATGCATCGAGGCCTGTGGAAGACTGACTGGCCAGAAGCAAGGGGAGTAGAAGACCGATGCCTGGGCGACGTGCGTGATAGAGCCGTGAAGATGAGGCACCGGGCCCTTGAGAGGATATCCAGTCCAAGACCACGCAATGAGGGTGCTAGAATCGGCAAGCATACAGTGCATAGTGAAGATGAGGCTCCCGAGCGAGATCGACTCCGCTAACCAAGACCACTGGGAGACTGGCGAGCCAGTGCTAGCTTCCCGGAGGGTGGGGACGCGAGCATGCTGGTTGTCGGACGCGTAGCGTAGTCCAGGATGGCTATACAAGCTAAAATGAGCCCTGTTTTGTTGTAGCCACCCGAATGCTCGTGCACGATGGGCCACACTGTGCATTGTCAGTGTCGGAGCGCAGTAACCGGTCAGACGCACACACCTGGATTGTTCGAGTGGTTCGCGTGTTTTGCGATAGATGAGAGGATAACCCTAAGCCCGCGACTATACGGCCAATCAGACCCACTATCCCCCTTGGATAAATGAGCGTACGAACCAATCGCCTGATATGACACGTCCGGCCCAGTCCAGTCGACCGCAGCACCAATAGTCGCTACCGCAGTAGCAAACGACACCACGAACAGCCTATGCAAAGGACTTCCCAGCCTGTACGCTGCCAGCCCAATCAAAGACAACACATGAAGCGTCGTCCTTCCCGCGCGAGTGCGACACCACTCCGCAAACGGCGGGATGCCGAGCAGGAAAGGCGAAATGGTGGAGAGGAGCGAGAGTTCATGCCCTGCAATGCCCAACTCCCAGACTGAGAAGTAGAAGAGCGTGGGGGTGAGGGATGTGTAGATAGACCAGTATATGTACGCTGGGAATCGTGGCTATTAGCGTCCACCGGATGCGAGACATAACGTCATGGTACACACAGAGGTACAGATCGCTGACGAAGTGTTTGGTGAAACTCAGATGGTGTACTGCCTTCGCAGCGGACGAGGACGAACTGTCAACGTCGGCTGATGCCTTCTTGTCGGAGACCACCGTTGTCGACGGGACCGTCGGGACGTTCACGGTGGTACTCTTGGCCGTCACTTGAATTTGGCCCGGCGCAACACTGCAGTGTCCAAAAAATCAATAGAGATTAGGCAAGGCGATGAATCCGTGTGTACATGTCATTCGAAGCTCCTTCTAGAGAAGTGCCTACTGCAACCTGATGCGTATCGAGAGACCACAACATGAGTACACAGAACATGATGGCAGGAGGAGGGCGTACTTCGATATTAGTAGCCTCAAGTTCAAGTTCTGCCGCTGAGTCGAACATGACATCGAAGAAGATGAGTCCCCATTCGAAGAAGCTATACCGAGTGTACGCTGCCAGGGGAGGACTGAGCTCAGTTCTCAACGCAACGAGTGCAAAACTAACCTCCGGGTACGCGATGAACCTTGTGCTGAATGAAGAAGTAGATCATTGGTACCATGGACACGAAAAAGCTCGGTGAATGTCAGCCTCTAAGTAAGCGAGTGGTCTATGACCGGCACATACATCGTGGCCATGAACCGCCTACACCGCGTCAGCAGGATACGTGACAGTGGCGTAACTTGGGCTCACCTCCTGCGGCGGACGTGTGTGTTTTGTATAGGCGTACAGGCGATAGTGCCGAACATCCATGGTAAATTGAGTACAATATAACTTATCATGAGTACGTCGTGTGCGTCGTGATCGTCCGTGGAGGTGATGTAGACCCATCCTCCGCAAGAAAGGGTTCTGAGTACACCGGAAAACATTACTAGTCCCGGAAGACTTGAAGACGGCTTGCGGTGCATATAATATTGCAAGAGAACTATGATCAGACGTGGCCCTGGTGTTCATGTTCCGGTTAACGGCTCTAGCCACAATCGGAGGCAGAGATAATTCACCAGAGTTCAGAGCAATGAAGATCTGGAAGATGTTGCGCTCCGGATACCAGTCGCCAATACTGGTCCGAATGCCAAGTTTAACAACGCAGACGCGAAACCGGGTGGAACTCACGTCGCAGAAACAGACGGGAACCATTCCTCGGGATATCCAGCTACGCCATTCTTCACGATCTTCTTGTAGTGCAGAGCACAACCTATGGCCAGTGCGGACAGAAACGCGGTGAGGGCGAGGACAGTATGCGCCCTAGCGAGATAGGCAGCCTTGAACACAAGCCGCTTCGGCCTGGCAGTCTCCGTTGCAGACATTTTGAAGGAAACAAAGGGAGCTATATCACAGTGAAGTTCATGTACAATTGCAGGATGAAGACGCGTAAACGACTGGAGCAGGTCGAGGATTTAGTAGCTCAAGTTGAAGTCGCCCGATGCCGGTGCCGGCGTGTCGGCCGGGTTCGGGACGTTGAGCGCTGGGGTCCTGAGCGATACTTGATAGTGTTGGTACAGGTCTTCAGCGAACTATGTAGAACCCGGCATCAGATATTCGTCAGTTCTCTGAACTAGAACTTTGAGCACGGATGTCCCGGTGTGCGCCAGTGGGTGGTGGCAACGCAGCACACGGCGGGCGCCTATTGGGTGCGCGCTTCCGACGTGTTGTTTGTGTGTGTTGTCCAAGAGCCTCTGAATTCAACAACAACAAACAACCACAGGCGCTCCAAATTGGGTTATGCATTTTGTGGCGGTCAGACCACCGGTGCGTTCCTCCCGCGGACATTGTGCGGAGTTGTGGCAATAGTGCTACAGTGTCATGCCTTGTGCAGCGACATTGACTCGATCTTGATACTGACCGTCTACGCTGCCATCTGTGCTGCTTATGTCTTCGCTCTTCAAAAACCTCCGAATTCATCAAGTTTTCGGAGCGAACACAGATGTTGGCAAACAATAATAACCACTGCTCTTGTCCGGGCATCTGTTCGGCAGAACGTCCCAACCCACTATCTAAAACCTGTGAGTACGGGACCGCTTGAAGACGCAGATGACAGGTCAGGCAGCACTGCAACATTTGTGTAGTCGCTGAGACTCAGACCTTCCTTCTAGACATGTCAAGTTCTATGCCAGCGCCGAAGGCAAAGAGATGCATGCGAGATGCTTATTTCGATATGACGACCCTGTCAGCCCGCATCTAGCGGCCAGGCTCTCTAACAAGCAGGTAGGGCTTCCGACTTCTCTAGTGTTTCCTGCCTCCGCTGAACCTATGTGACTGTATGAAACTCACCCTAATTGAAGACGGAAGCGCCTTCCGATGGGGCATTTGTTACCGCTGTAGCTGACCACATCAGGCGCACAGCACAGCAAACAAGTCGTCCTTCGCACATGTACGTGGAAACTGCTGGAGGTAAGCTGCGCTTCACTCATGACTCGTTTTGATTTCCCTGCATCTCAATCGTGGTCGGGGTCGTATAGCAAATCATCACTTGTCGCATCCCAGCCTTGAGTTACTAATAGACAACTACCGCAGGTATCCATAGCCCGACATTATCCGGAACAACGCAAGTCGACGCCTATAGGCCTCTGTTCTTGCCGACTATTCTGGTCGGCGATAGTCACCTTGGTGGTATCTCAACCACCATATCATCATACGAGTCTCTCTCGCTCCGCGGCTACATCATCGACCTAGTCTTGCTTTTCAAGGATGCCTACTACCGCAACTTCGAATATCTCACACCCTACTTCTCGGAGCGTGGTATCCGTGTGCTGCCTGTGGACCCTCCGCACAAGCGACTCACCAACCCCGATGAAGAACGCGTGGAGATGGGCAAATACTACTCTCACCTCGTACCGGATTCCCTCCAAGGCGGAATGTTCGACGCGCTCGGACATCTGGACAAGTGCCATGCGGACCGGATCGCGGAGCTCGACTCCATGCCACGGCGTACCTCTGACACGATCTGGTGGCCATTCGTGCAGCACGGGCTCGTAAAAGGGCCATCCGACATCAACGTCATTGACAGTGCCTCCAAGGATTTTTTCTCCATATATAATGGCCACAGAGCAACGGCATCTCAGGACACTGCCACTACGTCTCTCCTCGAACCGCAGCTCGATGGTTCTGCCTCCTGGTGGACACAAGCCATCGGACACGCGCACCCATCGCTCACTCTTGCCGCAGCCTGCGCTGCAGGCCGCTACGGCCATGTCATGTTCCCCGAAGCGACGCACGCGCCCGCCCTCCGGCTCGCGGAGCGTCTCGTACACGAAGGACCGGGCAAGGGCTGGGCCTCGCGTGCGTTCTTCTCTGATGACGGGTCCACCGGGATGGAGGTCGCGCTCAAAATGGCTCTTCGTGCGTATGCCTCTCGCAACCCAGGAGCGACGGCGAACGGGGAGCGTAGGAAGGATCTTGGCATACTCGGACTCAAGGGCAGCTACCACGGTGATACGATCGGCGCGATGGATGCTTGCGAGGAGGGCGTGTATACATGCGAATGGCATGATGCCAAGGGTTGCTGGCTCGACCCGCCCACGGTTTCCAACAAGAAAGGACGAGTTGTCGTATCTCTTCCTGCGTCGATAGCGTCTGCAGCAGATGGGGCAGTCAACGTAGACGTTGGATCGCTACAACAAGCATACGACGTCCAATCTCGTCTGGACACCCCGCTCGCCAAAGTCTATCGTGGCTTCGTCACCACTACGCTCAAGAAACTGAAGGAGCGCGGGATGCCAGAGATCGCCGCCCTGGTGCTCGAGCCACTCGTCATGGGCGCAGGCGGCATGATTTTCGTCGACCCACTCTTCCAGCGCGTCCTCATCGACGTCGTCCGCGCCTCCGAAGCCCACCCGCCCGCGCACGGAGGCTGGTACGGCCTCCCAGTCATCTTCGACGAGGTCTTCGTCGGATTCTACCGTCTCGGTCTGCGGACAACGGGTCCGCTACTCGGCGTCAACCCCGACATCTCCGTCCACGCGAAGATTCTGACGGGCGGGCTGCTCCCACTGGCGGTGACGCTGGCGTCCGACTTTATCTTCCAGGCGTTCAACAGCGACAGCAAGCTGGACGCGCTTCTCCACGGGCACAGCTACACCGCGTATCCCGTGGGCTGCGAGGTCGCGAACGAGACGCTGCGTATCGTGGAGAAGATGGCGGAGAGCGGACAGTGGGATGATGCGCGGGCGAAGTGGGGGGTCGTCGAGAGTGCTGGAAAGCGGAAGGAGACGTCGGTCTGGAGCCTTTGGACCCCGGACTTCGTCGACAAGCTTGCCAGGCTGGACGTTGTCGATGAAGTCATGACCTTGGGCACCGTGCTCGCATTCAAAATCAGAGATAGCGCTGGCGGTAAGCTACTACCTTCTATCCAAACGGGTCGCCAGGATGCTCAAACATCTCATACAGGCTATGGGTCGCACTCTGCACAAAAGCTTCTACAGTCCCTCCGTCTTCCGACGAACAAAGACGCACCCTCCTCGGCCCCCGGTGGTGCACCCTTCGGAACGCACTACCGCACACTGGGCGACGTTGCATACTTCATACTTAGTTTGAACACAGCGCCGGCTGTTGTGGACACCATGCAGAGTAGAATTCTTGCAGCTTTGCAGTCCAGCTGAGCAGCGCTCCGTTGGTATGATCTTCAGCAGAGCTACTCGTGGAGTCCGACAGTGTAGCAGCGTAGCACCAATGGGCAGAAAAGAAACATGTCTATCAGATACACGCTAGAATATTGAAAAGATACAATACTAATGCCTATGATACAATGGGCGCTGAATGTAGATAGCCAGAACGACAAAGCAAGATCGACAGCATATCACACGGACAATGAATCACTCGACACGTTCCCTGGCCTTTGCCCCCTTCCTCCGCCGTGGAACAGGAGGCGGGGGGTCATCCTCATCCTCGTCGTCCCCGTCGTCCTCGACGCCTTGGACATGCCCCACGCCCACGAAGACAGGCTTGCCAGCAGCCCCGCCGCCTTTGAGGAAGCCCTTCTTCTTGCTTTTCATCCCCACGCCGACGAGCTCGCTGCTCTCGACGCCCCCCGCCAACTCGTCGTCCGAGAGGGCGTCCGGATCCCAGAGCCTATCGCCCGCACGGCGCAGCTCGTCATCAAGCGTGCGGCGCCTCCGTGCTCGGTTCGACGGAGCCTCTTGAGACTTCGCACTGCTGTGCGCGCTGGTTTCGCGTGATGCACTTGACGAAGTCCTCGAGCCAGACTTCCGCGCAGGCCGTTTCTCTCGTGTAGGATGTGGCGTCGAGCCGGGTCGCCCCAAGTCTGGGAGAGACATCGAGAGGGGGTCATCACCGTCCGACACGTCCTCATCGACCATAGGTGCAGGTTGTGGTTTCGCACGCTTGCGTGCCGGGGCGGGAACTCTTCGGACAGGCGTAGGCGGCATGGGTGAATTCGGTGGGCGACGCGCGAGGAAATCAACGTAGGGCGGGGTCTTTTCTTGACGAGCTGGTCGCGGTTGCGGTTGGAATACTGGGTTGGGCTCCGGAAACTCTGCATCTACGTCGATAACATCGCGTGAGCTGCTGGGCTTCCGTTGATCCACGCGTCCTGGCGCTGAATGGCGTATACGATTGTGAGGTGGAGTGGGTGGCAGGCGATCATCTGCATCTTGCTCATTCTCGTTCTCGTTCTCGTTGTCCGAGCACAGCGACGGAGTGGTGATGTCTGTCTCGGTCGTTGCAACCGAAGGCCATCCTCGCGGAGGGACATGATCTGGATGCGGGAAGAACAGTGAAGAGTTCGCTGACGTCTGTGAGGATTGTGAGGACTGCGAGGACGCGGAGGACCCGGCGCTAGTGCTTGGCACGATGAACGTTGTATTGCGCTTCTTTGACGGCCCTGGATCCATGTCACCGACGAATAAAGCGTCGCGTTTCCGCTTTTCTCCGATGTTGTTTTCGACAGCGCTGAATGACCTCTCCCCAGGGACGTATCGAGGCGGTGGCATTGCCCTACTGTCACTCTCTCCTGTGCTGACCTTGCGCAACCGCACGGTCTTCATCTCTTTCAGGAAGGCAGCCATCTTGTCGGATGGCACATTGACCGTGGGTTGACCTGCTCGACGCGTCCGACCAGCTGCAGCGTTGATAGGGGCTTCAATAGGAGGTGTTGTTGGTTTCAGGTGCGCACGGGCGGAAGCGAGGAATGAGTTTGCGCGTGCACCAGTAGGCGTGATGGGGGCTTTGAAAAGTTTCGCCGTAGGCGGTGGAGGTGGAGCCGGAGGTGGTTGTAAATGACTAGAACCATCGTTCCGAGCTGCAAGCTACAACAGATAATTAAGACCTCCAGTTTCCTTCTGCGACATTGACACGTACCTGGGCTCGCAGCCGTGTGATCTCTTCTTCCAGCATCCGTATACGTAGTTTATCGCATTCACGTTCCTCGTCGTCTCGGCCAGGCTCGTCGCGAGCTTGCGCCTCGCGAGCCGCACGCAGCTCTCGCTCTTTGCCGCGCACCTGCACTTCGCCTGATGTGTCCCACGCGCGCTCCTTTCCCTTCGCCTTCTCTGACTTCTCCGTAGGGGGCCGAGTCTGCTCAACTTTCTTCGTGCTTGGGGGAGTTGGGCTGGGTGTACGCGGTAGCCAGCTGACACGGCGCTCTTGGACTTCAGGGGTAGGCGGCGAATCGGGGATTAGAGATTCCGAGCGAGGGAACAGTGAGCCAGGCATAGTGACAACCTCCTTTGCTTTCAAAAGCGGTGGAAGGGGTGGAGGTGTAGGGGATGGTGCCCTCGAGCTGGGTGTGCCATTGATCGGAACGGTGTACTCGTGCGAGTAAGACGTCTCTTCCTCGTACGGCTCAACACCTCTGCTTCTGCTTCTGCTACGAGTGGGTGTCGGAGACGGTGAAGACCGTCCAGTGGGAGTCTTCTTCCTAGGTCGTCGCGCTCTTGGGGTCTCTGGATCCGACTCGATGTGACCGCGCGCGGGCCTTCGACTGGGACCAGCATCCACCTGCACGTCCTCCTCGCTTTCGACCTCAGAGCGGACGCGTCGATGCACGCTATCCTTTCTCCGCCTCTTCTTGTTGGTTGCATTGCCCTCGAGTTTGACGCGTGAAGTCGAAGCCCGTGGCCGCGTTCGTTCTTCAACCTGCAATGAAATTCTACATGGAACTCGCGCGGAACGGGCATCAGTGCTCACATTGACTTCGCTCCCTCCCACCGCTGTAGTCACGAAAGACTCGAGCTCCCGCGTCACGAAGCTGAGAACGTTTGAAAGGATGCCAGGGCCGGGCGCAGGCTCGGGCGGGGGGCACGCTGTCGCGGGGCCATGGTGGCTGAAAACAAGATCCAACTGGCCGGCAAACAACGATCAACAAGCGCTCGGGCCGACGCCTTCCTTTTCAGGCGAACTGTCGCTGCCGCCTGTGCGCCATCAGTCTACACATTTATACTGATCTACCGAAGAAACAGCGAGACGATGGTATGCTGCATGACAACATATATAGGCAATCATGTTATAAGTTACTGAACTACTCCTATCTCATAACACAACAGAGTCGGAATATAGTCGTGCCAATGTGCGTCGTCGTGCCAAGGTCGTCTGCAGTCCATGGATCATTACTATACTACAATAGATCGTCCACAAGCTGCCCGCCGGACGTTAACTTACGCTCAATACCCGCTGTAGGAGCTGTACATAGGAGGATTCGATGGAGCGGCGGAGGTACGCTGACCCGCGGCGACCGTCGCGCGAACCGCCGCGTACGGGTCCGCGTACTGCATCGTCCTGCTGACCCGCGGACTCTCGCTCGGTGGCGTCGCTGTACCTGGCGCGCCAAAGCCCGAGGGAGGAGGGTCGGAGAATGCGCCGTACGCGTCTATGCTCGGCCGTGGCTGACCTGGAGCATTGTACGAGCCTGCGGGGGCGGCAGGGAAGGAGGGCGGGGTGTATGGTGTGTCGGCGAAGGGCGAGTGCGCGTCATGAGAGTTGTACGAGGGTTTCATGTGGTATTGCGACTCTTCGTCGCCATACTCGTCGCCTTCGTGGGACGCGACCTCGGAGAACTCAGCTGGGTGGGTGAACGGTTGGTCACGTGGCCGCGTCACTTTGCCGCTGCGCCAGTTCATGATCGTCAGGATGAGTGAAGCCAGCCAAAACCCTGTCGAGCTTCCATGAGCAAAGACCACAGAACGGTAGCATGAGACGCACCGAATGCCAGCCAGAAGAAGACAGCTCCAGCCTTCTTAGTCGCACACCACCCAGACAACCCGTTCTTGAAGCTGTCGCCCAACTTCTCGTGCGGGTCGTTGTCCGCGTTCTTGCAGCCAGGTTCCGTCCACGCCGAGATGGTGACAATAAACCTGAGGGACAAACAGATCAGCTCAGTGTAGACGACAAGAGACCCGAGTGCACGTACGAAATAAGGAGACTAATGGCGGTACCCGTGCCCGTGAGGATGAAGCTCACGCGGAGCTCGCTGAGTGCGCGTGCAAGCCGTGCGCCCTTGTTGTACTTTTCGTACACCACAGGAACGAAGAGCAGGAATAGTGGGAAGAGGAGCCCAATCACAGAGATGAAAAGCGCAAAGCCGGTAAGACCCGCTGAACAGCGACATCAGCAACGATGAAGGATAGCGCGGAATAGCAGGCGACGTACAGGGCCCGACTTTCCACTTTGCCTGAAAGGCAGCGACGCTGGCAAAGCAGCACATTGCCAGGAAGTTGAAGAAGGACTGGGACGCATGGAAGATGATGGAGGGTTTCGAGACGATCATCTGTGCAAATGAACCGGCGCGTCAGCAAGCCCTCAACGACAGCAACGAGAAGAGATGAACCCAGATCCATAGTGTCCAGAGGATAGGTATGAAGAGCAGAAAGACGAGATACCATCCCGTCTCTGCAGACGTCGCCATAGACGCGTGGTGGGATGTTGAAAGGACATGAACATTACGTAACCACGGCGAGGGCGCTGCTACGAAGGCATCGCGAGCGCCGCAGCCGGGAGCGTCCGGTGCCCGTCGGGCCACGCCAACGAAGAGCAGGCAACTCACATCGTCCTCGAAGGGCAGCATCCCCGTGTTCCCTATCCCTCCGGTGGTGGACATGGGCATGGGCAAGGTCGGTTTCTTCTCGGGGAGAACGCGCGAGACCGCGTCTTGTAGACTTTCGAGCAACGGCATGCTGCTTCTGCGTGGCGAGGTGCGAGATGTTCCTCTACGCTTTCAGGTGAAGAGGGAGAAGCAATAATAGTCGTGAGGTGGTTGGACGAAGCCTGTGTAGAGTGTAGTAGCACTGATAGCGTGTGTGGTGGGTGAAGATGAAGTCGTGCGGTGCAGGAAGTGTGTCGCGCTGGCGGAGATAGAGAATAGGGTGCACAGCAATGAGCAGCGTATAAAAGAAGACTACAGGAATAGCCTCCTCGTCGTGCAAAGCTGTGAGCGCAGTGGTCAAATCTGTGAGCGCACTCAAGCACCCGCGGCACCGCGCGCCATGCTTCCGTAAGCAGACCTGCCTGCCACAGCCTGAGCATCATCATGATTCGCCACAACCCCGTGCAGCGCAGCGTACGGCGGGCACAGCCAATTGGCTATACGTCGTCGATGATTCATTCAGTAAGTAGGTCATTTTGGATGTCGTGTCATCTTTCTCACCTGTGGTTCGGTACTGTACACGGAATACAGCGAAGCATCCCTGGATACTACATCTTGAAGCTTGAAGCTTTGAAGCCGCAGGGCCCGCTCGAAGCATTAACCTTGCCATCAACTCAGACAAGGTTGCCGCTAACGTCGAGGGCGCTGAAGTTTGAACGCCTGACGCCATGGCGAACGCGCAAATTTGGCGATGCTGTTGACGAATCAGACATGGTAAGACAATGTCTAGTCAATGTTGCCCGTACTCATATACTCCTTTCCTCATGTGACATCGTGTGCCCCACTAGAGGACTCGGATAAACCACCGTCCTGTCCAAGGATCTCACCCGCACCCATCTGAACCAGCCTGAAGAACAGGTGCCCAAGCGACGGCGCGGCTAAACAGCAGCGCCAGCATAACGGGGGTATACTTGCAAGATAGTTCCTTGCCTTGAGCGTGCTTGAAGGTATGAAACACTTACACCCGGAACCATAACGAGTCCTGAGTCCTGAGGCCTAATTCGCAGCGGTCGGAGTCACGTACAATAGCTCCTGGTGGAAGATAGCAGGGAGAGAGAACGTACCGCCAGTGGTCCAGCCGTAGAGGCTGAACGGAACGATCAAGTGAGTTGTCCACCTGCTCCGGGTCGGCGAGGCAATAGCCCACATACCAATATGACATCCGAACAGACTCCTATAGACCCTCTGTGTGGGATCTCGCAACTGCTCTGGTACGTATTCGCGAAAACGCACAGCAGCGTAATTCACCTGAGCTGACTGGAAAGTCCACCGGATCAATTACGAACCTTGTACGAACCTGTCGGCACGATATGCAAGGCCCCACCCCGAGTCCACCTGTCGCACAGGTGAGTTCCTTTCCTCTGCATTGTTCGCGGACTTCGTTGGACCATATGAGTAAATCTCACTTTGTGCTGCGTTGCGGTGTAATTCAGCGGCGATCCTGAATGTGTGCTCTCGCCTCTACCGCAGGCGGCAGACCTCGAACCCTTTGTCTTCAACTCTGGAGCATTCACCCGCACTGGGCCTGTAAGTGTTAGCAGACCCTTAGGGGGAGGTAGAAGGCGTGTTGAGTTGTGACGGCTGTCGCTCGGGGATTGGTCTGCCTGAGCCACTGTGTACCGTCGGTATTCGCAGAGTGAAGAATCCATTCAATCGATTACTGATTATTTGTCCTGTCACACAGATGTATCGGCCTCACTGCAACCTGTCTTCCCGGTCGGGTTGAGGGATAACCCAAGAAACGGATTGACGAAGTCGTTCCTACTAGCAAGCGTTAATGCTACGCACCGATAAATGTCTTTTGGTGCCCTTTTATCAAGTTCATGAGGTTCTACTAACTAACCAAACCCAGAATCACTCCGTGATCTACACGGACTGTGAGTAGAGTCAAGCACTCGATGAGATAGAAGTATGGAAACGCTCGCCTGAGGCATATGACATGCAATGCATACACAGTATACCGGACACGGTGGTCGTTGGACGACAATCATGTTAAATGGTTCTAAATGTCTGTTAGTACGCTGATTCACTGATTCTTGAAGCAGAACATCAACTGATGGCAAGCGTACGAACGTGTATTCTCCTGCAACGGTTACATCTCCGAGCCTACCTAAAAACGTGGCGACGTACTAGAAGGAGCTTTCATCGCGGCGGGCCTGGGGACCTGCAGGGCTTTGCGATGGAGTTCATGATCAAGAACTCGATTGAATGAGGGAGGAATGGGTTCTTACGGGACCGGAGATCAAGGCAAACTTACGGCAGCGCTTCTCCAGGGAGACCCCGCCGAGATAAAGCCATGCAAGGCTGCATATATGCATGTTATCCTCATCAGCAAAAGTGCCGGATAATTATCTCACAAGCGGCGAGTTGTGTTACTTACCTCGTAAGATTTGACATTCGCTCCAGATATAACTAGAGAGAACGGGAAGACTGCAAGAGGTGGTGTTGGATGTAGATAGCTTTCTGAGATGCCATTGTAAGTCGACAACGTACCAGACTTGTGAAGACATGCGCAGAGAATTGGCACCGCTTGGTGCCGCTTTTAAGATGAGCGCAGACGGCGAGAGCGGACGCGTAATCTGTCTAGATACTATGAGTATCGTCGAGTCAGCATGTCAGCGCGATCTCCGGAATAAATTGAATTAGGACCATTCAAGTTTCAGGCTGCGCGGCATGTACCCATCATGTATGACACAGTTCCTGAGGTATATGCTGACCTATCAATATAGATTTCGATCGGAAACGGGGAAGTTGCAGGCACGTACGGGCCTATGCAGCGCGGGTAGGCTCAGAGCGGCGACGAGGCGCATACTACAGGCTGTTCAGGTCATCCTTCGGGCACAAAAGTCGCCTTTGGGGCCTATGCAGGCAGTTGCGAACGAGGGCATGAAAACAGCGTAAAGGATGGGGAGGTACACCCTCAAGGCCTCATGGCACGGTGTGACTTAGCAGCACATCGAAGTCCGCGTCCTGGACCTCAGCCGCAGTAGGGACGTTCAAAGTTGCTGGAGCTCTGGAGCTCCAGCTGGAGGACGCTGGAGCTTGGAGCTTGGAGGCGGCGGTTCTCGGGGTTTGCCGCTAGGCTTTTCCGAGGCGTGCGCGCTGGTCACTGTCACACGCCGGTAGCATGTGTGACTTCCCTAATGCAGTATAAGTACCATACACGCTCGATGCTCACCACGCCTTGCATCTAGTCTCTTCAGAAACACTGAGGCAGCTCGTGAGCTCTTTTGGGCTGTCGTAGATAAAATAGGTGCACCACTGTGCGACACGAGAATTAGGTGGCCGCAGTATGCTGACTAAGCTGTCAGCCACCCATAAGTTAGTCCGATGTAATGGGCAAGGTCGGCTCAGGCGGTCGTAGTGGCTACGATCGCACGGGACGGCGGAATGAGGGAGAACGGTCACAGTACCGACTCAAATACTAATGTTGGAAAGGCGAGAAACTACGGTACAGGCTGGCACGATATATCTACGTGCTGACATAAGCATGTGGCGCGCCCGTTACATCCGAACAGCGCGAACGAGTCTCTGTGTTTCCTAAATTACAGCCACGTACTGTAGTTTTAATATTGCTGTAATGATCAGATTGTATGCTGTGGGCGAGTGATGCTCCGATCCCCGCTGGTGTAGGGTGGTGTAGTCGGTGTTGGACGAGCTGTACTGCCTAATTGGGCAAGTGCATCGTCGAATCCCTAAACCGACATGCTCAGAGTGTCGTGCAGTGGCGGCAGAAAGGTGAAAGTGCCAGACCGTGAAAACACCTCCATTCAAGACTACTGCGAAGAATTCAAGCCTGAATACCCAGCCTAAATGTCCAATAGGCCTCGTAGTATTCGCGCCACACACTGTGACATGACATAAGCACACTGTGGCTGGAATTTCCGGCGAGACCACACCGGTCGCGCGGCTGACGGCATCCCCCGAGGGCGAGCTCCAGCCTCCAGCCTCCAGAGCTCCAGAGCTCCAGCAACTTTGAACGTCCCTAGTGCTCGACTGCACGCGGTCACGTGGGCGCATATAGCCAGTCTTGAGATCTTGAGACGCTGTGTCGTCTCTCAAATTCTTCTTCCACAACCACCATCCTCTCACTTGCACACTCCGACATTGTCCTCCAAGTACCTCGCTCTCGCCATCCCCTTTACTGATTGTGAACCAACTCTATTGTCGCCGCTGTTATCCCCGCCCGCCGGTTCCACCTGCCCGATCTCACGCGCCCACCCGCCCTTGCATGCCTGCCCAACCATCGATCTCTCTTGATTGTTCTCATCACACTTCTATCCCGCTCGCCTCGTCCTTTAACTCGTTTGCGCTGGGGGTGCTGCTCCTGGTGCATATACACATTGTGCTGTCGTCAATGAAGTCGACGATGGCCGCGACCCCAGCCCCGGCCCTCAGGAAGAGCATCAGTATATGCATGGGTATCCCGTACTCTACCCGGGCCCGTACCCGCCCGGGTACAAACCCGCCGCAGCGGGTACGGGTGTGCGCGGTTGGCGCGGTTGGCATGGACAAGGCAAGGTCGAGCGGGTGAGCAGGCTACGGGCAAGCATTCGAGAAAGCGAGTACTTATGGGTGAGCGGATAAGAACAGGCGGGCGAGGAGCCGCGAGGAAGCGAGCCGAGGCGAGCGGACGAGAGGGTAGGCAAGTAGGCGAGGAGGCGGGTGAGTAGACGAGGTGGCAGGAGAACCAGCAAGAAGGTGAGCGCGGGCGGGCAACAACAATCCAGCGGCGAGTGGACGAGCGGGCGGGAAAGGGCGAGCGAGTGCGTAATGAGCCGAGCGCAGGCTGGCGAGAAGCCGAGGGTAGGCAGGTGAGTGGGCGAACCAGCAGACCGGCGGGCTACTAGCTAACAAGAGGGCGAGCTAAAGCCGACAAGACTAGTGAACACGCTCTTGAACTCCACTGAGCTGTCCCCGCCGAGGGACTACAGCCGCCGCGACCACGAGCAGCTCGACAAACTCACCGTCATCGACATTCCGGGCCTCGGCTTCAATGACTATGTCAACAAGCGCGACTCGCGAAGTTCAACCTCAGGACTTCACCACTTCCGCCACTGGAATCTCGGTGAGTACCTACCCTCTTCTGTTCGCATTGTCATCTAGTTAGTGATGCTTATTTAGCTGCTCGATCTGCGTCGTTGCGCGTGACCATTCAAGGGCTTCTGCCCACAGTATTGTCGGTATTTCTCGACTCGGACCCTCATTCTGCTCATATACTTTGCACCAGAGTTCATTCGCCACGTCTGGCGCTCAGCTCGTATCATCCCATTCCTCTCTTCCAGTTTTGATCTCGCGGTCTCGCCTCGTCAGCATCGCGCCGGTAGTACGTTCAGCGAGTGTGTACGTTATTTGACGGTGTGTAAAGGCTGTATTATATTTTTTGTACCTGCATATGTGGGTATGAATCTCTGTCAGCGATGTGCGATGTATGGTGAAGCCGAACGCGTTGAAAGGTAAAGACAGTGACTGGAACCGAAATGCGGTGGACATTGTCTGGTCGAGACAGTACGTATTTCTTGTGTTCTCTCGGTGATATCTTACCTTCGCTGACACATCTCTTTCCGGCCATTAGCACCGCTGCACGATGCGGCGAGGGAACTGAAGATGACAAATACATGGTAAGTCATCGCAACCCAACACGAAAGTAGTGCAAGAAAAAGGGCAACTAATACAGATAAGCAAGACAGGACAGATTTCACATACAATGTGCGATAATGTGAGATCTGCGTCGTGCACTTTTGGCGATGCTGCATATATGCGCAATAGCCTGCACGCAGCGATCACAGGCAAGGGTAGATGTCCAAGGTAAATACTTCATGAGTCTACAGACCTGAAATAGGTGAAGTGTAAAGAGCGGGGATTACTGAGATGATGGCAGAATCGGAGGAAGGAGGCCTGGCTCAAGACTCCAAGTCGGGTCGAGTGTCACTGTCAAGGCGCGTCTTCGATCGTGGATGCCATCTCACGTGAGCGCGTTCGACCGCATTGTCAGCTGCTGTGGTAGTTTGCACGTCGGCGGCGGGCGTGAGTCCTACAGTACGCTCGCGAAGCCAACGAAGACTCCCATTTTTTGTTCTAGCTTCCTCTTGCGAGTAAGCTGCGTCTGTGTAAATCACAGGATATCTGTTTTGAGGCCCTCAGACAGATTCCACTGGCATACATACTAAGCACTGGATGAAGTTGCGCAGCCGCGTGCGCTCAACTTCTACGGTTGAGGTAAATACACAGATAATCTGCGGCTGGGCCGTCAATTTTTGGCGCTATGCCTAGGCTCTTTCACCGTTCAGTCACCACATCGAGGCCGTCATTTTCGAGTCTCTGAGATCTTCAAGTTCATTGGTGGGCCGTAGCCTCTTATCGAAAGAGCGAGCCTCGTGTCACGATCACATGACAGTCAGATCGCCGACGCCACACTCGCGAACGCGGTCACGGTCGTAACTTCAGTGCGTGAATTCTGAACATGATCATGTTGACTTACTCCTTGATGCATCTTGACAGGAAACTATTGAGGACGTGGAGGCGCAGCATACTAGTAGTGCACCTATGTGAGTACCATTCAATGGTGACGGTCCGACTCCGAGTCTGTGCACTGCGGCGTCACCCGGTCAGAACTTGAAGCTGATCGCTTCTTAGGAGCGGTGCGTCAACTGTTGCGATGCGTGACAAGTCGCGGGCCTCACCGTAGACTTACTCCTTTGCCTTACGGATTTGACGGCTATGCGCATACGCAATGCAGAAGAGCTGTTCATAAGTCCTGTTACTAGCGGCGGTCCTCGCATGCGTATCACTGGACCCGTGCGTTCTTCAGAGAATATCATCAAGGGTCAACACGTTGAAGCAGCGCGTCTATGCCATGGCTATGCAGGTGTAGCACTGCGTTCATCGGGATTACTGAAAATAATCCTGAGTATCACTGTCCAGCTAGTAGGACAGCAAACGAGTCGAAGATCTTTCGAGCGTCCTCATGTAGGTGAGAACTTGTGCTCGGTGGAGGATATAATCATGCGTATGGACATTGCAGAGCACATTACGCACCTTGGCCACCCTTCTGGGGAGCTTCGAACCGTAATCAAGACGACGCCACATGCCTCATGTGTGGCTCGGAGCCACTGTGACAGACACAAGTGTTCGAGCGTATCTGGACCCTAGGCTCTGACTCGCGTGAGACGCCGTTCGTGACTCATGAGGGCCAAGCCTAGGATAGAATCACGAGGCTTAGGCATGGTGGCATCGAAAGGGACCACCGAATTGGGAACAAGCACTGGTCGGACCTGTGGCCGAGCCGGACCCCAACTCGTGGAACGCAGTGGCAAAACAATCAATACTTAGGTAATGTATGCTAGGGATACATCTGCCTTTAATTGGCTCATTAACAATGACCCCCAAAGACGAAAGCAGGAGAATGAGCGAGGCGCGTGGCTCGGGTTATGGCTCGCAACCCCGGCCTAGTATGGTACTGGTCAGTATAAGGGCTGGGCTCCCAGGGATGACGGCAACGATTCGGAGCAACAATTTTCGGCCATTGACTAGGTGAGATTGTCTCCTGAAGTATTAAAACACCGTGTGCTGGGGCGACGCGTATTCGATATAAGGCTTGGACAACATGAGTTTACACTGACTCGGCCATTGCGTCGGATATAGCCCAGCCTTCATCATTCTCATCTAGACTTTTCGGGGAAAGGTGATGTGCCCATGATGGGGGAGTTCTTGTGGAATGTACGGACCGCTTTCTCCGTGGACTAAGGTTGTGGTTGCCACACCCGATTCGGACATTGCGATCATTATTGCTACTCATCGGCGCACAACAGGCCTTAGCCTCATTGTCCTTCTTGAAGCTCCGCGAACCCGTGGCTGCCTCTAGAAACCTGATCAACCAAAAAGGTTAGTGGCGCTGCCACGCTTCTGTAAATTTTCCCCATGGAAGCAGAATGATAATGCCTGCGCAGCGTCCCCACGAGGGGCGGCGCTGTGAGTCAACGAAGACTTGACGAGCACCTCTGGGAGAGTGCAGAAGATCATGAGTGTCAGGCTGACATCCTGCGGAGAATAGATACTCTGCATGGATCATACTATCGACCACCTGCTGCGCTGCACAAAATGGCTGAGGTTAGGCGGCTGGCAGCAACGAACAACACCTGCCGATTTGGGAAAGAAGCATTGATGGGGATCGGCTATCAGCCAGACGCGGTCCTCGTGTTGTTCATATTCGAACACCGTAGGCCACGGGCGCTGCTCCGAGTCAGTCTGCTTTGTTTCTCTCCGCCAGCCTGATTGCATATAAAATGAGTGGGTCTTGCGTCGGATCAACATCCTCCGCCTCCTCGAGGTATGCGTAACATTCAGCTTGTGGGTGGCGAAGGGCCGCTCCTACATGGCCCTCCAAACACTCCCATTCTCGAGACCAAAGGCTCATATACTGCTTCTAGTCACCCTTATTCTGCGCCAGCGTATAAGCTGAAATGGAACGCTGACCAGCTTGAAGCCGACGTCGTTCATGAGCTCTCGTGTGACGTATTCTGCGACGTTGCAGGCTTCCTGGAGGAAATGTTCCCTGTGCCGATCAAGCTCGTAGACAAGGTCCTCGCGAACGCCTTGAAATTTCAATTATATGATGGTTCCGGGTCGGAGAAGCGGTGGTCAGGCTACACGACCGAGCCGCCTAACCACGAAAGCGACTTGTACGCGCCGTTTGTTACGCTTGTCAAATCTATCGCTGGCCTCATACCGAAGTCTGGCGCGACACCGAACGACGTGCAATGGCGGGACTACCACAACACTCGACCCCTATCCCGGGATCGCTACGCGGCAGACATCAGGCCAGACATCGTCGCGACGATCGGGGTCAAAGACGAACAGCCTGTACCGTGGAGTCGCGTCGTGGTCCCAGTGGAAATGAAGAAGCAGGTGCGGGACGGTCCTGCGCTGCTCCAGCTCTTGAAATACATGCGTATGGTCTTCCACGAGTCGATGGACCGCTGCTTTGTGCTCGGCATCGTGGTGGCATGCACGAACATGTCCGTGTACTTGGCCGACCGGACTGGCGTCCTAGGATCGGTCGTTTTCAACATCCACGAGGTGCGTCGTGCGGCTGTGCTAACCCACGGTCGCCATTGATCTACCTTGTAGAAACCAGAGCTGCTGATTCGCGTCATCGTCGGGATATGCACGTTGTTGCCCGCCGATCTTGGGTGGGACACCTCAATGTCGGTCATTCGCGAGCAGCAAAAGTACTCGAGAAGCGAGGTGAGACGCCTGAAATTCGAGCGCTCTTACGCGGTACCGTGGAACCCGGAAAAGGAGGACCACTACTGGGTGATCGACATGCCGAAGCAGAAGGAGGGCGCGGAGTATGGTGTGATGGACGAGAACAAGACGGAGACATTCGTGCTGTACAAAGGTCTCAACGTGCAACGCGGCGAGGTGATCCGCGGGCGTGCGACGCGCATCTGGAAGGCGTGGCTGCTCGACGATTTGTCGCTGCCGCAGGAAGACCGTCCGGTGCGTCCGTCGTCGTTGTGTTCCTCTTTTTCGCCGGCCTGATGCCTGTGCAGCTGTTCATCGTGAAGGACACATGGCGCGACGACGAGCGGCGCCTTGAGGGCGAGTTCTATGCGAAGATCGGACGCACTCCTGGAGTCGCGACGATGCGGTCGTACGGGGTGGTGTACGTCGGCGACCAGGAAGACACCGTCGCATCGCGGATCCGTCGCGGTCTGCACGTCTACGCGAAACCCCGCTGCATTGACATGGCGCAGAAGGGCTTCGATCCGAACACGATTCCATCGTCCACACCTGATAGAACCAGGGGAAACACGACGGACTACGGGTCTCTTATTGACTACCTACCTCTTATTGACGTGCCCGAACGATCGCCTCGCGGAAGAACACATTCAAGACTGGTCATGGAGACGTACGGTTGGCCGATCAAGATGGGTCTTACACTTCTCGAAACGGTCCAGGCCATGCGTGACGCGCTTGTTGGTGAGTACTAGTGTATCATGAAGGTGTGCAGTCGGGATTTAGTCGTTCTGCCGTAGGGCATTGGACGGCATTCAAGATGGGCGTCCTACACCGCGATCTCAGCGAAGGTAACATCCTTATCACGGGGAGCAAAAAAGTAGGCTTCCGGGGCGTGATCATAGACATGGACTACGCAAAGTTTTCCGACGATCCCACACTTGCTGAGGATCCGATTTCGGTACGCTGATCTTCTTCGAGATTGACTGGCGTAGCATGCTGAATGCTAGTAGGGCACGCGACCATTCATGTCCGGGGAGATTCTCCGAGGAGAAATCTACTCCAAGGCCAGCCAGCCCAACGACGATGTTGATTTTTTTGCGGAGAAACAAGCACCCGGGACAGAAGACGAGGACGGCGTCGTCACTCAACCTAAACACACGTTCTTCCATGACTTGGAGAGCATCTTCTGGATTCTCCTCTGGATTTGCATCTGCAGAGCTGGTCCGGCGATGCGACGTTCCGATCTGTGGGACCCTAGCAAAAAGATCCTTACCGCTGAGTACACTGCGCTTTTCCGGGTTGCCGACCTCAGCCTGCTAGGTTTCAAAAAGGAAACCATCATCATGAACTTCAACTACTTCGATAAATGTCTCAAGTGTGTAGCGGACTATTACCGGCCGCTCATCCCTCTTCTGCAGCGCCTTTGGGTCATCCTTCACAAGGGATATGAGAAGGACAACTTCGACTGCGATGACACCTACGGAGAATTTGTTAAGGCCTTCGAACGGATGGAACAGCTCCTCCTCGCCAAGCCTGAAGTTCGTACATCGGAACAAGAGGTGGCCTTCGACAAGGAGGAGAAACGGCGCGAGGCGGATCACAAGGACTGGGAGCGTACGCCTCGCAAATTGTCAAAACAACCGACTATCCACGAGGACAACGAGGCAGACGAGCCCCCCCTCACCGAAGACCCAGCTCCTGTTGTGCGTGACGCCGGGATTGCAGGCGGCAATTCAGACGACGAGCGAGACCCATCACCCTCTCCCGCGCCTCGCGGACGTAATGCGGTGACGAATCCCGCTGATCTGGAGTTGAAGTCTGTGCGGCTCAGGACACGGCAGACCTCGAAGGCTGCGAACACTGCTGCGCGATCTGAGAGCCGTAGCTCGGCGGTCCCGAGCACCTCGAACGCACAGACACCCCCACCGTCAGACACTGCGGGTTCCTCGCAGTCGATGCCGACGAGACAGACACGTAGTACGGGTCGCGGCCGTAGTAATCAGTCTACGCAGGAGGGGAGTGATGTTGCGAGCGGAAGTCGAGGACGAGGGGGTAGGAGTCGCGGAGGACAAGGGGCGAGGGCCGCTCGCGGACGCGGGGCTAGGGGGAAGGGCAAGGGGAAGGAGGGTGAACCGAAGCGGCGTTGATAGGTGTGTTGTAAGCCAACGATATGACGTCTGCTGTATGTATGTATGTAGATGATGTTGTGGATGTGCGAGATTCAGTCTTGATCTGGTCTTGGTCGTTGCTTGCGCTAGATGTGGTTGAGGGAGGTGAGCGAAGGAAACGAATAACACTTGTCTACCATCATTTCTATGTAATGTTCAGATCCTGCCTGTACTTCCTCATGACGAGCAACACCTAGTTCAATGTGTATTTCAATTGTAGAGGGCTTGGCTTTCAAGTAAACGAGTAGCGCTACTTTCCACAATGTTCATATTCCTACTCTCGATCGAAAGGCCGCATAACTTCGTTTCCTCTGACGTCCGTCGCGAAGTTGCTCCGCACGCCCTCCTTCCAGTTGGGCACCTCGAACGTCGACGTGTGGCACCACGGCTTGAGCGCGAGCTCCTTCTCGACGACGCGCGCGAAATGCTCGGACCAACCCTTGCGCGGGAAGGCCGCGGTCGTCGTCTCGATGAGGCGCGGGTGGACGAGGTTCGCCCGGCTGACGCGCGGTAAGGTCAGAATCGAAGTCTTGGGCCTCCCGTGGACACTCACATTCCAACGTTATCTATGCAGAAGAGTGAGTTAGCACGACGGTAGCGCCGATGAGAGCGCGAGCGTACCCAAGATCGTCGCGAGCTGCAGAATCTGTCCAACCATCGTGATGTTCCCACTGGTGCACGACCAGAACGCGGTAAGAAACACGACTCAGCATGACACCGGAGACGTCCTCACCCCTTCACGAAGATATCCTGGTGCCTGATAATGGCGTCGCAGACGCTATCCGCCTGGTCTTCGGCCCCGCCCTGCTGCAAGATCAGGTCGCGCGCCACGATCGCGCCCTTGAACTCGAAGGACATCTTCGTCGTCGCGAGGAACCGCTCGGCGGTCCCGATGTCGTGCAGGAGGGACGACAGGTAGTACGTCTCATTGTCATACGTCCAGGACGGGAAGTGTGTCTTCACCAGCGCAGTGCCTGCACGCGTCAACTACATATGAGTGAGGTCCCCGCAGTACGATGAGACGAATGCCGGACCGTAGACGTATACTCGGTGGCTGTGGTTATATGTCTGCTCATCGAGCTCTTTCTGCGCGAGGAATGACCTTCGTTAACGGATTTGAAGAGCACCAGCGGACGAGAGAACTCGCGTACTTTGACGAACTCCTTCACCGCACGGACGACTGCGGAGTCCGGGAAGGGGAAGTCGTCGATCGTGAACAGGTCTTGCTTTGGGTTGGGCCCGCTCGCGGTGGGATGATCTTTGAATAGCACATCCGGGTCCCTCGGCACGGGTGTGAAACCATAGAAGGCGACGTCGTCTCTCGACATGATGAGATAAGGAGGTGTTTAGCACAGTTGGAGGCTGATGCAGATGTCAAACAATCAGGCTTCAGAAGTCGATCCTCGGTGAGTGCTGAGATCTGAGAAGTCGAGGATCGCCCAGGTCTATATACACTCACTGAGCGCCGGAGCCAAGAGGGGCACATGTTCCCAGCGCAGGCTGACATCTTCAGCCCGTGCACGCACACACCTTTGCAATATGTAGACCAGGCGCTCTCCCAAGGGCCCAATTGCCTGCTTGCACGCCATCTGAGTTGCCTGTAAGGACTTACCGAAAGACCGGACTATGAATTGACTGAGTCAGGGGTCGCAATGTTTCAGCTGCTACGATCAGCTACGATGCATATGCGCCGATGCTCTCGGGAGACATACCGTGATCGATGACTTCGCATGCAAGCCGCACGCATCTGACTCGAGTGTCTCATGGGATCGAAGTGGCGTAACGTTTCCCCATCCTTCACGAGCTATGAAACGTGCGTAGTCTCACATCGGAGGTGGGGCATACCACCTGCATACATAACCAATACAGAACAAACGTACAGTCTCACACATCACGCGCTGGCGACCGCAGCAACCGCAGACGCAGCAGCAACGACTACAGGAGCAGTTGTGGCTGACTCGAGAACCTTCCCAGAGACGGCCGAGGCAACCTCTGAGGCAGCGGCGACAGAGGATGAAGCGGCCTCAGCGACACTGGCGGCAGGGGTAGTGTCGCTGGATGTAGCAGACTTGTCCTTGACTGCCGCAGGCGGGCTCTGAGAAGACTTGGCTTTCTTCCTCTTCTTCAGCATAGCTGGGAGCGAGGTGAGCTGACCACGGGGGTTCGTGACGGAAGAGAATACTCACCGACGGAGACGGCGTTTTTGACGTTGTCGACAAGCTCACGGCTCTGCTCCAGATACTCCGCGTCATCCAGACGGTGCTTCTTGCCAGCCAACGGCTCGGCGGGGGTGCTGGAGCCATCTGCCGAATGGACGATGCCAAGCTTCTTTTCCAACGCCTCCAGTTTCGCTCTCTGGGCCTCTTGATGCGCCTTCTTTCGTTGAGGCTCGCTCTCAATGTAGTCGGCGAGCCTGTGCAGGTCATCAGTAAATTCTTTCCAGCGAACAAGGCAGCAGAAACGCACTTCTTGGCTTCCTTTATTGTGCTGAGACGCCTCCCACTGAGATCCCTGCAAGAGTCGTTGTTGCTCGTCTTCTGGCTGCTCATACGACCACCAGCAGCGCGCAGCTGCGACCCGAAACCTCCCTTCCCTCCCCTGAGCCGTGGCACCAAGCGAAGCGACACGAACGATGGTGCATTGGTGTCGTCTTGAAGCGATGAGAGCAAAGCATCGGGCGAGGGCGCGCAGCCGCGGTGAGGCGTCAGGAGAAGGTCAGAAGGAAGCTCTGGGTAGCGGTGGGCGAGGAGGTCGTAGAGGGTCGAGAAAGGCGCGTCCGACGGTGCAGAGAGCGAGAGCGTCGGAAACGGAGAAAAGGTCGACACTACGATTGAGGTAGACATGATTGGTAGTCTAGAACAGCAAACAGACGCGTGCGGAGATGATTGAGTTGAAGAGCACCGACGACGTGTGGGCGAGGATAGCGAGGACGACGAGGAGAGCAAGTTACAGGAGAGCGGTCGAGTCGAGTCGGGGGCCCAACACATGTAGTTACATAAGCAACACCACCACACGTGATCCGGGGTAGGGGACATCTCAGCTCGAGTGACGGTCGTCGGTCGATGTGCACTGCCAGTGCCAGAGCTCATCCGCGACGACGACCACACCACAAAGTTGACGACCACCGCGACGACTCGGACAGTATTGTATCTCTCTGCTGAACATCCGTTACCACCTACTGTGAGGCAAAGGACGTTATACTCAGTAGACCAACATGGCTCCGTTACCATACGCAGCGCTCATCCGCGGGAGCATTCCAGCCTCGTTCGCATGGCCTCTCAAGTTCTGCACGGGGACCACGCTGGTTGCATGGGTACTCTCTGTCATAACAGGAAATGTGTCGCAAGTCGACAGGGTGTGGACCTTCCTGCCGACAATCTACACCGCGTATTTCGCGTTGCTGCCGCTATGGCCTCAAGAACCTCCCCTTCTATTTTGGCCTTACACGCCGGAAACTGTGCATCCGTTAGTCGGACAGAGGTATAGCCCTCGGGCATTGTTGATGCTGGGCTTGACGGTAGGCTCCAGTCTCGTCACGCGTGGAGCAACGTCTCACAAGTGTTGTCTTAGTTCCTCTGGACGTGTCGGTACGCTGCTACACGCTGCGCGTTGCTAACTCAATTGCTGACGTGGACAATCATAGTTTGTCATACAACACTTGGAGGAGGGGGTTGTTCAATCTGTATGTCTTCTTGCTCTCTGCCTATTAGAACATCGCTTAACGACAGACTCGTCTCAGTCATGATGAGGACTACCGCTGGCAAATCGTGCGCGGCAAGATCCCCAATTGGCTCTTCCATATATTCAACTTCGTCTTCATCGGTATGCCCTCACGTCGCCCACAGCTACACCATCACTGACCTCTGTCCACTCAAGCCGTCATCCAAAATATCATCCTTCTCCTGCTCGGCATCCCGGCGCACATAGCTGCGTTCCAGCAGCCGGCCCACCTCAGCACGTCCGATTACGTGCTCGGCGCGCTCGCTGTAGCCGACCTCGTTATGGAGTTCGTCGCTGACAATCAGCAGTACTCCTTCCAGACGTACAAGCACACCGGCGTTCTGGAGAAGAACGAGTGGCCTGCTGCGCGCATACAATGGACACCGCAGGATGCGAAGAGGGATTTGTGACGCGTGGGCTCTGGGCGTGGTCCCGCCACCCGAACTTCTTTTGCGAGCAAACATTCTGGGTAAGAGCCATGCCCCCACCCACCCCGGGTACTTGCTGACGCTGCGCAGGTCATCATCACGCTCTTCCCTCTGCTCGCGCCAGAGACGCCTAACCTGTCGCTCACGCCGACGTCGATGACGCCCCTCTGGCCGCTTATGCCTGCGCTGGTGCTGTGCTCGCTCTTCGTCTCGTCGACGCGTTTCACAGAGAGCATCTCGCTGTCGAAGTATCCCGAGGCGTACACAGCGTACCAGTCGCGCGTTTCGATGTTCGTGCCCTTCTTGACGCCTGTGTGGGGCTTGGTTCTGCAGCTGAGAGGGAAGAAGGCACAAGTGGATGAGATGCTGTTCGGGCAGGGTCCCGCGAAGGGAGGAAAGGATGACTGAGTTTCTGGGACCTGTACGTTTCGGTCGTTCTTTCAGTCAGCTCCGCTGTATCATTCCGCTCCAAAGCTCTTGTAACCTTGTCTGTATGGACTCCCCGTCCTTCCAGTAGCAAATTGTATCGCATTCTTGGGACACGGTCGTACGATACGTATTCAAGGCAATCTCGGAGTCTTCGCGTCCACTAGCCTTGTTTTTTTGCCGACCGCGAATAAATGTTTCGTTGGCGCATGTCCTTCGTGTATCTGCGCATGCCTCGTCTATGTAAGTAGCACACATTATGCATGTTTTTGCGCCTCGGGCAAGGGTTTCTGGAGGAGCACTGCTGCCAATAGAACTGCCGCAACGAGGATAAACGAAAACGGCGTCTTCATTTTGTCGGTGAGCTGAGCGCGCGAAGCGCCCATAAGTGTGACTCGAGCGCTTCGCCTCAAAACTGAGTGTGCTCGACTCACCGATCCCCAGCTTTCCCCACATCCACCATGGCCTCCTTCGTCGCCCGCTCTGCTGTCCGCGCCGCCTCGCGCCGTGCTCCCGCGTCGCCGCGCAGGTTGTGGCCAAGCCAGCCCAGACTGCGGCGTATTCCATCCTCGCCAGGTCGGCGGCTGCTACGTCGAAGAGGTCTACGGTCACGGTAGTTTTCAATTCATCTTGGCTCCATCCATAGTTTCCATTACACTTCGTTTATGGCTGGCGATGTCTGGGGTTGCGTGTCGCGGAGGAACAGCGCGCTGTGTGCACCGCTAGTGCAGGTGTAGTTTTGTGGCAGGTGGTGGTCAGAGTACCGGTCACCGTCCACCACTGTCCGAACACTCCTGGCTCTGCGTGTCACACAGATTGACTGGGGGACCCTTGGACTTGAGATGATGGGTTCAATTGCCAAGTGAAACGGAATTTGTCAAGGCCGTGCGGACACTATCGAGGCAAGCGGGAACAGTGGTTCTAATTCGGCTCTGAAGTCGCTCCTTCGTCATACCCTAAAACGTGGAAGGTGCGAGGACAGAATTATGACAGCGTTTTCTTGAAGGGCGTTCTTCGAACTCAATGACGGGCAAGTTGTAACTCGTCCCAGCCGTAGTGAAGGAGGTACCGAGCCCTGGATAATGGGTGTTCTGGTTACTGGAGCGCAAGCCTCGCGCTGAAGAATGGATTCTTTGGATTTGACCAACCAGATTGTGAGCGAAGACTGACGTTAACCGTTTCTAGGGTACGCGTGGCGTGAAGACCCTCAACTTTGCGGGCACCGATGAGGTCGTGTACGAGCGCAGCGACTGGCCGCTCGCCAAGCTCCAGGACTACTTCAAGAACGACACCCTCGCCCTCATTGGCTACGGTTCGCAGGGCCATGGCCAGGGTCTCAACGCGCGCGACAACGGCCTCAACGTCATCGTCGGTGTTCGCGAGGGCGGCGAGAGCTGGAAGCAGGCGCAGGAGGACGGCTGGGTGCCCGGCCAGACGCTCTTCCCGATCGAGGAGGCGATCAAGCGCGGAACGATCGTCATGAACCTGCTCTCGGATGCGGCTCAGTCGCAGACATGGCCGACGGTCGCGCCGCTGATCACCAAGGGCAAGACGCTCTACTTCTCGCACGGTTTCTCCGTCGTGTACAAGGACGACACGCATGTCGTGGCCCCGAAGGACGTCGACGTCATCCTTGTCGCGCCCAAAGGCTCCGGCCGCACCGTGCGCACGCTCTTCAAGGAGGGCCGTGGCATCAACTCAAGTGTTGCCGTGTGGCAAGACGTCACGGGCAAGGCTAAGGAGAAGGCGGTCGCTCTCGGTGTGGCCGTCGGCTCCGGTTACATGTACGAGACGACCTTCGAGAAGGAAGTGTACTCTGACCTGTATGGCGAGCGTGGTGTGGTATGTTGTGCATTTCACCCTGACATTCGTCGGAGTTACTGACGCGGATGAGTAGCTCATGGGGGCCATCCAAGGTCTCTTCTGCGCGCAGTACAAGGTGCTCCGTGCTAACGGCCACACGCCGTCTGAGGCGTTCAACGAGACCGTCGAGGAGGCCACTCAGTCGCTCTACCCGCTGATCGGCCAGCACGGGTACGTCTTGCCCTCTCGCCCCCCATCGCTCCCCTGACGAACTCTCCGCAGCATGGACTACATGTACAACGCGTGCTCGACGACCGCGCGCCGCGGTGCGCTCGACTGGGCGAAGGTCTTCGAGGAGACGAACACGCCGCTGTTCGAGAAGCTCTACCAGAGCGTGCGCGACGGCACGGAGACGCGCCGGAGCCTCGAGTTCAACAGCCGATCGACGTACCGCCAGGACCTCGCGAAGGAGCTCAAGGAGATCGACGACCAGGAGATCTGGAGAGCCGGTACGTCGACATTCACCCTGCATACAAAGCGTGAGGTGGCTGAACACACCTCCGACAGGCAAGGTCGTGCGCTCCCTCCGTCCCGACAACCAGTCGTAAGGGGTATGGGTCGTTCGCGGAGCTCTGTGCTCCGACCTAAAAGCATCACGATGCACTGCTTGATTTTACCTACTTGTTTGCTTACGCGAGAGACGTCAAAGAGTGGAAGTACAATAGAGGTGAATAATGCTCTGCGAAGTTCACGTATCCCCGATGTGCGAGTGTGTGGCCCACAGGACTAGCGAACGCGCCGCCGTAAAAAATGCGCATTGAGTGTAGTGAACGTCCGAACGTCGTATTGTTCACGTTTGACGAAGCAGAGGCCTGTTGCGACGTTGAAATTGTACTTGTGGGGTTCCTTCCGGAGTCACTGGCCGATGATGTGTGCACGCCCTTACTTATACGACCCACCCAACCACGTCTGTCTAGAGCAAAATAGGCGTATGCGGCGGCAACAGTAGCGTGAGCAACTGCCGCGATGTTAAATATAACGGAGATCACATTGCAGAGCAGACGTTCGAGAGTACACGAATAAATATCAACAGCGGAATTCGATAGTACAACGGACAGTCCTGAGAGAATACTCGTACACCAAGTCACGGCATTCGCAGTCACGATTCCACCCCACGACCTAATGACTCGGTCCAGCTTCCCCGAGCTCGAATCGCAGAGGACTGAGGCCCGGACAGGCGATCTGCGGCCTCTTGGCAGCAGGTTCATGCATTCCGAATGGATCGTCGTTGTCCACATGCTGCTCTTCAATGCGTTCCATGTCGTCAACGTCCGACCTCGAGCGTTTCTTGTCCTGACGCGATCCTGCAGAGCCATCTTGCCCGCTGCGAATCGTCGACATTGCGTGGAAGTTTGAACGGTAGCGCAGCGTCGTTCTTCGGCCAAGACGGATTCGCAAGCGCCTTGTCGAAGACTGCCAATACGCTCTCGTAAGTGAGAGGAACTGTGGCTGACCGTCGGTCGCCACGCGTCGGGACGTTGTCGAGCATAAGTCTTGAAGTCGTGGATGAGAGTCGTCAGTGGCTCGTTATCTTTGACCTCGAATTCCGTCGGGGTCGTGAGGAACTGTCTCTTGCCTGCCGCGCTCTTTCTTCCGGTTTGTGCATCGAAAAGCGTGAGGTAAGCGGTGTAACAATCGGTATTGTCGGTGTATCGAAGAACGATCCACAGCAAGAGCCAGAAGAACGACTCCAGATCGTGGCGAACATCGTGCGCGCGAAATGTCTCCAGGATTTCAATGGCCATGAAGTATAGCGTGCCCTGCAAGGGCGATCAGTACTGGAACGAACATGTAAGACTTCAGACGTACCGTCCTCTCCTTCATTTTCATCCTCGCCTCCCACTGCTCCCGAGCGGCCTGGGCGTGCGGTGAAGCGTTCGTATTATGGGGGCCTAGGACGGGGATCTTCTGTTCAGGCGGTCCAGGTCGCCCAGGTTGAGCCAGACTTTCGTTGTACTGCTTTACAAACATCTTCCAGTTTGCCTCGTTGACCGGCATCCCCGCATGCCTAAGCGCGGCCTTCCAGTCAAAGCTGTAGTCGAAATCGAGGAGGAAGCCAGCGAAGAAGATGATCCATGTATCGCAAAGCATCACGTTGCCTTCGCTGACGTCTCGATGAATGACACCAGCTAAGTATGCCTGCCTATGTCCTGTCCGGGCAAACACATTGTAAGTACGGTAATCGATGCGGCACTCGAGGAGACGTACCAATGATAGCATCCCGGAAAGCCCGGATGAGCTCCCTCGTCGTCTTGAAAGTGGAAAGAGGCCGACCAACCGTCTTCATTATCAGCCGCATGTGACTCCGTTCATCGTATTCCGCCTTCTGCGGGTCTCGCAACTGACCGCAAATGGTGCGATGGCCGTACATGGGTGGTTGATCAGTACTGTTTGCGACAGGATTGAGACCGTCACGGGCACCGGCAATGTCGCCCGAGTCCGGACGCAGGGATTGGTTCGCCTCGCGTGCCCCAAGGTCATCGCTATACGAGGTCTCCGGCAGGCCGTATAGCTCTGCAACCGTAGGGTCAAGCTGCGCGTCAACTAGCATCTCTTCTATCTCTGGTGGGAGCATAGGGCAACCTTGGTCGTCTACCTGAAAGGGTCCGGTCGGAATTGATGGTTTCTCCTCAGGCCCATCGTTACGGTGCATGAAGACGTAATCCTCGAACAACTCGCGCCATGACCGCGATTGAAACGCTCCACGGATTTCATCGTATAATACGTCCTCGCGATCGCGCGCAAGTTGTCTCCACGCGTCCTTGATTGCGCAAGGCTCCCACGTCCCCTCTTCAAGCGCATCCCACACGATGGTCGCGCGCGAGAAGAGCCGCGGATTGAGAGAACGGATGCGATAGATCAGGTACCTTGTCGCCCCTGCCTCCGTCCCATCCTCGGAGTATCTCGGTATTGTGATCCATCGGCACGCCTGCTTGTCCGTCTCCGTGAGGGATTCTATACCCACTTTCGCGCACATTTCTTCAGCAAGCTTGACGTCGCCTTCGGTAGCTCGCTGAACCGACGGATCCGCGCCGAGAAGCATAAAGGTGAGAGGTGCGCCGGCTACGCCTCTCTCCGGGGCTTGGTAGTGACAGAAACGCCAGAGCAGTTCATGGAGAGGCCATGGCGTCTCCTTGATGTCGAATGATCGTGAGACGACGCACGCCGCATGGTCAACGCGGTATATCCGAGCGATGTCGCCGTAGATTCCGACGACGAACACAAAGAGCATCCCGTGTGTCAACAGGAGGTTCCGCGCGCTCTTCGCAAGCTGCGTGAGTGTGCCCGTCTCCCTTTTGCTAGGTTTCACGCCGTACTTGCCAATCGGATCTTCGCCGCTTGTAGGTTTGATCTCGAACACCATAGAGATGTCTTTCCATGCCCCGCCCAACTTGAGCCTTGCTCCGTTGTCCGGGAAACGACATAAGATGTCCGGCATAGTGTAGTTGTGCTCGTCCTCCCATGCCTTGAACGGAAATAGAATAGGACATCTACTGCCGTCGGCGAACTTGGGTTTGCGTCGAGGCTGAAAGTCCCGCACGAGCTTCCTCATTCCTGCTAGCTACATAATAGAGACTGTCAGATACTGCGAACCGGAAAGTCGACAAAGCGTACCAATTTCGGATATTTCGCAACCTCTTTACCACGAGCAGGGACATCTCCAAATATGTCAGATGCTTCACGCCATGGACGGTCCCGGGGAAAGGCGATTCGCAGGGGACGTAGCGTTGGAAGAATTCTGGGAGAGTCCTGTCGAAGAGGCTGATCTTGCCGTCGATTTCGGCGCCCAAGAGTCCTTATTCACTTGGCTTGATTGGAGTGTTTCTCGTGTTGCGTGACCCCAGTATGGATTTCTTTTTGCTCGGTGTACCCTGCATGCCGGGCGAAGGCGGAGATCGGAAGAGATGGACGACCGCTGGATCTTCCGTCCAGGACGCAGAGGAAGAGAATGAAGAGGACGGGGACATTGGGGGCGACATGGTTGCACTTTATATGGAGCGAGACTAGTCAGTGTGATGGAAGCCGATCGCGCGGAAGGCGGTTACCGATGGCACAGAACAACGACGTGTCCAACTTTGGTAATTTTCGGCAGGCTGTGGTCGAACCTCGTTGCGAGAAGGCCGAAATGGGTGCGCAGAAGTGAGCTGAAACAAACACGCGGCTGCTGCTTTGTTCTTTGTGCGACCAATATGGCAATAACTGCAGACGATTGTTAACAGCTGTGCAGGAGCGAAGGTGGCCGAGACTCGCCGCGTGGTCGTGGTCTGGTCGTGGTCGAAGGTTGAAATGAAGCGCTGTGGCTGCGAACCGGCCAGCCACAGACGCGTGTGCACGCGATCACGTGGCTGTGGCTCGACATCCCGGCCCCCGACTCCCGGGATTCCAGTGTGGCTCTGGCTTGATGAGACTCGGACGGCCACTCCGTCACTGAGAATCACCATCTTGTTATCATGCAAACATTCAGCTGCAGCTCAGGTGGTAGCCTTGCGCGCCCCGGTATCTTGGGCGTTCCGAGCTGAGGTTACGCCAGCCTTAGCGTAACAGTTCGTTCGGCCCTCATCTTGTCCCGAATAAGATTGAATGGTGACGGTGAAATCGAAATATAATAGAGAGTATCAGGCGAAGAGCACCTTGACGACAATAGCCAGGTTGTTGGAGCCATTGTAAAACAGACGAAACGAGAACTCAGCAACAACTGGCAAACTGTCCCAGTCCACCATCTGTCCCCTAGCCTGTGCTAGTCAAGGAAGACACATAGCATTGACGTGTCATCCAGTCTACGTAGCCCCTTCACCTCTATCACTTGCTTACTAGTACAGACAAAGCGCCTACGACACCTCAAGCGGGACACCCTCCGCACATACCATGGCCGCATCCCCAACAGCTCGCAACGCCGATGCCCCACGTCCTCAGCACCAGCGATACGATGCTAACCACGCCCTCCCCGAGCACGAAACCGCTCGCGATGATAATCAACTTGATCCCGCCCTTGTCGCGGCCCACGCGCGTGTAATATACGTGCTCGACGATCCCTCCGATCAGACGAGCGATGGAGAAGGACGGCGTGTTCAGGAAACCGATGGCGAAGGCGACGCCGGAAGGGATCCATTTCGCGTGCGGCAGGCCCTGTCGTTGCGCATATGCCTTGACGGCAGCTACGGCCCCGAAGATGGCCGCAAAGATGACCATGAACTCTTTGCTCTTCGCTGGCAGCTCGCCGTCACCTACGTGATCATCAATAAAGAAAATCGGACGGCGAGTGAGATACGTACGCAGAAGGCGCGCGAGCCCTAGCCAGACATACGCTGTGGGCGCAGGGAAGGAAGGCCCGGGAATTTCGTACGCGCGCTGGTAGAGCGTGTACGCGGTGGTCGTCACGAGGATGGACAGCAGCGAGCCTAATAGTTGACCGAAGAACTGCGCGCGAGGAGACGCGTGTATGAGATGGCCCGTCTTCAAGTCTTGCATCAGGTCGCCCGCTCTGGCGTGCGTACTGACTCAGCAAGGGAATGTAGGCCCACTGGGATCACTCACTGTTGAGCGCCAGCCTCAGCGACGCCTCCAGCAATAATGTTTGCGACGATGTTGCCAGGTTGTATCCACGCAAAGAAGAGCTGGCTGATCTTGCCGAGGCCGCTGACAGGGTTTAAGTCCGTCTCCCCAAGGCGCGAACGCTGACCGACGGACGTCAGGTTATCTGACATTCGACAAAATGATCACGCAGCACACACCCAAGAACACTGAGCAAGCCGCCCATCACGAAGCCGAGGAACGTCGCCCATGGCTTGATGCCCTCGTCTCCAAACACCACCCACACGAGAATCGTCCCGAAGACGACGCTGCCGCCGAGGCCCCAGGCAACCCAACGCGTCGGCACGAGTCTGTCCGGCGACTCCACCTCCTTGTCGTCCATAACGTGGGTTCGCCGTCCTGCAGGGCGATCGCGCCGCGCCAGACTTCTTGTAGAACACCTCGGCGAGGACGGGCACTAGCGAGATAAGACTATCTGCGCACATGATGGCGAGGGACACCCAAAGGATCCAGCCGCGCGAACCAGTCGTCATGTCGCCGACCGGACCTGGGCCCAACCGGAGTGCTTTGCCACGGGTGAGAGGATGGCCCAGCCAACTAGCATACCCTGTCGTATGTCTAGCGGCAGCTATGGTCGAGACAAGTCTAGACTCACGAGGTTCATACTGAGAGTAGTCGGGAAGCCCATAATGATACCTATACAGCGTCTAAGCATCGTACGATTACAATCGCGTTTGCCGTGAAACTGACCTTGCCCGATATACGACAGACTGGTGTAAACGTCCACAACCACTCACTTGCAAGTGCGTCCCGAACAGAGGATAGAAAAGACGACCGGAAAAAGTACGCGGCAAGCTACAGAGGAAACGTCAGTTTATGCGCTCATCGCGTGGACATCAACACTGACGGTCATCACGCCAGAGGCAGCAAACTCCAGATGAGAGCGCCCCAACTCTCTTGAGGCGCAACGTCGACGACCTCCACTCGGCATCCGCGACCAGGTGCTCTTCCTCCATGGGCATACCCGGCGTATCGGGATCTGGGATGCCTGAGCTTCCTCTGCGTCTAGTTCGCGATACCCATGGCGCTGTCTAGCAGTCGGAGTAGTGTCTGGAGGTGGTATTTGGTGCAGGACGGAAATCAGCTGCGCCGTTGCCGTCCCAGATGGGAATGCAAGCTGTTCTTCGATGATCTGGCAAGTGGAAAGGTCAATGTCGTTGCAGACGCCGTATACGCCCTCTGAGAGGCTGGACTCACAACTTGCTTGCGAATTGGCGGAGACAAAAATACGCTGCGCAACAGTTAGATTGATGCTGCATACATGCGGGGAGCTGTTTACCCAAAGAAAGCGACTGCGAGTGACCAGCCGACCGCGTCTAGCCAAGACAGATGCAGAGCAGGGACACCGTCACGTTCCTCGTCCAGGAGGCTCAGTGCGGGGAGGATGCCAACAAATCCTGCAGCTAGGGGCATCTGTGAAAGACTAAGGAGAAACACGAGGGACAATGGGCGCAAGCGTACCGTGCCAGTCGCGACGGCGATCGTCTGCAGGACGACGTTCTCCTGTGGGCTCATAGGCGTAGGGAAGAACTTCGAGACCAGGAATCCGATCAACGCTGACTGGAGAGACATCCTGCATAGCATTTGGTAACGTTGTATGACCCAGCAGCTGGGCTAGTTGTGTGTACGTACATACTAATCCATCCTGTCTGCAAACCGAAGTAGAGGTTCGTGAAGCACAGGAGACATCCGATCAACAAACCGCAGAAAGCCACCCGGAACTGTCGATCACAAAGGTGCTGTCGGTATGAGATAGTTCGTCTGATGCAGGGGACTGACCGTGAACTCCTGCTGTCCGCCATCCAGCTTTCCCGCACCACGACGCGCCTGCCTACGAAGCCACCTTGCATACCGGTCAACGGGTGAGAATGTACGACTGGGTGAATACGCACTTGACCCGCGTGCCGATGCTCATGATGGTTGTGTTGCCCTCGGTGTCCCTCGCATAGGCTGAAGGCGAGTCAGAAGGGCTGGGTGCCTGGTGTGTGAGCGGAATGGAGAGCGGGACACCCGCAAGCGCGCGCGTTACTCATTTCCCGCAGCGCGTTTCGGCACGTGCTACGCGCATTGAGCGCTTGAGCACCCTGGCTCGTTCCCGCTGGCCACTGGACGTGGAACGTATCATCGACCGGAAGAGTCAGGCCTTCAGGCTAATATTATGTGACAAATCCGGGCAGGTTCCCATTCTCTACACACTGGCACCACGCATCGATGTATGGGAGCGATTCAAGGAGTCAAGAAGTCTCAGCCTAAATGAAACGAAACCGTCCTCAGGCTGCCAATGCGCGCAGATCAACGTATACTTCTAGTATTTGCGACCGGTGCGATATACATATACAATACACAAATGATACACATAGACGTACTCTGAACACCGGTGGTAGCTGCCTCTGCATCATCTCACACTTGAACCCCCCAAACCCGTGCTCCGCCTCATCGGCCCAAGTTTGACGAGCCCTCGCCACGATCATCCGACCCGAATGCCGCACGTCGTCCAAAGGCACCACCAGACCCCCACTGCGACGTCCCAGGCGCAGCCGACGGCGACGATCGGAACAGTTGATCGTGCTCCCAGTCATACGCGGCCGGCCGCGCGTAGGTACGTTCTCGCTCTCGTTCTCGCTGGCCGCGATTGAGAAGGTACGTGCCCAACCCACCGAGTGCGGCGCCCGTCCAGAAGCCTGGATTGAGGCCGCCCCCTGTGGCGGGATTGACACCAGGTGTTGACCCGGGGTGCTTCGAGTACGGCGGCGGCGGATCATTTGGGCCCGGAGAGTGTCCTCCGTTGCTGCCGAACCACCCTGGTGCACTGTCCGGAGGACGAGGTCGTGAGCCAGAGGGTTGCGTGCTACCTGTACGGCTCCGAAGCAAGACTTGATGAAGCTGTACAGGATGAACAGAAGACACGCTGTCCACACGATTGTGAAAACTGCAGCAGACGGATTGTCGCGTGCAGCTGTGGGCCGTCCTGTGAGATAACGTGAACAAGCTGACGAAGGGATGCGCACCTCCAATCCAGTTGAGGATTCGCGAGTGGTGGCGGTGGTGTTCCTCCGGTCGACGCAGGGCATCCGGAATTTGAACCAAGCGATATTCAAGCCCGCAGGACCCTAGTGCGAGGGACACTGTGCTCAGCGCGCCGTATTCCAGTTATGTTAGGAAGTCAACGTCGCACCTTTCACGACATACGGATCCCCGGGGCCACTCCATCCCTCACACGATACCTCGACTCTCCCGAATCGCAGTGCCTCCGGGAGGTCTGCTTCGCACTGATACAGATCACGCATCAGCTTCACGCCCGACCACGGGCCCGGAGTACTCGAGTAGATCAACCGTGTGCTCACCTTCCAGTCCACGTCCGTCCCATGCCCACCAGCATTCGCGCAGCGCACAACGTCGGGCTCATACAATCTACACGCCTTTCCAAGGCACGTGAGCTGTGGTATCGAGCTGCCTCTCTTTGACAGCGTCAATGCGTCTTTGTAGAACGTGAGCGATGGTATGCGCTCGAGCGCGACCTTCGACAGCATCTTGGTCATGTCTGCCGGCTCTACAGAGCCCACCCGGATAATCAGCCTAGGTGGTGGTGGAGAAGAAAGAGACGGTGCAGCCGCAAATCATATTCAGTGGCAAGCCCTAGATACGACTGCGCCTAGGCGGTTACGTGGAGCAACGTGTATGCCTCCGCAAACTGAGTTTCAGACATCTTGATCGAGCTGAAGGTGAAGCATACCAGGCAAATAGATATGTACATCTGATATCACATGAGGCCGAGAAGCTGCATAACTTGGACCACGATAATCCGGACAGCGAACAGCAGGTAAGCAGGCTCCTCAAGACGAGGGTAGAGAACTGAGCGCTGAGCGTCAAGTCGTGGTCGGGGCGTTGTCGGGGCGTGGTCAGAAAGTCTGAGTTTCAGAAAGAACGGGCGCAGGCCAGCGCGTGATTTTGCGTTGGCGCGCGGGCTGCGCCGCCGCGTCTGTGGCTGCCAGCGGTGCTTCGTCCCAGCTTCATCCTAACGTAGCGTCGAACCCCGTTCAACCACATCCACGCGCGATTCTCGAGCTCTGTAAAGATTTCTAGCATGTTGACTTACGGGAATTACATCTCAGGCTAGTGTTCAGTATGCACCGACAAGCCACAGCTACCCTATGGACCCAGGGTCTTGCGAAGTTACGACTCAACTATCATCGAGCGACACTGGCTCTGCCACAGACCATCCGAACAAACCAGCTCTGTGCGTAATCTCTTCTTCCTTCCTCGAGAGTACAGCAATTAATGCAAGACAGGAAACACATGCCCGACCGGCGACTATAAGTCGACGAAGGAGTTCATGTCTGCCCTTCGGGGCACAGTAAGCGGGATTCGTTTCTCCGTCCAATACTTACCGATGATGTTTTTCATTCAGAATCATTGTATACAAGCGCACAAGCCAGATGCAATCGACCGAAACACCAGCCCCGAAAATGTGACGGCTTTTGATGGGTGGACCCGTCTCTTCCGACTCTATGCTCGACTTCGACTACGCTTTCAACTGGAAGGCAGCATCAAGAAATCTAGACAAGCTGAAGACGAGGCGAACTGGAAGCGAATGTCGAGGAGCACAAAGGAGTCAAGGTGAGCCAGAGAACATCGAGTCCAGTACACTGAATCGTGCTCGATTGTCAGGACTCATCGAGCTTCATAGCGATGAAGATCATTGACAGGTACGTCGCTTACGATGTTGAGTAAGACCTAGAGTCCTTTCTATAGCTCTTGTCGTGACTGCGCCGTCTTACGGCACACAAATCACGGCAGCTATCCACCTTATAGGACCTGTTCGCATTTTCGAAGCACTGGATAGCAAGACCATGAAGTGATGTTCCTCAAGAGACCGATGCGATTTGAGGTCAACAACAACGATCCACTGACCACCCTCGTTCGCGATTTCGAAAGATTGTGCCTCCGCAGTATACCTGTGGATTGCGAGCCGCCTGGCAGCTACTGTGACTCCCCTGACGTACAAGCGCGTATTGGCGCTGTTCGGCCGCGCTCTAGCCAGTTCGTCTTGGCCGGAGAATGACCACGCACCGCCATTCAAGCTTCCGCGGGACTGCGACACCTCCGAATCAGAGACGGGATCCATTGCCGGCGAAACGGGCTTGTAGCACGAAGATGAGCAGGTAGTAGCCTCGAAAGGTCGTTCGCTCGCGCCGGTAAATCTGAAATGTCTCCTATCTAGTCTGAGCGCGCTCTTATATATATCTGTACTATAAGTATCGCATGTTCTGTATACAGTGGAATCGATATCTGGATTCTGCTTGTCTACAGATGATAGATCTGGAACTTGGAATTACGGTACTTCCACGTGACCGCGTGCGCACGCGTCTGTGGCTTGGTCGCAGCCACAGGTGACAGCGCCTCAGAGTCTGCCAGTGGCATTCTCAACGTCAACGTTCACTGTAGCGTTCAACTTCATCTCGTTTCTGTGCACTGTCATCCTTGTCTCTAGATTTCGAACCTCAGAATCCAGCCCAATATCTAGCTCTTCCACCTCATCGCTTGCATTGGAGATGTACGGGACAATGTGTACCAGGTGGCGCCACTGGCAGCCCAACGTGCGACCACCCACACGGAGCGAACACGCCAGTCAAGCGAAGTGAGCAAGGAGTCTTGGGCAGCCGAGATGGACAGCAACATGAGTCTCTTCGACCAGAGTTTGAAGGACTTCTTTGACGTCTATGTTCCGTTTGACGGTCAATTGGTTGGCTGTCGACCGTGGTCAGACCCGGCTGCTGTCTTTGCAGACGTCCCTTTTTCGGAACCGGAGACGGAAAGGTGCTCAAAGCTGGTATGTTTAGCTGCCTGACTGAATTGGAGATCTGTGCCTGACTCCTTGGTTAGATCGAAGCACTCGAGAGCATTGTTGGCGATTTTGAGCCCGAGCGCAAGCCGCATTTCGCCGATAGCAGCAGATGCGACGCGAGCGTAAGACACCCGTTCCCGGGGTGGGAAACAGAACAACACTATACCATGCCAGATATCCTCATGTCTTCCCGGGCGAGGGCGACGAAAAGTGGGGGCATACGTGGCGAGACATATCAATGGTTTTTGAAATCGAGCAAGAAAAACACAAAGACCCATTTGGCGACTATGGCCCACAAAACTATAATTCAGCGACGAGCGGGCTCATACAAGTCGCAAAGAGCGCAAGGAACATCATGCTGACCCACGGGATGCTCTTTGTGTACGTCGTCGGCATTTACGACACCATGGCTCGATCTACCGGTTCGATCATGCAGCGGGAGTCGCATCCCGATCGTTCGACATCAAAAGCATCCCTGGCCTATTCATGAACTGATCTGGCGGTTCGCATCATCGAGCGCGTGTCGGCGGCTAGTGGGGAACCCTCGCCGCTATGGTCCTGGCGCGGATCCGTCGCTTCAACGAGCTACTGAAGAGGACATCAAGCTGGCGACGAGGAGCACAAGAGCAGGGAGCCGTCTCACGGAGGACGAGAAGCAAGCGTGCCGATGGATGACGGCGATCAATACAACGAGGATGGCTCGGAGCTTGGGGCGGTGAGGTATCTACTCTACCGACTTCGTGACCTGAATCCGCGGCTATTCTCGCGATCGACGACAGTCTGGGACGCACTCGAGGAAGGGACGTGGCAGTTCTGCGCAATCAAGGAGGCATGGAGGCAACTCGCTCACGACCGTGAAGATGTGCTGTACAACCACCTTCGTGAAGCGTACCGCAACCGGCCGTGGTGGGAGATGGTCGAAGACCACGTATTTATGCACTGCAACGACGAGCCTGGTCCGGGAAAACCCTTGCTACCTGACGGGTTTCAGCTGGACGACGCAGGATGTCCCATACTCACGGAAAAGTTGGAGGAGATGGTGGTTGCCGCCTCGCTCGACATAGGCGTCACAGAATTATACGGACTTCCGGACGTAGCATATGGCGAAGACCTCGGCGCACGTGAAGCAGCTAAGGTCCTGTCAAGTCTGCGCAGCTCCAGATCGTCGACTTTCGAGGTAAGTGACGCAGACCTGGATTTACTTGCCAGCAGTGCCGATCGACCGCCTGCGTACGAGGCCTACCATCGCACAGTCTGTGGCTGGCTGATGAGTGCTGAGGAAGCGACCTACAATGAACGGAGCCATATGCGACTGGTGATGAGGACTGTCGGCCGCCCCTTGTCGGACTTCAGGTCGACGAAGGAACTCGTCAGAGCCCTTCGAGACGCTATCCACGGTACGTTTGTTCCGCTTTGCGCGGATGGTCGATGTTGCTCATTCAGGACCAGGGCATCGGCAGGCATATCGGGCAGGCATGATCCATCGTGATATCAGCGAAGGAAATGTGATGATTGTTGACGACGGAATGTGTTCCTTCGTCGGCTTTCTGCTCGATCTCGATTACGCCTTTGATTGGAAGGCGGCGCTACGACACGCGGGCTGGCCGGTCAACGAGGCACGTTGGAAGGAATTCGTCAATGCATACAACGAAAATCCGCCTGACCCTCATCGTCCCGTGCCTCCTGAAACGCACACCCCCGTTTTTGGCCCTGGAGCAAAGGACAATATAGGACAGGATAACGAGTTTGACCAGGCTAAGTTGCAAGTGAAGATGAAGTTGAGGGAGAGAATAGTGGGTATCGAATATCTCGAGTACGGGGTGCACGGACTGATTGTCTTTGTAGGGCACGCTTGACTTCATGGCCATCGAGATACTAGAGACGTATCTTGTCCATGACGTCCACCACGACCTTGAGTCCTTCTTCTGGCTCTTATTGTGGATTGTTCTGCGACATACAAACCACACAAACCATTCGAGTCACGTTATCTACCTAGAGATTTTCAATGCGCAGGACGACAAGAACAGCGCACAGAAGAAGAAGTATTTCCTCACAGAATCGATGGAATGGGAGGTGAAGGATAACAAGCCACTGACAACTCTCATCTACGACTTCAAAGACTTATGCCTCGACAACGTCCCGACGCGTGGCGACCGAGGGTCAGCCACAATTTCTCTCACTTACGAGAGCGTATTGGCAGTCTTCGACAAGGCACTTGCGGATCCGTCTTGGCCGGAGAACGACAGTGCGCTGCCGTTCAAGCTTCCACGCGATGCCAGTAATTCGCAGTCGGGGCAAAACGAATCTGCAGAATCGCGTCAGGACGAGAAACGCACCAGGGGAGCTGACGACATGGACCGCATTGAGGAGAAGGTGGACAACGACGATCCATTTGGAATGCGAAAACGTGCTCTTGGCAAGAAGTCACAGGTAGGTTGTCAGTTTGAGCTCTGTGTGCTTCAAGCTCGGGAAATCTGAATAGAGTTCGTAGGTCGACGGGTGAACATGCGACTCTGAATGCGTTGTCTTGATGTACAAGTATCTTATCAGGGCTGTTTGTCCAACTCTTGAGTTCTCATGCTGATGTACTCTCAACCGTATGCGTGGCAATGCGAGATCCATTGTACTATGACCCGGGCCGTCACTGCTCAGAGTACGCTACTGGTACATAATCATTCACTATGCCCACTGCTGGCATGAGCTCTCCGAGTTATGCGTGAGATCATTCATACATGCTCTATTCGTATAGCAGACGAATTCTGCTGACCTCACGCAGCCACAGGCAAGTCCTCCGACCACGACGCGAACTGTTCCGCATTCGCGAGCAGTTCGCCCGTCTTCTTCTTTGCCGTTCCCACAGCATCTTTCCCCAGTGGAAAATTCAATGGGGGGTTCTCCAGCGCAGCGATCTTGTAGATCACGTCTACTGCTCCCGCAGCTGAAGGGGTCCCCGGAGGGAAGGTATCACTAGCCAGGTACTTCCTGACGATGGCCGGTGTCAATGTCGGCTTTGTATAGGCAGGGTGAGGGTCCACGCGGAAGATGCTCCGCAATCCCGACGTGCTGAAACCCCCGGACTCGATAATAGTGATCTGCAACGACATATCAACTGGGCGTCCGATGCCGACGATTTACATTCGGGCTTGCCTTTATGTTCCAGTCCGGGTCCAGCTCGGCAGCAAGTCCTTCGCTCAAACCCTCGAATGCTGATCGCGTAGGATCGTCAGTTTACGGCATGGGATCACCCTGGTTCAATACTCACCGCGTTTGCTCGCACAGTAGTAGCCCATGGCTGCGGAGCTGGCGTAGACGGCGACCGAGCTCATCTGCAGCAGTCGGCCGCCCTGTGGCTTGTTGACGTCGCGGAAGATACGCACGGCCTCCCTGCTGACGTTCGCGGCCCCGAAGAAGTTCACGTCGAACATCGCACGCGCTTGCTCATCCGGTGTTCCCTCCACCTCGGCGAGGATGCCGTACCCGGCGTTGTTGAACACCACGTCGATACGCCCGTACTTCTGCACGGCTTCAGCAAACGCGGCTGTGACCTCTTGCGGCTTCGAGACGTCGAGCTTGATGACGAGCAACTGGTCGGAGCTGTACTTGGCCGCGAGGTCAGCGATGACCTCTGGCTTTCTGAGGGTGGCGACGGCGATATCGCCCTTCTCCAGCACTAGTTCGGTCATGTTCCGACCAAAGCCGCTGGAGGATCCAGTAACTGCGACAAATTATGAACACTGTGTGCAAAAGCGTGTCGAGGGGTACTACTCACTGAACCAAACTTTAGGAGACGGCATCTTGGTGATCTTGTTAACAGTACCGCCGCATCGTCCAGTCCCCCTTTTATACGCACACACTTCCGATGGCCGTGGTGAGTTTCACCCATTCCAAGAGATCTGCAGGGCATTCCGCACGTTCACGACCTCCATTACATATGGTGGCGGCGGATTCAAGGCGGAATAGACGTCGAATATTGAGGGCATGACTAAGCAAGCTACTAAGTCCGAGTCCGTCGGAAATGGCCTTCCCTTGGCCTTCCCCGCGCAGATGTGGCGCCCAGACCTGAGACCAGGTAGTCTCCGTTGCAGACCATACAAGCCGGCGAGCGTCTTGTCACATGGAGACCAGGGTATTGTCAGTTAGTCTCGCTCAAGACCCTTCATGCGGCGCTAGCCGTGTGGGGTTTGTGTCGAGCCTATACTTACTGTCATAGTAAGCACTGACTATTGAAGAGTAGTATACGTACTGACTGCCTGTAAGTAGTACCATCGCGGCGGAAGTCGGACGTGCCAAGTCGCCGCTATGTCGTATGGCATCACTGTCAACATGAACGTTTGAACAGTACTAAGTAGTTTACGCACTCCGTGGTTTGTCCGTGGTCTCGGGAACTCAGTGCGTCTATGTTTCGCCTTGTGGATCCAGAGCCTGAGACGGCCGTCTCAATCTGACGAGAATTGCGTAATGCGAACTGACGAAACCTGTGTATTCCCACAACATGTCAGTCCAGTGTCAGTCTACATGGGCACATCGCAGCCACTAGGCTCAGGAACATCCGCTGACTTTATCCCCTTATGTGAGCTTGGCAGGCATCGTTCTTAACTGCCGATGAACCATATGTTAGCATTGCGAAGAGAGCGACAACAGAGTGGGACGATATATAAAAGCCTATACGAAGTAGTCAGGTGAGCAATCAGTATCCCCAGTTGAACGTCTCATGACGACTGCAAGAAAAGCGCCGTTAACAGATCCGTTGCGTTCAGACGGTAGGTATCCGCGGTGAATTGGACCGACGGCACGGGGTCCACGAAAGTCAGCAGCGGAGGCGCGTCCAGGGAGGAGTTCCACAACGGCCATGTGATGTTTGACAGATAGCTGACGTTGGCTGCCACATCGCTAGGCGCGTTCGGGTTGAGGTAGTGGGCGAAGTAGACTGTAAAAATACGGGTGATCAGTAAGCCGCCGCTGTTGGTATACTTGTGGACCCACTCAATGCGTCCATCCCTATGTAGTCAATGTCGGTGAAGAACTCGGGGATATCAGCCGTGTGGTAGGTGCCGATGTAAGGCCCGTCATTCCTCATGAAGCCTATGTCGAGCCAGTCAGGCTTATGGTAAAAGAGCACAGTGAGTTGGCTGCGTACGGAAGGCCCATGCGTTCTGAGTCGGCGATGCGTTCTTGAGCAGATGACGTCTCGGGGCCTGGAATACCACATCGCCCTTGAATGCTGCCATTCGCTTGTATTGAGGACTATCGAATTGCAGGTCAGCGCGCACTCTGAATCATCGTGGAAAGGGATATCGCATCAGCAAATTGGGCAATTCCTGAGCATCTGACCAGCTGACAGCCTCGTCTCAGAAGCTCAGTTCACTCAGACTTACCAGTTGCTTTCAGAGACAAACAGTTGTCAGATCGGTGAAGTATTCTCTATTGAACAAAATCTGACTACAATTGTCGTGCATATCTGTATTGAATGTTCGGAACAATGTAGGCGAACCTCGTAAACCACGGTGAACAATAATGGGAAATGTCGGATTTCAACAGCTCTACTCTTAGACTCGTAAGTTATAGCATAGCTTGTACAGTACTGATACGGTCGCGCCGGCACTCATTCATCGGTGTACATCACTCACGCCCTCGACAGTAGCACTACATCCGAGCCCATCTAACACCATTATATCAGATCATTAGCTACTCACATATATAAGTAGATAGGGAAGCAGATACGACCCTCTCACCACCCGTTCGTCGGCCGAGCCTGCACTCAGGGCTGATATGCTCACGGTTACCGTACGCATCGTGCTGGACGTCGTTGTGCCTTGTGCCCACCTGCGTGCCCACCTACCCGTTCGCTTGTGTACATGCTGTCCGGACGTCGGCCGTGTTTGCACGCTGCGCCCGGCGCGCTCGCGGTCGGCGTGCACATTGTGCTTCACGTCGCCGTGTCCTGTACCTGCAGTCAGCTCGCTCACTCGTAGGTCTCTGCACTCACCCGTCTGCGCTCGCCCTCGCCCGTCCTCGCCATCCGCTTGCCTTTCCCCGCCATCCACTCGCCGTCCGCACACCATCCACACGCCTCCCGCCCGTGTCCGCCCTCTGCTCGTCACTGTGGCCGCGTCCACAGTGCGTTCGTCGCCCGTGTTCGTACGCAGCACCTTTGCCGTGCACGCTTGGGGATGAGACTGTACGTAGGTTGTGACGGAAGCATTTCTGAGGTTCGCGAGGGCCGGGGTAGTTTGAAAGGTGGACGTATCGGGAAACGGGGACAAAACGGGGATCTTGGGCATATGTGGATGGGAGGAGAAGGCTCAGCGTCACTCAACAGAAGAGAGACAGTATGGGGGATCCCGCACGGGTCTGCGCGGACGAGCAGGACGAGAGGGTCGACCAATGAGACGGTCAAAACCGGTCAATAGACGAGCGGGTTAACAGATGAGGGGGCGAGAAGATCGATAAACGAGAAGGTCGACGAACGAGAGGGTGAGCGGACGGCAGGCGGGAGGGATGACGGGCGAGCGCGAGGGATAACGGGCGAGCGCGAGGGCGGGACGGCGGGAAAGTCAGACAATGGGTCAGCGGAACGGCGGCTGAGCGAGATAGCGGGCGAGTGAGTGGGCGGGAGAGCGGAGGAAACAAGAGGAGTGCAGATGAGAACGGGCGAGCGGGCGAACCAACAAGGCGGCGAGGGTGAGCGGGCGGGCTAGCGAGAGAACGAGAGAACGAGAGTGGGCAGACGAGCGTGCGGATGAGCGGGTGGGTGAGTGTGCGAGCGAGTAGGCAGACTAGTGAGCTAGCAAGAGGCCTAGGGCGGGCTGGCGAGCAGGCGGGCGAACGAGCAAGCAGGAATACGCAAGGGGCGGGCGTCGCACTCACCTATACTATCTTCCGTGGCCTACCTCCTCCAGCTCCGTGTTATACACGCGTCTCCATCGCGATTTGCGTGTGCTTGGACGCTACCGTAGTACCGACGCTAGTGTCAAAGTTGAACGTTGAGTCGTGGAGGAGGCAAGGAGGAGGCGACTCACGAGAAGTGCTAAGCGCCTCAGCCACGACACGTCACGCACGCCTCGCCGGACTTCCAGTTCGAGTCTCAGAGTCCGCCTTCACTAGCCACTGCCAGTCGTCCCATCCTCCCTGCCTGCTTCGCCCTCGCTAGCCCGCCGCCGACCTCCAAGAGATACTGGCAGGCGGGCCCGTCCGCAAGAGACAGCACGTGTCAAACGGACCACTGCACGGCTGAAGACCGCGCTGTACGCGACTGCAACGAGCCCCAGCAACGCGCCAAGAGCGTCGCTGGAGGCTCGCGAAGGGCTGACATGCAGGGAGGAATGTGGCCAGCAGGGCCAGCGAGTCGGGTGAGTACGCCGCGTTCCACCTCGACTCCGAGCCCACCAAGTACGAGTGGATGAAGTCGAACACAACGGAGACAACCCCGGCGCACGTTTGCCCAACGAGCACAAGCGCATACGGATACAACACGTACAGGTACGACAAGACCAGCTCGTCGCACACCCGCTCGCTTTCCGTCTCGCTCACCCGCTATTCCACTCGCCTGCCGCTTCACGCGCCCGCCGCTCTCCTCGCCTGTTGTCGAACCCGCTGTCGCTCCCTTCGCCTGCCGTCCTGCTCGCCTGCCGGTCCTGTGCCCACTGCCTCGCTCTACCTGCCGTTCCTCTCGTTTGTGTCCCTCTCGCTGCCCTACTTACCTGCCGTGTCGCTCACCCATCGTCCCGCTTGCCCGTACAAACCCGTGCATAACCCGCAGACCCGTTGACCCGCATAGCACCCGTACCCGCTGTGGCGGGTCTGTACCGGGGCGGGTATGGGTCCGGGTTGAGCCTGGAATAGCCGTGCTCGGCCTTAGGTGTCATGCGCAAGCCCGAGAAAGATATATCCTTCGAGCACGAACATGGTGAGAAGCATGGCTCGCCCGCTCTATCTATGCCAATCTGATGAGCCTGAGCCGAGCGAGTGCCAGCCCGCCCAGTGCCGCTCTGCGCAAGTCCGCCGAGCAATGACCCACGAGCGAGTGCGAGCTCATCAAGCCTGGTGCATGCGAGCCCGACAGATGGTTGATACGGACGTTCCTCACTCGCGGACGCTGCGCCACTGCGACGTGCAGCACTGGGACGAGGTGTACGGCCCGAAGTACGAGATGTCGATGAAGATGAAGTGTGAATCCATGTGAATCCTGACGGTGCGCGACCAGCTGACGACACAAGCCCGCTGGCACAAACCCAACAGATATACACCTGACGAGCCTCAACATACCGCGCACGGACCCACCAGCATCGAACATCAGGAAAACATGCAATCTGTCTGACGGCCCTGTCAGGGGGTTCAGAAGCCTTCAGAAGCCTTCAGATTGCCCCAGATTGCTTCAGATTTTCAGCCCTCATGACCTCAATTTTTTTCGATGCTGACTCGTCAGACAGGATTTTCAGAGTGTTCAGACAGCTTGTCAGACTACCCAGCTCGTCAGGCAGATCAGCCAAAACATAGAAATTGAGTCAATCATATTCTATTGATTGCTACTACTGTACAAAATAGTGCTTGCTAATTATGATGTATCGTACGCTTGTACGGGCTACCATCTGCCTGGTGAATGTACCTGGAATCGCTCCCGCTCGTTGTGTTCGTACTCGTTGGCCAAGCTGCTTCTCGGGCTGCGGTGCGGTGCGGCACGCTCATCCTTCACGGGCCTATGCGCATGGAGCTGGGGCATGCCAGGCTGCGCCGGATGCCTGGTGGACTGTTGTTTGTCACAGTGTTGCTCGTTGAGCTGTGTCGTACCGGGACCGCGTCGTACCGGGCCCGCGTCGTACCGGTGCGCGTCGTACCGGTGCGCGTCGGTTCGTGATCCGTATCCGTAGGCGGCCAACTTCTCTTCATCAGGAACTTGCGCAATCTGTCTGACGGCAGTCTCAGGGACTTCAGAAGGCTTCAGAAGGCTTCAGACAGCTTCAGATTGTCTCAGACAGTCAGTCCTCAAGACCTCGATTTCTTTTGATGCTACCTCGTCAGACAGAATTCTCAGACCGCTCAGACAGCATGTCAGACAACCCAGCTCGTCAGCCATTTCAGCCAGGACATACAAATCAATTCAATCGGATTCTATTGAGTGCTACTACTGTACAAAATAGTGCTTGCTGATCCATATGTATCGTACGCTTGTGCGAGCTACCATCTGCCCATTGAGTGTGCATGGCGGACTCACTCCCACTCATAGTGTTCGTACTCGGCGGCCTGGCTTCTTCTCGAGCTGGGGTGCGGGACGCTCGTCCTTTACAGGTCTATGCACGTCGGCCCGCTGAGGGCATGCCAGGCTGTTGCTCGAGCCGGTGGGCCCAGGCTGTTGCTTCCCGCTGGTCTGCTCATTGAGCTGGGTCGCACCGGGCTTGGGTACGTCGTGTGCAGTGAACTGACCCTCGTCGTATTAGTGTGCATCAGTTCGTGATATGTACCCATACACGGCCGGCTCTTCGATGCTGACGGGTCCGTGCGCGCCGCGCGGTACGTTGAGGCTCGCCAGGCGGATACCTGTTGGGTTCAATATGTTAACGGCTTTCTGTCGCTGGCGCACGCGCGCACCGGGATCGTTCTCGCCGCGCTCGTGCTCGTTCGGCACAGACAGTACAGCAGCAGCGAAGGACAGGGCGACCTTGAAGCACTGTTCACGGGAGGTCTGCGGACATATCGTCAATTCCACGCCCTCCGAGTATATCTCCGAAGGTGTTGACGAAGGTCATGAGACACTCTTTGAGGTCGTCCATCCAAGGTGCATGAGTTGTGTGGCCTGAGAGACGTGCCGGGGTTTGGGACAGCGCAGAGGTCAGCAGAGCCTTGACGGAGTCGATAGGCGCACAGACGTCGATGGACTGCAGGGCGAGGAACAGGGCCTTGTAGTCACCACCTGGAAGAACAAACTCACGGCGAGTCTTGAGCGTCAAATGGGCGAGGCTGCGGCACCACGAGAGGACGACCAGCGACTCGAACCTCGGCATGCATATGTAGATCCTGGCCAGGTCCGGTGCGGCCTCCTGGATCCGTCCGAGCATGTAGTGCTCACACCTTGTCTTCGTCGCCATCTCGTACTTCGGGCCGTACACCTCGTCCTAGTGCTGCATGTCGAGGTGGCGCAGCGCCCGCGGGATGAGGAGCAGCAGGTCGATATCGAACACCGAGTTGACGTACTAGACCGTGCGGCGCAGGCGAGGGAGGAGCGGCTTCCCCCCGTTCGCCACAGAGAGCGCGCGCCAGACGAGAATGTCGACGGGCGAGTGGTTGAGCTCGCTGGTAGAAGAGGACACGCCACGCGTGGCGCTGGAACCGAGCGAACCGGTCTGGGCAATGGTGCGGCAAGCCATTCGAGAGTAGGCATCGCAGGAAGTAGGATTTTTCGAGGCAAACAAGAAGTGTCAATGAGAATGATGATAGTAACGTTGTAAGACGCACGTACTGGGGCCGTCTCCGTCGTGTTCGTCTCCGTCGTGTTCGTCTTCGGTCGTCCTTGCTGAGCATTTGCTTGCCGCGGTTGGCTACAGGGTCGAGGTGAAACGCGGTGCACTCACCTGAATGTCGCACCCTGCTGGCCACAACCCCCTGTCCTCCCTGCATGCAAATCCTTCGGAAGGCTCAAGCCTCCCAGCGATGCTCTTGGCGCGTCGCTGGGGCTCGTTGCGGTCGCGTACAGCGCGATCTCCGGCCGCGCAGTGGTCCGACTGACACGTGCTGTCTCTTGCAGACGAGCTCGCCTGTGTGTACTGGAGGTCGGCGGTGGACAAGCGATGGTGAATCAGCAGGGAGGACGGACAGTGAGTCGCAAGGCGAACTCGAGGAAGTCCGGCGAGCGCGCGTGACGTGTCGTGGCTGAGGCGCTTAGCACTTCTCTCTCGAGTCGCAGCCCCACCTCGACGCCTCCTCCACTTCAACGTTCAGCGCTCAGCGTCAACACTGCGCGGTAGCGTCAAAGCTCACGCAAAAAGCGACGGAAAAGTGAGGGGAGCACGGAGCTGGGGGAGGTGGGCCACAAAAGTAAGTATAGGTCCTTCTTATTGGTGACACTGACAGTGACGGTGAGTATTCTCCTCCATCCGAGTCCGCGCATGCCCAAGCTTCAAGATCCAAGTCCCATCCCCATCGTTTAAGACGTGCTCGTCCCCGCGCCGACTACCCCGACCTTCTTGGACCTCGGCGGGAATGGTTCCGTCATACCCCCCAGCGGCATCTCCAGCTCGACCTCCGACCTGACGCTCGAGTAAGGCCACGCGCACGTTCTCGTCCTCGCGCATGGCAGTGCGTTCAAGGTGCCCCAGTCGCCAGGCACACCACGCTCGTCGCGATGCCCACATACATAGTGTACGAACTCGCTCTCGAATGAGCGAGATTACGGGGCCCGCCGATCCGCTCCCAGTAGCCTGAGGTCCGTGAACGGGTGCTTCGCGATGAACACGGACAACTTACAGGTGAGTGCGACGCTCGCCCACTTGTGCACGCGTGCATACGCTCGCCAGCCCATCTCGCCCGCCCGCCAGCCCGTCTCGCCCGCCCGCCAGCCAGCCCGTCTTCCCGCCAGCCCGTCTTCTCGCCCACCCGTCTTTTCGCTAGCCCGTCTTTTCGCTAGCTCGTCTTCTCGCCCGCTCGCTTTCTCGCCCACCCGTTCGTTGCCCGCTCTCGCTGGCCTTGCTGCCGACCTGCCTGGCTTGCCCTCGTCTATATATCCACCTCGCTCCTTCACTCACCCACCTGCTCGTCCGCCTCTCTCACACATGCGCCTGGCTCGAGTACCCATCTGCCTCGCTCCCCTATTCGCCGGCCGGCCGCTCGGATTCCCGCCCGCTCGGATTCGGTACGCTTGCTCAAGCGGGCAGTGCGTCACGCCCTCTACCTGCATACACGGCGAAGGTGCTGCCAACAAACACACCGTGGGCACAGCCACCGCGACGAGCGGGGCGCGGGCGCGGGCGGGAGGTGAGTGGACGGCGAACATGCGGCAGAAATGGGCGAGCATATGGCGGGGACGGGCGAGGGCGAATGCAGACGGGTGAGTGCAGATACACGAGGGCGGACACGCTGACTGCAGGAACAGGGGCCAGCGTCGTGAAGCACAGTGTGTACACCGACCGCGAGCGCGCATGGCAGTTACGATGTGCAGTACGATGCGTGCGGCGACTGTGAGCATGCAGGGCTAACGCCCTGTGTGCAAGCACGTCCAATGAACGGACGGCGGGAGTTTTATATCTGTATTTACCTACATAGCTAATGATGCTAATGATGCAATTGTTTGGAATCGGATGGCCGACGTAGCGCAAGGTAGCCTCGGTGCTACCGTCGAGAATGTGAGCGATGTATGTCGACAATAAGCATAGGTGTGACTGTTTGAGTACTGTACAAGCAAAAATATACAGTTGTTATGAGTCTAAGAGTACAGAGATACTCTCTGACAACTGTTTGTCTCTGAAGGCGACTGGTAAGTCTGAGCGAACTGAGCTTCTGAGAGGTGGCTGTCAGCTGATCAGATGCTCAGCAATTGCCCAATTTGCTGATGCGATCAATGTTGGGATTGAACTAACTTACCCCTGTGGCGCATGTAGTACCGGCGCATTTCGAGCGCAGCTGTGCGACAGGTATCAGCACGCAGTAGGATGCTGTGCAGGCTGCAGAGACGGTCGAAATTGAATTAATGTGCTCGGGCACAAGGAGCACGCGCGCCCGCGCGCCCGCGTGCCCGCGCGCCCGCGTGCCCGGTGGTACGCACCCCCTCGTGGGAATACCGCCTCGGGGACGAACCGGCGATCCATAACAGGTGATCGAGGATGGACGTAGATAAGTTACTTAGTGTCCCCGGTAGTCTCATACCAAGACCCTCCACACGGCGCACGTGAGGGGGTTGTGTCGAACCTAGTGTCCCCGGCACCATCTTGTAGTCGGTCGTGCACCGTCGCGCGTGGTGGGTCGCGTCGTAAATGATCGCAGTCGTATCAAAGAGGTCTCAGCGTGGTACATGCAGCAGAGTAATTGTATCTTAGCTTGACTGTCTCCGAATCTGTATGTTCCAAGACCCAACATTTGAACATACTGAAATACTGCGGTGATCACTGTTAGTAACCTTTGAATTTCAGTGCTAGATTGATCTATACATCTTAAACACATTTTAGGAGCTAATACAGGGCGCATAGTCACTCGTTCTTTGGCAAGGACAAATAGTTTCCGTCTGGCGTGCACTGTGCGATGTCCATTCAACGTGATATTTGACTGTCTGCAGCGCAGCGTCTAATCCCCAGTCGCCCGGTTCGTCCCCGAGGCGGTATTTAAATTCCCACGAGGGTGCGTACCCCGCGCCAACGTGCCCCTTGCTCGGGCAGCAAGGCCCTGATTCCCAAAAATTAGAGCAACAAGTGCCTCTGCGCAGAGTTGCGGACCAAGCGCAGACAGATCGCTGCGTTTGCGGTCGTTCGCATGCGGCGTGCGAGTGCGGCTGAGCGCAAGCTGTTCGCAGCGATGCAGAAGTCGGGAAGGCTCGTTGGTGTCGTAGAATGCGTGCAGAAAATCGCGTGCGTGAGATAAAGTGGCATTAGCGATGAAGAACAAGAAGCCACTATATCTGTTCACGGCGGTCGCTGTGCGACAACAGAGACTATTGTGCGAGAGTGTGTGGAGGACGTCCCGCGGAGCGGCAGCGAGAAGGCGAGTTCTGTGCGCTGCGCCCGTGCACAGGCTATGACACCGGAATCATCGTCCGTCCAGGCAGGCTTTGGTGCCGGAGCTCGTCTAACTCGTGAGGCACAGAGGGAGGAGGAATAACTCAGCTCAGTAGGAGGAGGACGAGCGGGTGCAAGACCCCTCTCTCAACTTCAGGTCAGGGTGGCTGCTTCTCGGCCTTCTCCGAGGGTCCGCGCCACCGACGTCGGGTAATTTACCGTGACTCTAAATGGTAAGTAACTTCGGAAGAACTCCTACTGCAACTACTTACCTAAGGCCACAGTCTGAACAATACTTGTCAATGAACACAGCCTGCAGGTTTTATCTCTGAACGCCGCGTTCTAATGCGCACCACTGATTGTTTTTCTTCGCAACTTATAGATAGAAATTCATCGCATCTGCACCAAACATCTAGCAGCTTCGCACTGCTCTGTGACGCCGCTCGCCACACGACCACATCTAGCTGGCCCATACGGTCGCCGACCAAGATCTTGCTCTACACCGCCTGTTGCATACAACTGCATATTTGGCAGACCCATGTCCGACCTGTATCGCTCTGCGCTTTCAGCGCGCATCTCGAAGCTGCCCATGCTACCTCCCGATTCCGACGAGGAAGACGAGGAGTCGGAAGCGGCAGATTCGCTCGGATCGCTACCTCCGCCTGTATCAGGCATCGGTCCCACTACAATGTGAGTATATCACGCGGTGCTAGGGCGCGTAGAGTCTCTGGCAGAATGTACGTCGGTGGGTCGAACGACCGATGTCATTGACCTATCCATGGACTCTTCATGACCCGGCACACGACTCCGTTCTCTTTCTAGCGATCGACCATAGAACTGAAGTTCCCTGCGGTAGGCCAGGCACCCGCGCACACACGTCCGCACAACGCAAACGCGTTCCCAACCTCGAGCTCACGCCACTCTCCGCCTCTAACTACTTCGCGCAAGCGACCCAGATCGCCGTGCCCGACTCGGGGCTGGACGTCCGCGCGTACTACACGCCGCCGCGGGTGAGCGAGGGCGGAGACGCGGGGACGGTGATGGTGTGCCACCACGGTGCGGGACAGTCCGCACTCACATTCGCGCTCCTGGCGGGGGAGGTGACGGAGCTGAGTCGCGGGGAGTGCGGCGTGATGGCGCTGGATTGCAGGGGGCATGGTGCGTCGCGTTCTCTGGTCCTGCGTTTGTCAATCCGGTGCTGAGATGAGGCTGTGGCGGTGTGTAGGCAAGACGGCCACGACGGTGCCGAGGCCGGGGCTGGAGGGCGGCGAGGAGGACTTCTCGATCGACACCCTAACGAGCGACTTTGTGAATACGTTGAAGGTGATCTATCCTGATCCCAGCGCGGCGCCTACGATATTGGTACGTCCTCAGTCTCGTCATGCCATTGCCTACATATCTACCATCACGCCTGCGACTCTCCCTGCTTATCCTCGCCTGGCCCTTCCGTTCCACTCTGTCTCTCCTCGTTGTCACGGCCCAATTGATCCTTCACTACAGCTTGTCGGCCACTCCCTCGGCGGCTCCGTGATCGTACGCGCATGTCCACTACTCCAAGAACTCAAGTACCGCATCACAGGCGTCGCGGTTCTCGACATCGTCGAAGGTGCGCGAGACTCCTTCTCCCACACATCGCAGGAACACGCTGACTTCACCCACCCGGTCTCACCACCAACAATCTAAACGTCTCCCACCGCTGTAACCCTAACCCCAACTCCCCTGCACTGGCATGTCGGCGTCGACCCTGTTCCCAATTGATGCCAAAACCATAACAGAGTTTACGCTCGAAGCGCTCCCGATGATGCACTCCCTCCTCGACGCACGCCCCGCCGGGTTTGGGAGCCAGGAGGAAGCCATCGAGTGGCAGTAAGCGTCCCTCCCAGAGCCCTCGAACCACATAACGGGATCCCACTGACTCGCTCTACCTCAGCCTGAAGACCAACGCCGTCCATAACCCACTCTCCGCGCGCGTCTCCGTGCCCGCGACCATCCAGCCCGCACCCGAGGGCACGTCCCCTCCCTGGATCTGGCGGACTCCCCTTCGGAGCACGGCGCCCTACTGGACGAGTGCGTGTCTCCCAACCCCCTTCTCACATGGTGAATGCAGGCGCTGACGCGAACGGCGGCCATCCAGGCTGGTTCACCTCGCTCTCGAAGCTGTTCCTCTCTGCGCGGACGGCGCGCCTGCTCGTGCTCGCGGGCGCGGAGCGGCTCGACCGCGAGCTGATGATCGGCCAGATGCAGGGCAAGTTCCAGCTGACTGTCGTACCGGGCGTGGGGCACATGCTCCAGGAGGTGCGTCTCTTTTCTTGCATGGTTTGGTGGAGGCGAGGCTGACGGGGTGCGCCGTACTTAGGACGATCCGAGGAAGCTGGCGGAGGTGCTGGTCGAGTTTTGGAGGCGCAACGAGAGGGTCATACCAGGTGTCAAGAAGGTCGGAGAGCGTTGACTCAGGTATATACTTACGCAGAGAAAGAGATTCGAGAAGAACGCAGCATTGTATAATCTAACTCAGAATGGTAGATGACGACGCGTGCCATGGGACGGCGGAGCAAGTTTGAAAGATGTGTGCGCGAGGCCCAAACGGCTGCAACGACTCGGACGCGCATAACACAGTGATACTGTGAGGATGATACATGCGCTGTGTAACTGCAATGGATTGGAATGTATTTGATTTGCTGTAGAGTCATTCAATACGTCAAATAGAGTCTTTCAGGGCCTCGAAGGTATGTTTTTAACTACTACGTTCACATGTATAGCCGCCTACTAGGGATGCCGGGTAGACATGTGTAGTAGTATCACGGCGGGGCAATGTATTCACAAGACGACTATGAATGATGCATTAGATACAACTATGAATGAGTGGTACAAAATATTGCGGCATGAAATGGCGAAAAGGGTGAGATATTCATGCTCATCGTCGCTGACAACGAGCACAACGCCGGACGCGGTGGCGCGTGTGCGTGGGAATCACCTCATCAGCCACGGATCGGGCGCGACGTCAGGGGATCGGGATATGAGATCCGTGATCGGAGGAGCGCCCTCAGCCATGATGGCATAAGACCTTGAGGAATTGGTGCCACAATACCGCGACATATATCCTGTCCTGAAAACCTCCATTGAATGAGAGCCTGGAGGGGTGGAGCGCATGACTACCTCAACAAGGATGTAAAGTGGTGGTAGCGGTGGTTGTAGATTGCGTGGTATGCGGTGAGTCGACCTTCCGAGTCCCGGCCTCGTAAGCTCAGCTGTACGGCACCGTATCAGGCCCAGGAGGGACGCGCAGCCCTAACTCACCAGACATACGATTGGTTGTTGCACGGCGCACACTGCCTGAGACCCGGACCGTCATGCCACCGCCACACCGCAGCTTCGACCTGGCTCCTCCGCGACCAATCTTCCAAGGGAGGGAGCGCCTACCGTGACACAGAAGCTACGCGTATTAGGATCCGGAGCCCCTCACGTCAGTACTTAATGGCAGTGCCCAACCCTACGATTGGTTGTTGCACGCTATCTTGGACCCGGACCGTCATTGTCCCCTCATGCCACCGCCTACATAGGCTCACCGAAGCTTCGACGCGACCAATTCGAAGGGAGGGAGCGCCTACCGTGACATGTGGATCCGCCGTCTGGAGCCCCTCATGCTTACCTACTGGCAGGATGCGACGTGCCCGGCCCTACGATTGGTTGTTCCACGCCGCCCACTGGATCTACAGTGGGAGTCTCGCATTGCGAGAAACCACCTCCACCCTGATCTGGCGAATGGGGTGGGTGGGCTCGGCATGGCTCGACCCATAGCGGGCCTGGTCGTCCATTTTGTGAGTGCACTTGTGTACGTATATAATCATACCCGCTTCACGTCCCTGTGTTCCAGTTGCTCTACACGAGACTCCGCTTCGACTTATCCCGACATGTTCTGCCTGTACCATCGTAACAACGAGGAGTGGTACCAGGACTACATCGCCAATCCGGTCATCGCTAGCCACTGTCCTTGCATGACGATGCCTAACTTGGGTGGTAACATTTTGTCCCCGAATGTGGGTCCAGGTCCTGATGCGTAAGTACTCGTTGACTGGCACTAGCTGGCTCCGCTCATATAGTCTTCGCAGGATGGCGTATGCATACACATCGCGTCTTTCGTCGACCATCGACTCAGACGTCTTCTGGGGGGCCCCGCCCCAAAGACAAACACTGTACGCCTACCTAACTTGACACTAGCTGGCTTCGCTCATGTAGCCTTCGCAGGACGATGCATACGAGTGCCGGCGCTTACCCGCCGGGTCCTTCGCCGACTATCGACCCATGCGTCTTGTGTGTCCCGTCCCTAGGACAAACTTCGTATGCAGTCCGTCACCTCGTTGGCATCCTGCTCATTGACTCTCGACACACAGGCCTCAAATGACTCAGAACGTACATCCTGCTTCAACACAGATGTATCCTACGTACGCGATGGGGACGCACCAGCAATTGACGTTCGAGCTTCCGTTCAAGTTCGCCCCGAAGTGAGTACCCATCCGTGCGGCTCCTCCCCCTGTCACATCATCGAGCTCCGTACTATCCCTTTCTCAACAGGAACGAGACTCCTCTCGCCCGGGGCGCCCAATTCTCGCCCATTGTCGCGAACGTAGCCTCGCCAGAGCCCGCGCCAATCACTAGCATATGCCACTTCGGCGGGCCGTGCCCCCGCCTCACCCCAGATATGCCTCGCCTAAGTACCTCGGGAGTACAGCGTCATCTTGAAGCGCACCATCGGCTGATGAAGGACGACGCTGGCAAGCTCATCTGCCAGTGGACTCGGACCCGGACCGCCGAGGAGGGAGCCAGTATATGCCAGAAGCACGTCAAGGATATGTTCCAGCTGGCGAGGCACGTTGCGTCGGTGCATCTGGGGGCATTGAGGGTCCAATGCGAGGGTTGCAAGGGTTGGTTCGTGAGATCGGATAGCTTAAGGAGACACAAGACAGAGGACAGGTGTTCGCAAGGTGTTCGCATAGTTAAGTGAATCTTGACGTGAAGTGCATGACGATGAACTCTGTGATCCTCTACATCTTCTCTTTCATATATTCTCTTTTATGTATCTTCTCTTTTATCTTCTCTTTTTGTAACTGCGCTCCCGCACGTTTTCGACCTTTACGACATCACGACATCACCCCTTCAATGCCGATGATCTTTTCTGTCTCTTGATGCCACTATGCCTGGTCATAAGGAGACCATGGTGTCGCCGGAGATGCAGTCTTGTAATAACCACCGACCCGAGGTCACGCAGGTGGTACAGTAGACGGGGGAGAAGAACATTGGCTGTCATCGTTATGAGGTCCAGGCGAGCTACTATGCTCAACCCAGTCCAAGTAGACGACGTAGCTGCATGAGAACTCCGTATAAAACCGATAAACCATCCCCCGCAACCAATGTCCACATCAACCAGCACAAGAAACCTCTCGGTAGCCACTGTATCATCGCGCTAGGCCACGCGCCCGCGCCTAGCGTCATATACCTCGGTGGGCTCGGCTTCAAAATCTGCTTCACGACCTTCTTCGCGAACTGCTCTGGGGTGATGGACAAGGGGCCGTCCGTCTTCTCGATCGCTCTGGCCATCGAGCCGAGCCAGGGCTTGTAGAAGCTGTCGTCACGGAGGGAGAGCTGGTTGAACGCGTGGGCGGCGATGTTGGTCTTGACACCGCCGGGGGAGATATGGACGACGTGAATATTGAACGGTGCGGCTTCCATATAGAGCACCTCAGAAAGACGGACAAGGGCGGCTTTTGTCGCACCGTACACTCCACCCCAAGGCGCTGGCCTGCGCATGCGTTTCGCGTTAGATGTAGACGAGGGAGGCAATAGCGTACTGACGTATCGCCCATAATGGAGCCTATGTTAACGATGGTCCCGCTCTTCTTCGCAGCCATGTGTGGGAAGACGGCTTGTGACAGACGCAAAGGTCCCAATACGTTGGTGTCGAAGGTTTCCTGAACTTCGTGCAGCTCTACCTCTGCTAGAGGGCCTGGTGCTAATCAGCTAAATGGCGAGGTAAATCGGTAGCTTGTGTTCTACCTGAGTGGGGGCGCCCTGCGTTGTTGACCATGATGTCGATGCTGTCTTCACGATCCAACACTGTCTTGACCATGTCCGCTACATCTGCGTCCGAAGTGACATCCAGCTTCAAAGTGGAAACGTTCGGGTCGTTGAAGCCGCCCACAGCTTCGACCCTCCGAGCAGTGGCATAGACTTTGCAGCCTTGAGACGCAAATTCCTCACATCTGCCAGCATTGTAAACAGACGGAAGGGGAGTTGTGACACATACTTTCAGTTCGTACTGTAATTTCGCTCCGAACAGCTTGAACGTGGCACTCACAGGGCATAGCCAATCCCTCCTTTCGAGCAGCCAGTGACAACGACGACCTTCCCTGTCATTTCGAACATGAACTAAGTTCACGATAAGGACATGGTGATGGTTCGCAAGAGTGCCGGCGTATGCACTGCGGGCTCGCACGGCATGTCCGAGTCATGACCAAGCCTGAGTGGTTTTTCCGATTGTTGACCTAGCTTTCCTCTCGACGTTGTTGCATTTGCTGTATGACCGCAGTTCACTCCTAGCATAGCGTGAGTGAGACTCACCACCGTGGCCACCGTGGCGTTTTGTGCGCGTCGCAGCAAGCGAACGGAAACAAGAAGTTCAAGTTCCAGCTTGACGGACAGCACTTGCCTATTTTGTTGACTTTCCGATCTCACGGCATCTGCCGAATCACAGATTTCTCTCTTTCTGCCCGAAAGCGGCAGCCCTGCTGAAGACTTCATCTGCTCCTCCTTCTCCTCCTCGTCCCCGCCTCGTCCGTTTGGGATTGATAGTGGCCGCCATGGAGATATCGGTGTGTGGTAGGATTGTGAAACGCGCATAGATTGTTCACAAGCATTCAGGTAGGGCTCGAATGCATTGAATCGGTCAATGCAAGGCTTGTGGTCTACCCACAGGCGGCCCAGAATCAATCTGAACTCTCCAGCTGTGTCTACACCCGTAGCTACTCCAGTTGTTGAAGAGCCAACGCCTGCAACACCCGCCCCCGATGCTGTAAATGCGGAAGCATCGACCTCAACGGTACCAGTCCAACCCGCGGACGTAGAAGCAACCTCGACATCTGAACCCCGTCCTCCAGTATCGAATGGCAAACGACGGTCACGAGCCGGGCGGACTGGCGAGGAGAGCAACAAGAGGGTCAAGCTCTCGTCGCAGACGGGAGGAAGCATAGCGAAGGACTACTCTCCACCCACTACACGATTGGCGGACCTGGGCGGAGTGGACGCATGCATTGAGAAGATGCTCGAGCTCGTCGCCATGCCTCTCTGCCACCCCGAGATCTACCTCCACACCGGTGTGCAGCCTCCGAGGGGTGTGTTGCTGCATGGTCCACCAGGGTGCGGAAAGACGCTCTTGGCGCATGCCATTGCTGGGGTGTGTCTGGTTTCCATCTATGCCACGTCGCGATGTCTGATGTCCCCCACAGGAGCTTGGCGTACCCTTCATCAGCATATCCGCTCCCTCTGTTGTCTCGGGAATGTCAGGCGAGTCCGAAAAGACGCTGCGCGACACCTTCGAAGAGGCGAAGAGGGTCGCACCATGTCTTCTCTTCATCGACGAGATTGACGCCATTACGCCCAAACGCGAGAGCGCGCAACGCGAGATGGAAAGACGGATAGTCGCTCAGTTTCTGACGTGCATGGATGGTGTGTCTTGCCTCAAATTCGAATGCAGTTCGTGACAAGCTGAACATGATCGACAGATATGTCCTGGGATAAGACGGATGGCAAACCTATTATTGTAATCGGTGCGACCAACCGGCCAGACTCGCTGGATGCCGCTCTCCGCAGAGCGGGCCGCTTTGACCATGAGATCAGCATGGGTGTACCAGACGACGAAGCGCGAGCGCAGTACGTATCTTTATCCCTACGCCCGACTTCCGTAGCTGATCGAATGCGTCTACAGAATTCTGCGTGTTCTATGCTCAAAGTTAAGGCTTGAAGGCGACTTCGATTATCTTGCGCTTGCAAAGGCGACCCCGGGCTATGTCGGCGCAGACCTGACAGCGCTTACCGGGGCCGCTGGCATCGTATCTGTGAAGCGCATCTTCCAGCAGATTTCGGACGGGACACTGGTGCTCCCGGAAGACATACAGCAGCAGCTCGCGTCCATAGACGGAGACGTCACAATGCAAGTAGACGTGCCTGCTGCTGAGGTCGAGCCCCAGGCTCTCACCGCCCAAGGCAAACCCATTCCCTTCGCGAACATCGAGCTTTCGACGCCCGCCGCCTCCTCCATCCTGGACTTCCTCCGCGCGCACCCCTTCCCCCTAACTCCTGCCCAGCTCTCCCCGCTCTGCATCACCTCCGCGGACTTCCACGCCGCGCTGAAGCATGTGCAGCCGTCGGCGAAACGTGAGGGTTTCGCGACCGTCCCGGACGTGACCTGGGCCGACGTTGGCGCGCTGCACGCGACGCGCGAGGAGCTGCACATGGCGATCGTACAGCCGATCAGACGGCCTGAGCTGTTCAGGAGCGTCGGCGTGGAGCAGGCGTGCGGCGTGCTGTTGTGGGGCCCGCCGGGGTGCGGGAAGACCCTCCTAGCGAAGGCAGTTGCGAACGAGAGCAGGGCGAACTTCATCAGCGTGAAGGGTCCGGAGCTGTTGAACAAGGTCTGTCCACTTTCACTCACACTCACGCATGGAACGCAGCCTGACACGCCTCTCTGTGCAGTACGTCGGCGAGAGCGAGCGCGCGGTGCGCCAAGTCTTCTCGCGCGCGCGTGCGTCCGCGCCGTGCGTGATCTTCTTCGACGAGCTCGATGCGCTCGTGCCGCGGCGGGACGACGCGCTCTCCGAGTCGTCTGCGCGCGTCGTGAACACGCTCCTCACCGAGCTCGACGGCCTCGACGCGCGCCGCGCCGTGTACGTTATCGCAGCCACTAACCGCCCCGACATGATCGACCCCGCGATGTGCCGCCCCGGCCGGCTCGACAAGCTTCTGTACGTCGACCTGCCCAGCGCAGAGGAGCGCGGTGAGATTGTCAGGACGCTTGTGCGGAAGGTGCCGCTTGGAGACGAGGCGGAGAGGGCGGAGGTGGAGAGGATGGTGAGGGAGAGGGAGAGGGGTACAGCGGGGCGGACCTGGCAGCGGTTGTAAGGGAGGCGGGCGTGGTCGCGCTGCGGAGGTCGCTGGGTGCGCTTGAGCAGATGGAGGCGGATGGAGCGGTGGCTGTTGGCGAGGAGCAGCCCAAGATCGTCGTGGGGTACAGGACTTTGACAGGGCGCTCCAGAAAGTGCGGCCGAGTGTGAGCACGGCGCAGCGGAGGAAGTACGCGAGCCTGAGGGTGAAGCTGAACGGGAGCGGGCTGCCCGTCGGGGTCAAGACGGATGAAGGACAAGAGGGCGAGAAACAGACAAGGGTGGGGATATGCAGGAGAGCTAGATGCTAACTGGGATGATGATCAAAAGTACAGTACATCTGTGTATACAGTGAGATATATCTGTCGTATGGTACAGAACCTCCGAGGATTGGGGTCGATGCGATGTCCCGGGACTGGGCTCTATGGCAGCAGGAGGTGGCGGCGGCATACCCGTGGGCCATAAATTCGTCTACAGAGACGCACGGCACAACAAAATCTAGAATACATAGTTCCGCAGAATAGATGCTGCAACCAAAGGCACTGTCCAACCCAACTGAGATCAGAATCCAGGCGCCCTAGCACCTCTCCTCCTCGGTAGCGGTGCTTTCCGAGGCTTCGTCGTCGGCTCCGCCTGCACGACCTCATCTCCGTCGACGTCCCAGATCTCTTTCTTCCTCTCTTTCGTGAACAGCTTCATTAACTTCCTTTGTTCCGCATGCTGGCCCGGGTCGTCATACCCGACGCACAAGCCCCGGCCTGCGGCCTGTGCGTCCGCGAGGGTGAACGTGCTCGGAGTGGAGAGGACCTCTGGGTCGAATCCGTCGACGGTGGCTCCAGCGTGAGCACTCACAGGGTTCGTGAATGATAGCGACTATCTGGGGTGTCAGAAGGCGGCGCCATTATCTATGAGGGTGAAGAGCGTACCTTCGATTTGGACGGCGGCCTAGCCCGCTTTCCAGCCCGCGTAGGTTGCCCCTTCTCCGAGCCCTCATCCTCAGTCGATGGCCGCTTGCCCAGCAAAGAGGTGATGCTACCGTGCAAGGCTAGCTGGGCGCCCTTTCCTGGCTTGGTCGGTGATGTTGGCAGGCTGGCGGTTCCGGGGTGCTTCAATGGTGAGGGCGACTCGGACGACGGCACACGCTGAGTCGGGAGTGGCGGCAGTATTTCGGCCATTGAGGCCGCGCGACTGTCTTTGACGAGGATCTGGGTGGAGTTGACAGAGATGGTAGTAGCGGAGGCGGAACGAGTGAGGCCGCTGTGTGATCTGCTCGGTGGAGGTGGTGTCGCCGGTGGGTTCCAATGTGTGTCAAGCAGGCCATTCGGCTTTCCAAAAGATTCTGCGCCTGACGAAACATCGTCCGTGCCTACAGTGTTCAGGCCAGGCTCAGAATGGTGATGTTGTAGCGATGTAATTCCTGATTGATCACAAGAGATACCTGTCGCAGTCGGTCAGCATGGGACACGCTCACGCTTCAGTACAAGAAGCGTACCATTCGTGATATCCGACATCGTGGCTTCCGCCTCATCTTTCGCCTTTCCTTTGCCTTTCCGATCTACCTTAGGCGGTGCCAGGTCTAAGTCCACCTCGGCCGACTCTGTCTCGACTCCTAATGGAGGTTCTGGGGCGATATCTGCGTCGTGTTGCGCAGGAGGTATGCTACCGGTATTAGCAAGGGCTGCCAGCCACGCCATATCCACGATCGGGACGCCCCACTCGATAGCCTTCTCCGCCTTCGCACCCGTCCGACTAGGGCACAGAAGATGCGTGGAATGACGAGAAAAGTTTGGCGAGATAGTGGCGCCGAGTGCGCGAGCCAGTCTTCGTATCCAGCACGCTTCAGATTGGTCCAGGCCCGAATGGCTCAGGACAATCCGCTCAGCACCTGGTGACTCAGTCAGTGACATGACCTTCGATATCGAAGAGAAGAAACCACCATCGATAGGAGTAGGTACACTGAGCGGCAGGAAAGCAACATGCTCCTCAGGCAGACATATTCGTTCATCGAATATACATCGCTCGAGCCAGCACTCCGTCCTGTACCTTCTGCGCTCGTCCTCGTCCGCTTCTTGCCGGAAGAAGTTGCTCCCACTGAGAGCATATTGGTCAAGGGAGTCGAGCAGAGGGGCTGGGTACAACGTACCTGACCAGGCGCACGATGATAAAGTCAACGTCCTCGTCAAGTTCGCTGACCAGAGTCCCGCCGTAATCCTTGATGGCAGCTTTAACACTCGGCCCTTGGGCCTCTCCTAGAGCGCGGAACTTGAGACCCTTGAACAATGTCGAAGTGCTTGACTCCGGTTCCGAACCCTCTTCCTCCCTCTCCTTATCCTTGTCACCTGGTACCATTATTGACAGCCGAGACGGTCCCGCTCGAGCGGAAGACTCAGACGGATGAGCAAGGAAAGACGTCTGAGGTCCTACAGGGGCCCGCTTGAATGGCTGCCTCGTACCCATTACATCCTTGTCCTTGCTCATGGGCGCAAACGAGTTTGCTCGTCTGAACGACGACAGCGTAAGTGCGCTTGTTGACCTGCCCTTCATCCTCGCGCTCAGCTGCTCATTCTCCACATTCACGTTCAAACGCTCCATTTTTGTCCTACTCGGCGACTCCTCGCCGCCAGACGGCTGTTGCGGCTGCGACCTGGTTGGACTCCGTACGAGTCGCCCAGCTTGCACTTCGAAGCCCCGCGGCTTGAGCAGGCTCCCCCAGATGGCGAGCATCTCTGCGGGGACGCGCCGCGCAGAGGCGACCTCTTCTTCGTCGTTCACTGCGGCTGCGAGAAGGTCGGTGCTGTTGTTCCTTCTTTGTTGCGGATGAGATTGCGAGCTGTGCGGTTGGGGTGAGGAAGATGGCCGGGGAGGGGTAGCCCCTGTGATAAAGTATCAATCTGACATCGTGAGATGAAGCCGAGATGTACTTACGTTCTGGTAGTTGTTTTCGCTGCGGGCGAGGATTAGATGCTTTGTACGCAGCTTCATCGAACCTCCCTGCGAATCGGTCATGCTCGCCGCCTACGGCTACTCACCTTGATACGCACCTCCGAAGTCTAGCGAATCCCAGAACCACTCCTCCCACACGATCTGGATGTTCGCCTCGCCCCTCTGGTTGAATTTCTCTGCATATTTCATCTTCTCCGTCTGGTCTTCATTCGCGCTCCCACAGACAAGGTGCGTCACCCTCACGGGACGCTCGATGTTCTTCACATACTTGCCGCCATTCTTCGTGACAAGTCTGTTGATCTCCGTGCGGCGCTCTACGTCGTCGATGCCGGAGAGGCATAAGACGACACCTGTGAAGACGGGGAGGCGGTATTTCTCGATGCTCTGAACCACTGTTCAGCTACTTTCAGTATCAGTCAGGGGTAAAGGTAGTCATACCGTTGGCAGGTCTACATCGTCGCCCTTGAGCCAGATGTCGAAGCTCTCCGTGATCCAGTCTGGGTGCATGATAGGGATCTTGTTTTCCAGTGCGCACTGAAGATTGTAGTTGCAGATAAACACAACGACGTGGATAGACTTCGGCAAACTCACTCTGTACTTCGCGCTTCCGGGCTCAGCAGCAAGCAAATGCGTTACTCTGTCCGTCAGGTCGCCAGTTGCGAGTGCTCCGAGCTCTAGAGCTTGTTTGAATAACGTCGTCTATGTCATACAAACTGGTCAGCATTTGCACGAGTGAAGAAGGGTTGCGCTTGCGCATAGGTGATGCATGTCATTTAGTAGGAATCAGCACCAGCTCACTAAGACCCGCAATACTGCCAACGCATAGCATTGAATATAGGTCCGGCCAGCGCAGAGAAACCGTTATCTTCAGCAGTATCGCAAATGGTCGCGGGAGACAGATCGACTGTCGTGTACTCGAAAAGGTGGAAAACTCACCTTGTCCTCAATGCCTGTAGCGCACACGACGACTCCTTGGAAAGGCCTCGGACACAAGTCCACGGTGCTAACTTCCTGCTCCGAGTCAAATCCCATATCGCGAGCCCATGATGGTGGCGCATCTGCATCTTCGCGGTTCCTGCTTGCTCGATCAGACGGAGCTGCTGGCCGCAACTTCACGTTCGGAACCTACATACAGCTGGTGAGCAGCAGCAGAAGATATAGCTATCACATTCATACCTTCGCAGATTTGTTCGTCCTTCGCCGGTTCATTCTTCAGATGATATCGGTTGAGAGTGAAGGAAGTTCGTGAAGGATGCTCAGGACAGTAGATGGTTATTGTGGCTGATTAGCGGTCTCGTTTGCTCCTAGGTCGAATGCTATCCGTGTGTGTGCGTCCAGAGTTCCGCAGTAGTGGTGTGCAGAGATGTGGAAAGAAGGGTGAAAGGGCCGATGGAGCACTCAAGCAACGGTTGAACGATATGGATCGCGTCCAAGCCGCGTCGCGCGCCGAGTGCAGACGCGACCGTGATCTGTGACATGTTTGTGACGTTACGCGTCAATAAGGTCACGTTCCTCTCCTTCGTTGTCTGCCACCACGACGTCGACGAGCACGAAGATGTGGTCGACGCTGCCTTCGAAGCTCTCCCTGCGGACATCCTCTACAAGTCGCCAGTCTATACGGCAATGGGCACGCCTCATCGGTACCGACGCCAGCGAGCAAGTCGAACCGAACACCCACTTCCGCATAACCCTCCGTCGCTCGGCCATTTCCCTGCGCGCGAATGTCAAGGCCACGCTCGTCGCACTCGGAATCCATCGGCGAATGCAAACAGTCTATCACACACACTCGCCTGACATTGCTGGGAAGATATTGCGGGTGAAGGAGCTGGTGCAAGTGGAGAATGTGCCCGCTTCAGCGGTGCGGACAAAGACAGAGCAGAGGCAGGAGAGGAAGCCAACTAGAGGGTATCAGAAGGTGGCCACCAGAATAGGGGAAACTGACTTGTAACGAGGTGCGTAATTCCTTGTTTTTGCAACCCATCGTTGCTAACGTCTATATTCCTGTTCCTCAGTCCTACAGAGGAGACGGTCGCTTAGTGCTGCTCGGCGGTCTGTTCTGTCTTGTCATATCATCGTCTATCTATCTCGGGCTTGCATTGCACAGCATCTATGCTGCTTGCAGGACTACATGTTCTCGATCATTTTCGTCCATTGACAAGCTAAGTGCACATACGGTGAGGTCCTTCTCGGTAGTCCTCTGCAGCCTTGCCAGCGTCTGCTACCTGTTTCTCCTGTGTTTCAGCGTGTTGTGCGAGTGGTGTGCGCCTATCTGTCAATTATGCCCAAGCATTGGTCAACCAACGTCTATGAGGCTGTGCACTCTCCTTCGCCACTTCCTCAGCCCGCCGAGCTCGTATGAACACTCTACACATCGACACTTTGGTGCACCCGGTGAAATCCGTCGCTGTACATCACGCCTACGCTGAAGTCGTTCGTACATTCTCGATCAGTCTCCAGGTGCGCCCCGCGTGGTCGTCAGTTCGTCAGTGCATCCAACAACATTGTACTAGGCAGGTCGACGAAGAATCAGCATTGCGCATCTATCCAGCAGCATCGATCCGCTGTCGTTACAGGTTTCTCTCGCCCATTCCAACGACCGGCTTGACGCGCATTACAAAGTTGATGAATTCAGCACCAGCCCCGGCGTCGACGGCGATACACCACGACCACTGCCTGTTCTTCTAGCGCAGCAGTGCGGGCCACGGGATAGTTGGGAGACTGAGGAGAAATGCGGTTGCGCTCTGTGTACAAATCGCACTGCTGAAAATCAGGGGGCACAGTCCACTACAAATCCGCCCCATCAAACTGATGTCTCAAGGCGCATTGGACAGGCTGAGGCATATGTCAGCCTAGACGTAGAAGCTCCAGAGAAATGTGCTCTCGGTTTGATACTGAGATACAGTGAGTCTATTGATGTCGCTTCAAGCCGTCACAGCACTAGTGAATGCTGATCAGTAGCCGAGCAGAGGTCAGCGGAACCAGTTGGAAGCCGTACTACGACCTGCGCGCGACGGCGGAACTTGTAGATGGGCACCTCACTCCGGCAGTTTCTATCGATTACAACGTTCGCGTAAAGCAGACTACGGGCGAAGACTGGGAGGACGCGATGTATACGTTTGTTCGAGAGCCTACGCCCGCTACCTCGAGCGTTGATGACCTATACGGCGACGGTACCTCTCCGCCTCATTCAACAAACCTGGCGACGTCGGCCTACCCAGATATGCTGGTGTCTTCCACTGTACTCGTGGGCACCACCGCAACATCTGCGTTCCCTCAAATCAACGTCGCGCCTTTGCCCGAGCGAGGCCTGTCGGCGTCGCAAATGGCTGCGCAGCCTTTCGTGCCCGTGCCACCGATCGCTATAGAAATGTTGTGGAGAGAGAGACCTTTCGGCTCGGTGTCTGCCGGTCTCTTCCCTGCTCAATCTGCTAGCTCCCTCGGTCCCGACAACTACCTTGACAGTCGCGCTTCAGATGCCCCTCCGAACCGAGGCCCTGATCCACCGCCGACGACTCAAAGTGTCAGCCTTTCTTCAGCTCAGCCCCAGACCGTCCGATGCGACGGGACTGCGCACGTCGTCAACATTGCATCTTTCCTGCTCGATGCTACATACACCTGGATATGCGCACCTCGCGTCCGCCCCGGCGCCTTTGTGGAGTGTCGTGCACGGCACTGCGGCGAGTGCACTCTCGTAGCTGGCGAATTGACGGCGTACGTCGATGGCGAAGAGGTTGCGAGGACATCCATCGAGGTACGTCGATCTCATGACTCACCAGCGTGCGCGCGCGCTCGGCGCTCATTGGAGCAGGATGTCGCACCAGGAGAATCGTTCAGAGTGCCACTAGGCCTCGACAGTGCTGTGCACCTTGTCCATCGGCGAACATTGCACACGGACGCGGACGCTGCGCGTCCGTTCTCCGAGCAGACATGGACAACCCGGCGCTTAACGCGCTACGTTGTGATGAACACGAACCCGTTTCACATCCCTACGCTTATCCTGCGAGACGCGCTGCCCGTGTCGACGTACCCACAACGCGGGCTGCTGGTCTGCGCTGTCAAGGAAATCGACGCCGACGCGGAAGAGGACAAGCCGATCACGATGGCCACTATGGCTGGAATGGGTGCAGTGCTGGGCGCGAACGTCCGTGAGGCGGAGGGTAGGCAGGGCGAGGGTGTCTTCGAGTGGGTACGAGGGCTAGGCGCTGGTGAGAGCGCCGCATTACAGGCCGAATGGATGGTGCAAGGCTCCTCTGGGGTTACATGGGAAGAAGTTACCAGATGACGCCTTGAGCAACGCGCTGTCGTATACAATATTGAATAATTGGAAGTCAGGCGGCTATGTAGACGATGAGTCGCCGAGTTCAACTCATTAGCACACAGAATTAACGAAACCGAAACCTCATTCATGAACGGGGAGCGAACTTGTGAGAACAAGCAGAACGACGGTCGACGGGCGCGAGTGTCCCGGGCGCGGACGATGCCCGAAGGGCAATCGCGTGAGGTAGATACACGAATTTCCCCTCATTATATATACCCTCCCCCTATCTCCTCTCGGCGAGGTACTATCGCGGCCGAGCTTGCGAGCTCGTCCCTGACCGTATGCTCCAACAGAACTCCATGTCCTTGACGTCCTCAAAGGATTGCGCGCCTCCGACTTGGATGCAGCGCGAGACATCCCAACCACGCTCCGCGCTTTCGCGCATCACCCGGACAGTGCCCCCGATTGCTTCTACGCTGCACATCGTTCGTCGATACCGCGGGTGGTCCAAGGCACCCGCGTGGAATGAAGTTGCTACTCTGATGCCTTCCCGAAACGTGTGCACAGCCACAGGCGGAGGTCGTTAGGCCTTTGTCCGACTTTCCCGTCTTCCGGCTGACCTTAGCTTGCCTTAGCCACAAACCTCGGTCTATTAGCTCGACATTCGTCGATACTTGCCAGTGGTCAATTCCTGATGCGGAACGCCCCTGGATACCGAGGCCGCCTCGGGGTCTAGCGGTATGTGATCATATAGTAGCTGCAAGTTCACTCTATTACATACTACTCCACGGGCAGCCCGAAGGATCGACCTCGTCGACGCTGAGGTAAGCCCGCCCGGGGCGCCTATTTGCAGTAGGGATGCAATCGCGATGCGGAACAGAGTGGCGCTACTAATCAAGATAGATGATGGCACTGAACATCTAGATACAGATCTAGTCGCCGTAGTACGAACTCCGAGTCGCTGGCCTCCTCCTGCCAGAATGTGCTACCGCCGAGCCACTGTCTTTCATACGCCATCTCTAGCGACCCGCTTTTTCTGAGTCAGAAATCGCCCACCAGTTTTGCGACTCCACATCCCGGGTGGTCGCAAGTTGTGTAGCTCGTTATCAGACCCGGCCGCGGCGAAACACGCGGCGCGCACAGGCGGGACTCTGGGTCGTCAATCCTTGTGCGCGTACTGTGGCGCTTGAAATCAATCCGGCAACAAGTTGTATTGACGGTGTCAGCTTAAACTACTTCCAGAATACTTGGGCAAGCAGCAGACTAATAGGCACAACTTAGCGAACTAGCAGAATGGGACAATATACATAACAGATTTACTTACACCGTAACAATCGCAGGACACAACCGTATCGTACAGTCGCGCAGTACAGCGGCGTACAGTGGCATGAACCATGCAATATGATTGCTTCACCCAAAACCACGGTCTGCAGAATTGGGAGAGCGCTTGACGCGACCGACGTTCCCGTCCTGAACGAGATCATCGGTGAGACAAGTTACCGGTGCGGGTCGCTTGCACGAACGAATCGACCAGGGGCCGCTCCTTGACCGCCCGAGCCCCTGGTCCATCGGCCTGAGGCTCGACACAAGCCCCTCATGCACCATGTGGAGGGTCTTGGTGTGAAACTAGGGCAATGGGGTCGCGTATGGAGCACATCTTCACGTCCTTGGCTGTAGCTGTCGGGACGCCGTGCCAGTGGCGAGCTTCGTCGTATAAAAGGAGGGGCAGAATGCTACGGAAAACCAGCTCAGCCTCTTCATTCCTTCTGAGTTCACTGAAAGTCTCGCACTGGTTGGTGAGTGCCACGGGTTTGATTCTTCTGGAGGGCCGCACTGATATTTCCTTCGCAGCGTTGCTTGATTTCCTTACGACCCTCAATCTCACCTCTTACGACCACCGTACCTCACACTGCAAATAAGACACGATGCGCTTCACCACTGCGTTCACTCTTCTGCTTGCGTCCATCGCGGCGGCACCCTCGGTCATGGCGCTGCCCACTGGCTACGAAGCGTGAGTCGTTCGACAGCGCAGCGGCTCAAGCTGAAACTGACGCGGGTTCACAGTGCTGAGCTCGAGGCACGCGACTTCCACTACGACGTGCAGATCCTTGCGCGTGCAGTGGCGGATGTCCTTGAGGCCCGCGATGCGTCGCATATGCTGATGGCTCGTGCGCCGACGAAGCCAAAACCCTCGCCCAAGTACAAGAAGACGGACCCTAATCCGCGTCCAGCTGACGCAGAGCACAAGCCGCCGCCCTACAACCCGAACGACCCGATGCCGATCCCGGGGTACCGCATCCACGACCCGGCCCCCATTGGCGGGCACCCGGCTCAGAAGAAGAAGGGTTCGAAGTTCTGGAAATCGAAGCCCTGAGTGGAGCACGCATACGTCTAGGACGTGGAGTAGATGTTGCATTTTGTAGACGATCGCTGCATCCCACTGTTCGTGAATTATGAGATTGAGGTCCCCATTACTTCTGTGTGTGCTATTGAGCTCAACTCGGCGCGTCCTCGTCCCTTCGGCCATTTGACTTCCAGCTGGCAAGCGCAGCGACAGCGCGATGCCAATCGCCGAAATTCGTCGAAGAGGCTACCCTTAGTTTCGCACATGTGACCGATCATCTGGACAGGAATACTGCAATCGCACCGTGGCGAAAAGTGCACAAGTGCGTGCCCCTCTCGGCACTAATATGAGGAGGGGAGAGCGGAGATGGACCGCCGTCTTTGTCCATTCCGCACGGCGCATGCACTACAGCAAGGTACATCTACACCCGGTTTCACCATACAGGTTGCAATCCTTTCGTCACATCAACAGGCCCTGAGGTGCATTAGCGGATTTTTAAATAAGAGGGCTCGAGATAACCCATCCTTTATTCCATGAGGCAGTCCTCCTCGAGGTATGCCCGCGCCAAAGACAGCGACCGACTAGGGTAATTGTGCACATCATTGTGCGAGTATGCAACGTCAAGTAAAATTGGGACTGAACCCAGCGAGCACGTCAGCGTCGGACTCCTTGCGCGATGGCCAAGGACCTGAAAATAAGCACGGCTGCAGGTTGGCAAGATGCTGCTGTGTAGGACCCGCCGCCCAAGTCCTAGCGCGTTTGGAGAACCGTAGACCACACCTACTTCAGGCTTGCAGTTCAAGGCCAATTTGTACAGGTGCACGGTACTCTTACACGGTTGCGCATGAGACCGCCTCATTCAGGCTAGAAATCGCCACAAAATGAGTGTAGCATTCGCACCGGCGGGGTGAAGGCACGAGCGTCGAGGTGGAAATGTTCATCGATATCGACGAATACGGACATGCGTTTTGTTCTCCGAGGAAATCGCGTAGGACCTGCACGGATTGATGCCACCACCCCTGGCAGATGCAATGACATGAGAGCTGGCCCTCAAACGGCCGGCCTCTCCCACTGCGTCCCATTTGAAGCGTCCGTTTCTAAGGAAAGGTCGCATGAGTACTGACGCAGTCAGGAAGGCCTCGTCACTCACTAGGTGCAGCGTCTGGCGGGACGTCCTCCTCGTTCACCGCGAAGATGGAGTCGACGCCGAGCTCGTACGGGCCCTCAACGCTGCTGTTCCCGCCGAGGAGCGAAACACCGACGGTGCGCACGCGCTCGCGGTACATCTGAATCTGGTCATACGAAACCTCACCGACGTTCGTCAGGACGAAGGCGTCGAAGGGAATCTGTGGGGTCAACAATGGGCGCGGTCAGGCTTGGCGGTTCAATTCACGGCGCACGCACGTAGATGTCTTCCCACCCGCCGTCGTCTCGTCGAAAGTACAGCCGATGTTGCCAGAGGTCGGTCGTGATAGGCCCGTCCGTCTGGATGTTCACGTAGTATGAGTTCCGCGTGCGGGGGTGCCCGGCGGCACGCACGCGCAGCGCAAGGAACTTGTGCATCGACACGTCGTCCATGATATCGCCAAACAGCGATGTCCTAGGCTATCGTTCCAAGCACCATCGTAAAGGGAGAACACGTCAATGAGAACAAACACCCAGCATACAGGTAGGTGCGTGCCTTACTCCTGAAGCCCGCGTACCCGCCGCGGATCCGCCCCTCGAGTCCGTGGCGGACACCGAGCCGCATCTCGCCCCAGAACTTCGCCGTCGGTCTGGAGAGCTCCGCGAGCTTTTCGTTCGACGTGGACGGTGACGCGGTGGACTCGTCCAGCGCGAAGTTGACGTTAGACATCCCGCCGACGTCCGAGTCGCACCCGGTAGCGAATTGCTTGATAGCCTCGTGGGTGTTAAAGTTGAAGAGCGTGATTGGGGCGCGGGAGGGCTCGTCCGCTCCCGTCATACGTATCACTGCGACATCAGGTCGTCTCTCAGGTCGGAATGAGGATATGCTCCGAGGCTACGTACTACGCGACGCGTTGTCCTGGACGAACTTGCTGCTCCTGTTCAGGTACGCCGAGAAACGAGACATTGCCATGATTGTAAAATACGAGGGTTGCCCACAGCCGCGAGAGCGTTTGGAGGAGAGAGACGTTACAAGGCAGGTCGCTGGAGGACTGCCGCCTTCCTGCACGGATGCCAGGCATTGCGTCACTTGCCAAATCAAGGAAGAGATAAGATAACGCTTCCGAGCGTGACGCGGTGAGCAAGATTTGACTTGCCACCATCCACTGGTACCTGCATGGGAGTTCGGGAAATGTACCAGCTGCAGCCTCAATAGCCTAGAGTGGGAGTACACTACAGCTGGCTCATGCATGATCACGACCGAATCTTCTGACTTTGCTAGACACGCAGGCGAGCTTCACCACTCATTTAGGCTCGGCCTGATGATCCCGGTATCATGCTCCCCGCCACTTAAGTTGCAAGTTTGGCTTACGACCAAAGCGTAGGAGAGCGAGCCGGCGGTGCTGTCGCGAAGACAACAGGTAAGTGTCATAATTACCATTCTTAGCATGTTAATATAACGCTGTGGCTTGCACACTGGCAGTTCATGTTGCGCTTTGGCCTTCTATTGGCTCCGCGCGCTTTGATCCCCCCTGGCTGGCCACTTTGCTACGAGTAACTTCGTTCTACGCCACGCTTTGTCGTGCATCGTGGCCACTGAACGTGTCTTCCGCTATATAAGGGGGAGCTAGAGCACACAATGGCACTCACCTCTCCACCACCTCTCCCAACATTACGCACACCCAAGAGCCACAACCACTTGATACATCCATGCTCTTCTTCCTCAAACCAGAAGTCAACCCTACTCGTCCTGCCATCAGTGATCAAGTTATGCCAGCTAGGTCCGAGACTGTGATCGTGCCGACGCACAACGGCCGAGGCTCCATTGGTCCCGACGGAAAGGAGCCCGCCTGGCACTTACTCCGCCTGGACCCTGTCGTCGTCCCTCTGCATATCCCGTTACCTGGACGTGTCAGCCCGGTGTTTGAAGGATTACAAGGGATCTCATTCAATTTGAAGGGTGCGACGCAACCTGGAATACCCTGGGATAGTAAATGGCGTGATTGGGTCTTCGACGCAATGGAGGACCCGACGGGCATCGCGCTGCCACGCCCGAGGCCGGGGATGAAGCCAGAGAAGACTATTGTGATACATCTTAACGTACGTGATTATTAATCTATCTCTTGGGAGGCCTCATGAAGCTGACGTGCGCTGAAGTGGCCGGGCTATGCATGCGAGAGGTCCTATAAGATCGCCACATACCGACCAAATCAAGACGGCATTGACATGCCGCTCACTCGATTTGAACTTCTAAGTGACCTTTTCACTTGCTTAGAAGTATACTGCAAAGTTTGTGTACGTCCCCGGTTTGTCTGTAATCCGAAACTAAGCTGACTTCACGTGTCCGCCCAGTCGTCGGAGGACTGCACTGTAGTCTCGACAAGGTGGTACAATCAGCATGGCGTCTCTGGCACCCGGGCCTGGCGGCTCGCGTTACCGGGTTACGACGCGCAGGAAGCCGGCCACGTCACTGTGGACTGTCTGTGGGTCTTTGAGCTAATGTATAGCTCGGAGAATGTGTTCATTCCGAGGCTTGCTCTCGCGGTGCAAACTGCGCCTCCGCACCAGGGACAGCCACTGTATTCGCAGCGATATGTACAGTGCAACGACTCGCAGTAATTGCTCGAAGAGAAGGGTGGCGATCACACTTATATGTCAACTATGTCGGAGTCTGTGGAATTGTTGTATGACCGTATGCTTTATGCCATGCCATTTATTGTTTCTCAAATCAGTGGAAATACTCCCCTTCGACGAGGTTTCAAAGTTCGAGGTCCAGTGCCCAATTGATAAAGTCAATACCCGATGACTCGGAGAGCGTTGTTCCCCCAGTTATCATAGAGCGTGGGGAGCGGTCATCACTCCGCTCGTACGCACACACAAGTGGGTAAACTTTGTCACGATCCGCGAGGCTGGGGATCTTCATGCTACATAGCAACCACGCGCGTTTGTGCGCTGCGGCGTCGAAGTAGTTCACGTGACCGCGTGCAGACACGTCTGTGGCTGGTTTGTTCGTAGCCACACTGGTTTAGGTACAGTACTGATAAGTACTTGCTTCACACAAGCCTTCATCTCCATCTCAGCGTCCAACGTCAACCGCATCACTGCAGTCACCCTTCGCTCCCGTACGACCTACATTCTCCTAAGAGTCAAATCCGTCACACAAAGATCGAAATAGACGTTGCGCGTACATCTCGGCTCACCTAAAATCCTTCGCGACATGCAAGCTACGCCTACTCAAGTACAATTGAACACCGAAATGACACAACACAGTCAAACACTCCAGTCAAGCAACCGTAATAGGGACTCCCAGGCCTGGGCCGTCGAAATCGACGGCAAGATCAGCTTCTTCGACAGGAGACTCCCAGATTTCTTCACACAATACATCCCCTGCGACACGCCTTTCCCAGGGTACCGTCCATGGGGTAACCCATCTGACGTATTTGAGGCTGTCCCTGTTGATGTCAAAGAGACTGCGAAATACCCGGAATTGGTATGCTTTGTCGATCTCCCGGTTCGCAGTATCTGACAGTCTCTCACAGCTAGTAGGACTGAGGAGCCTTGTGCAAGAGTTTGAGCCGGAACGCAGACCCTTGTTTGCTGAAGGCAGTAGATGTCGCGTCAAATTTCCGTTTTCCACATGGGAAGACGAGCGCAACTACACCATGCCAGGCATCCTGATGTCGTTTCCCGGTGAACAAGACGAGGGTTGGGCCGGGACATGGCATGGTATCTCAATGGTATTCGAGATCAAGCGTACCAGAGGCGAAGATCCGATTGACGAGTACGGTGTGCGGTACGGCAAGCAGGCGACGGACGCACTGACGCAACTTGCGAAGAGCGCGCGGAACCTCCTGTCGACGCACGGGATGCTCTTTGTGTACGTCGTCGGCATCTACGGCGACACCGCTCGGATCTACCGCTTTGACCATGCAGCGTGCGTCGTCTCACGATCATTCGACTTCAAGGAGACGCCATGGCCTCTCCACGAACTGCTCTGGCGTTTCTGTTACTACCAAGGGCCACGAGGAGGTGCCAGAGTAGCTAGCGCACCTCCGACATATATGCTTATTGGCGCGGATCCGTCGGTTCAGCGAGCTACCGACGAAGACCTTAGGCTTGCAGAAGAGAAGTACGCGAAGGTGGGTACAGAACCGCTTACGCTCACCGACAAGCAAGCGTGCCGATGGATCACAGTAACAAGACACAGCGAGGACGGGACGGAGATGGGAACGACAAGGTACCTAGCCTATCGCATCCGCTCTCTCAATGCGCGACTCTTTTCGCGCGCGACGGCCGTCTGGGATGCGCTCGAGGAGGGAACGTGGGAGCGCTGCGTGATCAAGGACTCGTGGAGACAACTTGAACACGATCGCGAGGATGTTTTGTACGACCGAATTCGCGGATCGTTTCGAGATCGACCATGGCACGAAGTGCTCGAGGATCATGTCTTCATGCACCGTAACGATGGGCCTAAGGAGAAGCCATCAATTCCGACCGGACCCTTCCAGGTAGACGAACAAGGCTGCTCTATGCTCCCACTAGAGTTAGAAGAGATGCTGGTCGACGCAGCGCTGGATCCTACGATCGCAGAGCTCTACGGACTGCCGGAGATATCGTATAGCGATGACCTTGGAGCGCGCGAGGCGAGCAAAGCTCTGCGTCCGGACTCGAGCAACGCTGCTGGTAACCGTGGCAGCACCGGTATTGTGGTGAGCAGTCCTGATCGGCCACCCGTGTACGGCCATCGCACCATTTGCGGTCAGTTACGGGACCCGAAAAATGCGAACTACTATGAACGGAGCCACATGCGGGTGATAATGAAGACGGTTGGCCGGCCTTTGTCCTCTTTCAAATCGACGAAGGAGCTTGTCCGTGCTCTCCGGGATGCTATCATTGGTATGTCTCCCCAGCTGCATACTCGCTATCACGCTAACAACGTATTTGGCGAACAGGACATAGGCAGGCATACCAAGCTGGCGTCATTCATCGAGACATCAGCGAAGGCAACGTGATGATTTGCGATACGTCGATCGCTTCCTTCACTGGCTTCCTTCTCGATTTTGACTATGGGTTCGATTGGAAGGCCGCGCTGAAGCATGCGGGGTTGCCAGTTACAAAGGCCAGCTGGAAGACATTCGTCGAGAAATATAATGAGAGTCTGCCCTATCGTCACCGACCGGCTCCGCCTGAACAGCAACCCGTCCTGGACCCTCATGACGCAGACGTTACAAATCCGGAGGCCAAGGCAGCTCGGGAAAAGTGGGAAGTGAGGATGAAGATGAGGGAAAGAACGGTGCGTCTGAATATTTTCATTTTCGCTCTGGTATTGATGAGTATTGCAGGGTACGCTGGATTTTATGGCCATGGAGATTCTGCACTCCTATCTCGCGCACGATGTTCGCCATGATCTGGAGTCGTTCTTCTGGCTCTTACTATGGATTGTTTCCCGACATACAAGCAACACGAGCTATCCGACCTATGGAGTCTACCTGGACGTCTTCGATACGCATCAAGAGAAATCGAGTGCGGCAAAGAAGATAACGTTCCTCATGGAATCAATGCCATTCCAAGTGAAGGATAACAAGCCATTGACGACCCTCCTCCGTGATTTCAAGCAGCTCTGCCTCCACAACGTTCCGAGGGGAGGCGAAGATCCATCAACTATAGTTCCTCTCACTTACGAGAGCGTGCTAGCAGTGTTCGACAAGGCCCTTGCCGACCCGTCTTGGCCAGAGAGCGACAGTGCGCTGCCGTTCAAGCTTCCACGAGACGATAACAGTTCGGAACCGGGGCAAGACACAAACGGCAGCTCTGCAGGGTCGCCTCGGGATAATAAACGCGCGAGGGAAGCTGACAGTGAGGACGAGGGTGATCTTGCAATGCCCCAGCGTGCTCCCAAGAGAATACAGGTAAGTTTTTCAGGTTTCGATCCTCTGTATTTCGAGTTTGGGGAGTCTGGGCAGACTTCTTAGGTCGAGTGATCAGGTGTGACTGTAATAACACGGTGTCTTGGTGGAGTATCATCTCAGAGTTGTACACTCGTATTCTCCTGCTGATGTAATCTTCAACATATGCTTTGCAATGCAATATCTGATATACCACGACTGCGGGTCCTCGCGATTCACCGTTTCTGCTTCGGACAACACAAACATCGTGACACTCAAGTCTCATATGAACGCCGCGGAAGCATGCTTACTCGCCGTGTGTTTACTATGTAAGTACTTATCACCGTGTGCCCCGCTCGCAAATCGTAAGGACGTGAACAGCATTGATCACCTCTATTGGACTTCCACTACCTATTCGACATCTCCGAGTCTCGCGTAAGGGAACAACTACGCAAAAATCAAGCAATGCACTGGTTTTGCACTAACCGCATCAATTTTTCAGTGTGCTTCGTTGTGTTACTTTAGAGCAGTTCAGATGAAGCTTCACAATAGACTTGAATAGCATCCAATATCATGAAGCACTGAATGAAAGAACCGGCGCCTGAGTCAGCCCGTAGCGAAGCACTCCCGGGGATGTCGAGCCACAGCCACGTGATCGCGTGCACACGCGTCTGTGGCTGGCCTGTTCGCAGCCACAGCGCTTCATTTCAATCTTCGACCACGACCACGCGGCAAGCCTCGGCCACCTTCGCTCCTGCACAGCTTCTCATTTGTTGACAAACGTCTGCAGTTATTGCCATATTGGTCGCACAAAGAACAAAGCAGCAGCCGCGTGTTTGTTTCAGCTCACTTCTGCGCACCCATTTCGGCCTTCTCGCAACGAGGTTCGACCACAGCCTGCCGAAAATTACCAAAGTTGGACACGTCGTTGTTCTGTGCCACCGGCGGTAACCGCCTCCTTCGCGCGATTGGCTTCCATCACACTGACTAGTTTCGCTCCATATAAAGTGCAACCATGTCGCCCCCAATGTCCCCGTCCTCTTCATTCTCTTCCTCTGCGTCCTGGACGGAAGGATCCAGCGAGTCGTCCATCTCTTCCGATTTTCCGCCTTCGCCCGACATGCAGGGTACACCGAGCAAAAAGAAATCCAGTACTGGGATCACGCAACACGAGCAAACACTCCAATCAAGCCAAGTGAATAAGGACTCTTGGGCCTCTGAAATCGACGGCAAGATCAGTCTCTTCGACAGGACTCTCCCAGAATTCTTCCAACACTACGTCCCCTGCGAATCGCCTTTCCCCGGGGACCGTCCATGGCGTGAAGCATCTGACGTATTTGGAGACGTCCCTGTTGATGGTAAAGAGACTGCGAAATATCCGGAATTGGTATGCTCTGTCCACTTCTCGTTTCACAGTATCTGACGGCCTCTTCCAGCTATCAGGACTGAGGAGGCTTGTACGAGAATTTGAGCCCAAACGCAGACCCCTGTTCGCCGACGGCAGTAGATGTCCTATTCGGTTCCCGTTCGATGCGTGGGAGGACGAGCACAATTACACTATGCCGGACATCCTTATGTCGTTTCCCGGAGTACGCGCCAAGAAATGGGCCGGGTCATGGCAAGGCATCTCGATGGTGTTCGAGATCAAACGTACAAGCGGCGAAGATCCAATTGGCAAGTATGCCGTGAAACCTGGCAAACAGGAGACGGGCGTACTCACGCAGCTCGCGAAGAGCGCGCGGAATCTCCTGTTGACACACGGGATGCTCTTTATGTACATCGTCGGCATCTACGGCGACATTGCTCGGATCTACCGCGTCGACCATGCGGCCTGCGTCGTTTCACGATCATTCGACATCAAGAAGAGGCCATGGCCTCTCCACGAACTGCTCTGGCGTTTCTGTCACTACCAAGCGCCGCAGGGAGGCGTACCAGGCGCACCCCTCACCAATATGCTTCTCGGCGCTGATCCGTCGGTTCAGCAAGCTACCGAACGCGATGTCAAGCTTGCTGAAAATCAGGGCGTGACGACGGACGAGCAAGCGTGTCGATGGATCACCGTACCAAGATACAACGATGACGGGACACAGGCGGGAACGACAACTTGAAGGTACCTGATTTATCGCATCCGCTCTCTTAATCCGCGACTCTTCTCGCGCGCGACCATCGTGTGGGATGCGCTTGAAGAGGGGACGTGGGAGCGCTGCGCAATCAAGGATGCGTGGAGACAACTTGCGCGCGATCGCGAGGACGTATTGTACGATCAAATCCGTGGAGCGTTTCGAGACCGACCGTGGCGCGAGTTGCTCGAAGACTACCTCTTCATGCATAGTAACGATGGACCTGAAGGGAAGCCATCAATTCCGACCGGACCCTTCCAGGTAGATGAACATGGCTGTGTTATGCTCCCGCCAGAGATAGAAGAGATGCTGGTCGACGCAGAGCTGGATCCCATGGTCGCGGAGCTATATGGCCTCCCGGAGACGTCGTATAGCGATGATCTTGGAGCACGCGAGGCAGACAAGGCCCTGCACCCGGACTCGGGCGTTGCTGGTGCCCGTGACGGCCTCATATCTACCGCAAACAATCCTGACCGGCCACCCGTGTATGGCCATCGCACCATTTGTGGTTCGTTGCGAGGCCCACAGAGGGCGGTATACGATGAACGGGGCCACATGCGGCTGGTAATGAAGACGGTTGGCCGGCCTTTGTCCGCTTTCAAATCGACGAAGGAGCTTGTTCATGCTCTCCGGGATGCTATCATTGGTACGTCTCCCCAGCTTCTTACTCGCTGTCACACTCACAATGTATTTGTCGAGCAGGACATAGGCAAGCATATCAAGCTGGTGTCATTCATCGAGACGTCAGCGAGGGCAACGTGATGATTTGCGATACGCGGATGGCCTTCTTCGTTGGCTTCCTCCTCGATTTCGACTACGGCTTTGACTGGAAGGCTGCGCTCATGCATGCGGGGTTCCCGGTCAACGAGGCAAACTGGAAGATGTTCGTTGAGAAGTACAACGAAAGTCTGACTCACCCTGTGCGACCTGGACCGCCTGAAAAGATCATTCCTTTCTTGGGCCCCCATACTACAGACGGTTCACCGCACACCAAGGCCGCTCGGGAGCAGTGGGAAGCGAGGATGAAGATGAAGGAAAGAACGGTGCGTCTGAAGATTCACACTTTCGTTTTAGTATTGATCATTGTTATAGGGCACACTTTTTTTCATGGCCGTCGAAATCCTGGAAACCTATCTTGCGCACGATGTTCGCCACGATCTGGAGTCGTTCTTCTGGCTCTTGTTATGGATTGTTTTGCGACACACAAACCATACGAGCTATCCAACCTATTACTCTGTTTACCTCAAAGTTTTCGCTGCGCAAGACGGAGCAGATAGCGCGGCAAGGAAGAGACAGTTCCTCCAGACCCGGATGGCATTCGAGGTAAAGGATAACAAACCGCTGATGAATCTCATCCGCGACTTCAAGCGGTTGTGCCGACACAGCATCCCGTTGGCGGGCGATGATCCGTCAACGTCAACGACGGTTCCTCTCACCTACGAAAGCGTGTTGGCCGTGTTTGACACGGCGCTTGCGGATCCGTCTTGGCCGACGAATGACGCTGCGCTACCGTTCAAACTTCCACGCAATGTCAACGGTTCGCAGCCGGGTCAAGACGACTCTGAAGGATCGCAGGACAAGAAACGCGCGAGGGACGCTGATGACATGGAGCACATTGAGGAAGAAGAGGACGACGACGATCCATTCAAAATGCATCAACGTGCTCCCAAGAGGCCACAGATCGCTTGCCCGGGCCTCAGTTCTCTGCGATTCGAGCTCGGGGAAGCTGGACCGAGTCATTAGGTCGTGAGGTGGAATCGTGTCTGGGGATGCGGTGACTTGGTGCCATACAAGTATTCTCTCAGGACTGTCCGTTGTACTATCAAATTTTGCTGTTGGTATTTATTCATGTACTCTCGAACGTCTGCTCTGCAATGTGATCTCCATCATATTTAGCATCGCGGCAGCTGCTCACGCTACTGTCGCCGCCGCATACGCCTATTTTTCTCTAGACAGACGTGGTTGGGTGGGTTGAGTATAAGTACTTAAGGGCGTGTGCACATCATCGGCCAGTGATTGGAAGGAACCCCCACAAGTACTACTTCAACGTCGCAACAAGCCTCTGCTTCGTCGAACGTGAACAGTTCGGACATTCACTACACTCAATGCGCACTTCTTACGGGGGCGCGTTCGCTAGTCCTGTGGGCCACACTCGCACATCGGGAATACGTGAACTTCGCACAGCATTATTCACCTCTATTGTACTTCCACTCTTTGATATCTCTTGCGTAGGCAAACAAGTAGGTAAAATTAAGCGGCGCATCGTGATGCTTTTATGTCGAAGCACATTGGAGCTCGGCGAACGACCCATACAGGCTGTACTCTCGAACATACTTATGTTGCGCGATGCGATCTCCATTAAAATATGATCGCGGCTGCTCACGACTCGCCGTATTCTTTGCCCCCGCAGGTCTCGACGATAACAAAAAGGCCATAGTACTGTCCATTGTCGGCGCGTCGACACCTTTCGAGCGGAAAGACAGCAGTCGAAGCACCATCACGTGGCCGCGTGCACACGCGTCTGTGGCTGGCCTGTTCGCAGCCACAGCGCTTCATTTCAATCTTCGACCACGACCACGCGGCAAGCCTCGCCCACCTTCGCTCCTGCACAGCTTCTCGTTTGCTGACAAACGTCTGCAATTATTACCATAACTGTCGCACAAAGAACAAAGCAGCAGCCGCGTGTTCGTTTCAGCTCACTTCTGCGCATCCATCTCGGCCTTCTCGCAACGAGATTCGACCACAGCCTGCCGAAAATTACCAAAGTTGGACACGTCGTTGTTCTGTGGCACTGGTAATCGCCTCAGCCACGATTGGTCTCCATCACATTGAGTAGTTTCGCTCCATATAAAGTGCAGCCATGTCGCCCCCGGGCTGAAGGTCCCGGTCCTCTTCCTCTGGATCTTGGTCGGAAGGGTCCAGCGACTCATCCATCTCTTCTGGCTCGGAACTTGCATACGACATGTACGGAACACACCCCTCGCGTAAGTCTGGGGTTGCAATTACCAACAAGAAACAAACGCTTCGGACAAGCGAAGTGAATAAGGATCCGGACTCTTGGGCAGCCGAGATCGACGGAAAAATCAATTTGTTCGACAAGAGCCACAAGGAGTTTTTCGAGGTCTACGTTCCCTTTGAGGACCCTTTTGGTGGCGCACGTCCGTGGGACGATCCCGCTGCTGTGTTTGCAGACGTCCGTACCGTGGGACGGGAGACGGCGATGTACCCAGCACTGGTGGGTCAAGTTCAATTTCATGACATCTGCCATTCGACCTGTTTATCTCCGTCTTGTAGATTTCAGGACTTCAGACGGTTGTCCATGAGTTTGAACTCGAACGCCGGCCCCAATTTGCCGACAGCAGCAAATGCGCGGTCAGATTTCCATTCTCCGCATGGGAAGACGAACACATGTACACCATACCAGACATACTCATGTCATTTCCTGGTGAAGACGACGAGGCCTGGGGAAAGTCCTGGCACAGCATCTCGATGGTATTCGAGATAAAGCCAGGAAAATGCGAGGATCCAATTGGCAAGTACAGTACAGCGGCGACGGCTGTGCTCACGCAACTAGCGAAGAGTGCGAGGAACATCATGCTGACGCACGGGAGGCTCTTCGTCTTCGTCGTTGGAATCTACGGCAACCTTGCTCGGATATACCGCTTTGATCACGCAGCGGGCGTCGCTTCCCGAGCGTTCGATTACAAGAAGGATCCGTGGCCTCTTCATGAACTGATCTGGCGGTTCTGTCATCACCGAGCGCGTGTCGGCGGCCGAATGGGAGCACCCTTCGCCGATATGGTCCTTGGCGCAGATCCGTCGCTGCAAAGAGCTACTGAAGAGGACATCAAGCTGGCCGACGAGGAATGCATAAGAGCAGGGAGGGCCCGTCTTACGGAGGACGAGAAGCAAGCATGCCGATGGATGACGGCGATCAAGTACAACGAGGATGGCGCGGAGGTTGGGGCGACGAGATATCTACTCTGCCGACTTCGCTTCCTGAACCCGCGGCTGTTCTCGCGATCGACGACAGTCTGGGACGCACTCGAGGAAGGGACGTGGCAGCTTTGCGCAATCAAGGACGCCTGGAGGCAACTCGCCCGTGACCGCGAAGATGTACTGTACGACCGTCTCTGTAAAGCGTACCGCAATCGGCCGTGGTGGGAGATGGTCGAAGACTATGTGTTCATGCACCGCAAAGACGAGCCGGGTCCGGACAGACCCTCGTTGCCTGATGGCGGTTTCGAGCTGGACGACGAAGGCCATCCCATACTCACGGAAGAGTTGGAGGATATGGTGGTTGCGGCATCGCTCGACATAGGCGTGACAGAGTTATACGGACTTCCGGACGTGGTATACGGCGGAGACCTTGGCGCACTTGAGGCAGCGAAAGTGCTCTTAAAATCGCGCAGCTCGTCGAGCTCCGAGGTAAGCGGCGCAGATCTGGTTTCAGTTGCCAGTCATGCGGATCGACCGCTTGCATACGAAGCCTACCATCGCACGGTCTGTGGGTGGAATGCCCAGAAGGCGAAATACAACGAACGGAGCCATATGCGATTGGTGATGAGCACTGTCGGCCGCCCCTTGTCGGACTTCAGGTCGACGAAGGAACTCGTTAGAGCCCTTCGAGACGCAATTCACGGTACGTTCATTTTTACTCCGTGCGAATGGCCAGTGTTATTCATTCAAGACCAGGACATCGGCAGGCCTATCTGGCAGGCACGATCCATCGTGACATCAGCGAGGGAAATGTGATGATTGTCGACGATTGGATGTGTTTCTTTGTCGGTTTCTTGCTCGACCTCGACTATGCCTTCGATTGGAAGGCGGCGCTAGGACACGCGGGCTGGCCAATTAATGAGACAAGTTGGAAACGGTTCGTCGAGGAGTATAACCGGAGTTTGCCCCACCGCGCGCGGCCTGCGCCGCCCGAGACAGAAATACCCGTCCTCGTTCCTCCTCTTGATGCCGCTTCCGCTCCAGGGGGCAACTCTGACCGGGAGATATGGAAAACGAGGATGAAGTTGAAGGAGAGAACGGTGCGTCTCACTCTCGGCTGAGCTGACTTGTACTGATTGTTTGTGCAGGGCACACTGTTCTTCATGGCGATCGAGATCCTGTTAACCTATGTCGTCCATGACGTTCGCCATGACCTAGAATCTGCCTTTTGGCTCCTTCTCTGCATGATATTGCGGCATACCAAACATACCAGCAGCCCGCAGTATATGTTGTACCTGCGTGTGTTCGGCGCTGAGAATGAACTCGACAGCGCGGGGAGGAAGCAAGTCTTTCTCAGCGGGCCGATGGAGTGGGAGATCAAGGACAATAAACCTCTGACTACGCTCGTTCGGAAATTCAAGACCCTCTGCAAGAATAATCTGCCCAACTACGATGATCCCTCGAGCGTCATTCCTCTCACCTACGAGAGCGTTCTGTCGTTGTTCGACGAGGCTCTCGCGGATCCGTCTTGGCCGGAGAATGATTGCGCTCTCCCTTTCAAGCTGCCTCGGGACGACAGCGACATCGCATCTGCTACAGGCGGGTCGGGGAAATCGAGACAGCGTAAGAAACGCGACAGGGATCCTGATCAGAAGACGGACTCTGACGAGGACGAAGGTGACCCTTTTGGTCCACGCGCTGCTAAGAGAACACAGGTTGGCAGTCTTTTGCGGAACGAAGTCGGTCAGATCGTGAACAGAGACGGTCCTTGAGTATCGTCAGTATTCACTTGCGGTGTTGTAGGAGTCCGACGATGTGCTTCCAACTATCTGCGGTATATTTTGTATTCCGGAACCAGCTGTAATTATCATGTGTGTACTGTGTACTACTGTCGAATATCACGATCAACTCCCGTTATACCTTCGACGTACTGAGTCCTCTCATGATCGCCTGGTCAATGAGTTAGTAACGATGGACGCAACCGCTACTTGGATACGTCGTACAAGTAATGCTTAACACACTGAACGCTGCAAAAGGCCACTGACAACGTACATGTCGTGATGAATGAGTGGGTCCCATGTGCGCGCACACGGGCAGCTAAGTCTCGTAAATCACACTCGTACACTGGGAATCTGAGGTGAACATTCCCACAACATTGGCTATAGGCAAGAGTGTGCGCCTCCTTCGCCTAGACAATGGGTACGAGTTGTTCGTAGGCCTTTGTGCCCCGAGCTGAAAGCACCAGGCTGTGTAATATTACCCAGTGGTTCGCTTATGCGAGAGATGTTCGATGAATGCCGACGCCTGCAAGTACCGGCTCTCCAGACCTCCTTGAGCTCCTTCGCGAGGTCCACGCGGTTGAACTCGAAACTCCAACGCGTCTCCGTGCCGTCGCGGATGTTCTCGAGTTTCTCGCCCAGCGGCGTATTCGTCTGTACGAAGGCTTTCGCCCAGCAGATCAGCAGGTATGTAGAGCGACTGCGTGGTCTCCTCGACGGTGTCTTCAGTTCCTCAGACGGCGTGTGGCCGTTGGCACAACGCGCAGTACTTAGTACTACGCGCAAAGAGACCTTGGATGACAACTGCATTTCGACGTCAGCAACTTTGAGCCTCGAATGAGTGACACATATCACACCACGCTCGCCGTACAGGTCATAGAACACCTTCTCGGCGGTCTTCTCGTACATGTAGCCAGAGCCGATAGCCACACCGAGAGCGATCGCCTTCCCTTGGCCTTGTCCGTGACATCCTGCCACACCGAAACATTCAAATGTAATATCGCCGCCCTCCTTGACGGACGTGCGCACGGTGCGGTGCACCCAGCCATCCTCCTGCGCTTGCTTCCCGCTCCCGCCGCCCTGACAGAAATCGACAGTGAGTCAAGACTGTTGTCGCGCGTGTTGAGGCCGAGGTCTTGGCCGTGAACTTGAGAGCCAGAACCGATGCATACAGTTTACGAAAACGCCATATTCTCCCTAGTCTCCCAGAGGGAGGATTTGCACGTTCATTTTGTCAAACACGAAAAGGAAGCATCGATCGAATGCAATAGCGATGACAAGCTGCTCTAGAAAGATCAACTGCACGAGCGGCCCCGTCAAGATGTAAGTATTATGAGCAATTTGGCACAGTCAGACGACATACCATTGAGTATCAGTAAAAACGACCGCGACGCGTCGGCATAGGGAATCGAGCAGGGTTCTCCTCGCTCTTCCGCGAAATGTACTCGTCGAACTGCTCGAGCGAACCGGACGGGACGATCCCAGCGCGTTGGAGATCCTCTAGGACGGTGCGGCACCAAAAGCGACACCCGGACCCGGTCTGGTCGTACATGTACCGATTCCGCGTTCGGGGTTTTTCGAGTAGCGAGTCTAGGATCTCTTGGCCTGACAAGCTCGCGGACGCTGCTATGTTTGCGGCGAAGCTGGCGGGGAGGTCTTGAGTGGCTGGGGTGTCGCATACCACCGCCTGTAGACAACCAGTCATTCCGTCGGGGCCGCCGCCTGGGAGCATGTCGAATTTAATCACGCGTCCAGACCCGATGTCGAAGTAGACGATCCAGTGTACACTATAGAGGGATTGCATGGGTATTTTCGACCAAGGAACCACCCGGACTACCGGTGATATACGACGTCTGAACGAGTGAACTTCACTCAGCACGGGGGAGTTTCTGACTTGATTATGGCCATTTCCGTATCGGGGTTAATCACCACTTATGTGACCGCATTCACCCAGTGCGCTTGACCGGCGTCATCGTCATCGATTCCAACCATCACATGGTCGACTTCACTTTTCACCTCTGCGATAGTCTAGAGTCAACAGGCAATCACACGGGCTTTGTTCCTCATGTCGCACCTCATTTTCGTCAGTCTGCAGATGATCTCCCAGGTGGATAATACCCCAGCACACGAATGAAGTTCAAATCGAATGAATGGGTGATATTGGGCTGCTACCAGTAGCGAAAAAAGCCCTGTAGTGGACAGAAAACGATACACGAATGTGAGAGCACTGGCTAGAACGACGAGCTAACCACGACCATAACTAGACATGCATTTGAGGAGGTCACACAACCAACAGCCTAGTCGCACTGCATCCCATCGTCCTCGGGCTCGTCGTCGACGTCGCCGAGATCAGCAGAACCCGATGCGGACGAACTACCTGCAACCGCGGCGGCCTCCGCCTGCTGATGAGCTGCCGCGCGTTTGGCACGGGGCTCCATGTACCCTTTGGCAACAGCATCCTTGCGGCGGTTACGAATATACTGCTTGACTAGATCGGCAGTCGCCCACGAGCACTCGAAGCGCTGAAGGTAGGGGTGCTTCTCCTCGGCCTGCATACAATCATCTCAAGCGGTGATCAACAATATGCAATGAGAAGCGACTCACTGCGCGGAACAGCTTGCCGAGCACAACCGGGTTCTGGTGCTGATAATCTTTGGACCAGTCATCATAGATGCATGCACCAGGTCTCGTATGGTCCGCTTCAGTCAACGTGTCAGTAAGTGCTTCGTGTTTGTGAGAAGAAATGCCACTTACCATTATGGCAAGATACAGCGACTTCTCGTTGGCCAGGCCCATTTCCACTCGGACCTTGTAGTCTTGGCCTCCGGAGCCTCTCGGCTTCGGAATCACCTCGTCGCCAGTGGCGCGCCTCGCCGACAGCGAAGGCGCGTTGGCTGGCATGCGGCCCACGCCATGCTCAGCCGCAGCACGAGCAGTACTCGCCGCATTCTGGGCTTCGCGCGCAGCAGCATCTTTCATGAACTGGATCTCGTTGCGCTTGCTTTCGACGAGAATCTCAGCAGCCGCGCGCGAGGCCCGTTCTTGCGTCAGCGAGTCTGCGAGTATTGTAAGTATTCTACTTCATCATGTGATGCAGGCTAGGCCCGGGGCTGACGAGATTCGACACAAGGTCTTGGCACATACCTGTCAGGCTGGCGAGCTGCTCCTTGAGAGCAACCATCTCATCCGAGAGGTTCTGCTGCGATGCCTTCAGCATGGCATTCTCGTCGAGGAGGTCCTGCTTCGTGGGAGCCCGAGCTTTGTTTGAAGGAGCCATTGCTTCACGAACAGGTGAGTCGAGTGACAGTGCTTTACGAAGGTGAATTAGCATGTGTTCATCTATATAGAGAGCATTACTGACATGATATAAAGGCGAAATGGGGCAGGACCAGCTCTGCGGGAAGGCACGATAGTGTGCCGACGGACTTGAAGTGGAAGTTGGGAAGGGGGAAAATGAGGTGAGCGATAAGGTGTACAGTCCGACAACTTATGCTATTCTACTAATTGTTTGTCCCCATTTGTTCCATCATTTTAGGGCAGGCAGCAGCGGAGCGACTCAAAATTCACCAGGCCGCGGTTGATAGCACACCCGCCTGGTACCGATCAGATCTTGTGCGCTCACACCACCGACGACCACCGACCGACATCGAACAAGCCGACAACAGGCAGTAGGTGAGCTACCCTCACTCATCCTCTGTGCCCGAGTGGCTTACTGTTAAGTACAGCTATATATCTCCAATGGCGCGGGACGATTTTGTTATATGTGGATGCTGCAACCAGTCGGTCGCCAAGAGTACCGAGCGCCGGCATCGCAAAGGGCAGGCAAAGCCACACGTCCGAGCATCGTATGCATACCAGAAGAGCATCCTCAATGATCCTGTGGGAGTGGATGAAGCACGGAGGAGCGATGTAGCTGCAAGTTTGTCATGGAAGCGAAAGGGTGCCGCCGAGGGAAGGTATGTCGTGTGCACACAATCAATGACTCGGAGTTGCAGAGAAGATGTGACCGAATATACCACAGTTCCAATACCCAAGCCCGCCGTGTTTCGCAAGCACAAGTACCATCAGGAAGTTCACAGCCACAACATCCAAACACTCCTGTAGATTCGGAGAATGCTGCAATCGTGGATATGAACATTGATGAGGTCGCTGACTCAGAGCATGAGCCAACAGGCGAGTACAGTGTACCTTCGAGGCATGATAATATCGCTGAGCGAGGCACTGTAGCAGGCTTGGATCAAGACACTGCGGCGGCAATACAACGCGATGTCTGGGGCGAGGGAGATCAGCATTCCCGGCGCTCTGTGCAAATCGAAGACTTGGGTTCCGATGACGAGGACGAGCCGGCATCTGGAGAGGACGAGCGAGAAAATGCGGAGGACAGTGCATCATATGACGAAGAGTGGTGGAACGACTACATCGACGAGATTATGGAGTCTGGGCTCGGGGAGGAAGCCTCAAACGAGTCGGCCTCACTGTCAGGCTTGTCAGCTGTGGATCAGCTTGGCGAGGACTTCGAGCGATCGTATAACACGACCTGTGAGTACGACTGAGACTTGCGAGACACCAGTATCTTACAAGTCTATCACTAGATGCAGCTTTGAGCGAGACAGACAAGGCGACCTTGCGCACGTTCGCACTGAAGACAGATGAACACCTAACCCGCCGCACCTTGGAGAAGCTACCCTTCGCCTTCCCAGGTGCCCATGTTCCTTCTGCCAACCATCTCCGCACTCGGGTCGCCTTTCTGTCGGGCATAAAACCTGTTCTTTACGATTGCTGCCCAAACTCGTGCTGCTGCTACACTGGTCCACACGCAGCCCTAGATAACTGCCCATACTGCAAGGCGCCCCGCCGGGACAGCCGCGGCAAGGCACGATCGCAATTTTCCTATATCCCTCTAATTCCGCGCCTTCAGGCATTTCAGGCGAACACAGAGATGGCGACAGCAATGAAACATCGCGCCCACGGCCACACCCACAAAGCCGATACCATATCCGACGTCTACGATAGCACCGCGTACCGTTCGAAACTGCGGCAACGAGTGCGAGTACATGACAAGGAGCTCCGCCATTGCCACTTTTCGGATCCTCGCGACGTGGCTCTTGGCCTCGCTACGGATGGCTTCGGTCCATTTCGACGCCGGAACAAGACTGCTTGGCCGCTTGTCGGCTTCAACTACAATCTACCACCGGAGACGCGGTTCACGAAGAAGAACTGGATTCCGTTTGGCGTCGTTCCAGGTCCCAAGAAACCCGTCGACTTCGATTCTTTCCTATGGCCGCTTGTTACCGAGATGCTCGAGCTTGCAGTCGGAGTACGCGCCTTCGATGCCCTCTCGCAGGTTCGGTTCCTTCTGCATGCGTATATGATCCTCGCGTCTGGCGACATCCCTGCACTATCTATGCTGCTGCATGTCAAGGGTCACAATGGCAAGTGCCCATGTCGCATGTGCGAGATTGTCGGTGTTCGCATCCCCAACAAGCCGCGCAGTCCCTACTACGTCCCACTCGATCGATCTCGCCACCCCGACGTCGCAGGAGCGAATGCGCCGCCGCGCCAATACAGCCCTTTCGAGTTGCCAAAACGGACGCATGATCGCTTCATGGCGCAGGGTCGCGATGTCCAGATGGCCCCAACAGCGGCTGAATCCGAGCGCCTTGCAAAAGAATGCGGTATCAAGGGTGTCCCACTTCTGTCCTGCCTATCGTCCCTGACGTTTCCCGACTCCTTCCCTTACGACTTCATGCACCTGGTCTGGGAAAACGTCATCAAGAACTTGGTCGCCTTGTGGACTGGTCAGTACCGCGAGCTAGACAGCGGGAGAGAGGACTATGAGCTATCGCCTGAAACTTGGAAGATCATAGGGGAAGCAACTGCTGCCTCGGGATCCACCATCCCATCTGCATACGGCCCTCGCCCACCGAACATTGATACTGACAAGCAAGCTTGTACAGCAGACTCGTGGTCCTTCTGGACCTTGTACATAGCACCTGTCGTCCTTCGCGGCCGCTTTCGCCACGAGAAGTACTACAAGCACTTCATCAAGCTTGTCAAGATACTCCATGTATGTCTGCAATTCGAGATGACGAGGTCAGAAGTGGCAGATGTTCGTCGCGGGCTTGCGGAATGGGTTGAAGAATACGAAAAGTGAGTCGATCCTGTCCGAGTTCATTCATCGGTTTGTTCACCATACGAAACAGAATTTACTATCAGAACACGCCCTCACGACTTGCTGCGTGTCCTCTCACTATACATGCCTTGCTGCACGTCGCCGACAGCATCGAGGCCGCGGGGCCTGTCTGGGCATCGTGGGCATTTCCCATGGAGCGATATTGCGGGATGCTCAAACCCGCCATCCGAAGTCGCCGATTCCCTTACACAACTCTCGCGCATTACGTCCTCGACACAGCACGCCTACTTCAGGTCAAATTAGTCTATGACGCAGCAGATGTCTTGTCATTGCGGCGCCCTATGCAGGACATGTCGACAACCTTTCCTGAATGTAAGTTCTGCGCTATCCTATGTACTAATTATCAGTAAAATCTAACTGCAAGGACGATGTCCGCCATACAGACCAAATGTGTGCCTTGTTGCCACCTTCGAGGAAAGCCGTCACGCTCGACAAAGCTGTTCATGACAAGATCATCAGCCACCTGTCTACTCGGTTTGAAGCTCCCGTTCGGGACGTCCGCGCAATGCTCAGGCCGGAAACAATCACACAATGGGGCAAGCTGCAAATCCTCGGGGGAGGTGATCTCGTCCGGTCTACGACACTCGGTGGCATCAGAGAGGACTCGCGAAATGCGTCGTATGTGCGGGTATGCTATCAATGCACGAGTCGCGGATTATCTCATCCCTTACTGACTTACTTTTTCACAGTACGAAAGCCTTGTCGACAAGTTTGCTGGACAGCGAAACCGTCCGTCGGTTTTTGAGCTTCGGACTTTCTATGGCGAGCTGCAGCATATCGTGTCTTTGGACGTACAGGTCACCGACACCGCTGGCGCGCGGAGAGTCGAAACTCTCATACTCGCTGGCATCCGGACATGCAAATTGGACGACCGCCCTTCACCTGGTGGCCTCGACATTCACTACTATACCACAACTGGTCGATACGAAGTCGTGGACATCAATAACATACAATGTCTCGTCGGGCGCATCCACGATCGAGGCCAGTGGGCCATCGTTGATAGGAGTGGTAGTCTGGCGCGTGCGATATATGTGGAGGAGGACATAAACTAATGTGCATGTATCTACTGCTGTATCCTACGAATCTAAGCCGCAGCCTGCAATGTTCGGACTCGATGCTCATGCACATTTTTGCGGCGAAACCAGCGCTTATTTTGCGTGCTGAGGCGCCCAACCGCAAGGTCGACGCGCCGCTCTGCAACGACCTCTATGTGATCCACCCACTACGCTCCTTGAGCTCGACATGGGCACCGGGCTTCAGGCCTGTGGGTCTCCTTCTGCTCAACACATATCTGGCAACTCACTCGTCGCTCAGTAATTCAGCCTTCACCTGCACTCTGCGACCTGCAGCCGCCGCCTCATGCCATGAACTGAGGTCGCGCCCGCGACCGTGAAGACTCGTTTCAATACGTGCAGCAGCCGTCAATATGCGCGGAGGGAGTGTGGGTTGTAAAAGGTGAGCATTGATTGACCCCAAACCCTTCGTAAATCCACCTATAAGCCCCCTTTCTCCAACAAGCAATTTGTCGATGCAGGCTATGCCAACATGCGCATGCTCTTCCGACTGCAGTTCTGCGTTGATGTGCGCGTTGGGGATCGGCCCGGGTGATTGCATCCGCAGACTGCTTAGGGAGAATATGTGCTCCTGTTGAGCTGGTGTCGCCACTGCCTGATCGCATGCTCTCCCTTGTTCCCTACACCTCGATGTGCCGATCCGAGCCTAACTAATCTCTTAACAGATGAGTCTGCTGTTTTTTTACATGAGCAGTCTCTCGACACCCACATCGCCGCAAAGGTCACCCGCCCGCGCTCGTCAACACTGCACTACGAAGGGCAGCCGCCTGCGCTTCTCCCCACCAACTTCGCCCATGCTCGTCCACCCGCCTGCACCTATCCACACCCACTTCGTCGGTGGGGCCACCCACCCGTGGCGGACACCTTGCCCGTGTTCCACCACTCGCGCGCACTCGTCCATACCCACCTCGCCGCGAACGTCGCCCAACCGCGCTCGTCCACCCTTGCATTCACCCACCCTTGCGCTCGTCAACCCTCCCGCCCTCGTCCATCACTTGCAGCTCTCCACACGGACCACACCCAATGCATGTCCACCCGCCTGCGCTCGTCAACACCTCGCCGCGAGGGACACTTGCCTGTGCCTTCCCACCCACCTGCGGTTCTCCACATCCACTTCCTCCCGAAGGCCACCTGTCCGTGTTTGGCCACACGCCCATGCTTGTCCACGCCCACCTCACTGCGAACATCGCCCACCCGTGCTCGTCCACCCTTGCCCTTGCATCAACCCACCCCAGCTCGCCGGCAGCGTCCACACCTCTCCACACCCAACCTTGTCCACCCGCCCATGCTTGTCCACCCGCCCACACTCGTCAGCCTGCCTGCGCCCGCCCGCCCGCCTGCACCTCTCGGCACCCACTTCGTCGCAAACGCCACTTGCCCATGTTCGCCAATCCGCCCGCGTCCGTCCACTCGCCCGCGTCCGTCCACTCGCCGCGTCCGTCCACTCGCCCGCGCCCGTCTATACCCACTCTGCCGCGAAGCAGACCCGCCCCCGCTTCTACACCCTCCTGCCCCTCTCCGCAGCCACTTCGTCTCGAAAGCCACCCGCGCCCGTCCACCCACCTGAGCTCGTCCACCTGCCCGAGCTCGTCCATCCCCCGCATACCTGTTGTGCTAACCATCGTCTCCCGTCGGGCGTCGCCAGTTTTCGCCCGGGGCCGTCCTCGCCCTCGTCTACCCGCCCCAACTTTAGTCGTCCTCGTCAACGGCGGACTTTCTGTCCGAGGAGCCGGACATCCACCTGCTTGGCGCGTTCTATACCTACAACGACTCGGACCTCGGTGTGGCGGAGCGAAATGTCTTGGTGAAGCCCGGCGCCGAAGGGCAGCTGCTCGGTCTGAACGTCAAGATGACGCGGTCACCGTCGATGATGACGATGAGCAGCATGGCTTGTCTAGCCGCATTGCGTCGCATCTCATTCCAACTCTACTGCATCACGACTCACACGCATTCACCATACCCCCTGCGCGCTGATACCTCTTGACAACATACAGGACGATGCTCGTGGCGCCGCCACTGACTTTTTTCCTCAGTATCCACCTGCTGCTCTCGCTGTCGTCGCACATGCATCCTCTCGCTCAGCCTACCCGCGCTCGTCTACCCGCTCGCGCTCGTCACGGTCCACTCCCACTTCGCCACAACGGACAGGAACATGCGCGCCACCGCGACGCGCATATCGCGGAGCTTGTCGACAGGCCGCGACACCTACTCATAGAGGACCGGAGAGCCACTTGTGAGCAGGAGGTGGACGAAGAGGTGTTAGTGGGCACCGTGTCTCAGTCGGTGGGATTGCAGTCGGACATGTAATGACAATGTAGTGCCTGTACATAACGATTGCAGATGCGGTTTATACATGCATATGTATTCGTGACAGTGCCAATCCATACATCGACAAAAACATCTACCATATGAGTGATGAGGAGCCAGTGGTTATGGCGCGCTTCTCGCTGACTGGGTGACTTGATGTCTCCGACATACACCGCTCAAAAATCCCTCGCAGACGGTTGATATCGAGAGAGGGGATTTTCGTCGGAGATTTCACTCATCAGCGGATTCACCACCCTTTCACCCATCAGTGTGGCGGGCGCATGTTTTCACTCGCTCTCTGAGTCAAAATCCCGGGTTAAGCCCGCCACAGTGCGTAGGACCGATTCAGGGTCTGCGGGATTGACGGGCGTGCCGGCGAGGGTGACGGCGAAAACCTGAGAGGTTCTACCTTCTGCAGTGAAGCCCCGTAGCCAGAGTGTAGAATCCATGCGAACACAGTTTGGCAGGACCAGTCGGATGGGACGAGCAATGAGGTTAATGAGAGAAAGAAGCGTGTATACACAACCAGCGACGCCACAACGCGGGGTTACGGACATTTGTTTGGTCATATGTACGCATCGTATCAAATCACTGCCAGTACAAGTCAGTCTTACTGTCACTTCGAGTTCGCATAATACAATGATCTTTGATTTCTTCCCTATTACCACAAGCTCCCAACAAGCAAAGAAACCGACAAGAAACTCAGCCCTGAACAAGCACACACTTCTTCCCGCCCACGTCCACGCTCTCCATAGGCCCGTCGAAAAGCACGCTATCCACGCGACTAACCAGAGAATCCCCGCCCACGCTGCTGTGCGCCCCATACGCCCTCGCAACGTCCCACTCCGAGCATGCGCTCTCAGCGGACTCGCGCAGCCCCCGGACAAGCTCGTGCGGATCCTTGCTGCCCACACACCCGACGGGCATCCCAGGCTCGGTGTGCACAGACTGCGGCGTGGCAGGGAGCGCAGGCGAGGGCGGCGAGTTCGGCGCGGTGCGCTCTCCCTCCAGGTCCAGCTCCGGCACGCGCGGAGGCGTGGTGGGGACGTCCGCGGACTGGCGGCCCACGGTCGGCACGGAGTAGTGCGACTCGCACGACTGGTAGGAGGCACCCGTGAAGCTCGCGCCGCCGCCGCTCGTACGAGGCGAGCTGTTGCGTGAGCCGGAGAGGACGGACATGGACCCGTGTGAACCACCGCGGGCGTGGCGGCCGAGGGGTGCGAAGACGTCCGTCGAGAGGATGTGGGTCACGTCCTCGAACTGACCGTCGTAGTTGGCGAAGACACGCCAGTCCACCTGGGTGCCGTTCGGTGTAGAGGGTGGCACCGGACCGTTGGGCTGACGGGCGAGTGTGGGTACGGTGACTTCCTGGTATGCGAAGACGGCAGGGTCCGGAGCGATGCTATCCTTGTTGTCCTTCTCGGAAACAGAAGCAGGATACGAAATGCTTGCGAAGGCCGCGTCCTCCGCGTCGGCGAAGCGCACCCTCTTGTTGTCGCACCTGCGGCGAACGTAGCCCAGACGCATAGGCAGCTTGAGGCGCATGCAGCCGTAGGTAAAGCCAAACATGGTGAGTACGCCGATGATCAGGAAGGCAGCGAGGATCGCAGACCGCCGAGATTGCTGGCTCCTCGCGTTGGACGAGGCCTCCGTCTCCGAAGTAGGGTTAGGATCCCACATAGATATCGTAGATGAGGACTGTACAGAGCTATGTGCGACCGAAGAACTGCCGCTGCTGGCGAATGAAGAGGCGCTGACATAGAGAGTTGTTGGAGTCGCCTCAGCTTGTGCAGGAGCTTCCGTTGATGAAGGAGGAACGTAGAGCGTCGTCCGCGAGCTGAGGACATCCGATGCAACTTGGAGATCGTCAGCTGTGGTTCCCGACGTGGATGCAGGCTGCGAGGTGGGGGCTGACAGCACATCTTGAGCGAACACGGCAGACGAAGACAAGCCAGAGGTCGAGGGACCCTCAGTCTGAGGAGGTGCGAACAAGATCGTCTGCGTAGCTGCCACCAGTGTGAGAGACCCGTCAGCGATCCGAGATGCGAGATCGGTAGCAGCCGGCGTCGACGAAGCCTCAGTGTTGGAATCCCGAGTCGTCGTCGCGGCCTCGATAGCGAGAGCGGTAGGAATCTCGAGCAGAGTTTCTGTGACCACAGAAGCAGACATGCCGGGACCGGCAGGTGCTGCTAGGACATAGAGATGCGAAGCCGAAAGGAGCAGAAAAAGGAGTGACCGGCGGTGTCTAGACATGACGTGCGGTGGAAAGATCGTGGAATGCCGTGCGGGCGTGAGGGGACTGTGCAAAGGTTAGGACCAAGAAGAGGGCCTAGAGACTCACCGGTGCAACAGCTCATATATACCATTACCGAAGGCTGACAGACTGGTGAACGCCTGTCAGCCTCTCATGTCGATCCCGACTGGCAAGCGTCTGGAGTGATACAGCCGACCGGAAGTTACTGAGCCCGACTGTTGGAAGAGCGTTGGATACATACCCAGCGCACTGAACTTCCGATCTGCCTGTGTGAGTCCCTCAAAGCCTGTGTGCCAGGTGCACTCAGGTGGCAGAAGCATCCACCGCAGGTGCTTGAGGACGTCGGACCCACATGAGCACAGAGACCCGGGCACTGTTCAAGGTCCTATAGATGATGTTTCTCGAGGCCCCCGTAGCCAGAAGGCGGCTGGGTAATGATTAATGAGTTCTCAGTGCAGGCTGAGGATGCGGTTGACGGGCAGGACCAAGGCACTTGCAGAAGTACCCGAGACTTGGCCTGAACCGGCTCATCTCGGGGGGGTCGGTTCGGATCGATCGCCAGTGAACGAATCGCCGTCTTCGAATTTGACTCTGTGCTCATCGACCTCAGGCTCTTCCTCACTGTCCATTTCATCGTCCTCGTCGTGAAAAGTGACGGCGCCCTCGCCGTCTCGCGCAGTCATGCGGTTTCTCTCATCAGCACTGAGACAAACAGCCTGGCGGTCTTTCGCCACGGCCGCGGACTCGCCCCGCATCCCACAAACCATCATCGAGAAGGTCGTGCAGAAGTACGCCGTCGACCTGCCTCCGGGAAAGGTCGTGAAAGCTGGCGACTACGTGATGATTCGCCCGGAGCATGTCATGACGCACGACAACACGGGCCCGGTTATATCGAAGTGAGTACCAGCCCAATCTTGACGAACGACAGCTCCGAATGTCTTTGCTATGCACAGGTACTTGAACAGACATGTGCATGGGGGAGCCTGCCGTTCTCTGACCTTGCTATGTCCAGCTACATTGCACGTTTCCAGAACGGCTGGCTCTTGAGTTTGTCGTGTTCATTCACCAGAGCCTCCTAACATGCTGCGATAGGTTCAAGTCCATCGGGGCTACTCGTATCAAGAACCCCTCCCAGCTCGTCTTCACGCTCGACCATGACGTCCAGAACAAGTCCGACAAGAACCTACACAAGTACGCCTCAATAGAGGCCTTCGCGAGGACACATAACGTCGACTTCTACCCGGCCGGACGCGGCATCGGACACCAAGTCCTCGTCGAGGAGGGCTACGCCTTCCCGTACACGATGACCGTGGCGAGCGACAGCCACAGTAACATGTACGGCGGCGTCGGTTGCGTCGGGACGCCGATCGTGCGCACGGACGCCGCCGCACTGTGGGCGACGGGCAAGACGTGGTGGCAGGTCCCGCGGATGGTCAAGGTCGAGTTCAAGGGCCAGCTCGCCCCTGGGGTCACTGGCAAGGACGTCATCGTTGCGCTCTGCGGATGCTTCAACAACGACGAGGTGCTCAACGCGGCTATCGAGTTTACGGGCGAGGGCGTCGCCGCACTCTCTGTCGACGACCGGCTCACGATCTCGAACATGACGACGGAGTGGGGCGCGTTGTCCGGCGTATTCCCTGTGGACGGCACCCTACTTGAGTGGTACGAGCGCGCCCTTAGGAAGCTGGAGCTGCGGACGTTTGCTTCGCCCGCGCTCGCCGCTGCTATCCCTGCGCCCCCGGAACACCCTCGTATCAACCGCCGTCGCCTCGACGAGGTGTGCGCATTGGCGCTCGCCTCTGATCCCGACGCGACATACGCGTCGCACCTCGTCTTCGACCTGTCCACGCTTGTCCCCTACGTGTCCGGCCCGAACAGCGTCAAGGTGTCGAACCCGCTCCCGGCCCTGGAGGAGAAGCACATCGCGATCAAGAAGGCATATCTCCTCAGCTGTACGAACGCCCGCCTGTCTGACATATCCGCCGCCGCCGCCGTGATGAAGGGGCACAAAGTCGCGCCTGGTGTGGACTTCTACGTCGCTGCGGCGAGCTCAGAGGTGCAGCTGGATGCAGAACGTCAGGGCGACTGGCAGACTCTCATCCAGGCTGGTGCGAAGCCACTTCCCTCGGGCTGTGGACCATGTATAGGACTGGGTACCGGTCTCTTGGAGGACGGCGAGGTGGGCATCAGTGCGACGAACCGGAACTACAAGGGACGAATGGGCAGTCCGAAGGCGCAGGCGTATCTGGCGAGCCCGGCTGTGGTCGCTGCGAGTGCTGTTAAGGGATACATCTGCAGTCCGGATTCGCTGGATACTGCTAGCCTGCCTCCTTCAGGCGCGCCCACGTTTTCGATTGCGACGCCGACATCTGCGCCTGCGTCCGCCACTGCTGCCGCTGCAAAGGAGTCCGTTCTCTCTGGCTTCCCATCGACGTTCGCCGGCTCGCTGCTCTTCGCGCCCCAGGACAACCTGAACACAGACGCACTCTACCCGGGGAAGTACACCTACCAGGACGACATCACGCTCGAACGGCAGGCCGAGGTGGTCATGGAGAACTACGACCCGTCCTTCGCCGGCCTGGTCGCGTCGATTCGCAAGGCGCAGCCATCCTCGCCGTCGGCGTCGGTCAAGCAAGGTGTGATCCTCGGTCTGGGTACAACTTCGGCACGGGCTCGTCGCGTGAGCAAGCCGCGACGGCGCTCAAGGCGGCGGGCGTGCCGCTCGTGCTGGCGGGCTCGTTCGGGGACATCTTCAAACGGAATGCGATCAACAACGGGCTCGTGTGCGTGGAGTGCCCCGAACTCGTCGCGGACCTCACGCGCGAGTACGCGAAGGACGGGGAGCGCGGTACAGGCGGGAGGAAGGGCGAGTTGACGGTGAACGAGGGCTTGGACGTCGAGGTGCATGTCGCGGAGGGCCGCGTGGAGGTGCGCTGGCCGGGCAAGGAGAAGAAGACGTACAGCGTCGGTGTCGTCGGTGCGAGCGTGCAGGAGTTGTGGATCTGCGGCGGGTTGGAGGGGTATGTCCTCAAGTCCATCCAGGCCGAGGCGTGAAGTGTGCATTGAGCGTGCAGCACACCGCGGAAGAAGTGAAAAGTACTACTACAGCGTATTATCTAGACACATTGCTACGACATCTGGACAACAATCCTTGTGCTGTGTGAGTCTGCTGCGAATAGACGGGTCGGCGGTGGGGAGAGGGCGGACCCAGCCTGGACTCCGAGTCCGTGCCGCTGCCTTTACGTTGGCCATGACCGGGACCGGCTGACCAGGCGATCACCACCGTGCCTCAGGCAAGATAGCGCACGCTCTCGCCCTCATACTCCTCAACGTCCCCTCCTCTCTAGCTGTGATCTGTTGACCGTGTTTCCCGCTAGTTGTAACTTGTGGCCATGTGGCGGTCAACATCTTGTTTGCGACTGAGCGCCACGGGGAAGCGAACTGCGACGACCATCTCGGAAAGTTCACTGGCACGGAAGAGCATAGTCGGGCGATGGACACATAGCAGGGCAATCGTGAGTTGATGCAGATCGTTGTTTCATCCTTTTTGCTGAACTAAGTGTCTCAGTCGACATCGACAGCAACTGAAGTCCTCCGCGGTCATGCTTCCTCCAGACATGCCTCGGGTGCCGCTGCGCTGAAGCCAAAACCTCTCCAAACTGACACTTCAATACATCATGAACATAGTGCCATTGCATTCAGTGATCTGCCGAGCAGCAGGATTGACGACCGGAAGGTGGTGGTTGGATGGGACACACAGACATGGTCTCGATAGTGCGTCCATGTGCTACTTCCCCTACTATCCGCGACTGACCTGTATGACTGGAGTCACCATATATGGCTCAGAGACCACTGCAGATGTCCTCAATGCTTTCACCCGGTGACGAAGCAGCGCCTTGTGAACACGTTCGAGGTGCGCAGGGTCATGTCGTCTCAGCTATCAACCACTGACCATCCTTCTCCAGATTCCCTTTGACGTCAAACCAGTAGCCGTCGATCAAAGCCTCAGGGTCTAGAGGTGACATGTAATACCCTTGCGCGTCCTCTCTGTGCCGCCTAAGTATGTCCCCCGCTCGCAGGGCCATCTGCACAACCTCATACGTCGTTCTACCCTTGGTCATGGCTTCAACGAAATTCATATGACCCTCCATTGGACCATCCTCCTCCTGCAGAGTGCGTTACGTCGTTAATGAGACCAATCCGTTATAATGACACCGAGTAGAAAGATCTTATGGGGCTCGAAAATACTCCAGGATCCGCCCACAGCGACTTACAAGGAGGTGATGGCCGAAGATGAGCGGGGTCTCTTCAAATGGCTATCCAACGTCGTATGTGTCTGTTCTATGCCACTCTGCATGTCGCTGATCGATCCATGTTCACGAAGGACAAGTTCGGCTTCTGTTTCGTCTCTGGCGTCCCACCCACACCCGAAGCAACGGAGGAGCTTTCGCGACGGATTGGTTTCATCCGGGAGACGCAATGTCTGTATGCAAGTGAAGGTTTGGATGGCCTTGTGCTAACCGCTCACAATACCAGACGGGGCATTCTGGGACTTCACGTCGGACCTGGCGAAGGGCGATACTGCGTACACCACGCTGGCTCTGGGCGCGCATACGGATACGACATACTATGTACGTCTTGCTTTCACAGGCGTAGTCGCGTCCGCTCATGGCTCTTTGTCTAGACGGACCCATGCGGCCTGCAGCTCTTCCACCTACTTGAACATACGGGCGGCAAGGGTGGCGCTACGCTACTTGTGGACGGCTTCTACGTCGCGTCGATCCTGAAGGAGCTTCACCCCACAGCCTACGGCCTGCTCGCTCGTGTTCGGGTACCGTCTCACGCTGCGGGCGAGCCAAGCGCTTTGTATACGCCGACACCTCGCTCTGGCTACCCCGTCCTCCGACACTCGGACGGCGAGCTGATCCAGGTGCGGTGGAACAACGATGACCGTAGCGTGATGAGCCATCTAGAGCCCAGTATGGTTGAGGAATGGTTCGTAGCTCGCCGCATTCCCGTTGAACTCTCTGATGCGATGGTTCCGGACAGGTACGACGCGATCAGGAAATGGCACCAGCTCTTGACGAGTGCGGACTCTGAGTACTGGATTCAACTCTCCCCTGGAACTGCGGTCGGTGAGTGCAACTATCCGACTTGGCCGTGTCATGCAGTGCTCTACTAACGATGCACCAGTTGTCGACAACCATCGTGTACTCCACGGCCGTTCAGCGTTCACAGGAAAGCGCCGCATGTGTGGGGCGTACGTCGGCGTTGATGAGTATCGCTCAAAGCTCGCAGTCCTGAGCGAGAAATACGCTCCGGATGATGTCGTGCAGGAGATATCCGCGTACGCTAGCGTGAACGGACGAAGCGTTTGGAACTCTGCCTTATAGTTTGTAAGGATTACGACACTGTATCTGTAGCTCGGTATGGATTCGTATGGCCCTTTGTACCGCATCGAGTGAATCTACGCCGTGCGCGAAATGCCTTTTTGAGCGACCCGTGTTCAGCTCGTGGTCGCGGTCGACTTCTCCAGCGTGGCCGAGCGATCTGGAGATCGATCCTCCTCCGCTTATGCTCTGCTCAGTGCTGCCATCTACTGCTATCCAGGCCACTCTCAGCTTCTTGTGCAGCACCTGCGAGTTGTCAGCAAGCGCGAAAGGGCCCCGTAACGCGCGAACTCGACCACCTATGTTCGGTCGGAAACCTGACGCGCGGGCACAGATGGCTCCGGATCCGTTGGACGTTGACGTTGAAACCCTCCCTCTGGACTCGGAGCCGCCTCGTTCACCTTCGCGTGCCTCACAAGCGTCGGTGCGTTATTGTATTCGTATTTCACATCCTGTTTCTGAGCGTTTGGATCCGTCAACCTTCGCGTTCAACTTAGAGCACGCATTACTTCTCTGAACTAGAGGACCTTGACCCGATCCTCGGTCAAATTCCGGCAGGTGCGTCAACTGTACCGCACAAGCGAGCCATGTCAGCGCTGAACACTCTTCCTTTCTTGGGTGCAAGACCCTGAAGACGCCGATGTCACCGTCAAACTCGGAAAGCGACCCTTCGCAGCTCTCGATACATCCACCGACGAAGCGGACGTCTCCGCGAGGAGCGCTGCGCCCCTACGAAATCCCAAGCCGAGGCCACACGCCGAACGCCGTGACTCCAGCAACTATCATCTGATTCCCGTCATCATCGTTGAGTTGTTCGCTTTGCATCATGGCGTCTCACTGACCGCGCGCGCAGGCCCACATCCCTGATGCGACAGTCGAACACCTCCCGTTCGGCGTTCAATGGGAGCTGGCCCGGCTGTGCGCCGCAGGCCATTTGAAGACTAGCGGCAAGCGGCTCGCCGACAGAATCAACCAGTTGACTGCGTCCTCCAACGTACAGGGCATCCCTGCGCTCCACGCCTGCCTGGACATTCCGCCTGCGGCGAACTCGACGGTCTCGAGTAGGGAACAAGAAATCAGGGCACGTACATTATCGCGCACCTTGGTCCTACGCTGATTGCTTGTGCCAGTCGCCGTGGAGGGAGCTCGACCGGGAAGAGTACGTTCTCTGGAAGGACCAGTACGGCTGCGTCGGGCACAGCACCGAGAACCCCGGGTGGATCGGCGGGCGTGTGCATTTCACTGCCATGCTCTACAGCCTCTCGCACGGCAGCCCCGACGTTCATCCTTCATTCGACATCAAGCTTGAGGCTCCAGCCATGGGCTCGTCGAACCGGTTCGCACGACGGTTTGGGTCGCATGCGTTTCTCCGCATCCGAATACCTGACGACCTCAGATTCACTGTGGATGCTACAAGGATGGGCCTAATGACCTTATTAGATTCTTCACACGGCCGTTCATAGTACATCACTGGGTGTATCGGGCGTTCTACGCGAAAGACAACCACGTCTTCCTGTACGTACCGTAGAGCGTTGGGACGGTAGTCATATTACTGTCCCTGAGGAGCCTGCAGCTCCAGCCTCTAGTGTAGAGCTCACCCTGGAACAGCTGCTTGCATGGCATAACAATGTGACACACAACCAAGGACAGGTGAGTTGAGTACTCACTACAAATAACATTGGCTTCATGTATATGCAGAGCATGACGAAATGGTCCGCTCGCTTTGCACTTGGACTCTCAAACTCAGTTCCTGGACTTCAAGTCAAGGAGGAGTGCATTCATGAAGTGAATGACATTGGTATGTAGCACTACTTGTTATAAGTCTTATGCAAGTTCCTTCATGCATGCATAGTCTGTGCTGCCTTCAATAGACAGCACAAGGTGCCCAGTCAGATGGTAATGACTGATGGATGTGGTCTGACCTCACGCAATGTGTTGAGAGCACTTGCACAATTGCTGGGGTGGAGTGAGGTTCCAACAGCAATCCAGATGCGCATTGCTGGAGCAAAGGTCAGTGACCATTGCCTCTTTTGTCTTGGATCACCTAATATGGCAATTGTACATATAGGGCCTCCTGATGTCACATCCTGCCCCCATCTTGCCCAACATGCCTTTCCATATCTCATTACGACCTTCCCAAATCAAGATTGCCCTGTCAGGCTTGGGTCATCCTATAGACCCAGCCATGCTCACTATAGACATCATCAAGCCTGGGCGGTTAAGTACTCCCTCACGACTCTCAGAAGAGACCATCATCAACTTGGCAGAGAATGGAGTCCCACTCTCCAGCTTTGTCAAGTTGATGAAGGATGACCTGCAGGCCAGGGTAGATGGTCTGACTCAGTGGTCCCCACCATTCTCTGTATATACTCTGTACAGGAATGTGGGAAATGCTGAGTCAGTGACCACTCAGAGGCTGATAAGGGAGGCTGCTGGTACTGCCCGTGCAAAGGGCTATACTAGCCGTGATGTGGATGAGCAGGGGAGGGATGAGGATGTGGATGAGGATGGGCTGGATGAGTTGGATGAGGTTTTGAAGGAACAGTCAACTGCATGGTGGGCAGATCCAACCAGTGGATGTCCTTCAACCATTGCAGAGACAGTTCTTGTGCTTCTTGACTCTGGTTTCCTCCCTGACACATGCCCTGTGCTTGCATCCAAGCTGAAGAACTGCGTCAAGATGGTCATCAATCAATGCAAGAACAAGTGTCACATCACTGTGCCTATGTCATGCACAGTATTTGTTGTCCCTGGTGAGCTACTATTTTCTATATCATTCATGTGCCTAGATTCTATTGTAGATCCTTGCAACATCCTTGAACCCAATGAGGTTCACATCAAGAGCTCATCCAGGAACTTGGCAGACCAGGATGGTATGCAAACTGATCTTGTGCTTGGAGATGTCTTGGTAAGCATCCATGCTCAAAAGAGAACTCAGTTTCATCATACATCCAATAGGTTACTCGACATCCATGCAAAATTCCCACTGATGTCCAGAAGGTGAATTCGGGGATGCCAGGTCGTGTCGTCGTCGTCAAACAACTGACACCCACAATATAGGTCACTGCCGTGTACAAGCCCGAGCTCAGCAACTATGTTGATGTCCTTGTGGTATCTACGAAGAACCACCACTACAATGGTCGGCCCCTAGATAGACATTTAGCTAGCATGACCGGTGGAGGTAAGTCCAGTAACACTCACCACGATCATCAGCATCATGGCGCATACACAGGCGACTATGACGGAGACACCATGGAGGTGTTCTGGGACCCGTCCATCGTCACCCACTTCACAAACGCCGACCCGATGTTCGCTCAAGAGCCTGCAGAGGTCCAGGCAGCGCTCAGCAAGAATCCCGAGACTGTCCCAGATTTCCTACAACGTACCTCTGGCTGTAGCGCCGACCTCAAGCTTGTCGAGATGCAGAGGTATCTCCTCGGATCTCTGCAAGACGTCTCTAGGGTCGGCACCTATTCGAATTACTGGTTAGCTTCAGCATACAAGAATGGGTATTCAGACCCGAAAACGATCTTCCTGGCACACATGTAAGCCACATCCGTTCCACCGGTCAAGAGTACGACTCACCTTTCTCCAATCACAGGTTCACCAACATCCTCGACGGAGCCAAGACGGGTGTCACCGTATCCAACAAGGTCTTCGAAGAGCACAGGAAAACCTTCCGCTCACTCCCGCTCCCCTGGACCCTCGCGCAGAAGCAGTCGAGGAACCGACACGAGTTCGTCGAGGAAGACGACATCCCCGCCAAGCGCGGCACGGGTCTCCCGCCCTTCATCCTCGAGCTCATCTACCGCGAGCTCATGCACCAGTGCGACGCGCTCGACAAACACCTCGACACCATCTTCCCCGAGAAAGACCCGCGCACCAAGGCCCCCCTCGACAAGCACCTCACCGCGCCCTGGGAAGAGGCCGTCGCCCGCGCAGAGCAGGTCACGGCGGCGCGCGGGGACACCTGGATGCAGAAGGAGCTCGACGCGATCCGCGAGCACGTCTGCGCGGTGTACGCGCAGCACGCGCTGCGGGTCAAGGGCATGCACGCCTCGCGCACCAGCCACGGCCGCTCGCGGTCCAGCTCGAGCCGCCGGAAGAGCAAGGGCGGCGCGTCGTTCTCGGACCGGCCCATCGAGCAGCGCCAGGACATCTTCCGCGAGCTCTCGAAGATGTTCGAGGACGGCCCCGCCGCGCTGCCGGACGGCAGCGCGCTCCTGTGCTTCGACAAGCCCGCGATACGCAGGCTGCGCGCGTCGTACGCGTACATTCTCGACCGCGACCGGTCGTGGGGCGGGTGGTCGCGCTTTCCGTGGGACGTCGCGATGCGCACGCTGTGCGAGATCAAGGTGGAGGCTCTCGGTGGCGGGAAGACGCTCAGGGAAGAGTTCTACTATAAGATGACGATCCCGAAGTCGTTTGTGAAACAGACATGAGAACGGAAGAATTGGACGGACATACCATGCGGACTGCGAACGGAGGATAGGTAGCACAGTGTGTTTACCTGCTTGTATTGAGTATCGATTGCTTGTAGATAGTCTGTAGTTAGAGGTTTGACGAAGGAATGTACGAACCTCGGTACGAGCAAACGATTGAACCACGCCCTCAACTTGCCACAGCCTCACGAACCTTCACGACGACACAACAGACCGACTGAGATATCGATGCGATGGACTATTCTATATTCCAGCTAAACCAATGCGCAACGAGCGTCGGCACGTCGGGGACAAGGCTCCGAAGGACGGAGGTCACGTCACAGAAAAGATGGAGAAAGAAAGATGTAAACAGGGGAAGAGGACCGAGACCGAGACCGACGGGGCGCGAATTTGTACAGAGTAGGATATACCGACCAGAAAACCTTCTTCAACAAACAGAGCATCCACGACGGTTAAGGTTTAAGGGGTAACATGTCTTCGGTAAGCGGCAGGCAGCGGTGTAGAGTACGAAACGGCGCGAGGGAGGATAGTGTGTCTGTGGAGCAGGGGACGAGAGCGAGGCGAGGGGGGGTGGAAGGCGCGGGAAGCCAAGTCTAGAGAATGATGCAGCCGGAGCAGCATCCGCCTACGTCGTCTTGGTCTCCCTTGCCAGAGCCATACACACCAGGCCCTGACGGTGCGTTTGGCTGCACACCCGGGCGACCGGTTTGTTGCTCCTGCGAATGACATCAAGAAAGCGAAACACGGGGGGCAGATGTGAACGCACCTTGTTGTACCGTCTGATCTCACGCACAAGGCTGCAGAACGCCTCGTCGACGTTGATCCGCTGCTTCGCCGACGTTTCAATGAATTTGCAGCCAAAGTGCTTCGCGAGGTCACGGCCCTCTGCAAGCAAATGTCAGCGGAGAGGCTAGGCGAAGAGGCGATGTCTGAGCGTACCGTTCATGCCCACCTGCCGCTCATACTCCAAATCGCTCTTATTCGCGACGACGACAACGGGGAACGAGTCCTGGTCCTTGACACGCAGGATCTGTTGGTGGAACGTGCTGATTTCCTCGAACGACGGGCGCGACGTGATCGAGTAAACGAGCAGGAAGCCCTCGCCCGTGCGCATGTACTGTTCGCGCATCGCTCTGACGGGAACATGTAAGTGAAAGAGAGGGCTTCATAGCGGGGGTGGACGTACCCGTATTCTTCCTGACCCGCAGTGTCAAGCACGTCCAACAGCGCGACCTCGTCGTCAATCACGCATTGTTTCCGGTACGAATCTGCAATGGGCAGAGTATCAGTGAACCGGTCTCAGCACGACATGTCCGAATGTTATTGCGCAGTACAGGGGAACACATCGGGCGATAGGTCAGAACAATGATAGACAAGCTCGACGTAGCGCCCATGCCTGGAGCAGGTGCATTGCGTCCGCCGCATCGCGATACTCCCAGCAACTGAGCTCCCGCCGAGGGATTGTGCGCCATGAGCCCCCGCGACATCTCACCGGACTCTAGATCGCTTGGCAATGGCGTCCAAGGGAGCATGACAAGGTCATGACGTTTAGGTCAAGCTTTGGTGCGCTGCCCGAACGTGCCCGCCGCCAGGTCTCTGGCCACACATAGCTGCACCACTCAAAGGTGCCTTTCATGCCCAGCAAGATAACAGTGCTGAAGCTGCGATATTGGGCAGGCTAACACGGTCACTACCAAGCAACGGATGCAAAACGACTCACCCTCAATAGTCGGGTCATACTCGTCGACGAAGTGGCTTTGAATAAACTGGATAGTCAACGCTGACTTTCCGACACCTAAGACGCGGTAATTGAACACGGATATAGGGGAGCGTTGTCAGTCGACGTACCACCACCGCCGACGACGACAAGCTTGTACTCCCGCAAGAACTGCGCCTATGAGAACCGTCAGTTGCTATCCTTTCCACCTATCTTTGCTACATACCCGAGACATAACTGCAAGATAGAAAGAAGAAGAGCGGAAGGTGTAGAGGGACGACGAGGAGGGGCGATCCGCGCTGCAGCAAGGGGCGGATGCAGTGTCCCTATACGAGCCGGGGGCACCTGCCAAACAAGGCCAAATGTTTCGCCTGTCCCGGACACGCGCTCGTCTTGCTCCCCTCCATCATCTCTCCTCGCCCACATCTGTCCAACACAAACACGACATCTCTCACACACACCTGTACCCCGAACTTCGAAGGGCTTATCTCTGCACAGCGAGGTCGTAAGCACCATACGACAGTCTGAGGAAGGTGGCGCAGAACGGCTCTGGAGGCATACAGTCCTAGACGCGAAGTCGTGGGCGCAGAGGATTCCCCCCGGCAAGTACACCGCAAGTATGTATTCAGTTTGCGATGCGGATATATTATTGCTCGATATGTCAGTGCCATACACGTCTCGCGGCCCCGGATACAGACGTCGCCCACCGAGGCTATGGACGTCTTGACGCTCGAAGTGCATCAACGCCACCAGGTCACCCATCGTCTCTACATCCTAGCCCTTGAGCTGCGATCTCATTACACATACTCTGCGGGCGTTCATATGAGCTTGCGAAGCTTCACTCCATCTCAAGGTCGCAGACGTCCCTGACTGTCGCCATTGGGTGCCGATGTCCACCAGGCTGTGTTAGAAGTCCACCGGGTGCTGTTATGTGCGGATTGCGGTCCTCGAGTTGTTCTCAAGGCACGATAACATCGAACTTGCTTTTTTGGTATCCTGTGAGCTGATGAACAATGGCAAAGTGTCGAATCTATCTTCAATTCATCATACTCGCGCGAGTGTCGGAACATGGGAAGTCTGAGATATCCGCGATTGGATACTGCCGGGCCTTGATCAACAGGTCAGTAGAGACACACACATTCCTCGCGCGATAAGAAGGGCCTGCGTTGTCATTCGGCCTCGAGTTAATTGCGGTCATACATCGACAGAAGATACATAGGCTCTCCATAGCCCGGTCAGTCGAACTTTGACTTTCGGCGCAACAGGCGGAACCGTCGACCGCTGCCAGTGTGTCGTGCAAGGCATTGCTATGTTTCCACTCGCATCATCACCGAACCCACACCGACGTCCTTCCTGCGGTTGCAGCTGCGAATTTCATGAGTCACAGGCTGACAGTCCGACATGTTCTCATCTTCATCGAAGTGGGGAACACGGGCCCGGTACGTCTATACATACATCTACATCTACCGCCTATGCACACCGACACCGTACACGAGTCCTCCAAGATACACGATACAGCGATATAATACAACAGTGAGTGTGGGTGTAGGTGTCCGACGTGACAAACGCTTGCAAGGAAATCAACCGCGAACGACACATCTCAAGCAGCCTCAGGACAACGAACAGAATAATGAATGATCTGCGGGAGAATGGATTGGAACGAAAGCCCGACATCTACAGCATGCTTGTATGCACGGAAAACCCATCAGATATACCCACCCGGGGAGACGACCACGCCCCCCATCTTCGACGAGCGGCGCACCACCGTCATCCTACGGCCGGCAAGTAATGGGACGGACCCATCGCCCACGAGGCTCACCGTCGACGGCGACTTGAGCGACGCGACGCTCGGCATGCGCGCGGAGAGCGCCTCCGCGACAGCCTGACACCGTTCGCCGACGCTGACGCCGCTGCGGGAAGTGCAGAGCTGAGCGCATGAGGGTCGGGCGCGGCCCGCGGATGTCGTTGCTGGATTGCGAACGCGGGATGGCGCGTGTGGGCGCAGGCTTGCCGGGCATGCCTCCGCGGAGGGGTGGCGCTGACTGACGGACTGGGCACGGCGCGTAGCCGTGCTTGACCGTACGTTCGGGGGTGCTGCCGCCTTGGGAGCCGGAGCTGGAACGTTGGCCTCAGGCCGTCGTGGACTGTCCACCACCGCTGCCACGTTGGGTGGAGCGCTGCCAGTTTGAATGCCACTATTGACCGTCAACGGCGAGGGCATCCTCCCATTCGCCTGCGCACTACTCCTCCCACGCCGCCCTCAGCGCCCTCGGGTGCGGCGGCAGCCCACGGAAGCTCGTCGTGCTGGACGCGATAGAGGGCGCCCTGCTACTGGGTGCGCTCCCGCTCGTGCGACCGACGCGCGGATCGAACGTACCGGGCGCGGGCGCTGACAGCAGAGATATGAGGCTGCTCGTCGCTCCTGGCTTAGCTCCCTGGCGCGCGCTTCGAGCTGTGACACCGCGCACAGCGGCTAGCGAGTCCGCACTAGCAGGTGGGCATCGGCTTGGACGAGCGAGGCAGGCCGTGAGATGGAGAACAGCGCAGCGCAGTGCGGGGGCGAGGTGACCACCGCCCGCGCGGCATCTCGGTGGACGATGCGGGCTTCGGGAGAGTGATCGCCCTGAGGGCTGACGACGGTGACGATGGGCGCCATGAGCGGGCTCCGAAGCGGCTCCTCGAGCGGAGGCGGCTTGTGACGAGCCGCAAAAGGGACTTCGTCAAACGAGCGAGGCGAACCGCGCTGTGCATGAAACCGGGGCGAGCCATGTGCAGACGGTCGGGGTTTTGCATATGCGCAGGCTTGGGCGAGGTTACGGCCGACCGCGGGAAGGTATATCGCGAGGGCGACTTGTCCGGGCTCTGTGGTCTCGAGTTACGCTTGGGCGGGACCGGGGGCTTCAGCGCAGCGAGCGCGTCGCTCAGGTCTACGTGCGCCCTCCGCCGAGACGAGACGTGCGCGATAGGCAAGGCGGTGAGGTACGCCTCGGCGGTCGTGTCGGCTTTGTACGTGGAGTCGATGCTCAACGAGGCTTTGTGGTCACTGAGGCACAATGTCCCGGGAGGGTCGATGGGGGAGGTGCTCGGTGCGAAGAAACTCTCTGAGTCGCCGGTGACTTGCGGGCCTCCGAGCGTGTGGTTCCCGATGACCGGTGCTATGATGCGGAGCGTGTTCAGCAGAATGACCGCGTTTGCTAGGCCTGCAGCGTGTGATGAGTTGGGCTCAGTCAAGATACTGACAAGATGCATACCTAGCGTGCCGACGGTGGAGTCGCCAAAGACATGCAACCCGAAAGGCAGGTCTTCATTCCCCGCCACCTCCAACAAGGCAATCACCATATCTGCAAGGTTCAGCAAGATGAAAGCTGCGCTACAGTCAGACGCGAAGACAAGTCGAGTCAGTTGGATGCTACGGACCTACTGGGTACCTGAGTCGCAAGCATCGATTAGCCAATGAAGTCGGTTTTGCATCGGAGACCTACCAAAGTAGGCTTCTCGCGACAGTCAGGATGAACTGCTGATACTTCGGATCACTGCCGTCCATGTCCAATGAACGCTTGCGGTCCTCGGTGTTGAAATTGAGCCTCAGTCCGTTGCTCATGGAGATGGTACCGCGTAGGACGAGGTAGACGAGAGTGTAGAATAGTATCGAGGTGGCTATCGCAAGGAACACCTGACAGCAATTGTGTGAACTACAGGTAACACTGCCTATAAGGCGAAACACACGTACAGGAATGACTTGGAAGAACAGCTGAAGGGCAGGGTAGGCCAGCGAAATCCCACAAGACATGCCGTCGAAACCGTATAGCGAACCATGGTTGTCGTCATCAATCATGGCGGGGATGATACCTGAGGTACCCATCTAGCTCAGTCTCGTAACTTGGTGAATGAAGTAATACGGACCCATGACAGCTGCTGCCGCCCAGCCCGATACAACAGCCACCCGCAGAACCAATCGGCAATCGACGACGACACGCAAGCGTGGTAAATGCATGAATGGCAATTGCTGATGTGAAATAGGAACTAGCTGTGATGCTGAACTGCTTGACAAACCCTGCAAATGTGATTCGTAATGAGTTAATGAGCTCTCCGCGATGTTGATGTTTTTACCTTGGGCGGTACAAAGGGCGTCTGGAAGCATTGTCAGTAAGACTGCATACACATTGGTCGCCGGAATACCTTGTCGTACGCCGCCTATTCCACCCAGTATGCATTGAAAATGAACGCGATACTCATCAAGAAATTGCTCAGCAACAATGACACGGTATAGGCTCCCAGTTGTGTCTGAAAGAAGGAGCGCGTTTCTTGAGCTTGTTCGCGTCCTCCACGTCGCTTCGCCATGAATGCACATAAGGAAAGGCGAGCCACGTATGCGAGGAAACCTCCAACAGCCAGAATGGATACGATAGCGAAGACGATAACGGCCTGTTGCACGACCGCTTTAGCGGTTAGAAGAGTAGCAACTGAATGTAGACTCACCACCAGCGAAGCTGCCTCCGCAGAAGTGTATCGCCCGGTAGCCTCCCAGATGTCCCGCCAAACTCCCGCATGGTCGAAGAACTGTCAGTGTAAAACAAGCATACAATACGAAAAGCAAGAGCTGAGGAGGTCTGTCCCCGACAAGGCCGTCCCGTGTAGAAACAGCAAGGAGCTGCCGACGATGCCCTGCGTCTGGCGAGAAGGTGCCCAGAAGTGGACGACAGGAACCTGCCTGGAAGAACGAATATAAAAAGGAAAGCGGCCCGTTACCAGCGCGAAAGTGCGTTGAGACCGAGCGGGAAGAGCTCAACCGCGCCGTAGTCACGTCGTCAGCTTCATAGCGAGTTTAGTTGCTTCGATGGCAGTACTATGGCGGTGCATCATAAGATGTGTCCGGCGTAACTGACACGTATGGGAACCCACGATGAGTTGACAGACAGTGCGCCGTATACATGTCGAAGCGACCATCGCAGAGGTGCGAGCTGGTGTGTAGACACGAGGTGCGCGCCCCGACGCATGCCTCTACTCCATTCCTTCGTTCTACAACAAACCTACATGCAGAAGGATATTAAAGTGAATAAAGATAAGTCGATCAAAAGAAAGGATGTCATCACGTCAAACGTTGGCGCGTTACTTTGCGGAGAAGAACTTGGCTATGCTATCGGACTGTTTTGGCCGTCCCCCTCTCCTCGTGGTCGCCGGTTGAGCCTGTTCTCCAGATGAAGGTCGGAACTTGCGAGGGGAACCGACGGAGCTGAGTTGCTTGGACAACTCCTGCGCATAATGGAAGTCTTTGTGTTCCACGCGCAGCGCCTCAAGCGCTTCTTGCATGATCACGTCTTCCAAACCATCATCTATCAAGTCTCCAGGCAGGGATATGCGCTTGCCACACTTGTCGCACGTGAAGTAAGTGGTGCCGTCAGGGGAGCCAGCAGCAACGTCGCTGTTGCTTTTCTGCCGCACGAAGTCCCGCCCGGTGTCCTCCGTGTCTTCGTGCGGGTCCCTCTTGCGTTTGACAGGGACGTCTGCACTCTGGGCCTGCTTTGACGTCGAAGGTGGCTTGAGAAAGCCATGGATGCTGCGCTGCCCTGCCTCCATGGCTTCGACCCCTGTAAACCCGAGAGCGACGTTTGTGATCTTCATTGGTGTCGTTCGGGAGGTATCAGTGCCTATAAGCTCCTTCCAGAGCCTATCTCCCGCAGATGTGATCACGTCAACGGATGCATCGCGTGTGAACGGGAACGCTGCCTGTTTTGACCGCGACGCGTCATAGCCTTAGCGATGGCCACCCAGTATCAGGATGAACAGGGGTATGCAGAGACGAAGTGAAGCGACGAACTTTGTCGGGCATGCAACACCAGCGTCTTCGGCCACAGCGCGGCATCTCTTCCCTAGCTTCGCGCAGGCGTAGCGCCAGCTCCGCCGCGAGCACTCTGATCCAGTGGTGCCCCTGCGACGTCTTCGTGATCGGGTTTGGAAGATTCTTCGATGCCATCATGCTCTTATTGACTGCCGGCTTCTCCTTGACTGGTTGGTACATAGTCAGCCGAGACAGATTGCGGGGCAGAATGAAGACTGTCCACACCTTCGGACCGGTCTATGCCTCTGGCGGCGAGGACTGGGGTTAGCAATTCAATACATAGCTGGTTCAGACCACACACCGGAGATTCGTATACCCAGATAGACTCCTCGCCAAACTTGCGTTGCATCTCCTCTGTAATGTGAGGTTCGAAGGTATTGCGATTCGTGATGATCGACTGACTCACCTAAGGAAATGCTCCTGACACAGCGTGAGTGCTGGTAGCGACACCTCACACAGGCACTCACAGTAAGTCACCAACGGTAGATGCTTCATATTCTTCGGCGATGGCTTTCCCGAGTTTCCCTCCGAGAAAGCGAATCTAGCAGTCAAGCGCTGAGTCTCAGTCGAGGTAGATTCTGTGGCGTGACTTTGACCTTTTGGAATGGTAAGGCCTGAGGTAGTTCGGTATTGCCAAATTACGCAGGATGCTCTGAGCATGCCAAATGTGCATCACGTCTCGTCGCGCTAGGAAACCTTCATACCTGGTTGTTAGGTTTCTTGTATGACGCGATGAGCTGTAGAGCTTGTCAACAAGACGCGTCTCAGGATATAGGGTTGAACAACCTTTGCCAGAAATTTATTCCTAGCTATACCCTGGCGCTGGCATAAACAAACCGCTTCCAGATCCAGAAGCCACGACTCACCGCCGATGTTGAGTAACCAAGTTTCATGTAAATGTCATGGCGAATCTTTCCCATTAGCTCAGCGGCGATGGCGAGCGCAACATCGTGCCAAGTAGTCGTATCGACGTTATCGACACCCTTATCGTCGGCGTCCGAGACGTCTTGGTCACTGGGAGCTTCTGCGTCTGCTGCAGAGCCTCCTGACGACGTGTCACTAAGGGTATCACTACTCCTAGGTCGTCCCACATGATAGGCGGTGGGGGCGGAAGAGGACTGTCAGCGCCGTTTGGTGCATCTGGAGGGACCTGTGCGAGATAGGGGTATCGTCGAAGGATTTCTTCCCGAATCGGCCCAGTGAAGTCAATGAAAGCCTCGTCTATCGACGCTTTCTCTGCGACACGTTCGTTAGGGTGAGTCGGTAGAGTAGACGTGAATGCATACCGATTTCGCCAGTAGGGAGACCTTCTTGGAACATGCGGATAACTTTCATACTTTCTCGTCGGTAGTGATCCAATGACACCTACGCCAGTGCAGTATATGAGAGTGTCGCTGACCGACAGGGCAGAAGCTGAGAATCTCACCTTATGTGTTAGGGTATCAGGGTTCTCCCAATATCCAGGTTCCTTCTCCCCCTCCTTATAAGTCGCGACATGAACGACAACCAGTTCTGGGCACTTCTTTCTTGCCTCCTTGATCTTTTCCATACGTGTAATGCCGAACTTGCGTGCGGGGTAATTCACGGCGATGAGGGAGTCCCATTGCTGGACTACCAAAGGCCGCGATGGGTCAATTCCTAGGCGGACCTGCTCGCACGCAGCGTAGAACGCGTCGCTGTCGCACAGCGCTATCACACGTAGAGGATCCTTTACTCCAAGATTCCGCGAGTGTAGTTGGCGGTAGGTGATTGTAGGGTTGAGGTCGTAGAAGTCGGCTTCCGCGCCTGACTGTGTGGCCCTCCCCTTGCCTTTCCATGAAACAGGTTTCGCGGTCGTATCAGCGGCCATGAGATGACCTACGGATGTATATTCTCCGGGCTAGTCGTTCAGATAAAGGCGGTTCGAACAAGAGGAGGGGGTCTCCGGGCGGCGGGAACGAGGAGACGCGTTGAGCCGCTCAGGTCGCGCGGTGACGCCACAGACGCGGCGGGTACGCTCGATCACGTGGTGGTACCTCAGCGCGGCGGGTGTTGTACAGGTCAATGTACTTACTAGTACATGTCCGTTCCGGTCATTGGTATATAAGTTGATGGGTTGTATTGCAGCGCAGAAGTCCGAGAGTACATAGATAAGCAAAAGTCGCGAGACGGAGAGGGCAGCGGCTACATTTACGGCAGTCTGGACAGAATATACTCGTCGTACACAACATCACATATCGAGGTGAGGACACACAATACTTAGTTTTCCTCTCCTGAATCGCTCACTTCGAAGCGCAAGGGGCTAGGACGACCTGTCTGCACCCTCTTGGGAGCAGGCGGAGGCATTGCCCATGGATCAGGCCTGACATTGTTCGCGCCTTTCCTCTGCTCCGCTTCCCGGGTGCGTTTCCTGCCCTCATTCGACGTGCGAGATTCATCGCCACTAGGGCCGCCAGCCGCGGCAGACTCATGCTTCGACTTCGAGGTGTCACTATCGTTTGGAAGCTTGAACGGTAGGGCGTGGTCGTTCTCCGGCCAGGATGGATCCGCAAGGGCCTCGTCGAACAAAGCCAATACGCTCTCGTACGTCAGAGGGACGACAATCTTGGAGGGGTCGACATATGTGGGCATATTCTTGTAGCAGAGGATCTTGAACTTGCGAACGAGTGTGGTCAGAGGCGCGTTGTCTTTGATTCCCCAATTCATGGACCTAGAGAGAAACCTCGCTTTCTTCGCCGCGCTGTCCTCTGCATCCTGTGCGCCGAATACCGAGATAAACACGTGGTAGGGCGGACAGCTTGTGTGGTTCGTGTAGCGCAGAACAACCCACAGCAAGAGCCAAAAGAATGACTCCAGGTCGTGGCGAACGTCATGGGCGACATACGTCTCTAGTATCTCGATGGCCATGAAGTAAAGTGTGCCCTACAAAGACGGTTAGTCTAAGTAGCTGGCCATTCAAACGCTAACTCGGAGCACGCACTGTTCTTTCCTTCATCCTCATTCTAGCTTCCCACTTCTCTCGGGTCTCCTTGTTGTCCTGGCCCAAATTGTCTTCTTTTCCAGGGCCAAGGATGGGGGTATCTATCTCAGGAGGCGCAGGCCGTTCAAGATGAGGCAAGTTCTTGTTGTACACGTCGACGAACTCCTTCCAGCTTGCCTCACTGACCGGCAAGCCTGCGTGTTTCAGCGCGGATTTCCAATCGAAGCCGTAGTCCAGGTCGAGCAGAAACCCAACGAAGAAACACATCCAATCATCGACAATCATGACATTTCCCTCGCTGATGTCACGATGAATCGTGCCTGCAAGATATGCCTGGCGATGTCCTGGACGTGAATGAGCGCCATTGACCAACACACGCAGCGAGGAAAACATACCGTGAATTGCATCTCGAAGGGTCCTGACGACTTCCTTTGTCGACTTGAAGCTCGACAGAGGACGACCTACTGTCCTCATCACCAATCGCATATGGCTCCGTTCGTTGTACTTCGCTTTCTTGCTACCCCTCAGCCAAGCACAGACCGTACGATGATAGACGTCGTATGCAGGCGGTCGATCTGCACTGCTGGCGACCAGATCGAGGTCTGCATCGCTTACCTCCGAGTCGGAGCCTGATGAACTGCCCAAACTCGAGAGGACCTTCGCTGCTTCACGTGCGCCGAGGTCTTCGCCGTATACCACGTCCGGTAGGCCATACAACTCTGTCACGCCGATGTCGAGCGACGCCGCCACCACCATCTCCTCCAATTCTTCCGTGAGTATGGGTGGCCTTCGTCATCCAACTGGAACCCGCCATCAGGCAGCGAGGGTTTATCCGGACCTGGCTCGTCGTTGCAGTGCATGAAAACGTAGTCTTCGATCATCTCCCACCACGGCCGGTTGCTAAACGCGTCGCGAATGTGGCCGTACAGCACATCTTCACGATCACGAGCCAGTTGTCTCCAGGCTTCCTTGATAGCGCAGAGCTGCCACGTCCCTTCCTCAAGCGCGTCCCAGACCATCGTCGATCGCGAGAACAGCCGTGGGTTCAGGAAGCGAAGTCGGTAGAGTAGATATCTCGTTGCGCCCACCTCCAAACCGTCTTCGTTGTACCGTATCACGGTCATCCATCGGCACGCTTCCTTCTCGTCCTCCGTGAGACGGTCCCTCCCCGTCCTGGAGCATTCCTCGTCGACCAGCTTGATGTCCTCATCGGTAACTCGTCGAAGCGATGGATCCGCGCCAAGGACCATATCGGTGAACGGTGCTCCCGCTAGGCCTCCAGCGCGCGCTCGCTGATGACAGAACCGCCAGATTAGTTCATGAAGAGGCCAGGGATCCTTCTTGATATCGAACGCTTGGGAAGCGACTCCCGCTGCGTGATCGAAGCGGTAGATACGAGCCATGCTGTCGTAAATGCCGACGATGTACACGAACAGCATGCCATGCGTCAGCATGATGTTCCTCGCGCTCTTTGCGATTTGCGTGAGTACGCCCGTCGCCAACTTGCCGTGTTTCAACCCATAGTCGCCAAATGGGTCTTCGTGTTTTCCTGGTTTGATCTCAAAGACCATGGAGATGCTTTGCCACGTACGTCCCCCCGTATCATCGTCTTCGCCCGGGAACGACATCAGGATATCTGGCATTGTGTAGTGGTGTTCCTCTTCCCACTTCGGGAACGGGAACTTCACGCTGCATCTGCTACCATTGGCAAACAGGGGCTTACGCTGGTATTCGAACTCGCCAACAATGCTCTCGAGTGCCTTGATCTAACCAGAGAGTCAGACAAGACTTCCCGATGTGGCAACGCAGCTGAACATACCTGAGCTGGGTACCTTGCGGTCTCCGGTCCCGAGGAAGGGACGTCTGCAAAGACAGCAGCTGGATCGGACCACGGACGCGAGCCACCAAACGGATTGTCGAACGGAACATAGACGTCAAAGAAATCCTTGATATCCTCATCGAAGAGGCTGATTTTGCCGTCGATCTCGGCCGCCCAAGACTCCTTGTTCACTTCGCTCGACTGGAGTGTTTGCTTCTTCTGGGTGATCGAAACGTTTGACTTCTGTATGCGCGGTGTTCCGTACATGTCGTGTGCAAGCGACGGGGTAGAAGAACTGGGTGAAGTGCTGGACTCTCCAGTCCGGGATGATGAGGACCGCGACCTTCGAGGCGACATGGCTGCTCTTTATACGAAGCAAGACCACTCAGTTTGATGAAGAGCAGATTCCAAAAACGTAGCTACCGGTGGAACAAAACAATGATATGTCCGACTTTGGTAATTTCCGTACGCTGTGGTCAAACCGAGGCCGGGATGGACGCGCAGAACTGCGCAGAAGTGAGCTGAAACGAACACGCGGCGTCTGCTTTGTTCTTTGTGCGACTAATATGGTAGAAGATACGGCCGCTGGTAAGCAAATCGTAGGCTGTGCGGGAGCAGGCGGGAGCGAAGGTCGGTCGAGGCTTGCCGCGTGGTCGTGGTCGAAGGTTGAAATGAAGCGCTGTGGCTGCGAGCAGGCCAGCCACAGACGCGTGTGCACGCGGCCACGTGATGGTGCTTCGACTCGTTCTCCTCAGTCTGACGATCTCTCCACTCGAAAGGTGTTGACGACGCGCCGACAATGGACACTACGGCCTTTGCCGGGGGAACATGCTACGGCGTTTTATGAGCAGCCGCGATCTAGTCTCATGGAGATCGCATTGCGCAATATATATTCGAGAGTACATGCATGGGGCTCAGCAGGAGAATTCGAGAGTACGACGGTTAGTCTTGAGAAAATACAGTATCCGTACACCAAGGCGCCGCATCCACAATCATTTCCCCCCTTCATTCGAGAACTTCAGTCAGATTCTCCGGGCTCAAAGTTGAAAGAAGCGAGAGCCTGACAATCGACCTATCGCCGCTTGAGAGCACGTTGTTGCATTCTGGCAAATGGGTCGTCGTCGTCAATTCGGTCCATGTCGTCAGCTTCACTCGTGCGTTCCTCGTCCTGACGCGATCCTGCAGAGCCGTCTTGCCCCGGCTGCGAACTGTTGACATTGCGTGGAAGCTTGAATGGCAGCGCACTGTCGTTCTCCGGCCATGACGGATCCGCAAGCGCCTTGTCGAAGACTGCCAACACGCTCTCGTAGGTGAGAGGGATTGTCGCTGATGGTTTACCGCCCCTCATCATTGGCATGTTGTCGAAGCATACTTCTTTGAAGTCGCGGATGAGAGTCGTCAGCGGCATGTTATTTTTTACCTCGAATGCCGTCCAGGTCTGGAGGAACTGTCTCTTCCTTGCCGCGCTATCCCATCCCTCTTGCGTACCGAAGACTTCCAGGTAGATTCCGTAAGCAGGATAGCTCGTATTACTTGTGTGTCGCAGAACGACCCACAATAAGAGCCATAAGAACGACTCCAGGTCGTGGCGAATATCGTGTGCGCAATAGGTCTCTAGGATTTCAATAGCCATGAAATCTAGCGTACCCTGTGATGTCGATCAATATCGTTACGAAATTATATAGTAGCTTCAGACGCACCGTCCTTTCCCTCATCTTCGCCTCCAGTTTTGAAGTGTCTGCGCTATGAGAGCCGAGGAGAATCGTCTGTTTGGGCGGCGCATGTCGCCTAATACAAGGCAGACTTTCATTGTACTTCTCGACGAACATCGTCCAGTTTGCCTCGTCAGCCGGCTACCCCACCTGCTTGAGCGCGGCCTTCCAATCGACTCAGAGCCGCCATAAGTAGTCAAGATCAAGAAGGAAGCCAGCGAAGGAGGCTGTCCACGTGTCGCAAATCATCACATTGCCTTCGCTGATGTCTCGATGAATGACGCCAGCGTGGTATGTCTGCCTATGTCCTGTTCGCCAAATAACATGTGAGCGGGACAGTGAGTATGCAGCTGCCAGCTGGGGAGACGTGCAATGATAGCATCCCGGATGAATCATCCACAACATGCACTGGATCAGTCCCGCCCTTCGCAACTCACGCGATCCTCGTGACCTCATCGTCATTATCGAGGTCCTTCACTTGGTGACAGGAATCGTCTGTGATGCGAGACAGACCTACTTTCCGAGGCCAATCCTTGACCGCGGATCGTAAGCACTGCAAAATTTCAGTAGAATGACTTACTGACCAAGTGTTCGGTGGCAGAAGCGACTTCCGTCGATGTACAGAGGCCACCGCCGACGGACTCGGACTTAGGCTTCGTCATACCCCGAATACTAGGATTGGATGGTCTGTTCCACCACCACATACCCTATGGAAGTCTCAAAGGTGCGCAATACGCTGCAGGGCTCTTGAAATGGGTGGGACATCACGGCGAGCACAGTCAGTGGTCGTATAAAAAGAGCAAGGCTGGATGATGATGCAGAGTCTGTGTTCATCCAACGCATTCTCTCAACAAGATAACCAAGATGTTGTCTCCCAAAGTTTGGTTCAGTGAGCAGACACCGTCGTCACGCCTTTGCAGATAGCTCATGATCAGTGCTCACAGTTACTGGATCTTCTACTAGTAGCGGGTTTGGCCGGGAACTAGTGTTGGGAAAGGGCGATACCGCCGTCGCCACGCTTAGAAACCCACCGGACGTCGCTGATCTCGCGGCCAAGTACAGCTCCGACCAATGTCTGGTCATCAAGCTCGACGCGTACGTGTCCGAGCCGCAGGAGGTTACGTCCGCGTTCCATGACGCCGTGCAGAAGTTCGCCGAATACGGCATCCTTGCGGAGGTGGAGGGAACACCTGAGGAGCAATCGCGCGCGATGTTCGACGTGAACTTCGGGGCCGCGAATGTCAACAGGGAGGCCGTGCGCATCTTCCGCGGCGTCAAGCCATAGGGCGGCCGGCTGCTGCAGATGAGCTCGGTCGCCGTCTACACCAGCTCTGCATCCTTGGGTCAATACGGTGCGAGCAAATGCGGTGAGTGTTGAACCAGGGTGATCACATGTCTAGACCTGACAATCTTGTACGACCAGCATTCGAGGGCCTGAGCGAAGGGCTTGCCGCTGAGCTGGATCCCGATTGGAATTTAACGGCAAGCCCGGATGCAAATCATCGGCATCGAGCGTCCGGTTGATATGTCGTCGTTGCAAATCACTGATATCGAGTCCGTGGGTTTCAGCACGTCAGATCGCGGAGTATCTTCCGCGTGGACCCTCAAGCCGACGCTAGCACCGACCATCGTCAGGAAGCATCTGACAAGCGATAGCTACCCTCGGGGACGCCGTCAGCTGCTGGAGCGGTAGACGTGATCTACAAGATAGCCACGCTGAAGGGCCGTCCTCTGAACTTCCCCGTGGGGAAGGATACCGTTGGAGCGGCCATGAAGAAATCTAGCAAACTGCTTGCAAATGCGGAATAATTCGCGCCGTGATCGGGGCAACCTGACCGTGGCTGCCTGAAGACAGCGACGTGTCGTCGGAAGGAACAACAAATAGATTGTATATACGAAACTTCAGTCGGAGAGCTCATACCGATGGGTGTGAGGCATGATTGTGTACCTGTGGCGTATTGTGAGCACTGAGCAATGACGGTCACAGTATAATGGAGATCGCATATTGCAGAGCATACATTCCTTGCATACATGAATGGCTATTCGAACTTAAGAGTATAGTGCGGACAATCCTGAGAGGATACTTGTACGCTAAGACACCACGTTCGCAATCGCATTTCCATCGTACGACCCAAGGCCGTCGCCGTTGTCTGGCAGATTCCCCCGTCTCGAAGCGCAGAGGGCTGAGACCCTGTGCCCTCTTGGGAACAAACGGAGACACTGCAAAGGCCAGACCGTTCTCGTCCTCGTCCTCGTCCTCGCCATCATTCAATGAACGCGATCCTTGCCGTCAGCTCCCATCGTGTGCCCTTAGGCCCGTCCTCGCTCCGACGCGATCCCACAGAGTGACCTTCAAGTCCGATCAGGACTGTGGACTGTTGCCATCGTCTCTAGTAATATGTAGCCGTCACACACGGAGGCTTACCCTGCTTGCGGCCCCGGTACTTAGTACTCAGGCCTCAGGCTTGAAGATAGTGCTCGACTAGTTCCCTCCATGTCCGATCCGGCTATTGGTGTATAAGTTAATGGGGTGATATTGCAGCGCAGAAGCCCGAGAGTACATAGATAAGCAAAAGTCGCGAGACGGAGAGGGCAGCGGCTACATTTACGGCAGTCTGGACAGAATATACTCGTCGTACACAACATCACATATCGAGGTGAGGACACACAATACTTAGCTTTCCTCTCTTGAATCGCTCACTTCGAAGCGCAAGGGGCTAGGACGACCTGTCTGCACCCTCTTGGGAGCAGGCGGAGGCATTGCCCATGGATCAGGCCTGACATTGTTCGCGCCTTTCCTCTGCTCCGCGTCCCGGGTGCGTTTCCTGGTCCCACTCGATGTGCCGGACGACCCGGACTCATCGGCGGCAGACCCATGCTTCGATTTTGAGGTGTCGTCATCTTTCGGAAGCTTGAATGGCAAGGCAGGGTCATTCTCCGGCCAGGATGGATCCGCAAGAGCCTCGTCGAACAAAGCCAAGACACTCTCGTACGTCAGAGGGATGATATCCAAGGAATCGCCAGGCTGGGCCCTGTGACAGAGGGTCTTGAACTTGCGAATGAGGGTGGTCAGCGGTTTGTTGTCCCTGATTTCCCAAAACATGGGTCGATTTAGAAACAAAGACTTCTTTGCCGCGCTAGACGTTGCATCTTGTGCGTCGAAGACCGAAAGAAATAGCTGGCAGGACGAATGGTGTGTGTGGCGCGTGTAGCGCAGAACCGCCCAAAGTAAGAGCCAAAAAAAAGACTCGAGGTCGTGGTTGACATCGTGCGCGACAAACGTCAGCAGTATTTCGATGGCCATGAAGTAGAGTGTGCCCTACAAAGTCAGTCAGTCAATGTATTCGGTCGCAAAGACTCGTGATACGTACCGTTCTCTCCTTCATCCTCATTCTTGCTTCCCATTTCTCCCGTCTCGTCTTATTGTCCTGTTCCGAGTCAGCTTCTTTGCCAGGGCCAAGGATGGGAATTTCCAATTCAGGCAGCGCGAGCCGCTCAAGGTGAGGCAGGCTCTTGTTGTATGCCTCGACGAACTCCTTCCAACTTGCCTCATCGACCGGCCTGCCTGCGTGTTCCAGCGCTGCTTTCCAATCGAAGCCATAGTCCAGGTCGAGCAGAAAACCAACGAAGAAACACATCCAATCATCGACAATCATGACGTTTCCCTCGCTGATGTCACGATGAATCGTGCCTGCAAGATATGCCTGGCGATGTCCTGGACGTGAATGAGCGCCATTGACCATACACACGCAGCGAGGAAGAACATACCGTGAATGCATCTCGAAGGGTCTGACGATTCCTTTGTCGACTTGAAGCTCGACAGAGGACGACCTACTGTCCTCATCACCAATCGCATATGGCTCCGTTCGTTGTACTTCGCTTTCTTGCTACCCCTCAGCCAAGCACAGACCGTACGATGATAGACGTCGTATGCAGGCGGTCGATCTGCACTGCTGGCGACCAGATCGAGGTCTGCATCGCTTACCTCCGAGTCGGAGCCTGATGAACTGCCCAAACTCGAGAGGACCTTCGCTGCTTCACGTGCGCCGAGGTCTTCGCCGTATACCACGTCCGGTAGGCCATACAACTCTGTCACGTCGGTGTCAGCGACGCCGCCACCACCATCTCCTCCAATTCTTCCGTGAGTATGGGTGGCCTTCGTCATCCAACTGGAACCCGCCATCAGGCAGCGAGGGTTTATCCGGACCTGGCTCGTCGTTGCAGTGCATGAAAACGTAGTCTTCGATCATCTCCCACCACGGCCGTTATGGTAGTAGTTGCAGACGTTTGTCAGCAAACGAGAAGCTGTGCAGGAGCGAAGGTGGGCGAGGCTTGCCGCGTGGTCGTGGTCGAAGATTGAAATGAAGCGCTGTGGCTGCGAACAGGCCAGCCACAGACGCGTGTGCACGCGGCCACGTGATGGTGCTTCGACTCATTCTCCCTCAGTCCTGACGATCTCTCGGATCTCCGCTCGAAAGGTGTCGATGCGCCCACAATGGACACTATCTGTGGCCTTTTTATGTTTATCGAGACCTGCCGGGGGAAAATGCTACGGCGTTTTATGAGCAGCCGCGATCATAGTCTAATGGAGATCGAGAGTACATGTATGGGGTTCAGCAGGATAATTCTAGAGTACGACGGTCAGTCTTGAGAAAATACAGTACTCGTACACCAAGGCGCCGCATCCGCAAACATTTCACCCCTTCATTCGAGAACTTCAGTCAGATTCTCCGAGCTCAGAGCTGAGAGAAGCGAGACTCTGACAATCGGCCTGTCGCCGCTGGAGAGCACGTTGTTGCATTCCGAATGGATCGTCGTCGTCGTCCTCCTTCTCCTCAATGCCGTCCATGTCGTCAGCTTCCCTCGTGCGTTCCTCGTCCTGACGCGATCCTGCAGAGCCGTCTTGCCCCGACTGCGAACTGTTGACATTGCGTGGAAGCTTGAATGGCAGCGCACTGTCGTTCTCCGGCCATGACGGATCCGCAAGCGCCTTGTCGAAGACTGCCAACACGCTCTCGTAGGTGAGAGGAATTGTCGCTGATGGTTTACCGCCCCTCATCATTGGCATGTTGTCGGAGCATATTTCTTTGAAGTCGCGGATCAGAGTCGTCAGCGGCATGTTATCTTTACCTCGAATGCCGTCCAGGTCTGGAGGAACTGTCTCTTCCTTGCCGCGCTATCCCATCCCTCTTGCGTACCGAAGACTTCCAGGTAGATTCCGTAGCAGGATAGCTCGTATTACTTGTGTGTCGCAGAACGACCCACAATAAAGCCATAAGAACGACTCCAGGTCGTGGCGAATGTCGTGTGCGCAATAGGTCTCTAGGATTTCAATAGCCATGGAATCTAGCGTACCCTGTGATGTCGTTCACTATCATTACGAAGATGTATAGTAAGCTCAGACGCACCGTCCTTTGCTTCATCTTCGTCTCCAGTTTTGAAGTGTCTGCGCTATGAGAGCCTAGGACGGGAATCGTCTGTTTGGGCGGCGCATGTCGCCTAATACAAGGCAGACTTTCATTGTACTTCTCGACGAACATCCTCCAGCTTGCCTCGTCAGCCGGCCACCCCACCTGCTTGAGCGCGGTCTTCCAATCGAAGCCATAGTCAAAATCGAGAAGGAAGCCAGCGAAGGAGCTGATCCGCGTATCGCAAATCATCACGTTGCCTTCGCTGATGTCTCGATGAATGATGCCAGCGTGGTATGCCTGCCTATGTCCTGTTCGCCAAATACATTGTGACCGGGATAGTGATAATGCAGCTGGGGAAACGTACCAATGATAGCATCCCGGAGAGCATGAACAAGCTCCTTCGTCGATTTGAAAGAGGACAAAGGCCGGCCAACCGTCTTCATTATCACCCGCATGTGGCTCCGTTCATAGTAGTTCGCATTTTTCGGGTCCCGTAACTGACCGCAAATGGTGCGATGGCCGTACACGGGTGGCCGATCAGGACTGCTCACCACAATACCGGTGCTGCCACGGTTACCAGCAGCGTTGCTCGAGTCCGGACGCAGAGCTTTGCTCGCCTCGCGCGCTCCAAGATCATCGCTATACGATATCTCCGGCAGGCCATACAGCTCTGCGACAATGGGATCCAGCGCTGCGTCGACCAGCATCTCTTCTAACTCTAGTGGGAGCATAGAGCAGCCTTGTTCGTCTACCTGGAAGGGTCCGGTCGGAATTGATGGCTTCTCCTTAGGCCCATCGTTACGGTGCATGAAGACATGATCCTCGAGCACTTCGTGCCATGGTCGATCTCGAAACGATCCGCGAATTCGGTCGTACAAAACATCCTCGCGATCGTGTTCAAGTTGTCTCCACGAGTCCTTGATCACGCAGCGCTCCCACGTTCCCTCCTCGAGCGCATCCCAGACGGCCGTCGCGCGCGAAAAGAGTCGCGCATTGAGAGAGCGGATGCGATAGGCTAGGTACCTTGTCGTTCCCACCTCCGTTCCGTCCTCGCTGTGTCTTGTTACTGTGATCCATCGGCACGCTTGCTTGTCGGTCAGCGTGAGCGATTCTGTACCCATCTCCGTGCACTTCTCTTCTGCAAGCCTAAGATCATCGTCCGTAGCTCGCTGAAAAGACGGATCCGCGCCAATAAGCATATTTGTCGGAGGTGCGCCAGCTACTCTGGCACCTCCTCGTGGCCCTTGGTAGTAACAGAAACGCCAGAGCAGTTCGTGGAGAGGCCATGGCGTCTCCTTGAAGTCGAATGATCGTGAGACGACGCACGCTGCATGGTCAAAGCGGTAGATCCGAGCGGTGTCGCCGTAGATGCCGACGACGTACACAAAGAGCATCCCGTGCGTCGACAGGAGGTTCCGCGCGCTCTTCGCAAGTTGCGTCAGTGCGTCCGTCGCCTGCTTGCCGTACCGCACACCGTACTCGTCAATCGGATCTTCGCCTCTGGTACGCTTGATCTCGAATACCATTGAGATACCATGCCATGTCCCGGCCCAACCCTCGTCTTGTTCACCGGGAAACGACATCAGGATGCCTGGCATGGTGTAGTTGCGCTCGTCTTCCCATGTGGAAAACGGAAATTTGACGCGACATCTACTGCCTTCAGCAAACAAGGGTCTGCGTTCCGGCTCAAACTCTTGCACAAGGCTCCTCAGTCCTACTAGCTGTGAGAGACTGTCAGATACTGCGAACCGGCGGGAGATCGACAAAGCATACCAATTCCGGGTATTTCGCAGTCTCTTTGACATCAACAGGGACAGCCTCAAATACGTCAGATGGGTTACCCCATGGACGGTACCCTGGGAAAGGCGTGTCGCAGGGGATGTATTGTGTGAAGAAATCTGGGAGTATCCTGTCGAAGAAACTGATCTTGCCGTCGATTTCGGCGGCCCAAGTCTGAGAATCCCTATTCGCTTCGCTTGAGTAACTGATTTGATTGTGCTGTGTGGTTTCGGTGTTGAATTGTACTTGAACAGTTGTAGCTTGCATGTTGGTCGCGAGGAATGTGAGGTAGGCCGAGATGCACGCGCATTGAACGTCTATTTCGATCTTTGTGTGACGGATTTGAAGCTGTTTCAGTGGAGTGTGAGTCGTGCGGCAGCGAAGGGTGGCTGAAGTGATGTGCTTAATGTTGAACGTTGGTATAAAGGCTTCAAGCACTATGCCGAGTAAGCTGTGGATACGAACAACTTTCCAGCCACAGACGTGTGCTGGCGCTCGGCCACGTGGCAGGCAGTTCGGGTAAAATTACCCAATCAGGAAGGCGTCGGGCCACCGATCGCTCTCCCGATCCTACACCACTGTTGTAGCGCTCGCATCCTCGTGTTGGCCGTCACGGTCACGGTACTGCCTATACGTCGGCAGATCGACAAGCGTTCTACTTGTTACGCTCTGGGCCTGTTATGCCATTCTACATCTAGAGCGGAAGTGTGATTGTCTCCGCTACTGGTATGCATGCAATTAATATGATTGCAGAACGGTTTAAGTGACACTTACAGGCCCGGGCGACAGAGCCATCCGACCTCTCGGAGCGACCTTCTTGTCATGGCGGACACTTGATGTTCATATCTTGGGTGTCTCAGCGGAGGTTGGTCCGTGACGGAAGCCTGCTCACTGTTGGAACGGCTCAGACTCAGGCCGGCATGCCTGGCTTCAACTTGAAGATCTTTGAATCAGACAACAGGATGCGGGGCGTACTGAAGTACGTGAAGTCTGGAAGATACGCGCATGCATACGGGCTGAACATAGCAGACTGTCTATGCAGCCACTGGCGCGCGGCAACGCAGATTTCTCGGACGTAGACATCTCGCAACGTGCATACGGCCTGGTACGTTGTAGTTTGTAGTCGGCGATTGACTCGGAGCTGACGATTCCATGAGTATGAATAGGTACTTGCAGAAGTTGGTCTTCCTAACGGTCACTAGTGCTGGCGATTCCTACTGCAATCATCACTATCTACGACTCGCGAACTCAGTCTGCGACGCGTAGTTTCAATATCGTGAAGACCAATTGCTGCACACCAACGCCGCATAGTGGCTCGCAGTCAGCAGGAGCCAAATTTCAACAACTGTGCTTCGGATAGGGCGACATGTCATGGATGTGCGATGTATCGAAAGTTCCGTTGATACAACTCAACTGCGTATGTCGTCGAGCAAACCTTGTCTTCTCTCTTCTACTCAGGTCCGCGACACTGCACACTGCACCCTGTCAGCCTAGGACCACAATCACTTGTCACTGACCATAAGGTTGGCGACTCACAATCGCCGCAAAATGTCACTACTTCGCCTTCCGTCAAGCACGACGCCGCTCTTCTGGTCACCGATAAGACATGTCAAGGCCTTACGGGGAAGCTGGTGGGAGCGATGCAGGCATGCATGCATCCAGACCTAGACACCTCCGTGCGTTGTCCGCTTGGATGGGAGTATGGCTGTGCACTCACGAGCAGCGGCTTTAGCGTACTAGTCTCACGCAGACGGACATGTATATTCAAATCATGTATATATATCGTGAGTGCAGGCTGCTGTATGCACCGACGCCCATCGACGCGGAACCCTATTGCTTACAGAATGTCTCTTCAGGCTGCAGTTTGCGCATCTATCGCCTTTGGCTTGTTGTATTTCGTCCGCGCTCTCTTCGATCGTCGCCGACGTGTAGGTCATGCTCTCATTCCTGACTTTGTGCTTGTTGGCTGACTCTCTCTTAAAGATGTCCGACATTCCCATTGTCGGCGGGTCTTCGTTCCCCATCCTCTCCTACGTCGGCGCCATACGGTCCATCACAGCCGCGGCTAGCATCATACATGAGGGCTATACTAAAGTACTATATGTCTCCTTGTGGCTCTGTCCTTCGATAGCTGACCATATTACCATCAGTACAAAGGACAATGCTTCAGATACGCAGAACCCGGCCACTGGCGTGTCCTCGTTACCTCCCGTGCAGCCGTGGAGGAGATCGCACGCGCCTCAGCAGACGTGCTTTCCTTTTCCGCCGCCGCGGCCGACGTAAGTCTGAACGCTTCAGCCTGTGTAGACGGGCAAGACCATATTTCGGCGGACGAATACTGATTCGTTACACGCACAGTCGGTACAAATCCCGTACACCCTGGGCCCAAACATTGCTCTCAACGCGTACCACATCCCCATTATCCGTACTCGGCTCATGCGTGATCTCCCACGGATGATAGAAGATTGCGGGACGAGATCACATGTGCGTTCGCTGATGAGATACGAAGTGCCGATGCTGGTGACGGTGAGCCTGCTTAATTCTGTTGCTACCCTGCCTTCATGTTAAAGATTTCGTCGCACTGGCAGATTGGATTAGTGTACGTCCCAAGGATATGTCATTGCAGATCGTGTGTCGGGTCGCCAACCGCATCTTTGTTGGTCTGCCAGTGTGTATGTGTAGTCAATCCACCTTTGGTCTTGGTATCGTTACTGAGTCGTACGTATCTGTACAGGCAGAGACCCCGACTATCTGGCGGTCAACAAAGGTTTCACGATGGATGTTGTCCTTGGGAGCTCCCTCATCAAGCTGTTCCCTCGGTTCATGAAACCGTACGTTCTCGATGCCCCGCGCCACGTCCCTTGGGCTAAGGCCTTCATCGGATTGAATGTTCCTCGTCAGATTTGTTGCGAAGTTCTGCACGAACATCCCAGGCAGCATCAATCGTGTCGTGCGCCACTTGGAACCGATCATTACGGAACGCCTCCTACGTGCCGCGGACGTGAACCGAGACCATCGGGATGAAGAGAAAGACCATCCGGTCAGTCTTTGTGCATGCGGTTGGCCAGTCAACTGTGATGACTTGTCGCTGATCTCCCACTTGATGGTCTCCATTAGAATGACCTACTGCAATGGCTTATCGAAAGCGCACCGGATGGCCCTGAGCGCACTGTCCCCGCGCTCGCCTTGCGCGTTCTGGTAGTCAACTTCGCCGCACTCCATACGACGTCCACGGTGTGTCCCATTTATCCTCTGAAACTGTTTTGTCGGCTGCGGCTGACAGACATACTCGTGTAGATGCTCACACATACATTGTACTACCTCGCGGCCCACCCAGAACACGCGGAAATTCTCCGGGACGAAGTCGAGCGGGTCGTCCAAGATGAAGGCTGGAGCAAGGCCGCACTGGGGAACATGCGCCTCGTCGACAGCTTCCTGAAGGAAGTGGGGCGCGTCACCGGCTTGGGTGCGAGTACGTGGCCGTCCTACGTCATCCGCGCGCGTCTACTCACATTAAAGCGGGTACTAGTATCCATCAATCGCAAAGCAGTTCAGGATTATACTTTCTCGGACGGGACGTTTATACCCAAAGGCACCTTCGTAGCTGCTGCCTCTCTGCCCATCCACTTGGACGACGACATCTACGCCAACCCGGACGTGTTCAACCCTTGGCGTTTCGCCACCGGTTCGATGGTCATTCTCGGGCCGGAGGGAAAGAACACTTGATCAAGACAAGCGACCATTACCTGCTGTTTGGGCATGGACGACATGCATGGTGCGCCGTTCTCGCTTAGCGAACTGGTTGCCGAGATACTGAATGGTGACTTGTGTAGCCCTGGTCGCTTTTTCGCCGCGGCAATGCTCAAGACGATTCTCGCCCATGTTGTCACTACCTACGACGTCAGATTCCCAGATGGGATGGACGCACATGCCGTCCCGCCTCCGACGTGGGTCTCATCGTCGATGGTGCCTAATCGCAAGGCAGAGGTGCTACTTCGCGAGAGACGGTCCAAGCATTGATTTGCAGAGGCGACTGGCAGGCGTACATAGCACTGGCATGATCGGTGTAATGTTAATGATCGATTCAGCCACAGCCCCAGGCTTGTAAGCGCATTGACCTAGGGCTGATCATCAATGAGATATGTGAGGATACTGCATATGGGCGGTCCGGAACGACTCCTGCACGGACAAATTGTCCGACTATTCGTTCAAGTTTACGGTGAGTACTTACATTGCTGCTGTGCTAGCCTGGCTCCCTCAAGCTAGTATGAAGAATTGACACTTGGAATCCCGTCACATACCCACCGATAGCTGACTACTGAAGTTTCTTTTTTAATCAATGGCGACATTGGAGTGTCAGCTTCATCCTGTCAGGTACGCTGCCAGCATGTTGCAGTCATCGATGACTTCTGACCTAACATCAGGCGGTCGCCGCAGTCATGAACAGATGTGATTTGTACCGACTTCCACGGCATCATTATCAGGTCGCATATGTACTCGGAGCACACACTGGCAGCGGACTAGCGTATAAGAGGAGGGGCAGTATGCTACGGAAACTCGCCTCAGCTCCTTCATTCCTTCCGAGTTCACTGAAAGCATCAGCACTGGTTGGTGAGTACCACGGGTGTGATTCTTCTGAAGCCGTCACTCATTGTTTCTTCGCAGCGTTGCTTGATTTCCTTACGACCTGCAATATCACTTCTCACCGTACTATCTCTCATTACAAACAAGACATGATGCGCTTCAGCACTGCGTTCACTCTCCTGCTCACGTCCATTGCGGCGGTACCTCGGTCATAGCCCATCCCATTGGCTACGAAGGGTGAGTCGTTCGACTGCGTAATGACACGAATTGAGACTGACGCGGAATTAGTGTTGAGATCGAGGCGCGCGACATCGACTACGACGTACACATCCTTGCGCGAGCGGCGGCAAACGTCCTCGAGGCCCGCGACGCGTTGCGTGTGGTGATCGCACGCGGGCCCAATCTGCCTGATAGGCCGCCACCCAAGTACAGAAAGCATGACAAGCACCCGCTCCCTGCGGGCTCGGAGAGCAGCCTTCCTCGGTATAGGAAGACTAATCCCACGCCGCGCCCGCCGTACAGCGTCAAAGACCCATTGCGCGAGCAGCCACACCAGCAGAACAAGGGTCGTGCGCTAGAACATGACTTCGAGGCTCGCGATGCTTCGCATGTCTTGATGGCTCGCGGGCCGAAGAATACAACACCTGCCCCCAAGCCCAAGGTGACGGACCCTCATCCGCGTACGGCTGGTGCGGCCAACGCGCCGCCTCCTTACCGCAAGATGGACCTGATGTCGAATTCAGCGCAGAGGACCCGCCAGCCTGGGGAGGACCGACACCTAGGCCCGATGTACAAGTTCTGAGCTCGAGGTGGAGACTCGAACGGAGTTTTGGATTGGGTGTAAATGCTGCGTATCGTCGACGGCTATCGCCCTCAGGCTCTGTAGCAGCAGTTCAATGAGATTGATGATTGGTGATTTTCCTTATTGCTGCTCGTGTGCGTCAAGTCTCGTAGCTCCATTGATATTGATGGTCTCTCGTGCTGGCTTCAGGGCTGCTTTTATGAACAGACCAGTTAAGGCCGTCGCAGCATCCTCCGCCATGTCCTGAGAACTCGGCTTTGACTGCGACTCGTATCCAGTTTGCTGAGCCGGGAGACCGTCGTGGAAGGAGAGGACTTCCCGAACAGACCGCCCCCACTGGCCTGTCCAAAGGCTGAAAGCCACCCCGTGCCGGCAGCAGTGTTCTGTTGGCTCCCAGCCGCTTGACAACCAAACAGGCTCGAGCTGGGAGGCTGTTAGGCTGTAGGGATACTAGCACCGAACCCACCGATCTGATATGACACCGGGCGATCGTCGCCAGTGTCATGCGACTGAAAAATGTTGATAGCAGCACCGCCCGTGCCCGTAGGCGCAGAACGACCAAACGGACCACACAAAGGTGAAGGCGTGGACGCAGGAGCTCCGACCAACCATGCCGGTGCAGCAGTCGCGGGTGCAGCCCCAAGTCCACCAAGACCGGTCGGGATGCGCGCGGACGACTTTGCGCCCAGCCAGCGACGAAGTATCGACATCGCTTTCCTGACGACGCGTGCTGCTGGTTACGAATGTGATGTCTGTGTCATTCCAGTCTTCGCCCGACGTCTGTTTCGCCCGCACGTTGCAGTGGAGGGACACCGTCGACGCAGGCTGGCCGCTAACGGTCGTAGCGTGTAGGTCGTAGTACGGCTCCCAGCTAGCATCGTTGACCTCTGCCCGTCCGTCAGTTGGCGTGAATATCGGCGACACGGCGACGAACTCACTGTATGTCTTCTCAAGCCCAACTGAACAAGCCTCGGCGGCGATGATCACCAAGGTCACTCGTCCATTCCTTTGCCTTGCTGTTGGGCTTCGTGCCCTCTAATTTCGGTGCTCTGTCAACCTCAGCCGTCGAGCGTTCTGATGCTGGCGACGGTGGACTGGCGACCAGCCATGAAAGCGTCTAGGAAGTTCACAGCGTCGGCAGGCGCAGTGTGCGCGCTGTTCAGCGTCCGCGCGTAGTCTACGAACAGGCTCAAGCCCTGCTCAAGCACCTTCCGCTCATCCTCTAGCTCACGCTTGCGAACCAGCAACGCGACACTGTCGTTCGCGGGCATTGCTGCATTGGGTGCGTCGACAGTGCACTGAACATCTATCACGCGAGCGGAACCGCTCAGATGTGACACTCGTAACGATTGGCTGTCTATACTGCTGGATAGCTGAGCGACGCACCCTCGATTCGTACCCGCCTACGTAGGATACACGACGTACAGCGCGTAGTCAAGACAAGAGAATGTGCCTATGATACCTCGTAAACGCACCTTGAGGTCGAGGGCGAAAGGTCGGACGACCTCTGCTGCCGTGCGATAGATGGTGACCGACTTTATAGCATGCTCAGAGGCGTTGAGAGTAGTCATGGTTGTAGGAGGGGAATTGGGGGGGAGCTGAGCCGTTTATATACCGTGAGGTGCTGATCGATAATGCATGATGGCACAGCAGAGCAGATAGGCGCTCCTTGGACAGGTCCTCCAGCTTGCATTGGAGCCTATGTACAAGGGAAGGACGCATACGAAGATACCCATCCAACTTTTCTGAGCAGGGGCAGCGATGGCGTTGCAGTGTGAAGCACTAGGGTCGATCAGACGGCCGGACGAACACACAACAGCAGGATTGATTCGCAACATATGCTACGATACGTGGGGTGACGCCACAAATACACGGGCCCACAGAAACGGAGACTGGATGAAGCTGATGGAATGGGATGCGAGACTTTCCGTCCGGTAGTAGTATTAGGATACTGAATGCTGATATGAATCATGAGAATAGCCTTGAGATGAGGACCGATAAAGATGCGTGCATGCGCGGAGACAATGAGCAGATGGGGTGTGAGGAGACGTGGCGAGGTCATGATGTGGGGCAGGAGCGTCGCGCTGGATTTGTAATGCATGTGTCGGCGTCGAGGGGCGCACTGCCAGCCAACGTAAAGAGGCCAACGCAGCGCTGCAAACGTATGCCGCGGGTCGGACGAACGCGTAGGCACACGATGGAGGCGCCAGGACCGGGGTTCCATCGGACATCGGAGATGATTGTCACGATATTTCGACGGAGAGCCGGTCATGCATGCGGCGTCGGCTGCTGTATGGGAAGGGGCCTCGCAGCGCCCTCGGTGTCCTGAACGGCGAACGGAGACGTTGAGCATGCGGACGCGCGACAAAACAGAAGTACGAACACACCATGCGCTGCTTCTTCAGCGGCCTCGGCCGGACTCCCGCATTGCCCGCTTTCGCGCTGACAACCATGGCCGGCTTGGAGGTGGCGGTCCCGTTCCCGTTCCCCTTCGTGGTGCCCACGCCATTTGTGTGCGCGACGGCTTGGGATCCATCCCCAGTGGGCTCCCTCTCGCGCTTGGTCCCGCGCTTTGGCTCTGCGACGGTGGGCACGCTTGCCGTGGCAGGCGTAGCCACGGAGGGGCTGAACGCAGCCGACGTCGGTGCGGGTGTCGGGATGGCAGCAGTGCCAGGCGTGGGCATCGACTGCGGTGTACCGATGCCGACGGGCGTTCGGCCTCGGGGATGGCTTGGGTTTACGTTCGCGTGCGGTATTGAGGCAGCCGGCCGTTGTACGCCTGCAAGTTTCGGCGTCGCGCCTCGAGCTGAAGCGGTTGCTGACGATGACACTGCCGCAGGGGTTGCAGGCAGGCCGAACACGGAGGGTGTGCCCGCCACGAGCGGGGTTTGGCCTTGTATTTTTGCGAGCTTCTTGAGCTCCTTGCGTTTCTTCCTGTCCTCTCGCGCTTGCGGCGACTCCGCGACGAGCGCGTTGATATTCCACTGCAATAAGCGTCAGCCCTGCACCGCAGAGGGACAGGAGGCAGTCGTACGCCTTTGAGGCCCTCCAAGCTGACCGAGAATGCATCCCGCTGTGTCCGCTGGTCAAACGGCAGGATGGAGATCCTCTGCTTCGGAGGCACCTGCATCATCGTGGTCAGGTAGTCGTCCTTCTTCATGGAATGTTTCCCTGCCGCAGACGGTGAGAAAACCCGACGCGCCATAGTGGCCAACGCACGCACCAGGAATGCCCTTGATGAGCTGCTTGTACGTGTTTTTCGCCTTCTTCTTTCCATCTCCGTCGTCCTCCTCTCCATCTGGCACAGCACCTGGTGTTGCACCCAGAGGGACCGACATCTCCTTCTCCTTGCCTTTGCCCTTGTCCGCGGCCACGGATGGCTGGCCGACAGCCGGCGCGTACGGCCGGACATACTTGTCATATGCCGGTAGTAGTTGGAAACGCTTGACGAGGTCTTGAGTACTGGTAAGAAGAGGGCGTGGTCGGGGAGGGCCTGAGGGGTGAAACAGCGAGGTGAGTTCGCATACACGGGAAACGAGCGTGGCGACAAACCTGGGGGAGGAAGGTAGATAGGTAGTACTTCAGGCATCGTCGAGGGTCCAGCAAGAGCATTTGTAGGTTGTAGAGGATGTGGTGGGGGCTGTTGGTCGTCGACGTTCATGACGACGAGCTGGGTGTGGTGGTCAATGGAAAGAAGTGGCGACACCTGCCGCAGGTGGTGGTAATAGAAGCGCCGACTCGTCACCCCATGTCTGAGCGTATCGGACCTTCAATCATGTGGCTGTGAAGAATTAGCGGAGAATGAAATGCGACCACAACTTTGAATACCAAGTCAGCGACGGCTCTTATTCCCGACAATCATCTCCGTGTCTCATTTCATATACTCTATCTTATCTTTGAAAGGGGCCGACGACGGCGAGCTCGTGCCGTCCACGCTCTAGCTGGGACTTATACTCGCCGCATGTCCACTGTCCCGCAGCCAGTCCCACCCTCTCATTCCGGACCACCACTCTCCTCTGGCGACCTGCTCGACAGAAGCTTTGGCGACGTTGGCCGCTGCAACGACGGATCTGTAGAGCTAGAGCATCATAGACGCCTGCCGACGCGTCCGGAATGACGTCGCGTGCACCGCCGGCCACCCCTTCCGACCGGTCGCTTGGAGGGCAGTCCCACCCTGGTGGCGATGAGAGGGCACCGCTTCTCAGTGGCAGCAGGGCGAGGGCGGTGAAGAAGAAATGGTATCGTGCGAGGCCGTTGTGGTGAGTATTCCGACCACAATCACTTCTCAGCCTATGCAGTCCGATGCGGCATATCCTTGGAGCGAACATAAGTTGTAGGTGCTGTGGTCGAGAGCAGGGCCTTCGTCGAGTCTTATTTCTAATTCTTCGGGGGCACTCAGGCCACCCGTGTGCGCCAGGTCGGCCCTGCAGAGGTCCAGCGCCCGGACTCTGGGGACTGACTCAGGCAACTCGCTGCGACGGTCGTCATCGCCACAGTACTCGCTAAAACGTGATTCGCAATCATGAGCCCCGATGGTGTACTGCGGCCAACGCTATTGATGCATTCGCCGTGGTACGATCCTGGCAGACTCGATTTCATCTTCAATTAGCGAATGGTGGAGCGGGTCTGCGATGTCATGGTGCATCGTCAGTCGCGGTGGTACTTGGATCTCCGCTGCTGCTGGTGCACTATAGTCACTCGAATATGCTCGCAAGATACATAGCTTGACGAAACATGAGCTGACGGCACGATACGTTCTAGGCTCGTACCATTCTCAATCACGCGTCGATCGTCGTGAGTTCGTTGGACTACGAACCGTCGCTGCTGGTTGATGATAGGTACTATTATTCAGCGCGGCATGACTATTGGTCCCAGAGTCGAAGTCTTCACTCAACTTTCCTGTAACGCTATATATGGCCACCACGGCTACAACCACACGTCCGAGAACACCAACGCTATCCTTTCGACTAACTATCCACATGTCCCCTCTTCGATCGAATCCTCTGCACCTGCACCGGATGGAATGTTCGTCGCATTCCCTATTCACGCCGATCATCAACCTATCATGTTTCTTACGGAAGACACGGCGACGGCGACGATGACGACGAACCGGATCCGCGCAACTTGCCCTCCAAGCGATGTATACATGACCCTGCCGTTCAGAAGGGTGCAGCACGTCTGCAGACGATCATGACGTTCGCAGCTGGCGTTCTCTCTGCACTAACGACAGGCTGGTGGGGTCATTTTGGCGAGACGCGTGGTCGCACGAAGGTTTTGTCTGCGGCGACACTCGGTCTCTTCCTAACGTGCGTGACGCCATCTCAGTTGCCATACAATAGCTGATGTTTGCTGCCAGCGATCTGACATTCATCCTAGTCTCCACACCACACAGCGTATTCGCCGTTCATGGCCACAAATTCTCGTTATTCGCCGATGGTAGAAGGCCTACTGGGTGGCTGGCAGACGCTCATGGCCGCCGTCAACGCCTACATATCGGACTGTACATCAGACGGCTCACGCGCGCATATATTCTCCCGATTCCTCGGTATCTCTTTCTTCGGTTTCGCCTCGGCCAGTGGTTGGCGCGTTCTTCATTCGCCACCCATTCGTATTGGGACCCTGCCTAGCCCAAGCGCGCATGGTACCACGCAGAATGTCACGACGGTGTTCTACGTCGCTGCTCTCTGCTCGCTGGTGAATTTGATGCTTGCCCTCTTCGTCTTCCCTGAACCTACCAAGAGAGCGAAAGTAGCGCCAGAGGCGCAGCCGCTGCCTGGTGGGGAGGGCCTGACGCCGTCGTCTGCTGGCAAGCAAGGACATATTGCGGGTTTCTTGGGCCCCTTCAAATTGTTGGCGCCAAGGACCGTTCAGAACTCGAACGGAACCTCCAGGAAGGACTGGCGAATCACTCTCATCGCGCTTGCCTTGCTTGTATATGCGTTGTCGACTGTACGTCTCTCTTGACTTGCGCCTAACGGGCGAAGCTCACACATTGTCACAGGGCATCTTCCAAGTCAAGTACTTGTACGCGGTGCATGTTTACGAGTGGAATGCCGAACAAGTAGGTTCTTTACGCTTCCTCGGTTTCATAATTTTGATGGACGACACCGACCACAGCTCAGCTACTACATATCAGCTATGGGTGCCTGTCGGACAACGTATCTCCTGGTGCTCATGCCAGGTACGTCAATCCCACTGCTAACTAGCGTGTGCATGCGTTCTGAGCCAAACACAGTCGCCATCTACTTTTTCAAGCCCAAACCCAAGCCCTCTCCGCAGGCTTCCGCGCCAACTATTGTTCAAGGGAAGAAGCCGCCGCAAACGCCTGCACAGATCGCTGCTGAGATGCGTTTTGACTTCGGGCTCCTGCGGACATCGCTCGTAATCGACTTGATGTCGCATGTCTTGGTGTCGCTGTCGTCGCCTGACTCCAGCTCGGTTGCGTTCACGATGTTCACTTCGCTGAGCAGCTTCGGGGCGGGCGTTGACCCTGCGTTGCAAAGCCTGGCGTTGTGCATCATGCAGGCGAACGGCGAGGACAACCGTGGCACGCTGTTCGGGCTGTTTGCGATGCTGCGCACCATCGGACAGATGATCATTGGGGTGCGTAGCGCTCTAGTGGCCTCATGAAGTGTCGCTGACCTTTCTTATCCAGCCGCTCATATTCGGTCTGATCTACAGCGAGACCGTCGCGACATTCCCCAAGGCCATCTTTGTAGCGGCGGGAGGTTTCGCCTTTGCTGCCTTCATCTGCCTCTCCCTCATCCGCCCTGATGCCGGCGTCAAGGTGCGCCGCAGAGTAATGCGCCGCGTCGACGAAGGGAGATGGAAGAGGGCGGTCCCGCGTGAGCAAGGACATCAGCAAGTCCGGCACTCGCGTTGCGGTCATCCCCGTTGGAGGAGGAGAGCCGTCCAGTCAGAGTACGACGGCCTCTGGCTCGATGCTGCACTAGATGGGATTTGTATAACAACGTTGGAAGGGATTGTTGGAAGGGATAGAGTGTTGTATATTGAGTTATACTTTCTGCGCATGCTTAATCTCTAGTATTGTATGTATATATTATAGAATCACTACGAGTATTGTCGCCGTTTGCTTTCTGTCAACCGGCGCGGGATGGTTTGCCACCCTGAGTCAAATGGCAGTACTGGTACTTGCCCCAAAGCCAATGTGTGTTCCAGTGACTGCGTTTGCTGTGCGTCCGCCAATTGCCGCGGAATGAGCGCCTATCTGTCATGCTGACTCAGATGAGTCAGCTGTATATAAGACCTGGCTCCCACCCAGTCCTCCCTTTCCACCTTTCCACTCTACAACCATGACTACTCTCAACGCCTCTGAGCACTCTATCAAGTCGGTCACCGTCTATCGCACGGCAGCAGAGGTCGTCCGGCCTTTCGCCCTCGACCTCAAGGTGCGTCTACGAGATATCATAGGTACATCTCCATGTCTTGACTAGTCGCGCTGTACGTCGTGTATCCTACGGTAGGCGGGTAGGAATACAGTGCACGTTGCTCAGCTATCTAGCAGTATAGACAGCCAATCGTTGCGAGTGTCACATCTGAGCGGTTCCGCTCGCGTGATAGATGTTCAGTGCACTGTCGATGCACCCAATGCAGCAGTGCCTGCGAACGACAGTGTCGCGTTGTTGGCGCGCAAGCGTGAGCTAGAGGATGAGCGGAAGGTGCTTGAGCAGGGCTTGAGCCTGTTCGTAGACTACGCGCGGACGCTGAACAGCGCGCACACTGCGCCTGGCGATGCTGTGAACTTCCTAGATGCTTTCATGGCTGGTCGTCGGTCCACCGTCGCCAGCATCAGGAAGCTCGACGATGAGATTGCTGAGGTTGACAGAGCATTGAAAGAAGAGGGCACGAAGCTCACAGCAATGACAAGAGGGGCGGGCGAGTGACCTTCGTGATCATCGCCGCCGAGGCTTGTTCAGCCGGGCTTGAGATGACATACAGTGAGTTCGTCGCCGTGTCGCCGATATCCACGCCAACTGACGGACGGGCAGAGGTCAACGATGCTAGCTGGGAGCCGTACTACGACCTACACGCTACGACCGTTAGCGGCCAGCCTGCGTCGACGGTGTCCCTCCACTGCAACGTGCGGGTGAAGCAGACGTCGGGCGAAGACTGGAACGACACGGACATCGCCTTCGTAACGAGCAGCGGGCCTCGTCAGGAAAGCGATGCCGATACTCCGTCGCTGGCTGGGCGCAAAGTTGTCCGCATCCCGACCGGTCTTGGCGGGTTCGGGGCTGCTCCCGCGACTGCTGCAGTAGCACCAGCATGGTTGGTCGGAGCTCCTGCGTCTATGCCTTCGTCTGGGGGCAGTTTGTTCGGTCATTCTGCACTGACGGGCACAGGCACCCCTACCGGCGCTGCTATCAACATATTCCAGTCGCATAGCAGTAGCGATGATCGCCCAGCGTCACAGCAGAGCGGTGGGTTCGGCGCTACTGCTAGCATCCCTGCAGCCCAACAGCCCCGCTCGAGCCTGTTTGGTTCTCAAGCGGCTGGGAACCAACAGAACACTGCTGCTGGCACGGGGTGGCCCTCAGCCTTCGGACAGGTCACTGGGGGTGGTCTGTTCGGGAAGTCCCCTCCTTCCACGACGGTCTCCCCGGCTCAGCAAACTGGATACGGGTCGCAGCCAAAGCCGAGTTCTCAGGGCGCGGCGCAGGATGCTGCAACGGACAAAGCAGCCCTCCAGCCCAAGCCTCAGATCGACGATGGGAGCAACCCAGGGAACAGACACGTGTCCGACATGCGCGTCACTGCGGTCGGCGAGAAGATTACGATCCGCGAGAGCACGCCCGCGGCCGACGTACGCCTGTCTGCGGCCGAGAGGGCGAGCATCCCGAGCGACGGTGCGGGGCACGCCGTTCCGATCGCGTCGCTTGCGCTGGACGCCGCGTTCATGTGGGTGTGCGTGCCGCGGTCGCGCGCGGCCGCGTTCGTCGAGTGTCGCTCGAGGAACACCAGTACGCACACCCTCGTCGCAGGCCCGCTGACGGTGTACGTCGATGGCAAGCAAGTGGCGAAGACTACGTTGAAGGTGCGTGTTTCGCCTGTTACGAACCTGGTGGAAGTGAGCGGAGGTAGTTCGGTGATGCATGCTGACTATGCACAGGACGTCAAACCGCAAGAAACATTCGTCGCGCCGCTCGGGGTGGACGACGCGGTGCGAGTGTTGTATCGGCGTACGGCGCGGACTGAAGAGCGACCGGAGCGCCCATTCGTCGAGCGGATCTGGACGACGGCGTGCACGGCGCGGTACGCAGTGACGAACGGGCACAGTTTTGCCCTGCCAGAGATTCGGCTGCGGGACGCGCTGCCGGTGTCGGTGAACCCGCAGATCGCGCTGCTGGTCAAGAGCGTGCGCGAAAGGGACCTGTCGGCGACTGGTACCGGCCCGGAGTGTGACTGGGTAACGCACAGAGCGTACTGGGCGATCACGTCCGGGAGATGGATGGCAGGGAAGGGAAGGGTTTTCGAGTGGGTGCGTGGTTGAGGCTGGTTACACGGCGGTGCTGCAAGCGAGTGGGAGGTCACCACGCCTGCTGGCGTTTCTTGGGAGGAGACACCGGTGATGCGCCCGCCGGGGAGCGTTCTGTAGTGTAGCTACGATCTGTGAAGAGATGTACGATACGTCCCGTATGTTTCTTGCCCCGAAGTGGTGCAGTCCTAGTACCAATTTACCACTGTATCAGAGTATTTCAGTTGTATGTCCGATGTGACGAGTGAACGACGTGACGGTGTATCGAATTCAAAGAAGTGTGCTATTGTGACGTTCTTGGACAGCAACTGAGTGATCCAGTCGACCATACGCCAGTCCGGAACCCGCTGTGTCGCGGTCGATTTCGGCAGCTTGAGTGACCACTGACATGGACAGTCGATGTTACGAGCCACCTGTGTCGCCATCTACTGCCCATCCATTGCGGTTGCGTCACATCCAAGAAATAAAGATGGCCTGTGCTACAGGAAAGTTGGGTTGGTTTGCCGGCATGAGCCTGTACTTATCAGTCTGTCATGCGGTGATCCACTGCCGCGGCGCCCGGCCGGGAAGTCTACTATGACCTGGGCGATGCGGCCACTCCCTCTGAGTAGAAGCTATATTGCGAGTAACGTCACGGGCGCGGGCCACGAAGAGATAGGAATAGCTAGCAAACTTTCCATAGCATTCTGCCCTCCCTTTATACGCGAGTCAGCGGTGCTGCATATGCGACCTGATCTTGATGCCGTGCGAGTCGGTACTGGCCACATCTGTTCGCGACTAGTCGACTGTGGCGAGTGCTGTATGCTTGATTAGTAGCCATTGATGCCTGCAAATGCTGGCAGCGTACCCCGCAGGATGAAGCGGACACTCCAGTGTTGCATGACAGTCGTGTGCATAATGGCAGTCGCATGTGCACGCGACGAGTATCTTGTTTGATCCTCTTTCGCCGGCCCCGACTCCGCACCACCGGACCTGGTCAGTCCCGTTACCTGTGCAGAATGCACAGAGCGGGTCCGAGACAAAATTCTCTCGACCTTGGCCAAGGTAATATCTCGGACGAGGGGTGCAGGTGCACGGTCGTCCTGCCGAGAGGTGCCGTGGCGATGTGGGGCGGGGAGCCACAGCCATTTTGCAAACGATTGTAACTATCAGTGAATCTGTATTGGGATTTCAAGTGTTCATTCTTCACACTATTAGCCCGTGGGAGCCAGGCCAGCACGCAGTAATGTGAGTACTCACCGTAAACGAGAAGCTGCACAATTGTCCATGCAGTGTTCCGGACCGCTCATATACCTCACTGATCATGATCAGGAGGGCCCCTCAGGGGTCAGACTCAATATGCTTTCCTGAGTTCCGATCTGCCATACATATAGCCTGTGGCTCATGCCTGTGCTACGCCGGACCCCCGGTGTATTACACTGTATGTGTCCTGCGATTGCGTAAGCGAACCTGTTGTGTATGATGAGAGCGGTTGGCGTGTCAGAAGTAAGGAACTCATGTCTCGTGGGTGCAGAACCTGCGTAGCTGGAATCACGAGAGACTCACGGGAGAAGGCTGTGAGGACTTGCATCGTAGCAAGACGCCGTTGGACTGCCCAATTGCCCGTTCAACGTTTCCAATGTCAGCGTTTACGCCATCAGTCGTTCGATATTTCCGGTCACCCAGTTAGGCCTGGTGCAGTTGTGTGCCGAAAGATGGGGATATCAGTTGCGGTCGGCGAGCGACATCCCAGGGCATTTTGGGTTCGAATTCTGTCCGAATGTACGCGAGAACATCTGCTGCGTACGACAGTATACCATGCCAACCATAGAGCAAGCACAGCTCAACCGTTAGGATGAACGTGAGCGATTCAGCAGATGACAGCGATTGTCAGGGATGCCGCGGTCGCTCGGTGCCCTCTTGCGTGCATTCCGACGGCTGCCAGCCTGTGTAATCTTTCTATCACGATGCACTACGGGGTTACAGAGCAAATTACTTACCGATGGATAGGTATATTTTCACGGCGCCGATGCCAGCAACTTCCTGCAAGAATGGGTGTGGCAATGGCGACTGGAAGCTTGCTACCCGTGGCAGGCCCGGGTGAGCGTGTATAGCATCCGAATTGAGCCTCTGCTCAGCGTTTCCAGGTATTTTCGTTCTACATTAACGGTACATCTAGGCATGTTCCCATCATAAACTTATCATGCAGCCAGCACGAGGAAGCATAAGTACTCATACCAAGACTATGTGGCCTCCCGGCCATCGTGTTCACGGTGCACACTGGAGCGCTGGGTTTTGAGTGTCGTATTCACCAAGGAGGCCATCACACTTGCGACTTTGAGCCAGCACTGCAAACGTTGACAACAATTGAAGGACTGGATTCGGAGGAAGACTCATTGACAACTCATTGAGCACATTCAAGTTTCAAACTAAAGCGGTGCTCGAAAAGGAACATTGTTTGGACCTGTGTATGCGCGGTGGCTGCGGACACGCGTCGCGCGTCTTCCTGTCAAGCACGCGCGCGATCCTCTAGACTTATACCATCCCGAGAACGCGAAACTGCTACCCTCTTGTGCAGCTCATCCATATCTCTATGTCTTCCGATGGTGGAGAAGACAATGCCGCCCCTAGACACGACGAAGACAACCTCATCTCGCACCAAGACAACCTCAGAGAGTCAATAGAGGAGTTGTGGTACCTCAAAGAAGTCTCTTTCCGACCGTCACCCGACGCGGCATTGAGGACACTGAAGATTATCACCCAGAACTATAATGGGTCAGTGTGATTGGCTGGTTGGTGTCTCACGCCTATTTACACGCTTCCAGACCGTGTTCGTTCATCGCTATATGTAGGCCTCGTGGTGGCTGTGTTCTGCGGTCCTAGACTTAATGAACTGCAGGCAACATTCTACTTTTGCGCGGTCAGATTGAGATCCAACCACCAGAGCGGACGTCAGTCTCGTATGACTATCTCGCTCGGTTACTTGGAGAATACTTGTTGACGGCAACTCCTGGGGAGGATACCACTGCGGCTCTGTCCGTCATGCCTGCTACGAGAAGTGCGTGCTCAATCTATGACTTCATGGGATTAACATCAGGACGCGGCTCTTGGACAGCTTTTGCGAAGTTGCTCGATAGTCGCGTTCGATGTGTCGAGTGTCAAGCAGATAGCCCATCGACTTTCACATCTATTCCTTTCTCTAAGAAATCTCTCGGAGCTAACCATTGATTCATATTACAGAGGGTATGGACTTGAACCCGCTATTCACTGGCACAACTGCCTTCCGACCAGCGGGTGAAGGCGGGGAGCTGAAGTTATTCGAGCATGCCGGCATAAAGCTCGTGCATGGCTGGCTGGCAGATCCCGATAGTCCGGAATACCAGATTCTCTCGAGGACTCAAGACTACGACACCTCCGTAAACCTGATAGTCGAAGCGGACCACCTCACCAAGGGCCGTCTGCTCGCATCGGCGGAAGTGCCCGCTGAGCCCGAGGCGGGCGGGAGCAGTAGCAGCGGTGGAAGTTACAACACGCTCTCGCGTGACGACCGACAGAAGGTGCAAGATGGTAGGTGCTAGTAGTACTGGATCACTAGGGCCCATCACAGCAGTTCTGATCCGTTGCGCCCATAGCCGTCATCATCCGCGACTTCATCGACAAGACCCAATCACAGCTGACGTACTATGGTCTCTTCACACTCGCCTCTGCCATCGAGCCTGGCCAGCTCGTCGCGCTCTTCCGCAACTCGCACCTTTCCGTGTTGTACAAGCCCCACGGGCCAGACGGCGGGCTCTACACCCTCGTTACGGACCAGGTGTTCCTCAACGAGGCTTCGGTCGTGTGGGAACGGTTCGAGGACGTCGAAGGTGGCATGTCGTCCTTCGTCGACTCTGATTTCATCCACTCGAGCCCGGCTGGCGGGGACTATGCGGGCTACACAGCCGAGAGCGCGCTCGCCGCGCTCGAAGCAGAGACTGCGGGGCTGACGCTTGAGGAGCGCGGAGAGTACGTGTGTCTTGCCATCTTGCGGGACTGTACGCTGATACGGGTTCCTTCGCAGCGCTGAATTGGCGAGACAGCTGCAGGCCGAGGAGGATGAACGTGCGCACCAGGCGAGAGAGGCCCGGCGCGCGCGCGAGAGAGCACGAGAGGAGCTTACAGCGTCCCAACAGCACGTTCCTCGATCGGCTCTCCCTGCTGACGAACCGGCGAAGAAAGCCAAGAGGAAGGGCGACTGTATCATTATGTGATCTCTGTTGACTGTGTAATATCTTAAGCCTGCTGAGTACCCTCTTGTTTTCACCGTGTTACATTACTACGATAATTTATTGGACCAAGGACTGCTGCGTCTCGTGGATGCATCCCAGTCGCAGTTCGTGTCTGGCTCCGTCGGCAGGTTGCGGAGTCAGCTGCAAGTCGCAGATGAATAGACTTGACGGTTCCGCTGCCAATTTCGTGGTCGATAGCTCAATCCACGCGGATCAGGACACAACGCCGGTCCTAGTATGGATGTTCTACTCGGTTGTTGCGCGCCCTTGTAAGCGTTGTGATACTTATCCGTAGTAGGCACGTTTCAAGCCGTCTGTCTAGCGCCAGCTTCAACGGAGCGTCGTGTGGCGCCTATTCGAGGCAACAATGCCATCTTGGCTCTGCAATTGGCAGAAGCCGTTGCCCTTACTGTTGGCCAGCATTGTCAAGATGCACTTTTCTGCGATGACAATTTGACGAATGGGGAAGATGGGAGGCAAGCGCTCGTCCCGGGTTCGCTGCTTCTCTGAGCTACAATAAGTATTGTTACGGATTCTGAACCAACCAGTTCATAGCCGGACTGATACTTCCAATAGTCTGTCTCGCCGGAGCCGAGGATCCTTCGTACGTCTTGTTTCGCTGGTAATATGTACTTGCGCCGAGAAGCCACATATTCTCGGACCAAGGCAAGATTCTCGCGTCGGAACCACATACGAGACTAGATCCGCAAGTTCTCCGATACCTGTAATCCGCACTTTGTCTGCAATGCACTCCTACTCGGTATGCTCCAAGACGGCTGGTATCATGCCGCAGCGTTCCCGACCAGAGCGTTGGGATTGTAAGCCTTCGTGGTGCCAGACTGTAAAGCCCACTGGATGCCGCCCAGCACATGTGCAAGGAAGAGCTCGTCCTAAAAAAGAGGATAATCAGCGGATGGTTGCCAGAGCATTGCAAGACCGCGACGAACCTGCCACGTCTCGATGCAGTGCCCCAGACTCGTGTAGAAGCTACGTCCTGCTATTCCGCCTGGCGCTACACCGGCACCACGCTCCTGGAACCACGCTGTGGATGCATGGGTCAGCATGCACGTACTGGTGCAGAGGTGCGGGTTTGCGTATACCGGTTGGATGCGGACTCCCGTGGTCATACTTGCGTTCACCAGTGTCTGGAATCAGACAATGTTAGGTCAACGCGCGAGTTGCAGCTAAGATGCGCACCCGAGTAGGTGGACTCGTCTGCTGTAAGGATCACCGTCGCCCCCACTTTGCGCGGGTCCGACGTGAAATTGTACCTGTTCATATGGCATCAGTGCGGGGAAAACAACCACGCGCATGCGCATACACTTCGTCATGAAGCTCCCATCTGGCTGGGAGCATGCTGGTCGCTGGGTGGGGAGGCCCCGCAACGTCGAACACCTGTGCTCAGGTGATCGGTGTTCAGTTCCATGGGCCGTCCAAGCAGGGCATACGTACCGCGGTACAGATATCCGGATGGTAGTCGAAGAGCGCGCCTGTGGGCACATGTCAAAGTTCAGGGAGGCGTTGCGTATATGCCCGGAACACGTTCACCGACCTATCTCCTTCTGGAACCACTCATCGTTGTAGAAGCAAGCAGAAGCGCAGTGAACACCGATGAAGTTGCCTCCCGAGTTCAGAAACTTTTGGAATGCAGCCTTCCCAGGTTCATCGAGTACTTGCAACAGGAACCCATATCAACATTGTCTGTATCGTCGAAGAAGTGAGTACACACCATCTCCTGAGTTGTTCAGGAAGAGGATCGCATCGTATTGCTTGAGGCGATCGTCGGTGAACCACGACTGATCTTCCGTAGCATCGTATTCAACATTGATAACCGACGCTTTGGCTTTCAGAGCCTCAATCGACGCAGGAATTGAGTCGTGTCGGTACCCGCGCGTCGCGGAGTAGATGAGAATGCGTGCTGTGGTCTGTTGAGACATATCGTCGCTGCTCCAGCGGCGAATACCTGTTCACGGTCGAGGGTGAGAGCAAGGGCGGCCCATTCTCGCTGACGTCTCCCTTATATCGCCTGTGCCGATTCAGAAGGTATGATATAATGTGAGAACAGCGCCCAGGGTATAAGCTATAGCCCTCCAGTTGAAGGTGCGAAGGGGCAGCTCGTGCAGGTCTGAGAACAACCAATCGCGCGGCCCACGACCCCATCACGCGCTCTGGCGTGACATTCGACGCGTTGCGTCACAGAACGTGATCTGACCACGGTCACCTGGTGCACTTTCAAGTTGGCGAAGTGATTGCTTCGTTTTTGGGAGAACAGTCAACAGTGACCTGCTAGCTAGTTGTCTGTATGCTTCAAATGCGTCCGTCCAATCCAGTTTCAACGTTCGTGAAATATCTTCTCTAGATCGAGCGTCCATCGAGCAGCGGGCTCCACTGTGACTAAACGCGAAAGTTCGAAATGCGACTGAAGCCATCTAGGTCACAGCGAGTATCTGGAACATCTTCATCACGTCAGCGCTAAGCTATGAGAGCAGGGAAGAGAACGTGCTCACATCGTATAGTAACTCATTATCTCCTTAGTCAGGCTCGCCTCCACCTATTCGTCTTCGCCAAGCATCCGCTCCCGGCAAGCAGGTCGCCTTCCGAAAATGGCGCAGGTATGCGTCTCGTCGACTGAATCCTGTACCGCAACCGCCCACAAAGATTTCACCAGTCATCGGATGAAGGTACTGCTGGCGTTTAACGCCGTCCGAAGGTTGCGACTCGGGAGGAACTCCAATACAGTAGATCTCGTCCTGTCTCTGTCCTGCAGCGTGGGTCTGGAGGTGACGCTCGAGGCCAGCGCCGGTGATGCGCTTTCCGCAATACGGACACGCGGTTGTGGGAGCGGTGGCCTCGCTCAGGATCCTGTCGATATCGTCCCGAGAGTGTCCGTACTGAACGTTTCGCGGCCTCGAGGACGTCAATACCAACGTCGGAAGGACGCTATTGGGCGCAGGTGGCGCGGGGTGCGAAACGGCAGGCGACACATTTGACGTAGAGGGATACTTGTGCAGCAAGAAATCCGTATCCCGCGGCCTACGAGAGTAGGGATTGGACGAGGGTTGCGCCGTCGGCGAGGATGGCGCAGGAGACTCCCGGAAGAGCTAGAGAGTTGTGCGTCGACGGATTCCTCTTGGTTTGGAGGGATGTCGAGATCCAAAGGAAGGGATACAGGAGGGGTACGAAGTCCAGACTGCGCGAGCGTGCTAGTAGAGTGGTGGGAGAAACCAGCTGCACTGGGCCCCGGAGACCGTGACTGTTCCCCGTTCATACCAAAGATTTCCCCCACATTGCCATCTGGCAACGTGGAGGCATCACTAGGTTTCATGCAGGCGTATAAGTGAAGCCGTGGTAGGAGCAAGTAGCGGAGCGGCGCACAGTAGAGAAGGCTGCTTCTCCCAGCCCATCAATTCCGCTGGCCAGTGAGATACGTCATAGCCTTCTGGTTGCTGCTGGTGAAGCAGCGATGATGATTGCTCCGCTGCCGTCCTTGAGGTGCGAGAAAGCCAGGATGCAGCGCAGAAAGATCCCAGTCGGTGGAATACCGTGACATGGGGGCGGCCTCCGAGAGGACATCTTCAGGCCAGTGCATCCAGTCGGAGTAATCGTGAAGGGTGTCCATGGCGGGCCAGGGGAGCAAACGGAATACATCCTCGAGCGGCCCTTGCACACTCTTTTATACGCGTGTAGCGACATAGTGAAGGCGGCGTCCTGTATGATCACAAAGAGCGTGTAGCGCTGACATTACTGCACCTTCACCAGCATCAAGATCCAAGCTCAAGCTCAAGAGGCGCCTTCCTGCCATCTTTAGCATGAAGAGTGGCGGGGCCCCTGCCTCGAGGCTCGCAACCCGCTCGCAACCTTCACACAGAAGCGTCTGTTCGCCACCGTCACATGCCCTCCACGCGGGCCTGCGCGCAAGATAAGTGCTGAGATCCCGATCTGTAGTGATTAGTAGCGCGTGTGGATGACAATGGAGACTCAAGGACTCATCGGAGAATGATATTCGAGCCTTGCGTTCAGTGTGCTTGTTCCTTTGTACACTGCCAGACCTCAGAGTAGTCAACGAGTGGCGTACGGCTCGGTTCCAGAGGTCAATGACCTCCTGTCTGCTAGCCAGCTCCCAGTTCAGCGTACCCAGGTATCGATACACAACGCGAATGGGAACCTTCGGTGGCTTCCAAGCAACTTCTAACACTTGGTTTGCGTGGCTGTGAACAGTGCTTACTTCAAGTTGTTATTACTCGGGGTCCCGAACTGAGACGTGTCGTACTACGTCTGCCCTCGGCATCTCGTGAGTTGATAACGTGAGGATACTCCATTATGGCCTTGAGTACTTGAGTGCCTGCGCTAAGCCACTGGTGCCACTGGCGGTGGCAGATCCTACTCTTCACAGCAGCCCACTAGCGACGCCACTGGCAGGATCCGTAGGCATTGGTATGCGTCCGTGTCGCTGCCGCGTTGCTCGTGGACTGCCCTAACTTGACTCTGCTTTGGGAGAGCTCAAGACGGGAGAGCCTGGCGCATCCTCCCCGTTTCAACGACTGCCTCGTTGAATCTGAACATCAATGACTCGGAAGGTCCGACTCGGACGTCGACACCGGACTCACCTTCGAATACTAACCTGCCACTGGCTGAGGCTGCCAGTGCGATTCGACGGATTAGCCGAGTAATATCGACGTAGTATCATGTCGCAGCATATCAAAGGTTGAACGTAAAACCTGAACGGATCCCGCCAGATTACCCATAGAACTCTTTGCAGCGGAAGTCCGAAGAAAGTCTTGAAGTTTGACGGCAGCCGCGGCGTGCTGCCGCTCTGCGCCGTGCACAACCCGGCACGTGTCACGTGAGCGCGTCTTGCAGGTCGCCGACGAGCCCTCACCAAGCTACGACTTTTGCCACCAACTCGATTCTTGGCCGTGCTCGAAAATCACATAACAGAGGCAGGACTGGACTGCGAAGATTATGTCTTGTGAAACCCCGGCTGTGGAGGGTGATACCCTCATGCCTCGTACGCCGTTGACTTTGCATCGATCGACAGGAGAAAACTGAGTCGACTCCTTCCCGCAGGTCGCCAAAGTACGACAAGACGAAATACTGTGTACGATGCAAAGAAGCGCAAGGAAACATCGTGATCCGTCATGCCGTGTACTGCAAGTGCGCCTCTCACATCTGTGCATCCGACTTGGTCGCCTGACTCCCTCGTCTCGCAGGGATTGCTTCTTTCCCCTCATCATCCACAAGTTCAGAAGAGGCTTGGAGCCGTCTGTAAACCCCACACCAGACGGCCCCCGCCGCACAGCTCTGCGACCGGACGGGAACCTCCTGGTCGGCTTCTCCGGGGGACTCGGCGCGACTGTCCTCCTCGACCTCGTCACCGCTGCTATGTGAGCATGGATCAGTCTACGATGCCCTCGGACGGAGGCAAGCATCATCCTCGACACGAAGAGTCTGGAAGAGGGTGCGGTGTGCTACGTGGAGATTTGCGACGCGTTTCCCGGAGTGAGCACGTCGTCACTACCGGGGACTGCAGCTGATATTCTCAAAGTAGATGCGAGACAAGACGGCCGATATCGAGCGGTTCGTGGCGAAGTACGAGGCGTCGACTTCGTCCATTGCGCGTGCAAGATGCGTTCGACGCGAGCTGGTGGAGGCAGTGCACGCGTCGCGCGATGCGTCCAACCTTGCCGTGGACATGAGCAGCGAGGGTGAGTGATTCATGCGGGCGAGCGGCCTCCGTGATCTCTGACAGTCCGCAGAGCTACGGCTATCGACCCTCGCGTCCTCCGCCACGCCGTTGCGGTCCCTCCAATCATATCTCGCGGCCCTACCAACCGCGACCGCTGTGCCGTCTACCGTCGAGACGCTCGTTCGGCTTCTCCTACTACACACCGCACTGCGGACCGAGTCTTCTCACTTGGTCCTTGGGACGTCTCTCACCAGCCTCGCCGTCTCCCTGATATCCGGCGTGTCGCAGGGCAGGGGGCATACTCTGAAGGAAGAGATGCAGCAGGAATGGTCCGAAGGTGATCACGGACAACCATCGCACGATGCGAGTAATGAGACGAGAGACGGGGGCCGGAAGCGATATGTCAGGGTGGTCAGGCCGCTACGAGACGTCGGGCGCAAGGAGTGCGCGCTGTGGGCTAGGTGGAGGGATCTGGTTATCGTCGGGAAGGAGCGCTGGCCATGGTCAGGAGCTAAGCAAGACATCGGAACGTTGACGAGAGGTGCGTTTGGAACTGTTGTAGCGATGCACATAGACTGACATATGCAGAGTTCATCACCGGTCTGGAGAAGGACTACCCGTCAACAGTGTCGACCATCGTCAGGACGTGTACGAAGGTAGAGCCGAAGGGCGAGTCTGCGGGACTGTGTGTCCTGTGTGCACGGTATGTGATTCTGAATACTACTTTGTCTGTCCTTAACGCGCCCTGTGTAGGCCTGTACAGCGAGGTGTGCAGGAATGGAAGTCGCGTATATCCATACGCTCCCGCGACAAATCACAGGATGAACCGCCTCCGGCCTCTACGTCTCTGAATCCGCACCTATGCTACGCATGCCACACAACAATGACCAGTCGCAGTAGTCGACCTGCGCCTTCGCTAGGGCTTCCGGCGTCGGAGCAGTCTAGCGTACGCTGCGTACCACTGCCTGTGTGGGTCGACTCGGGCATGCATCGGCCGGCAAGGTTGAGCGAGCAGCAGATGAAGGAAGCTGTGCAGGATTTCTTGTTGGAGGACGATACATAGCGGGATAATGTGATAACTGCCCCCCTTTGAGCTTTCGTCTCTTTGCATTCACTCGCGGTAGGGCCTTTGTCCTGATAAGGCAAGTGAGTGCTAATTCTCGGCCCGGCCACACTGGTGACTGCGTAACATTGACCAACCCAAGAGTCGGGGCCAAGACCAACCAGTTCTGAACGTTCCTGGCTCGAGTCAGTCGCTGGAGGGCGTCCCGAGTCAACGTTCGTAGTGCCGCCGTCGTATATAGCTGCGTCTGTCCTCGTCTACCGCGGCCTTCACGTTCTCTGCTCTTCTTGTGCCTCTCGATTCTGAGGAGAGATGACTGCCATTGATACCGTTGATCCCAGCCCCGACGACACAAGCAGTACACATATGATGCTGGCAGGAAGCCTCCTCCTTTTGGTCACGCTCTTCGCCCGTTCTGGGCGTTTGATCCTGGATTTGTGAACATGAACCATGGTTAGCACTCATGCAATCAGATTATCCGACCGTATATCCTCAAATTACCTCTCATACTCTGTGCAGGATCATACGGGTCTCTGCCGCTGCCTGTGCTCCTCAAGTGCCAGGAGCTAACCCTTCTCGCGGAACGGAACCCGACAAGTTCCACCGCATCACCTATATGGGCATGCAGCAAGAAGTCAGGTCTGTACTCACAATGACTGGACAACGATGCGTGACATTGAGACTTTGCCCGCAGGAAACGCGTAGCTGATGTAGTCAACGCCGAACTAGATGAGATCGTGCTCGTACCGAACGCGACCCATGGCATCAACACCGTCCTCAGGAACTTCGAATGGAAAGAGGGCGACGTCATAATCGAAGGTCTGCACGCTACCTTTCATTGACGGTAGCTGGCTAAATTCTGCGTCCACAGCAACGACTACGTACAACGCCGTCTCGCGCACCATCCGCTCTCTCAGCGACCGCTCCGCGCCTCCTCGGCCTACACCCGTGAAAACCGTCCTGACGTTCCCCATGACGCGCGCACAGATCCTAGATGACTTCCGCGTCAAGATCAAGGAGGTCAAGGGTGCAGACCCAAACGTGGACTACAGTGATACCCCGCCGGATGCGACGGGCGCCCAGAACAGGAAGGGCAACAAGATCGTCGCAGTGATCGACTCGATCATCTCCAACCCGGGTATGGCGCTCCCCTGGAAGGAACTTGCGCAAATCTGTAAGGAAGAGGGCGTATGGAGTGTCATCGACGGCGCTCACAGCATTGGGCAGGAGGTGTGTATGCCCGTCTCATTTCACAACTTTGTTCAAATGCGCATCTCGCTGATGCGGGCTGTTGTTCGCAGCTGGACATCAACCTGAGCGCCGCGAAGCCAGACTTCTTCATCTCGAATTGCCACAAGTGGTTCTACGCCAAGCGCGGTTGTGCGCTCTTGTACGTTCCAAAGAGGTCAGGGGCGTTTCAATTAGTGATACCTGTCTACACCGAATTGACACACTCCCAGGAACCAGTATATCATCAAGTCGTCGATCCCGACATCACATGCATACTTGTCTCCTAACGATTCAAAGCCACCACCGGCTGACGAGACGAACTTCGTCCTTCAGCATGAATGTAGGTGTAAGCGGCGCAGCCAGACGTGAAAAGGGCTTACAGGTGGGCACTTCAGGGACTGGAACGGCTGACCAGATTCCATACCTGAGCATAGGTGGAGGTATGACTGACTCGTCCTTATATATCCGTTATACTGACGCGATTTCGACATTGTAGCGATTGATTTCCGCCAGTGGCTAGGTGGCGAAGCCGTCATCAATGCGTACTGTCATCAGCTAGCCCTGGATGGAGGTAAGAGGCTGGCAGAATACCTAGGGACCAAGGTTCTAGACGAAACAGGAGAGTTCACGCTCAACATGGTCAGCACTTACGCAGCCATGCGTCACCGTCTTGCTAACAGAGCTGTCTCAGACCAACGTGCAACTCCCGCTGCCGACAGAATCTGCAAACAGCGAGTTCTACACACCACAGGCACGCGAGAACATCCTCAGGGACGTCACCAAGAAGCTCCTCCTCGACTGGAACGTCTCCGCGGGATTCTTCGTACATGCAGGCGCCTGGTGGACGCGCTGCAGCGCCCAGGTTTGGAACGATGTTCGTTCTATGCTACCCAAGTTGAGACTGCTACCGCGACTGACTTACTATGATCATGCAGATTTCTGATTTCGAGTATGTTGGCAAGGCATTCAAGGCTATATGCGGAGAAATCACGGAGATCGTAGAGAAAGGAGGCGAGTTTCCACAGGGCATAGACACGCGCTAGGCTGCGCACTCGACGAAGCTAAGCATGTAAATGTAGGTGTACGAGTTATAACAAATTGACTCTCGCGACAAGGATACCCTTCCACATTGAAGCGATTTACGTCCGCGAGTCCACCTCACCGCGCGTTGTGGTGTATGAACGTTCAACGTTCAATGATAGCTGACAGACACCAGAATACGAGTACTCTGCGTCTAGCAGGCATGCGTTCCAAGATCTGTTCCTTGAACGGCGAAGAGTGAGACAGGATTCCTCATGGCCGACGGGATGACCTGGCTTCCGAGTCGTACACCCAGTTGGCGTCATGACAGAATACCATCATGATCTGAGCATGAGATCAGCACACTTCCCAGCAAATGCATACACGACAGCCTGCGGATGAGCAGCAGGACAGTTCGGGAACACGCTCGCGTCCGCTATTCGCAGCTTCCGAATGCCATGGACGCGGAGCTTGTCATCAATGACCCCAGGACACTCGTCCTCCTCCGGGGCCATCCTACACGTGCTCGAGTAATGGTACATCGTCTCCACGTTCTCGTCGATGTACTCGTCCAGCGCGACGTCGCTCGTTGTGTCTGGGGCGTGCACGGCCTCCAGCGGGTAGCCGTCCACACGCAGCTGCTCAGCCATGGCCGCAGTGACGCGGAGGGCCGCGCGCAGAGCCTTGCGGTCGTCTGGGGATGTCGCGTACCGCATGTCGCAGATGGGTTGTGCTCGTGGGTCGCGAGAGCGTAGGCGGAGGTGACCCGTCGACTTCGCAAGCATGAGTCCGGCGTCGATGCCCATGGTGCCCTTCAAGTGGTCCGTGCCTGGTCTCCTGGGATCACCGACGGTAGACTGAAGTGGGTGAGCATACAACTTACAGGCCATTGACGCGTCACTCACTATCATTACACAGATGTCGGGCACATTGTCAGGGCTGTATGGATCCTGCTGCTCTGCAGACAGCGCAGTGGGCGTGCCGTCGGCGGAAATTACACTCGAGAGACTGAAGATCTCTGTCTCGACCATGAAACACTGAAGTGCGCCGGTGCCGTGTCGGAGATAGTTGTAGAGCTCCCGCAGAAGGGTGAGTGGCTGTCGGAATACGGAGTAGAGTGAATCTGCCATCGGGCAGTTGAAAGACGACTGCACGAGAATGTGATCTTGCTGCCAATGTGGGAATCAATTAGCGAGTGTAGATTCGGTCGCGTTCAGACAGCACGCACCAAGTGGTTTCCGACTCCGGGGGCATGCTTGACCACTGGAATGCCGACTTCGCGTAGATGCTCCTGCGGACCTACACCACTGGTACGTCTCAGCATTCCGCAATCTGGACACAGTACATATTGCTGCGACGAACCTTAACAAAAGCAACTGGGGTGTGCGCAACGCGCCACAACAGAGTACAATCTCTCTCCGAGCGGTAATGACACGCTTAGCACTACCCCCGGAAAATCTCTGCAACTCCACTGCCTCTGCGCTGAGGGTATTGTCGTTGCCATTTGAAATTTCTAGCTTCGTAGCGATGACGCCGCAGCAGACATGGAGGTTCGGTCGGTTCGCGACGACGTCCGCCGGCAGGAATGCGCGGAAGGACGAGTGTCGTCGGCCGCTTGCGTCGAGCGTGTACTGCACCTTGTTAACGCCCGTGCTGGGCTCGAAGGGTGAATTCACGTCGACGGTCTGCCTGAATCCGATCTTCCTTGCCGCCTCTGCAGCCCTTGAGCGACAACGTCAACTTACGAAGATGGGTGGGCCAAGTATACTTCGCACCTCAGCGAACATCCATGCGTGTATGCTTCGAATGATCGTACATCCAGGGGACCTGCAGAGCCCATCAGCATTCTCATTAGCGCCAGTGGAATGATAGTACCATCTACGCCATGGTCCTCCTGAGGCACCGGCCCGGTCCAGTTCTGCGACCTCATGAAATACGGCTTCATCTCATCGTAAGACCAGCCATCCCGGCCCTGCGCATGCCAGGCATTATACTGAGCGGGGACGCCGCACGTGTAGATGTTGGCGTTGATGCGCGAAGTGCCGCCTAGACCAAGGCCTGTAATGAGGGTCCAGGAACGCCCGAGTCTCGAGTCTGGAACACTGTCGAAGACTGTGCTGTGTTTCCCGGTGGAGAGGTGGTGCATTGACAGAAGGGGCGTGGTGTCGAGGAACCTGTGGGCGTCGTGGAGGTGAGCGGCGGCACTGTGATACGAGACTCAAGATGGCACGTACGAGTTGGAGGCGTCGCCCCGCTCCACGAGCAGCACTGAAAATCGTGGGTCCTCACTGAGTCTTCGCGCGAGGAGACATCCGCCTGTACCGCCTGTGGTGGGATTACTTGAGCGACTATTAGCTTGGAGGAAGCGCGTGTCCACTTACCCCCAACGACGATGAAGTCGTAGTGCGACTTCAATTCAGCGAGGGCTTTCACCGGATAACTAGATTTGAAAGGCCACATGGAGCGCTATCCGACACTGCGACAATACAGGAAGACGCAAGGTCAGCACAGACGGATATGCGTGTCGTTACATGTCACGTAAGTATGTTTGTTGTGGTGGTCAGCTTCTCGGATGTCCCTATAGGCTCACGGGGATACCGGGTAAGACTCCTGTACCCATTTAAGTAAAACACTGTACTGAGATCCATTTCGAATAAGTAAAGCAATCACATCAGCAAGCACATCAAGTTCGAGTATCTGACAGAATCGTTCAGCAGCAGATTTTGACTCGGATGCTGCAGTTTCCAAGCAGCAAAACAATAAATACACTGGGTCGCAGTGCAAGGATGTGCCTCCCTCCTGATCTCGTGCTCAAAGGTTCGACTGGGATCCTACGCTGAGACTGAGCAATACACCGTTTTCATTGTATGAGGATGGTGTAATGCTCAGTTTCGCGCGGTGTCTACACTTCACTGCCACATCAAGCTGCACGCATGTGCGTAGGACGAGGCATAGAAGACGCAGATGTATGTGCAGGTTAGCAAGTTGTTCAAAAATTGATATTGACCCAGGAAAGCGGGAGACTGCTCAGGCGCCCTGCGAACTGCACTCAATCCTTCTCTGCCACGATGCTTGTCACCTCCACTCCCGCGATGTTCCCATTCATTGCCCTGCGGCGGTCAACCTCCACGTAATCCGCGTTGGCCTCCGCCGCTGCGCCGACCCACTTGTGCGCACTGTCTCGCACGAAGTCGGCGTACTCCCATATTGTGGGGGAGAGATCTAAGAGGGATTGCGCCCAGATGTAAGTCTGCGCTGGGATGGGCGCGTTGAGCGTGTCGAGCGGAGGGAGCGGCGGGGGTGTGCCGAGGGGTGCTGCTGCTGAACTTTCGGGCGAGGAGAGCGGAATGAAGGAGCCGATAGGGTACGCGGAGACATTCTCGCGCGTATACTCCTGGGAATGTCTAAGGATACGAGCAAGGGAAAGGTGGAACATGTCGGACGTACGTCGCCTTCGAACGTGTCCAATAGCCCAATGTCGGCTTCCTCGAGGCCCTTGACGAGCGTACCACGGACTACGCGCTCCTCCGGGGCCAAGTCATGTTCGTAGAGTTCTCGGGACCTGCTGTAAGGCAGTACGGCAGGATAGTCTGCGCGCTATGTGCGCGGACACATCAGTCACCGGCCGGGTAGCAGCGTAGCGGTGCGGGCGCACACCTTGATACGGTGACGGGTATAGTCCTGCATCCTCGAGTCAAGTACGTCTCGCAGATGTATCTGCAGCAGCTGCTCACCAGTAGCAAAGCAGGACATATCTCCAACTTCTGTCCTTCATGTCCGATAACACGTCGAAGGATGGCTGGGTGGAGGAGTGTGCCATAGAAGAATGCCGTGTACGTCTGCGACATCGTTCGAGATCCACTTGTGCGGAAGAAGGGGAGGATGTTGTCGGGGACGCGTCTGAGCCAGTGCACGGGAAGTCATGGTTATATATATAATAGAGCACTGAGAATGGTGGGACTCAGACGCGTTCAGAATTCCAGATTAATTCCGCCCGATAAGATACGCGTAATGATCACGTGAGACGCGTTCAACCAATCAAATTGAAGGATCACCCGGCAACATGTTCGACCTTTCTTTGACCTGAATCCCCGCCGCGGCTGAATCCACGACTGTACTTTCGCTGGACCTTTAGCAGCTGCTACGCAACGCCGACAACCTCGACGAAGAGTGGAATGCAATTTGCAACTGAGAGTCATGGATACTTGGCGAACCATGGTCGACTGCAGTACTGGTCTCAGCCGGGAGCTCGATTCTATGCCGCGTAATCTACACCTCATGACCCAACGCATGAACTGACTCGGAGCGTTGGGAGCAACCGGTTTTGGATACTTATGTGCGTAGTCTGTCACACATTTAATGGCTTCGCTGTCAAGACGAATGTACTCCCAAACGCAGTATGTCTCCGCCTGCAGGGCAGTGCGGCGACTGTAACCGCTGCAACTGCACATTCAGGCTATTCCTTTTGCAGCCAATCCCCGAGCTGCAACTTGCTTGTTCTGCGGACAGGAGCCATACACGAGTCAACAAGGTCGTGTTTGGGGTCTGCCTACGGGATACTAGGATAGGAGGCTATCCCCTGATCAATGCCTCCCAAGAGCGGAGTGGTGTTCGTCCATATTAATACTCCGAGTCTCGTCATTGTGCTGCTGGTCAGTTGATGATCCAAACATATGAATGGGCATTGTTCTTCACACGAATGCCGTAACACATCAATGCAACCTGAGCCAGAAAGCTATTACAATGTCTGACACTGGGCACAAGATTGCCAAAACTTTCGTCTGTGCAATCCATGACTGATGGTCGAGCTTGCTCCTTTCTAGGTACATACACAGCGCCGGCTTTTCACTGGCATTCTTACCGGTTGTTATCGCGTTCAGCGCTTTGAATGTCTATCGGGACGAGCGATACAGTGGGAGAAGATTCGGACCGCCGCCTTCCCGCTGTCTTATCGTCTTGCAGGGGCTGCTGCTCCGCAGATAAAACGCCCGGCGGGGGCGTGCAGCTGAGCCCGCGACCGTGTTCCCACTTTGCTTCGAATCCTATCCACGTTCACCGGGCGAGCGCGACAGCAATAGCTTGCAGTATGGCCACAGCAGCGAACTCCGTGCCGCACCCCACGATCATTCCGGTAAGCGCTCTCACATCCGTGCTAGGCCCACCGATCGATCGATGATTTGTTTCTATAGATCGACCCTTTCATGTAAGTCTTTCGACAAGTTCTGAAGAGCGCACGCGCTGAACGCATGTCGTCGCACGCAGTCCGGCACCGGAACAGAAGGTACGTATTGACTTGGCTTGCACTACGAATACTCATCCGGCTGTCTATCAGGGCCTCCACAACCGCTGGCAGTGCGTATTTGCGATCTTTCCCGAACTTGACCAGTGCTGATATTCGATTGAATGTAGCCCTGATATCCCTGCATACGCTACTGTGAAGCCCGGTCAAGTCTTCAAACTCGAGTGTATCGGTATGTCATCTCTCATCTCTCTACTCCACTTATCATATCACTCGAGCAATGAGCACTCACCTTTTCGAACAGACTGGACGGGCGCGCAGATCGGCAACAACGACTGTGAGTATTCGTACAGTTGAATGCAGTGTATTTGACTAAATACGTTCGTCAGCCTCCGATGACATCAGGAATGTTGACCTGACGAAGATTCACAACCTCTCCGGCCCTATCGCTGTCGAAGGCGCAGAGCCCGGCGACTGCCTTGTGGTTGACATCCTAGACGGTGAAGTCCCTTCCCCGTACTGACGGCGTTCAATATTCTGACCACGGTCTCAGTCACCCCATTCGAGAAGATGCCCTGGGGCTACACCGGCATCTTCGAGCTCGAGAACGGCGGTGGGCTCTTCGGTACGTCGCCTCCCCCCTCTCCGCGCTGTCGCCTCCTCACACTCAGTCCGTCCTCTCACCCCGCAGCCCGCGAGTTCCAAAGCAAAGCCGCCAAGGCAGTTTGGGACTTCCACGGCGTGTACGCGTCCTCGCGGCACATCCCCGGCGTGCGCTTCGCAGGAGTCTCGCACCCCGGCCTGATTGGCACGGCGCCCTCCGCGGAGCTGCTCGCCACCTGGAATCAGCGCGAGGCCGCCTTGGTCGATGCGCACCCCGGTGCGGTGCCCGCGGTCGCTCTGCTCCCGAACAAGGTGGGCGCGTACGTCGGGCAGGACCTGCCTGATGACGTGCGGGAGAGGATCTATACCGAGGGCGCGAGGACGATCCCGGGCAGGGAGCATGGCGGGAATTGTGATGTGAGTCGAGTTCGAATATCCTTGTTACTGGGTCCCCTTCAGTATAATTCCGTGTATGGTGGCTTGGTACTGAGGAGTTGCCGCCTTTCAGATCAAGAACCTGTCCAAGGGATCGCGATGCTACTTCCCTGTGTTCGTCGAGGGTGCGAACCTCTCCGTTGGCGATCTGCATTTTTCGCAGGGTGACGTGAGTAGTAACTATTCCCTCCCTTCGTACGCAGAGCGCTCTAGCTGATGTAACCCCGTGACAACAGGGCGAGGTGAGCGGACACTGGAATGGGCGTGTCGATACGTGGCGTTTACTTACACTCTTACAAGATGTCGTTCTGCGGCGCCATCGAGATGGTGCGTTGTTGCTGATTCAATAGAGTGCGTAGACTGATCAAGATACCTCTGTTGGGCACGTCATTGGCATCCTACCGTATACAGGCAGGCATCATCACTCTGCAAACGACATCATCAAGGGTGGCGTCGAGAAGTTCGCTATGAAGCAGCCCATCTTCATGGTGCGTGCATTCCGCTGATGTTCGTGTACAGCACCTTACCTCATGTGCTCCGGTGCAGCCCTCGCCTGTCGACCCTCTCTACTCAGCTCAGCTAGTCTTCGAGGGTATCAGTGTTGATCTCCGTGCGTCCACTCCTGTCTGCACCGGTGTCGCGCGTGGCTGACGGCTTGCATAGATGGTGACGGAAAGCAGTATGACATGGATGCGTACGTACATCTTCTAATTCGGCCATATATCAGAGCTCATATGCGAGATGACGTCTTTAGTACTGTCGCCTACAAGCAAGCAGCACTCAACTGTATCGCGTACCTCATGAAGGTAGGTCTGAGCGACTTGTGGGTGGCAACGAGTAAAGCTGAACGTAACCTTCCAGCTCGGCTATACTCGTGAACAATCTTGTGAGTGTCGTATTATATCGTTTCTCTTCACCTCTTGCGTTGTACTACGGGCCAACGCCGTCGATCCCTTTGTCTTGCCTGTTCTGACGCATAATGACCTTGCACGCTAGACCTCTTGCTGTCAGCCGCTCCCGTCGAATCGCACGTCGGTGCCATCGTCGACTCTCCGAACGCCTGCGTCACCCTTGCGCTGCCGCTTGGTATCTTCGAGAATGTATGTCCTACCCATGTGTTGAGTTCCAGCCGTGACACGTTCTATTATGCATAGGACATCCGGCCGAACCCAGAGGGTTTGACGAAGAGGGACTTCGGACAGTGCGCCATCCGGAGCGACGGCGTCGTCTAAATCTTTGGCTGTGTGGACGTAACAATTCGAAGGTGAACGCGGCTCAACACTGTATGGAGAAGAGTGTATTTCTACGAAGATTGTATACCACCAGTAGTAGCGTAGCACCAAGCTTACAATGCGGGAGATTTGTACTGACGTAGCGGGCGCATCCCACCCAGTGCTCCTGCAACGTCACGTACGCGTATTCCTTCCATAAGCACGGGACTAGTATGGCGGGTGGCTAGCTTGCCGGTGCGTTAGGGTAGCGTATGAAAGTGCCCTGTAAATTACACGTATGTTTTTTACACGTATTTTACATGTATATTACTAGTAAGTTACCGAGCCCAATAATAGAGATGTAAGAAAGTGTAAGTTAATAATGTCACGTGCTAGATATCTCGCAGTCTCTTGCCTGGCATTGTCTCGTACCCATGCATCCGTGCAATTACTGTAGCCACCACATCGTCTACACGTCTGGGCCATTTCATGCGGCGCACCCCATACCTTTAGTGCCCTTGAGCGCCCGCTTGTAGCGGTCACATTGGCTGGGCCGGCGCGAGATCCTACCGTCCGATCCTTTCCTTTTTAGGGGTGCTACATTGCTCGTGCGCTCCGTCACGCTTGTCCCGATACCACTTCCGCTTCGTCTTGAGCAAGGCAGATGTTCCTGGTGATTGTTTCCCCTGATTCATGCTTAGATGTCCCAAGAGGACATTTGATTCACCTCATTGAGCATCAAACACAATAGTTGGAAGGGAGGATGGTGCAGCGTCCACCAAGCCATTTGGGATACTTATATAATGCCAACACAGCTGGTATATATGTGTTATGGCTGAGTGGTTTGATGGTGTACTTCTTATTTTGCATCGCGCGGGTTCGAGTCTGTGTTATTGAATTTCTTTTTGCAGTGTGGTACGACTGGCTGTCCGATTTTATTGCTGAGGCTTACATGGCTATCTGTCGTAGCGCGGCGCGAGGATCGTACAGGTCCGTCGAGACGGGGCAAGGAGTGTCGCAGAGATGAAGCACAGGAGTGATGTAGCACCCCGGAAAAGGAAAGGATCGGACAGTAGGATCTCGGGGCCCAACCGATGTGACCGCTACAAGCGGGCGCTGTGTGCGGCATGAAATGCCCCAGACGCGTGAACAGCGGTGGGGTACGGTGGGGTGCGAACTTATTTTCATGGATGCCAGAATCATACTATTGAGATATTGAGACGTCGCCGCGCGTAGCGCGGCGCGCCCTGGATGCGATCACCTAATCACGTGACCCCAAGTAACTTACGGTAAGAAACATATGTAAATAACTTACACTGTCGGGGAGTTACTTACCTACCGGTAAGTTACCCACCTCGAGTTTCTTACGCAACCTTACGGTGCGTTACTAGTGTCCTGCCGACGGATCTCGATGGATTTGCACTAGGATCCCAAAAAGGAAGGTGTCCTTGATTAGCTTCCCGGCCGTCGACTTTGGCATGACTTGTTCTCGTTCTCCGCTCATTCATTCTTTCACCAAGCACTCTTCCGTAGTCGTCACATTTTTTGCTCGCTCTGCATTCATTCCCTCTGCCGCCGTTTTTCTCGCTTTTTCGATCCTTCCCTTTTCGCTTTCAATATGCGCCCTCAACAACCTGTGGTAGATGAGAAGAACCCGTTCTACTGCCCCGCTCTCGACGCAATCGCTTTCCTGCAAAACCTCCGACACGAAATCCATGCGGACCCACCTCCCTACTCTCGCACTCCGGGCGACTGCCTGCCTTCTTTCGCCGAATGTCTCGACAAGTCCCTGGACGAAGCCGAACTCCAAGAACTACTCTACAGGGCCGTGCCTCGAGTCCTCGACAGCCCCGACGTCTCCCAGGCTAATCTCAAATTCTCTGGATACTTCTGTGATCACAGCACCCCTGCACCACGCCGCGGCCTGCAAGACATCCCTCCTGGACTCAAAGCAAAGCGCAGGAGGCCTTCCCCCCCGGGAACCTTCAGTGATATGCTCGCGCCCCCGAAAAGAGAGAAATCGTACCAGAGCGTCAACGAGAGCTCCTTCGAACTCAGCGCTAGGGGGGAGAAGCTCAAGTACTTCAGAGAATCCGTGGACGCTCTGTACTCGCCATATGCGCCACTCAGCTATGGGTACTCCGACGCGGACCGGCGGCCGACGACGTTCGAGCTGGAGAGAAAGATCCGGGCACTGGAAGGTGCGTATATGCTGCATCCCATCGACGCTGACGGAGGTACAATGGCAATGGCGCGTGTTGCCCACGTATATGATGTGCTGTAGACGAGTTATACGGTCCTCCAGTCGGCGCGGAGACTCCTCGCAGCATGAACGCGCTCACGACGCGTCTCGACGCGCTACTCCCCGGCATCAGGCTTAAGGAGCGACTACGGGCACTCAACGTGAATTCTCACCAGCATATAGCGGAGCTTCTCGCCGTTGATGGTTCGTGTTGTCCTCTTCCGCCGTAGCAATGCAGTGGCTTGTCTGACCAAAGTGTTTGCGATTTGGCAGGGCACCTGAACGCGCGAGTCCTAGAGATGCTCCGCATGTCCGAAATCGATTGCCTCGATCTCACCGCGTCGCTCATGGATGCGGAGGGCCTCAACTTCGGGGCGAGGGAGCTGCTGCCAGGTGCATGCCTTGAGGGTGCTTTCATCGAACATACCTAACTCAGTTTGCGGCAGTCTTCCGCAAGCCGAATAGCTTCCTCTTCTTGAGCGAGCTCAGCCTCAGCGACGCATCCCTACAAGACTTCGACATGACCTACATACACCACCTCCCGCGTCTGTCCCGGCTCTGGCTTAGCAACACAGGAATCAGCAACGAGGCGTACGCACCACATACATCTCCCTGCATCATCGATTGACTCACAGGATGTAATAGCGTATATCACCTCGTCGCGCTCCGCCGGACACTCTCCGAGCTCGACATCGCACTGAACGCCGCCATCGACGATGATGTCGTCTCCGCGCTGCTCGCCCTCCCCAAGCTGTCCTACCTCTCGGTCTTCGACACCGGTGTGCGCATGCTTGGGCTGCGCCGCCTCGCGAGGGGCATCACAGACCGAGATGCGGAGTATGGCCTCGACATCGAGGTTCCACGCGAGTGCGAGGAGTACCTCGACAGTACGTCTTCGCCGTCTTCTACCGTCCGAGACTGAGAGAAACGGCTGACGAACGGACTCGTCAGGTATGCACCGCAGGTACATGCTGCACCCTGAGCCGCCGCTCATCGCCGAGCCCGGCGCATGCGCGGACCTCTCCGTGCCAGCGCTCCGGCGGAATCTCGCCGCGCACGCGGCGTACGATGCGCAGATCGTCGTAGGCGGAACCAGGCAGGAGATGGCGGAGCGTTTGGAGCGAATTCTTCGGGTACGCGAGGCGGATTTGGGGGTGAGGGACATGGTGTGGAGGAGGGCCGGTGGGGATGGAATGGGTGTGAAGCGGGAGTCTGAAGGTAGTGTGGACATGGAGGTGTTCTGAGTGAGCGCCAATGGTCATGGGGTATTCAATTCGTCCGTATGGCTGCAGGGGTCTCGCCTTGCACTTGGTAGAAGTATCCTGGTACACACGCTATAAGCACTCCATAAAAACGTACGAACCGCATCCTCCACGATGATCTGGGCGTCGAATTCGAAGTCGCCCGCTTGAAGCTCAACACTGCGCCCCTTGCACATCAGCATTGGGCTCTGATAAGAGATGCATGCCCACCGCCCTCGGCATAGACGTCGCATATGTTTCCGCTCGCAGCAGCTCACTAGATGCACTGAATGTCATGTAGATCGGTCAATATACTTGAGCAGATGGACTGGTATTACGAGATCTCGATCGAGTCCCAGCAGTAAAGGGTGAGTTTAGCTATGTCTGGAATAATTGTGTCAGAACATTTCATGGTCCATAAGAACCGTACAAAGCTTACAGGCAGTGGGGAAAAGACGGACTCGAGCATAGAATAAGATGACGACGAAAGCGCACAATGAGAGCAATGAAAGTACTAGTCCGAGTATTCCGCGAACGCTCCTGGGGATAACCTCAGACATTGTTTGTCCTCCTGCGATGAGAAGCATACCTCAGAACCACAACGTCAGACCCAAGTTCTCTCTTCACTTATTGGTCGGCACCGCTCCCCTCAGGCGGGTCCGCCCGTCCTTCAGGATTTCAGTGAGGATCGGACTCGCCGCCGGTCTGTACTTGTACTCTGCCGAGTACCTAGGCGACGACTCAGTACATATAGCACGCAGGCGAGGCTTCGCGTCCTCACCGCTCAGCGTAGATGATCTTCGGCCGGTTGGCGTGCTTGCGGACGGCCCACACAAGCCAGAGGGATAAGAGGAGGAAGGTGATGAGTGCGAGCCGCCGCCACGGCGAGGAGCGCTGCGTGGGCAAGGGCTTAACGTCGTCCTCTGTAGGCTCGTCGTCTTCCACGCTCTCCGCGTCGGATGTGTCGCTCTCCGCGTCCTTGTCCTCCTTGGTGACCAGGTTGCGCTTCTCTTCCTCGGACATCTTCGGAGGTACAGAAAGACGGAAATACCGAGGGGGTGTAGAGGTGCTGGATGTACAACAGCAAGTAATGGGCAGCTACGAAGTGGGAGTGTGCTGTGAGTCGAGGACTGTAAGTATTAGACCGCTCGGCGCTCGCCAGTGCTACGACCACGTGACGGTAGTCACGATACGTCAACGCGCACCGCGCACGCACCACTGGCAGTTCCGGCACTTGAACCGCACTGTGAAGCACTAGGAGCTCTGGCACACTCGAGCGCATACACTCAGCTCATTGGCATCTCCGCCTCCGTACACCGTTGCCTCTCAAGATACTGCATCAATAGGTCTCGTGGAATGCCCAAAGCCAGTGCGAAATCGACCCCGTCCGAGCCGTCGCTGGCCCGCGCCATAGCGAAATCGACGTGCGTGCACCGACTTGCCACTTGGCCTGGAGACAGATTTGTCCCTGGCTTGCACGATTTGCAGGCTGATTTTAAAACAATGGTCTTCAGACAAGAGCGAACATCATATCCCATGTTAAATACCATAAGGAGGAGCGCGCCGAAACGCTGCTTCGCGGAGAGAGGTGCGGGCAGCGCTGGCGTTCCAGAGGACTGCCCCTTGCCGTGGCGGCGACAGAAGACCAAAATCATAGCACGCACGCCTAACGGGGATGTCGCGATACGGTACGCAGCTTTTCATTGCGGATCAGAGGCACTCCAGACAGCTCACGACGCAGAATCTCGCTGCCGGCGGGAGTTTAGGGAACGTTAGCACGTCGAACTCTACTCGCTTGCTATACCCAGAGCGAAAGAGAGCCTATAACCCGTTTACGACTGCCGGCTTGTGGACTCTATAGCATCGTCTTCTCGTCACCCGACGTCTGATATAAGGAGTTCCCTCGTCGTCTGCGGTCTCTTTCAGACCAGCTACGCGTCACGGCAACCGACTCCGACGCCTCCGGACGATGTGCTTTAACAGCTGTCAGTGAGGGCGCACTGTCTCCTCGCTCGACTTCTCTGAAAGATCGTGACGGTGACCCCTATGCTCAGGCCGACTTGCCCCAACACCGGCAGGAGCAAGACCAGGAAATGGAAGATCTAGTTGGCGGCCGTGGTGCTGACGCAAGGCCACGTCGAACGGAAGACAGTCGCATGGATGCCTCGCGCGAACGTCTCCAGGATGATAGCTTCAAGAATACGCATTGCCTTTCCGAGGAGGCACCGCCCACGTTCACCGAGGACCCCATCATTCGCGACGTGTACATCGACGTGTACCTCGCAGCGACCTTCCACCATATCTCACTCAAGGAAGCCCAGTTCATGCTCGACAGCCTTCACCGGACACTCGTTGCGTTATCAAAGCGCCCCGGTGTCGAATTGCAAGGACTGGACGCGATGGCGCGTACCCTTCCTGACGTCTGTCGGCGACTAGGCTTGGACCCCGGCCAACACGCAGTTTACTACTTCCTTTGCGATATATGTTGGACTCGCCACCAGCCCTCTGAGCTCTATCAGCTGGAGACCTCGGGATGTACACGGCCTGGATGCTCTGGCGTTCTATTTGTGACGAAACAAATCGATGGACGTACGGAACGCATCCCGCTCAAGATTCTTCCTGTCGCATCCAGTATCGGTGACTAGCAAACTCACTCAAGATACGCTACATTCGCAGAAACATGGCTCGGACAATCACCTTCTCAACTGAAATGCTCACTTCCCGGAACGTGAAGATTGACGACCGTGGCCCCTACAGCATCATTTTCTCCCTTCTCCAATCGCACCTGTAGTACCACTACCTCAGATACACCACCGTCTACGTGCGGCGGAATTCGGGAATTGTGCCTTGTCATGCCATGAAGCCTCACGGAATCCGAGTGTTTGTGACGCGCTCTAAGGATCGTGTGTGTGACGGCCATTTGGTCGAGGACGGGTCGGGGCCCTACAAATCCAGAGCACAGCTCACTTCGCAGTTCTACGAAAGAAAGATACCGCATATAACTCGCGTGGTAAAGTGGTAAATTCACTTATGCTCGATATTATGGAGGTGGCGGGCCTGCAGGCGCTGAGCGGGCCATGCGATCTGGCGATCTGGTCATTGATCCCGACGCGCGCCGCGACGCCGGTCGCGATCTACGATCGCCGACACTGCGGCGACAGTATCATGCCATTCGACTTTGTGCAGCACAACGGCGAGCGGCCCACCAGAAGGGCCCGAAATTGGAAGCCTTATTGCAGCCGCAGTGACAACGCACGCCCACAATGACCCACACAAGCGGGTGCACTCTATGCGCACAGCTTGACTCTTTACAACTTCTTCAACTCTGTAGGACACTCCGGTGAAGGGCGACGGTGGTTATTCCCGTCTCCGCGAACCTGGGTTGGTGAGTGGAATTGCAGGAGAGGTGACGCGGTTAACGAGGAACCTTGGCACAGGGTCAAAGTCCGTTCCTTATTTGGAATACGGCGCAGACACGAAAGCTTTGGGCTCTGGTCCCGTCCATGCCGAGGAGTGAACGGGTCGACGAGGTGAACAGAGTGCATTTATCTGTGCGGTGCATCATGCAAGGACTCGGAGGCTACAATTCGAAAGGCCATGGGTGCGACCCCGAGTCCGCTGCACACTCCACCGATGAAGGCGGCGTTACTGTCACCAAAATGTCAGCTTCGAGCGGGAGCTCAGTATGGAGAACGACGAACATACGTTGGTGAGTGCTCCCCCCCAGTGTAAGAGACGGCTCATAATAGCACGAATCCAGGAGGATGCGAAGGCCCCATGTACTGGTCATGCCAGGCAGACCGCTGCACCACAACTGATATTCTCGTCGTCCCGGCCCAGACGGACGCATGTCCGACGAAGGAGGCGTTGGTCGAGGGAAGGAAGAGCGCGCGATGCCCGACACGCAGCAACCTCGCCGTGCCCGTTTCCCTTCTGGTGGTGCTTCTTCCCCATTACCTAACATTCGCTCAAAGACGACCCCTGATATCCTCGCCCAAACCGTCCGCTCTTCCGGCGGCAGAATGGCGATAACAATCTCTCACGGAGCCAATTTCCTAATTCTCACTGTGGGTCCACATGCCGAGTATGGACAGCCAGAACCCATCCAGGCGCTTCCGCACGCGTCCCGCATCCCATCCTCCACCACCACAGGCCCCCGCCGACCCTCCCGCAGGCCCGAATCGCCAGGATAGCTCTGGGTCGGATTCCGGCTCATTTGGCGGGCAGGGCGCTGCTCGGCAGCCCCGCGCCCCAGGAGCCTCAGCATGGCCAGGGTGTCACGGGCGCTAGCGCATTCGCTCAAAATCCGGGCTTCAACGACGTCGGGCGGGGCGACAACGCTTACGCCACAATCCGGGCTCATAGTGCTCAATATGGAGGCGCAGGGCCTTTCGGTTCCGCTCAGGGTCCTCAATTTGTGCAGGAAGGTGGTCACGGCCAGCTTCAGTATGCGTTCGCGGGCTATGGTGTGCCTGCGCCATCTCTGTCACCCTCTACGGGCTCGCCGCAGGTAAGGACTACTCCGGCCTTATCAGATCGTTGTATTCTTGAACTCATTGCATTTCAGCCGACCGGCAACACGAGCAGCGACTCGAGCAGCCCCCCTGGCTCGGCCGGGAGCCAGCTGAGCCAACATAGCGGCGGCATAGGGCCCAGGAGCCCCCAGGACGTGTTTCATGCCCCCGGCGTCGCAGGGCACGCGCACAGGGCGCATGGCCGCAGATCGGTACCGAAGGACACGTCCAGGGTGTGTATAACGCGTCGCCACAGTCGTTCAGTCCCGAGCCTCCGTATGGCGCATATATCCGTCACGGCGGACTGGAGCAGGCGGGGTACGGGAATGTGGCGCATGGAATGGCGGGTGATGCCTCGCGGCGTCCTCCGGCGCATCGGTTCGTGTCGACAGGCATCGTTGCGGGCCCGCCGTCGCAAAACACGCCGCGCCACATCCATGGCAGAGACCAATTCGTGCACCCACATGCACCCTCGCACCTGCAGACGCCCCAACTCGATCTGCGCACTCACCAGCTGTCCCGTGAAGACAGTCCGGTGCATTATGGAGGGCCTCAGCAGCCGTATGGTGTGCCGATCCTGCAACCACCGTTTATGGACGCGGGGAGCGTGCAGCAGCCCCAGCCGCCTCTGACCCACATCGCTGCGGCTAACCTGGGCGAGAACCTGACGCTGGACATGCTCTCCGACTCTGCTATTCCTGGGGAGAAGCCCAACTACCCGTACCCGACGCTGATCAAGGCGGCTATTCTGGGGAGCCCGCGCAAGGCGCTGACGCTGCAGGGGATATACAAGGCTCTCGAGGATAGGTTCGAATGGTTCAGGAGTAACAGGAACGATAAGGCTTGGCAGGTGGGTTCCGTTCAGTCATCGTATTCACACCCAGGAACTGATGAACGCGACGCAGAACTCGATCCGGCATAACCTCTCTCTGAACAAGATGTTCCGCAGGCTGGCGAAACCGATCACTGAACCGGGCAAGGGCAGCTACTGGACGGTAGACTTTGCTGCTGGCGAGGGCAACAAGCGCGAGCGGAAGCGCACGAAGCGCGCTGGTATGGCCGAGCAGGCGCGCCGCGCAATGGAGGGCGACGCTCCCTCTTCGTCGCACCAGGACAACAGCATTAGCAGCGGGGAAGAAAGTGACGTGCCGGGACACAGCTTCCCTCCGCGCCGTACTCGGCAGACCGATCTATCAGGAGCCTTCTATCGACCCTGCGCTGCTCACCCAGGGCCGCATGTCCCCTCAGAGGAGGCCCAGACTGAGCCCCGCACCGTACGCCCGCCCAGCGTTCCCCATGTCGGTCCCTGCGCCGGCCGTGCAGGACCCGCGCGTCGCTGCGCTCGGTCAGTTCTCTATGCGTCCCGGCCAGACCGCCGCATTCGGAAACCCGACTGTCGGTCAGTCTGCATTCAGCCAAGGCTCTCAGGGCTTTGACCCATGGGAGGCCTCCTTCATGGCAGGCCCGATGGGACCGCCTACCTGGGGAACACAGGTTTGCGCTCCACCGGCGTTCGAAGACCCGTTCTCGCCTGCTGGCCCGGCTTCCAATGTCGGATACCAACCACAGATGCCTGGTCGCGCCGCCAGAGAAAGCATGGCGGCTGGTCCTTCTCGTGCCGCGGCGGGTGCCCAGTCTCATGCGCCCGTCTACCATCATGGCTCCCTCGCTGTCTCCGCCGAAACAGTGGCCTCTGCGGCGGGCACCAGGTCGAGCTCTACTTCCGACGCTGGGAGCGCGCGCAGTGGCAACCTCGCGGGAACTAGCGTCTCTCAGGCGTACAGGCACAGCAGCAGCTCTTCTTCGTCGCAGTCATCCTAGGGAAGCTTCCTCGATTGACCCGTCCTTGGAGTCCTGCGCGGCGTGTCAGAGCGACATGTCGCGGAGGACTCCTCGCTCAGGCAACCCATGCACAAGTTTTGTTCTCCGTCAAGTCAAGTCCCTATGCATCCCAAGTTTTGTCAAGATAAATTGCAAACAAATCGCTGATCCACTTTCGTCCGTCTCATGCTATCTCGCTTTCGTGTCTCCCAATGCCCAGCTGTCATACACTTGTTTTCGACAACCGCTCTCTCGATAGTCTACGAAGCTCTCCTGTCTCGTGGAGGAACCGTTCAACTTTGAACATCCGGTTCTGCCACGGGGCGCAGATCGCTGTCCGACCCACCCTATATTTTATAGTCCAGTCTGCGTTCGGTGTACGATTACAACGTCGGTGATCCCTCCCTGTCTTGCTATGCCACCCTTGCTTTCATGAAACCGCACCACATCACTATCCGAACCGTCATCTCGTCTGTTGTACTTGCTGTGCTGTGCTGTCGTTTGCTTGGTCAATGACGGGCTGACATGTAGCAATGTTGTGTAGATGCTTAGCTTTGCTGTATGTAACGTGCATATATCTACAGTGTTACTACATAGTCGACTGGAATGAGGCCATCCTGTGACTGGGTGCCAGCACTACTTCGGCGATCCGACGGCGACTGACAGTCATCACTGTTTCGAAGGCTGGATGCATGCGGAGACCAGACGCACAGTAAGTAGATATTGGCTAATGGTACCACAGCCGGTTCGCGGGGCTTCTACGGCACGCACACAACCACCGGCCTATCTGAACGCGGTCGTGAGACCCATTTCGAGCGCACCAAGGCTCCCTTCCGACCTCACTTGAAGGACAATACTGAACGCCCTGTATGGTTGTATCTGTCTCATTTATAAGATATATGACTCTACACACACATCCAGCTGCATCGATGATCACGCGAGTGTTCCCCGGTGCGCAGTCGCTCTCCTATCTTGAGGCCCCTCAACCACAGCGCTTGCCAAAACAGGACGACAACCCTGCGCGCCACCGCCGCGTCCCTGGCCAGACTCGATCGTCCATAACCTCGCACCCAACCTGCACCTCGCCTCACAGCCCCTCACGCACCGTGCATAAACCTCTCAGCCCAACTGGAACCCAAGACACTAGCACTCTGTAACGACCGTGCGCCATGGTCCGCTTCAAAGTAGGCCTCCCACACACATCGAACCCCTCCGTCTCTGAATGGCACCCCCTGTAGAACCGCTGGATCCTCGTCGAGTTCATCCCCTGCGCGCTCCCCGGCCCAGGGCCCGCCCCGCCCACACAAGGCGACTCAGCGCCGCGACGGCGAGACGAGCGGCAAGCAGATCTGGGCCGCGCTCAAGCAGAGCGTGCTCACGCACTTCGGGGACACGGGCTGGGGCGCGGTCGGCGCGTCGCTCACCGGTGCGTGCCCACTCCTCCCCTGCCTCCACGCCAGCTAGACCCGCCGCACAGTGAAGTACTACTCGCCGCGGACGCACGTGTGCATCATCCGCGTCGCGCGCGACCCGCACCGCATCGCCTGGGCGGGCGTGTCGCTGCTCACGGCGATCGACGGGCAGCGCTACATCCCGCACGTCGTGCACGTCTCAGGTGAACGCCCTTCCCCGTCTCCTCGGCGCACTCAATTGACGGACGCCATCGTTTCGTGCGACGTAGGTACAATCAAACAGCGCAGCTCGCCGCCATCGAGCACAACAGGGAGGTCATCGCGCGCTACCGTGCCCTCGCTAAGACTCCTGGTGCGTCCCGTTTTGTGCTTGAGGCTGGGACTGCGGTGTTGACTGGTGCGGACCGTAGCTGGCTATCAAGACTCGTACGAAGAGTTCCTGCAGACCAGCGCACAGGAGATCGAAGCCCTTCAAGACTGACGGGCTTCAGCTATTTTCGCGCCATGCTGGGCTGTAGGCCGTCCTTCCACTGCCTCCTTTCCATCTATCCCTCATAACTTCGCTGCGACTTGCCCACCACCCACTATCTGTTCCCCAGCCCCACCATTCTCCCTCTGCCACCTCTCCGCCCACTCGACCATCCCAGCCACGAGCCTCTCCACCTCCTCCCTCGAGTTCCCCGCATGCAAGCACACGCGCACGCGCTCGCGGCCCTTGGGCACGGTCGGCCATGTGATCGGGCGCGCGTTGAGGCCGAGGGCGCGGAGGTGCGCGGAGAGCGGGCGCGGGTAGGGCGTGAGGAGCGGGATGATCGGCGAGGGCAGCGTGCGGTGGAGCGGCGCGGAGGGGCTCGGTGCGTGTGCGAGGTGTGGCGGGAGGGCGAGGAGGGAGAGCGGGATCGTGTGGAGGCGCGGGCGGAGGAGAGTGAGGAAGTGCGAGACGAGGGCGGAAAGCTGGTGGGCGAGCTGGTGGGCGTGTCAGTGTCCATGGAACGAGGATGCGTGCGAGGGAGACGCACCCGGGCTGCTGTGCCGTCCTCGAGGAGGTCGAAGGAGCAGTCGACGGAGATGATGTTCGCGTAGCTTAGCGAGGTCGTGTAGATCAGCGAGCGGGCGTAGTTGAGGAGGTAGTCCCGGATGAGCGGCGTCGTGAGCAGGACGGCTGCGGGGCGTCAGTGTGAGCGAGAGCACGGGCAGGAACGCGGGGCGCACCTCCAGTCCCCGCCAACGCCTTCCCGAACGTGTGCAGCCGCGCGAGCACGCGGTGCTCCAGGCCGAGCAGCGCGACGAGCCCGCGCCCCTGCGGCCCGTATATCCCCGTCGCATGCGCCTCGTCGACGACGACGTAGCCGTTCCCGCACGGTAGGAGCTCCTCCATGGCCTCGACCATCTCCGTCAGGGGGCAGACGGTCCCGTCCATGCTGTAGAGCGACTCGACGGCGAGGAACGCGCTCCGCGCGCCCGTCTGCAGGTCGGGGTGCTCCGCGACCAGGCGCGCGAGGACGTCGCGCAGCGCGGCGACGGAGTTGTGCGCGAAGGCCCTGCGCATGGCGGGGGCGACGCGCGACGCGCGCATGCCGTCGTGCACGGAGGCGTGGATGTGCTCGTCAAAGAGGAGCGCGTCGCGGGGCTGCGGGATGGCGGAGAAGAGGCCGACGTTCGCGTCGAAGCCGGAGTTGAAGAGGAGGGCGGCGGGGGCGGCGAAGAGGCGGGCGAGGCGGGCCTCGAGGGCGGCGTGCGCGGGGCCGTTGACGAGGAGGCGCGAGCCGCCGGAGCCGAGGACGTGGGGGGCGGCGGCGAGGGCGGCGAGGAAGCGTGCGCGGAGGACGGGGGACGCGGCGAGGGAGAGGTAGTCGTTCGTGCAGAAGTCGGCGAGGCCCGCGTCGGCCTGCGCGTCGGACAGCCGCCGCCGGATGAGCCGCTCGTCGCGCGACTGGAGGGCCGCGCTCAGCTGGTCGCCGAGGGAGGGCATCGGATGGGGGTGCTGGTGAGCGGTTCTGCCTGCTGCATTTTGTGGGCGCGCGAGTCATGCGATGGGGCGCGCACGCAACCTCCTCGCCCCCAACGCCCGCACTGGTCGGCCATAGATCGGCTTTGGTGCGCGCGTCGTCGACGTTGTTCTCTGCCTTCTGCGGCCTCTTCTGCGGTCCTGATGTGCCGATGAGTTTGGTTAGGGATCCCCGGGAATTTAGGGTCGCGACTCGGGCAAAGTCACGGTCCACAGCACGACAGTCGACTGGTCGGGCTCACTCAAAATCAGTCATCCACTCTCTTCGCTGCCCTCGGAGGGCTTCGTACATGTAGGAGAAACAACCACCTAGCGTAGGCGGGCAGTAGCCTGGCAGTAGGATGGTATATCTATGCACTGGGATACGATGACCGGCGTGGCGGATATGACGGTCACGTGTGAAGCGAGGCGTACCAGCAGCCCGCCTCATTATTACTGAGTGAGCTTGGATGGTCAGTTGCAAGAGAGCGAGAGGGGAATGATTGGCGGTGTGGGGCGCAGCCCGCAGGGCTGCCCGACTCGAAGAGTGTGCCTGGACCTGAGGGGCAACGGGTGAGCCGCGATACCCAATATGAAGACGTCGAGTACGGCGGCGCGTTGCGGCGAAGCCGTTACCCCCAGTCCAGAAGCCGACGAGCCTCGTCGTACATGCTCTGTGAGTCAGTGTCCAACACTGACGACGCCAATGACCCGTATTGCTGATCAACCGGTTCGCAGAGTCCCGCCGGATGGGCGCCGCGAAGCAAACATCGCTCCGCTGACCCTAGGAGGAGCAGTGCCGCGTCGTGCTCATCGAACCCGGTGTGTCCAGCCTGACTCGTGTGCAGTGGATGACACGAGTTCGTTACGCTCGTGCCGACACGAGCCAGTGCCAGTGTAAGCATGCTGCTGCTGCATGCTCCTGACTCGTGTGCAGTGAATGACACGAGCGTGTTATGCTCGTGCCGACACGAGCCAGTGTAAGCGTGCTGCGTCCAGCCCGACCCGTGTGTGACACTCGCTGGCTATGAGCTCGTGCTGACACGAGCCGGTGTAAGCATACTGCGTCCAGCCTGACCCGGTGTGACACTCGCTGGCTATGAGCTCGTGCTGACGCGAGCCAGTATAAGCCTGCTGCGTCCAGCCTGACTCGTGTGTGACACTCGCTGGCTATGAGCTCGTGCTGACACGAGCCAGTGAAGCATACTGCGTCCAGTGTAAGCATGTTGCCTCCAGCCTGACTCGCGTGTGCATGACACGAGCTAGCGATGCTCGTGCCGACGCGAGCCATTGTAAGCGTGTTGCGTGCAGCATGAAAGAAACTCAGCGGGTTGGTCCCGCCCGGCGACCAGTGAGCGAGAGCGCTGGTGACGGAGCACTGGGCGGCGGTCGAAGGACTCGGAGTCGGACAGTCCACAATGGCAACCGCTGCTCGCTCAGCTGGATGTTCATGTCGGACAAGCTTGCGAGACAGAGACTACGACTCTGTGTTGACCATCCTCCACGCATTTGTGAGTGGTACAATCATTTGGTCGTTGCTCACATAACCCGGCTCTTCGTCGCCATCGGGATTGATGAGCGAAGGTTGTACCATAGTCCCCTTCCTGTAAGCTACAAGTGGTGTAGTCTTAGTGGAAGAAAACGAGAGCTATTCGAAGGGCGTAGCGGCCGCGGAGCCTTCGAGAGCGGTCGTCCGAGTGGGCGCGCAGAGGAGAGCGATGCGCGCCTAAATCTCCTCCTGCATGCGTAGACTCACTTCTACGCGACGCTCGTGCCTCGCTTCGCTTAGAATACCACCAAGGGATGCGTAGCCTTAGCCTAGGCGCCGGGATAGATCGCACAAGCGCCCGACGCTGGTAAGGCTCACAACCGCGCATGCGAAACTCGGCCTTGTGCTTCGGGCTGAAACTACGTTACATGCAAACTAAATATACAAAACTCCGGCACCACAACGCTACACAGCGGACTCCAAACGCGACAACTTGCAACAGCATGGATGACAGACGAAACGTGGCAGGTCCATTCGATACGTTTGGGTTTTCTGTGTACGAGAGCAGGGGGTCAATATGGTAGCAAGACAGCGAGGAAATCTTCGACGGCGTGTTCGTACAACGAACACTGACTATAAAATATAAGGGGTTGTGGAGCACGACAAGCTTCCCAACGCGGGAACCGCCGTCTATGTGGGTGTGAGCGGTTCCTCCTATGCGTGGGTCGCAAGGGAGCACTCAGGCTCGGGAATGAGCGAACCACGGTTACGTACGAGAGCACTGATCGAAAGCGGGGTTGTGTTTATGGATACTAAGACTTGCGAGACAGGAAAGCGAGATAGCATGGGGACTTGAACGACGATAGCGATGTTTGCGGGTTATCTTGACGAAACGTGACTGTTCAAAGCGAAACTTGACGTGCATAGTGACTTGGCTTGACGGGAAAATGGAACGAGATTTGCGCGCATGGTGTGTCCGAACGGTGAGTCCTCCGCAACACGCCGCACAGGACTCCAAGGACTGGTCTATCGAGAAAGCTTCCCTAGGATGACTGCGACGAAGAAGAGCTGCTGCTGTGCCTGTACACCTGGGGGACGCTAGCTCCCCCGACGTTGCCACTGCGCGCGCTCCCAGCCTCGGAAGCAGAGCTCGAGCTCGTGCCCGCCGCAGAGCCCACTGTTTCGGCGGAGACGGCGAGAGAACCATGATGATAGACGGGCGCATTAGACGGGGCACCCGCCGACGCGCGGGAAGGACCAGCCGTCGCTACAGCGGGGCTCGCCGTCACAGCACGCACCGCATGGCCCCTGGTGGTATGGGCAGGCATCTGCGGCTGGTATCCAACGCTGGGAGCAGGGCCAGCAGGCGAGAACGGGACTTCGAACGTCGGCGGAGCGGAAGCCTGTGTGCCCCAGGTAGGCGGTCCCATAGGGCCCGCCAAAAAGGAGGCCTCCCACGGGTCCAAGCCCTGCGGGCCACCGAAAGTCGCGTTTCCGAACGTGGCAGTCTGGCCTGGGCGCATAGAGAACTGGCCGAGCGCAGCGACGCGCGGGTCCTGGATGGCCGACGCAGGGACCGACATGGGGAACGCTGGGCGGGCGTACGGTGCGGGGCTCAGTCTGGGGCTCCTCTGAGGGGACATGCGGCCCTGTCCGATTGCGTGGCCCTGGGTGAGCAGCGCAGGGTCGATAGAAGGCTCCTGATAGATCGGTCTGCCGAGGTACGGCGCGGGAGGGAAGCTGTGTCCCGGCACGTCGCTTTCTTCCCCGCTGCTGACGCTGTTGTCCTGATGCGACGAAGAGGGAGCGTCGCCCTCCATTGCGCGGCGCGCCTGCTCGGCCATACCAGCGCGTTTGGTACGCTTCCGCTCGCGCTTGTTGCCCTCGCCAGCAGCAAAGTCTACCGTCCAGTAGCTGCCCTTGCCCGGTTCAGTGATCGGTTTCGCCAGCCTGCGGAACATCTTGTTCAGAGAGAGGTTATGCCGGATCGAGTTCTGCGTCGCGTTCATCAGTTCCTGGGTGTGAATACGATGACTGAACGGAACCCACCTGCCAAGCCTTATCGTTCCTGTTACTCCTGAACCATCGAACCTATCCTCGAGAGCCTTGTATATCCCCTGCAGCGTCAGCGCCTTGCGCGGGCTCCCCAGAATAGCCGCCTTGATCAGCGTCGGGTACGGGTAGTTGGCTTCTCCCCAGGAATAGCAGAGTCGGAGAGCATGTCCAGCGTCAGGTTCTCGCCCAGGTTAGCCGCAGCGATGTGGGTCAGAGGCGGCTGGGGCTGCTGCACGCTCCCCGCGTCCATAAACGGTGGTTGCAGGATCGGCACACCATACGGCTGCTGAGGCCCTCCATAATGCACCGGACTGTCTTCACGGGACAGCTGGTGAGTGCGCAGATCGAGTTGGGGCGTCTGCAGGTGCGAGGGTGCATGTGGGTGCACGAATTGGTCTCTGCCATGGATGTGGCGCGGCGTGTTTTGCGACGGCGGGCCCGCAACGATGCCTGTCGACACGAACCGATGCGCCGGAGGACGCTGCGAGGCATCACCCGCCATTCCATGCGCCACATTCCCGTACCCCGCCTGCTCCAGTCCGCCGTGACGGATATATGCGCCATACGGAGGCTCGGGACTGAACGACTGTGGCGACGCGTTATACACACCCTGGACGTGTCCTTCGGTACCGATCTGCGGGCCATGCGCCCTGTGCGCGTGCCCTGCGACGCCGGGGGCATGAAACACGTCCGGGGGCTCCTGGGCCCATGCCGCCGCTATGTTGGCTCAGCTGGCTCCCGGCCGAGCCAGGGGGGCTGCTCGAGTCGCTGCTCGTGTTGCCGGTCGGCTGAAATGCAATGAGTTCAGGAATACAATGATCTGATAAGGCCGGAGTAGTCCTTACCTGCGGCGAGCCCGTAGAGGGCGACAGAGATGGCGCAGGCACACCATAGCCCGCGAACGCATACTGAAGCTGGCCGTGACCACCTTCCTGCACAAATTGAGGACCCTGAGCGGAACCGAAAGGCCCTGCGCCTCCATATTGAGCACTATGAGCCCGGATTGTGGCGTAAGCGTTGTCGCCCGCCCGACGTCGTTGAAGCCCGTATTTTGAGCGAATGCGCTAGCGCCCGTGACACCCTGGCCATGCTGCGGCTCCTGGGGACGCGTGGCTGCCGAGCAGCGCCCTGCCCGCCAAATGAGCCGGAATCCGACCCAGAGCTATCCTGGCGATTCGGGCCTGCGGGAGGGTCGGCGGGGGCCTGTGGTGGTGGAGGATGGGATGCGGGACGCGTGCGGAAGCGCCTGGATGGGTTCTGGCTGTCCATACTCGGCATGTGGACCCACAGTGAGAATTAGGAAATTGGCTCCGTGAGAGATTGTTATCGCCATTCTGCCGCCGGAAGAGCGGACGTTTGGGCGAGGATATCAGGGGTCGTCTTTGAGCGAATGTTAGGTAATGGGGAAGAAGCACCACCAGAAGAGGAAACCGGGCACGGCGAGGTTGCTGCGTGTCGGGCATCGCGCGCTCTTCCTTCCCTCGACCAACGCCTCCTTCGTCGGGACATGCGTCCGTCTGGGCCGGGACGACGAGAATATCAGTTGTGGTGCAGCGGTCTGCCTGGCATGACCAGTACATGGGGCCTTCGCATCCTCCTGGATTCGTGCTATTATGAGCCGTCTCTTATACACTTCACTGGGCGGAGCACTCACCAATGTACGTTCATCGTTCTCCACACTGAGTTCGCGCTCGAAGCTGACAACCTGGTGAACCGATACAGTCCTTCTCGGTGCGGTAAAGCCGAATACATGGCTGTTCTGCACTCCAGCAGGCTCGTCGCTGCATGACACACCGACCAGTTATGTGCAATCTGTCCAAGTCCGTCGGACTGTTCACCACTCGGCGTGAACAAGATCCTGGGTGCAATCCCTTCCGCACCCTGTTCAGGACAGACTTGGATCCTGTATCATGGACTCTCGTCAACCGACTCCCTTGACCAGAATGTCCACTCACCCCGGCAAGTACTCAGGAAACAACTCAAACGTCTACCTCATCTCGCAGACTCGCCATCCCGGCTCGTACTACGCAACGAAGAGGTTGCAGAGACGAGGAAGAAGCTGTGCAAATAGAGTATACAAGCTGTATTGGTCATTGTGGGCGTGCGTTGTCGTAGGAAGGCTTCCATTGATCTTACATCCACCGTCGGTCGCTCGCCGTTCTGTCACGTCGAGTCGAACTTACCGTCGCGGCCGTCTGAGCGTCGGCAATCGTAAAGTGTGGCGGCGCCATGCGCCGTCGGGCATCGGGATCAATGTTGCCACAACCGCCAGATCTCCAGATTGCGCGACGGCCGCGCCGTGGCTGTCTTGTACACTGCACTGGTCACGTCACAGTCCAGCTGCTCCGTTGTTTGCAGCTTCCCCGAACGCTCACGTAACTTCTGCGAGTCGTAAGGGTCTTGTGTACATATACATATCCCTTCATTCACAGGTTTGCTCTTCAGACTGCTGCCCGGGCTTGGACGTGTCCGGGAACAGCGGTCCCCGCCCACCTCGTGATAGCTACTGAACTTTGGTTCTAGGTCATGCACGAAGAGAGTAGAATGCTTATGCAGATGATGTGAGTCGGCATCGGGACCGTCCTCGTCCGACGTTGCAACTGCGTCGACAGAGAAGATCAGACTGCACCGGTCGAGTCGCACGTCACCGCATCTGTCCAATGCATGTACCAATCCCGGCTGTTTGCACTCTAAACCTCCAGCTATTACATAGAGCCAAGAAGTGATACCGTTCAATGCACTTTCGCAGCGGAAGCAGGACCGCGACTGTTTTCGCCGACTCGGGGATCGAAACCCAGTACCGACAGACGACAGGAAGGTGCGTACCATACCATGCAATTCGAAGACTTAGATGAAGAGTCTGAGATTCCAGCATGAAAATGAGCTGATCGATCAGGGCAGCGTGGATTCGCCTCGTATACTGACGAGGCTGCTGGAAAAAATCCAGACGCTGCGTTGGTGTGCTCATCTCGCGAGGACAACAAAATCAGGAGAAGGCGAACTGTTGACGAATTTGGGCCATTTGAGGGAAAATGTTGTACGTCAAAGCCGTGTTGATACCTGCTCAAGCGTTGACATTCATCCCAGTTCCTCCCTGTTAACTCCTGTGAACGTCAAGTAATTACGCGAGTCCTCCCGGGTAAAGCTGGCTGAAAGTCTCATCATGCATGCAATACCTGATGACGAAGTGATCCAGACGACCTGACCCTGAAAAGGTGGACTCGAACCCGGCGAAGTCCCAGTCAGGCGATGCTGATTTATAAGTATAGCTCCGTACACGACCGCCCTCTCCGCTCAACAAGGTTCGTGTTTAGGGTCTGTCTACAGGAGATTATGTATAGCTTGAACGGTCAAACGTTCAACGATCACCGGTCAACACGGTATCAAGTCACCATATGATAGGTTTGCTGGTCGGGTACCAAATAGTACGGGAAGAAGGCAAAGTCAAGGCAATATGCGACGGCGTCCGCGTATGCCTTCACAGCACAGAACGAAAATGTTGAACCACCAGCGGCCCCGCGCATCGGACGTCCGCATGTGCCCATGATACGTGCTTCAGTCTGAATGAATGCAGGATCGCAGGCCGGGGTAATGCAGGTTGTTGTGCGTGGTTCCTTGTGATACTCATCATCCTCCGGATACACAGTGACTCGACTTGGCGCCTAAGGAGCTAGTCAATGGTGTGTAAGTTATGAAACCCCGACTCGATACTATGCTCGTCGTTGTGATTTGACCCCTGGTTTCACGTGATACGCGGCCGTTCTATTGATAATATGATAGTAGGTAGCTTGCGAGGCCTCTCGGCAAAGAGGAGGGATCGCCGTGGACCCGGCCCGACTCGGAGTTGGGCTCCGGCCCAGGGCCAAGCCGCTGTTCATGTGCATCTGAGCGAACGCGTCTCTGTGATAGTGTAGGACTTGAATCTATCATTGGTGACAGCATATACGTACGTATAACTTTCCAGCATGATACTTATGTAGTAGGATACCAGTACTACAGTTACTCAAACGGTACTGGGCCGTGTGCACCGTACACTACACGGGCGCCTAAATATCAACGTTGTATCAGCACGTGAAATAGGATGGACCCGTTCTGGAACACATACGAACGTCTTGTAATAAGGTGCCAAACTCGGACGTCTTGCCGGCGATCCTGATCCCGTAACACCACACCCGCGGGCGAGTCAGCATAGCCCCAGCCGTCGATATCATATATATTGACATTATGGTCGCAGGAATTCCCCAGCAATCACCCACATTCCCCGACACGCGTTGCACACAGGCTGGCAGCTGAACGTGAACGTTGAACCAGCATGTCGAAACTGGAATACACACCGTCGAGGAAATCACCAAAGTACGACCCCAGCCATCTCTACGTCTCTTGTTGTTATAGCCTTACAACTTCACGGCTTGACAGATTCACGCCGACCTCCACCGAGGCTTCCGTTCCGGCAAAACGAAAACCATCGAATACCGTAAAGACCAGCTGCTTAGGCTAGCGTACCTGCTGCAGGATAACAAGGAACGTTTCGAGGATGCGCTGCTCGCCGACCTCGGGCGGCCCAAGGGAGAGTCTATCCTGTGCGCAAGGCCGCTCCTATCCTGCAGTGCATTGTCTTACACCTATGTTAGGCTCGAAATTGCCCCTCTCATCGGCCAAGTGAAGGAGGCGTACGACTGCGTCAAGAAATGGTCCGCGACGGAGAAGGTCGCGTTCAGTCCGACGTGGTTCCCTATGGGCCCTGCCATCCGGAAAGAGCCCAAGGGTGTCGTGTTGATCATCGCGCCGTTCAACTACCCATTGATGCTGCTGCTCGGACCTTTTGCCAGTGCGATCGCAGCGGGGTGTGCGGTTGTCTTGAAGCCGTCTGAGCTGACACCAGCGACGAGTGCTCTCATGGCGGAGCTCGTCACCAAGCACCTTGACCAAGACGTGTTCAGGCTAGTGAATGGTGCTATCCCCGAGACTACCAAGGTACGCCCCTCAAGCCGAACCAGTGTCTCACCTGACTGACTCACGCTGCTGATAGCTTTTGGAGCTCCCGTGGAATCACAGTGAGCGAAGACAGTGGCCGCCACTGACACACAACTCATGACTTCAACCTCACCATACAGTCCTGTACACTGGTATGCCCGTCGCCCGATGCAAGCGATCATGACATTGACTTTGCATTGACAGGTAATGGCCGGGTTGCCAAAATTGTCAGTCATGCAGCAGCCGAGCATCTGACGCCTTTGACACTTGAGGTACGTTTCACACTGCCCGATTTTGTAAAAATGTGCTGATAAATGAACAGCTTGGTGGTGAGTCATCAGCGAAAATGTTGTTGTTCTCACCAGTAATGTCACATTGTCTACCTAGGCAAAAGTGCTGTTATCATCGACCCCAAGTGCGATCTACCCACAGCAGCTAGGAGAATACTCTGGGGAAAGGTCGCCAATGCAGGGCAGGTATGATATGGTTGAATACAAGAGACAGATGCTATATCTGAACATCCCCATCTAGATTTGCCTTGCTCCTGACTACGTTCTCGTCCCGCGCGAGTTCCAAGACACTTTCGTTGCTGCCTTGCAGCGTGCGTAAGTGCAACGTAATTCTGGTGGAACGCGTAGATCCTCACGATAACAATGCCAGCTTCAATGAATTCTTCCCAGTGGACCCGATCAAGGCGCCGGAAGGCACAATGGCGAACATCATCTCAGATGCGCACGTCCAGCGGCTCAAGCGGTTACTCGACTCGACCCGCGGCACCATCGTTTTCGGTGGCCAGGTCGACGCCGCGCGGCGGTTCATCGTCCCGACAGTCGTCAAAGATGTCAAAGATGACGACACCTTGATGTCCGAGTGCGTGTTTCCCGGCGGCTTCTCAGTGCCTCTCGATGCTGAGAGAGTTTGAACTTTGTTTGCGTTCAGGGAGATCTTCGGGCCTATTCTTCCCGTGCTGCCCGTGGACAGTGTCGACGAGGCTATTGATATTGTGAACTCCCGGTCCGTATGCGTATGCTACAGGTGCCAGCGCTAGTGTTCACTTCCTACAGGGACCACCCTCTTGCGCTTTACGTGTTCACGAAGGATGCAAAGTTCAAGGCCAAAGGTAGGTTTCTGTGTCTCGTTCCAGCGGAAGAAGCCCACCCAGCTGACTCGACGATAGTGTTCGACAACACACAGAGCGGTGCCGCCATAGCAAACGAAGTAGTCCTCCACCTTGGCGGTTCGTGACCACATACGCTGCGATCTAGCCCGCGCACCGCCGCTGACTTACTGATCATGACAGTGGACCACCTTCCCTTCGGCGGAATTGGCCCGAGCGGCTGTGAGTCTCCGGTGCTGTTCTTCTGGGGTATGGACGATGACCTCGATTGCAGCCGGATACACGACGGGCAAGTTTGGGTTCGACACGTTCACGCATCTCAGGGCAACCATAGATAACCCGAGTTGGTGCGTCGCTTCGCGATACAGTCGTGCTTCCCTTCGAGTTCATATGCCAACTTATCCAGGGTCGACAAACTGCTCATGTCTGCGCGCTACCCGCCCTACGACGTGCGTATTCCGCTTCATCTCATTGGCGGAAGCTCAACTGACTCGGAGGATGCTCCGTATGGTATAGCGCGGCGCGATTCAGAAGCTAAACAAGATGTTGAAGCCAAGCCTCCCGCCACGTCCCGGTAGCCGTCCGAGTCTGCTGAAGAGGTGGCCGATGTGGCTCATCCTTGCTCTTGTAGGCCTAGTGACCAAGATGAAGTGGCGTTCGATTGCGGCGCCCTCTGCTTAGTATGCCATGGGGATCGGTCATAACTTATCACTGTCCGTCTCCATTCTGTTGTTTAGTGCTCTGTCTCGTCTATTTATCTATGCCATCTGGAGTGCAGGCGGTTCTGTACAATATATCATACTTTAACGGTCTTAATCATGACTTGTTAGGATACAACAGTGCTACAAATATGACGGGATGCATGAAGTAACCAGGGTAAGAGATCAAAATGTGTATCATAGTCCGGTTGGAATAGAGAGGATGCTATGGAGCCTGTCAGCCAGGGTATGATAATCAACAGTCCGCTCTACGACGTGATGAGGAAGGACCGGTCATCCTGTGATTCTGGATGGCTGTCCACCCTCTGGCGCCAATCTCTCAATACCTCGTCCGCCCATCCGCCCACACTCGACCGAGCTCCACGCGCGTTGGCGTTGGCCTGTGCAGCCTCCCGACCACGCGCGGGACTGGGTGGCCGGATGTCAACGCTCATCATGGACCGCCGCTTGTCTGCGCGCGACGTGCGCTTCGGTGGGAGGGGCACGGTCTTTGTGGACTCGAGCGAGGAGCGCCGCTCGCGCCGGGGCGAGACGAGGCTCACGGTGCTGTCCGTGGGCGAGGGGTTGAAGGAGAAAAAGGAGTTCAGAGGGGAGGTGATGTACTCGATGTCATTGTAGGAGCTCGCGATGGACTCTCCGTCGCTATCGCTGCGGCCAGGTCAGCTTGGCCAAATGACACGCTTGGGACTTTGAACTTACTGGGAGACTGGTCGATCCGAGGAGGATGAGAACGAGGGAAATGCCTCTCGCCTCGACTTCGCACGACCGTGCAGACCGTCGGCGTGCCTGGAGGAAGTCGAATGCTCATTGCCTGGGCTCCGGACGCGCCTGTCAAGCGTCTGCTTGTCTGTATTGATTCTGGGATACGCAGCGCGGGGTGCGGGATGATCCCGTTGAGGGTAGGACCCATTCCGGATGTGTGCTGGCCGCTTGCCTGCGGCTTTTGACGACTCGGGTTCGATGGGCGATGGAGCAGATGGGGGAACAATCATGGATGCTGGCCGCGTCGCGATCATGCGCAGGCCAGAGAAGAAGAGGTTAGAGTAGGGGCAGACATCCTGTTCTTCCCACATGAGAACGGGTTGGATAGACATGGACTGTGAGCTCTTGAGCGAGAGTGAGGAGCCTTGTCAGCAACAGCAGAGCATCTTAAGTGCCGGTGGAGCGCCGCGGCGGTGTGCGCAACGTCAGCAGAATGGTACCGCACGAAAGATGCACGCAGCACCGAGACGCCTCGATGAGAAGTGCGAGCGATGCTTCCATGGCGTGGATCAACACGATTCTTGTCCCATGGACGCTGAAAGGAGAAGAACCGCCCTCTTATCCGAGCAGTTCTCAGGAACAGCGGTGGCCCAGGCTGACACCTCCTGACAAGGAGGCGCGGACGGAGCCAGGGTGTGCACCAAACGCCCATGCAGTGGCACGGTATCGAGACTGGCGCCGCCACAGGGATGGTACATTCTCATGCATCGCACCGCAGCCGCTGAAAGTTTGGCAATCGTAAGCTGGATTGCGACGCACGTGAAAGGCCAGGTAGACACCGGGCATCTGCTCGGGTTCCCAGATAATTCAGGCCGTTGGAAAGTAATACAAACGGCGTCTTCTCGAGCCCTTCGATCATGATAATCTTTTGCGAAGACAGAGGAGGCATAGTCAACAACAAATGGCATTGCCACTTCGATGAGAGTGGGGTGAAACCCGGGATCCCCAAAGATCATAAACATGCGCCAGCGTATCATGCATTGCACGCTGGGATCACGGGCATGTCGATTATTGCCTTGTGCAACGAGCGCAGGAGAGCTGAGAGCAGTAGGAAGCTTGTTGGGGTCAAAAGGACTCCTTGCGACGTCCGACTGACCCCCAGGAATGCGTTTCGTTCCACGCAAGGAAGATCGCTCCATATTGACGGATTCTACATCAACCATGAATCGACCAGCATGTGTTGCATTACCTCGACAGAGGCCGCGCCGGACCAGAATCGACTCCGATATGGCAGACGTATTGCAGGCCGTGAAAACTCACCTGATGAGAAGCATTTCCATGGCCACAACCGGAGGCGGATGACAGGTGTAAATGGTTTCATAGTACCGTTTCTACGGATGCATGCATGTCATTTGAACGCGAACGTCTCCGGTGCATCAGCTCCCACACTCGTTGGCAGCGCAAAATCGTGTCGGATGTCGAATACTCGAAGTGCATCCGCAATGGTGATACATTGTCGGCTGAAAACCGCTTCGCTTCGCGCTACCTGCGGGAAGCGGCACTTGATTGAGTGCTGGCTTGTGCGAGGATGCCCTGCTGTTGCTCCGCCAACACCCGACGTTTGTTGAAATAGTCGATCTGTTGATATTATGCATTGGCATGAGAAGGGCATAGCAACAGCGAGCAAGCTCAATCACGCACCCAGCTTTTTGCACAGTTCCGCTCGTACGCAGCCTTCGGACCATCACATGCACTGCCCTCGTCGCCAGGCTTCACGACTTTGGCGCCATCGAGGCAGGCGAAGTAGGCGTCTCGACTGTCCCAACACTTCTGCCTGTCGTTTCTCGACGCCGGATCAGGCTTTTCTGGTGCTTTCGAGCTGCTGAACCATCCCATCTGAGACTGACAGGTGTGACAGCAGGAAAGGCGAGTGGAAGAAGGCAAGCGGCCGCGACGATGCCGAAGGCCCGTCCCCGGAGCGCTCAGCGCCAGGCCGTCGGTCAGTGCCATCACGTGGTTCCCGCGCTCGCGAACGCGACGACGGCGTTGCTCTCGAGTGAGTCTCCATCCTCAGCAGTCCCTTGTCATATTTTGCCTCATCCCCGTCATTTTCTATCATTTTGGTCGGCCTGCAAGGTGCAATCTGAACATTCCTTTGACAAACTTCAGTGGTTTCACCGGCGTCGGTCGGCGCTAGGCTTCTTACGGTCAGTCGGACGACCACGCCCCCACCGCACGCTTTGGGCGAAAGCCTTCTACGTGGTCATTCCATGCGCTATCCGTTCAATAGGCGTGTAAATGGCCTCGACATCGTCGGCCCCATTCTCTACCCCGACGCATTCGCACCCATTGTCGGTCGAAGAAGCTCCGTCCAGGAACCGTCGATCTCGCGGTAAGCAGACTCCGGACGACATCAGGCCCTCTACAGACTACTTTACGCTCAAGGCGCAGCTGGAGAGCAGCGCGGAGCAGCACACAAAACTGAGCAATGTCAACTGGGATGGCAGTGTGCGTGGTTACGGGAAGGGCGCGAAGCGCAAGTCAGTGGGAGGCAGCGTTCTCCGTATGTTGTCATTTGGCTGAATGCACCTGGGTACAGGAATAGCAAGCCCGCGCCGCTCATCGTGGTTGAGTCTACCAGCGGGCAATTTGCACCACCCACCTCTGCTACCCTTGACAGTCTGGACTCCCTAGTGGTCGAGAACGTAGAAAATGGGCTCACTTCGTCCTCCGAGGTCCTGCGGACTCAGTGGCATGACATGCCAGATGACGCTGTAGAAGCTGCACTTACGAGTCTGCAGGAGACAACGCCTCAGTCGAGCATCCCGAGTCATCCCCATCATTCCGTCATTCGGGTGCTATCATCCGCTGTGCATAACCTGTCCCGAATTCGCCGGGAGCTCGAGGAAGATCGTCGTCTTCTGCGTGAAAAGGAGGCAAGACGACGGGAACGCGCAGAGCACCTCATCAGAGAGTTGCCTCCGTCTGACAAGGATGTCGCGAGGCGTGTGCTCCAATCATTGTATCCTGACGACGACGAGGCCATCCATCTCGTGCAAAAACGACATAGTCAACTAGTGAGTGTATGCGCCTTACAGACAGCCTTGTACTGATGGGCCCCTCCCAGTCTCTGTCGGAATCGCTGACAGAAGCGATTCAAGACGATGTGTCTCTTTCGAGAAGTGTACCGGATGACTTGTCCACGCCTCTGGCCGACTCCAACATGGGCTCATCGACAGTGACCGTCAGCGAATCCTCGGAAGTACCGCCTTCCAATGGAGATTCGCTGGCAGCTTCAATACCTGAGCTAGACCCGCACACAGCGAGCGAAGCACCTACGCTCGATGGAGACGAGCTTGCAGCATCTGTCAAAGGAGATAGACCGGGTCTCGGGGATTGGATGGGAACCTGGTGGACCAAGGGAAAGAAGAACGGGCAATCATTCACCCCGCCCCGACTCGAATCATCGCCGGATGCCATCGTCGAAAGCCCGGTAGACACCATGCTGCCCGCCCCCGAGGATGTTTCATCTGCGACCTCAGCTCCGCAAACCCCGAACAAACCTAGCCGCCGCAAGGCTGTCCGGAGCGTCTTTGGCAACCTGGGCTTCTCGATGCTGAACCCTTCCGTGAACTCGTTGGGCTCGCGGAAGCGCCGCACCACGTCCGTAACGGACGCCCAAGGCTTCGAGCCGCCAACAGACACGAAGTCGGCGAGGAGCGTGCGCTCTGCAGCTTCTTCCCCGTCCAGACCGCCATCTTTGCTGCCACCGCCTGTTTCATCCGCCCCTTCCAAATCTGCGTCGCCATCCAATCCACCTTCCATCATGTCCGGGGCTTCTCGGACTGCGGCGGACGAACGACCGCCACAGGGGTCGTCCCTGCGGGCCATCATACAAGCTACGCGGGTTATGACTTCAGACCCCGCCAGCATCCTCGACGACCAAGGCCGCGAGACGAGCCCTCAGATCGCCCAGAAAGCGTTCGAGCTAGTGCGGGCTGCTCGCGAGGAGGGCCTCAACTTCCGGGAACAGCCCAAGCCGAAGAGAGAGCGCAAACAGGAGAAAAGTGACAGCGGCGACGGCCTGGCTGCACGGGCGACGCTCAGCCCTGGAGGTGAGACAGCACCGCCGCCAGTGCGTGCGTCGACGTCCGGAGATGTGCGCAGAGCTGCCAATCGCAGGAAGCCTAGCGTCAATTTGCCGTCGTTCGCGTCGCCGATCTTCGGCTCGTTCATGGCGCAGCAGGACAAGGCGATATCCACTGTCGTGAATGCAGTGCAGAGAGGGTATCCATCCGGTGGCACGACACAGGCGGACTCTCAGGCGAATACGACAACCTCTCCCCGGGTCACGAAGCCAGGTTCTGTACCACTAGAATCGATCATCCCGGTGGACGCGAAGCCGCCTACTCAGTTCCTTTCCCGCACCTATACACCGCTGACTTCGCGTGACTTCCATTTCTCCATTCCACTGCCTGATGTTGCCTCGGCACTGTCTGTCCCATATGACGAGCACAGCCATGAAGGCATGACCGACAGATACGGCTTCATCTACGACGTATCGAAGTACGACGTCTTGCTCCTCATCCGCGCCAAGGAGTCCAGCAACACCGCGCCAGCGTGCTTGACAGGCATCAAGATTGCCGACCGCAAGGAGGACAACACCTGGCCGAGCGACGACGGGGTGGTGGATGACACGGTCGAGGTGGTCAAAGAGGCTTGTGACTGCGATGGGATGGGTGACGTATCGGATGCGATCAGTGTCAAGTCATCCAGCACCCGACCAACGGCGCGTAGCATACCGGCTCTTGAAGGAGGAGCACAGTCGTCCCAGGCGTCAAGACGGAGTTCACCATCTTCCACCAGGGGCAGGAAGCGCGCGGGTACGACCACCGCTGTCGCACCGCCGAGGCCAAAGTCCTCCATTCTAGTGGCGGACGCGGACACCCCTCGTCATGTCTGCGCGAACACCATCCGCGTGCTGATCGCACAGCTCGTGGAAATGCACGACCAGCGGCAGACGGCGCAGCGCAGAGAGTGGGACACGTTCGTCAAGCGCAGAGAGAAGTCGCGAAAGTCTACGGGTGGATCGATGTCGCGCATCACGACTGTTGGTGGCGCCGCCGCTCTTCTTGGCCTTGGTACTGCTGTGGAAGAGGACGAGCTCGCACACAGTGGTGGTCTGGTGGGCTTCGCTCAGCTCGGCTTACCGGCGTTCAAGGACGAGAAGAAAGAGTTTGTGCGGCTTGTGCGCAATGGTATTCCTCTTGTGTACCGCTCCCAGGCTTGGCTCGAATGTAGCGGGGGACTAGAGATGCGAGAGCCTGGCGTGTTCGCCGACTTGCTTGCTGAGGCGGACGATGGCAGCGGCGTGACTCGCGAGATCGAGAAAGATGTGTGCCGAACGATGCCCCTCAACGTCTTCTTTGGACGTACTGGCGCGGGTGTGGAGAAGCTACGGAGAGTGCTCATCGCGTACAGCAGGTATGCGCGAGTTGTTATGAATGCATAGTCATGCTGACACCATGCGTCGGTCTTCAGACGTAATCCGGCGGTTGGCTATTGCCAAGGCATGAACCTCGTTACGTCTACCCTTCTACTGATCCACGCCGATGAGGAAGAAGCTTTCTGGGTGCTTTCCGCGATCATCGAGCGGATATTACCTGAAGACTTCTTCTCGCCGTCTCTCCTCAGCTCGCGAGCTTGCCCCTTGGTTCTGTTAGAATATGTCCAGGACTCGATGCCGAAGCTCTATCATCACCTCATAGAGCTTGGCGTGGATCTGCCTGCTATTTGCTTCTCGTGGTTCCTGTCCCTGTTCACGGATTGTCTTCCGGTGGAGGTATGTCGATCAGCGAACGTCCGTATCGCTCCTGGCTAATGCATTAGTAGACTCTGTTCCGAGTATGGGACATCTTCCTCGTAGACGGCACAGACGTACTCTTCCGGATCGCTTTCAGCATACTTCGCATGAGCGAACAGGAGCTGCTGCACTGCTCGTCTATTCCTGCCGTCTATGTCGCACTAGAGAGTCTGCCAAATCGGATGTGGGAAACCGACAAACTACTTCAGGTAGGGCTGCCATCTGGTTGGCTTGGCTGCATGCTGACCGATCTCTGTCTATCCTCCAGTACGAAGCGGAGCTCCGCTCAACTATGGCCCATTCGGACCTTCTTCGTAAACGGCAAGCACACACGGAAGAACTAAGGCAATGCATGGCATAAGCACATTTCATCATCATCATCGTCATCAGACCCATCGTACATTACAAGCCACTATATTATTGCACCATGTATCGGGTACAGTACTTGTATGTCTGGATAGGACCGCGGGATCATAGGGGCAGTCGGATCGTTCGAAATGGCTAATAGACGCAGTTGAACACAACGAGCTTGACTGACCTCATACTTCAAAGACATTGCGCTGAGGGTGAGTCTGCTGTGCAAGTAGTCAGACACCAATGCACATTATTGTCAACAAGTGCTCCTCGACTCATATGCGCAAGTAGCGGTGATTATGGTTCCCCATCCATGGCCTGTGAACGTGAACACGCAGTCCGATAACGGCCCGCTGACTCAGGCATAGTTCTTGTCTATATAACTGAACCATCCGTAGCACTAGTACTTGTTACTCGCAGTCATGGCCCCTTCAAAGGAGACGATTGTCATCGGGGGGATTACAGTGAACGTGTATTCGCTCCCGGGGGCTACAGAACCCTCTGCTCCCGTCGCGGTCCTGTTCTTCCTCCACGGCAGGACTGGAAAGGCTGGAGACTGCGAATGGGTTGCACACTCTACACTCGAGTGGACCGATGAGCTGAGGATGAGTGCTGGCGTGCAAGGCCAGGATCTCTTGGTCGTAACTTTGGTGAGTACTCGGCAACTCTCGTGCACTTAGTAGTTGGCCTTCGAAACGACTGCTGACGATTGGGCGATTGCAGGACCAGCGCAACCACGGCGATCGAACGGTAGATCAGCGCTCTAACGGTGGTTGGAGGGAAAATCCTCCCGCAAGGAACGACAGGCATGCGTAAGTGGTCTTTGACTGCACATGCGTCGAAGGATTGATGACCTTACTCTCCCCGCAGGGTTGACATGTATGCGATCTTCAGTGCGTATACGAGAGGGAATGTGCAAGGTTGCTGTCTCACGCCGACAACCTACAGCGGGCACGTCCAGAGATGTGTCGTTCCTGATTGACTTCTTGCCCTCCTACCTGTACCCGTCCGGCGAACGCACCATCTCCCAGTGGCTGGTAGGGGGGATCAGTCTTGGGGGACACGCAGCGTGGTATACCTTGCGTCATGGTACGAACGCAGGAACACTGCGAGGCCTTGCCACTGACGAGCACTCTTACAGAGCCCAGGGTCAAACTCGGTATTCCTGTCATCGGTAAGGGAGACCTCGTAATCACAAACGAAGGTGCATAGCTGAGGTACACTTGCTCAGGTTGCCCCGACTACCTTGGCCTCATGTCTGATCGGGCCGCACTGAACGGCATCCCCTTCGAGTCCCCGTACATTCCGCAGTCGTTCCTCACCGTCGTCGCGCAGCAGGATCCGGCAACGGCATCATACAAGGCGGCAGACTCGTCCAACCCCTTCTACGGGAAGAAGATCCTCGTATTGTCAGGCGCAGACGACAAGCTGGTGCCGTGGACGGCGTCGAAAGAGTTTGTTGACAACTTGAACGTCGGGCCGGAGGGCGCGAAGGAAGTCATTGTAGCACCGGGAGTGGGACACAAGTGTACGGAGGATATGGTGCGTGCGATGTCCAAGTTCCTCTGGGAGCAGGCGTTGGGAGTATGAGCCAACATACGCGAGTGAATGTACAATTGAATTTGGCAGAACGAATCTTCATGTACACTATACAGCTCGCAGGCACGCAAGCACCAGAGTTCCAGATCGTCATGCACGGACATTTGTTCTTTCGGAATCCGGCCAGACATACTGCACATCGCATCGAGCAATAGTGCAATGGCCTGTGAGGTCAGTGCCACTCACATGCGATAGTACGACCCTTGTGGGAGGGCTAGCGATGAACAAGCCTTCCGCCCGCGTCACGCCCTCACTCGCTCAACTGTCTCTGGCGAGCGATCATACAAATTATCGGAGCACATACCAGCGGAAACCAGGCCGCATAAACGCGCAAAGCATGCAAAGGTAGCATTCCCTTTCCAGGATACAATGATTTATGCATTATCCTGTATGAGGACAATCAGCTTTCGTTCCAGATCGTGGCAGAAGAAACCATAAAAGACATGACATGCGACTGCGCAGATCGAACAACCTCAGCCTCGCCTTTCTCTCCATGCACACCCAACGCTGAAAAATGCCTTGGGAGGCCTGCGAAGACGAACAGATACAGCGGGAACCATCCACGGGGGACAGCTCACCACCGAACGGCCCTCGCATCGGGGTGCTTTATGTTACCAGGGTTTTCTTCTTCGGTTTCGAACCACGCAGTCGCAGAGCCATACGATGACATTGACAACACTCACTATCTACATGAGGCAGATCCGGAGACAGTCGTACGGAATGTAAGTGATCCCCAGGTGATCCTGCGTCCTGGCCTCTCAACCAGAGGGAGAAGCAATCAGCATAGATTGTTTTTGAGACACTCTTCCAGAGGAGATTGCTCTACGACGCTTGTCTGGGCCGTCCAATCCGAGGAGAAGCGAAGCCTCGAGAGGCAAGCAGGGGATTAGACAGCAATTTGAACGTCGAGGTAAAGAGATGCATACGACGCGACGCGCCTTAAAAAGTGCTCGGTTGGAACCGAAGCGCCGCTGGAAATTGCGGGCGTCTCTAAAGCTCGAATAAAGCAATTCCCGACGCGCTCTACCTCAAGTGCCATCGTGGAGGCTGCCTTCGTTCATCGCTTCCCCGCCTTCCCGACGTATAACTGGCTCTCTGCATGAACACCTGCTGAACCGGTGTGCCATTGGAGCCCAGCGAACCCCGACCCTGTCCTAACCTGATCGGCCGGTCATCGGCCAGAGGGTGAGCAGCATTGCAGCAAATACCATGAGCCCTCGATTGTCTGGTATATTATCGCCAGAAGGAAAAACCGTGGACGCAGCTTCATCACAACCAGTGCCAGTGTCAGTGCCGGTCACGGAGGCTGCAGGCGGAGGCAGCTCGACGCTACTGAGTATTTTCGGTGATAAGTGCGTGCTCTTCTGACTGACGAGGCGCGTCGCTCACGGGCAGTCGCTCTAGCATAGTCCATACTTCCAAGCCGGGTTTGGCCTCGTCGTACGTGCTACTTCGCCTGCGATGCTTACCGGATACACGGCTAACGGACCGCGCAGGGTGTTGGCGTTGGCCTTAATGTCTTCCGCCATGGTTTAGTCTACGCCTCCACAGCGCTGCGACGTCGTATGCTCGTCTCGCTCGAGATCAGCAACAAGGACCCGTCGTATGAATGGTTCCTGACATGGATGGCTGCCCGCTCAGCAGCCGTCGCAGAGGCCGGCGCAAAGGCGAAGCCGTGGTCCCCCCGCTTCTGGACGCGCAGCCACAACGTCAGCGTACAGACTGTGCATGAACAGCGGAAGAATGGCAGTTCGAACGTATCCTTCAAGCTCGTCGCTGGCCCCGGCACGCACTTCCTCCGCTACCGAAACGCATGGATGCAGGTGAAGCGGGAACGCGAGACCCGCTCGCAGCAACTCATGTCTGGGATCCCTTGGGAGACGGTCACGCTTACGACGCTGTCGCGGGACAGGGACAAGTTCCGCGAGCTACTGGCTGAGGCGCGAGACATGGCTCTGCAGGCGCAGGAGGGCAAGCTCGTCATACACACAGCGTGGGGTGCCGAGTGGAGGCCCTTTGGACAGCCTCGGAGAAAGCGGCCGCTGAAGAGCGTGGTCCTCGCGGAAGGCGTTGCCGCGCAGGTTGAGGAGGACGTGAGGGCTTTCTTGCAGCGGAGACGGTGGTATGAGGATCGAGGTACGGAGCTTGCCTGACAACATTGAATGCACCTCAACTATGACTATAGGTATCCCGTATCGCCGCGGCTACCTTCTACATGGCCCTCCTGGCTCGGGCAAGTCCTCCTTCATCCAGGCTCTGGCTGGAGAGCTCTCGTACGACCTCTGCCTATTGAACCTTTCCGAACGAGGCCTGGCCGACGACAAGTTGATCCACCTGCTCTCCAACGCCCCCGAGCGTAGTTTTGTGCTGATCGAAGACGTCGACGCCGCATTCAACAAACGTGTACAGACAACTGCAGACGGGTATGCCTTTCATTGAGGGCATCGGACCTCGTAATTGACGATGCTGTAGGTACCAGTCTTCCGTGACGTTCTCAGGCTTCCTCAATGCCCTCGACGGTGTCGCCTCAGGCGAGGAGCGCATCATCTTCATGACGACGAACCACCCCGAGCGACTCGACCCCGCGCTCATCCGCCCAGGTCGTGTCGACCTCTCCGTATTCCTCGGCGATGCCACTCCAGAGCAAGCCCGCCGGCTGTTCCTGCAGTTTTATGGCGAGTCGGAAGACGTCAGTCAGGACGAGCTAGCGCGCATGGGTGCGCAAGCGGAAGAGTTCGTGCGAGATGCGTTGGCGCAGAAGCGGAGGACGAGCATGGCCGCGCTGCAAGGCTTGTTCATACGGAGCTCTGTCAGAGACGCTGTGCCGGGCATACAGACACTTCTGTCCTCGGACGCATCTTAGGAGTACAAGATCACCACAAAAGTAAAGAGGGCCCTCAGGCTGTAGATGCTGCATGTACTTACACACACCCTCGAAAGTAATGACATGGCCACTCGACTCCCGCTTGTTGCCAGTGTGCGGGGAACCGGCCATATTGAGACGGTTGGTACTGTAAACATCGGCGACTCAAAAGGAGTCTTCGGTTGAAATGCGGTATCTAGACTGCAAGTGAACGAATCACGGCTACCCGGCCATCAAGCTACACCTCACAATCGAGTAGAACAACTAGGGCAAACAGAACAAACAACAGGAGTCAAAACGTACATATCGCACCTAGGTCCGGTCATCCCTCACATCAAGCCGTGCTCCTCCAACAGCTCAAGCCGCGTAACCTGCCTGCACAGCCAAGAACGCAGCGTCAGGACGACGCACCTGAATCGACATCCATGGAACGTACCTGTCCCTCACCGCCTCCTGCCATCTCATCAGCTTCGCGATCTCATTGACCTGGAAGCCAAAGATCCGGGGGCGGTACCGATCCGCCTTGAGCGCGACGCTCGCCGTGCTCATGCCCTCACTGCCCAAGTCCGCCGGGGGCTCCTCCTCCCTGATCTTCCTGCTCCGCCTGCTGCCCTCGTCCGTGCCGCGCGTGAGCGGCGCGAACTCGACAGCGCCGCTCTTCGGGGGAATGAGACCGGGGTAGACGAGGAAGAGGAGGTGCGGGAAGGAGGTGCCGAAGTATGCGCCGTCGATGGAGCCATGTCGCGAGGACTTGGGCGAGTAGATGTCCTCGCAGCGCCCGCAGTAGAGCTTGACGGACTTCTCGTACGGCGTGTCGGTGAGCCCGACGGGGAGGAGCGGCTGTTGTTGGCAGAGCACGCGCGGGCAGCGGCCGAAGTCGCCTCGCTTGTATTTCTCGAGCTGTAGCAGGGCGTGCGATGAGCGGGATGGAAGCGGGGTGTGGAGAGGTGGGCGCACCATTTTTGCGAGACCGCGTGCTGTGACGATCCACCTTGCGTGGATCAACCGTACAGCAGACGAGCCTGACGTCGAGGGTCCCCGGAACTCGTCTTGGATGTCTCATCTGAGCAGAGATTCGTGCGTCAAACGACTGCATACATGACACGAAGACAGACTGACCTAGATTTCAGTGATGAGGTCGAGAGCTTGTGCGTAGTGCTGGACATCAGTGTTCAGACCCGTGAGATTGAAGCGGTCGAGGATGTAGTCCTCTTCGACTTCACAGAAGTATTCGTTGCCTTTTGACGACAGGAACCACGAGATCCACTAACACCATCCGTCCGTCAAGACAGCAACAAGCAGTAAGGATAGCAGGACATGATACCGAGCTTCATGCGCAGAGTCAGGTATGGCAGGCAGCGTAGTAGGCGGTGGCTCACTTCGAGTAGTCCGAGTCTGAGCCAGTCGAGATGTCGTCCACTGTGCGGCGAATCATGTCCTTGTCAGTCTAGCAATGCCGCGGAGTCGCCTTCTAGTCGGGGACTGACTTTGGCCCTGGAACCGGGAAGAACAAAGGGATGAGTGAAAGAAAGAGGGTGGATGGCGCAAGAGGGGAGGTAGCGCGGGTGTTGCTCGCAGTCGCGTGCAGAAGAGGCACTTCAAATTCATTTTGATTTTGTACCCTACCTTCACAGCTTCATTTGCTTTCAAAGCTGCGATTCGATTCCACCCCTTCGTTGAAGAGTTCCTCTGGGATATCTTTGGGTTTGATGCTCGGGAACCGTTGAATAGGATCCAAACCTGGACACACCGCCTGATGCTGGGAGTCGTCGCCCAGATGCCTACTGACTTGCGTCGACATGAATCGACATTCGAGCTAGAGACCGACCACGAAGCTTCAAGTAAACGGTCAGGAATCATCAAGTTGTCCATTGACATTCCCTCCTCGCATCGTCCGCAAGTCGCAGCAGAGTCGCATCCACCACCGAGATGGCGGACACCGGAGTTCATCTTATATGGGCTCGTATTCTGCGTGGTGGTCCCTATGCTGGCCTGGGTTCCCATCAGTCTGAGCTCATGTATGTCGCCTTCGTATATGACATGAAGTGGTCAATGTTTATGGCAGTGCGCAGCGTCGCATCCAAACTACAATACGTATCGTCGACGCCTACAGCCGGGCTGGCTCTTCGGTCGACAGCTGGTGAGTTCTGTTCCATTATACACTGCTCCTGAAGTCGCTTCGCATGAGCCTGACATGCAACTGACATTGTTGCTCATAGGACAACAGCGATGCACAGTACCGCTCGTTCCGCAATAATATCCCATCACTTATTCTCCTAGCCTCTGCGTTCATCGGACTAAAGCATCTCTACACCATCGTGCTTCGTCGTTCTCGCGATACCCAGCAAACCAGTCGATCTTACTTAATACCCTACTTGTTCACGTTCTCCCTGCTCATGCTCGCCGGCCTCCACGGCACGAGCATGTTCAAGATTCTCCTGATCGTCTCCGGCAACTACGCTATCGCAAAACTCGCGAAGGGGTCGAAACTGAACCCTTTGCTGACTTGGGTCTTCAATGCAGCCGTTCTGTTTGCGAATGAGCAGAACGAGGGCTACCGCTTTGGAGCTCTTCATCCGTCCCTCGAATATCTGGTATGCGTCGTGCTCAAGTGCTTACCCCTTGTTACTTCTCTAACGGGCTAATCACTGCTAGGACTCTGTCCCGGGTATTTACCCTCGATGGCATGTCAGCTTCAATATCACAATGTTGCGGCTCGTCTCGTTCAATATGGACTACTACTGGGCCTGCAACAAAGTCGGTCCATCTGACGTGAGCATCACTTGACGGACCTGTGCTTTCTTGCTTATCGATATCAAGCCAGGTAGCCCCCTTACCGAGAAACAACGACCCACAATAGTCATACGCTTGAGACGTATTCTTACATGAACTACATCGCATACGTGCTGTACCCGCCACTGTACATCGCAGGCCCGATCATGGCGTTCAACGACTTCATGTGGCAGGTGCGCTTTGACTAATTCGACATTGACGCACACATATGCTGAACATCTCGTAGATCATCGACCGCTCACCATCTCCATGCGTGAACGGCTGGGCTACCTCGCCCGCTTCGTCATCTGCTTCCTGACGATGGAGTTATTCTACACTTCATGTATGTCGTCGCCATCAAGGACACAAAGGCCTGGGGCGGGGACACCGCGGCGCAATTGTGCATGATCGGTTCTGGAACTTGATCATCGTTGGCTCAAGGTACTCTGAAACCGTCTCGCGCCCTACGTTATTGACCACCGCTTTCGAAGCTCCTGATACCTGGCGGTTCTTCCGCCTGTGGGCCCTGGTGACGGTATCGACCCTCCGGAGAACATGGTTCGGTGCATGGCGAAAACTATCAACGTTCGGGTTCTGGAGAGCGTGGCACGGAGCTACAATCTATGGATCATCCGGTGAAGATCTCGTACCAGCGAAGCCGATCGGCTAACAGCTCGTCGGCCTGCTCTTAGGTACATTTACATACCTCTTGGAGGAACGAAGAAGTGGCCTTCACATCGCTGCTCATCTTCTCGTTCGTCGCTTTGTGGCACGACCTTTCATTCCGTCTGCTGGCATGGGGCTGGCTCGTCACGCTGTTCATCATCCCCGAGTTGATCGCTCGTTATATCCTACATCCACTAAGGTATGTTATGTACATCTTCCATACGGACAGCTCGTTCACCTGCTGTGGTCGCAGTACGGAAGCAGGCCATGGTACAGGCATGTCTGCGCCATCGGTGCGGTGTTCAACATCCTCATGATGATGGCGGCGAACCTGGTGGGCTTCGTTATCGGGACTGACGGGGTCTCGTACATGCTACAACAACTGCTTGGTACGACGGAAGGTACGTGATTCCCTATTTCATGCCTTCCTCGGTATTGTTGACATTGTACCGCGATAGGCGTCCAGTTCCTACTGTTCGCGTGTGCTTGCTTGTTCATCGGTGCACAGGTGATGTTCGAGTATAGGTGGGCGACTTCATCGTATGCCCGTTGTGTTCCAACATTGACGTGCATACAGGGAAGAGGAGTTGCGCCAGGGTATTGTGCGACGCTGTTGACAGAGGCTATAGACATGCCTCAGAAGTGCTATACACTCGCAACGGACCAGCGGGTTCGACATGTTTCCCGAGCCGGCAACCCCGGTCATCATTGTGTCATAGCCACCATGGGATACTGGGAAAAGGATCGCCATCAATTACGACGGCCGTGCGATTTTGTGTATCGTAAGTTGACAAGACGAGTCTATCGTGAGTAAGTGGGCTTTAACAAGAGCGCAGACAACGTTGCGCCTAAGTGCATGACCGGGGGGGGGGGGGGGATTATGGTCATTCTGAATTTGCATCTTCGTTCTGACTGACCGAGACGCCCATGTTGCCCCATGTGAACGCGAAGTCTCTCGCCTGACTCTGTTGGGCGCCCTTCGCTCGCTCGCGAAGGAGACCCCATTGCACCCACCAATTGTCCGCCTCATCCTCGCAGTCATAGCCGAACGTTTCTCGCACTTCCCCCCACTGCGCACTTTCCTCCCCGTCTTCGGGAGCCATGACGTTTTTCCCGGCGCGGTGCTTCGCCTTCAACGCCTCGTCGCGCGCTCGCTGCTCGGGACTGTCCGCCATTGTCATATAGTAGACGTTACCGTGCTCGACCTGCTGGATTGCAGTGCACCGTCTCTGTCGGATGTCTTGGAACGCCCAGAGGAAGCTCGGGATCTGGTCCCGGCTACTGAGATGACTGAAGAGTTTACCTAGGACAGCCGCATCCTCGACTGCCATTGCGGGGCCCTGGACGGCGATAGCCTTCGCGAAAGCACTTTGTGAACAAGTTGGCCTTCATATCCAGATGCTGAGCGCTACTGGGAAAGTATGTGCCGCTTCTCCGATCACGACGAGACGTGAGCTGTCGTGTACCCAGTTTTCCAGATGACTGTAGTCCTTGAGTACTACGCGAACAGCATTGCTCGCATTGTCTGCCACGAATCTCAGGCTTGACCTCCTTGTCAGACTCAACAGCATCGCGAAAGATTGGAGCGTACCGCGGGTCGCAAGGGTTGGGTACTAGCGTTTTCAAGTCTTGACATGGAGGATCACCCCATGTTCCCTCTGTTGTATGGTCTTGCACAAGGAACTGGAAAGTACATTCCCGCCATTGATTCTAGGGTACGTCCAGCATCTCGATCATGAGCCACGATGGGACGACCGGAGCTAGGATACTTACAATCGGAAACGCCAGTGCACCACATTTGTTGCCGAAGGCGGCGAAGATCATGTTCTGCGATGACGCTGTAAGGATGGCTGTTTTTGTGTTGGCCAGAGAGCGTCCCAGTCAGCTCACACTTTCAAAATCGGCGGCTCGTTCGAGCTCTTCGGGCAATTGTCCCACAGCCGTTTTCGTATCGAATGTCGCGCTGTGGAATGAGAAACATATTTCGATCAGCGTCCACTGACGACTTCCAGGCAGTGTTCAACGCACTTAATGATGCTTATGCCCACCGGTGCGCCTCGATCGTGTTGTCCGACGAGTGAGTCTCGGCTGATGCCTTTGACCCCATCTGCGCCAACAATTACGTCTGCCGAATGGGTATCACCTGAAGCCAATCTCACTTCGCCGAGATCAGGGACAATGGTGACAACTTCCGCGTTATAGCGGATGTTGACGCCATGTGCAACGGCTGTCTCCGATAGCAGACGATGGAGATCTATGTGCTATGGACATTTATGAGGCAGACGGTATACACAAGCCGCAGACTGCTCACCGTCAACAACAAAAAATCTCCACGTGTTTCCTTCAATAGCTCGTAGTCCCAGACTTGTGTGCCGAGCAATTCTTCACTCTCCACTGCGTAGGTTCAGCTGACTTCGACACGACTATGGACTTAGCTACGTACACCTCGAGAAAAGAAGTGCACGGGAAACCAAAGCCACGTCCAGTAATTGCTGCCTCAGGCCCCAGTGATACAATATCTTGGACATATTGGGTGGTATGCGTAAGCCATGTTCCCCCCTCTGCGACGGATGGTAATGAAGTGTGTCTTGTGATCGCGTTCCGACAAATCGTACTCACATTTGTATGACCGTCGCTTTTCTCCAACACGGTGACCTCATGCCCGGCGCGAGCGAGCCCTATAGCACTGGCCAGTGCGGCGATTCCTTTGCCGGTCTGCTTGAGCGGACATGTTGGCAATGCAGATAAAGGCCACCTACCTCCTCCTACTACCACAAAACGGATTTGCAAAGATGCTTTCTGCGGCACAGCGGGTATCTGGATAGAAATGGCTTCGTTAGACAAGTACTAGAACACGCCGAATTGTTCGCACCTTGTCACTCATTGTGACTCCGCAATGTTTTGAAAACGAGGTGTGTTATTGTATACAATCGCTGTGGCCCAGGCAATCGTAACGACTAACAAGACGACATGGACGCAGAATAGAGGCGTTGACGAGGAAGGCGATCACTGTTAGGTGCTGCGCCGTTCCGTCATAGCCGGGCCTTAAGTCGGGCTCGTGGGGTAAACACACAATCATCCAGTGTTTTGATCATAGGGTGTTCGATAGAGCCAGGTGGGTGATCGTAGACCCGCATTTATGGAAAGTTAAACGCCAGACTGAGTCGTGCACCCTCGGCTACGGCATACCCTCAGGGCGGATCAGCACGATATAAGTACGGTACACCAGATGCACTAATAAAGAGGGACCTAAGTACGTGTGACACACCACAACGTTGGATCTCAGGCAAGTCTCATGTATTTTCCCGGCCACCTGCATATACGACGTCTCTGTGCGATCATAAACTTCTCTGGCAAGAGTTCGAACGTTGAGCGGGAGGGTTTGGTGAGCAGTGATAGCTTACCCGAGTGTGACGATCAGATTCGAATCGTACGTATCTGCACATCAACTGCACATGGTCGGCGCTGGTCGGCGCCGCTAGAAGATATTGCCATGAACCCAATACGTCCCTATCTTTGTGCTTGAGCCGCTTGACTTGGGCTTGACTGATAGATTCGACGCAACCTCCTCACATGTGAGGCGCCGTGTGGGGTCTAGGAGGGACTTGGTATGGGACTAGCGCCGGGTGGATGGTCTTGGTATGAGACTATTATGGTCCAAGCTTGGTCGCGACTTGATCGCGACTCACCGACCCGGAGGAGTTTAGCTCGTTGTCGATGCAGACCAGCCAAAATCCCCTTCCCCTACTCCACACGAGGAGGGCAAGTCTCGAGCAAGTGCGTAGCATTGTTTACTACTTTCAGTGGTGCTGTGTCTTCTCCTATTTCCACTGCAGCTGTTGTACGTCTCACCGCGTGCTATATAATTAATGTCTCAATCCACGTCGATAAGGTTTGACCCAAGTACTTACTCACAAGTGATACTGGAAGTCGTGCTCAGATCTAGGCACGCCATCTGAATAGTGTACACCTGCTCATTTGGTCGACACATGGACATGTAACTGTCCGCGTAAAGCAAGGGAAGGAAGCAAAAGCTTACATCATCAGATTCCGCTTAGGAGTTTGCACGAGTACACCACTCACATTCGGTTAAAGACTCGATGCAGCTGCAGCAAAGCCGCCGGTCGGTACATGCGCTAGAGTTTCATTGCAGTCAACATTCCTCTAAGGAATCAGAGTCCATCATGAGTCATCATTGGTCGTCAGGGTACAGGAACAAATGATACAATGTGAGAGCTGCCTGAGAGCAAGAAACGGTGATTACCGATTAAGTGACGCACAGGGACCGGACCAGAAGAGTAAATGACAATGAAGCAGCAGCGAAGCGTAACACGGAAGATGCAGGATACAGTTCTTATAAAGATAGCCATATGTCATGACGCTTGTCCCTGATATCGTTTAATGAGTTCCCGAAGACGTGCCTGACCGAAAGCGAGTTCGCCTTTCGTAGCCGGAGGCTTTGTTGAATCCTCCTTGACTGACGGTAGTGACATTTCCAGATCCGCAACCCGGGGGCCGTTGAGCTTGTTAGCTCTGTTTCTATCCAAAGCAGCAGGTGCGGGACGAGCAAGCGAGGCAGTAGACGACAGCATGGGTGTCGCCAGAGAAGATGATACGACCGCCGGAACAGAGGTCGACTTTATCATCCTAGCACGCCTAGCTGTCAGGTCGGCCACGGAAGTCGGCTTCGAGGTAGATTCATTGCTTGCCGAAAATACACCAGCCTTTGCGATCTTCGCAGGCTGAGCATGCGAAGCTTTTGTTACTACTTGGGGCGGTGACTTGCTGGCTGCACTCTTGACGCGCTGGACGTCCCTCGGACGCGTTATGTCGTTAGGTGGACTGATCGGTTTGGATGGATCCACCTTGCTTTGTTGAGTTGCAGACGCCCAGATGGCGGCCACTGCGGTTACCTTCCCTCCCTTGCCTCCACGAGCAGAACGAATGTCGTAGTGTACTTCAGAACCTTGCGGTCGAGGAGGATAGACAGCTAGGCGCGGAGAGACAGGTGTCTTCAAAGCTCGCGCATGCTCCACACGGGCGGCCTCAGCGGCATCCTGGCGCTGCTGCTTCTGTGCACGGTACGTTCCCATGGGCATGAAACCAGACGAGCGAGGGTTGGGTGCTGCAGACACATCTCGGGGGGTCTCTGTCTGTGGTATCTCCTGCGACACTTCTGCACTGGACTTCGCCACGTCCTCTTTCTGCCATCACGGTGAAGTGGTTCATCAGCTTGGCCAGTCAATTTAGGGCTTGCAGGAGGCTTGCCCGACTTCGACGCGTCCCCCCGCATGCTCCCTAGCCACGCAGCGACTCTTCCCTGAGCGTCCTCGCGCACGACGTCCGACAAATCGGCTACAACCGCTGGGCTTAGTGGCGGTGGCGTACTCGATTGCGGCGGGGCGTCCGGCTCTATGCTTCCTAACCACGCAGTGACTCGACCTTGCGCAGTCTTCCGCATGTGATGAACCTCCTCGTTCTTGCCTGCGGTCCCGTTACCCGCGCTGCGCTTCCCACTGCGCCTTTCCTTGTCCTTATTCTTGTCCTTCGACTTGCGCGTACCCGTCGAAGAGCTGGATTTCACGTTCTCCTTGCTCTTTCGACTCACCCAGCGCTCCGTCAAGGCTCGATCGTCGTCGTCGTCATCGAGGTCGAGGTCATGAGGAAGCTCGAGATTCTGTCCTACGTGCAGAGTCTTAACCTCTGCGTCTAAGCCAGGCAGCGTAAGACTCGAGATCGCGGAGTCGTTGGCAGGATCACCCTCTGTATGGCGCGGGATCGTAATGGGCATGACCGATCGCACGTCCGGATGCCGCTCGGAGCTTTCCACCTTGCGCGTACCAACCTCCGCCAGAAGCTTGGCCTCCAGCGCATCCAAGCCGCTCAATCCACCACCGACGCTAAGGTTGTTCCTAGACGCTTTGAGAGACGTGACAGCCGCCAGCGCCGGTGTGGGAGGCGTATGGTCCATAGGCACCGCGTCAGGCGGGAAGAGCGTGTCCGCCTTCGGACGTGTAGAACCTGGAGATGGCTTCCGTGTATCCTGAGGTACGCGAGGAAGCGTCTTGTCTCGCTTGTCCAAGGCCGGGCTGCCACCAGGCCCAGACATGTCTGCGTTAGAGCAGTCGACCTGTGCTGCGATGCGCTCGAGCTGTTCGACTGGCGTCACCACGGTGAAGGGGTCGATCGAGAAGGAATGCTTGGGCGAGAGCATGGGCCGGGGCGAAGCTACTGATCCTTGGGAAAGCGCAGGTGAAACCGACAGATTTAATGTCTGTGGACGGCGTTGTGGAGTCTGAGGAGATGAGGACGGGCTGTGTGCTGGAGATGCATGGGAGAGACTCGGTTGGATGGGCATGGGGTCGGTCGGCGAGAGAAGGGCGGTAGGGGTGTGCGCTTCAGACGTGGTAGGCATGGCATACCTGTGCGCTGGCGGCGAGGCGGAGCGATGACGCGAGGACATGCGGAGGTGAAGCGCGATGCGTGAGGCGCGTTCCCCTTTGCCTTCTTCGCGCTCTGCTGCGGGGTGCGAGTGGTTGCCGGTATGAAGCGGTAGGAGTGGCTGCTGAACAGGAGTAGTAGGGAGGCCAGACGGCAGGCCGTGGAAGGACTCCGAGGATATCGGTTCAACACTCGAGGGTCGTGGTGGAGGGGCATATGGGGCGACAAGGGACTGTGGAATGTGTGGTGGGTGTTGATAATAATAATGCTGGGGTATCGGAGGCGATAATGGCGGAGACATTGGTGCAGCAGAAGATGCGTGGTAATAGGGACTGTGGACTGGGGGAGGCAGCCAAACTTGGCCTTGGTCTACGTAAGGCACCAACGGAGGAGACATCGGAGGGCCATACAGGGAGTATGGACTCAGAGGTCGGTCCATGAAAGGAGGGGGAGACATTGCAGACATGTAGTGAGGATCGAAAACAGGTGAGCCGTAAGGTTGTAGTGGTGGCGATTGGGCTAAGTACGGTTCCGGTGCAGGGAGAGTGGGTACTGCAATTGGGTCCAGAACGGTCACTGGTATGCTCAACATGATGTCTTTGCTGTCGTATTCGTCAAGATGACGCCCAGCGGTTTGACTGAAGTACTGACCTGCCTATCCCCATGGTTAGCTTCACGTTGACCAAACATCGAACCTCAAACAGCGGGTCGGCCGTGCAGTTTGTCTCTTCGTCGCCTTGTCGCCGACCACCCTTGATTCCCCTAGCATTGCGGGGAAGATCAAAGACTAAGGTTGCTACGCCCTCAGAACCTTGGTGAATGATGTACTCCGGTCCGCGGAAGGATACTGATGTTAGCGTATCCGAGATCTGCAAAGGCTGTTTCTGATCCGGCGGTTGGCTCGGTAAGACAAGCTCTCTCGTCAGCGACACGGAGAGCCCGGTGTTCTACGAAGTTATCTTCAGCATACACATGCATACCAGCGTATTGACTGACCTTCTTGGGAGAATGATTCTTGACTTGTAGCTCAACACAACCGGCCTGTCCCGCGACCAGGAAGCCGCCGACCACCTTGCCTTGTGCCCAAATCTTGCCGTTCTCACCGACAACCACCGCTTCCGGCTCGCCTCGGAGAAGTTCTTCATCAAAGCTTTCAACCACGTCGACTGGCTTCTTATCGAAGACAAGGCGATTCTCGCCTTTCCAGAACACGCCAACGGTGGCCCGCACTTCGTACCTGACGTGCGCAAGTCCAGAACCAAAGTTGATTGCTGACGGCGATGAGGTGGGCAGTGGCAGACGGAACAAAAAGGTCGTTGCGCCGCGACGCGCATGATAGTAATGAGATGGCAAAGGAGGATCGCCCGGGTCAGGATAAGGGTGTACGGCGTTGGATGGCGGAAGCCCTTGACCTTGGAAGAGTCGTCTCGTATGCAGAAATGTCGACGTCGCAGAATGGTCCCGCGATGTGAGCTCTATAGATCATTGAAAATCATGGATGGACGCGCATTCGGGTATGCAGACGCACCCTCTACTGCGAATAATTCTACCATGATTACACCGATCCCCAAGCCCCGGTCCGCCTTGCACTCCATTTCCATCTTGCCGGTAACAACGCCACCGGCGACGAAGGTACCGTCAGGGAGCTTCAGGGAGACCTTCACCTTGGAGTGGTTAGGTGAGGCGTTCATGGCCTCGAGTCGACCCTGTTTCTCCATACTTCGATAGATTGTAGGTCTTGTTGAGCAGCAGATATGTTTGTCGATACGTAGGCATCAAGCAAGTGGTCGGGTTGTGATGTCGGGGCAGGGAAATGTTGAGAGTTAGCAGTGTACGGTCTTCGCCATCGTCGGTTTCGAAGCGAGCAGCCACTTGCAGGCCAGGGGAGAACGCCTCTATGGCAGTATATTCCAGAAAAGGCACCCAAGGTAATGTTGGTAGTAATGTAACTCAGTCAACTTACTAATGTACCCTCCAGGGGCTTACTTACTAACAAATTAGATTTTGTTACTTAAATAATTTGGAATACTGTATCGGGGGATTCGGGACAGGTATCGTCAGTCGACACGTGGTCATTCCTAAGTAATCACAAAAAAATATCAGATAGAGAGAATGTGGAGTCGATTGTATCATAATTTTGTAAGACTGGAACTAGCTACGCACTCGACTGACCGAGTACCATGTCGCCGAGATCCCGCCGATACGTACATTCTTATAAGTAACGACCTCGGCTGCCTGCAGACTCGGACCAAACTCGGACTGCCGCAAAATGTTGATCTCGGGTCTTTCACCGTCTCTTTTGAACGTACGCACGCAAAAATAGGTCTCGACACCACCCAGGCCACACAATTACTCTCGAAAATGACCTTCATACGAAGGAAGCCTCCCGGCGAGAGTATTTGTGGATTGCAGCCGACTCGTGGTACTTAGTACTGGCTGGCGTGGTCTCGAGGCTGAGCTCAGCAGCAAGTAGTATGTGCTGCAGTCCTTACGTTTGTCCGTACTGGTAAGTATGGATTACAGAGGGCAGTTGTCTTGGGATTCCAAATAGAGAAGACCTCCTGATTAGTTTCTCCTGCAGCTGCGGGTGTCCGACTCCGGTGCTTGAGATGCAGGGTTACGGTGTGCGTATCAAAAGAAAACGTGCGTATGCGTCTACGTATACGTGCGCTTTAAGCTGAAACATCTATGTGACTAGTGAATTCGCGTGATCATGCAATGCGATGACACTGAGAATCCATGGCCAAAAGACACCCGTACCAGGGAGTCTTTGCATTCACATTACATGGCCTATGCAAGCCGAGATAGCTCGTAGATCAAGAAAAGTGGGTGCTTACGGGTGATTGCTGCGAACAATTCACGAGGGTTGCCCAGGCTTAGTAGATTGAACGACCGACGGTGCGAAGGCTATGACAACATTACGGAGGGATATTGTAACTGGACAACAAGAGCGCTACGACGTCGACGTTACTGCATGTAAAGCGAGAAAACGCGAAATCGAAGGAAGAAGACTGTGTTGAACTTATAAGGGATCTGAATATGTAGAGACGGTGAGCGCCTTTGTGGCTCGAGACCGACAACTCACCTAGATGGCATAACCCCACTTGTGCAATTGCTCCCTAGGCTTGACCTCGATCTCGTGCTCGAGGCCGTGATTTCTCGGAACCGCGTTCCAGCTCGCCGGCCGGTCGAGAAGGGTTACAATATCACCAAGCTTGCGCGAATATCCGACGTCTCCGTCTCCTCCGTCAAACGCCGCACTAAGTCCACCCGCGCGGATGCCCTCCTGTTTGCCCTGGGAGCCGTCGAACTCCTCGAGGACAGGCACCCCCAATGCGTCTTCGGCAGCTTCTCCCGCGACAGTGCCGTTCGCGGCGACGGTTGCCTGAAGGCGATCTTCTCCTCGCGGGCTGTCGGTAACGCCGATTTCGTGAAGCAGCGAGATGTCATCCGAGATGTTTGTGAACGCCCTTCTCCTTCTCCGCTATCTCGATAGCATCTCCAGGGGTATCGGTGCCGTCCTCGAGATCTGCGACGCTGCTCGCGGGTAAAGGCCGGTTCCGAAGGGACGGGTAGGATACCGGAGGCTTCCCGAGAAGAAGCGGGGGCCTCGCGGCCCCTACCTCTCGTACTGGACGTCGCTGCAGAAGAGCAGGAGAGGCATCGGCGGTTGAGTCGCTCATCGCGACGTGGAGAGGGAGCATGAGAGGGCGTATGCCGCGGGTAGGTGTAGTGGCTGGTGAAAGATCGCGCAACTCACGGCGCTCGACTTCTTGAGGCAAAAGGAGCCTTCGTAGCTTGGGAGGATCCTCGATACGATTCTCTGCAGGAACCTTGCAGGCAATCTCGTCTAGTCCCTGGCGCGCTGCGGGGTGAGTGGTGTCTTGCTGTCCGGTTGGAACTTGGAGTACACTGCTCACAAACGTTGGCCGCTCTGCGTGCGATGAGTCCGGATCACCACCGCACAGATAGTTGGACTCACCAGTCGCGTTGACTTCGCGGGTTTCCCTATTCTCTCGGGTCCGCTGACGCCTGGGAGGCGTCGAGCTCGGCGCATAGACGTCGAAATTGTACAGATCCGGAACTGCATTGGCGTGGACGACAGATCCCTTTGGTTCATCTGCGAAGTATGACTCCGCGAATGCGCCGAAGGGATCAGGCGTGTGCGTCAGCGAGGGGGACGGGCTGACTTGACGGCCGCATGCAGAGGGGGCGTAGATCGGGACAAGGTTCGACGACCTGCGAGCGAGAGGGGTTGGGCAGGGAGGAGACGGGGCCAGAAGACCAAGGTTGAGGTTCGAGGCAACATCTGGAACGTCTAGGTCGGAAGGTACTGGCCGGGAGATCTCGTGAACCCGATATGCGTTCTTGACCAATGAAGCGTCTTCGAAATCCCCGGTGCGAACCTCCAGCTGCTCCATGGGGGAGAAGCCACAGGCGTAGCAGGAAAGGAGACCGACACTGTCGAGGCGGACGATCCTATCGAGACAGATAGAGATGGGCATGGCGATGGTGGTACTGGCGAAGATGGCACAAATGCGAGCTCTTTGGTGTTGTCGCGTTGTTCAAGCTTCAAGGGCGCAGCGCGGACGTCATTCTCGGTGCTGAGCCAGGAATGTTACCAGGGGTGCCGACTGTATAGACGAATGGAGAGTATTTGCGAGGAAAAATGGTGAGCAGAGACAGGATTAACGATATGAGATTCGTGCTCACCATCGATGCTCACTATAGCTTGCTGAGTAGCTGCTACTTCAGGCTGTCGACTACTTGAGGAGACAGAGAGTACAAGGATAGGGTAAGGTACGATGATCGACTCGATGTCTTCTTCGTTCGATTTCGTACGACGCAGGGTGATCCAGGCCCAGATAATGAGGAGGTACTCGATGACCGAGCAGAGGAGTTGGGTAAGTCGGAGCGGCATAGCGATATCTTGCGGCTGCGACGTATTCTTGCAGATGCTTCAGGGTAAGGATATGACTACGTCTTGTCCTAGTCGCCAGCTCGTTTTTGACGTATGCCGCGGAGGCTGACTGGACTGATTCGAACTCCCTGTTTGCCAGCAACCTACCTTCTCGTAATGGCGGTCACATCTCCAAGTTGTGGGTCCAAATGGATTCGAGGTGACTCGTATCTGATTGATTCCTGTCGGGCATAGAGGAATTGTTCTAATGAGAATGTAGAAAGGTATGAAACTCGAGCCCTGGCTGGTCGAACGTTCAGATCTAATCTTAGAGCATTCCGCGACGACTCCGATCGTTGGGGCGATCGACATTGACCCGCCGATCTCTCCATTGACTGATCGTGTCACCCGAACTTCAACTTCACCCACTCCTATCTGTCCTTACTCCCCGACGCCGCATTGCTCTGCCATACCACTAGACTGGGCAAGCTTGTTCTGATCAGATATGCGGTTCACTTGCGTGTCGCTCAAATGCATTGGATTGGTTACTGTCGCCGCTCACGCTCAACCGGGAGATGGGCGTACCGACGGCTATCGCTCTCTGGCAACATAAAGTTGACAACATATTCAACCTGTGCAGAGACAATCTTGCATGCATCCCATTGGGATGTCACGAGAAAAGCAAGCGCCAAAGGCGGTTCAACGCGGTAACCATCGATGCTGGCCTTGCTGGCTCAACGTGGCGACCCACGATGGGCGTCCAGGTCAGCCGCTGAACTCGAGCAAATCTTCTGGACCAACCTCCATGAGCTACCATGCAAGTGAGTACTTTGCACGATCTAGGTCATGTATGATCCTTTGACTCCGTCGTTTGGCCTCAGGCACTGACAGGCGTCCCATGCTGGAATCGCTGGAGGGTTGACTAGTTGACTGGGCGAGAGGAAACGAGGTGGAGTTAGATCTGTCTCATTACTGCATGATCACGGTTTTGGCGGGCGCATGTGCGCTCGCCTTGCCTCGTTCTTGCAGTACTTAGACATAGCTACTTAGACATGCCTTGTGAAACGATGTGTCCACCGATTCCACGCGGGCCGCGGCTTAAATCGACAGATGGCCAGGAATGGTACGTGTTTATTTGCGTGGTGCTGTTCTGAATGTCTGGTTGTATCGAGTGCATCGGCTTGGCTGTGCATCCTTGTTGCACAGTATACACTGTTGTCAGGAGGAACATCCCTTTACGGTAGCGCTATCAGCGTGAAGGCGCTAGCGTATTTGGCAACGTGCACCTGATACTAGTACCCATCTGGAAGAGGGACTGCGCGTTGTACTCTTGTTGTACTCCTGTCCACTCCTCCACAGGATTCATCCTATACCTCTCACACGACCACATCCACGGCTCGCGTAAACGCTGACAGAGTGTCTGGGTGTCATACGATCCTCTGAATGTTCTATCGTTCTTGTGAGTTTCCCGCTCCGGTCACCGCATGTGGCGCCACAATACGTTTCTCATGTCGTCCTCACAGACATTTCGCCGATGTTCAATATCGCTCAACGTACCAATTCACGCGGTGCGAGCCGCCTTGGACTCACCGTCCGCACGCATGATACCGACAAGCCGGTGAGTTTATCACAGTGGACATGTGAGGTGCGAATCGACGTGCGGCGTATCCAGAGAGACCCAGACCCAATGGGATGGACATGGGAAGAAGTCGCCGACTATGTTTCCAAGCACAGTCAGCTATTCGTCGCCCAGAACAGGCTGTTGGGCTTGATTAGGGACAAGAAGCTCACTGGGCTCTATTTCGTCCAAATGGACCACGAAGGCTTACGGACGACAAAGTATGGAGGTCTACATGACTTTGCATCCCTCATGATTTACGTGGCAGCTGCTGATTACTACCAATAGCTTCCTATCCAATGATAACGAACTGGCGAAAGACTTTAGAACGCTTTCGGACTGCCTGCAACATAAAGCTCGAAAGACGAGTCCGATACAGCCGCGTGGGCCTTCTCTACGGGACATGTTCGGAGGCGACTCGTCGCCCTAGAGTGAGACAAGTAAGTCTAAGCATTCCTACTTCGTGACAGTATATGGTCCAAAGCGACCTAGACCAAGGTTTTCAATGGGCTACAATTCCCTGTTTACCATTATCATGACCTATCCGTACCTGAAACAAGGCGGACGTCCACGCTGGGTTCAAGCCTGCGATTTTCGCTATGTATTGTGGACCGGCGAAGATAAACTGGTGGGATGTATCCTGACCCGCGCATGTATAGTCTTCGCCTGGTCGTGTCGGAGCAGAGCGTGTCGTTTACACGCTCGGTTCCTACGTACCTGGATTTCAATCCGCCACTCAGGCTTGCGCAATGGCTGTGGTCCCGTGATTGCTATGTCGATGCTGACAGACCTCAGTTTAGGATGGCATCATGGGCGGGTGCGAAAGTTTGCCCTGCCATCGAGAGCATGGCGGCCGGGGTGGCTACGTTTCGACAGCTAGCTTCCACGGCTGTCAGGCTCTCGGATGGTGACCGGTCTACACGATGTAAACTGCAAGTTGATGAGTTACGTAGAGCACTGGGACTTTCGGGTCGAAGGGAGGTCATGCCAGTGGGGCGCCTGTCTAATTATCGACCGCTTCTTGTATTGTGTTTGTATTTGATAAATCGACATTCCTCCACTTCATGCAGGTCAGGTTCAGGATGGCAGGGGTTTATAGGCCCAGAAAGATGACCTTTCCAAGAACGAACTCATCGTGAGCCGCGTACTAAGAGCAGTGCTTTTCTTCATTTCACCACAAAATAGCGTGTCCGAGATTTTCGGTTTTTGGCATGAGTGCCCTGCATTACCCATCAAGCTACGCATCCGAAGGCGAGTCTTTTGTCTCCGAGCCATTTACGCGCGGCGAAGCCTGAAACCCAGATTCTCTCACACTTAGTGCCGGCGGGGATCCATAGTAGGATCATTCCGACTCTCAGGCTGAGGAACAACTTCGGACGGTGTCCGCATGGCGAAGCGCAGTTGCACGACTGTCTTCGCATCCGATGCCCGTGGACTCTTAAGACGACATGACAGCCGGCCACTGCCGGAAAAGCCATGTCCAGTCAGATTGAATGTCCACAACTATGTCTCACTGTCATAGGTGCATTTGCCGTGACAATCACGTATTGAATATTTGAATGCTCACTGGGGAATAAATATCACGAGGAGTCACCGCGCTTGAGGCTTCCAGAAGAGGGTCGGGTCGTTGGGGACGATGGTTCGGATGGCCCTTCGATCTCACGTCGCAAAATTGCCGCATGATTGATGCGTGTACTGTACGGCGCCGACACAGGGAAACGGGGTCGGATTCAGGTTGTTCCCAATGTTCTGCGCTTCGTGTTATTCCGTTCCCTATCAGTAATCTTCTATACTCAGAGAGCGTCTCCAAATGCGGTATCAGTCACTCGGTGAGAGTCGCGGGGCGGCCAGTTGTCAAGCATGCTCTGGGCCACGCACTCCGACCACCAAATACTGATCTCGCCGCACAGAATACAATGCATAACGTTAACCAATATATCAGAGCTGTTGATCTCCGTAAGTCCCATTATACGTAATCCAGTATAGAAGAGGTCACATATACATGGCTCAAGGTCTACCGGATATCACGTACTAAGTCCATCGCTAATCCCCACATCCTTAAACTGAAGTGCTCCCGACAATGATGGGCTTGGTCTTGCTCAGGGAGGCTAGCGTGTCGTTCGGCAGATCCAGATGTTCCTGGACGAGCTCAGGAGGAGTCACAGCCAACCACTAGTCATTTGAGTTAGTGATGGTCCGACGTGAGGAACGAAGACACCTGAGTCTCACCTGGTTCAAGCTGACATCTTCGTAAACATCTACAGAACACGGTGAGAATATTTCTGGGATATGTTTTCCGAAACGTACCGGTATTGAAGATCTCCAAAAAGTGCAGGTCGGTGTCGCCGATGTTCTCGATGTAGTGGCCTGCACGTGTGATATTAGCTTGTGAGGGCTACGTGATCGGAGCTGTTGAGCAACGCACCATACGATGCTGGGAAGAACCCTATGTCGCCAGCCTGGAAGCATTGATCAGCACATTTTATGACGGCTTTACTAAGAAAATATGTACTTGGTAGTTATACGTGCGCGCAGTGCTTGTAGACGCGAAAGCCGTGACACGAGCGTTCCCGGAACTGCCCATGGAAGATGACTCCATGAGAAAAGAGCGCACAGGCACAATAGAACACCTACATATAATAGTCCACTCGTCTTGTGTCGGGTGCCACTTAATGAAATTTTGATTGGAACGCGTTCGGGTAGTCAATGATCGTGAATACGCACATGCATTCCCTAAAGAGGTGTAAGACATGAATGTCTATGCAGCATATTCATACACATACCTCATGCCGCCAGGAGCAACGGTGACATCAGCAACGGCGATGCCGGTGGAAGCATTGAAAGTCGTCGAGTCGGCAATTTTCACAGAACCACCAGCGTACGTGGTACCCGGAGTTTCCGACAGCAGGAACGTGTATGGCAACGGAACTTGACCTTGGGGATCCTCAGGCGCCACGGCGTCCGGAGAAGGAGCCGCTGATGGAACATGCGTCAGACGTCGCAACCGCAGCACGGCACGAACGACTCACCTCCGGGGAAGATGTACAGTTGCTGGGCAGGAATATTGTCGAAGGCGCCGATGGTAGTGCCGAAATTCTTTGCGAGGACGTCTTTTGGCGTATGCGCCAACCAATCGGTCAGCTGCACGCACTCATCAGTGCTAATACTCGTGGGCTGCATGTTGATACACTCACCAAGAAGGTAGAGTCTTCGCTGAAATCTCCGCTATTGAAGATCTATTGGCGCCGTCGTAAATATAGCTCTATGTCATACAGTGATGACGTACCAGAAGGAACTCCGCTCCGTCAGGGTTCGTTGCCGTTGCCTGCAGACTATGGGGGATACCAGCCGGGAAATACCACAAATCACCAGCGTTCTATGATTCATAACCTCAGCCGACTAAGGACGAATAAGTTGGTGCAATATCATACCACCGTGCCCAAGAAGTTTCGACCACTCGAGTCAACCGCGGTAATTTGCATTTGGCCCTGAATGAAAGTTAGCGTGCCGTGGCAGAACGAAGATGCGGTACGTACACTGAGGACGTAGGCCCACTTCCACGTGCGTTAGCGGACTGCGCTTTTCGATAGAATGTCGAACATACCTCCGCTGTCTTATGCCAATGCAATTCTCTAAGTGTTCGTATCAGAACACCGACGAGGGCATGATACAGCATTACATACCGGATTGCACCGGCTTCCAGGCGCATGTCGACACCAGCCATAGCTTTGAGGGAGCTCAGAATCTTGTAGAGGGGTAGAGAAACTATGCTTACATGTGGCAATGGACATCTGATTGACTGGAACGAAGGTCTACTGTCAAACTGGGTGATATATAGTAGGGAGAATGTATGACGAACTATTCTGTTGCCTGGCGTAGCCGCCCGTCTGGAGACGATTCGTACTCATCGTAAAGGACCACTTCAAGTTAGGTCTGATGATGAATATCAGGACGCGCGACAGAACCTCGAGGAGAATGGTGAACTTACATGTCACCATTGTCCGTAGTCGGGGGAGCGAGGAGGTCGGGGTTCATTTGTTGCAGAGGGATATTCTGCTGTGCCATGATGGGGGCCCCAAGACTGCCTCGGATAGGCTGAGGAGGGTCGACGGTTGTGGTGAGGTTCCACAAGACGCTATTGGGGTCGTCGCTAGCATGCGGTGTCGTCTCCTGTTCTGGCTCTGCGGTCAATACCGAAGAGGGGATAGCATCGACCGACGCAGCGGCACCCCCAGTGGGGGCAGCGAGAGCCGCGGACGTCAAGGCAAGAGCGCAAAGAACTGAAGCGAGGAGCTTGGTCATGGCTGGATCCGTGGGGGCCTGGTAAACTGCAAGCCAGGTAGTGGCTTTTATACCCTTTCTGTGGTGTGAAGGGCCAATGCTAGTGGTTATTGAATCAATTTGCCGCGCGAAAAACCAACGGAAGGAGTAAATGTCACGCGATAGACTGAGCCATGCTTGCATGAGCTAGCAATTGCCGTGCACGCACATCCAATTCCAGACCGCCTCAACGCTATTCTGGGACGGGCAGGCACCTTCCACGTCTTGCCGCTGGAAGAGCAGTCTTCTCCTTGTCCAAACACGATCCGTGTAACTCCTGAAAGTGATCATGCTTCGGAGGCAATGATGTTCCGTACCCACGGCACGGGTCGACCGGCACAATGACTGATATCGTTTGCATTCCAGGTTTCCGCGGCGATCTTGGTCGCTACAGATCCATTCCGAGATCTAGATGGCGGAGAAATGGCCTGTTAGTGACGGATAGGGGGTAACCGCAAGTTCTGTAAGACCCATACCGAGGAAGGTTACGGCAGATTACGTTAGGTGGTCTTGAAGTCTGTTCCGTCATGGATCGGTATGCAGAACCTGTGCACCGGCCATTAGGGCATGGTAGCGTGACAACGAAGAGCGTCTTGGTGGATATGGCCTTACATGTCCGTGTACAGCGCGATCTAACAATAGCGGTGGGAGATAGATCTTCAGCGTGGCAGTAGTACTCTGTCCCCCAACGTGTACATTCACACAGGGAGTGTTTACGGCAGGATTCTCAAGGATCCCAAATTTTCGCTACACGATTGCAGATTGAGAATGGGACACTGACGATTACCAATGTGGATTGCGCCCAAGGATGGCATACCACGGAGGCGTAGCCTCGGGTCAGACGAGTTAGCTTGCTTCAAATAGGCGGGACGAAATCTTCTACCGGAAGCTCGTCAGACACGACCAGTCTCCGGAGTGCCGAGTTTCCTTCGAAGCAAAGCTCCTGACATGAACGGAGGATACGGAGGGATACGTTGCTTGTGTCCGGCGGCGCCCGACTAACGGACGTTGATCTGCTGGGAACCTCATCTCAGGACAAAAGGTAGAGTGAGAGCTGCGGTCCCGACGCCCTCGTCTTCGATATTCTTGCGGCTGGGACACATATTTATGCTTCGAGAATCGATAAATATAAGCGCGCTTCTCACCGGATCTGAGGCGAAAGTCGAGAGAAATACCGTAGAGGGTCTTCGCACACAGTCAGCTGAACATGGATAGCAAATGGCACATTAGCATTCGTTCGTTGACGTTCCTGAGGGCTGGATGCCTTCACCGTGTCATGAGGCTGGGCTCAGAGGACCCTGAGGTCGAGTCCCATGTGAAGGCGGCAGCATGCGAGCAGCCCGGCCAGATCCCACTGCTCCCTGAGGCACTGTCATTAGAAACAGGAACCTTCGGGGCGAACGGTGCGCTTGCAACACAATCAGAGTAGCCATACACCTGCAAACTGCCGCTGCTACTCACATGCACGCAGCATTCCGCTGGATATAGTGCAGTGCCTGCTACAATTGTGGTCAACGATGGAAGAAACAAACACGCAAGAAGCCCATACATTTCAGTCTGGACCCATGTGAATCGATTTCGCGGAGTTGCTGAGACCTATGATTGCGAGCCTATCCATGACGTTCATGTACCCGATGATCCCGTCGACACCAATGTAGGTTGAGACGTACCTGAGCAGCATGTCGGTATCCGGCATCTGCAAGCCTGTATGATAGATCGCGCTAGAATCTACACAGGCAGTGCGCCAGTATTGACTAGGACGCGCCGATTGGAGAGGAGGTCAGCAAATGTGACAATCATCGAACCAAAAGCGGATATGAAGGCACGAACCTTTTGCAACATACAAGTCGTCATAACGTCCACGTCATCCAAGAAGTCGTCACTTGAGGCATTTTGCTATCAATTTCGAGTTAGCATCGATAGTGCGCGCAGCGCCTCCAGGCCGGACCTAGCGAGAAGCAAGCGGCAGCAGATGAGTGACGCGGAGGCAGTGGTATGACTCAAACCGACTGAGTCCCTGATGTTACAACGAGGACCGGTGGAGGTAGCACTTGGAAGCCAGCCTCCCGAGATGAACAGACGTTTACAGTAGAACACGGGTGGCGATTCGGTGGACGTACCCGACACGTGCAGACGGGCGCACTGACTAGGCTGCAAGGGGATTTATAAGTATGATATTGAGTAGCAACCCTATACAGTCCGTCTCAGCAAGGGAAGACTGCAATTTGGCCGCCTTTCGCTAAGATGCGAACAGCCTGATCTGCTTCGCAGAACCAGCTGAACCCCTTACCGTGCGCCCCGCTACCAGCGGATACGCGGTACTTAAGAGCTCGTGCGGTAGAACAATAAGGCAAGCCTTGGGCATGCATATGTAGATGATTGACTGAAAAGAAAGGGGGTATATGGAAACCCAAACTTTGCGACCATAAGCAGCGTGTCTAGCCTTGGCGGTCCTATGACGGAAGACTTACCGTTGTGATGTTGTAGGTACCTTCAGATCGTCCAAGACACGATGGCCAATCTCGGACATTCTGCTGACTGTGCACCATAATCATGAATGGCGAAAGCTAGCGAATACATGAGACATACCCATTGGAGCGTCTTTTGCTGTCAACGATTTGACATTGTCTGTACGTTCATAGTACTTTGAAGGCTGAAACTCAGAGTACAGAATCCTGTACTCACCAATGTGGATTTTGGGAATTACAAGGAAATGGTGCGCAGCTGCTGGATCTCGGTCCGTGAATACGGTGAAAGATTCGTCCTGTCATCACTCATTCGGTCGGGCAAGAACTAGGAGACGGCGAAGACTGACCTCCCAGACAACATCGAAGCCATTTTCCGGCGAAGCGCTACAGAACTTGCACCGGGAACTGTCATGCTGCGTTTCGGTCGGCGAAGTTACGCCCCGCGGGTCCTCGCTACCACCGAGACAGCTCGCAAAAAGGCTCTTAAGAAGTCTCATGACCTCAAGGAGATGTAGTCAAGGTGGCTATTGAGAACAACGCTCTCGTCTCTATCCAATAAGAAGCACGATTAATGAGCGACGCAAGTCGAGAGACGCAGAGTGAACGGAAAGGACGATACCAGTATACGGACGTAAGTAACTTAGCTAGTAGCCATTTATGGGACAAACACAGCATCACGTGCACCAAACACGTCCGCGCGTCGGCGCGCTCTCCGTCAGTTCCGGCAGGACCGGTCTGGCAGTACGCAGCCACCAAGCAGCCACAACACGACATTCGTGGCATTAATTGTCTTCAAGATTATTAGGTCCTGTCTGCTTTCATTTGAACGTATTCATCATGAGCAAGGTGAAGTCACATCGAAGTGCTCGAGGATCACCGTGCAGGGACTGACAAACACTGCGTTCGTTAGGATGCTCCATTTACCTCCACCGGGACCGGTCTTGCGACGTGTCCACACATCGAATCGCACCCTCTAGATAAGGAGGAATCTGTACAGAAGATTAGGGCACTCGGAATCTGGAATATTCGACGTCTCAATCATGCCTCACGCCCCGCAAAGCGTCGCAAGGTGCGTAGCCTCTTTGTTGCGCACTGACAGTCAACTGAACGGCCCCTTACATTGGCAGTTATCTTTTCCAATATGCGATACTTGCCAATCCACTCTGCGACCGTTCGCGTGTTTGCACTGCCCTTTCACCGGGTGCTGGAATGAAGGTCATATGAGGGACCACGTTGAAGAGGCCGGTCATGACTTTTGTTGGTATCGCTCTTCCCGTACCTTCACGACGGCGATGCTGTCTACTCAGTACACTCTGTATCATTAATTCTGATATACGGATCATAGGCTGACCTTCGCACAGGTGTCGACGTCAAGACAGGATTCATCTACTGCAACGCGTGCACTGACTTCGTTTATGATAGTGCCACAGCACGTACATTTGCAATTGCAACAATTGGTGCAGAAGAGATAGTGGGAGGTAAACTGATTGTGATTTCACTCAACCTATCTGACGGTAACACTTCCAGCGGCGAGGAAGGACCGGCAGCCGTTCGAACCCTGGAAGCCCAACCGCAAAGAAAGTGCGATGCTTGAGGCGGCTATCTCTATGCCCTGTCAAGGTCAGCTGGACAGCCTAACCTTGAGCACATTGGCATCGCTTACTGACGATTGTGGTCTCCATTCGATTGGGTAGCACGACGCGGGCTCCTGAACCTCGGAAATACATGTTTCATGAACGCAATCTTGCAGTCCTTCATCGTCAACCCACTGCTTCGCGACTTTTTTCTCAGCGATAAGCACAACCACTTGCTATGCAAGAACAAAGATTGCACCTGTTGCGAGATGGATAAGCTTTTCTCTGAGGTCAGAACTTCCATCTGCATCCGCCATACGTACTGATTCTCATTTTCGAGATGACTTCGGACAGATGTACTCGGAGAATGCAGCACCATATGGTCCCGCCAGCTTCCTGGCGACGACGTGGCGCGCTTCAGCGGAGCTGTCTGGATACGCGCAGCAAGATGCACACGAGTTCTTCATGGCCGTCTTGAATCACATCCACTCAACGAGCCGAGGTTCAACCAAATTCCAGTGCATTTGCATTGTCCATTCGATATTTGCAGGGCTTTTGCAGAGCGATGTCAAGTGCGGTCGGTGTGGCAACGTTACAAGCACGTCAGATCCCATGCTGGACATCAGTCTGGAATTGCAGGACAAAGGTAGCGGGGGACACGCCGAACACGAACTGACCCTTGCTTCCTGCTTGCGGAGGTGACTATTGCCCGTTGTGGTCATCGACGTTCCTGTTCATGGCATTCTAGGTTTACTCAGCCGGAGAAACTGGGCCCGAGCGGGTACGATTGCGCCAAATGTGGGAAACCTTCCCATGTGCGTGCTATTTTTGAGACTGTGCTCGTCTTCGATGCTAATCCTGTAGCACTGTCCAGGAGGCGAACAAGCGACTGAGCCTCCGAAAGCTGCCGCCCGTCCTGAGCTTCCAGTTCAAGGTGAGAATCCGCGTAATTCTGGCACTCGTGCCTCCCATTGATTCGCGGGTGAAGCGCTTCGAGCACAAGTCCGGAGACAAGACGGCGGCACAGAAGATTGAGGCCCAAGTCCGATTCCCGTCGAGCATCAACATGGCCCCTTACACCTCTCTCGCTATGGCTGTGAGAGAGCAGGAGGGGACGGACGGAGTACCAGACTCCGCTTCGTCTTCGTGAGTTTACTCCCTCGACCCTCGGCTTCGGACATCTTATGAAAGCACGAAGCAGCCTGCCGGGGCCCGGCAGTATGTATGAATACGATCTATTCGCCGTGGTCTGTCACGAAGGCCAGATCAACAATGGGCACTACACGTGTTTCGCTCGCTCTCAGGATGAGGTACGTAAGCCTGTGTCGTAAGAGGACTTCATCTAAACCGGTTCGTGATAGTGGTACAGGTTCGATGACGACAAGTGGGTTTCATAACTCTTTGACCCTCCCAACGGCTTACGGCTAATTTCACAGAGTCTCACATTCGAGCCTTCGAGCATGCTTGAGTTCACAGTCTCAGGCATATATGTGCTTCTATGTCAAGAAGCACCTGGATTACAAGCCGTATGTGACCCCTTCGTACAAAATTGCAAGGGCAGCAGAAGCAGTGAAGGAGAAGCAAAGAGAAGAAGAGAAGGAGGCTGCTCGTATGCGGGAAGTTGAAGACGCGCTGCTGGCTACAGTCTGACAACAAGTTGCATACAAGTCGCGCCAGCTCATGAGCTGGTGAACCGAGTCCGTATTAATAGCATTAGCAGAGCGCGCTACCAAGTGTATAGATGTGATACAAAGTGGTGAGGTATATGTGTGCAATCGATATACAATGAGGATGGTCTATGGACAGAACATGTGGAAGCAATGCGGAGAAATGGTGGAATGAAAGCGAAAGCGATAGTATGTAAAATCAATGGGGAAGAATATCGTTGAGCTCGCCCTCCTTCACCCGGATTTCCACGACCTCCACCTCGTAATCCATCGTGGACGAGTTGTTGGACGACACCGAGGATGAAATGAATCCAGAACCATTCGGCGGAGACGTGGAGGCAACATCTGTATGAAGGCCAAGCAAACGGGAGCAAGGCAGGGTCAGAATCGGAGAAACATGAACAAGCACGGCATGGGGAGGAAAGAAACGAACATCTGTCCTTGATATACGGCGGGACAAATAGATCCTGTATAATGTACACATGGGTCAGCAATCCATGTCGTGCAGCAGCAGATTATGTTCATACCTGGTTCCATACAAATCCTTGGCTCCTCTGGATGGTCAGGATCGGTCGCAGAGTGAAGACAGGCTGGCGGCGCTTTCGCCGATGCTGTCTCTTGGGGCTCTCAGGTTCAGGATCAATGGCACGCTGCTTGCCTTTGACATCCTTCTTCAGTTCGGCAATCTTCTGCTCGGACATGGCTTCGTCGCTCTCATCAATCTCCATGCCACCGTCTGGGCGACCCGCATGTTCCTCTCTCTCATGCACGCCGTGGCGATCTCCGTCCGAGACGTCGCTGCTACGGTGGACGATGCGCCCATAATCCTCGTCGTCCTCCGAGCACGAGTTGTCCTCTGATCCGCTGTCACTGTAGTCATCGTCGTACGGGATCTGCTCGTAACACGCCCATGTGGGAGGCGAGGGCGCCCGGCCGATCCTCCGGCGCACGAACGGGTATGCGGAGGCAGTGGTGGTGTTGCTCATCGTCGTTCGGCGTCGACGTCGTCCGTGTGCACAGCCTGCACGATTGGATGCGGCGGGCGATGGTGGTGGTCGAGAATGAAGGTCAGGGATGAGTCGGACGTTGTCGTGCAGGCGAGCGCGTGTGTGATGTGTGAAGAGTCACTTGCGACTGCAGACAGCCAGGCATCGAGTCACACCTTCCCTTTTCAGGCAGGCCGCATCGGTGCAGTCGACGTCGACGTTGAGTTGCAGTCGAGTACTACAGTCGTTCAAATATGTCCTCGAGCTCGTTCCAAATGTCCCAGGGATATTCAACTCTGCACGCCGCGATGAGGTTACAGTATATGGTTGCAGCCATAGCCTCTAAGTCAATGCCTTAGTGATTAGAGGCCGTGTACTCAGTACTACTTAGTAGTAATGCCGTACTGTTCGATACAGTAAAGGCGACATAGCAGAGCATGTTACGTACCGGATGCTCGGTCAGAGCGACGCGTTGAGCGTGCGTCGGAGAGGATGCGGGGAAGAAGGCAAGCATCACGCTGTGTTAGGTTCAAGTCAGGGTTGGCATGGTTCTCCGAGGTGGTCATAACCATGATGTGAGCCCTGCTTCCTGCCGCCGTGTCCCCTGTGCTGAAGCCATCGTGATGTTGCAATCCACGCCATCGTACGTCCGGTATGAGGTTGTCCGAAGTTGCGACGGATACGCCGCATGCGCAATGTCTAAGTTCAGTGCACCACTGCAGGCACGCCTCCGACTATGCTCGAAGCTGTGCGCGGGTGCAATGCCGGAGCTTCAGTAATAGCGGCGGATAGAATGAGGAAGTTTTGTGCACCATGTATTCCAGATTCCCCAATGGGTGGTGGGTCGCCACGGTGTGTCCAATTCATCCCTTCAATTGCACCGCCTCTCGATCCTCGCGATCGAGGTACACTGCTGGAAATGTCGCGGAGAGATACAAAAAAGCATATCAGTCGACGCAAATGTGACCGAGCCGATTCATCGCGGTTAATTTGTCGGCCTATGAGATTCTTGACTTACATGTGCTGACGATGGTCGACGTCGACATGTAGTATAGACGACCACGGTCTATCCTAGGAAGGACGGACATCTTGGAGTGAGCCTTCTTGGTTAATTAGAACGGCTTGTGCCACGGGTTCTCGCCTATCGGAAGACCATCCGTCGTATGTACGTATAGCTACCTCCTGCTGACCTCTCAGAATGTCGACATAGAGCGATTCGAGACGGCGAATGGCATTAGTACGCGCACAGCACAGCTAGTTTGGGGTGTTCCACATGGAGCTGCATTATCATTAGGCACACTAGAAGTCAACGGCTCAACTGAATAGAAGACGTAGCGTAAGCCTTCTGTGCGCAGCCTGGCTATTCCGCGAGCAAATAGGGTCGCTGGTCCCAGAATTCGTCGCCGATGATGTCACCGTGCAGCAGTTCTACCGTGAACTGCGCTTTCGCTTCTTTGCAGGCTTGCGCGTACTAAGTTCAGGGCTAATTGAGTTCTCGACATCAGGAGAACCTGCTGCCCTTTCAGGCCCTGGTGCCAGTAGAGTGCTTGCGTCGGGAACGACCTAAAATAAACATAATAAGAATGGCATGCCTCAACATTCTATTGCTATCACGGACCTGTTCGCGTACGAGAATACTACCCTTCCGATATCGTGCAGGCAGATTGTTATAGTTGGTACCGAACCGCGAATGCAGTATCTCGTGTTTTGTGCTGGACACCGTTCCCTGTACTCGATGTCGGTGTCAGGTTCCATGCTCCGCCAGACTGCGTACCCACCCGGAGTGTAGCGTGCGCTTGAGTCGTGCTCTCTCCACCCTGAAGCACGAGCGCCCAGAAGACCGTGTTGTACATGTTATTTATGTGCGCTTCAGGCTGACCATCAGCCAATTCAGCGTGAGCAGTCAGGAGATCAGGCGGCTGCTTACTGTCTGCTTGTCGCCATGCGAAGTAGTCGCGGATTTCCTTCGCCGAGGGATACATAACAATCCGGCCGTCGAACGAAGGTGGATACTTCAGCTCTTTGTCTGGTAGGTATTTCGACCAGTTGAAGACGTATGATGAAGTGAAAAGGGATGTGACGGTGGTAAGGATCTTGGACTGGCGGCGGTTATAAAGTGTCGTGCATTTCGAAAGAGGAAGCTGCAGATAGCAGATCCAGAGAACGTCAGACTGTATGACCATAAACACAAGGATGACCTCTACCTGTACTCGTCTGACTCGCCGAAGGCAAGACAGATCTCTTTGAACTCGTTCATAACATCGCGTGCAGCGTGATCCATCAGTTGTAGAGCGCGCTCGTCGTTTGGTTTGGCGAAGTCGTGCGCTTCTGATAACCTGTCATGAGGTTCGTTCGTTAGTGCCTTGGGCTTGAAAGCTAGCTCGACGCTCCTACTTGTGAAACGCATGTCCGTCGATGCGCAGAACGAGAAACGTTCCCATCAGCAATGGATCGGGAAGCTCGAATTTCTTCACGTATTCATATCGACTTCCTGCCATTACGAGCTAATCTGGACTGGTCAACAAAGTGACAAGGTAGAACTGAGGCCCAGCGGTTTCTATCAAGTTCTGGACAGACTGCAGTTTCCAAATCAAGAAACGGAGAGCGCCAGCGGAATATGCCGGTCGTTCGGTAGCCGCGCGCCGCCTCTTCCGACAACCACCAAGCCTGAGAGGTTGGGAACCCGGAGAGGATCGTGGATGCTTGCGTATCGACGACGGGCGTCGACGTCGTTTCATTGTGTGAAACATATACATAGGAACGACCTTAATCTGGCTTAACATAAATGGTGTTATGTTACTCCCGACTCCAGTCGCTAGTCAGGCTGCAGACAGAAGCTGCGCCACTTCGTATGCCCTGCGTTGGCAATGCAAGTGCAACGACTCTAGATCTGACATGAATGTAAAGGGGAAGCGCTGCAAATCAATGACAATGCGGGACCAGTTGCTTGAAGGCACCGTCTACACGCCACTAGGCAAAGAATTAACCCACGCTGGGACAAAGTTCTGCACTGTCGGTCGCCGTGCTCTGTCGTGCTGCGTTCAACCAGTCAACTCGAAGAGCAAACCCGGCTGTCCTTGGCAACCTTCGAACCCCGCTTCGAGTGTGATCTGCAGTCGAAAGAAGTGAGCCAAAGCGCAGAGAGGATTGTGCGAGGGGATGGGGTTCTTGACTCGGACGGTGGCAGCTCCTGGTTCGAATTGGGCATATTGAAGAAGAGAACGCGATGGGCCAATACTTGTTCTGGCAAGGACCTGGGTCGGGCATGCCTGCGTGAGTTCCATGATAGACAGCCCGAACGCACTGTTGGATATACAATTCGAGTACCAGGGCGATCGGCGGCGCCTACAGGCGACCACAAAGTGCGCCACTGCCACTGGCAGCCACTTACATTCATCGGATCGTCTCTGGTGATTTACCCGCAGTGCGAATGAGGAGCACAAAGCAAAGCCTTAGCGTCAGTAAGTCGCGTCCCGAGAGAAACAAGCAGCGCACCTGATGCGTTCTGGCTTCTAGATGGTGATGCCAGTGGCCGCTTCAGGCATTGTCGCCGAAGGTTCGACTGAGTGTAACCAGGAAGTGCCACTCAAATTTGTTGGCACCTAGCCTCTGGCAATCGATGCCTGAGCAAAGATGATAGTCTGGCCAAACGATATGAGGTTAGTACGTGAAGTAGCTGAAACACTTGCTTTGACAGGGATTAGTGTGCTGGGAACGGGAGCGGCCACGCCGCACGCTCTTTCGAGCATGCATTGTCCACCGGCAACGGCGGCTCAGGGACGTTGTCAAAGCTGTCCCCGCTTCAAAGCGCGTACCTTTCGTGATCTGGCATGGCCAGAAAGGTAGAAATTGCGGAATTGCCGTGAGAAGAGGCGCGCCCCCGCCCGTCTTCCTCGTCCTCGCGCGGACCACCACGCCATCTTCACGATCTCCTCACGATACCACCTTGGCCACTCGTCGCAAACGGATGCTACGCCGCGCGTCTAGGGCGCCTGCACTCTCTCACGACAACCACTTCCTGTTTTTCATTGTGGGTCCGCATTCCAAGTATGGACGGCCACAGCCCCTCCAGGCGCCTTCACGGATTCTCGACGAACCGTCCGCCACCCTTGCCAGCTTTCCCCGAGTCTCCTCAGGCCCGTCGCAGCAGAGATGGATCAGGCTCTGAATCCGAGTCGTCGAGCGATGCGAGCGGTGGTGGGCCCCCACCTCGTGGACACCAGGCGCATCCGGACTACGCCACACGACGCCCACAATTCGCGAGCCAGACTCAGGGCTTTCGTGATCGCAGACGACCCAGTCATCTTCATGCAACGATCTACGTCGACGACCCTCCGTATGTCCCGAGGGAGGCCCCTCCGCGCCCGCCGAGCTTGCGCTACGCGCCCATAGGCGGCCACGAGCAAGTTCAACATGCACCTGTCGACTACCGTGGCCGTGCTCTGCCACTGCCCTCACACACGCCGTCGACGCAGGCAAGTTAGAGTTCTGCTTATCCGATGTGCTTTTCTGATATGTTTGATCCCCAGTATTCCGGCAGACGAAGCAGCAGCGGCAGTCCCAGCGGCTCCGAGCGCAGCCAACGGAGCCAGGAGAGCGACGACAGCGGCAATGGGAGCGAGCGGAGCGACGAGAGCGACGAGAGCAGTCGGGAACGTCCTCGTGCAGTGCAGCAGGTGTCGATGGCAGGCGTGTTCCACATGCACGAGCCGCTGAACGCGCCCCTGCCTTTCAACCCGGAGCGGTACCCAGCGTACGACGCGCAGGCGCGGCGGATTGGCTTGGACATGTGAGGTACGAGAGCGCGCCGCACGATCCCTCTGGCAGACTACTATCGCCCGAGGACGCACACCTATCCTCGAGCCCGCGAGCCGCAGAGCCCGCCCTATGTTCCCAGGGCGCAGGATCCGCCGGTGCGCTTGCCCGACCCCCCAGCCCCGCAATTCGAGCGAGGCCCTCCTTCTCCTGCAGTTGATTATGACATGCGCCAACCGTCTCCTCCTCCTGCGATTGATTATGAAATGCGTCAACTGTCTCCTCCCCCCTGACGACGTGGGGGCGCCCCCGAGCTATGCCAGTCCAGTGCGGCATGTCCATCCTCAAGCAGTGGTACCTCAACCGATCAGGCATTCGCCGCCTCCGATGGCGCCGTTCAGTCCTGCGAACACAGCGAGCTCGACGACAGACACAGATCCGTTTGGTTCACCCGTTCCCGAGGACGAGGTTACGTTGGACATGCTCGCGGATCCGACCTATCCGGGGCAGAAGCCAACTACCCGTATCCGACTCTCGTGAAGGCTGCTATTCTGTCGAGCCCCAAGAGACGCTTAACGCTGCAAGAGATATATCAGGCGTTGCAGGACAGGTTCCAGTGGTTCAGGGACAACGCAAAGGACAAGGCCTGGCAGGTGCGTGTCACTACTTCGTGATCACGTATGAGACTCATTGTTGCCTTGTAGAACTCTATCCGCCACAACCTTTCTCTGAACAAGCTGTTCCGCAAGGTGGCGAGGGACATCACTGAGCCTGGCAAGGGCAGCTACTGGACCGTTGATATCGGCGCTGGTTTAGGCAATAAACGCGAGCGCAAGCGCAACAAGCGTCCCAACAAGGCAGAGCGCGAGCGTCTTGCTACCATGCAAGGAGGCTCCGCCTCCAACCAAATGGATGACCAAAGTAGTTCTGACGAAGAGAACGCTACCTTGAACACTACATTGACCCTGAACACTGCAGCGACTCCAACCCTTAGTCAAACCCTCGGTCAGACCGCAGCTTTCTCCGTGTCTGTGGCACCCCTCGAGGAGATCAACATTGATCCGGAGCTTCGTAATGGTGGGCACGTCGTTGGCCAAGGCCGCTCGCGTACCGAGCCCGGCGCAGCTGCGCGGAACAACGCCAGGCGCGGCCAGTCTCCCTACACCCGCTCGCCAGGCGCTGCTCCCGGTGTGCAAGCGCAGCCCACGTTCGGCCAACCTTCCTTCGGCCAGCCGACTTTTGGTCAGGCGTCCTTCAACACGTTCCAGGGAACCATGGGTATACCCTCGCAGCCGTCCGCTCGTCCCACTCAGCCCGGAAACCCTGTCTCCACTGCCCCTACGTTCCGCGTCACCATGCCCACGACTGGAAGGTCCAGCGGCCGGCCCTCCAACTCCTCGAGAGGGCGCGCGACGCCCTCGATGTCCAATGTCACTACGCAGGCGGCACCCGTTCCAATTGCGCCCATCCTTCAGCCGACTCTGCATCCCAGCCTCAACTTGGCACGCGACACTGTCAATGTCGCTACTGGCCAACTCACTGGTGTTGGTGGGGCGCCCGGCTCTGGGCTGGGCATTGGTGCTGGTCCCGCGCCTCCTGCCCCGGCGTATAGACAGGGAAGCACGCCTTCCGATTCGTCTCAAGATTGAGAAGCTCGCTGAGCACATTTCTCCAAAATCTCGCTCTCTTTTAAATGACTCCTGCTGTCCTGTACTGACCTGATCGCTTGTAGACACGCACTTTTTGCTGCTTTCTTGGTTAACCGCTCTGTCCCGCCACACTTGCTATTCCCGTCGCCCGCCTCGCTTCCGTCGCTGCCGCTTTGCTTAAATCCCGTTTTGTATGATTTGTCGTCGTTGCTCATCGCTCTTGCCTCGCTATCCCTCGTCGTGCACAAACGTGCTTGCTCTATCTCCTTGCTATCTATCATCCTGCTCTGCATCGATCGTACCGTGCCTGCATCTCGTACAGACCTTGACTATTCAAGGGCTTTGCTATCTCGGTCTTATATGCTGTATTGCTTGATGTTGGCTGTTGTTATCGTTGCTAGCATTGCTTGTCTCGAAATATATATGCTTCCGACGTCGTTGGGGGAGTTGCTTAGTTTGATCTGTGAGCTACTAGCTCGCGCGCTCAGCACTACTAGCATAGCAATGTCACCGTTGTTACAGTATATGTACCATCTGGATTCTGCACTTATTATATTGCGTCTGCGCTGAGAACCGACTGGCACAATGACACCAGCGCGGGGTACTAGTGTTCGATCTGCGAACCTAGCCTGGTCGGGAGCAAGCTGTGGAAGCGCTCGCAGTCACTGCTGTTTCCCACGCCACGAAGATGCCAATTTCAGGATTTGGGAAGACCGTGGTCCGTCACTGTCTGCTTAGTGCTATATCCTAGAATCTGCCTGTTTTGCTCCCACGCCAATGCTAGTCCATGCCTTCGCGGTGAAGAAGTCCCTCCAGCTTGGTCTGCTCGCTGGAAAGAGACCGCCCAAACTCTCAACATGCTCCCACCATCGTCCCTTCCACGCGACTTGGGCCAGGGCGACCTCTGAGTCTACAGACCAACATCCCTCGTCTACAAGTGCCGAGCCTGCATCCGAGCCTACAGGGACTCCTGTACAAGATGCAGAACCTCCAATGACCGACCTCAATCCTTGTCGGGACGAGAGTTTCTCAGCTTCGCCTACAAGCTCAGAGGACAGCTCCCACCATCCGTGAGTATCCAGCACCTACATCTCGAGCCATAACATAGAATGAAATAAAGACAAGGAGCCCTGGACCACGAACCGAGGCACAGAAGGAAGAACGGCGCAGGGAGCGCGAGGCGAATGCGAAGGCGCGTGGGCTCCTGCCGCTCCCTCCCTTGCCCGACGCGCCGAACTATCCGTGTCCATATCTGACGAAGGAGGAGATCGTGCAGTATCTCAGCCCTTTGTACCAGCAGGGGTGGTTCATTGGAAGCTCGGAGTTCACGGCAGACAAGCGCTTGCCGCGGGGTGACGATGTCGCCCGGAGCTCGTAAAATCTTCTTCTTTGGGCCGGAGCATCATGAAGCGGCGTTGGATTTGCGGAGAGCGTAGGCAGTGTGCAGACCGCAGAGGATGTGAGTGTATCATTCGCTCTGCACCTCACTCAAGATGCTCGTTCTGATTCGTTGACCTTCGCTCGTCCAGCACCATTGCACCATGTTGGTCGACGACGAATCCATCCACATCAGGACGCACACGCACTCGGCGCGCCCCTTGCCCACGACGCGGGACGCAAAACCGTCAAAAAGCCCGGGCATCACCCTCCGCGACGTGCGGCTCGCGATCCTCATAGAGCAGAAGTTCCAGGACCACCTCAGGCGCGACGCAGCGCCATGGCGTTCCCAGTTCATGAACGCCCGTGACAGCGTCCGCCCGCTGATGCCGCAAGGCATCGAGCGGCTGCGGCGACTGGCCGAGTTCAGGGGGACTTTGGCATGTCCGGTGTGCAAAGGCCCGCATAAAGGGGTGCAGTGTCCGAAGAAGGATGTCGTTCAGCCGGCGACCCCGTGTTCGCGGTGTGGGAAGATGCACTGGAGGTTCATGTGTGACGCTGTCGCACCTACGGTAAAGCAGTGAGAGTCGTCTAGCATCTGGAAACCACCGTTGTGGCTCTCCTTGGGGATGTCTTGCAATGCTAGCCACGCAACCGATTTCGTTTGACAGGGGCCCCAGTGTTGACACTACCTGTAATTTCTGATGTCCAATGACAAGTTCTATGCGCATCTGCGAGTGCCTTGATGCAATGGCCTACACCTCAGTCCGATCTGGCACTTTCTGGTAGGGTCCCGTTGACCACCGGTCGCGACGCGTCTGTGGCCCAGACCGGGGTGGGTACGCGCCACAACGCCAGTTGCTGCCCTTTCGTATGTCGAGACGTTTCGGTTTCCAACTTACTCTTCCCTTCCAACAAATCACCTACATATCCCCCGCTTACATCTCTGAGAGCCCCGAGCATCGATACGGACAAGGGATATGGGATTGCTCGTGCACGAAAGGGTGAGTTTAACATCTACAATCCGAGTGTGGAAATACGAATACACTGATGCTTAGATCTTTGGCACAAGGACGCATTGGGTCATGACGATGATCGAGATGATACAAATATAGGCATGGTTGTCGGAACATCACTCCTTTGGAGTGTTACAAACAGTCAAAATGTTGAAGGGACCGAAGAATACAAGCAAACTCGGCACCGCACTCAATCAAATTTGATGCCCAACACATCGCCCGGCGACGCCAGCAGCTTGTCCATCAACGCCTGCCGTTTCTCGCTCGTTCTCTGGCGCCCCGCCTTCAATTTCTCAATCCCGTCACCAATGCTCTGAAGCAACACCTCCGCAGGTACGCGATCGCCCACGATCGCAGGCGCGGCCGCGCGCTCCCTGAGCTCCTCCGCGTCCGCCTCGACCTCCTGGAGCACCTCGTGCGTAAAGACGACATGCGCGGTGGCCTCCTTGCGGTAGCGCCCGATATATCTCAGAAGCGTGAGGTGCATCTCGCTCTTGTGGCGCGTGCTGCCGTCCCCGCTGAGGATCGTCCACAACTCGGAGGGCAGCTCCGCTTGCGCATCGTTCAGCGCGACGCTTTCCCGCGTGATGATCTCGTGGATGGTGAGGAGGTGCTCCTGGAGCCGCTCGAGGTTTGCGGCGCTGACGGAGGCCTCGAGCACTGCGCGGTGGGTCTCCTTGGTGAGCGTGTCCAACGCGTCTTCGAACGAGCGGAGGATGACCGCCTCGGTGTCGGTACGGGTCATGATACGCGACAACGAGAAGCTCCCCCTGTTCGAGACTGCCTCGATGGTGCGCATCGCCTGGCCGTTCATGGTTGTAATGCTGAGTACGCGTGGTTAGCGTGTGCATGTCAGACATGCTGAACAGGAATCGGACTCACTCATCCACGGCGCCGTTGATCTTCGCACTAAGCCTGTGCAGGCCTTCTCCCGTCTTCTTCGCATCCTCGACGAACCGTAAGAGGGTTTCCGCGAGGGTGTCGCGGCTCGTGAGGTCGCTCGCGCGCACGCGTGCGACTAAGTCGCGCATGACCATTTCCGATCCCTTGAGCTTAAGACCTATCGCGCCCGTGCGCACGTTCGCATCCATGATGCTCTCGAAGCTGTCTTGCAGCTTGACAAGCTGGGCGAAGTTCGCTGACTTCGGCTTCTGTCCGTGGTGGCCGAACCGGATGCAGTGGCACCAGTCCAGAACGTGCTGGATGAGATGCCGGGGATACACATAGGCGAAAACAAAAGCGGGACTTGTCTGCGACGCACCTCGACAGAAGGCCAGGGTCACAACAAAGGCGAGGACCGCGAGTGGCTTCTTCAGCAGCCAGAACTTGGCGATCGCCAGGACGTTCACGATGTAGGATACTATGGACGATGCACCAGAAAGGACATCCCGCTGCATTTGCTCGTAATCCACTAGGGTAGGTGTCTCTTCTCGCAGTGGCACTACGGGCGTCGCGGATCGTCGAGACGATACGGAAGGCGTGCGCGTGAGGCTCGCCGTCTTGTGAGTCTTGCGTCTGCGGATGGCCTTTTGCACGCCGATAGGGCTCGACGACGCCGACTGGGTCTGTGACAACGGCGCAAAGTCTACTTCTGGGACATCCTGCCATTCACCGTCGTCCATGTTGTATTCAACCTACACCGCAACGGATGAGTGGTCAACTACCCAGTCAAGACGGGGATTTGCGCACCTTCATTGTGTAAGACAGCTGGATCCTTCCTGCTCGGGATCAGACAATGATGAGGGTGTGATGAAAGACAAGAAGAAAGGAACATATCGACTGAGTGAACTTTAAGTACTTAAGTACTGATGTTACGTACATGTGCGCATCGCGTGGACTCTGCACTCACTCAGTCTGCGAGCTCATCCTTCTCTTCAATTGGCACACATCACATCCTCAGCTGTCTCCCGCGCATACTTACCAAGATAAAGCTCACCAGACATTTTCTCCCGTGTCGTCTTCGCGCTATATCCAGGAAATACATATGGTCGTCTCTTTGCTCATGCCAACAGAGTGCCAGTGCCGGCGCCAGTGCCATGATTGTCCAATGTCGAGTCCATTGGTCACGTGCAGCACCCCTGACTGTCAAGCATTCGCCGAGCTTGTAGGCGACGACCAGTGGTCGACCATGCTCGCGCGGAAGCTCGCCTGCAATCTCCGTCATGCCAATTCAGTATCTATCATCTACTCGCGACATATCTCAACTACCGCTAGGAGACTTCAGCAGGCTACCCGCCTGGGCTTACCCGCGGACCTCCAATACTTCCCGGACTTCTTCTCTATACGCGAACAGCGTGCTCTGCTAGATGTTGCGCTTCGGAAACTTGATATTTCGGAGAGGAGGTCGTTCAGGCTACGGCGGAAGGAGCTCATGCGGACTCGTCCAACCAGCGGCACTACAGACGATAGAGTGTCCGTCCAGTCACTATTCCTGCCTGATGAATACTACGACTTCCAGGAGGTATGTCGGGGTTGACAACAGGTAAGCTTATGAGACGATAACGCTTACCATCGCTACGTAGGGACACTATGACGGTGTCATCAGACGATTTAGAGAGATGCATGTATCGTCCTTGCGATCAGAAGTTGCGGAGGACCTGCTGCCCGCCCTAGACCGTCTGGAAGCCATCTACCCTAGCCCGAATGTTCAGACACACCTTCTCCACCTTGCTTCCGACGGCGAAATAAGTGTATGTCTGGTTCAGCAGCTATGAATGCCTCTCGTTGATTGCAGCACGATGCAAGCCTCACGTAGACAACGTCGGAGCCAGCGGCTCGTGGATACTGGGTATAAGCCTAGGGGCGCCGCGCCTTCTCAAATTAGAGAACATCTCGAATCCTGAGGAGATTTATACATTACCACTCCAGTCCGGAAGTGTGTACATCCAACGGTAAGCCTCGGCTGATCAGCAGGAATCCATGGGCTCATCTCTGGGCAGAGATACGACACGATTCGACTTCCAGCATTCCGTTCTCCTGAACGGGCAATTTGGCGGCAAGCAATACAATGGCGGGCAACGCATGAGTATCATGGTCAGGGTGCGTCATTGACCATATGGCGCCCAGTATATCATGCGCTGATGAAAAGCAGGATCGTCACAAGGATAAAAATTAACTTCCAACGACAACATGCTCGTAGCATCACTGTTCACTGTCGTGCATGATGCGGGTCGTACTGCGGTGCCCTGAAGTACTACGCTAGTTACCACTGGGTTGTCACCATGAGACAGCGACCAACTGGTTTGTGGCTTAGCATGCTCTTACAATCATCAACTTCAATAACTTACGGCAAGGGCAAAAACTCGTCACATATAAACAAGAGCTTAGACATGGCGTTGTACCCATATATCGGCCAACAAGGACGCTTGGAAATGTTTAACCGCAGCCCGAACAATGCACGCCTATTATGTCAATAAGGTCCCTACCAGTGGCTGTGGCGGCATCAGTTATCTTCAAGATCCCTTATACAAAAGAGCGGCTGATGGCGACCAATTTCATGTCAGAATCTAGGTTCGAAGGGACAAAGCCTTACCAGTGGCACTTGAGTGGCACGCCTTATATCTTCCTCTGCAGAAACCTCGCAGGTACCGCCTTGCTTCACCCAGCGACGTCGCACGTCGCCTTTCTCGCGTACCTACACCCCGCCAAGATGAAGACAAGCCGTAAGCATAAGACGAAGAAGGTGAGACCTGTATGAGGGTCATCAGACACCGCGATACTGATACATTCCAGTCTAAGCAGACGCATACACATACGGGCTCTGACGGAGCCCAGCCCCCGCCCCCTCAGCCTCGTGAACTCCCGCCCGAGCTATGGTCGCTCGTTTTCGCGAATGTGGACGACTGCGATACCCTTCTCTCATCCAGCCTCATATGTCGAGTGGCTCACAGAGAAGCCGACCCGTACCTGTACAGGGTGATCGTCTTGAAGCGGTGGCGAACCCGGCATATTCTGGCTATACATTCCGCGCTCCAGGCTTCAGTGCGACGTGCACGCATGGTGCACGCGCTAGAGATCCACAGCGCGAAAAGTCGAGTCAAGAAGAGGGCGGTTGCAGCGCTGGTGGATATATTCCGCATAGTTCCGAATTTGAAGGGACTCGCTTTGACTTTGTTCGACGACACCAACTCGACAAGACTCTTGCCTGTGCTGGAACAACTTGGGGCCCTGTGTCCGTTCCGACTCCGTGTCCTCGACACAAACGCACCATTCACACCGGAGATCGTCAAGTTGTTTGCACAACAGCCAGACATCACTTTCCTTCAATGGAACAGCGTGAGCGGCACCGAGCCTGTACCTCGCATCCCGGCTACCGCCCTCAACCACCTCAAGTATCTGAGCTGCGAGACAGGATACCATCCTTTCGCTCGCTCCGCACGTGGCATCACGCACCTCGCAGTCGGAATGCTTCCCCAAAGAGAGATCGACGAGATACTCTACTTGCTCGGCGACCAACTGATCAGCTTCAAGATGGCTGAGAGCCGCATCGGGGAGGATGAAGAAACCATTCCTGCCGTCGCATTCCGCCGCGGTCTTCCCAAATGTCTGAAGTACCTCGAGGTTCGCGACGTGATTGGGTTCCACTTTGTGAGTAGCGCTGCTAGTATACACATACGAGTGCACGGTTGCTCACGCGCCCGACATACAAGGGTCGCCGGGTGCCGACGCTCACGAGCATGGACGTCTATGACACCCGGCCTTTCTTGCGGCCCGGCCTGACGCTGGAGACTTTCGTCTGGGAGGCAACGTGGATGCGCCCCTTCCCATTGTTGCAGGAGGAAATCCAGCAATTCGCAGAGGACGTCGCGGTGGCCTGTCGCTCGTTGCGAAGGTTCATATTTTATGGCGAGATGAACGAACCGATGATGTATGAACTGCGGGAAGGCAAAGTGATGGACCGAGTCAGACTACCAAGTTACCCAGATGACGAGTGGACAAGAGTCGCATAATGATGAAGCGTAGAATATTCGTTCGTAGTCGTATCTCATACGTCCCTATGATTAAAGTCTCTTTGGACACGCCGACCATGCACTCTGTTCAGCGCTGTGAGATGTAACGCGTTCATCGGCAAAGTTTCGGTGTCCTTCGCCGGCATCCATAGCCTACCTTGTCGACCTCCGCCCTGTAGAGCCGCGAAAGGACGTCACGGTGACGCTATGTTGTTGGCTAACGCTATAGACACTTACAAACTATGTACATGACAGCAGGCATTTAACACGACGATGCTACACAGCAGATATTCACAGGGGCACAGGTAAAGCCGGAAATCCGTACAGCACAGCATGTAGAGTGGGGGGGGGGGACCGCAATCCGTTAACGATCCGAGACTTTCCCTTTCTTTGGATGCGAGAGCAGGTTTGATATAGCAGGACAGAGCAAAGATCACCGAGACCGTAATCGTACACCGGACACTCACAATAAAATACAGACTTGGTTTGGTATAGACAGCGATGTGTTCCCCAATGGCAGAACTGGACATCTGGTACAGAAGGGGGAAACTGATTCTCCCACGGATTGCAGGAGACGAGGATGCCAAATAGAATTGAGGCGCATTTGAAAGCAGAGTTTGAGAGTGGGGTTGAGGCTGCGATTTTGCGAAACACGAAAGCAAGATAGCATGAGGATGATGATAGCGAGATGTGACTTGTTTTCATGCAGACGGCGAGGCTTGGCGGTTAGCGCGATATTGACATGCATAGCGATTTGACGAGAACAGGCACCTGGTGCGGGGCTAGCGATGAGTCGTCGACAGCATGGGGTATTGGCGTACTGCAGCGGGTCATAGTCAACGATGACGAGCTGCTTACCCCTGGGACGAGGAAGAGGAGCTGCTTTCGCGCTTATAAACCTGGGGTACGCTGGGCCCAGCGACGTTGTGGACGCTTCCAGCTTCAGAGGTAGCGCTTGAGCTCGCGCCAGTAGCAGACGCCAGGCTCTCGGCGGAGACGGTGAGAGCGCCGTGGTGAGATGGGCTGGATTGGACACCCGCCGGGGTACCAATAGGACTCGAAGTCGTGGTGGCAGGATCTGTCACAGACCGAACAGGGCGCCCTCTCATCTGCGGCTGATATCCGGCCCCGGGAGTAGGCCTAGAGGGTTGGAATGACGGATTGAACATCGGCGGCGCAGAAGCCTGGGTGCCCCAGGTGGGCGGCACAGGAGGTCCTGCCATGAAGGAAGCCTCCCAGGCATCGAGACCAGATGCGCGCGGATCGAAAGGCAGATCTCCGAACGTCGTAGTCTGACCTGGGCGCAAGGAAAACTGACCGAGCGCAGCGAAGCGAGACTCATGATTTGAAGACGCAGGGATGGGCATCGGGAAGGCCGGGCGCGCATACGGTGCCGGGCCCATCCTGGGGCTCCTCTGCGGGAACATGCGGCCATGTCCGACAATGTGACCTTGGTCGAGCAGCGCTGGGTCGACAGGCAGTTCCTCGTAGAACGATCGGCCGATATACGGCGTTGGAGGGAGGCTCTGGCTCTGGGAGGTCGACACGGATTGGTTGTCACCTTCGTCATCGCTGCTACTGCCGTGTTCCTCCATCTGGCGCGAGGAGGAAGGGGCATCGCTTTCGGTGGCATGGCGCGCCTGCTCGGTCCTGCGAGCGCGCTTGGAACGCTTGCGCTCACGCTTGTTGCCCTCGCCTGCGGCGAAGTCCACGGTCCAGTAGCTGCCCTTTCCGGGTTCGGTGATAGGCTTCGCCAGCCTGCGGAATATCTTGTTCAGAGACAGGTTATGGCGGATTGAATTCTGCCCTCCTCTTGTCAGTGTCTGTGGCGTAAAGACAATGCCTGGGTAACACCCACCTGCCATGCCCTGTCATTTCGATGGTCCCTAAACCATTCGAATCTGTCTTCGAGAGCCCTGTATATCCCTTGCAGCGTCAGAGCCCTGCGCGGACTCCCGAGGATGGCCGCCCTGATTAGAGTCGGGTAGGGGTAGTTAGGCTTTTCACCAGGAATCGGAGAGTCGGATAACATGCCCAGCGTCAGGTTCTCACCCAGGATGGCGGCGGCGGTGTGTGTCAAAGGCAGCTGGGGTTGCTGCACGGCCCCGATGCCCATGGGTCCCATGGGCGTAGATGGTGGGATCGGCAGCGCCACGCCATACGGTTGCTGTGGCAGCTGTAGGTGCCCTCCGTAATGCACCGGTCTATCGTCTAGAGAGAGCTGGCGGGTGCGTAGATCGAGATGTGGCGTCTGAGGGAGCGAGGGGGGTTGCGGGTATGCAGGAGGGCCCCCGCCCTGGACGTGGCGCGGCACGTTGAAGACGTTCTGCGACGATGGGCCCGCTACGACGCCTGTCGATGCAAATCGATGCACCGGAGGACGCTGGAGTACATTACCCGTCATTCCATGGGCCACATTCTCATAGTCCGTTTGCTCCAATCTGCCGCGCCGAATATATGCCCCGTAGGGAGGCCCGGGGCTAATCGATTGTGGCGACGCGTTTTGCTCGCCCTGAACGGGTATCACTGCACCCATCTGTGAGCCCTGAGCTCTGTGCGGTTGTCCTGTAACGCCTGGGACATGAGACACGTCCCGGGGGCTCCTGTTTCCGCCGCCTCCGCCGTGGCGGCTCGGCTGGCCCCCGACCGAGCCAGCGGGGCTACTCGAGTCACTCCTCGTGTCGGGCAGCTGGAGAACAATTAGTTGAGAGTTTCAGATATCAGATGGGGCAGAGAGGGTACTTGCCTGCGGCGAGGCCGTTGGAGGCGACAGAGACGGCACAGGCGCTCTATAGTTCGCGAACGCACGACGAAGCTGTCCACGAGCGTCCTCAAGTACAAACCGATGACCCCGAGTGGCACCGGCTGCCCCTGCAGCCACTTATTGCGCACTCTCAGCCTGGATCGTGTCATACGCGTTGTCAGTCTGTCCGACATCGTTGAAACCCTGGTTTTGAGCGAATTTGTTAGCGCCCAGGATATCCGGGTTATGCTGGAATTGTTGGCAGCGCGGTAGCTGACGAGCAGCATTCTGCCCATCGACGGGGCAATAATTTTCACCATAGCTATACGCATGGCTTTGGGGTGTAGAGGGGCTGCAGGAGGTCTGTAGTGGTTGTGGATGGAATGTCGGGAGCGAGCAGAAGCGCCTGGAGGAGGAGGTTGTCCATACTCGGCATGTGGACCCACAGCGAGCATTAGGAAATTGGTTCCGTGAGAGATCGTTATCGCCATTCTGCCGCCGGAAGAACAGACCGTTTGGGCGGTGATATCAGGGGCCGTCAGTGCAGGAATCTTAGCTAACGAGGGGAAAGCGTACCGGAAGAGGAAAGGTTCAGCGACGCCGCTGCGTGTCGGGGATCGCATGCTCGTCGTCATTATACCACCACCTTTTTGAGGACACGCGCAATTCCGGGTCAAACGGCGGAACAGGTCCCGAACAGGTGATTTGCACTTCCGAGTCCTAACTATGACCAGCAAGCGGATCCTCCGCATACTCCTGGATCGGAACGGTAATGCTAAGCCATTCGTATGTTATACACCAACTTCAGGATTAACACTCACCTCTAATGTCGGTCGGTTTGAGATCCTTATTGGATGCATCAACTGAAGGCACGATTCTGGTGGTGAAATTGTGGCGGCTGCCTCTACCGGTGCAGTGTGAACTTGAATCATAACCCCATGGTGAGTGCTAGCGTGTAGCAGCACCGGGCGCCGCACAACAGATGCTAGGGGTAAGCACGCCATGTCTGTTGTCCCTGTCTGGTGCATCTACGACGCAGGAGGCCCTGACGTCCTTTCTACACCCTATCCCCGATACAGGACAGACTCGGATCCTGTGTCTAGGACTCCCGTCAATCAGTTCGCCTAATCATGATACAGCTTACACACCTGGGAAGGTTACCAACATCCGTCTCATCTCATAGCCCTGCTCATACACAACGAAGAGGGTGCAGAGACAAGGGGAAGGCTGTGCGAGCAGCGCGTGTCCGCTTCTGTGGGCCTCTGTGGGCGCCCGCTTTGTTCAGAAGGCTTCTATATTGATCCTGCCTGCATCAAGTCGTCGGCCGCAGTCCGCCCTACTGTAGAGGCTGGACGTCGAATAGGTCGTCGGGCAGACGACGCCTGTAGGTCGCGTCCAACTTGAACTTGAACGCAGCACGCGTCGGGATCAATGTCGCGACGACCGCCAGATCGCCAGATCGGGCGGCGCGCCCAGCGCTCGTCCGCAACGTCTGTAGCTACAGTCAGCGATGTACCCTGTCTAGACAATATACGATTCAGTTGATATCGCCTCAGACCTCAGCTCAAGGTGCAGAGGGGAAATCCGGTGTAAGCTTAATTTCCACATCTTCCGGGATGCTTCTGAGTTTCTCAAAGTTCGCCATCTCTATTGCAGGACTGGGGGGATGTCATCGTCTGATTACAGGATCGTAGTATTACATCGGAGAGCGTTCGGGATCATGACGTTCGACAAGTGTAGCAGCACATGCGACAGCACAGAGTACAACAGAAAGAGGAGGAATACAGTCCCGAGTTGTGAGACTTCGCATGACGGCGTCTGTTCCGACGAGTGCATGTGCACGTTGAGTGACCTGAGCGGTCGTTGCAGCAGCTCCAAGAGGTTGAAGAGACAAGGCGAGACGAGACACGGGCGAGAGGCAGATACAGTGACCGGATTCCAGATCTAGAGAGAGTGGCTGTCAGACTCGCCGGAGTCGATGTGACCAGATCCAGAGGCAGAGGCGTTATGGGTTCGAGATTCTTCCGTCAGAGCCTCCGCATTGAGTTTGCGGGAAGCAATACCTGCGGTGCCAGGGATCGTCCTCACTCCCGAGTCGGCGTACCAGGCTGGTCTGTAAGGCTGGAGACTCCCCAGAAGCCCAGAAAAGTCAGGTAGGGCAGGCATAGTCAAGGTCGGAGGAAACGCCGGGACCGGCATCGTTAAGCCGAGTTCCCGAGCGGTCTGGAGACCGCGGTAATAGTCCTTCCAGGCTCTGGTTCTGAGCGCGACGGCCTGAGCGGCGTTCGCATAGAGCTGCATTTGAAGCTTGGCCTGCTGGCGAACTTCAGCTGCATGCTGGAAAAAGACTTCGGCAGCAGCTCGCTCGTATTCAAGACTTCCGGGAAGGCCGGGGTAACGCGGCCCATCGAACATCTGGGCCTAAGCAGGATGAGCTCGGTAAGACAACGTTAATCGTGTCAATGGAGACCCCCATACCTCTGCCACAGACGGCTTCGCGCGGTTGCCACCGGCGAGCTTTGGTGCCTTCGGAGCCTTGAGCGTGACGGCTGCTTAATTCTAGGCACGATTGTTGACCGATGTACTCACTGCCATCTTCACCAAGGGAGTATCATCATCAGATGATTCAACATGCCTTCCGAGCACTCCGCTGTAGTCATCGTCCGACTCATCGGATGAGGATGAGGATGAGGATGAGGATGAAGTATCATCGTCATCCGACTCATTGGATGAAGAGTCATCGTCATCCGAATCCTACAGACGAGATGCGTAAATGTGGCTCAACCTGAGCAGACTATATGCGCTTACTTGAACGGTTCTTACGTCTTGGTTTTCCATACCCTTGTGCTTTTTAGCCTGCTCCTTGCAGGCATCGTCCGATGCCTTGCGTTTTTCGGAGGTCTAGAGAATGACATATTAGCACGAGTATGATTCAAGTGAATACACGACAGGTCACCAGAGATTTGGACGTCGCCTGAGTTAAGTGATCAGCGTCTGGGCAGGGTTCCTCGACGACTTCAGCGGCACCCTTGAGGGAAATCGTTAGCATATAGTCAGGTTATCCGCGTCAGAGGGATTACCGGTGCAGAGACAGGTATTTTGCTGTGCGCGGGAGTCTCTTTCGAAATGGGCTGCATATCCACAGGGAGGATGTCGGGAGTCCCGACTCGGAGTTCAGTCGCACTCATCTGGGCATGCTCGGGAGAGAGAGCCATGTGGTTGTTTAGAAGGTTCGCAATAGCGATAAAGTTATTGAGGAGAGTTCCTGCCTGCGAGGACTGTACGTAGAGCACTGAGCAGGGTGTTCCGAGTGGGAGAGTGAAGGAAGGTGCGACACGGTCGGCGAGGGATCCGCCACTTTCCCTAAAAGGAACTGGGTTCGAGCGCTAGTCGTCTCTTTCCAAGTTGTCGACGTCTGCCTCGACGGTCTGCCTGCGAATCACCATGCTTGCTCCTGTAGGCACAAGTTCAACGTTCAACATTCGAGTGCTATGCGCCTTATAGCACCCCTACTGCGGTTGTAGATGACGAGCTCAAAGCAACAACACAAGGGAACCTGTCCGCGTCGTGCGATATCCAACCACGTCGGTACGCGCACGGTCGGACCGCAGGCATCCCAAACTCAACAACGGGCCCCTTTCAAGTTCTGCCAACCCAAGAAGTGCCCGGCCACTGATAGGCTCCGCGTTCCTCACTAACATGTTACTGACCAGCGACGGTGGACACATGAGACATCGCAACGGGCAATTGCTATAGGCATTGGTTGGGCATCAGAGACCTTTCGCCTCTGAGCTTCCTGCAATTGGCAGAGATGCAGCCCAGCTTGAAGGGCTGACCGACAGAGTTGCGCTACTCGAGACACCGTGACACCGCCGCCAGTGGCTCCGTAGCGCGTGGCTCTCCATGTCCTGACGTCCGACGGACCCTGACAGTGTCCTTGGTACAGGCTTGCAGTTCGTGTGGCTAACTTCTGTCAAACGCATGGGACTAATTGCATCGTTTAGGTATAGTCTTCCATTGTACTTGGTGATATGTGAAGCTGGCCTCGTGTATAAGTTGTCCCATCGCTTTGAAACCGACTTCCGCGGAAACCACCCTCCCCTTCTTGAATTGCGATGTCAATGATACCTGAATCGGAGGAGAGTTTTGCTTTGGACACCTAGTGAGTTCCTATACTTTGATGACTGGCGGCGCGCTCATGCATCAATGACCTTGTAGTTTTATGGAGAACTGCTGCACAATCGTCGCAGCCAGTAAGCAGTGATCCTTTGCTACTCGAAATTACATGCCCTCTGACTTCGTGCGGCACGCGTAGGCATTTACTTGTACGATCGTGCTCTCACGTTCTCCCGCGAAGTAGACACCGTGTGGCGCAGACCGAAATGGGGATTCTGCACCTTGTATACGGCCATGCATGTTTCTGCAATCGTGTACTTTTCGGCGAACATCGCAACCTCGGCTGGCCTAGATTGTAAAGTAGGGAGGCTAGTAGTTTCTTGCACATCATTAATACCCGCTAACTTCTCTGTCAGAGGTAATGTTGTCCAATACTCAGTGATTCACGAGCACGTCGCCTGAACACGACACACCCTCTCCCATAGGGACCGTTTCATATACTCAATATACGGGGCTTCTTGGTGCGTACTTTGTGCGCTACTCGGAGGTAATACTTCTGGACCTTGTCTCGATTGCCGCTGGCTGATATAAGTTGTGCAGTGATCACAGCACAGCGCGTCTATGGCATAAGCCAGAGGCGTTGGCCGCTTCCAGCACTCGTATTGACCCTGTTCCTTCTCGGGCCCATCTACGCGATTGTATGTCTCAGATTCTGGATCATGCAATAGACACTGAGGTCTCCGCAGGTCTACGTGATCTACACCGTGTACCAAGCCGTACCACTCCCCATATACTGCTTGACAGATAGTAAGCGGTTTGTTTTTACAACGCAGTGAGTTGATTTGGTCCGCCCCGTTGACTGCATTAGTGACAGGCGATACCCAGGTGTCAGCAAGTCTCTGCGTGAGATCTCTGTGTCGTTTGGCTGACTGCTTGTGTAGTGGAGATGGTCGTGCGTGCATGCAGCATCATTGGGGATACTATTGTTCTGCTCGTGACATGGCGGGCCATGTATGCAGGCTACAAAGAGGCTCGACGCAGTAAGACGCCCGTCTTCAAGTTCACCCAGCTGTTTCTTCAAAATGGTCAGTCTGTATTCCAATTCGGCGTCTTCGCACAGCATAGTGAACCGAATTGATTGTTGATGCTCGTACAGGAACAGTGCACTTCGGGTATGTCCTAGACTGTCAACGCGCGAACGGTATGCCAAACAGAAACTTCCCTGCAGTGTTCTTCTCGGATTCAACATTGTCGTGCTATCAGCCTGGGCTGTCAATGTATGTATCCCGGCTCGTACCAGGGACGAGGCTCAACAGCACATCTAGGCTCTGGAGTGCTCGATGTTCGTCGATATGTAAGTCTCAGGATGTGGACTGGTACAAACGCTACTGATCACGTCTCCTTTCGCCAGGCTCACAGTCATCTTATTGTCCAGATTCGTGATCGCTATTCGCGAAGTAGCCTACCACAACGGCTCTGCATCTACTCCTTCGGAGATGTCGGACGTCTACTTCTTCGATCCAGATCGATCTGGGACACCCGATGGGGAAGATGAGGTTTCCGACCTGCTTGGTTACGGTGTCGAAAAGTGGGACGAGAAAGGATATCGTACGCCAGTACAAGCGCCCCTTGTCCGATCCGGTACCAACACACGACCGCAGGCCAGTGGATCCGATGGACGGCGAAAGTAGCGCGTGGTTCTCCGTGTCCTGACGCTTGCGTGGCGACTGACACTGACAGTGTTCTTGATAGTCTTGAGGTGAGCAAGAATGATATCATGCTCCGTATTTTCCACAATGTCATCTTTCGAAGGATAGAGACAAACACTACCGCTGGGCACAGCGTTCTGTACGCAGATCTACATCTGATTGAAAGTGGTATGCAGAAACATAACATTCAATCTTCAAGCCTCGTGCATTGTCTACACCGAAGTCAATTTCGAGGGACCTGAATCACCCAGCGTCGAGGACAAATGTGCCTCACTTCATTTCCCTGCTTTCTGCCAGTAACTGCCAGTGCGTTCGCTACTGAACGATGTCATCACGGTGTGGTACACGGGCGCGCGGCTCTAGCCATATCCCGAGTTTCCCATCTTTACGTCACTCAGTTTGCGATCTGTTCTCGCCAAGTTCTCGCCTTGGTATCATTTGGAGAAGTTGACTCTGTACGTTTCACGCCCTCTTCTGTGATAGTAAGTGATATGGGGTGCGAGCATCATCGCAACCGACCACTACTATGACTATCTCGCGCTGGTAAGTAGGCGTACTCACATCCTTGATGCAGTAGTAACGCTGTGTGCGCCCCCCTAACACCGACCAAGAGCTTCTATTGCTATCTGCACAGGCTTGCTGTTCGTGTGGCTAGCTTCTGTCAAACGCGTGGGACTAACCGCGTTGTTGAGTCTTCCCTTGTACTTGGTGACGTGTGAAGCTGGCCTCATGTAAGATAGGGCTCGTACACAACCATCCAGGCTTATGTAATGTCAGCGTGACGGGCACCGTAGAATTAATACGAATGTTTTGTTTCCTTTGTCCGACAAGTGGTCCGCACAGTTCTGTAGTAAATCACTATTCCGACAAGACTGTGCGGAGGAGAAGTGGACACGGAGCTGACTGACATTTCCATTAACTTTCTCGTGTGAGTAGTACATCGCTTCGCCATTGTGGGACTTGGGTAGTGTGTGAAATAATCCAAATAAGTCGAGCGCTGGTACCCGTCGATGTACGCATTTGGGCCACAGACAGCCAGAAGTGCATCATCACACCGAGACCTGGACCACCATGCCGAGGCGTCGCCTCTGCAACCTAAAAAACCTAGGGAATCATACGAGTGGCTTGAAGAGGGTGCAGGTTGTGCTAGAGGCAGAGCATGGCAAGGAGAATGTGAGTCCTCGCGATCTCTCTTCTGTCAGACTGTTCTGACCTTAAACTCGTGGCCCACAGATGGATCCCGAGACGCAGTGGACCAGTGATCACTGCTTGTCATTACGAGGGTACTTATCTACTGGAGCTAATCTTGTATGTTACTGTCTGTACGTAGTCTAGTACTTCATAGCTGTATAACATTGACTGTAACTTGAACCTCGCTCGCGACTGCAGCGCCCGCCAGCCATCTCAATCCGGCAGTCAGGCGTCTGGATAGGCCCCGGTGACGGAGGTTATCCATGACCGTAACGCGCTGTCACACGTCATCACGCTGGATGATTGTGCGTGAGCCCTATCTTATAAGTTCCTGTTGCCTTAAATCCGACTCCCGCGGAAACCACCCTCTCCTTGTCGAATCGCGATGTCAATGATACATGAATCAGAGGAGACATTCACTTGGGACACCTAGTGAGTTCCTATCTTTAATGACCGGCAGTGTGCTCATGTATCAATCACCTTGTAGTTTTGTGCAGAACTGCTGCACAGCCGCCGCATTCAGTAAGTAGTGATCCTCTGCATTACATCCCCCCTGACTCCATGCGGCACGCGCAGGCATTTACTTGTATGACCGTGCCCTCACGTTCTCCCGCGAAGTAGACACCGTGTGGCGCAGACCGAAATGGGGATTCTGCGCCTTGTATGCGGCCATGCATGTTTCTGCAATCTTGTACTTCTCTGCAAACGTCGCAACATGGGCTGGTCTAGATTGTAGGGTAGGGATTTTTCTTGCGTATCATTCACGTCCGCTAACTTCTCTGTCAGAGGTAACGCCGTCCAATATTTACTGATTCACGGGCATGTCGCCTGAACACAGCATATCCTCCTCCATAGGGACCGTTCCATATACCCAATATACGGGGCTTCTTGGTGTGTACTTTGTGCGCTACTCGGAGGTAATACTTCTGGACCTTGTCTCGATTGTCGCCGGCTGAACTAAGTTTGCAGTGATCACAGCACAGCGTGTCTATGGCATATGTCAGGGACGCTGGCCGCTTCCAGCACTCGTATTGACCCTGTTCCTTCTCGGGCCCATCTACGCGATTGTGGGTCTCAGAGTCTAGGTCATGCAATTGATACTGAGGTTCCTCCAGGTCTCGGTGATCTACACAGTGTATCAAGACGTTCCACTCCCCATATACTGTTTGATAGGCAGCAAGCGGTTTGTTTTCACAATGCAGTGAGTCGATTCCATCCTAGTCATTGAGTGTATTAGTGACAGGCGATACTCAGGTGTTAGCAAATTCCTCTTCGTGAGATATCCGCGTCGTTTGGCTGACTCCTTCTGTAGTGGAGATGGTCGTGCGTGCATGCAGCATCATGGCGGATGCCATTGTTCTGCTCGTGACATGGCGGGCCACGTATGCAGGTTACAAAGAGGCTCGACGCAGCAAGGCGCCCATCTTCAAGTTCACCCAGCTATTTCTCCAAAATGGTCAGCATGTGTTCCAGATCATCGTGTGCATATAACATGGTGAATCGAACTGATTGATGCTCGCACAGGATCCGTGCACTTCGGGTATGTCTTAGACTACCAATGCGCGAACAATATACCGAACAGCAATCCCCTGTAGTGTTCTTCTCGGATTCAACATTGTCGTGCTATCAGCCTGGGCTGTCAATGTATGTATCCCGGCTTGTACCAGAGACGAGGCTCAACAACACCTCTAGGCTCTGGAATGCTCGATGCTCGTCGATATGTAAGTACCAGGATGTGGATTGGCACAAACTCAACTGATCACGTCTCCTTCCGCCAGGTTCACAGTAATCCTGTTATCCAGATTCGTGATCGGCATCCGCGAAGTGGCCTACCACGATGACTCTGCGTCTACTCCCTCAGAGATGTCGGATGTCTACTTCTTCGATCCAGATCGATCCGGGACACCCGATGGGGAAGACGCGGTTTCCGACATGTCTGGTTACGGTGACGAAAAGCGGGACGAGAGCGGGTATGTGAATGACTATGTCATAGATATATCTTCAGATGGCCCAGCGGTCGGGGAGTTCATTGCTTGAGGTATGTGTTGTACTCGTATAACTTAACATGCAGATGATAGCGAAAATGTACTGATGACTTTACTGCCAGTCCACGTTATACCGCATAGCATTTATGCCGAGCAGCGCCAGGGACAATGCACTTCGTGTGCGGATGCCCACCGACACCGCCTTAGAGTCAAGGGTCGGCAGTACGCACATGAGGGTGGTAGAACCTTAACGATCATGTTTATATTTGGTCTCGCCTGGATACGGTGTAGAAACAGCAAGATAACAGTCTACTCTTCGATGCGTAGCAACATTACGTAGGGGATTCGACGAGCAGTAATACGACGTCATGTACAATACAGCATTGGTTTACTTGGTGATGTGACTTCTCTACGACGCCTTCTGCAACGCAGCAAGCTCCTCCTTCAAGCGCTTCAACTCATCCACGGCAGCTGCAACCTCCTGCTCGACATCCGGAGTCTTTGGCTTGCCTTTCAACGTCCTGACGATCTGGCCCTGCTCGGTGATCCTCTGCTCCCAAGCCAGAACCTCTGCAGATTTCGGCTGGGCATCCACAACAGCAGCGGCGGCCTTGGCCGCCTCCTTCTTCGCCGCGGCGGCTTTGCGCTTCGACATGCCCGGCGCGACGTGGGTGGCATCCGCGCTAGGCTCTGGCGTAGCCTCCACCGGCTTGCTCCCGCCGAACTTCGCCCTCCACACGTCCGCCATCTTCTCGTCGATCTTCTTGAATAGGTGATCGGGCGTGCCAATGGTGTGCCCGGCGAGAATGTCCGTCGAGAAGACCTCGGGCACGGCTCGCGCGGGCGCGTTCAGCTGCGCGAGCATGGCTGCCTCCGTGGCGGGCATGAAGGGGTGGATGAGCGCGGAGAGGATGTAGATGAGGTTGACGGCGCGTGAGACGACCTGTGCGCAGCGCTCCGGGTTCTCGGTCATGAGCGCCTTGTTGAGGCCCGAGGACTGGAGGTAGACGTTGCCCCGGCCGGAGAGGAGCATGACTGTCTGAAGGCCGAGCCGCAGCTTCACCGAGTCCATGGCGTCGATGTAATCCTTCAGGTATGCGTTCACTTCAGTGATGAACTCGCTGTCGATCTCGTCGTTCGGTGAGAGTGGCCCTGGTGCATCGCCGCTCTCAGGGATGACACTGTCATATTGCGACGAGATGAACTTGAGCGTGCGGTTGACGAAGTTACCGAAGCTTCAGAGTAGATCAGCATCTTGAATGCGAAACAGATACGGGAAGACCCACTTATTGAGGAGGACGTTGTTGTTCGCAGCAATCTACAACAGACGATCAAACACCTATCCCCACCTGAGAGCATCGAACTCACACAGTCGCCCCACGAGAACATAGCGTCTGCAGTTTCTGGTCTCGTAGAGATCAGGTAGTACCTCCAGACGGAGGGCGGAATACCGGTCTCTTTTGCCGCAGGACCGAACACGCCGCGATTATGGCTCTTCGAGAATTTGCCGCCCTCATAGTTCAGGTACTCTGCACGGCCTATCAGTAGCCGACTTCGCCACAAGGAAAGTTGCCTTACCTGTGGTAGACAAGTGGAAGAGCGTCGTCCAGGGACGGCCGTCACCCAGCTGGATGGAGGGGAAGTAAACAGTGTGGAAGTAAACGTTGTCCTTGCCCATGAATTGGTACAGCCGGACGTTGTCTTGGTTAAACCACCACTTCTTCCACTCTGGTGTATAGTTTGCTGTGATACTTGGGTATCCGACCGGTGCGTCGAACTGTGCAGGATATTGGCATTCTGGTCACGCCATGTAATGCACTTACTTACCCAGACGTCTGCACAAACATGTCAATAACGACCCACTCAAGCCCATACAAATGCAAGACTCACAGAGCACCTTGCCCTTCATCCCTTGGTCGTCCTCGCCATCCACAATCGGGACAGGCACTCCCCACGTCAGGTCCCGGGTGACCGGGCTTGGCCTCATGCCCCCGCGCATCCTGGCGTCGACGATTTCGCCGTCGCTATTGATGACTGCGTTCGGCGACCACTTGCCCAGCGCCCAGCGCTTCTTGATCCATGCCTCGGTCTTCGGTTGGAGCTCATCAAGCTTGACGTACATGTGTGCTGAGGAGCGTGTGGTGACTTTGTGTGTTTTGCTGATGAGGCAGCGTGGGTTGATAAGGTCGATTGCGTCGAGCGTGCGCGCGCAGACGTCACATTGGTCGCCACGAGCGTCCTAGTGAGGTGGATGAAGGTAACCATAGTGTCAGTATGATATGGAAAATTCGGAAGACGTACATCGGCACCGCAGTGCGGGCATGTCCCCTCGACAAAGCGATCTGCGAGGAATCTGGATGTGTGTCAGTCTATCTCTCAGGCGGTAGCTTCACACCACGCACTTTTGGCAGCCTTCGCAGTAGGTCTGGTCTTTGATCTGCTTCTCGAGGTAGCCGTTGTGGAGCAAGTTCGAATAGATTGATTGGCAAATTCTGGACAGCGTTAAGCTAGAGAACATCCTTAGTGTGAATGACTGACTGACTCAGTGTGCAGGGGTGTTGAGGTTCGCCCGAAGTGATCAAAGCTTCACCAAATGTCAGGATAACGAGATATCATGAGAACCGAGCGTGCGCACCTGAGCTCGAACCACTTGTATGTCTCGACGTGAAGCGCGTTATATTTGTCGCAGAGTTCTCGCGGAGTGATGCCCTCTTTGAGAGCTTGTGTCTCTGTGGCGGTCCCGTATTCGTCTGTGCCACAAATGTACAGGGTTTTCCGATTCCTCGTTCCTGTGAGGTGGTGCCTGAGCATAGAAATTGCATGTCGAGAACGTAGTGCATACGGTTGTATCTGCAATGCAAGTCAATCACAACGCACCCCTAGAACGCCACGAACTATTGCTTACCGAGCAAATACATCGGCACTCAGTGTACTCCCGATAATGTTGCCTACGCTCCGCCGTACGCGTCTCAGTCTGTGTTCACCATCACACGAGCAACGGCCATACCAAGATGGGGCACGTTGTTACAGTACGGCAGAGCGGACGTGATCAGGATGTTGTCTTCGCCGTCCTTTGGCAAGCTAGTTCGCCTTGAACGGCGAGTCACCCTCACTAACATCGCACCACTTACATCGTCTCGCCTGGCTTTGGAATAGCTCGCAGAACACCCTCCGCTTCCCGGATCTTTTGAGACATTCTGTGGTATTCGAGCTTGCTACAGGTCTTCTGGAGGTTGGATACAGATGGTAGTACAAAGTAAGGCTACAGGGCGTCGGAGAAGGAGAATAGTGGCGATCGATAGCCTCTTGAGATGACTCGGGGTGGCAACGCGTCAAAACGCGCCATTTAGCGCCCGCGCGAGACGCGGTCACCTTCACGCGTTTACGCGTCGCCATCTCATAAGTACGCGACATTCAGAATCACGACCAAGGACTGTAGTGGTATGATAACCGCACGTATACATCATCAAATAAATAAAAGAGTCAAGTCATCCCTATCGATCGAAGCGCGAATATGAATATGCTAAGTGCTACTACCCAACGATGATCGGCTTCGTCTTGCTGAAATGACTTAGTGCCTCGTCTGATACATCCAGGTGGGCTTTCACCAAGTCAGGTGGAGTCAATGCAAGCCACTGAGTAGTGTTAAGACTCATCGTCAACAACAGATCAACATGTCGCCCACCTGATTCAAGCTAACGTCCTGGTATTTGTCCGACTTCAAGATCTCGAGGTAATGCAGCGTCGTGTTACCCGTGTTCTCCACATAGTGCCCTTCGAAGAATATTCAGCAAGGTAGAGGAAAGTACTTAACACGATTTCATTTACCGTAGGAAGGCGGGATGTAGCCAATGTCGCCACCCTACGTTCGACGCTCGATGATATACGGGTTCAACCAGAGGGCGTCAGATCTCACCTGGTAATCGAAAGTCCTCGCATTTGAGTTGGCTGCGAAGATAGTCATGCGACCGCTCCCTTCGCTAATCCACTCTCACATGAGTAGAGCTCTCCGGCAGAGAGCCATCACTCACATGAGATAGATCCACTCGGGTTGCGTTGGGTGCCACTATGTATTCGCGCACTGCTTCCTTAGTCTGTCCTGGGTATGTGATGTTGTACTTACGTGGATCTCACGCATCGCACCAGGCTCCAACGTAATCTCCCCAACTGCGATCGTCTGTGCGACCTTGAACTTCGTGGAGTCCGCGATCTTGATGGTACCGCCAGGGAGCTGCGTCGCATTCATCTGCGAGAGCGGGTACGAGTAAGGCTCCGGTGTCTGGCCCTGGGGATCATAGGGCGCCTGGGCGTTCGATGCAGGTGGGTCTGACAACGAGATGAGGTCACCGAGGGGTGCGGTGAAGTGCATGGAAGCTCACTGCTCGGGAAGATATACAGCTGTTCGCCAGGAATGTGGTCGAACGCGGACTGTGGGAGCTGGAAGTTCTTCGCAACCACTTCTTTCGGTATGTGCGCCATTAGGTCCGTCAGCTGCACGGAACACGGGCAGTCAATATTGAGCTCCGAGGACAACAGCCTGGATAGAGACCACTTACAAGGAACGTGGAGTCGTCGCTGAAGTCTCCGTTGTCAAATACCTGGACCACGTTGCAGTCAGTCGTTACGCTATGTAAGAAACGATCTGATGCACTGACAAGAAGGAACTCGGTGCCAGCAGGATCATCGGCAGTTGCCTGAAGGGAATGTGGTTGCCCTGGCGGGAAGTACCACAGGTCTCCTTTGTTCTATATGATTACTCAGTCAAACGGCGCTGAACGGACATGTAATATGTCATACTCACCACCGTTGCCAAGTAGTTTTGTCCGTCCGGGGTGACTGTCGTGATTTGAGTGCTGCCCTACGCCTACTGTCAGCGACGCAAAACTTTGATGACAACATCAACATGCACACCTTCAAAACGTATGCCCACTGTGGAGAGTGATTATTTTGGCAAGGTCTGTGCACACAGCGCTCGATCACATACCTCGGCCGAAGTGTGCCAGTGCAGCTCCCTTGAGAAGGCGTAAGAACAATTTGAATGTCTCCACTGTCATTGTAGGTCACGTACCGGATGGCGCCTGCCTCAAGACGCATGTCTACGCCTGCCATATCTAAAGTGGGGCTGCTGTGAGCGAGCAGAAGCCACAAACGTTATGAGGGCGGCCTACCGGTGCTTATGGGCATCTCGTTCACTGCGTGTGCATGAGTACGCGAAACACATAAAACAGCATTGAGGCTTCTCACCGTTCTGCTGGCGTGCCCAGCCTCCCGTCTGCAAACGGGTGTGGCTGAGGTCGAACGGCCATTTCGCGTTAGGGCTATCACCGTCTCAATAAGCCTGCGTTGAGTCGAACATGGCAATGTACTTACACTTCACCATGGTCAGTTGTCGGTGGAGCAAGAAGACTCGGGTTCTGAAGCTCGAGCGGGACGTTCTGCGGTCCCATGATAGTCGATCCAAGTGAGCCGCGGATTGGCTGGGGGTCGATATTCGAGTCCGCGTTCCATAATTCCGTGTTCGGGTCGTCACTGGCGTACGGGACCGTCGGGCTCGGAGAGGCCGAGGTCGAGGTCGAAGAAGGAGAGCTGACTGGAGCTGAGGCTACCGAGGAGGAGAGAACGAGCAAGCATGCGGTGGCGACGAAGATCTTGTTCAGTGAGATAGGCATGTTGCTTTCTTTACCTGGTGGCCGTTCGGGGGAGTAAGACTTTGTTCAAACGAGTGGATACGGTGAGAGGAGCACAGAATGACACTGTCCACGTACTGCGCCATTATTATATGCATGCCCGCCTCGTCAGCCTCGTCAGCCATGCTAGCTTGAATTGTAATGGCGGCGTACCAATCGATGCTCGCCTCATTCGACGTTGCTTCGTGAGGCACAGATGATGATCATGACACTAGCGGGGGCGAGCATGATTCTCCTACTCGGTTGAAGCAGTCAGTCATACGCCATGTTCAAGCTGGGATCAAAGCTAACTTTCCAGGAAATCTACCTGAAGGCTGAGTACGTTGAGTACTTCAATGCATTGGCTGGGCCTGGTCAGCGTTAGAATAAGAAACAAAGTGTATGCGATTCTGTTGAAAGCCCCACTACTCGCACTGTGAGGGACAACAGCTTCATTGTGATGAACTCACAAACAAACTGATGAATATTCATCATGGACTCGGACGTCAGTGTACACAGTGTGGCGTACACTTATGCGCCTCTTTCCGTATATGGTTAGCCCGCTTCGATTGCCGAAGCATGCCCGCGCGACTGCCACTGCCAAGTGACAGGCACAGTGTGCTTGCACCCTACCTCGACAGTGCAGACTATCCATAATCCGAGTATTTTCGTGCAAAGGCTCTGGTACTGGGAAATCTCTACTGGCAGCGTACTCGCGACATAGCCAATGGCCTTCACTTACGCTCCTGACTTCATCGTAAGCAACGGGCGGATGTATGCGCTCGAATATCGGCTCATACTGGCTCTGTTTTGCAGTTCGGGAAGAAGCGAAGAGGATTTCGGGATGGGACTGAGCGTGATGTGGAAAGCGCTTCATTCGCCGCCGCTGTCCCAGAAAGACACGAAACAGATAATCCCGGCTGGACGGTCCTGAATGACGGGTCCGACGCCTCGGATGCAACAGCCAGGCAGAACGACAGAGCTCCTCCTGAACAACAACCACCGCATTTCGAACCCGCACCCGATGCTGCAAGTTCAACGCGGGCTCTCACAGTCGACGACTTCTTGCGATGGTCCGTCCGGACGCCACTTGCGAAACGGTACGGTGGCCGCAAACAACGTCGAATGAAGCTGCAGTCACGACTGCACGCGTCCTCGGAACTCTATCGCGGCGACGACGTTCCTCCTCGCCTCTCCGGTAACTCCGCACCTGGTAGACTCGTTGTACAAACACGCTCATCCACATTCACGCGCCACAGGTAGCGGAGCGGACTCGGAGCATAGCACGAAGGCACCCCCGTCGAAGATCGCGCGAAAGCAGCGTGCTCGGAAGCCCAAATCGCTCGCAAGCTGCACGTTCACCGCTGCAGCCCTCTCGCACGCCCCCACCACACAGATCAACGCGCATACAGGCGGCCGCGTTCCGCTCACCTTCGTGGATGCCGACGAAGACTCCTCTCCGCACCCCATAAGCAAGAAAGGGAGACTTGTAGACCCCCGGAAAGCCACTTCCTTCCTCCATATGCCGTCGCCTTCAGTGGGTGACGTACGTCTCGGGCCGCTTGCTGCAGTTCGGCCCACTAGGAAACCAATAACGAGGTGGATGTTACGCGGCGCGAATGTAAAGGACGCCACCTGGGGCCAGAACCCGTCATACGACCGCGCGTCCGCGTCCTCTCGAACTATCACCGATCGCAATCAGGTCCGGTGTAATGTGTTACCATTTGCACTCGTCCCTTTAGAGGAACATGAGGCTTCTTTGCAGACAAAGTATTGTCTCTCGTTCCACACGAACGCGTGATGCTGAACCCTGACATGTTGTCTACCCCTTTTCTATAGGAAGCAGCAACAGAACACCCCGGTGGTAGAGTGTCGTAAGGCGCCGCAACAGGAAGAAGGCCAATCTGGGAATGTACCGCTGCCTGCGGTAATGGCGATCCCCATACCTCCCAGACGGGTGCATAGACGGCCAGACCGTCGCGGAGTGTCCGCTGGTAGATCAACTCGCGAACGAGGATCCAACGCGCTGCCCGGTCCTAGTGTTCAAACAACGCCTTCGTCTGCCGGAAAATCTACCTCGGAGGACCCTCATCCACTCCCGCATGCATCAGGCGAATCCACTGCAGGAGCGATCGCAATGTCGGTCGAATTGTCTACTAGCGCTGCTGCATCTCCGTCCCTTGACTTCCCAAAGAAGACCAATGTTTGCAACTCTCTGGCTGATCGCCCCGATCGTGCTGCTAGTCCCGCAGGGCTGTCTTCTTCTCCTGTCGACTGCGACAATAGTTCTTCTCTGGCAATCGCGTTTGCTGCGCGCGTTACCCCCGCTTCATTTCTAAATGCTGGACTCGGTAACACAGGAACTGTCATAGACCCATCTGAGGCTGGCGTTTCTGCGGAGAAAAGCGTTCGTCTGCGGCCTCTAGCATCATACCTGGACTCCCTGCGCGAGACTGCACGCGCAGCTACGAAGCTGCAATCAAGTACTCGAGAACATAACTCCCGCTTGAAGGTCGGTCGCAGCGCCAGGGCGATGGGCCGACCGCCCCGGGATGGCGCATCCCCCGCTATGACTCGACCTCCCAAGACAACCGATCTGCGCTCTCAGACGACATTTAACCGTGATGTGCGTGTCATCTGTTGAACTTATGCTTGCACAGATTCATCTGCTGTACCTAGACTCGGGCTCGCGGTTTCTCTGCGCCATATCCCCGAAACGATCGTCCTGTCTCCCGGCGCGCCATTCGTCCCTGGCATCCACAAGGTCAAGAAGGCATGTCAAGCCCCAATCCCTTTGCGTACAATGCTACTGAAGGGACCGGTTCTGCCGGTGGCGCACCGGTCATGGAGATGGACCGGCCAGTCTTACCGATGCTTCTCGACGCTGAGGATGATGTGGACGAGCTGGCGTACGAAGAAGAATGCGGTCCTGTGCTCAGCTATAGCGTGGATTTGTTTTCAGGCTACCTAGCTGACGCGCGAGATGCAGTTTGAAACAGTACTAGTGGGACGGCAGTGACATTGTATTGTACAGCGAGTTGAACGTGCTACTTACTACCCGATGCAAACCCGATGTGATTAATATTGTGGAAGATGCTGCTCTTAACGCGACGTCTCAGACAAGAAAAATAGTTGTCTTGTCTTGTCGTTGATTCAGACTATGGAGAACTTGGTAACCCACTGTGTTTTGGGCGGCGGAGGGCGCGTCTGGCCGTTTGGCTCTGACGCGCTGTTCTGCATAACGTGACCGTGGCTGCGTATCGATGCCGAGTGGCTGCAGCCACCAGGACTGAGACACTCTGCAGTGCACGGTCCTCTAGCTATACCATTCTCTTCCAGCTTCTCTAGCATCTTTCGGCTCTTCGTGTACAAGAACTTCGAGGTAAGAGCACTCAGATGTGGAACGACTACCCGGGAAACCAGCGCGGATACCCTCCGCCACCAAATGAAGGCAGCCCGTACGTCAATTGAGTCCAGTTATGAACGTGTACAGCCTACTGACTACGAGCCGTGCTAGAATGGGCTTTCCGTCGCCGTGAGTACTCAGCGATAACTGCCATGCTGCCGATAATTGACTCCAGACCAGAGGCGTGCCGAATGCGTCGCGAGGCTACGAGCCGAGCTACGCACCGTCGTATGGGTCGGGCTACGCGCCCCGCCGGGGCCGCCACCTGGCCAGTAAGCACAATCTCACTCTAGTTCCATTCACCTTCATGTCTTCGCTTCAGAGGTGACCCGTGGGGGCCGCCTCCCGGCCCTCCGCCCAGCCACCACCACCACCATCACCAAGGTGGCGGATATGCTCCTCCTCCTGGCCCGCCACCGTCTATTCCTCCGAGACCATCACCTGGCGGATACGCGCCACCTCCAGGTCCACCACCTTCTGGTTACGGCGCGCCATCTCCTGGCGCAGGACGCCAATACGCGCCTCCCCCCGGTCCTCCGTCTGGTTATGGCATGTCAGATCCATATTCCGGTGGTTACGCTCCTCCGCGTAAGTTTGGACATCTGCATCTCAAGTCATCCCTAACTTCGTGTGATCGTACACAGCCGGGGCCCCGCACCGCCCTCCTACAGGCCAACAGCACTATGGGCCGATGATGAACGGGCAGGGCGGGCAGCAGCAGATTCAGCCTTACTTCCAGTACTCCCAATGTAATGGAAAGAAGAAGGCTCTCTGTGTACGTCTTTCTGATCAGGTTATCTGTGTCGTGGCGCTAAGTGAATGCGTCCAGATTGGGATAAACTACATGGGGTCCTCTCAGGAACTCAAGGGATGCATCAACGACGCAAACAACATGCGGCGTTTCCTTATTCGTAAGCGTCGCGATCGAGCGGTTGACTGTGACTCATGTCTTTTACAGATGAGTATGGATACCAAGAGGACGACATCGTGATGTTGACTGATGACCAACCGGACCCGAGAGCCATCCCTACGCGGATGAACATGGTACGCAGCCCGCTCCCCGCTCGCCACGTATTTGAATAGCTCTGATGCTGACATGCACATCCGCGCCGTCCCCATCACAGATACATGCCTTCCAATGGCTCGTGCGCGATGCACAGCCAAACGACTCGCTCTTCTTGCATTGTACGCAGATCAGTCCACGATAGTATTCTCGCGCGCTGACCAACGTCTGCCACGTACTTTTCCAGACTCTGGGCACGGCGGTCTCACAAAGACTTGGATGGTGACGAAGAAAGCGGGTACGACGAGGTGATTTACCCTGTAGACTTCCAAGAGACCGGCCAAATCGTGGACGACGTGCGTCTTTCCACAAAGCTCAGCATTCTAGAGTGTTTTACTTACTTGGTATGATTGCAGGACTGCATGACCTGCTCGTGAAGCCCTTCCGCAGGGATGTCGTCTCACGGCTATATTTGACGTATGCTTGATGCTAGTCTATGCATGAGGAGCTGTATTGACCGTCCTGACATATAGTCGTGCCACTCCGGCTCTATCATGGGTAAGTCGCACAGCCCACCGTACCGGCCGCGCGACGCCCATTGCAATCCCTGATGCTCGTCGCAGACCTGCCATACATGTACTCCCACGAAGGGAAGATCAAGGAGCCCAACCTGGCAGCAGAAGCCGCGCAAGGCCTCCTCGGCGCAGTCAGTTCCTATGCCCGGGGCGACATCGTGCGTCTTCATTCCCATCTACTCCGTTCATGGAGGCAGCAGCGTGCCTTGGATCGTGACCACTCATAACCTCCGTAGGGAGGCATGATGAGCACCGTAACGGGACTCATCAAAGGTGTGTCGGGCAGAAACTCAGGCGCGCGCGAGCGGACACAGCAAACGAAGACGAGCCCCGCTGATGTGGTGAGTATCCGCGTGCCACGATCTGCGCAGCGCTCTATACAACCGTGTGAGCCCCTCCGTTGATCGACACCCCGTCTTGTGCAGATCTGCTGGGGTGGCTGCAAGGACCAGCAGACCAGCGCGGATACGGTCGAAGCCGGGCAGGCGACGGGAGCCATGAGTTACGTGAGTCGCACTCTTTCGCCGCTCCGCGTTTCTACTGTGCTTAACACTGACGTTCCCTCGCGCGATGCCTAGGCTTTCATGACCGTCCTCCGTGCGTACCTGAGCAGCTCCGTCTGCCCGTCTCCCGCTGACGATCCCTCACAGGGCAAAACAAGCAGCAAAGTTACCAACAGCTGCTCCTGAACGTCCGGTACGTACTCGCCTCACTTCTTTTCTCACTGCACCGTCTGTCTGGAGCACCCCTGCTGAGATGCACGTTCCGGTGCAGGGGGATCCTCTTCCAGAAGTACAGCCAGAAGCCGCAGCTGTCCTCCTCCCACCCGATCGTACGTACTCCTTCGAGCGCTCGGATGGAGCATGTGTTAATGATCTGCACCGATGCAGGACACGAGTTTGTTGTTCATCTGTTGAAGCGTTCGCAGGACGCGTGTGGTTCAATGGGGCGAATCTTGCTGTACGATGCCTGTGTACGGACTATAGGCTGTATCATCTTGTGCCTCTTTCTTGTAGTGCCTCAGAGCAAACGGAACATAGTCTCGTCTCGATGTAACTGCAACTCGTCAGCGCAACTTGAACAAAGCGGGGTCGGACGCACTCAGTAAGAGGGCCGCAGGACACCGACTCACATTGTCCCCGGACGCTTCTCTACCACGGCCACCTGCCCCTCCCGCACGCCCAGATCGTGACCGAGGTATTTATACCTCATCGATACCGTCCGCCCAAGTATATCCCCCTCAGGGCGGGAACCGCCGCAGATACGCGGATGTGGGCAGCGCGGATCCTGGACGGTTCCGCACCCTCGTCACCGCGAAGTGGGAAAGTGTGGGGGATGCGGGGTGGGAGAGGAAGCGCGTCGAGGACGCGCGCAAAGCCTAACATTCTGTGGGGTAGAGCCTCCGAGCTCGAGCACGTTGCCGGCGAACGGACGGTGGCTGAGCGGCGTCCGGGTCGCCGTCGGACGGTGTTGACGACGGTGACGTTCTGGCTTTTTTCGTTGCGCTGGTGGTAGTGGTGCCGAAGGGCGGGGATGTCTGGTAGTGATGTTGAGGGCGGTGAGATCTGGGGGTCGTTCACACCGGTACATAGAATACGGGTGACGCACTCGTCGACGCAAAGGTGATGCTCACCGTACGATGCTTCGTCCGGTGCGATGACCAGGTTCCGAAGGCGGCCCGTGCACCACTCGACCACCATAGAGTGCTGGCCGTCGCGATAAGTCGAACCTGAGCTTGACATCGGAACCCGCGCGTGGTGTCTCGCGGACAGGACCTTCCCGGGACTGGAGCTGAGTACGGGCAGCGAGACGGCATATGCACCAGTCATTTATCGCCGACTGGAGGACTCGTGTTTGAGAATTACGGGAGCACCATGTTACAACAAATTGTTCCGTATGCCCCGTGCGCTAGCAGTGCTCCTAAGGGGCGATCTTCATAAATCTTCACAAGCCCACCTCAGCTGCGCATATGGCTCCCACAGAGCCGCCGCCAGATACGAAGGGTTTGGAAGTGGCTTCGACATCCATAGCGCGCTGCAGCATGTCGTACGATACCCGTCAGCTGGTACACACAGCGCTATGTAGGTTCGATAGCCTCCGTCGAGCGATTGCAAAGTTCGCGCTGTACGTGAATTCGCGTCAGGTTGTCTGGGGCACGCCGATATCGAAAGACGGAGGGCAAACCCGGTCCCGCTTCCCAGGAACGGAGGGGGCGGGTAGCCGCAAAATGAAAACTCGAGCTGGTTGCTGAGGCCAGGACAAGGCCAGGGCGTCCCCCTGCCTACTATGGCATCCTAAAGGCCGTCGCGCCCCGAGTAAAGCGGTTATATGTCGGTGGTGCCCCATGCTTTGCGACGTCCTAGCGGGGATGCCGATAGCCAGAATGTGTCAGCCTTGATGTTATCCCCTGTTCCTGGTAAGTTTGTCGCATCGGTGCATGACTGGGGGTTGTACGCAAGCTGTACGGTAAATGCCGTCTGTTGCACCTTGCTACCCTGCTGAGCAACGGTGACGTACTGCTCAACATCATACACAGGAAGGAAGCTTCGAAGGAGCGAACCTGTTCGCTTGCTGCCTCCGGCGCTGAGACGAATGCATAGGGCCCTTGGACTGCCGCCTTCCCTGGATCTTTCTGCCTACGAGTGTGCACCGGGTGCCGAAGATCCGAAATACGTCCGCTGCAACGCATGCTGAAGCATATACGCGCTGGATTATCGCGCAACGCTTCACCGCCTCCCCTGCGTGTCACCGGAGTGAGCTCAACATACATAAGTGAGGTTGGGAACGAGTGGGGGGAAATGAAGTGATCGACGAAGTGAAGCGAACACATAGCATACTCAATATAATACGCCAAGGAGAACCTGTTGAAGCATTGCAGAGTGATCGGGTGGGCGAGTCCGGCTTTTGCGCAGTGGCGACCCGGAACTGCAAGGAAGCCTCCAAGGTTCGACCCCGGGCCGTCGGGGCACGGAATGCGGGGACGTGGGAGGGACCGAACGAGCCTCATTGGCCAGATACCCGGAGAAACCATGAGACGCCTGGGACGCCCCGCTTCCCCGGTCGACCTGGAGGAGGGGTTGATCATTGTTGATCGCGCCTGATCAGTTTAGTATGATGGCCTGCCCTGGAGGTTCTCCGTGTGACCTTGGCACCGTCCCGAGTACGGACTGGCCTGCACGTCACCTCATGCGCCCGGAGAAAATACATAAGAAGGCGGAACCATCGTGGGTGTTTCGACGAGTCCGTCTGACCTCCCTAAGCCCTCAACGAAAGTCTCTGCTCAGGCTGTCCAAGCTAATTCATCATGGCTGGTGGCGCTGTCGTAGCATCAAGTAGTCGTCGCAGAACGCTGGCTGGGCAGTCAGGTTTTGTGAGTGCATATTCATATTCCTAGACATGATTACTAGCCTCTGAGCGACGAGACGCATTCTCGTAGGCGGGGCTGGTACATAACCGCAAGGTCTTCGCAATTGCAGTCTTCGCGTCTCTGGGTGGTATGTCAGTATACTTGACGCATATTTCATCACTAGACACGTACTAACGCGTTGCATACCTAGGCTTTATGGTAAGTTCGCCTGACATGTAGAACGCCGCCGAGAGAGTGAACCATGCTACCTGAATAGGATACAACCAGGGTGTCTTCTCAAGTGTACTCACGTATGTGGTAGTCTGCCCCTGCTCGTGCCTATTAGTACTGACGGCCTCGTGACAGCATGTATAACTTCGACCAACGTATGGGAACTGCCGTCACGAATACCGACACCAAGGGTTGGCTCGTTTCGGTGCTTGAGCTTGGCGCCTGGTTCGGTGTGCTCTGCACCGGCTACCTCGCTGACAGGCTCTCGCGGAAATACTCCATCGTTCTCGGTCAGTTCTCCGCCGTCTTAGAAATTAGAACGATAGCTTACCTCCGCTCTGTAGCTGTTGTGGTCTTCTGCATTGGCGTTATCGTTCAGGTCACTGCGTTCCACCCCTCATCCATATTTGCAGGCCGGTTGATTACCGGTCTGGGTGTTGGTTCGCTGAGTATGGCTGTTCCGCTTTACAAGTAAGTTACTACCGTCATCTTGAACCCAGCCTACTCACCTGCCAAACAGTGCCGAGCTCGCACCACCAGAAGTTCGTGGTAGTTTGGTCGCGCTCCAGCAACTCGCGATCACCTTCGGGATCATGGTCTCCTTTTGGATCGACTACGGCACCAACTACATCGGTGGGACAGGCGTGACGCAATCTGAGGCTGCATGGCGCGTCCCTCTCGCGCTCCAGCTGATACCCGCGCTCGTCCTCGGTGTCGGTATCCTCTTCATGCCCTTCTCGCCGCGTTGGCTCATGAACAACGGCCGCGAGGAGGAGGCGCTCATGGTCCTCAGCCGTGCGAGGAGTCTTCCGCCAAACTCAGAGGTCGTCCAGATTGAATTCCTGTGCGTTCTTCCCTATAATAAAAGACCACCCGCGCTTACAGACGCGTTCTCTTAGCGAGATCAAGGCTCAGTGCATCTTTGAAAAGGAGATATCTGAGATTCAGTTCCCTCAGTACCAGGATGGGTCCTTCAAGTCGAACTTCAAGCTTGGCCTGCACAGCTACTGGAGTCTGTTCCGGACGCCCGCCCTCCTGCGACGTGTGATGATCGGCAGCCTGACCATGTTCTTCCAACAATGGACGGGTGTCAACGCGATCCTCTACTACGCACCGACTATCTTCCACAACCTTGGCCAGACGGGTAACACGGTGTCACTCCTTGCAACAGGAGTCGTGGGTATTGTGTGAGTGTTCTGCTTATGTGAATTATACGCTGGAGAAACTGACCTACCTATGGATAGGATGTGGCTTGCGACTATCCCTGCGGTGCTCTGGGTTGACAAGATCGGCCGAAAGCCAGTCCTGATATCTGGCGCGCTTCTCATGGCTGCGTGAGTTGTCATTCGCACGGTACATTGTCAACATCACTTACCAAAGCGGCCCGTACTACAAAGCTGTCATCTCATTGTTGCGGTCCTCACAGGTCTCTACCAACATTCATGGGCTGAGTATGTCTTCTCGCCTAGTAACCAAAACACGCTATTGACGATAAACTACTCACAGGCACAAGGCAGCTGGTTGGGCCGCGAGCGCCATGATTTGGGTGTTCGCTGCTGGGTTCGGCTACAGCTGGGGTGAGTAACACCATTGCAAGATGAGCTGCGACTTGCTGATACATCTTGTCTCTCAGGCCCTTGTTCATGGATCGTCGTCGCTGAGATCTGGCCACTCTCAGTGCGTGGCAAGGGTATGTCGATAGCCTCGTCCTCGAACTGGGTACGTCTGCCACGCTCGTGCTCTCCCGCGCTCTTGCCGGGGTTGGTACAGGCGCTGACCGTGTGCTTCCTTTTCCCCTGCTAGATGAACAACTTCATCGTGGGCCAAGTCACACCGACGATGATGCAGAACATCACCTTTGGCACGTTCGTGTTCTTCGGGGTAAGCTATCTTCGTCCCGTAGGTAATCTGAAGTCGGGCGTCGCTGACGATGTTCTATAACCTTAGTCGTTCTCGTTCCTCGGTGCCCTATTCATTGCGTTTATGGTTCGTACGAGCTTCGCCGTTGCCCATACACTCATTACTGATGCCGGTCGCTCTGTGCCTTGCAGGTGCCAGAGACAAAGGGTCTCACACTCGAAGAGATGGACGATGTCTTCGGCTCAGAAGGTCTCGCCGCCGCGGATACAGAGCGACAGCTCGCGATCGAGAAGCGTCTCGGCCTCGACCAATACGCCTACACGAGCTCGGACGCGGACAGCTCGGAGAAGCAGGAAATCCATATGAACGCCAAGGTGTAGGCGCTGCCAACGATCTGCTACGATGCGGCGCTGTCTGTTGGCGCCATGTAATGACACTGTGTTCTATTATGAGTGACGATTCGGCGTTGACTGGCATGTACCCACTACTGTATAACAGGTTCTGCATTGTTTGTCCGCATGCTCTTCCTTGCTGTCTGTCGCACGGCTTGCATCGTGCATGCTTTTGATGCTGCTGTTCAACAGCAAATAATGTGGTACGACTCGGAGATGAAGATATATATGCAGATGAATGAACATGAGTATGCCGCCCAGAGTATCATAATGGTGTCCGAGACCGAGGCGATGCACGGGTTCGCTTTACGAATTTATGGCGGAGGAAGAAAGGAAAGCGAAGGAAGGCGTCGACCCTATGGGCGTCAAAAGATTCGGTTGAGCCAGTAACACGATCACGTGTTTCGCGCGGGTCGCGTTCGGTCGTGGCCACTGCACACGCGCCTGTTTCCAACATCCATCTTCACCACATTGGCCAGTGCACGCTGCACCTGCAAAGCTATGTAAGTCCCGGTATTTTCCTAAGTACCTCTTGACTATTCACAACTATCTATCCCGATTCTGGGAGCCCATCTCACTTTCTGCCATTCGATGGCGGAGGCCTGGGAAAAGAGCATCGTCGTTGGTGCCACAGATGACAGACATCAAGCACTAACTCTGGTTATGCTCTCATCACGCATATGCATATAATTTGACTTGTACTACACTACATGGATGCTGCGGAGCGTGTCTTGCACCCACGATCCTGCAGCGAGGCAGGGGCTGAAAGGCATGATGCCGGTGGCCGACCTATCCCCTTACAACCCATGTGTTGATGGATTGCTTTATGTGAACTGATGTTGACGCGAATAGCAACGATACCTTGGCATTGGAGAACCCAGTTCGCAGTGGCAAGAATCTTCTCTCAACGCCTGAGCACAATGTCGCAGGCGTACTTCCGAGACCTCAACCCCGCACAAGTCCAAGGTCTGCATACAAGTAGCCCCTACGAGAGGCTTTGAATGACCTTTGAATAGCCGTTCAACACCCTCCGGACGTCCCACTACAAATCCTCGCCGGTCCCGGGAGCGGGAAGACCAGGGTCCTCACCGCCCGGATTGCCCATCTTATCTTCCACCACCACGTCGCGCCACAAGCTATATGCGCGGTTACATTTACGAATAAGGCCGCGAACGAGATGCGGGCGCGGCTAGACGTGCTTGTTGGTGTGCATGACACATCCCGTATTCGGATGGGCACCTTTCACGCACTCTGTGCATCGTTCCTCCGTAGGCACGGACGAATGGTCGGCCTGGAAACCAATTTTACGATATGCGATGCGGATGAGAGGTAGGTGCCCCGACCTACCTTGTCAGACTTGCTGACCTTTCCTCCAGTAAGAAACTCATCAAGAACCTGCTGGAAGAGCACTCCAGCACCTCAAGGATAAGAACATCTTTTGACCGAAGGGACGCTAGGATCGATGATCGCGAAAGCCAAGGCGCGTGGTCAAACAGCAGACGATGTCAAGTCCATATACCTCCGCAACAAAGCCAAGGGCAGTCGAAGGCGCACACGAGTACCACCGGACGACGACAGTGATGGCGACCCCGACGAAGGGGAAAACCAGACATTGCAAGATGCCAATATCATGGCGGTTGTCGCAGACGTCTACACAAAGTATGAGCATACACTCAGGCAAAGCAATAGCCTTGACTTCGATGATCTACTCCTTTTCGGTGTGCGGCTCTTCGCGCGGCATCCCGCTGTCGGCGACTGGTGTCAACATGTATTAGTGGATGAGTTGTGAGTGACACAATGTGGTTTGGTCTGGTACGGGTGCTGACGCCGGCAAAAGTCAGGACACAAACACCATACAATACAAGCTCATGAGACGGATCGCTGCGGCGAGTGGATGCGTGACGATTGTGGGTGACCCTGACCAGTCAAGTGCGTCCTCCCTTTGACACTTGTGTCCTCGACCTATCGTGATATTGATATGTCCCTGCTACCCTCGTCACTGTTCGTTGCAGTTTACGGCTGGCGCTCTGCGGAAGTGAAGAACTTTATGAAGATGCAGCGAGGTACGCACAATCGCCTCGATGATCATAACAATGGCAGCCATTTGTTGCTTACCACGGTGCATGATCGGCAGACTTCCCGAAGACGCAACAAATTCTCCTCGAGCAGAACTATCGCTCAACAGCGTCCATTCTTAGTGCCAGTATGGCGATCGTGAGTCAAGGTATGTACAGCCCGTGTGTCATAAAGTCCAGGGCGTTGACTCAGTGAAAACGCGTGACACTTCAGACAAGAAGCGTGTTGCAAAGACACTACACGCCGCACATCCCGCAGGCACTCCCCCGATGCTGAAGTTGTACTTGAACGAGTACGAAGAGGCGGCATTCATTGCGACGGAGATCAAACGCTTAGTCGCAGCGACTGGAGGCATGCTACAATGGGGCGACTTCGTAGTGCTCTGTGAGTAACAGTCAAGTCTAGTGAACTATTTTGTGCTTATTGCCCCTATCCTGGCCGGTTTGGACGCCGAAAGTGCGATTCAGTGCTCTATCCCGGCTGATAGAGAGCGCACTGCAGAAGGAAGGCATCCCTAACAGGGTCCTGGGTGGACACAAGTTCTTCGAACGGCTCGAGGTTCGTACAGTTGACACTCCAGGCTTACTCCCACTCATTCCATTGCTGACCTTACGGTTCATAGGTCAAAGACTTGCTGGCATATCTGCAACTCATCGACAACCCACACTTTGTACCCGCTTTTGCCAGAGTCATCAACGTCCCTGCGCGAGGGATCGGCGAGAAGGTCAGCACCCTCCATGAGCTGAAGAGACCGATTCCTCCAGTTTCTAGCTACCACGAAGGCTTATACCTCTGCATACAGACAATCGCCGAGATTCTGGCTACCGCACAGCCCCTCAAGCTGTCGCCTTTGGAGGTGGTGATGCGCATATATGATGGTACACTCCCGGACATCAAGCCAAGTGTCAAGCGCAAGCTCGCGTCGTTCGTCCCTCCTGTCAGGATGTTGCAGAAACTAGCACAAGCGGTCTGTCATCCACTCACGCAGCTGGTTAGGCGAAGTGGATCCCTGATACGTCTCAATTTACACTGCAGAGGACACTTCCATCTGATCTCATCCGCAACCTAATCGAAGGTATCGAATACGAGGCATACCTACGCAAGATGCAAAAGGACTGGGACAGTCGATGGGAGAACGTACAGGAACTCATCAACTTTGCGAGTGAAGTTGAGACGAAGTTGGGGGATGGTGAGGCAGCGGCTGACCTGAGGAGCAACCATGGGATGACGAGTGGGACGTGCTCGAGGAATTCGATCGGGATCAGTTGGACGACGAGGGGTTCGTGGAGGTCAGTCCCGATGCGGTTCCCAAGGATAAGGGCAAGGGAAGAGCTGGGGAAGGTAGATCGGAGAAGTTGGTTCACCGTATCTTCGGCTTTAGAGACTACGTCTGACTGCGACATATTGACAGGGATACGCCACTGCGACTGTTTTTGCAGGCATCCATGCTTTCAACAGATATGACGGCGGATAACAAGGACGACGGCAAGGGGGTATGGATGCTCTGGCTGGTCCCGCGCTGAATCTGTTCCACTGACGTCGGCCGAATTGTAGAAAGTGACTCTTACCACTTGTCATGCTGCGAAAGGCCTCGAATGGCCTGTCGTGTTTGTTCCTGCAGGTCCGTCCGGTCGTGTCAACTCTCCTTGGGAGAGAAAAGGCGCTGATATGCCGTCTTGTGTCTGTAGTGGAGAGGGGGACGTTCCCATCTCATCGAGCTGAAGATATTGACGAAGAGAGGTGAAAAAGTCTATTCTCAGAGATCCGCTTGTGAACATCTCTCACCGTCTCACGCCCCAGACGGCTACTATACGTTGCCTGCACACGGGCACAGGCTCTCCTCTATCTGACGCATGCGAATTCACGCATGTTTGCGGGAGAGGCCAAGAAGAAGGATATGTCGGATTTCGTCTCCGCCGCTCTCTGGGCCAACCAGGTATGTGCTTCTCTTGTACCAGCTCGCACGCTGGCTTAGCAGCTGACCTTCCGCAGAGTTGTTTCGCAAGAGAGCCACCGAATTTGTCTGCAGACGACCGTGTGCTAATCGCTCAGCTCCTCGGAAGGAATGTACCGGACGAATCAGACGTTGCCCGTAGAATGGCTCAGTAGTATGTGAAGATGTCGTACACAAACGGTGAATGTGCTGACCAGTTTCTAGTGACAGTAAACAAGTGCACAGGTTTGGAATGCCTCGCACGGATTCCCGAATCGTCCTGCGGCCCACCCACCACCAGGATCGAACATTCCAGCACCTTTCCAAGGTAAGTTTCAACACCCAAATGATCTCGAACGTTGCCAAGATTTCTGCAGGTCCTGTGCAGTTCTCGTCGGCGAGAACTGCACTATCCGACAAGCCCCTCTCCTCCGGAGGACTGTCCACGCCTAAAGCGCTCCCATTACCACCGCTTTCGCCAATACGCAACACAGTCGTGAACACGGCATACAACCACCTGCCTACCGCCCCGCGACATCCTGTGGTGCCGGAGAAAGCCAAGAGAGCTTCGGATACAACAAGCCAGCATGCAAACCATCGCCCGACTGTCGTGAAGCCGTCTCTCACCAAGTCACCCCTTCACGCAAAACCGGTGCCGACAGAAACGTCTCAGTCGGCTTCACCTCCCCAGTCCTTACCTGCCACTCTTCCATCCAGTGGTTCGGATGAATATCGATCTTCCACCGTCAAGCCCGCCGCGGCAAGAGGCGCTTGGGTATGGGCAGGATGGCAGGAGGATATGCTAACAAGAAGTTCAAGACCCCGGGCGGCGGTGATGACTTATGAAGCGACTGCGTTCACCAGCCTTGGCGGATGTGTTGTGGAATCTTGCCGGTGCATCTAACTTATCTGCTGTCTGTGCTCTGTTGTAAGTTGTACGTGATAGACCAATCGAATGTGTGGATTGCTGAATCGCGCTGTAAAGCCGGCGCTTGCCAGCCGCGTGCTGTCCTCGAGGCTCACGGCGCGCTGTCGGAGCATATGCGAGTTAGCACCGCCAGATACGACAAAGCCGAATGAGATATTGGCTGCCCTCGCATCGTGCGAGCACGCGAAGTGGCAAGCGCGTTGGAGATGCGGCGATTTGTATGCCTCAACCACTGGGAGCCGGTTCGAGCATCGAGGCGGCCACAGTATCGATATCATGATCCCAAGGCTCAGATGCTCAAACAAGGCAGCAGAAGGGACATACACATGTAATCGGACGGCAGGAGTGCACGAACAACACGCGGCTGATGGATATATAATCTCCACGTCACAGCTGTGCCTACACTACCCCGAGTCCACGCGCTGAAGCTGAACGCACCCGAACAGTTTTTACCGCCGCCACGACCCAACCAGCTGGCATGCCATCGCCGATCAAGTCGAAGAAGGCAAGGTACTCCTTAGATACCGTTGACAGACTCTTCGAAACTGCTTTCGCGACCGCGACGCGAGTTTCTTTGCCCAGACCAAGCAAGTCGAAGATGGAGGAGGCGAAGGCGGCCGAGCAAGAGCCTCCACCCGCCTCACCGACTGCAGTCGGCTCACTCTACACTGCTCCGATGGCGCCCGAAGACGACACGCCCGACTCGTTGTGGGAAGAAGTGAGGCGCCTCAAAGAGAAGAGTCTCGCCAAGTCTCCGCCCAAGTCAGGTCAATTGAGCAGGCGCTCTCGTCAGGCTATGCGAAGGCCGCTCAAACCCCCGAGAAGAAACTGACGAAACGTACCTCTAGGTGCGCTCGCACTCGTGTCTAGTTAGCGACATCGTGTTAAGAGTATATCGTGTACAGTCCTACCTTCAAGGAGTCGCCAGATGGTCTGACGGTGATTCTCGAGGCGTCTCATGCACGTACCAGCTGGAAGTGAATGCCTGTCCCTTAGATGACCGCGACGTTCGAGATCCCAGGGGTGCAGAAACAGGACATGCATGTCAGCTTTCGGTCTAGACATATCATCGTCACCTGGAGAATGAGGAATGTCAGAGAGAGCATGGAAGACGGCGTCCTTGTGCGCGACAGACAAGAAATAAAGCACACACAATTCATCCCCTTGCCAGAAGGGACCAAAGTGAGCCGCCACCGCATTGTGCTTGGATTTGACAGGGTGGTCGCTGACGATGGATTCAGTTCGAGGATGTCAGCGCCTCTCAGGATGGCCGACGGCTCGTCTTGACGTATCCCAATTCGCGCTATCTACCTGTGTCTCCCCGTTCTCCTCGAGTAAGTCTGGCCCGTATCTGTACAGTCAAGCTGCTCATCAGTAAATCTGCATGTTAGACTGCGCTTTCGGGGCGACAGAATTCCACACATGCTCACCGATTGAAGTAGAACTTGAACAGGAGTCATAGGAGAAGAGTAGGACTCGGAGGACGGGATGCCGGGGTGCATGTATGAGTAAGACGCACGCATGAAATCACTTGAGAACGTAAAGGAGCCTGCACAGCTGGACAGATGTCGCTGAAGCGGCAGAGAAACCAATGAACTGGGCGCGTTTACACGCCGAATCATTAAGTCATTGCGATTATGCTGCTTGTACGTTGAATCCGAACTATTCGCTGCTAATGTATGCCGTCCGTCCATCTGCTGAATGCGCTAAATAACCCAAGAAAGTGATCACCACCATACCTCATTTGCGACTAGCGGTGGTAACTAGAGCAGGTCGCCCATGTCGGGACACCGCACGCTCACGAGCTGCGCGTCGATGCCCGCGTCGTCACCGAACTGGACCTTCTTCGCCTTCGTCTTCCACCTCTTATGTGGCAGGTCCGGCTCCTCGCGGAGTAGGAGGACGTCCGAATTGCGCAATGGAGGGGTATCGAAATCATCCTCGTCTTCGTCTCCGTGACCCAGCAAGGACAGAGCGGTGCTACCGTTCGAACGCTGCAAGACGAGTGACGTCAACCTCCGTCCATACACGCACCCCGTATCAATGCCCATGCTCCACCGCTTGACGTCCAGCGAGCGGGTGGCTGCGTGACCGTATACGACGGTGGCGGGTTCGCAGGGCAAGGCCTCTGCTTCGGGGTCACTCCCTCTGAGGCTGCGAATGCTACGAGGATGCGGGGGCGACGCGTCGGAGGGAAGGGCGCTGTCGAAGCCGTTGCACAGGCCCATCTGCTCGTTCCAGACTTTGCTCCAGGGCGTGCCCTTGTTGTTGTCCCTGGTCATACGTAGTCAGCCCGAAGAGCCATGCCCGTTAGGCTAGTGAAGGCATACCGGGTGACCTTTCTCTTTTTCTTCCGGATGCCCCGCATGTTCAAGAGCACCCATGGGTCGCGGTTTCCGGGGATGTCCTTCAAAAGCGCGCGCTCTTGCAAGGTGCGGAGCTGCTCTTGCGTGTCGTTCTTCTTTTTTAAAGCATCCTCCACCAGAGCGGACGCAAGTGCACTTTGAGACACAGAGGACGACGTGCCGACCGCATAATGCCCCTCGTCCGGTCCGGTCACAGTGTGCGTCAGCCTCGGCGGGTGCGCGAGCGGCTGGTGCCTGTCCGTCAAGGGGCGCTTCGGATCATAGGGCAGGATGCCCGCATGGACGACAAAGAAATGCTCCGAGGGTACGTGCAGCACCAACGGCAGCGAATACAGACACGCCTTCTGCACCGGCGTCATCTCCCTGTAACCCAACACCCATCAGTCGCACCTCTACGACATGCGTCCAACACAACGCACCTCGCCAGCCAGTAATGGTCGTCGAAGATCGGCCAGTCCTTGTTCTGGTGGCCCTTGCCCGGCCGGGGCACCCTGCGCCACCATTCTTCCCGCCACGTCCCGACGGCGCGCTTCCGTGCGACGTCCGCCCACTCCTCCGGGTCCGCCGAGCCCTTCGGGTCGCGCCGCACGTCGCGCTGCCACTCCCGCTCGATCAGCTCCAGGAACTGGCGGCCTGTCTTCACCGGGCGCCCCGGGTGCGCATCGGGGTGTAAGTCAAGCTCCGCGCCCACCTCGGTGAAGGCGGGCGCTGAAGGGATGGATAGCTGCAGCGGCTCGAACCAGTCGCGCCACGCGCGCCATTGGACGATGGTCTGGTCGTGATTCCCGCGCACGGCGTAGAGGGGCCCGGGCGCCTCCCCGCATTTGTGCTGAGTGATGAAGTCGAGGATGGCGAGAGAGCCGGAGAGCGTGGTCTTTGCCATCGTGTCACCGGCGAGGATGATCGTGTCTGATGCAGGGTCGTAAGATGTCGCCGAGAGCAGGTTGCTGGGAAAACGTCAGCGTCACGACATGACAATGTGGAACGGATGAGTCGGACAAAACTGCTGTCGGAAGTCTGTCTAAGCGAGCTACATAGTCGCTGCACGGGCAACCTGCGCAACGAGCGACCGACTGATATGAGTAGTAACGGCAAACGTCCGTACTTGGGCTAAACATACTCCTGAATTGTGGAGGCGGAGCACTGCATGCGCTAGAAGAGGGTAAGGTTTGGCCCTCTGCAGGGAACCCTCGTTACGGAGAGCAAAATGTCATGCAAAGCGCGTTCACGAATCTCATGCGTTTCGTAATCCGGCGGTGTCGGTCATGACAGCAAGGGTACGCAATGCCCCCCTGCGCATGGTTCACACCCACGGTGCATATGTGAGGCGTAGACATACCCAGCGTGGAGTTGTGCCAGCTTATGGTAGCGGGACCAACTGTATGGTGTTCACGAGATTGTAGAGTCCGCGCGTCTACGACACGCGCCGGCATGTGTGCGTCCCCACATCCGCGGGTAAGCAACCCCATGTGCGGGTCTCAACTCTAGGCGCAAGCTGACTATTGCTGGTCAACCTGGCCTGGGATATGCTCCGGGATGGATCGATGGAAAGGGAGTCGTGGTCGAGTGCCGCATACACCAATCACGACGAGCGCATTGGAAAACATGAGGCACATGACCACAACGAGGAGTCGCAATCCTCCGGGAAGCGTGCCATAACGCGAACAGAAGCCAGGATGATTTGGTAGGGAGGGAACGTACTGGAGGGACTTGTTCATTCCGTGGAGATCCCCGATTAGCAGTACCCGTCGGCTCGGGTCATCTGTGCGACTGTCAGCGGGCAGGCTCCACGAAGCTGCAGACGACTCACTGAGGCCCAGCTCCCCCTCAGAAAGTGTGTACACCTGGGTGACCTTGTTGAAGTCCGGAAAGTCTATCCCCCTCGTTCAGCGCGACCATATGCGTCTGTGGACGAAAGAAGGCTGACCATAGACAGGCTTTTCTTGTGGATAAAATCTGGGAGATGGCCCGACGACAAGAAGTCGAACCTCATTGCGAGCCCGACCAGGAATATCGAGGAAAGGGCTAGAGCAGCCACTGGATATGCTCGTCGTTGCCAATGACTTGCGCCATCGCGTGGCCGCTTTGACGAGGACATCGTGAGTCGTTACCTGCACGTTGCAGAGGCAATTTCTGTGGGCAGATGGGAGGAGAGGACAAGTTGGTCGGCGTCAGGCTGCATGCCACACCACCGTCTGGGACGAAAGCAGAGCTCCGCATCGGCACTAGCGGTGCCGTCACATATGTTATAATGCGACTTTATCTGATAAGATCAAGCTGCGCGCGTACCGCACCAGTGCTCGTCAACAGATCCTCTCGAGTCCGAGTCCCAGAGCGTGTGTTGGTGCTCAGGCTGTGCAGCCAGAATATACGACTATGTGAATTTACGTAAGGCAACGACTGCACTTTAGGAGAAGAGCGGACAAAAGTACAGTTCAGTCGTCTCACACCTTGAGGCAGTGGGGGAGGAGGAAGTTCCGAGAGCTCAGCGCTCAAACAGCGCCGCGCAGTGCCACACAGCATGATTCAAATATATTTCGAGCTTTTTCATGAATGGATGCCAGTGAAACTTGACCAAAAACGGGTACTCATCACGATCCCGAACTGGGTCCGGATCACAACCACTGCGGCCAGTTGCTGAGCGCTGAAGGTTGCTAGTTTGTCTCCAATGTGCCAGTGGGACTTGTCCTGAGTAGCACACACAAGCACTGGCACATCTACTGTCACGGAGTTTCTCGCGTATATCCTCAAAGCAGATCTACACCGTGCAGAGTGACTCTGTGCGACCATAGCTAGAATCTTCATAGACAACTACAGTCCCGGACCTCCCTCGAGCTCCGCGGCGGATCGAGCTAAGGTTAGTCGTGGCTAAAGCGCTAAAGCCCAAAGCCGGACCGTGGGAATCTGTGGCCAATCAAAGGCAACACTTTACTGTGGCTCACTTCTGTCATTCCAGCGTACATAGTTATGTACATAGTAGCTTGTACACTCTTCTGCACCAGGAACACCCGATAATTCGCTCCTTCCTATCACCCTATTCGAGCCTGGGACCGCGCATCCACTCTGGAGGATGGGCCAGTACTGGAGGTTGTAAGTAGCATATGCGTTCCGAGTCCTGGCAGGTTCACGGACGCGTGACTTTTGCTAGAATCAACATCGACAGGAGGCAGAGTATAAGCTTCGAATGTATGAAGCTCGGCGAGGTGATGTTTTGGCGTGATCCGGACCGACTAATCTGGTTGCTCGCCACCCCTCGCAAGGTGAGTCCACCGAGTTATACGACGTCGGAGTCGCGGACTGACAGCCCTTGCAGCCCAAGCCGTATCAGCGCTCTCTCGAACGCGGCCACAGCAAGGATCCGCGTGATCTGGGCGCGCTGAATCTTCCCTTCGACGTTTTGGATCTCATATTCGAGCATATCGCACTCGACAACATCTTAGATGCTGCCTACCTCGCGCTCACCAACTCGTTCCTCCGGGTCATCGGCGGGAAACGCATCTACGAGGGAATGTACGCCTACAGTGCGCCGTGGAGCCTGGACCGTCTCATCTGCGTCGGCGACTACCTCAGTGGCGATGACCTGCCTCCCGACATCCTAAAGGAGGACGAGGAGGAGTCGCTCAGCGGCGACTGCTCCGAGGAAGAGGACGGTGAGGACGGCGCACGCCTGTACAACGCGGCCAAGACCTGGCTCGACGACGACGTTGCGGCTAGACACTGGGATAGGAAGTTCTCATGGTCCGACACGAGAGTCCGGCTGTCCCATGCCGAGGACAGCGAGCTGAACGACTTGGTCGAGCTCGACTACTCGTGGGATGGGACGCCCGAGACCGAGTGGATCCTGTGCAACTGGACGCTCGCGCAGTACGTGCGCGCCAGCGCCGTCGCGAAGCTCACCGGCACGAGGTGTCACGGTCCCTGGGCAAACAGGTTTCTCGGCCTCGGACACGTCCTCCTCACGCAGATCTGCTGGTCGTCGGACGATTCGGTCAGCATGCGTTATGAAGGACCCATCCACCGCGGCAGCTGGGCCGGACACTACGTTGCCATCACCACTGTGGACCAATTGACGGAGAACCGCAGCTTCGCCGACAAGAAGGACTGGACGGACGTGACCGAGGTTTTGGAGATATGGCGAGCTGATAACCCTGAAACACTGGCACCGCACCTACGTTCTGAAGACTACGTCAGCGACAATACTAACACAGACGAGGAAGATCTACAAGACCAAGAGGAGAGCAAGCCGGACGACTCGGATGCAAAGCAGGTGGACTCGGACGCCGCGTTGGAAGACGCTTCAGGTGACGAGTCTCAAGAAGCCGACAAATCGTGAATCAATGAAGGATCTACCCCGACCCAATGACGACGGTCGCGAAAGCTTCGCTGTGCACTGTGCGACGTTCTGTGTAGTACAACAATATATAATGATGTGTATAGTAATGTCTATACCCTATTCCGTTTGTGTAAAGCCTGATTCAGTGTCCCCACGACGCGAATGTGATTGCAGAAGCAAATGTTTAATGTTGCAACCAACTCGATCGTTGAACACGGATAGTGAAGGGAGCGCAGAACCTATGTGCGGTGAACTGTGACTTTCACTCAGCTCAGAGACAACCAGTTGCATTCCAAATCCATTACATGATACACAACCGACATAGTCTAGAAACCGAGAATTCCAAAGATACATCGTAGTTTGAGTCCAGATTCCAGAATAGATATGAATAAAGATGAATGGACGAGTGTCGAGGCTGCTCAAACCACTCGTAAGTCAGAGCATACCTGCGATGTAGAGAAGAACGCACTTGAGGTACTGCAGACCCTCCGAATAACAAGGCCGAGGCATCGGGTATATGATCGTCTTCGCATGATACAGGTAGGTGGGGGTAGCGACGAGCTCCGCACAATGTTACTTGTGACCGCTGTCACAAGAATACGGTGTCAGTAGAGGGACACGTCAGAGATGAAGAAGACGAACCAAGTGGGTATATTCACGACGTGTACGATGCATGGGCCTGATGATGATGATGATGCATGGCTTCAGGAATCTTGATATGGGATGTCTGAACGGAGATGAAGTAGCCGTGACCAAGATGTTGTCAAAACTAAAGACGGTCAGCAATTGTGCGGATAACGACAGAGGAATACGCGTACCTGTCCAGACATGTTAAGAGATAGATGAATGCACGAACCAAGATGATTGATGAGGAACCAAAAAATGTGCGAGTGTGTCCGTTTGCTGCCCGTTGCTGCTTTATGGGCCGTTGCCCTCGCCCTCGACTGCCCCCGTCCGTCCGTATGTGGACTTCAAGGGGAAGCGAGCGCCTGTTCGAGCACCCTGGCCAGTGCCTGAAGGAGATCAGCGACTGAACACCGCTATCGCGCAGACAGCACACACACCTCTTGCTCCTCCTCTCCCAGCTCACTAAACAGCTTCAGTGACTCAGACTCAGAGATAATCTGCAGGGCGCCCGGGCGTCCCTTCGGCGTTGGAGAGGCGAGCGTGCTGGGTGCCTTAGCCCGCGCCGCCGCAACGGGCTTCCTGGGCGCGCCCGGAGCTGGCGTGCTCTTGTGCTGAGGTACAGAGGGAGGCGCCATCTGTACGTCGGTCATTGAGGTGGCTGTGGCCTGGGGGACGTAGGGGATAGTGGTGCTGGGAGTGGCCGGAGGCTGCCGGTGTGTCCAGTGGAGGGGGACGCTGGCGCCGACTGGGACGACCTCCTTGTCCGGGGTCGCCATGTCCATGTCCGTGTCGACCAGAGTGGCATCCGGATCAGGCGCAGAGCAGAGAGACGCCATTTCCACATGCACCGACTCCATCGCATCGATCGCTTCAGGCTGACCAGAGTCTTCGTCGCAGACCATCATATCGACCGAAACAGAACCAGAAACAGCACCAGAACCCTCGTTCGCCAAGAGCATTGCGAAGTCCGAGATCAAAGCTACCTGTTCATCGTGCCTCAGGGCCCTCTGAAGATGAAGGCCCCTAGCGGCGAGGTGCGCCATCATAGTAGGACCCAGAGGAGCATACGCGTTGTCGATCGCCCGTTGCAGGACGCCGAGGTCCTCACGCACGGCCTTGAGGTGGGTCTCCGCAGTAGCGAGGGTGCTCTGAGTTGAAGTGAGCTCAGCAATAGTCGCGTCCGAGTGCTTGCGCTGGATGCAGCGGAGGGCGCGTGCGTGCTTCGCATAGAGATCGACGGCCTTCGCAAGCCTGCCCTTCGTCCTCCGCCCAACGGCAGCACCGCAGATGCAGGCGGGCTGATCGAGCAGAGCTGCCGAGAGACGCTTGACTTCTTCTTCGGCGGTGGTCCTTGCCGCGGTGATGTCGCGCACGTCCTGTTCGAGAGCACCATTGCGAGCCGTCAGAGAGTCGACCTTGGCCTGAAGGTTCTTGCGCTTTGTGGTCACGGAGTCGACTTCGGCCTCGAGCTTGTTGCGCTGTCCAGCCATAGTCGCCAGAGCGGCCTTGAGCTCGTTGATCGTCGCGTCTGCCTCCTGGTGCACCTCTTCGATGTGGTGCCGTGCAATAGACTTCTGCCGGTTCAGTTCCTGGACGTACATGTGCGGGGTCCACCGGAAGTCAGAGTTGTTGGAAGAGGGGGCCTTGTGCGCGAATTGCCTCTTGACTACCGGGTATGTACGAGGCTGCTGCGGGGTGTTCTTCATGATCTGAGCATCCAGTTCGAGCCTGAGACGCAGGGCGAGCTTCCGGTTCTCCTCGACGTTTCGAAGAAGCCGGCCAATCGTGTCCTTGTCCTTCTGGTTCTCCTCGGCAGAGTCGGCCAGTGCGCCGTCGCGAGCCTCAACGAGACCCTCAAGAGCCTTCGTCGTAGCCTTAGCAGTGTCGAGTTCGCACCCGAGATCCTTGATACGCTCCTCCGAAGCCATGACCTTGCTGTTCAGACTGTCGGTCTTCTCGGCGGTTTCCGTATGAACACGAGAGAGGTCGTCTTGGAGGCGCGCCGTGTCGCGCTTCGCATGTTCGAGTTGAGTCTGTAGCCTATAAGACTGAAGCTGGACTTCGGTGTGCGACTTCCTGAGCTTCTCCTTTTCCAATTCCAGCCGGGACATGTCTCTGCTCTGCTTGTACAGCTGCGTCTTCAGCATGACGATCTCCTTTTGCAGTTTGTCGGCTTCGGACTTGGGCACGGTATCGATGGGGAGAGCAGGTGCAGGGCTGACAGGACAGGACGCCGGAGGTGGCGTTGCGCGGTCAGATTTAAGAACCAGGCTGACAGTCTCAGGAGACACAGTGGGCGAGGACGATGCTTGGGCGGATCCGTCGGACCATGCGTCTGTCGAAGTCGACTCGGTGGCGGGACACAGACCTGCGTCCACCGGCAAGTCGTTCCGTTCCTCGAAGGCGTCACGAGCACCAGAATCAAGAGAAACAGGAGGGGAGTCGTCGACAGGAGAGACAGAAGCGGAGTTGGCGACCAGTTGCGCGACAGTGCCAGTGGCTACCCTGACAGAAGCAGGCCTAGGAAGGTCGACCTGGCGCTGGCGTTGAGGGTGAGTGCCGGCGACCCATTCCTAGAAGGGTGAGGTTACGAGAAACTCAATGCACATAGGCGCGGTGACATACCTCGACACGACCTCTCACGAACCAAGAGAACCGATAACAAAGCCGGAGGTAGCCCACGTAGACGTTGATGAGACCGAAGAAGACCACCACCAAGCCGAAGTGAACGAATATCCAGAGCAGGATGCCGTTGGACATGAACCGAGCCTCGGGCGTGACCAAGTGTGCGAGGGGCTCGAGGAAGTCGAAGTACTCGCCATGGGCCATACAGAGGCAGAGTGTGAGGAACAGTGAGAGTGTGAAGCGGAAGTACCGTTGGTTCAACATGACCGGGACTGCTGAAGGCGTTCACGGGCTCGATGAGAGTACGAGGAGAAGGGAGGAGGGAAGCCGGCAGCGTATAAGTAGGCGACCGTGAGGCTGACGACACCGTCCGCCCCAACACGTTGCAACTTCGATCTTGACTTGGTCCAAGCTGTGCTAGTCAAGATCAGAATCCTCGACTTACCCGACATCGGGGTCAACTGGCAGCCTGTCTGAACGAGTGGGCAGCGTGAATGACTGACAGCGTATGAGTACAAGTAGCTACCGAATCGGAGCTTGCATACTCTCAAAGCATATGTATACACACCTGTAATGGTACATGCATATATTGTCGGCCAACCGGATCGATGCATCGGATCGACACCCGTTGCATATGGTACCGTCCAGGTATCTCAGATCTCAGATTCAAGGAGATGGCGCAAGGGCGCGGACAGCAATCTCGAACAACGAGAAGCACGGCCGGAGCACAACGAACTGAGTACTCACATGCCAATCCATTCGGCCTGCCGTCCCAAATCCAATGGCACGGCTGGGGTAACGTAGGAAGCCACACGGCACAGCACTCTACTCAACGTCATGCTGCACACCACTCAAAGTCTATGGACTACTGTCGTGTCCTAATGAAGTCCGTCACCAAGTGCTTGAACTCGTTCGGCCTAACGATCTGGAGTCAGCTGTGTTGCATGATATATCATCAAGATCGCACTTACTTCTCGGCATGTACTAGCGATTGTCAATGTTAAGCACAATAGAACGACCAATGTGTTGATCTCACTCACCCCAGTGGCCGGCCTCCAGATGTTCCAGCACCATATTCGGGAAGAACTGCTTAGCGACGGGTATGTTACGGTCGTTGATGTACCTAGATCCAACGTTAGATATCCCCCTTGTTTGCTGGCTCGGTGGCAGTGACTCACTTGCTCTTCGTGCCTTTGATAAAGAGCGTGCTGCCTTCCCAAGTCCGCTCACCGGGTTCGTACGGGAAGGAGCCTATATCCGGTACGCTGTCGCCGATGATCTCCAGGGGTATCTGAAATTCGAGCGGAAGGTGCTCGTGTCCCTGATGCTTGAGGTTCGTGAGGAGGAACGCGCGGGTCATTGCATCCTGATGGAGTCAGCACGAAGCCCACAATACATGACGCGTGACCTACTTGTTCATATGGCTTCAGGATATCCTGTGCTTCCTTCCGGTTCGTCACTTTGCTAGATTCGATCTTCTTCAGCGCTTCAATATATCCGCTGAACTCTGGCGAGAGGGGACCCGTCGCGGGCGAGATATCCGCGACAATGAGGTGCTTGAGGTCCGATGGGCACTCGGGGCTGAGCGCAACAGACATCGCAACCTTTCCTCCCCTTCCGAGTACATGAGAAATGTGCGCGAGCTTTCGGCCGAACACTCACATTGAATGACCGAGCAGAGAGACATTCGTGAGGGAGTGTGTGTGGAAGAAGTGCAGGACGTCTACAGCCATGGCGGCATAATTCATGGGTCGTGCATGAGGGGAGGTCCCGTGGTTACGCAAATCCTACACCTGCCTAAGCTCGACGGTGAGACGGGTGTGCGCAGGTCCGTTACTCACTAGCGTATATATTGGCATGTCTAGATCCCGGAGGAATGCTTTCGAGAGTGACAGCCAGTTCCTCTTCATTCCACTTCAGACAATGAGTGTTTCATAATTGTCGAGATACAGTGAACGCACAACAAGCCATGCAAGATGACTAGCGGTCTATCCGTCGCATTCCCGTCCTTCGGCACAAGCTTGTCATAGTGCAGGTTGACCGGTGCTATTGACTCGGTTGCCGTATACGAGAGATATCGGCCGCAGGACCTCAATGGGTATTTTCTGAGATTGGCAGTTCGTTGCAGAAACCCTGAGGACGGCAACCACATTATTGTCAGAGAAATGCGTGCGCCGATGTCCAACTGGAAGTTATACTCGGTCCTTCGGAGTTGTCTCAGTCGGACGGTCAGAACGCGTTACATCACGTGCATGGCGCACAGGCGGTCTGAACCGGCGCGACCTGCCCTGAAGTGCCCGTACATGCCAAATTTCTTCTCTCGCGCAGTTGTTTTCGTGCTTCGCCAGTTGTTTCGCCGGCTGTCCGTCCCTAATGTGTTCTCTGTGCATGATGGTGAGTCTTCGCGCTGTGCTCGAGTCGTTCGTCATCGAATCTGGGCTGTTCTTCGACTTGATGATAACGTTTGTTTACCTCCAGTGTCCTCGACCTTTACCAGGTCGTTGACGCGATGACCACGAGAATTTATGTCATAGTTACACTGATCGGTTTTCCGCTCTTCGCATCGCTCGTACACATGCACCTCGTCTAACTCTTTACTCAGGAACGTTTGTGCCGGTGTTTACTCTTCAAAAGATATTGGCGGGCGAGCATCTAATCTTGAGGTGAGTCTTAGCTCTTATGCAGACATCCATCGCTTCACATACTCTACGTGATGAGCCTATATCATTCAAACTAGAGTATCTGAGAGCCTATTAGGCTCGATGCTTTACGATTATCTGTCAATCCACTGATACTCTATTCCTCTTGCACCATCTCGGGTATGGACTTTGTCTCATCGTCTCCTACATAGGTCCAACATGCGCCTCCTTGAATCCCAACTATCGCTTGTGTCGACGGCAAGGTGAGCATTGCGTCTCCATCATTCTCGCTACGATGAAACATAAGGAATTACCGCCTGATCTTGGTCTTGAACCTCGATTATGACGACAAATCCATGGCTGTTTTTTTAAAACTCTGAGCTATCTTGATCTCCCGCATTACCGATGTTGACCTCATTCTCCAGGACAAGCCTAAGGTGTGTGTCCTGATAGTCCGGCTATGATGCGGAGTGCGCTCGATGCAGTTGATTCAAGAGGTGAGCATCTTGTCTGACGTCTCTGAATGATGTTTTATCACGACGGTCTTCGTACTATCACTGCCGAAAGTGCCCGCCACAGCTCAATAACTTCGGGCAACCCCTTCTGATTCTATCTCTTCATCTGTCCACCTGCTTTGGATTGAGACTGACGACTGCTTCTGGCAGGCTTCTCTGACGCACCGAGGCGGATGAAATGATACAGGTCGCTAATAGCTGGTATGTGATCTTCATCTCAAGTCTTCTATGTCTACACTCTCGTGATGAGTCAATTCAAACCAATATCAACTAGAAGCTGTTGCTTAGCCTTGTGCCTTGATTATAATCACCAATAAACTGATTTTCTGCTACATGACTCGGTTACTCATCACATTCGAGAGGCTTACCGTCGCCTCCCCGCAGGTTTCGCTTTGTGATTACACGCTGCGCGAATCGGTGGTTGGATGCTTGTGGTAACGGAACAATGGGCCGCATCTCTTGTGTACATAGTACGTTATAGATCTTCGAATGAAAATGACTTTCCTGTCCTCTCCGGCTGTAGCTATTGACGAAGCCCCCGCATCGTGAACTAATAATGGCTTGCCAGTGCACGTCGCCATGCTAGCGTGATCATTCGTACAGTATCTTCGTGAGTGGAGAGGATGGCATGGATAATCCACCAACGTTGTGTTCCAGTCAAACGTTCACGCTTCCTGTGCACGTCTTTCGTAGGCAAGTATGGTTAACGTGAACGCATACTTGCTATGGAGTCACTGAACGCTTCAGAATGTGTGGTCTTGCATTCCTGGACCACATACGAATCTCGAACAGCCTCTAATGTTGTCTTCGCGACCTTGTTCACATTGCTTTGTTGACGCTAACAAAGTTGCCCTTTGCTCAATATCTCACGCCGTACGGCAAAGGGTGTGAAAGATGAAAATTGTGCCCCCCTGATTGAGCCTGGCGGAAAGACGCGTCGCGGTCAGCGAGTTCGTGTCACAGCCATATGCATGTAGTCAGTGGAGGTTACTCTTTTGTTTTCGGTGTTCGCAGCCTGTTTCGTGACTCTCGTCAGTCCTGCTAACTTCCTCGACGACATGCAGTACGTAGTAGGGCTTACTCCGTCTAGCAAAGTCCAAGGCGCCTTACGCAGGAGTCAGTCACTATGTATACCACTGGATGACTTCGAGTTGTATCAGTTCAGTGTTCGTACTCGTCTCGTCTCGAGCGTCTGCAAGCAACACAGCTGACGCGGACGCGATGCCCGGGAGCTGTGGGAACGGTGAGATACACTCGTCAGCTGGGACCGTAGCAGGACCATAAGCAGGTGCCAGAGTCGGACAGACGATGTGTATTGACATGTTAGTGACAACAGACACAACTCAAAAGCTGAACCGTCAGAGGCACCTGACTGCTCTATGTCACATATGGTCATACAAGATACGAGTCTAGGGGTTACAAGGACGGAGGCAGTGCGCTCACATACAAGATATAGCACGAGATGGATTTGAACAAATGTTCGAGGACATGCATAGCTTGGGGAGGCGGGATGGCCGAGTCGAAGTCGTAGCCCGGACCGGGTTGGCATTGCTCAGCATCACGGCATTGGCAGCTACGCTCGCCCTGGCATAATTACATGGGGCCTTACTATGCGAAGGCGTAGTCGCAGATATCGTTACGTTGAAGAGCGCGCAATCCAGGAGGATGTGTCCGAGCCATGCACAGACACTATGGACAGAATGTGAGATCGCGCACGTGCGACTTCCGCGTATACAACCGACTGAGAGCTCACCTAGAGTGCCAGAAACAGTGCCAGAAACGCTGCAAAAGCTTCTCGGTCTTCTGACTGAGATGGTAGAGATGTATGCATCGCTTCACCCGTCAGGCGGTCGACAAACTACAGTCCATCGCTGAGGGTCGCAGTCATGTCCACAGGAAGGCGTGCATTTGCGATCATGATCGCCGGCTAATAGCATGCCACACAACCTGCAGCTGAAGCTGTCAAGCGGGATGTCATTACGATAAAGCAACACTGGGACTACGATTACACCCACAGATTGAATAAGGGATCTAAGCATCGCTCGGCTACAGAAGCCCATGTACTACTTACATGTTGGCAGGTATACGAGTACCGCGCTACAACCATTTTCCGAACTTGAATATACCTAGCAGACCTGACTGTGTATTGAGCACGAGCGGCCTAGTCAGTAGATTTGTGCCACCTCCTTCAACGACTCGCGAGCACCGTCAAGCAAATCGACAATTCTTAATGCATAAGCCACGCGAACGTCGATGAAATGATAGACTGTGGCCGCAGCGGATGCGGTGGTTGAGAAGCGCGAGGCGGGGGCGCCGGCGCGCGCGTGGCGTCTCTTAGGGGACCATATATGGACGGGCGTGCCTTTAGACTCCGCCATCATTTCTCCCTCGCCCCGCCCCGAGCGGCTCAGCGTCCCTGTCAACGGTTCCTCCTCTATTTCCTCCTCCTTTCCCTCTCTTCCTCCGTACCATGGCCACCCCCACGTTATAGCCTCTTCGTCCGCCCACCACACCTCTCAGTCTGCGACGTCGAACGGCATCGTGGGTGCGCATTTCCGGGTTGGCAAGAAGATAGGCGAGGGCTCCTTCGGTGTCGTCTTCGAGGGTATGAGTATCTCGGTGTGCATTTGAAACTGGAAGAAAGCTCAGTGGGACCTGCACAGGCGCGAACTTGCTAAACAACCAGCCCGTTGCTATCAAGTTTGTGAGTGAACTTGATTCTTCTAGCTCCGCTGTGCTCACAGTCACCCTAGGAACCTCGGAAGTCGGAGGCACCACAACTCAGGGACGAGTACAGGTCATATCGGACACTGAACGGAACACGTATGTCCACCATTCTCTCGGTGCGCGCGCGAGACCTGACCGATTTGTTGTCGACTTCCAGCTGGAGTCCCTCAAGTACACTACTTCGGCCAGGAGGGCCTGCATAATGTTCTTGTCATCGACTTGCTTGGTCCTAACTTGGAGGACCTCTTTGACATGTGTGGACGCAAGTTCACCATCAAGACTGTATGCATGGCGGCCAAACAGATGGTGAGTTAATAATACCGAGTTATGCGTCCCACGTCGCTGCGTGCCGAGTGGTACCCCTACATGCTCTCGGGCTCGTGCAGTGTGGCGTAGTCAGGCAGCTCGCATCAATGGCCACTCTCGTACGTATCCCATGCAGAATGTTCCCGATGCCAGGCACTTCGGGGCGTTCTGTATACGATATGGACATAGACGCTATATTTTGCTAGTTGTTTCAACTGGTCCGGCCATTTCCTAGCAAGAAATGGTGGCACAAGTCGTGCTGCTGTGGCCACGGCCGACACTTGCGAAGACCCGACTCTTCACAAATGCCGTACTCCTGGCGGGACCCGCGCGGTGGCATTAACACCTCCATTCCTCATGCCACATGTGGATTGAACTTGTTATCACGGTAGCTTTGAATACGTTATATTCCATTGAACACATAAACTACCTGCAGCTGCTGTACCGCTCCGATTTCTCACCGGTTTCATAGGTCACTCGTGTCCAGGCGATTCACGAGAAATCACTCATTTACCGCGACATCAAACCCGACAATTTCCTAATTGGTGTTCCCGGGTCGAAGACCGCGAACACCATTCACATCATCGGTATGTACCCTGTCACACATTTGGAACCCCACGGTCCCGCGAAGGGTCGTTCGAAGGCGCAGGGTGATATGCAGTGGTCCGGAGCTTGCATCTTCCGCCATCCATGCCTACTCCAGCCGGCTTCATTCTGGCTCCACTGCATTCTGGTAGTGCGTAGGTTTCCATGACATCCACGCTGACTTCTACCCAGACTTCGGCATGGCGAAACACTACCGTGACCCGAAGACGAAACAGCACATTCCTTATCGCGAGCGCAAGTCGCTTTCAGGGACGGCCCGGTACATGTCAATCAACACGCATCTCGGTCGTGAGCAGTCACGCCGAGACGACCTGGAGTCGCTTGGTCACGTATTCATGTACTTCCTTCGCGGTGGGCTGCCGTGGCAGGGTCTGCGCGCTGCCACCAACAAGCAGAAGTACGAGAAGATTGGTGAGAAGAAACAGAGCACATCTATTCCGGAACTGTGCGAGGGCTTCCCAGGTGGGTGTGCTTGTCTGTGCTGGTGGAAGCGGCGTGGCTCATGTGCGGTGCAGAGGAGTTCGCGATCTACATGAACTATGTTCGGAAGCTCGGCTTCGAGGAGACGCCAGACTATGACTTCCTCCGCGAGCTGTTCTCGAAGGTGCTGAAGACGCTCGGCGAGCCAGAGGATGGCGTTTTCGACTGGATGCTCCTGAACAACGGCAAAGGCTGGGAAGCTGGACATGTGCGCCTCGACCTCGCTGCAGAAAGCGGTAACTTGCTGATACGTGCCCCATAGACCCCCTCGACCCTGCTTGCACAGGCCCACGCAAACGCCGCTGCACCGCATACCCCGCACCGCGAGCACCGCTCGCGCGGTCATGACGGCCACCGGCGCAGTTCGCGTCAACCCCTCCAAGAAGCCGCGCAGTCGCCCTCCTCCCAAATGGTGCTCGCACCAACCCCAGCGCATGTCAAGAGTAGTAGTCGTCGCGCGGCCGTGGACGCCTCGCGCGGCAACTCGCGCGAGCACGCGAGCGTGCAGCCCCTGCCGCCGGCGAGCCGGCGGCAGAGTCAGCAGCAGGTAGTGCGTGCGGAACGGGAGAGCCAAGCGCTGGCATCGCACCCCTATGCGGCGACGCCGAGCCCGGGCGGGTACCGTGCGACGGCGTACGACCGCTCGTCGCCGAACGGGGCGCCGCCCGCACCCAACGGGCAGGCGACTAATTCAGAATCGTTCGTGTATGGCCAGCAGCAAGCGAAGAACGGGACAAATTCGCGCGAGGGAACGACGACGGCGGGTACCGCGCCGAACCGCGAGCCCATGAGTGCTGTGGGCACCCGCGGGATGGGTATGTATGACCGGGAGCAGATGGCGAGGGTGGGAGAGCAGGACGAGCATGGTGGACGGCAGAGAGGCTTCTGGGCTGCGTTCTGCTGTCGCGGATGAGTCTGCGAGTTTTTTGTCGGTTGAATTGTGCGTCTTCCCGAATGCGGAGTCTGTTGGCGGGTGCTAATATGGGGCGTGTGCCAGGCTTTGCATGTGGCAACCCTCATGACCATGTTCACGATCGACTCTTATCCTATCCTATATATCCGCCTTGGCCTAACCCTCACGCCCCTTTATGACGCTTCATTCGCGCTCAGCACTGCACCAAAACCAACCGCATCTCCTGCGCCCACTGGACAATCGCCGTTCACGACACATGCATTGCATTGCTCTCCGTCCACCGTACCGCTTTGGCTTTGCTAGAAGGGACGCTCGTCGATAGTGCACATACACTCCATCACATCATCTCTCACTCTGCGTACCGGTCCTTGGCTTCTTTTTTTCTGCCGCTTCGCGTCACCTGTCTGGTTGTATATTAGCGTCGCGCCTCCTCGCGCCATGCGCATTGCCTTACCCCCGCCTCGCCCCTGTGCGACCCTCCGTGGCGTCGACCGCCCACGATATGTTGATGATCGACGCTGTTGACACTCATCTCACCCTCGCTATTCGCTGTCTGGTTTTTTCCTCCTGTCTCTGATATCCCTCCAGTGTCGCCGTTCGCCCGTATCCTAAGTAGTATGAGCCTTTTATATCGTCTGTTTTTGGACAGTTCAGTTGAGCATCTGTTTTCGGAGTATATACTTGGGTAGCAGATGCTTTCGCAATTGAGCGTTATATATCGCGAACATCGGAAGGCACCGGGAAGGTGTCCGAACTCGACGGAGCCTATATGGTGCCAACTCTCTGGCTGTGACATTGACGTGATTCGGGCCAACTTCAACTTGCTCATTTTGCGAGCCCGCTCATCAATGCATCATCGCACATGCCAGAGGTAATGGAGAGATTCAAACAAGTGACACTACGTGCCGCAAGTCAAGCGGCTATGTATAGTATATGGAATGTAAAAAGTAACCTTCGATAGCTCAGTTGGAAGAGCGCGAGACTGTAATGGATACATATCATCTTGAGGTCGCTGGTTCGATCCCGGCTCGAAGGATTGTTTTTGCCGTTCTGAGACGCGGCCCCGCGCCTTCTGAGTTCTCCCGAGCCCGAGGGGCATCCGATGGGATGTGGCTAAGTGATGCCATGCCGTCGTTATCGTCGGGCACTCCCTCGTTGGTGCAGAAATTCGCAGGGGTGCTGCCCACGTCTCACCCGAAGCGCTGCAGCCGACTGGGCAGAGACGACGGGGGATGGCCCGACGCGGTCGCGGCGGCCAAGGAGCGGCTTCTTGTGGGGTGGTACGAGAAGGCGGCCTGGAAACTGGCATGACATGCACTGAAATAAGCTGGCGTGGGAGAATGATGCGCATATACCCCATTTACCCCACAGCGGACGAATTCAAAGCTGCGTCTCGCCTCCCACTCTCGCCCTCAAAACCCGCACATATAAAGCCTCCCGCACGTCCCCGCCGTCTATCTCTACTTTTCACCTCCACCCACCACCACCACCACCATGTCCGCCATCCGCGCCGTCTCGAAACACGCCCGCTCGCTCTCGCGTACCACGCCGGCGCGCCCCGCCGCCCTTCGCGCGTTCCACTCGCCCTTCAAGGTGCTCGCGAACTCGCCGCTGACGAGCCCGCCCGCGCCGGGGTCGACCGTCTCGCCGGTCTCGCCGGTCTACGAGAAGCAGCAGGACCACTCGCCCGACCCGCAGACGTCGCACGCGGGCACGAAGACGTACGTCGTCTCGGAGCCGGACCCCGCGCACACGCCGTACGAGGTGCCCTCGGGCGCATACCCGACGTCCGCGCCGTACCAGAATTACGCGGCGGCGGACGCGCCGGCCCTTGCTAACGGTGCGCAGCGTTCCTCGACGAGTGCGAGCCCTGCTCACCCCACCCTGACCCGCGCCGTGCCCCAGAATGAGTCCGGCGTGCAGGAGAGCGCGGCCGTGCGAAATGGCGAGGCGCCCGGCCGGATGCGCGGGGGGAGCGGGGGCGGGCTGGGTTTGATGGACGAGAAAAGCACACGTAGCGGGGAGGGCAGCCTCCCGGAGAGGAACCCTGCGCCTGATTCACCGGGAGTCGCGGAGAGGTGGTCGAAGCTGGGCAACGACAACGCTTGGAAGGATCGGAAGTGAGCTTGGGGAGGGAGTTTCGCGGTGGCATCCGGGAGATGCGCTGGGGATGATGGACTCTCATGATTGTCGCTTTCGTTGGTGTCGGTATTCGCGTCGTCGCGCAGCTGTACGAGTATAATTGGGAGGAGCCGCCGCTGGGTCCAAAGTAATGCATAGACTGTACATATCGCCTCCTCCTGCCTACCCTGCCTGCCGTGCTCGTCGTTCCCCGCGTCGACGAGCCCATCTCACATCTGCCAGGGTCCAGCCTGAGGTCCAGGTGACATTGAGCGGCCGTTCGCGAGCGTGCCTGGGCGCGGAGGCAGACGAGCATGACCCCAGCGAATGGGAACACCTGCATTCTCATGACGCATAGCGACGCGTCACAAGCGGCGCCTTACCCGCGACGCGTCCGTCACCTGCATCAAGCGATCGGAAACGCGATCTTGTGCAGACGCGTCTGTGGCGCAAGCTTGTATGACACCGTGACCGTGACTGTGCCACTGGTCTCGTACCCATCCGTGTGGACGCACCCCACCACCGCTCCGACACCCTGAACCCAGGGCAAGAACACAGTTACCACGTTTCCGCAGTGTAGGTCTGTGTTGGCTTTATTTATTGCGCAAGGTCTGCTAGCAAAGTATTGATTATGGTGATCATACATTCAAGTTGCTGGTCACCGGGAATGCCACGGTTACGGTTCGACTGTCTTCGTGCGTCGGCACCGTGACCGCATGAAAAAATGCGCCTGGCAGTTTCAACCGTGGCATGTCTTGCGCGGGGTAGGCCTCCATATAGACCCGGGTTCAAGGTCCGTTTTGCTGCTGTATAGTCTGTTGTTGAAGAGACGTGCGCGGCGCAGACTCTGATTTGTGGTGGAGGCGGTCCGTCGACTCGGAGGGCTCGCTCGTCTGCGTGTTTTACTCAGGTATCGCAGGAGTGAACTTCAAGTTTCTGGACATCACGGCTGCCCCGATCCGGGTGAAAAATAGGATATGACACCCAAATGACACCGCACCTACGAAGCCCTCAGACTCTATTCTCAATTACAGAAATTGTGGTCAGTTCAATCGACGGCTCATCAGCATGCGCACGGAGCGCTCACAACCAATGTCCCAGCCGTCTATCCTGCACCGCAGTGCTGCAAAACCTGCGGCGTCTAACCACGGCGTCGTAGCGAAACCTACGCCGCCCCGCCGTGGCTTCGTAGTGAAACCTGCTCGCGCGAGGGTTGCGTCGTACTAGTCACGGCGTGCACTCGCCTGATGAGCTGCGAGGGTCTTCAGAGCAGCAGACAGGGTACTGCCCTTCGCTCTCTCTTTCTCACTCGTCAGAGGTCCTTGGACTCGCGTTTACCCACCTGGGCTCACATCCTTAGTATGTGACCATGATGATAGAGCCATATCGAAAATGCGAATTTCTTGATAGTTTCTTCCAGCGGGCTGTAGCCGCCGGACGGAACTGAACTGAGTACATACCTCCTACATGCAACCTGTGCGATGTGACTCCCGCGCATCAAACAGCCTTCTGTCTGCTCATCCCACCCGCCATGTACACTCACGCCTCCGAGGCCGTGCCTACTCTCCGAGTCGCCGCCAAATGTGTCCATCGTAGGAGCCCTTTCCGAAACGAGTATCATTCGCAACCCGTATGTTGGGCAACTGCGAACGGATGCGGGTGCTCACCTCCATGACCAACTGTCGGATGGAAGAGACTTGGAAACGAAGCCGTGCTCCTCGGACCGTGCCCGCCGGCATCCGAGTCAGCCTGACAGCAAAGACCGACTTGAAGAACCGCTGCAATATATTACTGTGCCGGTATAGATTATACATGGATAACGAGAGGTCGTGGCAAGCATGTCAATAAATACGCACATCATCAGTGCTTGTGGTCATGGTAAGCAGCCGTGAGCGGCGTCGACTCCGGTTCCTTGAACGTGGCCGGAGGGACCCCCTGTATCCTGCTGTACCCCCTGCTCGAGCAGGGCTTAATAGCCAACACAAAACAGACGACACCAAGCGCTAGTGCACCGCTAAGTAGCCCGATAATGATGTAGATGTTGCTGTTCAGCTCTGTCCATTCGGCCAGTGACACGGACGTACCAGAAGTCACGGACGCGGAGCCGGGCGCCTTTGCCACAGCCGCCATCACGCCCGCGCTCGTGGTTGACGTGCTGAGGGCCGACGTGCTGAGGGTCGACGTGCTGAGGAAGATGTCGGCAGGCGCGGGAGTGGCAGTGGCAGCGGAGACGTTGACGAGGGAGTAAGTGTACGTCGCAGAAGCCGCCAACACGGTGGAGCTGGTGAGGTTGAACAGGTCGGCGAAGACCTCGTACTCGTTCTCCGCGATGCGCCGCGCGTTCATCTCGTCGTACTCAGCGAATGCTTCGTCAGCGTCAGTCAGCTATCGGGGCAAGTGGGCTCAGTAAAAGGTGATGCCAAAAGAGCGATGAACTCACGCTGAGGATCTGCATGTACGGCGCAGTGGACTCGTCAGCGGCGCCCGGCAGGAAGCCGTTTCCGTGATAGAACAGGGTGTAGACGTTGCGCATGAACGTGTCGCCCAGGATCCAGCCTGCGACACAACAAGCGTGAGACGCACACACAACTCTGTGGGCCATGCACAAACGCACGCGGGCTGTCATCGATGTTGAGAATACCAGTGCGGCACGTCACCGCACCCGTTGTGTTTACGTCAACGAAGACGGAGTCAAGCGGGTGGACCGGGTAGCTGTTGTTACTGCAACCGAGTCCTGTCAGTGTCCCGGCGATTGGCGGGGTGCAGCGAGGAGGCCTACCCGAAGATCATGCTGATGTTGACTTTGGTCTCACAGGGGACCGTGTAGTAGTTCTTCCCGTCTTGCTCGGTATAGATGGCGCCAGGGAGGTCTTGGAACATTGCATCCAGATAGTATCTGGGAACCTGGGCTGAAGCATCCCCCGATGATCAGAAGCCTCCGAGGATAGGGAGAACGACCGTACCGAGTGAGGTCCCGCTGTCCAGCAGGACAAAACTCTGGTTTGCCCCAGGTTGTACAGTAAACTCCGATGCATATTTGGCAACACTGAATTTGAAATGCTTGAATTAAGTACCGGCCATACTACAAGGGCTGATCAATGAATATTTGGCTCACCTGGAACCATTTCCGGGGTAGAATACGCCGTTCACGGTGATGCCGTCCATCCAGGTGTACCACCCCTTCTGGTTAACCACAGGCAAACGAGGGGTATCCACGATGTCGGAGTAGTTGCTCACAAGTTCACCTGTATAAGCGGCTTAATCACCTACTATCCTCAAGCGAGCATTGGATATTACCGATCGTGAGTGCGCCGCCTTGAGTGTACGAGGCTTCACCGAGCTCCGTTCGCGACAACAGAAGAGTAATGAACTTGGACTCGTCCGCAATTTCGTAGAAGACCTAAGATCGGTGGTGTGAAGCTCGTGGAGATTCTCGTCGCACGTAGGAACTCACGTTTTGGAGGAAAGGCAGACCATTGAACGACGTTCCGTTCAGATCATGATAAATGCTAGAACCCAGAGGCCTATAGTCCAACTGTCGGTGAGGCACAGTTACCACAGGCAGCCACGTAGTACTTACAGGCCGACACCGAGAAGACCCAGATCTTCACCAGGGGTCGTGGCATTACTGCCAGGAGCAGTCACTGTCAGGAAGTGGCCGTGAGACTGAGGCATCCTGGGCTTTCCAAGGCGACGCACCAAGCGCTTGACCCGATACGGTGAACTCGCCAAGCGTGACGTTTGCCAGGACAATTGGTCCTTCGGCCACGGTGCCATCACTACGAAGGTAGGTGAGGGAGTATCACGCGTATGCGTAATTCACGACGAACCCATAGGGTGTAATGCTGTGGACCCCGGTGTCGGTAAGACCCTGAAGGTCGACACTTTCGCTATTGACCCATAGATCTGTGCTGCCCGAGTCAATTTGCACCTGAGATAGAAGGCATCATGTCAGTTTGGGACCCAACTGAAAGAGAGACGTGCCCTTTGAAACCACGTACCTGGAACGGCTCGCCTTGGATGTAAAGAGTCGCAGTATACAGCCCGTTTCCGGCATCGGTGAACCCAGTGTTGCTGACATTATCCGGATTCGTGAGGACTGCGGTAGTCGACCGAGGCTGAAGGCCCGCGACTCGCCGCTGCACGGGAAGTCGCAAAGCAGAAGCAGAGCCCGCGAGGAGGAAAAGAAGAGAGCCTAAAATCATGACGAAGAAATGGAATGCTGGACCACGATGCCATGCCGTGCTTTTATATTTGAACAGGTGTCCGAGCATGCCAATGTACTCGGTCTTCACGGGTCTCATCGTCCACGACGCGCGCTGCCCATCCTGGTCAGGCCTGTGCTTCATCAGCATTGAGCGGCGGAATCACAGTGAAAAAATGGCCGGCGCATCAACTTGAAGAACCGTGAATGCAGACGATGGACTGCGCTGATCGACCCCCACCTTCGGTTTCACGGGCATGAGCCGTCATGACCGATGTCCAGGGCTGCAATTACTGTTCGAGACATTGACGTGCTTGTCTTCAGTAGACTGCAAACCAGGCACTAGGCATATTCAATCAAAGAACAGGTTGTTATACCCGCACACACTGACGGAGTGGTCAGCGTATACTCGAATCTGGCCGCGCATAAACTGAGCAGCCCGGAATTCTCTGGTCATGCGCGCCACGCCGGACCAGCAAATGCAACACATCTTACGCATCGTCGCCTGAGACGCTGGGTTGACCTGCTTCAGCTGGCGCCATATGTACGGCCTTCTGCCACGCATTGAAACGTGCTGTAATCCACTTTGACAGCATCGTAGACGCCATGCACTGCTATCCGTTGAGATTGAACGAGCTCTTCGAGAAGCTCTGGGCGGATCTATGGGCCCGAGTGTGCCAAAGGCTACAAAAAAGTTGTACACGTCAGCATAGATATGATCCTTTTACATACTGCAGTTACCTTCGTCCTTGCAGACAAATCAAGAGGACCAAAGCGCACGTTTTGCTTGACCAGTGTTATGATCTCCTTCAAGTTACTGAGGCACTGGCAGCATCGCAAGCTCGCCGTGCCAGTGGCAGAGACATCTCGAAAAGCTGCCCGAATTGAATGACAGCCCGAGTAGCACGACCTTGCCAGGAAGACTGCAACGCAATGATACCGCCAAGCCCAAGCTGTTAGTTGCCGGTTGGCTGTGTTAGCGTGCGTAGGTTGTGGATCACATCCGGGTTGGGCCCGGAGTCGGACAACGCCTCGGGGATGACTCGGCGTACCCCCAATATGGAAGGCGACCCATTGCTCCCATCAGCGGGTCAATGTACGCACACCACCGCTTCAGAAAATCGCAGGCTCAAGGGGCCAACGGATAGACAAGTAAAATGATGATTGGGAAGATGGCGAATAGGAGCAAAAGCGACACCAGCAGGATTTGAACCTGCGCTCCCAACGGGAAACAGATACTGTTCGAATCCTGCACTTCCAACTAATTCGAATCTGTCGCCTTAACCACTCGGCCATAGTGTCTCAAATTTAATCCGCAAAATTAAATTATAGCCCCATACGCGCACCAGCGAACAGGACAAAAGGCTAGCCGAAGGACCGTTTGAGAGGAACTACATAAGCTTAATATATCCACAGTCCCGAGTTCGTGCTTTCATATACACTACTAAAAGACTCCCCGTGCGGCCGCACAGAGAATGAAAGCGAAGGCGGGTCGCCCGTGTCTGCCCGTGTCGAGAGTCTGCGGCACCAGCACCTGCCAGAATGACAATTGCCAAATTGCCGATTCCGCTGTAACATTTCCGAACGAGTGCCGCCAACGGTGGCGGTCCTAACCTTGCACGCACTGCGCAAATGGCAAGGACTTGAAATGAAACCTTGAGCATCATTCGACTAGCTGCCAATCATCGACCAATGATGCAGATGAACTTGAACAACTTGAAGGCCTGGCAGACAGGTCCAAGGCCTGACTAGTACTCAAGTTGAATTGACCCGCAGCCCTGTCGCACGCGTGCCTTCTCGCAGGGACACGACGAACGCGCGACATAGCGTTCGCGGAGGCATCGAAGGTAGCACAACACTTGCGCGACGATGTTCCCTGTGAGCCAACATCAGTAAATATCCCTGCGAGACACAGGCACGGCACGCACCCTCCGCTCGGCTCGCTGCTTTGAATACATCGGGACGTCTACACTGTTACTTATCAGTAACAACGCCGACAGAGGTCACGTTCGCGCCGCTTATGATGTGCGCGCTGAGATCTGAGAGTTCGTGCGTCAGCGAGCTGCCCGACGTCAATCTTGGCAGCCGTACCATGACTAGCACAGACGAGCGCATTTCATTCTGTGAGCGATGCAGCTGTCCTGCTTCGTCCGCCCAGGGCTCTGGGGTCTGTCAATGCCCATAATATACTTTGGCTAAGAGGGCCGCGAGGCGAGCGTGAGCCTGTAACCGCAGGACCTGAGCAATACCTACTAGACCGCTATGCGTAATGCACTGTTAGAGACTTAGGAGGAGGAACCCTTCCCAGAGCCACAAGCAGGACTGCTGGATGACCTTGTGACAGCTTGTGACCTGCCAAAGTTTGTACTCAGATTAGCTCGTCGGCACTGCATACAACAACGAGAAACAAGTGTGAGAAACGGGGTCAACATGTTCGACGGAGAAAGAGCCTTATTCTAGCGAGCGGCGGAATAAAGAGAATACCTAAGTACAGTTAGAAAACCACAACCTCCTCCCGCCGGCGAGCCCGTGCCTACCCAGCGCGCCTTGCGATCTACCCAGAGCGCGATCGAGGTACGGGATGGCCTTGCAAACCGTAATGTGACAGGCCCTGGTGTGGACGCCTCAATGTCATCCTCCGGCGTACACTTCTGCCTTGTGCATGCCTGAGGATCGCAGGCTTGCCGACACACTGCGCGATACCGTTCGTGCAGCTGCAATGAAGAGCTAACTCGATAGAGATCCCGCTACGAGTCTCGTCCTGTGATCTCCGTCGACAGACGTGATATCTCGGAGAACGCTGCCCTCAGCAGGTCGAGGTCCGCATCCAGGTGGTCCGCGCGGGACTTCATCTGCAGCCTCATCCATCAGTACACCAGCAAAGTGAACGAACGGTGGGCGAGAGGACGTACCGCGGCGATAGTGTCACTAGCAGCGATGAGCTCGTGGTGGTGGTTGTACACGAGGCTCTGGCGCTCGCTGTCGAGCTCGCGCATCTCGGAGAGGAGCTCGTTCTCGCGCTTGAGCAGCGAGGGCAGCGAGCTTGTCGTAATCAGCTGCCCGTAGTACGCCTTCGCGTCGAACGCCGACGAGTCTGCATGTCAACCCATCAGTCACCGAGGCCGCACGCATCCACACGGCAGACTCACCCAAGTCCATCGGGTCCGCAACCCTCGCCGGCCCACCGAGTGGCGGCGGCGGGCCCACGCCCAGGCCGTAGTGCTTCCTCAACAAGTCCCTCGCACGCGTCTTTTGCCGCTCGCCACCCGCAGGCGGGGACACCCTCGGCCCGGGGGCGGAGAAGTGGGCAGCGCACCGGCGTGCACCAGCGGGCTGGTGCTGGAGATGCGGCGCATGTTGGCGGGGGTAGGTGTATTGGGCGAGCCGGGGATGGTGGCGCGGAGGGGCGAGGAAGGAGGTCGGGGATTGGGGTGCGGGAGCGCGAGGGCGCGTTTGAGGATGGGAGGGATATTGTTGAATGGGACATATTAGAGGAGAGATTGTGTAAAGGCCTTGGACGAGCGAGGCGGCCCTGGGTAGCTGAGGTGACTGAGAGCTGGCGAGAAGGCGCGCTCAAGCAGTGCGACGCGTTGCACGTGACTGATATTGGAGCGTGTTCCTCAGACGCGCTCATTTCGGTTTGTCGTCCTCCTTCTTCGATATGTGGACTTGGTATACGCTCTCGATATAAAACTGGCGAAGGTTGTGGATCATTGTTCTATTTGATACAAGAGATTTAATCATTAGCACGCACTGGTTGTACAGTATTCGTTTTGGAGGTATCAAAGTCCGCGATTCGCAACGCGTAGTAGTAGTGATTCGTCGTATACGTATATCGTCAACGCCAGTCCTTCTAAAAGTCTACTTCATCTCAATACCCAGCCGCACGCGCAGGCTGCAAATTCGCGCCTCCCGCGTTCTGTACGCCATACGGTCCTTGGCCGGCATTGTGTCCATTGCCGTATCCATTGCCGTATCCGTTCCCTTCAACTCCCCCGTTCCCGTACGCCGACCCACCGACCTGGCGCATCGTGCCCGCCGTGCCCCCGCTCTCGACGCTCCTCCGGCCAAGCAGCTCCTGGTCGAAGTACGCGCCCTTGCGCATCCCCCGGGACATCCTCAGGTCGTAGTAGAACGTCAGCAGGTAGAACGTGTACCCAAACGCGATGACCCATTCGATCACCGCGCCCACGTCCGCCGTCGTGTACAGCGTGATCGCGAACACGATGGCGAGGATGATGAGGACGACGGCGATGATGCCCTTGGCGATGTATGCGATGCGGAGCTTGCGCTGGCCGTCGTAATCCTTGTTGATCCAGCGGTACTCGACGATGGTGAAAATGGCAGAGAGCCCGACTCCGATGATGAAGACGAGCAGGAAGACTCGGTGCAGGCTTTGGTGCCGCCCCGTGTCGAAGATGGAGAGGAGGATGAGTCCCGCGCCGCCGATGAACGAGCCGAGGACGGCCAGCGTCGAGAAGATGCGCTCGCGTCGGCGCATATTCGGGTGCAGCCTGCGCATCGCTCAGTCTCAGATTGTGCTCGCGTTGACAGTAGCGTGACTAGTACGCACCTCCCGGAATGCCGCAGCCATCTCTCAACCACTAGCGTCAGGAAGAATGTCACGCCCGTTATACAGCAGCACACGATGAACAAGGGCTTGAGGTAGCTCGCGCCGACATCTGAGATGTACGCGATGCTCCCCTGCTGCGTGACATATTGCGGCTTCCCCGTCGCCAGCCAAGTAATTAGCATCGCCCATAGCGTGCCTGCCTCGTGCGTAAGCTCGCCATCCTTCACCGCACCAGGTCCCGGAGCGACTCACCAAACCAGATGAACGCGCCAAAGACGGGTATCCACGCGTAGACCCAGTAGTAGTGCTTGTACGCCAGAAACATCGTGGGCAGCTGGGAGGGGGCGGTGGTGCAAAGGAGGGACTAGCGGGACTCTGGGCGGCTCCATCGCTGCAGCAGGCGAGTTTTGAGCGAAGCAGGGAGCAGCCTGAGCCGCGGCGGGCGGTTCTGCAACGGCCTGACGTCACACCCCCGCTGCACCATGCCGAGCCTTGGCGCGCCACCAGCCACCGCCACAATCGTCCGTTCGGTGGCTGCACCTTCCTGCACTGCGCACACGACTGGCTGCAGTGGCGCCCGGCGACATCATCCGCAGTGCTGACATGTCTTGTATTGGTCTTGTGAGGCACGCTGTCGCGGAGTAAGGAGTAGGATAGAACGCAGAGCAAAACAAGTAATAAGACTAATACAACAAGATACGTACTAACACAACAACCTCCAGACCCCAACCGCGAAAATCTGTCCGCGCCCGCCCAGCTCGCCCGAGTCCCACCGGCCTCCCATCTAGTGTGGCACAACATGAACGGGAATCTCACCGTCGTCCTCCCCAGCCGTCTCCCTCCCCCAACGAAACGCACGATGTCATGGCGCGAAGCGATCACGGGAGTTCCTGCAAGCCAAATCACGGATCTGAGCACACAGGACCAGACTGCACATCACAAATAGGTACTACTTTCTCCGTCTGTGCGAGCTTCTTGAAGATCTGTGTACACACCCACACATAGGCCGCCGATCAGGCACTCACTCCATCCGACGCACCGAGGAATACAACACGCACCTGGATGTACACCTCCGCGGTCTGCCCGCCAATGACCGCCCACCGTCCGTCGATGATTGTGAACGGTACGCCCGTCACGCCCTTTTTGCGCGCCTCCGACATCATGTTGACCACCTCCTCCCGGCAGTCGTCCGACTCAAGGAAGTTCACCGCCTGCCATACGACCAATGGGAAACGCGTCAGCTAATCCTCGGCCCTTCCTCGGTGCAGTCGCACGCCGCACGCACCTCGTCTTTCGCCATGATCCCGGCCGCCTGCGCGAGGTCGCTGAGGACGTCGGAGTCACCGATATTGCGGTTCTCCTCGAAGTATGCCTTGTTGATCGCCTGCAGGAAGGTCTGCTGCATCTGCTGCCCGCCGACCTTGAGTGCCTTGAGGCTTAGCCGGTGCGCGCGCACGGTTTGCGTGATTGTGCCGTCATATTTGCTGCGAACGTTCCATCAGTTCCTCCCTGACTGTACATACCACATTGACACGATTCTGCAGACCACTCGCAGGCATCGCACAAGCAGTGTCACTCACATATTTAGGCCGAGCTGCTGCCCTCGGAGGGTGATCATTTGCATGATCGACTGGAACTTCTCCTTGCCGAAGCGATTGATGTACCATTCGCGCTTGACCAGCGCCTGGTCCTCCGGGAGCGACGGCTGGAGCTGGTATGGCCTGTGCTCAATCTTGATGGTTATGGGCAGATCCCGGACGGCCTCAACGGCGTTCTCCATCTCCTTCTCGCCAATGTAGCACCAGGGGCAGATCTGCGGCGCCCTGTCAGCGGGCGGGTGCGCAGGCGATGGTCGCGAACACGCACTATGTCCCCGATGACAACCAAATTGACCGTCCGCGACATGGTGCGGGGTGTGGCTAGGGTGCTCGGAGCGGGCGCGCAGGTCCAGAGGCCGAGAATTCAGAGTAGCGAAGCGGGATTTGGGCGCTATGGTGCGCGACCGAAGCAGCGGGTGCGCGTGCAGAGGCGTCGTTAACGAGCGGCGTGGTAGAAGACCAGAGAGGGGGATAAGCGTGGAGGTATATACAGTCTTTACTAACGCTCGCTCCTGAGATTGGTCACCGGCTTGGGTGAGCACCTCACCGATGCCCGTCATGTGACAGATCGGGCGCGCACCCGCGAGGCGCCCATTAACAACACCCCCGCCTCCTGCCTCGGTCTCCGCCTCTGCTTCCCGCAGGCCGGCCTGCTCGAGCTCAGAATCGCCCCTCCCCGTCGGCCGTGCGGGAAGGCGGGGCTACGTCTGGGCTGCCCTCGAAACACTCCGCTCGCTCAGCGACTTCAGGCTGCTTGCAAAGCCTCAGTGGGAGCGGGCTTTTGTCAGCAGCCGGGCGCAAGCTAAACATGGACTGCAACTCTCTCAAGCTCGCCTCGTTTGCACCTGTGTGTCCGGACCCGCTGCTTCTTTGCTGTGCATTGTTCAGTCTCTGTTCGTAACCGTAACATGACGAACTCAATCAAGCTTGTATGGGCGTTGCTGCCCGCGCATTCTCTTTGAGGCAGCTGGCCCAGCGAAGCCGCCGGCCCCGGTGCTACATTCGACTTGGCGTCCGTAAGTGCATTCTCACACCACGTCAGCAGGAGGTGCCTTGTGGATGCTTCCGTTCGCCCATGCCTATCGCGGCGGTGCTCCTCGCGAGCTCCCCGGACCGCGCGCCAAGTTGTTGACAAGCCTGCACCGAACACCACGACGAAGGCAGAAGACATCATCGCTGCGAATTGGGTTGTGTTTCAATGCGGCTACGCTGTATGGACACTGGTCCTGTAGCTGCAGTGGTTCCTCCAGAAGTACGCCCTGTGTTTAGATGAACTCGGCGTCAGTGGGCTTCACCCATCCCAGGCCTTTCCACACTGCAAGACGATACGATTAGCAAGCCCTCAACATATCAGAATCGCGATCAACCCACTTCTCATCTTGTCCCAGTCTTCGGACGATCACATACCGGTCAGCTCACGGAACGACGACATGATGACGGCACGCCTGCACTCACCCTTCCACCAATGTTTAATCTTCCCACCTTCCTACGGTACACACCCGTGGCTCAACGTCTCTCTCCCAAACTCGCGTAGGTCGCGACGGACTCACCATGATGAACGACCCCTGGGCCGTCCACTGCGCATGTTGCCCGTGGGGCTCGACCCCGCCGTGAGGTTCGCCAGTATGGGTGCCCTCCGCGGTGTAGCGCAGGGAGACGAAGTCCTCTTTCGCGATGACGACGTCGAACTGGATGATGTGGAGGTCGTTCAGGCTCTTCAGGACCTCTGTGGGTTAGGCGACGTCAGAGGTGCGTGCATTCATGGGCGGAATGGGACTGACTTGCGTGCGACCTGCAGAGGACCACATCAGCGCGCCCGCTGCGTAGAATTGTAAGTGTGACTTACTCGGCATATTCATCGACCGTATGCGCCATCGGGAACGTCGACGGTGCCGAGAATGTGTTATCCGGCGCACAGAACTCGAGCACACTCTTTTTACCCGAATTGAGCTCGTAGGAATATGCGGTGCGCATATACTGCCGTCAATCACGTTCTCAGTGACCGTCGGGCTTGCTGCTGTTGACTACACTCACCTTCAGGACCGTGGAGACGTTCCGCTCTTCCTGCGCGGAGAGCTGTGCGGGCATGGCTTTGATGGGAACGGGCACGCCGAAGCGCTGTTCGACTTCTTGGGCGGATAGGTCGAGCATACTTGCGTTGCGATACTGTCGAGGTTGAAGATGTATTCGAGCTTGGATGCCTATTTGAACTTCGCAGCTGCAGAGAGCGCGATTTGGGCACTGGCGCGAACGCGTGACGTCATTTGGTACGTCCGCGTTGGGGTGCTACAGTACTTACTCAAATACGTATGTAAGCTGTGGATGCGTCCTAGTACGTCTACATGCATCACAATCGGTGTACTTATGGATAGAGGCCACTTGGACGATGCCGTACGATGGATCGATATCAATTGAACCGTCGAGCTTCACCTCAGGTGTGAAACTACCTCCTGACTTACGATAATACCCGGGCGAAGTGGCGAAGGTCGTCGAGGCACGCAAACATAAACAATGGGCATCGGTGGAGGGCTTTCATGAGGGTGAGGCGTTTCAGAAGGCCTACCGAAGTGGTGAAGAGCTTGAAGAGACGAAGTGGACGGTGCTGCGGCGGACGGGGGGTGCTGCGCTGGGATGGTCAAGTATACATTGTACAACGTGTGAACTTATATTACAAGGTCCAAAGTAGCTGCTGGAAGATCTGCGCGAATCGTCTTACACTCAAGCATTGTCAAGATATGGTGCAGGTCTGCAGCTTTACTTCTGGCCCGGTCGCGCTTGCAGGACGCCGTCGAAGTAGGTGTCCACTTTCTCGTCGTAGAACGCGACGTAGCCTTTGATGTCTGCACACTCCGCCAGCGGCACCCGGTACCACCAGACGAGGTTGTCGAGGACCTCTCCGGTGGAGAGTGCCACGCTGTAGTAGTTTGCAACACCCTGGAGAAGGGCAATAAGCCATCACGACCCATGGGACGCAGATGGCAAGCTGACCTTGTATGGGCACACAGTCGTGAGATCCGTTGGCTTCAGTAGATCCATGCGACAATCGGTCTTGGGGATGTATGTCCGGACCGCAATGCCCGTCTCGAAGAGCAAGCGCGGCTTCGTGGAGTTCGCGACTTCCACGCCGTTCACCACGACGCGTACGTGCCGAGACGACTGCAGAACGTCCACTCGCTTGCATCGGAACCATCAGTAAAGTACAGGCTGCAACGCTCAGTTCACGCGAACCTTGCACGGGTCTTTGGGGTACACGAACACTTCTTCATCCTCCTCGAACCAGGCGTCCATCGCATCGAAGGCGATCTGCATCAGGCCAGCGAGATCGCCCTGCAGGTGCTTCGTGACCGCATATTCCGCATTGCGCGTGCCTACAATCAGGTCGTATTGCTCGCGGTCCGCTGATTTGGATGCGGGCTGCAGAAATTGCGCCGGGACATCCGCAGGGTCGAAGAAGTAGTATGGGTAGTACGGCTTCAGCCATCTGAAAAGCAATTATGACGGGGCGTTGTGAGTCGACCTGCTGTACTCACACCAGCTTTGCACGTGTGGTGTCTACGACATACTTGCCCGCGAAGAACACACGGATACGCTTGGCGGAAGGCTCGATGTGTGGCTGAGAGAATGGGGGCGACATGGTCTGCAAAGTGAGGGGGTCGATCGATGAACTCTCCTGTTCTCTGCAGCGGTATAAGACCACTTGAAGGTATGCGGAAGCGCTGCGCTGACTGAGCTACTCGGGAGCCCCATTGCTTCTCGAGTTCCTGGGCATCGGGCTTCGCTGTCGACTTACCTGACGGAGACGTGCTTCGAGATTTTGAAATATGGATCGCAGGGCGACTGGTGAAGCGCCCCAAGTCCTCCAGACCAGAGACTCAGATTCAGTGCGATGCCACAGACGCAGTATAAGTATTACAGCTTGAGCCTCAGGAGGTTGAACGTTGAGGATCGTGAATCGAGTCTCGACGCTCAGGCACTCTGATGGGGTTGATGAAGCCACGGCCACGTGACCATAGTATACACGCACTCTTCGCACGGTCAGTGCACTGAGCCACAGACCACTTCGAGGTTGCTGTGTTACACTACCATCGCCCTTTGCAATTCTACCTGCACTCTCAGCGCACCGCGGCTGGCATAATGAGACTCGAAGACGAAATTATACAAGATAGTGAGGATGAGGAGATGTTTGCCCCGCTGAGAATACCAGGACCATCGACAATGGAAACAGAGGCTCGAGAGGCAGCAAAAGGTGCGTACAGGCTGTAGTATAAGCGTCGGGCGAGGCTTGCTGATGCACTTGTCGTGAGCAGAAGATCATGCAAGCCGGAGCTCCCCAAACAAGCATTCCAATGCTTCAAGCAGCGCGTCTACTTCTGTCCTCAATCACCGTGCACCGAATTCCAACACAACTCAATCACCGCCTGCTGTTGCTCCTACAGCACCGAAGGCGCGGCCGAGACCACGACCAGCATACAAAGGCGCGCTTGCGAAGGTCGCAGCAGCCAACGAGGCCAACGGCCAAGCGGCTGCACCAGCACCCACTACCCCACCAATCGGATCCGACGCGACGAGACCGACGAACCTGCAAGACGCCAATCCCTTAACTTCATCCACCATGGTCGATCCTACGGCAGCGCCAGCTGCAACTGAGGACCTCGACGAGTTTTCTCTCGACATCGCCGAGCGAGCGAAGCTGCGCTCACGCGCGCGCAGCTCGAAGGTTAACGCCAAACAACCAGCACGCCCCATTGACACAGATGTCATCGACATCAGCTCCTCTGACGAAGACCTCAACATACGACCTCCGAAACGAAGTCCGAAGGCTAAGGCTGCAGATAGAGACCTGCCTTCGCCTAAGAAACGCACGAAGAAGACGCATATACCCGTCGACCTCGCCTTGGACGATACCAGTTCCGCGATCATACCCATTGCTACCTCCGACTTGAGTTCCCAGCTACCCCCATCTGACCCACCGCTGTCTACCCCGCTGGAATCGACACCGGCGAATGCGCGACCGATAATCGGCTCATCCCCACTCTCCTCCCCTCTACCTCCACCACCGCGTCCCCCGAAGCGCAAGCGTAAAACACTGCCTGAGCTACCAAACGTCTCAGATGACGGAGGCAGCGTTAAACATCGAGGAGCGCTACGGAAGGAGGATTCGGGGCTCGCGATGCCCCCGCCGCCTCCGCCGTTCTTCGCAGGATCCTCCTCATCGTCATCCGTCCATGCCTCCGACACGCTCGTCGAAACATCCTCGTCCACACGTGCCTCCGACGGACCCGCCGCCCCCAAGTCCGCCAAAGCCAAAGGCAAGCGAAAGGTGATAGATGACGACGACTTTGAGGATGACTGGCCGATAGACCCACCCTCAAAGCCGAAGCCCCGACAACGGAAGAAGTCTACAGACGAGGACGACTGGCAGGGCGACGAGGGGCCGAAGCCCGCGCGCAAGTCACGCAAGTCGGCGGCGGACGAGGAAGACGAGGAGGAATGGGCGGGTGACGCGCCGCCGAAGCGGAAGCCGCGTGCGCCGCCAAAGAAGAAGGGCAAGAAGGATGGTTCGCCGAAGCAGGTGGTGGAAGTAGTGATTGAGCAGACTAGGGGAGGACGGAAGGGTAGAAAGGGCAAGAACGATCCGCCGCAGCCAGCCGGAGATGTCGCGCGCAATGCGGACGATGTGCAGGGACGCGTCTCTGTAGATCCCGACGTCGCGGTTTCTGAAGAACTGGCTGGTGCGAAGGACGACTTGTCGCCTCTCAGCGACCTCGAGGTTGAGTCTGGGACAGGGAACAAGCCGGTTGCACGACAGAGCACACCTCTACCCGCTCCCAAGCCGTCCATACCTGTCCTACGAGATGGCGAGTCTATCCTCAACTCTCCGCGCTCCAAGAGCAAGGCCAAAGGCAAGAAGAGGGCCATCATGGACTCCGACGAGGAAGAGAACAACGACGGCGAGAAGGAGCCTGGCTCTCCTCCCAAGAAACCTCGGCGTGAGCCCACGAAGGGCCGGAAGTCTGCACCTGCGGCTTTGGAGGCGGAGAACGATGATCAGGAAGACGATGAGCCTGGGAGCTCGCGCAGGGTAAGCTTCTGGCACGTCATTGGTTTCACCGGACACTGAACACATCCACCATAACAGGATCCAAGACCTCGAGTCTCCAGCTACTCAGCTGTAACCGCGCCGTTTAAGTCGCCCCTGCCCGCTCCAGGCACCACCCCCAAACTTACTCTCACCCACCGTTCCTATACCATCGGCGGCGGGAAGTCGTCGCAGCTGCCCATGTCCGAGCTCCTCAAGAAAGTCAACTCCCAGCCAGGCTCGCCGTTCGCCTCCCCGCGCCCGACGTACTCGCCCTACGCCAAGGCGTCGAAGAGCATGCTCCGGAAGATCGCGCCGCTGCACCCCAACCGCCGGACGCCCCCTCCCCCGCCTCCTCGCCCTCCTCCGCCGAAGAAGACCAAGAAGCAGCTGGAGCTCGAGGAGAAGTGGGAGATGGAGCTTGAGGATTCTGTTGAGGGGTGGTATTGTATGCCGGAACAGGAGAGGGCGGCCCTGCGGAGGGCGAAGCGGGACGCCGAGATGGGCTTCGAGGACTGATCTTGACTAACTTGTTGTGCTACTCCGTTCTGTAAACCTCGTCGGATTGTGATAAAGGTAGATGTACAATGCATGTAACAGGACACAACACTGTAGCCGTGGAAAGGAACTGTATTAGATCGCGCATAACATTTGTACCCAATGGATGATGGAAATCGTTGCGGGCGTAACATGAGCGTGGTATACATGGTGGATGAGGACAACACGAAAGGAAAGGTACCACAGTTACGACGATGGCGATTGCGGCGGTACAGTACTCCTGCGCCGCTCCGGATGGTGATAGTATGTGCTATACCGCTTACGCAGACTCGACCGCCGTTCCGCACTTGCACCAGGGCTGCTGTGCGCAGAACGGACTGGGCTGTCCGGCTCTTCGTCCGAGCTGGCGTCCTCGTCGCCAAGCCACTCGTCGTTCTCGGGCAGGACGATCACGCCCGAGCCCTGGTCGTAGCTGAGTCGATGCTGCAATGCCAGTGGTCGGCGCTGCGCCGTCGGTCGTCGCGGTTGGATGTCCTGCCATGGGTTCGTAGTAGTCTCTGGCGATGCCAATTGCTCGCCTGGTGAAGGGATATGATCGAGGTCGGCCGGCGCGCTGGCAGGGGTGCCATCTGCCTCGGTGGGACCAGCTACCTGACTGCTGTCTGGCCGGACGATGCTGCGCCGTTTTCGTAGCGTGAGCACGACAGCGTGGTCGGTATGGTCTTCTGCGGATTCCTCAGGGACTGGCGGGGCACCGTTTGTGGTACTAGGTGGTTGCTCCTTCGCCTGAGGTAGCCATGGCATTGGCAGGACACCATTCAGTGCCGGGTGCCCGTATCTTCGCTTGCCAGTGCTGCGATGCAATTGTCAACAAATTCAAGATGTGTGTACCATAGCTATCACGTACTTCAAGACCCCGCTGTACCAATTTGCCATGGGTGGTTGAGACTACATCACAGGGTCAGGATTCAAGCACAGATGTCATTGAGAGTGAGTACTCACATAGTCTGTTCGCTCATCCTCGGGAGCGACATACAACGTTTCATCATTCTGAGCATACCGCCTCCGGTTCAGGTTACTGTTCAAACACATCAGCCTGTACTCCGAGTATACAGCACATCACGCACCTCTGAGACCATGTCACTGGATGCCCATGCCTCAATTGGACGACGTCCGCCGTGTCCTCGCCCCTCTGCACCTCGAACACCGCGCCCAAGTTCACATACTTGCTCAGCGGGCGGAACGCCTTGTCTTCGTACCACGCCCATAGGAGCGTTCCACCCAGCAGCGGCGCCAGGAGCGACGAGAGGACGAACGACTTCCTGAGGATGAATATACCTATCATGAAGACGAGGAAGATGATTACGCCCCAGATGAGACGCGTGAACGTGATGGGCCAAGCTTGTCCCTGCGACTCGTACGGCTTGTAGAACACTAGACGTCCGCGTAGGAAACGTTAGCCTAGAAGGGGACACGGGGTACCCGAGGCCTACCGAATAGAAGCTTGTACTTGTAGACGACGTAGGCCATCCCGAAGTAAACGGCACCGAAGATAAGGATGAGCGGCTGGATCACACTGTACAGCAGCGTGATGACGAAGACGAGGATGGCTTGCGGATAAACCACGCCGTAGTTGATCATCGGTGGCGCATTCAGCTCGGCGAAGTCTAGAGGAGGCGTTTACTTGCATAGAAATGACAGGAAGGACACACTGCTCACCTCGGGGTGTTCGCGTGAAGAGACGGATGAAAATGCGAGGGAGTATAACACCCAAGTTTAGGAGCTGTAGAGGGATGATACCGAGACCTATAATCTCTCAATATCTCACAGCAAAATCTTGTCATGAACTGCAGGGCTTACCTTGCAGTATGACGTAGGACAGGAAGAAGTGCCTGTACAGTGGTTAACATTCCGACACGCTCCCTGAACGAGACAACCTCACCTGGCCTTTCCAGCGGCCAACGCGTAGGCCAATTTCTCGATGCCTCTCGCAGGAGAGTTCGCAAAGTCTCGCACGAGCTGCCAGTACGTACTCGCCACCAGGAAGATGAAGACAACGTTGACCAGCAGGAACAAAAAGTACCTGCCAGGGAGAATCAATGGCTGCACTGAATTTTGAAAGCGATAGGTACCCACTTCTTCATCAGAGAGTATTCTATCCAGCTACGCGCAGGATATCCCTGGAGGTATGTAAGGGCTACAAGGTATACGTGAGGAAATGGCTAATAAAGGTAAGAAACAACCACACCTTCCAGCAAGAATGGCAACACGGCATTAATGCTTGCAATTGCAACCGAGGGCAGGGAGTTCTGCACGATCGCGCGCACTTGCGGACTCGCATCGATCAAGTTGGCCAGCCACGGCATTACCTTCTTGATCTCCTTGTAACTCAGCAGACTAGCCAGCGCAGACGTGGGCACCGTCCAGAATAGGAGAAGGACCGCGATGGCGCCGAGCACGATCCACTCGCGAGCGCGGAGGTTTGAAGGGGAGTGGCTGATATTGGACCAGATGATGTCGCGTGGCTCGGGGGCGAGACGGGTGATGCAGGAACGGGGCGTGGGGCAGTGGACGGCTTGTGCGGCGATTTGCTGGCAAGACTCTAAGGAGAATGTTGGGAAGAGAAACGCAGAGTACGACGTACTGCACTAGACATTGTCTCAAACGTCACGAAGGCAACGTGCGTGGCTCTGAAACGGCCACTCTTACGTCGTGTCTTGACGGCTTCGTGAGCTTCCTTGAATTGTTGTTCGAGATGGTCGAGCGCGTCGACCTTCGGCTTGAAGAGCTCCGGGCGAATGGTGGGCCGCTTACGACCCGGCACGACGATGCGCTCAGACGAAGCTTCCAAGTCCGGCGCTTCTACATCGACTAGACGGTCCACAGGCATGACGGGCTTCTTTAGGTCAATGACGCTCGGGTTCCCAAGGTACTTCACCCATGCCTTCTCGAGCTTCAGAAGCGCCGCTGTTCGTACATCAAGCAATCGTTTCAGTGACCCCACCTCCCGGCAGATACTCACGCTCTCCACGCTCAGGTCCATATGTTCGAAGTATTCCGCAAGAGCACGCTCGCCCCTCATATGTTCCGGCAGGTGGGTCACCATGACCGTCCGCGCGGAGATGGAGTGCACGAGCTCGAGCGAGAAGAGTTGGCGAGCGCGGATGAAACGCTTGTAGTTTTTGTGGATGAAGTGCAGGGCCAGAAGCGTGAAGACGTAGGTGAAGAGGAGATGCACGGAGAGGTATGAATTGGCATCGCTGACGAGGTCAAGCCAGTCGCGTCCCTCGGTTGAATTAGTGGCTGGGGCGAATGTAGGAGGCCATGTTCCGTCTCCGTCTCCGTCTTCTCCATGACCGTCGCCGATGTCGATGTTGTTCTGTGTGTTGTGGACTGGCTCAGATACGCGATATTTAGAAGAAATGTATGACATACCTTGAGATTCACGGGCATGAGGATGAGCGCTGCGAATACGGAACAGACAGAGAATAGGTAGAAAGACATCTTGAAGAAATTGAGCAACTGCAGCAGAGGTTCATCGCACAGCATTGTCAAAGGGAGCTCATCAAGCTTACAACGGCGGCGTCTAGTCCTACAATCTGCAGCACAGTGAATTCGGACGTCCGAACAGTAGGCAGTATCCAGCCGAAGAATGCTTGATGGGCGTGGGCCTCATGAGGCGAGAAACCTGAGTGATGTGGTAAATCCGGGGTCACTTGAGCAGCCTTGCAAATATTTGCATATCACTAGACACCCTCGGCGGTGTACATGAAGTAGGCTTCCGCAGCTGTGGCGGTCATAGGCCAGCTACCGCACAGAAGTTAGTGTCATTGGAGGCCCAATCATGTGTACATCGCCAGGCTATTCTCATGATATGCAAATGACTGTAAGTCAACGCACCTTTGAGCTTCGTCCGAGGGGCGAACTGAAGTGGCCATCGTTTCCGGCAGTATGAAAATATGAGAAAGGAAGTGAGACCAATGGACGTCGATAGCAACAATTGTGTTGTGAACCACGGTCCCTCGAACTTTGCTATCAAGCAAGCGTAGTTAGCACTGGTCGCGATGTACATCAGGCAGTTTATGGCTCACAAGTTGGAGGTGTTCCGTTAGGTGGTCCTGGCTCTCCATCATCGTCGAACGCTGCCACCCATTGTGTGAACAGCGACTGGACCGGCGACCTGTCCATCTCGCCGTGACTGCCTGAAGGCACCCGTAGACAACCCTCGAGCAAGTTCCAGGTGATCAGCGCGTTTTGAGGCCGTAGGCAGCAGGGAAGAGCAAGCGAGCAGATGTGGCCTGCGGCAAGATCGCGTCGGAACGCGTTCCAGGCGCGTGAGTGCTTTCAGGTGCTTTCCGTGTCGCAGACGCAGCCACCGCGACCAATCCTGTTCGCACAGCTCCGTCCTCGTTCCTCTCTACAGCCCTCTTCCCTACTCGCATTCTTCCTTTCTATTCAACGCTCTATCTATCGTATTATCCCGCAATGTCTGTCATTCACCCACAACTTCACAGTACGCTCGACAGCCTCAAGTTCCAGCTCAAGGATGCTTTCTGGGCGCTCTCGTCCTGCATTTGCCAGCAGTCAGCGAAGGTCAAGATTAATGGCCGGACATGTTAGTGTTTGCTTGCGAGGGCATGATAATTGACGAGACCTCTAACGAAGGTTCATCACAACAGTCAAAATCGTGAGAGTACTGGGAGAAGGCGGCTTCTCGTTCGTCTACTTAGCGGAGGATGAGCACAGCGGGGTATGTCTCAATATACTGCGGTCACAGAATGAATGGCAAGCAGCTTGTTGCTGTGCCGCATCTCATAGTAGCCCTGACAGAGGCAATTCGCCTTGAAGAAGATTCGGTGTCCGAGTGGACGGGAAGACGTGAGGCAGGCTATGCGAGAGGTCGAAGCATACCGGAGATTCAAGTGAGCATCCCATCCCACTTGATTGCGTTGTAGACTGAAGTATAATGATGTCTGTAGGCACCCAAATATCATTCGCATATTGGTACGTCTTTCGCAACCCATGTGCGGCTCGCCCTCCTCTGAATTCACTCGCAGGACTCTGCAGTCGTGGAGGACCCAAATGGTGATGGCCAAGTTGTCTATCTCTTCCTTCCCCTTTACAAGGTACGCAGCATCCCGGCGCTCTAACTGTAGTCGCGTCCAACACATTCCCAGCGAGGCAACCTCCAAGACGCAATCAACGCCAACTCCATTAACGGCACACACTTCTCTGAACAAGAAATGCTGCGCCTCTTCAAGGGGACCTGCGAAGCCGTCCGGGCCATGCACGACTACCGTGTCCCTGTAAATCCTAAAGCCGGGCGCACGAATCAGTCCCGGTCCGCCTCAAATACTGCCGCGTCCATACCTGGACCAAGCAACCCTAACTCTCCCCGGCATTCGCTAGACGACGACGAGAACGCGGAGATGTTTCCGCGCCCGGAGGGGGACGGCGATGTCGGGTACTCATATCGTGGCAATGGGAGCGTGCATGGCTCGGAGGTCCCGCTCATGACGAAGAACCGACCGGATGACAATGAGGCCATATTTGATGGTGACGAGGAGCTTGCGCGCATCCAACAGGAGGAGAACAGCCGCTCTGGGGAGACGGAGCTTGTCCCATACGCGCATAGGGACATGAAACCAGGGTGAGCGCGTGCGTTCTTCCCTCGCTGAGCGTGTCGGTCTGACTGCGAGTGTCGTTCGCAGCAATGTCATGATAGCGGACGATGGTTCACCTGTCCTCATGGACTTCGGTAGTGCCATGAAAGCGCGGATCAAAATCGAAAATCGGTCGCAAGCTTTGCTGCAGCAGGTCTGTGATATCTGCTGTTGAGTCTTACATCTCGCCTGACCTCGCCGAGCGCAGGATCTCGCGGCAGAGCAGTGTACAATGGCATACCGTGCTCCCGAGCTCTTCGATGTCAAGACCGGCATCACGCTCGACGAGAAAGTCGACATCTGGGTTAGTACGCTTACCTCCATCTCCCCTGCTGTAACACTTCGCTCACGTTGCACGCACTATAGTCGCTCGGCTGCACACTTTTCGCGCTCGCCTACTCCCACTCGCCATTCGAGAATATGCAAACAACAGAGCAGGGTGGCTCGATAGCGATGGCAGTCATGAACGCGCAGTACAAGCACCCACAGTCTGCCTACTCCCAGGGGCTGAAGAACCTCATCGACAGCATGCTGAAGGTTAGCCCCAGTGAACGGCCCGACATCTACCAGGTATGCTTCGTCCCACGTCTCCTATTGCCACGAACAAGGCTGACGCGCCCCGTTTGTGTAGGTGATTGAGATGACCGACAAGGTCCTGCAGAGTCTCAGATAGCAGATCTAGTATCCCTCTCCGCTGCTGTACACACTTGCTCCTCGCTCGGTGGGCTATTTATTTATGGACGCGGATACCGCGTATGCACGATGCTGCATTATGCTGCTGAATCCTTTTGGATTCTTTTCCGCTTCTTCCCGATCGAAGGAACACTCGGTTTGCCAGGACCTTTCGATGCCTGCCGCGTCGAATCAGACGCATTTGGAAATGAACCCTTCGTGCGCTTTGCGTTCTTCGGTGGTTTCGACGGTAGAGGATGTGACGGCTCATCGTTTGGACTGGGTGGGGATGATACGACAACCTCGGCGTTCTGGGCCTTTCGTTCCGCCTTGCCTTTCTTTACCTGTGGAGGCGAATTTGTCGACTCGACGGGTGATGTCGCCGCTTTCTTGGTCGACCGAGGCTGCCCGCCGGTGAGCTGACCATCGGCGCCCGCCTCAAGTTTCCTTTTCTTGGCTGGAGCAGCAGGCTTTGCCTCACCCTCGCCCTCAGAATCCGGTGCAGAGGCCTTCGCCGCCCGATCTTTCTTGAACGCAATACCGCGAGCCTTCATCAACTTCTGTTTCGTGCGTTTGGCCTTGACCTTCGCTAGTTTGTTTTGCTGCACACAAATGAGTCAAGACACATGCTTGGCTTGGTTGAAACACGCACCCGTTTTTCTGCCCGCTTCGACAGTTCAGTATCGGCACTCTTCTCTGCTCCCGTCCCCGCGCTGAGTAGTGAGACAATGTCCCGTACATCTGTCTCTGGGCCAGCCGGCTGCGCTAACTCTACGAACCGTTTGTAACGACGGACGTGTGCCTAGATGTATACAAGAACTGAGAAGGCTGAAACGCGCAATCAAGCTGCATGCATACGTTAGAGGATCGGTGCACCTCGCACATGGTGGAGTTCTTCAATAGCTTTCCTGGGCAGGCTACACAGGCCCTGACCTCGGGTTCAAGCGAAATGAAGTACAGAGGGTCTTTGAGTGCTTCTGAGACAGAAAGTGGCGGCTCCCCAGCATCCGACACCTCTGAAGCGTTGTCGGAATCTGCATCTCCCTCGCTCTCCTCGTCCTGTTCAGAGGCACCTTCGTCCCCGTCTTCATCCCCGTCTTTCTCATCTGCGCTCTCTGCATCGTCGTCTTCTCCTGCGTCGGAGTCATCTTCCGACCCCGAGCTTGAAGACGACTCGTCCGAGTCTGTGTCGTGCAGCCCTAGAACCTCCTTGGTCTCCGCGTCCAAACCCATCTCCTCATCGCGCTCCTGTCTCTCCTGACGTCGCGCAACGCGTTTGAACATGGTGCTGATATGTTGTTATCGTGAAGCAGAAGCCAAGTGTCTTATATCGCTCTGGGAATACGCAAGTGGGTAGTGGTACAGGTCTCTGAGGAACATCATTGCGCCTCGAAAACGGCGAGAATACGGTGCACGTGACTCTACGCGTCCGCGAAAAGTGCAGACTCTGCAGGGAAGTGCTGACCGCCGACCTGTCCACACTTGGCTCCTACAACTCCAGAGCCCGTCTCTCTCCGTCCAGGTCCTGCTTTCTTGCATAGCGGAAGGCTTCTTTGCGGTTGCATTTATCGGGCAACAAGCTGGTTCTATAGGTCAGCTTGATTCGGTAATTAGACGTTACTCTGTTGACACGCCTATACGCTCGTACATTATCAGGCTAGCTCTGACAGGAGCACCTACGGAACCCTTTCATCCTGTATGCATCGGCGTAGCGCCTCTCGCCTCGTAGACATCGCGTCTACCAGCTCGGCCGCTCTCGGTCGAACCACTCAACGCCATGCATCGAATGTCGCCCGAAACCGCAAGCCTCCTGGCGAGGCGCTCTCGAGGAAGACATACGACAAGGTAGAGCTTGCCGCCAAAGGTCTTGTTGCCGCTGCTGCGAAGAAGCAGAATAAAGTCGGTTGGGGACACCCGCAGCATCACGAGGGTGAGACTCGCAGGTTGACGGCAGCAGTGAAGAGCGCCGCAAATCCATTGAAGGCACCCACTCCCGAGTTGCAGATGCTCCTTGCCCATCAAAACATTTCCCCCGACCCAGAGCTAGGCAGGTCGCTTAATTTTGAGCCTGGTTCACTCGTCGAGATCCGCAGGTAACGTGCACAAATGTCATGCATCATGAGCTCTATGCTGACCCATTCTGCAGGAGTGAAAGCGTTTACCATGGAGTGGTAGTCCAAACCATACCCGACAACGGCCGATGGATGACATACTCACTGCTCAGTGGTGGCGAGTTATGGCCACATCAGGACAGCGACGTGATGCTATACATCCCTGGCTTCGTCGAGCGTGACCTCATCGCACGATGTGGATCCAAACAAGCGACACTCCTCAACGAGAGCGAGATCGCTGCCCGTGTCAGTGTTCTCAAACGTCTGCGGAACCTCGAGATCGCGGTGGAACAGACTGTAAAGGAGTTACACCATCAGCTCCGAGGTATATATGAACAGCTCAGACATCCAGACCCTGAGCAGGCTACTTCAGTGACGGTGGAAGAAGCCGCACGCCTCGTAACTTCGAAGTCGCGGGACCCACTGTTGACGAAGTGGGCTGTCCACAAGTACCTCTTTGAGAAGTGCAAATACTTTTCGGCGGAGGTGTCGAATTTCTTGGAGAGACCGGCGTTCGAGGTACGGTCGAAGCGCGATGTCGATACCATCGACGCCGTCGACGAAATGGTCGCACGGAAAGACCCCGTCATGGATAGCTTCGTGGAGAAGGCCAAGATCCTCATCCGGGCGGCACGGAAACGGGCGCGGGAGACATGGTCACAACCGCCCTCTTATCAAGCCGACGACAACACTACATTCAAGCCTGCTGAAATGTTCATCATTCGTTTCTTGTGCTCTTCGCTCCGTAACAATCGGATGACCCAAAGGGATCCATTCCTGCTCTCGCAAACGTACATCATGAAGAAAACTGGTCTATACGACTCCGATGACTACGGACAACGCACTGTCTACCCTTTCCTCGTCGAGCTCGGCGTGATACCGCCGTGGCAAGATCCTGTCGACCGCACACAACCGTCTACTGGTATCAGTGGAATGCCATTGCTCGGGAGCGAGCTTGCACGTGGTCAACCTTCATCGTCACCAGCGAACACTTCCTCTACGCGTCCAGCATCGTCGTTGCCGCTGGGTCCAGAAGATTTCTACTCGCGCGACCTGGTCGATCATCTGCGACACGACTTCGGCGACATGCCGGTCTATGTCATCGACGATGCGGACGCAGAAGAACTCGACGATGGCTTTTCCGTAGAAGCGGTTCCCTCCGAGCCTGGCCGCACGTGGCTGCACGTACACATCGCGGACCCGACGTCCGTGCTTCCGCCTACGCACAGGATTGCGCGGGAGGCCCTTGCCCGTATGGAGTCATTGTACTATCCCGATGGTTCCATCCCCATGCTTCCCGACGTGCCGGAGCTACGCGAGCTGAGTCTAGGGCAGGTTGGGGTGCAACGCGTCATGACATTCAGTGGCAAGATCGATACAGAGGGGAACATCGTGGAATACAAGATCAGGCCGGGCATCATCAGGAATGTGCAAAAGTTACACTACAGCGACGTGAATGAGGCAATAGGTGCACCATTCGTTCCCCCCCAGTTTCCATTCGGAGGGGGAGAGGATCTGATCCCTCCCTCAAACGCGGCGTCGGTCGGGAAATCGGCCATAGACGATTTATCGTCCGTTCGGAAAGTGACCGACGCTTTAGTAAAAGGCCGTGTGCGCCAGGGCGCAACGCAGTACGATTGGACCAAATCCAAGGTCGCCATTCGTCCCAAATCCTTGCCAACACCCCCCGTAACAAACCGGCCGTACCGTTGGTCAGGTTTTCCAAAGCTGTATTACGCCGTCGAGTCCAGCCGGATGGTAGATTCGGGCTCTCGGCAGATAGTCGCAGAGTGCATGCGGTTGGCGTCTCGCATCGCCTCGATGTGGCTCCGGGACCGCGACATCCCTGCTATCCGGCGGGTGTCCCGAGAACTGGTAGACACGACCCCGGGTGCTGTCCAACAAATGCTAAGCTCTCGTGACGAGAGCGGCTTCGTGGACCACTTGCTCATGCTTCAGCTGGGACTCGTTTCCACAGGCGCGACATACGCAGTCATGCTCGGCCCGCATGCGGTGTTAGGCATCCCCGACGGCGAAGGGTACATGCGCGCAACATCACCCCTCAGGAGGTTCCTCGACATGGTCACCCACTGGCAGATCAAGCATGCACTGCTAACCCCCGACGCACCGCGCCTCTTCCCAGAGGAATGGCTCCAGGACCTCGCCAAGCACTCGACCTGGTGGGAAGGCCACCACCGGGGGATCGAGCGGAATCACGAGCGGTTTTGGGCTTATAAGTTCTTGGAGAGGCGGATTGCGGAGACCAAGGAAGGGTCGCCTGAGGCGGAGAGACTCGCGGATGCGCTCGTTGCCGTCGTGACGCACACCCCGGTGAACAACTTCCTTCATCAGTATTGGCAGGCTTCGTGTCATCTCTGGGATCTGGGGCTGAGAGGCATCCTCATCCAATTGGGGCCCACAGAACCGTTGAAAGGTGGCGACCGGGTACCTGTGAAGGTCGCAGCGCTTAAGCTCGGTGTCACGTCGCAACTAGACCTTGTCAAGAGATAGATTCACTGTAGTACGTGTTCTGTGCTGTTCTAGATATGCTATGTGTCGTAATGACGCATCCCTACTCTGGATATCCGATGTGCGTGTGCGTGCTCCACGGAACGGTACAAGGAGGATGACCATGCAATACACCCGTTCGGATTGGTTGCTGCGGCGCCCTTATGGCAGCGGATGCGCCGCAGACGTTATTGACTCTGCTGAGTAGATCCCCGCAAGAACCGTAGTGGACTGACTGGACTAACTTCCGGTATTCAATGTGCGCGTGAACGCCGATCTCCTAGTAGGTATGTTTCTTCGGCTTAAGTCTGATAGTCATTCAGTCTCACCGGCCCAACACCGTTTCAACTCCTTGTCTTCCGACGACTTCGTTATCATTGACGTCCCTACTATGGTCCAAGGCTGATAAATTTGAAAGAAGGTTCTCCAGCAAACTCTCTCCTCGCGGCCACCGATACATTGCAGCGGGTCCTGTTTACATAGAGCCGTGTCGTCACAAGACAACCAGAGGCAATGCCATGTCGAAGGTCACTCTTTGCCATTGGTGCGGACAAGAATAAGTGCAGTGGTACGAGGTCGGGCTAATGCGACGATTGGCTAATTGCTATGTAGACGGATCATCGCTGTGTTCATCGTCGTTTCTCCGCGAAGGCGGCGAAGACAGATGCCTCGTTGCCATTCAATGGTACATTTGCGATCGACTCTCAACGCTACCTCATTGGAGGCGGCACCTATGCGGCTTCGTCACGTCGCAAAGTCATCGAGGCTATGTGGTCCCTGCTAGAGCTCCCGGAGTCTTCGAGGTGCTCATCGTGGACTTAAGTCGGTCTTGTCTAATCATCGGGCGACAACCTAAAAGGACGTCGTCATGGATGGAGAAGTACACGTATATCCGCGGCACTTGCTTCCCTATCCCGGTATCCGACAATGGAAGTGACTTGTCGGAGAACACAGCAACACCGTGACTGCAAGTTTGCGGTATAGCCTCACGGTCGCCATGGAGCGGCATAGCTCGCAAAAGTAAGTTTTTGGCAATGACTTGATTCCTGAGTCGCGCGCTATGATGACATCGGTCTGGGGCAGTCGCAATGCATTATACAACCTGAGAAGAAATCTGGGCCATGACATCAAAGTTGGCTCTTGCAGTCTTGCGGAGTGGTCCAAGCGCGATAACACGGTTCTCAGCGGCGCCGAGATACGCAGGGCCGGCATGGGACGAATGTGTAAGCCCTGAGGCCTGGCTTCTTGGTCGTCCAAGGTGGCTAGTACTCTCACTCCTCGATATGGTTGGTGAGAAGCAGGTCATACGCATTTTCGCCAGTTCTACATAGTTACTTACGCGCTTCAGCGTGCGCGCATATGGATGGCTGCAGCACAGTTGTCGTTCGCCCTTCGTAGTCAGCGCCAAAGAGTAGGTCTACTCATCCCCAATAATTGCGAATGTACTGATTCCCACTTGCGTTTACGGCGAAGATTCATGTACATACCCCATGGTGAGACGCCTCGTCCGTGATGGTGGTTTGCTGTAAATCAAGTACTTGAACGCCTCAACAACGTTCCTCATGTGTTACGTGCATGTGGGCAGAAAGCAGTGACGTCGACGGTGGGTTTCGACCCCGCACCCTCGCACCCGCGGCCATTGCTGACCAACGCACAACCAGCACTTGGCCAACAGTCAGAGGTAAACGCTAAACGTTAACGTTTGAACCCAGGTTGAACCGATTACAAGTGTCTGTACTACTTTCCTTAAGCTATGTCGATTAAATCAGTGTCTATGATTCTACTTCCTTCGGCGGTACAGGATGTCGCAGGGCTGCTGGGGCGTGACCATCATCGACTACAAGCAAGCATGATAGTCAGTACAGCAGGTTACGGCTCGAGAGATAGGAAACACGCACTGTGTAGTCGGGCTTGGGGAACGGCCCCTCGATGCGCATCTCAATTTTGCGGATCATCGTCGTGACGACCGCGCCAATCTGCAGCAACGCGAACTGCTCGCCGATGCACCGATGCCTGCCCGCGCCGAAGGGGAGGTACGGGCTGTCCGTGCCCTTGCTGACCAGCCCGAAGCCGAAGTCTACCTTCGAGCTCTCGTCGTACTCCTTCCGCGCCTGCGCTGCGAAGCCCGTCACGTCGAACCACCGGCTGGGGTCCCACACGTTCGCGTCCTTCCAGATGAGCGGGTCGAGCTGGCTGAGTGCGGGCGACGCGAGGACGGTGTAGCCCTTGGGGACGACGTACACGTTGTCCTCTGACGGCGCGGCGAGCGAAGGTGGCACGGGCAGGTCGCTGCGCACGTACCGCATGATGCTGTGGATGGGCGAGTGCATGCGGAGCGTTTCCCGAAGGACGGCGTCGAGAATAGGCAGCGACCTCATGTCCTCGTACGTCATCTCGCGGAAGCCGCCTCCTGGGAGACCGAAGTGTTCAACCTGCTCCTGGTACAGCTGCTCGCTGAGGGGCCGGTCAGAAAGAATGGAGGAATACAAGCGATGCGAGACGTACGCAATGTCAGGACGGTCGGCGAGGTGCAGGAGAACCCACGAGGTCGATGATGAACTTGTGTGTTGGCCGGCCATGAGAAGAGCGATCATGATATGCGCGATCTCGTGGTCTGGAAGGGTCCGGCCATCGCGGTAGCTCTGCCTCATCAGGGAAGCCATCACGTCATCATAGTCCTACGGAGAAACACAAGGGTAAGCCAGGTCACACAAACTCAGTCTAGAGTCACCACGTACGTCCGGGTTGCCCTCCCTACGCTTGTTCATGATACCCTGGTAAAACTCGGTCATCTTGCGCTGCGCGTCGTCCCGCTTCCAGTAACTCGGGAGCGGGAGGTTCGTGAACATCCAGTGAAGCGGCGTGAACCCGTGGTCGAGGTCATGGTACAGGTCAGCGAAACCCTTGGACATGCCATCCCGAATCTCCTTGCCCTGCAAAGTCCGTGAGGCAGTGAGGATCGTCATTTCCGCCAGCGTCTTGTACGCGGTGAAGGCGCCCCATTCATCCGTACTACCAGTCTGGAAGACGCGGAAGGTCGGCTCGACGTCCATGAATTGCGTGACTTCGTCGTCGATCATCCCAACGTACTCGCGGAGCTTGTCCGTCGTGAGCGACACCTTCACAAACTTCTTCTGCTCCATCAATATCTCGTTCGGGCAGTCGTATACGACATCGCTGCCAAACACAGGGGTCGTCAGAGACTGCGGAGAATTGTTAGCTTGCTCTAGCATCCACCAAGGGGCACAACGCACCGAATAGACCTCCTCTGCCGCGACGACAGTGTGCTTGCCACCGAAGACAAAGTCATTGCCCTTGGGACCGAGGGTGGTGGTGACGCGCTTGCCGAGCAACACAAACGTGAAGACGTTGCCGTACTGCCAACTAAGCTTAAGCTATAAACTTTAGGTGGAGACCCGACTCGACGCACCTTTTCACGACAGGACACAAAAAACTCGACAGGGTCTTGACCATATTGAGCTGCTGAGCCAAACCATGGTATCCAGTGGAACACTAACGGAGGAGACGACGGGTCACGAGGAAGCTACGAAACGTGGTGAGCATGACGGTGGTGGCTGATGCTACGCCCGCGTTGTCGCCGACGTAGTTACTATACGTACCAACTGGTATAAAACGTTCAGCACGACGGCAATAACGGGTATATTGATGACGAAAAGGAGGGCGAGACGTGAGAGGGAGGCCGATGCGATTTGCTCCTGCGCCTGGACGAGGTAGCCTGCCCAGGGCTCGGTGTAGTTTGTGTCGAACGACATGTTGGGAGGTGGAACCGGACGTCGTCGGTCTTGCGCGTCGCGGTTGGCGTGGCCGTCGTCGTACTCGTCGTGTTCGTGGGGAGAGGAGAAGACGTCGACGAGCTGGGAAACAGACGGCGGGCTAATAATTTATATCGTTCTCGAATAAGTATCGAACGATGGTCAATTGCCATTTCGGGCAGGCGACCGGGACTGGCGCATGGGCGCCCGTGGACCCGATGGAGACCGTGGTGTAGACCGTTTCGGGTGCCCCGAGATGGCCCTGGCCTGCATCTCCCATCACAGAATCAAATTTCCATGCAGCGACATACCCAACAACCCACGCTGGCCAACCACAATTTTCCCATTCTCGCACCACTCCAAACACAGCGGACACACCATGACGTCGGCAGAAAAAATATCATACGCGCAGCACAGGTGGTCCATCTGAGAGCTGGGCCACAATACGCAGCAGCAAGTTGAGAAGTCCGGACTATGACACCCGGGCTACGACACCTGATACGCTGCGTGGGCTACTTAGGTCCGTTCCGTCGGGATTGTTACTATTGGCCAATCCCGAAGCAGACATGACACTGACCGTCGTCGTCGCTGCCGAACTGAAAGAATCAGCTGCCCTGCGACCATACTTTAAGCTTCAATATTTCAATACTCAACCGAGGTGAAGCACGCGCGCGTAACGACATGGACGCGAACAGGTAGGCACGCATTGGGCACGCGCACGTCGCGCGTACATCTTTTGTACGACTGCGGGGAGGTGTAACTGATACAAAACAGGTAAATCCTTACCATATACCGAAACTGTATACTGCTGAACGACATAATTGGAGCTGCCGTGATACCCAATGGTCTGTTCTACTCGTTCTCTAACATCATTTCGTTAGGCTAATCGACAGTCGATGTAAGCAGGTGCTGCCAGCGTAGAGGCTTGGAGCCCCGAACGGCCATGACACGCCAGATCGTCACTTCGTAGACAAGTTCATTGGCCGGTCATTAGGAATCACCACTCCTCCTCTTGGCGCCCCCGGCACCAGCATGCTCTGGCTCAGACGCTCATGAACACCGGACCCAGAAGCCCGTACATCCGGGTCGTCAACGATTTCACGGAAGCACTGTCTCCATCGCTGCGGCATGGCAACTATGACGGCGATGACGAGCTCGAACTGCGCCTCATTGTTGCATACAGGTGGCTTGCAGTTGTCCCATCTCTACGATAAAGATCATTTCATAAGGATCAGACCACTGTTGGAGACTACAAGGACCAGAGCGCGTCGTCGCAGCAGTGTGGCGTACTTAGGTTTGGAACGTTGCTATAGCTCGAGTCTATGACGGCTAACCTTCACCTGCGCAGGCTACGAAGCCAGGACTGCGGACGACTGTGCTTCTATATCTCTGCCTCCGATGTCTAAGCTTGCCAGACGGTTGACTGGAAGCATTGGCACTGGTCAACGCACAGAACGGCCGGCTTACCTCCATGACAGCCACCATTCAAGCTTTTAAGGCTCGGACTCTCCCCGAACCGTACAGCTTCGAGAAGCCAACGACAGCGGGAGAACAAGAACCTCGTGTCCGTCGCAGACTGCACATTGACGATGTGCCCGAACACATGACGACAACGAGGCACTTCCCCGACTTCCTCGTGGAGAGGTCGTGAGGAAATTGAAGTACGCAGCGTTGAACGCGGTGAGTGCCACAGCCAATCGTGGGATTAGCTCACCCTCGTACCACCATTCAATGGACTGACAGGAAGGCACACCGATCACTCGGGAATATTTCCGGCGGCTCGCAGACGGCATGGAACCTTTGTCGTAAACAGGGTTGGACTGCGTGGGGATCGACAGCCGCGAGTAAACACAGGGTTCGCCGGAGAGTGCTCGTGAATGCTCCCGCACGCATTAGGTTCAGCTAAGCGCTACTGCCTCATTCCATGACAATGAATTAATGAAGGCGTTGGCAGCGTGACTGCCGGCAGGGCGGCCGACACGACAGCTGTGGCAGATGTAAAATGACATCCCAGCGGGGATGGCTTCGTACAGAGCAGGTGGCGCCACGCGCATCCTGTCGGACGACTTGGTCACGAGACCGCGTCGTGAGCATACCTATCTGAGAGACTCCTCTTATTTTCCCGCCATTCGGCTTGTCGATGCAGGCCAACTGGATCTAGTTCGAGACAGCAACTCTCCTTCAAGATACTAATGCCCATAGTCACTAGCAGCAGGTGACCACGTCGACCGATACAGTACTGAGACCTCGCCGCCAGCGTGCTACCTCTCTGACCGCAGTCTGTAGCCCCGACCTCCATTGCTGGTCGCACAAGCACAATGCCGGGGACACGATCGCCTTAAAGGATGGTGAGTAGACGTTCCTTCCCCGAGCGCCAAACCCGTTCTGATCTATGTACGTAGGGAACCACATTCCCACCGTCGCCTCTGGCACTTGGAGACGCGGAAATGGAAAGGAAGCAATCGAGAATGTCAGCAACGCCGTATCGGTTGGTCTTACCCACATTCATGAACTCTATGCCAGCTCCGAGATGACTTCGTGCGGCCGACCCCGACCTACCTGACAGATACTGCGCAAGCACAAGTACGCCATTGAAGCGGAGGCCGGGGCTCCTCTCCGCTCAGGTGGACTGCGGCTCTTTATCACCACGAAGTTCTCCAGTGGCGCGGACATCGATACGTCCGTACGGAACAGCTACGAAGCGGTAGGTTATTTGCGACGCCATCGCGATCGTTCCAGCTGGAAATTCCTGCTATGGTAGCTTGGTGTAGACCATGTGGACCTCTACTTGATCCACGAAGCATGCGAAGCCGGACATACCGACGATTTGGAAGAAGATGGAAGCAATGAAAATTGTCTGCGTTGGCGAAGTGAGTGCATACTTCTGATTCTCAGATATCTTCCTGATGCTCTGCTGCACTCAGGAGCATCGGCGTCAGCAATCTCAATGGGTTAATCACCTGAAGACATTGTTAGAATCTACGAGACTTAGGCCTGCTGCCAATCAGGTTTGTCTACCAAACGAGAGTATGCCGCCGTCGGCTGACCTCATCCTTGATCGCCCTTGCTGCTGGGACTAGATCATGATCCACCCGCAAGTTATGCATCTCCAAGCACCAATCGTCGAGTTCTGCCAGAAGGAAGGTATAACCGTCGAAGGTATTGTCTCTGCCTGTATGTTGCGCACTTCCTGTCTTTCTGAAATCCCACGAAAGTGCCGTAGTCCTCTTATGGGGTACTCGATTTCGCCAAACAGATAGCTCAACGGCTCGATGTAAATCCAGAGCAAGTCCTCGTGGCGTGGTCGAAGCTAAAGAATGCCGTGGCAGTCACGTATGTAAGACGGCATGATCAGAAAGCGGTATACTTATGAACTTGTGGCTTTCCTCTAGGTCGAGCACAAAGAAAGAGCGTCTCAGGGGCAACCTTCTGCTGGGGATATTTGTGCGTCGTCTATGGGAGCGACTATCACTCTGCGCCAGTGTGTGATGGCTTTGTATGACTGAAACGATTTGACAGAGCTGTTCACCGAGGATATCAGAGCGATAGATGAAGCAGCGGCTTAGCCGATGACTCGGAACCCGAGGAGCTTCCTTTGAGCTTCCTCGAGGGGTATATATCCCCGTTCGCTGCAGACCTTTCGCAACGAGGGACTAGTTGTGCGGTTTGAAGCTGTTACGCATCTATGCATGCGTGAAACCACAGAAGGCTTTGCCTCGGCGACTCGATTGCTATCTGTCCGTTCACAGCAATGGAATGCACTCTATGTAATTCTACACTACGTAACGTAGGGCTTGCTTGATGTCTGCTGATGTTCACGAAGCTAAGCCCTCGGGCTGCGCGGGCATTACCACTTCTTGATCTCAGGAAGGGCCCGTCTTATCAACAACGTTTGTAAGGCAACGGTTCCCAAACCAACCACTGGCACGGGACCTTACCTGTCTTGCTATATAGACGTCAGTGCGAGCCGCCGTCGATCCCTCACACCCATCATGGACGCCTGGTTCAAAGAAGCAGCGCAAGGTAAAGACCCGCATAAGGTCCGTATCTTCCGTCGGTATTCTACTTGATAGAAGCTTGTGCACCACGCCACAGCGGTACTGAGTAGTCTCGCAGCGCATCAACGTCGTTGATTCTCCTCGTCCGCTCCGCGTCGAGGTGAACGGTGTCGAAGTTGCGAACACCACCAAGCCGCGACTGCTCTTCGAAGGCAGCATCCCCCCTCGCATATACATCCCTAAAGATGACTGCCACATGGAATTCTTGAAGTCCACCGAATTGACTACGCATTGTCCGTACAAGGTTCGTTCCATTCGTCATGCCCCTCGTTCCGCATCTGAGCTCACTCCTGCGTCCCAGGGCAATGCGAATTACTACACCGTGCAACTCCCGAGCGGGGATAAATTCGACAACATCGTGTGGTGGTACGGCGAACCCTCCACCAGTGACGCTGCCGGGATCAAAGGATACGTCTCGTTCTACGACACGAAAGTAGATCTATACCTCGACGGTGCTTTGCAGGCGAGGCCGTAAAGCAGACAGGCAGAAGCGTGACAAATGAAGCTCGATGTTTCTGTTATCATATACTCCACGGTGTCTTGCGAACTGCGAATGTCGAGATGCCCCTGCCAGTCACCACGGTCTGATCGCCAAAGGGCTGGTCCCATTCTACGATACGAATGCTGACATGTACCTCGACGTTTGGCAGAAGAGGTCTGCACAACGCTGAGCGAGGCCGTTCAGAAATAAATATTACTAGCCGTATTCCAAATTGTCAGTGTCTGCCAACAACGAAGTAGCCCGCCCGAAGCGTGCCCCATGGTTTGATTGTGATACCGCCCAAATACCGCCTCTGTCAGCGACACTATGATCGACTTGAACGGTGGATGCAGCTTCGCGTCGGTTGCGGTCACTGCTGCTGGAGCTTGTATTGCCACGTCGATTTGGATGCTGAGCGCTGAGCACTGATCTGTAGGCGTGATACACGCAGGAAACGGAGTCCCAAGTGAACTCACCAGAGAAAATCTTGCCGCTGTAATTGTGATGCGCAAGGTCTACATTAGTTCTCCCGGCAGTAGATATAGTGACCACTGCGATCGCATTAGCACAAGGCCCTACTTAAATAAATAAGTAGTACAATCGTCCAGAACGTCTGCACACTCGAACAAGTCATCCGAACCTAATACACATTTAAAGCAAACCTGCCTCCCGCAGATCTCGCTGCAGCCGCGACTCCGCCTCGCTGAGCTGCGCCGTGGTCGGCGTGGGCGCCTCGGCGTGCTCGCTGTAGTCGTAAATGCCGAAGACGCGCTCGATGTTGAGGCGCGTCTCCGCGTCCTGCTGCACCTGCTCCGTCGTGTTGGTGCGCGTCGTGGGAGGGTCGGCCGCCCTCCGGATTGACTTCTCCCACCGCTTTACGCGGTAGAAGCCGATGATGGATGCGATGAGCAGGAACCAACCTGCAGAACATTGTGAACATCGTTCTCGTAAATGTCGCGGACAGGAAGAATACGCACCCATTATGATCAACAGGAAGGACATCCAGTCTCGCGAGCCCATGCTCCATTCGGCCGCAGAGATGTCGATCACCGTACCATTGGGCAACATCGCCTGCCCAGGCCCCGTCTTGTGTATGACCTCCGGCAAACCCGTCGTCGCATTCCACAAGATGAGATCCTGGCCCACCCCGCCCTCGCCTTCGTCCTGGGCAGCGCGCATGCGCGACGAGAACCCATACTGGATCATCGTGAGCCCAAGCCCCGCGCGCGAGCCGTACTTGGCAGCGTGCGTGGTGTGCAGGAGGTACGTGAGCACGAAGCCGACGAACTGGAAGAAGTAGGAGACGAATGCGGTCGAGACGAAGAAGATCAAGGAGCCCGTGGGCAGGTCGTCCACGATCATGTCCCCGCCGATGGACATGATTGCCGGCGCCATGACCGTCGTCTCCCAGTACGGCGGCACAGCGTCTGCCTGGGCCTCCTGGTATGACTATAGGGGCGAAGGTTGGTATAGGTCATTCTGGATGTGGAACCCATGCTCACCGGTGGTAGATCGTTCTGCGACTCCTCCGGGACCATGATAACCTCTCCATTCTCGTTTGTCACTGTGACCGGCCGCGCAGGCTTCGCCATCACGTTTGCAAAGACGCCGTCGTTCTCGACCCCACCGCCCCTCGGCGCAGACGCAGCGCTCGCCTCTGTCGGCACCCTCGCATAGTGCTGTGGAAGCAGCACGCCCACCACTCGCCGGAAGAACGACGGCTTTGGCGGCTCCGGAAGCTGGGGCGTCGCAGGCAGCTGGCCGTTCGAGTTGCCGATTTCGTTCGGGAGGGCGAAGGCAGATGGTGATGGCGGGGAACCCGGTGGCGGGAAGTCATACTCGTACTCACGCTCAAAGTCGTACGCCCCACGCGGTGGTTGGGGTGTTCCTGCTGGGGGAAGGGTCGACTCTACGGAGAGAGGATGTGAATTAACAGGGTACCGGTGCGTCAGGTGGGTCGTTTCGTTGGGCGAGTGCTCGTCGTCTTCGTGGTCGTCGAACGCATCCTCCAGCTCCCGGTCTGCATCCGGCTCAGAACGGGGATTGGGGAGCGGTGCGTAGCCAGCAGGCATCGTGAAGAGCGATGGCGGCAGGTATCTGGAAAGCAAGACCAATCAAGCAGACGTAACGAACATGGAGGTGGTAGGAACAGATGCGGTGCAGGCGGGGACGCGTGCCGCGCAAAGCCGCCGCCAGTGTGAAACCACAGGCGTCTCTCTTCTCCAGACATCAGTCGTACTTGCAACAGACACAGCGGGCGCGATGATTCCACAATTGTTATTACAAGACGTCGAGAGACAGCAACCAGCAGAGCAACGAGTGTCCTTCACAGCACCAACGAGAGAAAAACAGCAATAGTGTACACCAAAGATCCGCAATCCAGCTTATCCCAATAACCCTTTCACGTATTTAAGAAGATCCCTTCCCTGGGAAAGCAGGATGATCAGCGCGAAACACGATGTACGAGCCGTAGAAACATACCCCACGACTCTTCACGTCAGCAACCATCGCCTCCACAGAGCCCACCTCCGCCTCACCCTCCTGGGGTAGATCACCCTGCCCTTGCGAAGCGGACGGATCATTCGCCGATCTCCCGCTCCCGTTCCGCCCGTGTCCAACCCGCTGCTTGCGTGCCATCCCATGCCTCATCACCACAGTAAGTACCGCGCGCCAGCCCTCGACCGTGTTCTGGCTGCTTGGCTGCGTGGTCGCAGACGAGGCCGTTGCGCCCTCGGATGAAGGCGCAGGCATGGATGGTACGCCAGTCGAGCGCACGACGTACGGGCAGTATGACCTATGCTCGCGGAGCACGTCGAGTTGTCGGCGTTGCTGAGACCTCGGAGCGTCGCCGTTCGTCTGTGGTGGGGACATGAACGCCCACAGTCCCACTCGGCGCTGACAGAGTGCACAATGCAGGAGGGTGGTGTCCGGCTTTGCGAATACAGGTGCTGGTGTCGAGGCCCGGCTACTTGATTGACCCAGCATCGGGCGAGCTCGGCTCGGTGTCCCTGGCGTAGGCGTGCTTTCTCGCAGAGACATCACGGACGCAGCGCGAGTTGGTGTTCGCGCAGGCGTCGACGGTGCCACAGAGCTTGCGCGAGACAATGACTGCGTGCGTGGCCGCTCCGGGGGTGGGGCTGGTGGCAGGACCGACCAGCCAAACAGCGCCGTGATGATAGCTGCTTCCGTGGGCTGTGGTTCTTCGGAAGCATCGCCATTCTCAGTGGACACGGGCTCGTCTGAGTCCGAGTCCGGAATGGCAAATGTCCGGACACGAACGATTGAGATTGTCGACAGCAGTGATTGTATTTGGGTGGAAGTCTGCGACTCCATTTAGGAGAGTCGCTCGTGAAATGGAAAGCGCTACGCACCATTGGGTGCTTGATTTCGACGTCTTGCATGACACAGTTCAGCGCGGCTGCACGCGACTTGATTTCCCTAGCCATAGCGGCAGGTGCTTGCAATGATATTCTGTATATGGAGTCTGTACCAACAATCAGCACTGTGGAAGCTGCTAGCGCCGGCCAGACCTACCGTCACATTGTCTCGTCTTCCATGGGCAGCCGTCCTTGTGCATATCCACCAGCTGCGCACGCTGCTTCTCGACCAAAGTATTGGCTGTGGAGGGTCAGTCAGTCTGAACCTACCTTCATTCATTCACTCGTCCAACATACCAGCATCTCTGCTCATGCCCTCGCGCCCCGCAACGACCCACGACACGTCGCATATCCCACACACGAGGCGGTCCTTGCCATCATTCACCCAGCCGCACTTGGCTGCGGCCACTGCGTCAATTGCAGCAGGTTTGTTGGAGTAAGTGGAGAGCTTGAACGTGGAGAGGCGTGAGAGGAAAGATTGCATTGAGGACGGGCGGTATTCGGTTGTCGAGGAGGGTGCTGTGGCGGGCCTTTGCGAGTGCCCGAGCTTCCAGGGCAATGCCTGTCTTGTGCGTGTCGCGCTGCGGGTGAGGATCGCAGCTAGGTGCGGAGCGGTTTTCGAAAGGGTTTCTAGTTCGTTCGTGTGCTGTGCACTGCGAAGCCTCCGCGTCAGCTCTCGAACGCGGACGGTGGCAACGTAGGACTACTCACGCCTTAGGCTCCTTTCGTATCCCGTACTTCGCAAGGGTGGCGTATAGGTTCTTGCTCGTTCTCTGCTTCTTCGCTGGAGGCTGCTGCTCAAGCTGCGATGCTGTGGGGGCGACCGCCTCGTCCAGGGTGTGAATCGCATCCTCGAGTTTGCGCTGAAAGAAGGCGTCAACCGCGGCACCAAGGCACGTAGAGCTGTCCACGGACTTTGATACTCTTCTCAGATGCCATAGTAGTGGTGTGTAGCGTCGGCATCGACGAAGACGTCGCAAGGATGATAGACATGTTGGTAACTTGTTCCTCGCTCTGGTCGAGGTGGCGGTATAAGGCAGAGTCTAGAATAGGCGCCTTGTGTCCGCGAAGCGCCATTTGCGCGGTGGCTATGGGCGTTCAATATTCAATACCACCTGGCTTCTGGCAAGTCGAATACGCTGGCTCGCCGCTGTTCTACATACGGCCACCGGTGGACATGGTGGACCTGGGTCTGGCCACCGCCTTTGGTTTTGTGGCATGGCTCTTTGATTTGACCACTATTCTAACTTGACCCATTGTTCAAACGGGACGACGCGTGCAACTAAGGTCCGAATTCGAAGTCAAAGCGTGCAACCACCGAATGTATAAAGCAGCACAGTCTGTCCACCTCGGCCACCCCGTCTTCTACCCACCCTCCGTCTGCCATCATGAACTCTATATCGACATACCAGGAAGGCAGTGACGAACTGACGGTGACTTTCCAGCCACCACTGTTCCTACAAAGACGAGGATGGGTGTTCGATGTGCTCCGCAGGGAAGGGGTCAGCGAGGTAAGTACAGCATGCACGAGGTGGGACTTCCACATCTCACTAGGGTGGACTGCGGCAGGTTCTCGACGTAGGATGCGGTGAAGGATCGCTCATCTCGTGTCTATGCAATCCCGCACCATGGCTCCCGCCACCACCGCGATCGATCCTCGAGTCGTTCGCCACAGTTCACTCAGAGGCCTCTGTCGTCACAAGCACTGTTACAGCCGATGCTGCGCCATTCGCTGCACGTCTGGACCATCCTACAGAAGACTTCCTACACCCCTTGAAAGTCATTGGCCTCGACATCTCTACGACTGACTTGGAGTACGCGACGCAGGCCACAGAGCCGAGCGATTGGCGCTTGCGCTGGGAGCCTCTAGAGGTGCAAATCTGGGAAGGTGGTCTGGAGGTGGTCAACCCGGCATTTGTCGGTGTGGAATGCATCGTCGCGACCGAGGTGTACGCCCTTCCTTCCTCACGTCTCCTCACAGACCCGACCATCCTCACCCTCCTTCATCCAGCATTGAACACCTCCCAGAAGACGTACTTGATCACTTCGCACCCGTCCTCCTCGGGGCATACCAACCCCACCTCCTGCTCATCACCACACCTTCCTTCACCTTCAACGCGCGCTTCACCGCGCCCGACGCTCCGCGTACCGCCCGCTCCGGCTACCCAGACCCCACCCAGCGGACCGATCGCGTATTCCGACACCACGACCACAAGTTCGAGTGGACGCCCGAGGAATTTGCTGAATGGTGCGCGGTCGTGGCGGAGACATGGGGATACGATGTCGAGGTGGGCGGCGTCGGCAGGGCTGCGGAGAAGGACGAATGGGGACGGGATGAGGCGCTTGGGTATGCGAGCCAAGTCGCCGCTTTCACGCGACGAGATGGCGAAGGGTGGGATGAGAAGAGGAGGATGCGCTTCCAGCAAATGTGGGAGGTCCAAGGCTGTGGAGAAGGTCAGCACAGACTCCTGGCCACTCACCAGCATCTCGCGCATGAGAAGGCTTGCCAGCCGTTGCCGCTGCACGAGAGAGGCGAGATCATCAAGCGCACGATGATAGACTCCCGCAGCAACCTAATCCAGCTCGGAGACCTGTGGTGGGAGGAGAGCGTCGCGGTGGCTTGCGGGGGATGGATGGAACTCATGGTCGATGCCATCGCGCAACACGCTGACCTACGGCTAGAGGCATCCAAGGAGTCCATGTCTGAATGGACCGCAGAGCTGAGAGCTGGTTTACCGGAGGACGTGACGTCGCCGAGACTAGAGGAGACACTGGTGACGAGCTACGACTCACCGTATCTCTCGTCGAGCTCGGACGAATCGGAGTGGCCAGTCACGCCGTTTGAGGACGACACACAACCGTCGGAGGATGGGTGGAAGCACGAGGATCCACTTACTGGGCACTGGCCTCACGACGATAGCGACAGTGCCTGGGGTAAAACAGAGAGTGGAGAGCAAGAATGGGGCGCTGGAGGAGGCGGATGGGGCGGCAGTTGGACGACCCAGGACAGTGGCAGTGCAACGTGGTAGGCTTCGAATGGGACACAACTCTAGAGTAGAAGCGACACTGGCGTACGCGAACGATGTGACATTACGACGGCAATATAAATAATACAAATCAGAGCTCCTGCACATACGTCAGCTCAATGGGCTCTATGACACTAGGTGAATCAGGACAGGACGCACCGAACCAAGCCTCGACCGAGGTCGACCGTCTCATATCTCCTTGCCCGCCGCCTTCCGTGGTGCTGGATTGCAGAGTCACTCATCCAGTCCGTAACAAGCAACAGTTCTACTCACTCTCTAGCGGATATACTTGCGCGAGGTAAGTCACCGCCCACATCAGGTAGCAGCACATAAGCGTCAGCATCAGGCTCGTCCGGATGAGTCTGCAGTCCGTAGTCAGTACACGGTAGGTCGTGCTGGTAGTGGGACGTACGTTTGGTTCGGGCCCTTTGGAGTCACAAACCACACAATCCCCATCGCCAGGAGAATGATAGCGAATATGAAGAATACGGGCACCGGGGACGACATGGCGGGAGGTGAACGGACAGCGCTGAGTGACGCCGTCGCATGTGCCGCTTTGGGCTGTTACAGTCGCGCCGAAGGTGTGCATCTACATTAGGCAACCATGTAGTTCGCCTTCGGCAAAGTTTGATACAGTCTATTCCTCCTGACCACGCCAATTGTGTTGGCTACTCTCTTTTGTTTGATTGATCAATCGGGGCTATGATTCACATCTGCTCTAAGACATCGCGATTCTTGTGTGAACAGGGAAACGGGTTGCCTATAGACGCTAGGCTCAAGCTCGTGTCCGGTCACGGACTGGCAGACAGCGGGCTAGTATATGGTATGAGTCACTGAAAACCGCTTAGGAACACGAGCTGAGGTTCTCAACACCACGCAATTATACGCTTGACAACAATGTAGCTGCCAGGATCGGCCCCGAACACACTCGTGAATTGCCCAAGCACCATCTACCTAGATACACCCTTGGCCGCCGTCAACTTGCTCTCCGACTTCTGCTCTTCCCGCACCCGGCTCCTCCTCCAAGCATCCAGCGAGTCCTCCGCCTCTGCCTCGGCCGCCTTCGAGATCTTCACCACGACCTTCGCAGCACTAGCATCGCCTCTCCGGTAGAACGCCTTGATAAACATCTTGTACAGCGGCCTGACGTGTTTACCATACGAAAGGGGCGAGTTGACTTCCGGCAGGTGGACCGGAGCCGGGCCCTCCGCGGTCCTAAATGGCACTCCGTATATTGCACACCCAGTAGGATACCCGATTCGGACGAAATGGTCGAACAGGGCCCGTAGATCCTCGTTGGTAAATCCAGCCGTCCACTGCATGTACGCCTTGACTAAGACGTTGATCGTGACCCGGTCTGGTACGAAACCATGGTGCTCCACCAGCTCATTCAGCGTCTTTACAGCCCTCACCCCGCGGTGAGCCTGCGATCGTGAAGGGTGCTGCATGCTCTTGTGAAGGATGCTGTTCCCGATAGCTGTTCTCGAGCTTGGACTCTGGTCCTCGCACAGTTGGCTATACAGCTGCTTGACAGCGCGCATCCGCCCAGCACGTACGAGTAACTCCAGGGCACGGTGAACAGCAGGGCCATCCCGCACTTGCCGCTGCCGTACGAAGCTAGGAACCTTGATCACAAGCACTCGGGACGGACGCGCTTCCCGGAACTTGACGAGGCGAGACACTGCGGACACGCCCGACGTCGCAAGCAAGGACTTCGCAACCTTCTTCGCGAGACTCGATGCACCATGCCTGGACAGCTGAGTAGTGAGCCATTCCGAGGACGGCGTATCGCAAACGCCCAGCCTGTGACCAAACTCGTGCATGCGCTTCGCATACCGGAACTGCCTGTGCCGCAGTAAGTTCCGAATGAACAACTCGAAGAACGTCGGCAAGAAGTATGTCTTGTCCACCTGTGCGACAGCCTCCACAATGGCCACAGCCGCTTTGGAGTACTGAAAGCGCAACATGTACAGCAAGGTTGACTCGATGACAGAGCGCATGGCTGCAGGAGGACAGGAGGAGGAAAGGTGGCTGAGCATGGCACCGACCAGATCCGAGGTTAGGTGGGCAGAGCGGAACCGATGCCCCCGCCGGACCAGCTGTCCCAGTATCCCATTGAGGATCTTGAGACGTTGGTCGACGGAGAGGGACATATCAAACAGGTACTCCTTGGCTCGTGGTACGTCGCCCTGCTTCGCTAGACGGAGGGCCAGTTCGAGCACGCTGTCATCGGACAGTCGAACTCCCACACGGAGTAAGATGTCCCGAAGCTCGAGGGCGAGCATGACATCCTCCCGGGCGAAGATGGTGATGACGTGGTTGAAGACATCCGTGAGTAAGGCTTCATCCTGGACGGACTCCAAAGTCGCCGAGATCGCCATTTCGGTACCGGACCCAGACAGCAAGAGGGCAACCAGCTGCTCGTGAACCAAAGCGCGCAAGCTGGTGGATTTGGACGGCCCACACTCCCCTTCCTCCCACAGGCGTGCGGTCATGCAGAGTTGGCGACAAGCTTCGACAACATCGCGATTCTTGAGGCGGCCAGCGAGATGCATGAACGACACGCATATGGCACGGGTAGCCACGCGGGGTCGCACGGTGTGATCCAAGCCAGGGAGGGATGACCAGTGCTCCCACAACGCAACCAGCACTCTGTTCAGGCCCTGCACAACCGCGTCGGAGAACGGTACACCAAGGGAGTGGTCCTTGGACCGGATAGCATTCTGTAAGGAAGCCAGCGCGCATATCGTTTGCCAATCGACCACGGCCCCCCACCTGGCATAGCCGTTCGTTATGCTACCCCCGCCGGTGCGTCCAGGACTACTGGCGACGGCAAGGAGAAGGAAGCAGTTCCAGCGGTGTCCGACAGAGTTCTCGTCCAGGTGGTCGGGAGCGAAGACCTTCCGGGCGACGGAAAGTGCCCAAGATGACATCTCATGCTTCGATGCAGCGCTTGCTCGCGGAGTGTGTCGAACGAAGAGTGCATCTCGTAAGAAAGGAACCAAGTCGACGCTGTTCATCGGCTCACGGAGGTGCCCTGATCTATCACCGGACTCGGACATCGCTCTGAATCGGTTAGGCTGTGTCGCAGACCCAACAGCTTGTTCGCTCGGCGAACGCAGCAAACGACGCCATATAGCGTCTAAGACAGCCAGTTTGAGGTCCTCCTGCACTACGGCGGGCGGCCCGAGGACAGCTTGCCAGACGAGGGCCAGCAGTCTGGGTGGACAGCCATGATACCACACGAGGAGCTCCCACAGCCTTTTGGTCGCAACTTGGACGTCTAATGTGACTCGGCTTGAGAACATGGCTTCCAGATACGGGACGTGGATATCGACCGACGGGTACTGGCGAAGGCGCGCATAGTGGGTCTCGACTCTCTTCAACACTTGCGTTAGTTCTGCACTTAGCACTACTCACAGGAGTTAAGTCATAACCGAGATCAAGAAATCAATGGCACTTACAGGCACTGTTGGCTTCAACTTCAGGTGTCTTGAGAGCTTCGATGTCCATACGCATTAGCCAATAATGATCAGACGTATTCAGCGGAAGCTCATGCCCGAGCTTGTCCCTCGCAATGCGATCCACCATGACCCAGTGCGAACGATAAGAAGTGTCTGTCATGCACCCTGTCAGATAGTGTCCGTACGCAGAACGGTATGGTCGATGGAGAGCGGACAGCGAGAGCGATCCGAACAGCCTGATAAGGGCGCTGTACTCTTCCGGACGTAGAGAGCCGAGAAGCTTTTGAGCGCGGACGGAGTGATACAAGGAGCGGACACGAGTGACGGAGAGGCGACCCGCAGCTGAGCCAGTGATATTCGTAGCGAGGAGCACTCGTAGATTGTCAAGAGGAGAAGGGTGTAATGAAGCTTCGTGCGTGCGCGTGCGTCCGGGTGCCAGAGGTGCAGGAGTGGAGTCGGCGTGCTGATGGAGGCTGTGGACACGGTCGTCCGCGTGAGGACTTGTACGCGCCGCCTGTATATCTTGGGTAGAGACTTTGATATGTACACGGGGTAGGCTGAATGCCCCGGGCGCTGCAGCAGACAACGTCGTCGCTGCCAGCTCGCTGGGTGACGCTGGGATGATAAGTCTCGATGATCGCGCCCCTCTGGACACTGAGCGCGCCAAGATCGACGCGGCTCCTGCAGAACGGGAGAATCGATGTTCTCTACCGAAGCTAAGGAATGGTCGTAAGTCATGGAATGGATAAGAGGCCCTGCGTAATGGACAGTCTATAATCGTGTTGTGAGTCAAAGCACTGCAGAACGCACCGTCGTGCTACAGCAGCCCTAACGAAGCCGCCCACGTCTCGGACGGTTCGATGGCACCATCGCCACATTCCATTGCAGCTCCCCAGCTGCCCGTCTTGCTACGATGGTGTGTACGCTGCCCGGCCACTGAGACGTGTCAAGCGTGTCTGAAGAGGCAGACGCGGTCAGCGCGCCAGAATACGCAACAATCACAACCGCCGCCTGCAAACCAGGTCGCCAAGACAGTCGAGAAGAAAGCAGAGAAGGCACTCAGGCAGACCGTGCTCGCAGTAAGTCCAAACTTCAAGGTGAGTCGGAGTCGGCCGTGCCAGCAACCAACGAGCGCTTGAGCAAGATGCACGTGGCAGAGGGTCACGAGAGCCTGACCGGTCAATGCCGAGATGTAATCAAACTCTAAATGAGAAACTGCAGCCACCGCCCGCCACGACGGCATGCGCGACATCGAGAGGCGCGTTCCACACACACTCACGACCAGTCGCCTTGAAAAATCCTTTGGCACAGCAGGTGAGGCTCGCTGGTGTTGAGCGTAGCGTGCACAGCTAACAAGTCAGGGCAGAGGTCATAGGGAGGCGCTGATCCCCACGACATACCTCACACCACACACTCAACTCCTGTGAGTAGTCAGTATACGCGTGCATTCAATGCATATGATTTACATTGGCTTATAGCGCAAGCAATCACAATGGGTGCCACTCGCGCGCAGAAGGAACTGTACTTCGCCAAGCTCAAGGACTTGGTCGCCAAGTATCGTACGTCTATCATCTTGAGTTCATATGTACCTCCCATGAACCTGCGAATTAGCCTCCATCTTCGTGGTCAATGTCGACAACGTCGGTTCCAACCAGATGCATCAAATCCGTGTCGCGCTCCGCGGCAAGGGCATCGTCGTGATGGGCAAGAACACGATGGTTCGCCGTGCCCTCCGCTCCATCCTCGCGGAGTACCCCCAGTTCGAGCGTCTGCTCCCTCACGTCAAGGGCAACATCGGTTTCGTTTTCACTTCGGACGACCTCAAGGAGATTCGGGAGATCATCACGGCCAACAAAGTGGCTGCCCCCGCCCGTGCTGGTGCGCTTGCCCCCAAGGACGTCGTCATCCCTGGCGGTAACACCGGTATGGAGCCGGGTAAGACCTCCTTCTTCCAGGCTCTCGGTATCCCGACCAAGATCGCTCGTGGTACGATCGAAATCGTGACCGACGTCCAGGTCGTCACTGCCGGTACCCGTGTCGGCACGTCCGAGGCGACGCTGCTGAACATGTTGAACATCTCGCCGTTCACCTACGGTATGTCGGTCGTCCAGATCTTCGACCAGGGCAACGTCTTCACTCCGGAGGTCCTCGACGTCTCCGAGGATGAGCTCCTCAAGCGCTTCATGTCTGGTATCACGACCATCGCTGCCATCTCGCTTGCGCTCCACTACCCGACCCTTGTGTCCGTCATGCATTCACTGGTCAACTCTTACAAGAACCTCCTCGCTGTCTCCATTGCTACCGACTACACTTTCGAGGGCTCCGAGAAGGTACGTCACTCATTACACTTTGAAGGAGAGCGTCCAAGGATGCGTATTACACTTAACACTGAAAATGCTGAGCGTCTGAAGGACGTATGCTGTCCAAACAAGATTTCTGTTATCTGACGGACTATGCCTATATCGTCTTCTATTATCAATTGCGTGACTCACTGTTTTCCCATAGATCAAGGAGGTGCTTGCCAACCCGGAGGCTTTCGCTGCTGCTGCCGCCGCTGCGGCCCCTGCTGCCGATGCTGCCCCCGCCGCCGCCGCTGCCGACGAGCCGGCCAAGAAGGAGGAAGAGGAGGAGTCGGACGACGATATGGTATGGTTCTGATATTCTCGCCGCGGCACATTGACTCACCGTTGCATCACAGGGCTTCGGTCTCTTCGACTAGACGCTATCTGTACGCACGCTATCATGCTATGTATCGTCGCACGCTCAAAATACGGCGCGGGTCGCGCCCGTACTACTGTATCGACTAATCCACTTCGTTCGAGCTTCGACGGTCTGAGTGTGAGAAAGCTACGGAACAACGGACGACCTTGACCCCGGCCGCGATGCAAGCTTTCGACTTCGGGGATATGATATGTGAGCTGAGCCAGCTCATGACGCATTCAAATATGGCCACGAGGGTACTTGCCGCTCCGTACGAAGCCGTATCGGTCAGGCGGTCGACATTTACTCCCGCGAGAGAACTGGTCCCATTTCTCATTGTTTGCCGTTGTATGATCCAATCCACTCCTGGTTTATAGGGATCGGTGTCGTCGCTCACTCGCCCTCAACTTTCTCCGTCATCGCACTCTCCTGATCCACGATGCCAGCAGTTGCCGCAGGTAGAGTGCTCGTCACCGGTGTCAATGGGTACATTGGTATATGGGTTGCCCGGGTGCTGCTCGAGAAGGGCTACACTGTTCGCGGCACTGTCCGTTCTGAGGGCAAGGCGCAGCACATCCGCCAACTGTTCAAGCCTTTCGGCGAGCAGTTTGAGATGGTGATTGTGCCCGATATCACCAAGGTACACTGGTCTTTGATCCGGTCCATCTAGAGACTGTCCTTATTGACGCACATGCATGTTAGGCCGGGGCATTCGACGAGGCCGTCAAGGGCATGGACGCCGTCGAGCATACCGCCTCCCCATATCACTTCAAGGCGGGCGATCCCAACGAGCTCATCGTGCCCGCCCTGCACGGCACGACGCGCGTGCTCGAGTCCACGCTCGCGTACGGCAGCTCCGTCAAGCGCGTCGTGATCACGTCGAGCGTTGCGGCCGTGCTGGAGGCGAAGTCGACGCCGCGCGTGTTCACGGAAACGGACTGGAACGACGAGTCCGTCGTGGAGGTGCGCGAGAAGGGCGTACACGCGAGCCAGGCGGGCAAGTACCGCGCGAGCAAGACGCTCGCGGAGCGGGCGGCTTGGGACTTCGTCGAGAACAACAAGGGGAGCATTGGCTGGGATCTGGTCGTGCTCAACCCGCCGATGGTGTTTGGCCCGGCTATCCATGAAGTGGGCGCGCCCGAGGCGCTCAACGAGAGTATGCACAATTGGTTCCATAGTGTCTTCCGTGGTTCGCAGGACCCGAAGCAGCTTGGAACGTTGGGGTATGTAGTCCTCAGTTCTGGTTCCTATGGTTGATTTACTCGGTGATGGGGGTGTAGGATGGCTTGGGTTGACGTGCGCGACCTCGCCGAGGCGCATGCGCTTGCCATTGAGAAAGAGGAGGCTGGCGGTAACCGAATCATCATTGCGTCTGGTCCCTACAAGTGGCAAGACTGGAGTATGTACTGTCAAGGATCGTGCCACACTACGGCGCTGACGTGGCCCTGTTATTGTAGTCAATGCTTCGCGTGCGGCGGGTGCGCCTGCGCCGCCCGGCGACCAGTCCTACGACCCAGCGAAGGCCGTGCATATGTTGAACTTCGATCACTCGAAGAGCATCAAGGTGCTCGGACTGAAGTATCATAGCATCCAGGAGACCACCTCGGACATCGTGGGGGACCTGAAGGCCAGGGGGTGGCTCTGACTCTGAGCTGAGCATGCATGTTTGGGTTATTGGAGATTGGAAGGGCGGAGTTGTCGTTAACTATGATGTAGCATTAGCACCGCGCAAATGGAGGCACGAAGCCGTGCTTAGCAGTCCGAGGAATTCACGGGTTGCAGAGTCTGAACAATCGATCGAAGTTGCATTTGAGTGGGACCTCCGAGTCCGCTGACCGTTTAAACGTTTATCCTTGGTCATCGCGCTCACTGCGACACTGCTGAGCATCCGGTGGATGTCATCCACACGAGCTAGCGTTGTATTGCGGTTTGAGACCACTTCTGCTCCAGGTGGGGCCATCCCTGCGGGTAAGTTGCCATGACTCGCATACAACCACGTCGAGCCAGTGCAAGATCGATATCAGTGCAGTCATATGCATGTCAGGACTTCAGAGCTTCAGCGCTTCGCTTGAACTGACGGCGGCGGGAGTAGCGGGTTGCCTGCGGGTTGCTTATCGTGATTGTATATACGTTAACGTTCATCTGCGCGGTCCCACCGATGGCCCCGAGGATCGCAAGCGGCTCACATGCCAAATGGAATGGCGTAACTTGCGGGCTGGACTTGTATATCACTGGCACACGGTCAGAAAGAGAGGGACCGCGTCCAACTTTCACATCCCCCCTCGCCCCCTGTATCCCCAGCCTCTCTGCATAACACCGAAGCTCCAACGAATCCACGTTCATTATGGTTGCAGTCCAGGCAGGAAAGGTGCTCGTGACGGGCGCGAATGGATTTATTGCGATGTGGGTCGTAAAGTCTCTCCTCGACCAGGGCTACATCGTCCGTGGCACGGTACGCTCGGAGAGCAAGGCGAAACACGTCCGCGAGGTGTTCTCTCGCTATGGCGATAAGTTCGAGGTGGTCATTATTGACGACATCACGAAGGTACGTCCGTTTCTGCGCACGCGCGAAGCCTTATACACTTGCCCGTTCGAAAGCACGCTGAAGCGTACTATCTACACAGCCTGGAGCGTTCGACGAGTATGTCAAGGACATCGATGCTATCGAGCACACCGCGTCGCCCTTCCACTTCAAGGCGAACGACCCGGACGAGCTCATTATCCCCGCTGTGCACGGTACGACGCGCATACTGGAATCCGCGCTCGCACACGGCAAGAACGTGAAGCGCATCGTCATCACTTCCTCCACAGCTGCCGTGCTCTCTATACAGAGCACGCCGCGCACATTCACGGAGGCAGATTGGAACGAAGCCGCGATCCAGCTCGTCCACGAAGAGGGTGCGAAGGCACCCAACGCCATGAAGTACCGCGCGAGCAAGACGCTCGCGGAGAAGGCCGCCTGGGAATTCGTGGAGAAGAACAAGGGGGTCTTGGGCTGGGACTTAGTCGTGCTGAACCCGCCGTATGTGTTCGGCCCCGCCATACACGAAGTCGGCGCCCCAGAGGCGCTGAACGAGAGCATGCACGACTGGTTCCACACAGTGTTCAAGGGCTCGAAGACGAAGGAGCAGCTGGCGTCCATCGGGTAGGTGATCTTGACTGTAATTCGAAGTGCCGTAATGAATCCTGTTGACGCGTTCCGTGTATGCAGATCATGCTGGATCGACGTCCGCGATCTCGCGGAAGCGCACGTCCTCGCGATCAAGAAGCAGGAGGCAGGTGGCGAGCGGATCATGGTCTCGGAGGGTCCCTACAAATGGCAGGACTTCGGTGCGTCAGACCGGTTCATTTATGCTTACGATACACCTTTGAATCGCAATGCCGTTGGACCACAGTCGACGCCGCACAGAAGTTCTACCCCAATGTCTCTCCACGCGATGAAGCCTACAACCCCGCGAAGGCGACCCACCAGATTCAGTACGATACGTCGAAGGCCGCCAAGGTGTTGGGAATCAAGTACCACTCGATTGAAGAGGGCACCAAGGACATGGTTGAGGACTTCAAGGCCAGGGACTGGATCTAAAGACATGGACTTACATGCAGAAGGAAGACCTAGAAACTGATTCGGAGTGTACTTTCTGATGTTTGTGGGTGCATTGAACAAAGGTGAAGATGCGCCAGCTGGAAGCATACTAGCATTGCTGCAGCAGCTAGTCAATGAAATGTCTGGAGAATCTTGTCAGTCTGATGGGCACAGTAGAGGGGATACACTTCGTTGACCAGTCCGGCGGGACCAATAGTGGTACTGAGCAGTGTCAGCACGCTGCTGCAGAGTCCGAGTAATTGAGGAGGGCTACTAAGTGGCTGCAGCTGTGATGACAGAATTCATACACGAGATCGAGTGCGATCCGGACCATCGCCGCCGCCGGTACATCCGCGAAGCATAGCGTGAATTCCTGATGCACAGCAACCGGTGCTACGATGCTTCAGAGCAGCTCTGTCACAGGCCGATCACGTCGATCTCAGCGATTCGGAACACAGGTCGTTGACAGATCGCGATGCGCGTGGAGGTTCCAAGCAAACTCTGAGCAGAGCTCGGCGCATGCGTCTCCTTCCGGCCACCAACCGGTCGTCCTCAGCTCTACTTCGTGGGCTGATGGGACGGGCGCTTGCACGGCAGCAGGTACGCCCGCATACGCAACGCACCTCCGCGGGAAGGACTTGTGCATCCATCGGCACCCACCCGTCTGTCCGAGCGGGTCATCGCGTTCTCCGGCGTCCACTGAAACCCCCCCTCCGAATGGACTTCCCGGCTATTCAATGCCTTCAATATCAAGTTTTGCGGTACATGCACAGTTGAAGCCTTGGCCAGCGCGTGGGCAGCATAATATATAAGCGGCGCGAGGTCTGTGTATCGACTCACCAACTCAACGACCCATACAACTACTCCATACGATTTAGTTCTCGCCTCACCATGCCAGCAGTGACTTCAGGGAAGGCCTTGGTGACCGGAGCCAACGGCTTCCTCGCCATGTGGCTCGTGCGCAAGCTGCTCGAGCGCGGCTTCTCCGTCCGAGGGACCGTCCGCTCCGAGAACAAGATTGCACCGCTCAAGCAGGTCTTCGCCGAATACGGCGACAAGCTCGAGTTTGCCATCGTCGAGGACATCGCCAAGGTACGCGCGTTCCCTCTGACCACACGTAGACACTCACCTCAGCGCCCAACAGGAGGGCGCGTTCGACGAGGCCGTCAAAGGCGTCGATCTGATCCAACACACGGCGGCGCCCGTGCACATGAACGCCGTCGAGCCCGACGAGCAGATTATCCCCGCAGTGAACGGCACCCTGCGCATTCTCGAGTCCGCGCTCGCATTCGGGACGTCCGTCAAGCGCGTCGTCTATACCTCCACGTGCGGCGCGATCCGCGAGCTAGGGACGACGCCGCGGCAGTTCTCCGAGGCGGACTGGAACGAACGTGCCGTGACGGAGGTGCGCGAGAAAGGGCGCGAGGCGGCCCAGCTCGTGAAGTATCAGGCGAGCAAGGTGCTAGCGGAGCGCGCCGCGTGGGAGTTTGCCGAGAAGAACAAAGGGAAGATGGGGTGGGACCTGGTCGTGTGCAACCCGCCGTGGATCCTTGGGCCGACGCTCCAACCTGTGAGCAAGCCTGAGGAGATGAACGAGAGCATGAGGATCTGGTACCAGGGGTTCATCAAGGGTACGGACCATCTCGGAAACCCACAGAAAAGGAGTTCTTCACGACATTTGGGTGTGTGTTGTTCGCGAGGTTACGAAAGTTGCTGACGAGGTCTGGTGCAGAATGACCTGGATAGATGTTCGCGACGCTGCAGAAGCCCTGATCATCGCCGCCGAGAAGGAAGAGACAGCTGGCGAGCGTATCATCATTTCAAGTGGACCTTGGAAGGGCCAAGACATATGTGAGTGTCCTCAGATACTATGGGGCAGATGGACTGACTATGACCCTCCCAGTGAACGCGGCTCGGAAGTTTTACCCCAATGTACCTGTGGGAGACGATACATACGACCCTGCGACGACGACGCACCTCACGACGTTTGACACTTCCAAGGCCGACCGACTGCTCGGTCAGAAGTATCTCACTCTCGAAGAGTCGACACGTGACATCCTCGAGCAGTTCAAGAGCAAGGGGTGGATCTGAAGAGCGAGGAGTCAGTTGTACGAGACATGTTCACAGCAGAGTGTACAATACCGATATGAAGTTGTTATTTATCACCAGGCTACATATTGTGTCTTGACTAGGAACTGCAAACGTTTTTCTCGGACTTCAGGTTGCGACCGCTAGCAAGTGCGTTCGGTCATCGCCGACCAGCTCTGCGCGCACCCGCGTCCGGATCGCTGTGAATGGTCGAAGAACCTACAGTTACAGGCTCCCGCGCCGGTCATGGTTAGGAACGAGCCAACGGACTGAAAGCAACGGCTCGGCTAATGCTACATATGGATATACGAGGACAGTCCCAATACAAAAAAATCGTCAGTCATCGAAGCCAGACATGTCTATATCATAGAAGAAATGCTGCACATCTGGCTCAGTACCACTTGCGCCCAGACATAGCATAGTGCACGCACCTTGTATAAGCTCATGACCTTGACGACCCACGCCTCAAGATGGAAGATCTTCTTGTTCCCGACCCGCATGCGCATCTCGTATATTGCGGCCCAGTGCATGATGTCTGCCTTCAGACTCTCGTCCACCTGGTCGACAACCCGGTCTGCGATCGTCTGTTCGCCAAATCGTTTGTCAACTATTCGCTACAATGAGGAAGGAGCATACCTTGAGGACAATCGTGGGCGGGATGCAGTGGCTGAGGAGTTCGTACAGTTTTGCGCGGACGTCCATCACGCGTTGTGGGGACTGTTCTTGGACGATCATGTCCGCTACTTTATGGCAGTATGTCTCCCAGTCGGGCTTCGCGATTGTCAGTGGCTTGTCGAGGTCAGTACTGCGCAATGCATCAGTGAATTTACCCCAGGACGCTCTTGTAGTGGCAGAGTACTGACGATTGCATCTTGAGTGCTTCAAGGACGAGAATGGCTTTGCGGAGGTTGCCGTTTGAGTCCTCGGCGATGTCGTGCGCGATCTTGTCTGGGACGTCGAAGCCCTCCTTCTTGCCGACGTATCGTAGCACCTCGATCATCTGCACCGGGAGGGACATGAATGAGGCCCATCAAGTCCATTGTGACGGCGACACCTCACCTTGTCCTCATCCGGTGCTGCGACTCTCATAAGGAGGCACCGACTCTTGATGGGTGCAATGAGCCGTGACGTTGAGTTGGCGCAAAGAATGATTCGCATGTTAGACATGTACTTCTCCATCGTACGACGAAGAGCTGCTTGTGCATCTCGCGTTAGTGAGTCCGCTTCGTTGATGATGACCACTGCAAGTGAATGTCAGGGTCCATATCGATGTGTCAAACGATCAAATGGTGGACCTTTGAATCGTTGTTTTGCACTCATGTCTACTTGCTGAGTTTGCGCAATCTCCTTCAAGAGCTCCTGAATTACCACTCGGTCATAATTTCCAACTTCACTGTGGTCGAAGTGTGTCATGTCCTGCAGGAATGCGATCACTCGATGCGACACTGACCTCGGTGTTATCTCGATATGGAAGTTGCTCTGCACGATGTTCACGTCGAGTTTCCGCTTCGATGGGGTCAGGAAGACTCGTTGGTCAATTTTGAGCTATTAAAATGTCCTGCATTGAGTATCACAGTTGTTCGAAGAATAAACATATTCAGACGCACACCTTCTCTACACCTTTCCCAAAGAGCTCACGCAGTGTGCAGGCGATCCTCGTCTTCTTGCCCGCCCCAGAGGGGCCGTAGAAAAGCATGTGCGGAAAGTCTCCAGAGGCCGCCTGATCAAGACATATTCGCGAGTCAGCGGAAAAGAAGTCTATGTTCTGGGAGGATTTACTGACTAGAGCGCGAAGTCGTGCTGAGAGGCCCGCGTGATAGTGCAGGTCGTCAAGGATGCGCGGTCGGTGCTGCTGCGAATGAACATCCACAAGAGCTAAGAGTATAACGTGCACTCGTACCTTATCAACCCAAAGAGACATGACAGGTCAGAAGAGAGTTGGTAGATTTAGGAGCTGCTCGACTAGGTTTCCGCGATGTGGTTGTGGCTGGGTCGTGGCGGTTGGAGCCAGACGCGTTCCGTCACGCGTGACACAACGCGTCGACCGTGAGACGCTCGGGAAGCCAAGCGCCCACACATCGCAAGTTGGCAAGTAACTTAACTCTGTCCAGTATCCACGTCTTTTACAACAATGCGATTGCTATCCTCAAGGGTTCTGCAACGAACTGTCAATATCATATAATACTCATCGAGGTCTTGCGGCCGATATCTCTCGCATTTGGCAGCCGAATTAACAGCGCCGGTCAACCTGCAATATGACAAGCTTGTGCCGAAGGATGGGAATGCGACGGAGAGACCGCTGGTCATCTTGCATGGCCTGTTGTACGTTCGCAGCATCTTCGCCGTGTCATTTTTCTCATTGGGTGAAGCGGAATGAAGAGGAACTGGCTTTCACTTTCGAAAGCATTCCTCCGGGACCTAGACAAACCAATATACGCGCTAGTGAGTCACATACTTGCGCACACCCATCTCACCGTCGAACTTAAGCAGGTATAGGATTTGCGTAACCACGGGACCTCCCCTCATGCGCGACCCATGAACTATGCCGCCATGGCTGTAGACGTCTTGCACTTCTTACGCACACACTCCCTCACGAATGTCTCTCTGCTCGGTCATTCGATGTGAGTGCCCGGCCGAAAGGTTGCGCACGTTTCTGATGTACTCGGAAGGGGAGGGAAGGTTGCGATGTCTGTTGCGCTCAGCCCCGAGTGCCCACAGGACCTCAAGCACCTCATTGTTGCGGACATCTCGCCCGCGAAAGGTCCCCTCTCGCCGGAGTTCAGCGGATATATTGAAGCGCTGAAGAAGATCGAATCTAGCCAAGTGACGAACCGGAAGGAAGCACAGGACATCCTGAAGCCATACGAACAAGTAGGACACGCGTCATGTATTGTGGGCTTCGTGCTGACTCCATCAGGATGCAATGACCCGCGCGTTCCTCCTCACGAACCTCAAGCATCAGGGACACGAGCATCTTCCGCTCGAATTTCAGATACCCCTGGAGATCATCGGCGACAGCATACCTGATATAGGCTCCTTCCCGTATGAACCCGGTGAGCGGACTTGGGAAGGCAGCACGCTCTTTATCAAAGGCACGAAGAGCAAGTGGGTCACTCCCACCGAGCCAGCAAACAAGGGGGATATCTAATGTTGGATCTAGGTACATCAACGACCGTAACATACCCGTCGCTAAGCAGTTCTTCCCGAATATGGTGCTGGAACATCTGGAGGCCGGCCACTGGGGTGAGTGAGATCAATACATCGGTCGTTCTATTGTGCTTAACATTGACAATCGCTAGTACATGCCGAGAAGTAAGTGCGATCTTGACGATATATCATTCAACACAGCTGACTCCTGATCGTTAGGCCGAACGAGTTCAAGCACTTGGTGACGGACTTCATTAGGACACGACAGTAGTCCATAGACTTTGAGTGGTGTGCAGCATGACGTTGAGTAGAGTGCTGTGCCGTGTGGCTTCCTACGTTACCCTAGCCGTGCTATTGGGACGGCAGGCCGAGTGGATTGGCATGTGCGTACTCAGTTCTTGTGCTCCGGCCGTGCTTCTCGTTGTTCGAGATTGCTGTCCGTGCCCTTGCGCTATCTCCCTGAATCTGAGATCTGAGATATCTGGACGGTGCCATATGCAACGAGTGTCGATCCGGCTGACCATAGAGCGCGGCGACAATATGTATGTACCACTACAGGTGTGTACACATATGCTGAGAGAGTATGCAAGCTCGGATTCGGTAGCTACTTGTCCTCATACGCTGTCCTTCATTCGCGCTGCCCACTCGTTCAGACAGGCTGCCAGTTGACCCCGATGTCGGGTAAGTCGAGGATTCTGATCTTGACTAGCACAGCTTGGACCAAGTCAAGATCGAAGCTGCAACGTGTTGGGGCGGACGGTGTCGTCAGCCTCACGGTCGCCTACTTCTACGCTACCGGCTTCCCTCCTCCCTTCTCCTCGTACTCTCATCGAGCCCGTGAACGCCTTCAGCAGTCCCGGTCATGTTGAACCAACGGTACTTCCGCTTCACACTCTCACTGTTCCTCACACTCTGCCTCTGTATGGCCCATGGCGAGTACTTCGACTTCCTCGAGCCTCTCGCACACTTGGTCACGCCCGAGGCTCGGTACATGTCCAACGGCATCCTGCTCTGGATATTCGTTCACTTCGGCTTAGTGGTGGTCTTCTTCGGTCTCATCAACGTCTACGTGGGCTACCTCCGGCTTTGTTATCGGTTCGCTTGGTTCGTTAGAGGGCGTGTCGAGGTATGTCACCGCGCCTATGTGCATTGAGTTTCTCGTAACCTCACCCATCTAGGAATGGGTCGCCGGCATTCATCCTCAACGCCAGCGCCAGGTTGACCTTCCTAGGCCTGCTTGCGTCAGGGTAGCCACTGGCACTGACCATGTCGCGGAACTGGTCGCCAACTCCGCTTCTGTCTCTCCAGTCGACAACTCTCGTCCTGTTTCTCCTGACTCTGGTGCTCGTGATGCTACCGAGGAACGGAACGACTTGCCAGTGGACACAGGTCTGTGTCCCGCCACCGAGTCGACTTCGACAGACGCATGGTCCGACGGATCCGCCCAAGCATCGTCCTCGCTCACTGTGTCTCCTGAGCCTGTCAGCCTGGTCCTCAAATCCGACCGCGCCACGCCACCTCCAGCTTCCTGTCTTGTCAGCCCTGCACCCGCTCTCCCCATTGATACCGTGCCCAAGTCCAAAGCCGACAAACTGCAAAAGGAGATCGTCATGCTGAATACCCAGCTGTACAAGCAGAGCAAGGAGATGTCCCGGCTGGAATTGGAGAAGGAGAAGCTCAGGAAGTCGCACACCGAAGTCCAGCTTCAGTCTTATAGGCTACAGACCCAACTCGAGGATGCGAAGCGCGACACGGCGAGCCTCCAGGATGGCCTCACTCGTGTTCACGCGGAAACCGCCGAGAAGGTCAGCAGCCTGAACAGCAAGGTCACGGCTTCGGAGGAGCGTATCAAGGATCTCGGGTACGAAGTGGACACTGCTAAGGCTGAGACAATGGCTCTGGAGGGTCTCGTTGAGGCTCGCGACCGCGCACTGGCCGACTCTGCTGAGGAGAACCAGAAGGACAAGGACACGATTGGCCGGCTTCTTCGAAACGTCGAGGAGAACCGGAAGCTCGCCCTGCGTCTCAGGCTCGAACTGGATGCTCAGATCATGAAGAACACCCCGCAGCAGCCTCGTACATACCCGGTAGTCAAGCGGCAACTCGTGCACAAGGCTCCCTCTTCCAATAACTCTGACATTCGGTGGACCCCGCACATGTACGTCCAGGAACTGAACCGCCAGAAGTCTATCGCACGTCACCACATCGAAGCGGTGCGCCAGGAGGCAGACGCGACGATCAACGAGCTCAAGGCCGCTCTGGCGACTATGGCTGGGCAGCGCAACAAGTTCGAGGCCGAAGTCGACTCCGTAACTACCAAGCGCAAGAACCTTCAGGCCAAGGTCGACTCTCTGACGTCTCGCAATGCTGCTCTCGAAGAGGACGTGCGCGACATCACCGCGGCAAGGACCACCGCCGAAGAGGAAGTCAAGCACCTCTCGGCAGCTCTGCTCGATCAGCCCGCCTGCATCTGCGGTGCTGCCGTTGGGCGGAGGACGAAGGGCAGGCTCGCGAAGGCCGTCGATCTCTACGCGAAGCACGCACGCGCCCTCCGCTGCATCCAGCGCAAGCACTCGGACGCGACTACTGCTGAGCTCGCTTCAACTCAGAGCTCGCTCGCTACTGCGGAGGCCCACCTCAAGGCCGTGCGTGAGGACCTCGGCATCCTGCAACGGGCGATCGACAACGCGTATGCTCCTCTGGGTCCTACTATGATGGCGCACCTCGCCGCTAGGGGCCTTCATCTTCAGAGGGCCCTGAGGCACGACGAACAGGTAGCTTTGATCTCGGATTTCGCAATGCTCTTGGCGAACGAGGGTTCTGGTGCTGTTTCTGGTTCTGTTTCGGTCGATATGATGGTCTGCGACGAAGACTCTGGTCAGCCTGAAGCGATCGATGCGATGGAGTCGGTGCATGTGGAAATGGCGTCTCTCTGCTCTGCGCCTGATCCGGATGCCACTCTGGTCGACACGGACATGGACATGGCGACCCCGGACAAGGAGATCGTCCCAGTCGGTGCCAGCGTCCCCCTCCACTGGACACAACGGCAGCCTTCGGCCACTCCCAGCACCCCTATCCCCTCCGTTCCTCAGGCCGCAGCCACCTCAATGACCGACGTACAGATGGCGCCTCCCTCTGTACCTCAGCACAAGAGCACGCCAGCTCCGGGCGCGCCCAGGAAGCCCGTTGCGGCGGCGCGGGCTAAGGCACCCAACACGCTCGCCTCTCCAACGCCGAAGGGACGCCCGGGCACCCTGCAGACTATCTCTGAGTCTGAGTCACTGAAGCTCTTTAGTGAGCTGGGAGAGGAGGAGCAAGAGGTGTGTGTGCTGTCTGCGCGATAGCGGTGTTCAGTCGCTGATCTCCTTCAGGCACTGGCCAGGGTGCTCGAACAGGCGCTCGCTTCCCCTTGAAGTCCACATACGGACGGACGGGGGCAGTAGAAGGCGAGGGCAACGGCCCATAAACCAGCAACGGGGAGAAAAACGGACACACTCGCACATTTCTTGGTTCCTCATCAATCATCCGGATCTTGGTTCGTGCATTCATATATCTCTTAACATGTCTGGACAGGTACGCGTATTCCTCTGTCGTTATCCGCACAATTGCTGACTGTCTTTAGTTTTGACAACATCTTGGTCACGGCTACTTCATGTTCGTTCAGACATTCAATATCGAGATTCCTGAAGTCACGCATCATCATCGTCAGGCCTATGCATCTTACACGTCGTGAATATACCCACTTGGTTCGTCTTCTTCATCTCTGACGTGTCTCTACTGACACAGTATACTTGTGGCAGCGGTCACAAGTAACATTGTGCGGAGCTCGTCGCTACCCCCACCTACCTGTATCATGCGAAGACGTCATGCGAAGACGATCATATACCCGATGCCTCGGCCCTGTTATCCGGAGGGTCTGCAGCAGCTCGATGTGCTCTCCTTACTTACGAGTGGTTTGAGCAGCCTCGACACACTCGTCCATTCATCTTTATTCATATTTATTCTGGAATCTGGACTCAACTACGGTGTATCCTTGGAATTGGTTTCTAGAACATGTCGTCTGTGTATCATGTAACGGATTGGAATGCAACTGGGTTCTCTGGAATCGATGAGTGAAGTCGCAGTTTCCGCACACCTGTTTTGCGCCTACTTTCTATCCGCGTTCAACGATCGAGTTGACCACAACATTTCACACTTGCTTCTGCGAGTACACTCGCATTGTGGGGACAGTGACCTTTACACATCCGGAATGGGGTACAAACACTACAAACAGCGGTGCGAAGCACGTTGTACAACCTCTACACGTTATTATTGTACTACACAGAACGTCGCATAGTTCACAGCAAATAAATAAGTATTGGCGACCGTCTACTAGTCGTTGGGTCCAGATAGATCTTTCGTCGGTTCACGCTCTGTCGGCTGCTTGAGACTCATCACCTGAAGCGTCCTCGCCCACGGCATGCGAGTCAGTCTGCTCTATGTACAACCGAGTTGTCCGGGTCGCTCTCCTCTTGGCCTTGCAGATCTTCCAAGTCATCTGTGTGATCAAGAATGCTGTCTAATGCGGCCTTTAGGGCGGAGGTGGGGTGCCAGTCCTTCAGGGTGATCGGCTCGCCATATCTCCAAAACCTCGCCGACGATCTTGTCCGTCACGTCGGTCCAGTCCTTCTTTTCGGCGAAGCTGCGGTCCTCCGTCAACTGGTCCACGGCGGTAATGGCAAAGTAGTGTCCAGCCCAGCGGCCGCGGTGGAAGGGCCCTTTATAACGCATGCTGACCGAAGGGTCCGACGACCAGCAGATCTGCGTGAGGAGGACGTGCCCGAGGCTGAGAAACGTAGTTGTCCAAGGGCCACCGTCACAGTCCGTGCCCGTGAGCTCCGCGACGGCGCTGACACGCACGTATTGCGCGAGCGTCCAGTTGCACAGGATCCACTCGGTCTCGGGCGTCTCATCCCACGAGTAGTCGAGCTTGGCTAAGTCGTACAGCTCATCCCTCTCGTCAGGGGACAATCGACCCTCCGAGGCGCACCAATCGAGCTTCTGGTCCCACCATTCGGCCGCATACCGGTCACGGTTGCAGAGCCAGGTCTCGGCTGCGTTGTACAGACGTGTGCCGTTCGGGCCGTCCTTCGTCTCGGGACAGTCGCCGCTGAGTGACTCCTTCTCATCCTCCTGTAGGATACCAGGAGGCAGATCATCGCCCTTGAGGTAATTCGCCGATGCAGATGAGACGCTGCAGAGTCCACAGCGCATTGAGAAAGCGCAGTCCCTCGTAGATGTGTTTCTCGGCGATGACCCGGAGGAATGTGTTGGTGAGCGCGAGGTAGACGGCGTCGAAGATGTTGTCGAGTTCGATATGATCGAATATGAGATCCAAGACGTCGAAGGGGAGGTTCAGCGCGCCCAGATCACGCGGATCCTTGCTGTGGCCGCGTTCGGTGGAGCGCTGATATGGCTTGGGCTGCCAGGCCTGTCAGCCCGCGACTCCGACGTGTATAACTCGGTGCCCTCACCTTGCGAGGGATGGAAAGCAACCAGACTAGTCTTTCCGGATCATCACAGAGAATCAACTCGTTGAGCTTCCTGCCAGTGGATTCGTAGTTAATCCTCTCCCTCCTGTCGATGTTAATTCTGACAGAGGTCACATGTTCATCAATCTTAGCCAGCGTGAAGAGCAATATTAATGTGTATGTTACTTACAAGTTCCAGTGCTGGCTCATCCCAGCAGTGAGAAGTGCTTGTTTATACGGAGGCCGGGCGGAATATGAATGGGGTTGTACTTGTAGCCTGAACTGCAATACTTACTGCTAAGTCCGAGAGAGTCTGTCACGGTACATCGCGGAATCTGCACGGCGGTGTTACCACCAGGTACATCTTATCGACGAGCGGCAGTCCGATCGATAATCATAAGCCCCGATTAGGCATTACGGGTTTACTATCACTACGGCCACCCCCGCCCCGCCTCATAACAGTCTGTCGGTTCCCCGGTGCGCGATCAACAACCTGACCTCTGCTCATCCTTTCATTGTCTGGCTGTGCTTCACTGGACCATAGGTTGTCCGTTCTCTGCCGGTATGTTTCGCTTGTGATAACTCTGCCATCAGGTTGTGTAACAAATGCCAGGACTTCAATGGCCTTACGGTCAATCATCCTACAATGGACATACCGACCTTGTCATGAGCGAGTATCGCCCACGAAGCAGCAGCCTGGCTATGGTCACGGTCGCCGGCGATTTTGCGCAAGACCGCTGTCAGTCTGCCCTAAACACAGTCCCAACTCCGACCGTGGGTGGTACGTCGCACTGCGCACAATAACTCGACTCGCTGGCACTCACCTCCTACCACCGATCACCCTGCCCACCCCCTAATCCACCGTCTACTCAGTGCAATCAACTCCATGCTCAAACAGCACCCAGGGATCGTACTCACGCTCCGGTGGGTTCCGGGCCACCGCGACATGGCAGGCTATGAGCATGCCAACCAAGAAGCGAAGAAGGCAGCGCGAGGCAACAGCAGCTCCGCGGTCAACCTCCGAGTCCTTGCTGGCTCACGCGGACGAGCGAGAGGGCAAGCAAATAGGCATTGCATGCCTACTTGCGCGCCCTCTCGCTCATCCGTCGCCAGTATTGGCCTTCTTACCAGCTCGCTTGCCCGCCCACTCTTTCTCGCCTGCGCCCATCTTCGCTGTCTCGCCCACCTGCCCGCTCGCTCACCAACCTACCCGCATGTTCACGCACACCCGCCTGCTTGTCCCCGGTTTCTATTGTCCGCCTGCCCACTCTCGCCCACTTATCAACCCGCCAGCACCCCGCCCACGTTACCTCTTGCGTACGCTCCCGTTTTTCCACGCTCCCGTTCGCCCGCTTGCCCGCGCTTCCTTTCACCTGCACTCTCGCTCGCTCATCTACTTGTCCCGTTCGCCTGCTTACATTGTCCACCCACCCACTCGCTCGCGCTCGCCCAGCTGTCCGCTGTCCGGCGTTCAGAGGCTGTCTCGTTCGCGCTTTCTCTCACGCTCGCCTGCCCACCGTCCTGTTCGGCAGAATCAGCCTCCGAGTCGCTGGCGACTTCAAGCACTGCACCTGTGGCTGCTCTTGGCTCAGCAATACTGATACTGACAGCTCCCGGCGAGTCCACTGGCGGGTCAGGCGTAGGGTACGATCGTCCGAGTCCATGTTGTATAAAAGATGTAGTCGTTATTAGCCGAATACATTGCGATTCAATTTTCATCTATTCCGGGTGATACGAGCGCTCAGTGCGGCCAAGTGAGGAGCGCGCACTCGTCCTGTCAATGGCCGACGACGGACTATCGGGCTAACAATAGACTGCTCAAGCTAAGATAACCCTGTTTAGTTACTTACTAGCCTCGCATATCGTAACGGACGATGGTCGGGCGTTGTACTTCTGACGGAAATTAATCAGCGACTCTCGGCCTTTTGATTGTCTAACAGCCTGTTGTAGTATGACCGAATATCTACTGGCGAAAACCGACCCATTCCAGCCACATCATCAGTCTGTTAGTTCTGTTAGTTCTGTTAATCGATGCTTTGGCTATGTCAGGTCGCCGTCGGTCTGATGCCAATTTTGCGATGTACAGGGAGTCTGTACTTCAACTTGTTCGCCACAGATGGCCATAGATTCCCACGGCATTGGCCACCCGGGAGCACCCGGGTTCGTGGCTGCTGCGGTTGCGCACTGTGGGCGTGAATTGAGCGGAACGGAAAGGAAAGATACTCGATAGTATGTACTCGATACTGGCGTCGGAAAGGCGGGGCAACTAAGTTTCTCCAAGTCGAGCGAGAGCGTCAGTTCACCGCGCGCAAGTTTTGTGCTCATCTTGAACCGTCAGGCCTCGGCGCTCAGCGCTCAGCCATTACCCTCAGTACCCACCGATGCACCGTGAACGGATGCGCGTCGCGTTCGCAATCTCAAAGTACCAGGACGCAAAGGAATAACGGAAAATAAGTGATACAGTGATATAAAGTAGATTGCACATACAGCGATGTTGTGAGATAGTAATACAGTCGTGCAAGACATCGGGAGACACAGTTCACCTAGGTTCGTGTTCCTTCATTGCTCTGTACTCCGTCGGCGTCGTCTGGATGCAACTCCCGTCACAGCTTCCCAGTTCGCTTGTCGTATATCCGACTCGGAAACGTCTGAGTCGTTCTCCTGTTGACTTTACAAAAATTCCTCGTCTGTGAAATCAGGAGTCCTGTCGTTGAGGTAGCCTTCAGGCCGGAGGTGCGGTACCAGTCTCTCAGGTGCCTTGGCTCTCCATATTTCCAAGACTTCGCCGACGACCTTGTCGGTCACGTCCGTCCAGTTCTCCTTGTCCGCGAAGCTACGGTTCCGTGTTAATTGGTCCACAGTGGTGATGGCGACGTAGTGCCCAGCCCACTCGCCGCGGCGGATGGGTTGTTCGTATTGCATGTCCGACGACCAGCAGATCTGCGAGAGGAGGACATGGCCGAGGCCGAGGAAGTTGTCTGTCCAGGGGCCATCACAGACGGAACCGGTGAGGTCGGCGACAGCGCTGGCGCGGACATATTGTGCAAGCGTCCAGTTACACAGGATCCACTCCGTCTCTGGTGTCCCATCCCATGTGTAGTCGAGTTCAACCAACGCTCGCAGTTCACGGCGCTCGGCGCGGGTTAACTGGCCTTCGGTGGCGAGTCGGGAGAACTTGAATTACCAATATCTACGCTCCTCCTTATCATTGAGCCAGATGTCGAACGCGTCGAATAGACAAGAGTTGCATATGCCGGACTTGGGATCGGGATTGTGACCGCTGAGCAACTCCTTCTCTTTCTCCTTGAAGACATTGGGAGGTAAGTCATCATCCAGGAGGCAGTCGCCGGCATAGATGAGACGCTCCAGGTTCCACCGGCCATTGTAGAAGCACATCCACCTGTAGATGTGTTTCTCACCGATGACCCGGAGAAACGAGTTGGTGAGCGCGAGGTAGGCCACATCCAAGCTGTCGTCGATTTGGTCGAATATGAGGTCTAGGACGTCGAAGGGGAGATTCAGCATGCCGAGATCACGCGCGTCCTTGCTGTGGCCTCGTTCAACAGAGCGCTGGTACGGCTTGGGCTGCAAAGATTTTCTCGTCAGTTATCTATTCTAGCGTCATGTAACTCGGCCGGTGCTCTCACCTTACGAGGGATAGCAAGCAACCAGATCAGTCGGTTCGGATCGCGCCATATGAGCATCTCGCTGAGTCCCGGAGAGTCGAACCTGATACTCTGCCTGATGTCGATGTTGATTCTGACGAAGCCACGCGTCTGTTAGTTTCCGCCATGAGCAACGTCACGGTCATAATCACTTACAGTCTCCAATACTGGCCCATCCTGTGAAAGTGATGGATGTTTGAACAGGAGATGAAGGCAACGAACGAAGCTAAATGTCACAATGAACGGAACAGAAGGCTGAAGTTTTGTGCAGGAGGGGCTACAAAAGCTAAGAACAACCACTGAACAACCGTTGTAGCAATACATATGGCCACAGAACCACAGATGCAGTAAATTCCCACGGCGTTGGCCACGGCGCCGGCGCCGGCGATCCCGACCTTGTCCAGGGCCTGTCAATGTACTCCTTGAGTGCTTCCTATAAATCCTTCTCTTACATACCGACGTGTGATCTGCGTAGCGTCGACAGTCGGAGTCCGTTCATACTGATCTTTATGTGCTCTGGAATTGAACCCGTATCCAGTTGACTTCCCTTGCATCGAGGAGAACATTCAGTTCACCGCAGGAGATCAACACTACAAACAGTATCAAAAAGCACGTTCAGCAGCGAATGCAACACTCACACCGACAACCCTGAGGCCTGAGGCCTGAGGCATGAACACCCTGGCACATCGCATAACCGGTCTGCGGTAGTGATGGCGAAACAGTGCCAGGCCGCGATGGTTGGGCCATTCATAGTACATACAAACTGGCGGAAGGATTCGAACGACCAGCAGTTCTGCGTGAGGCGGACATGGCCGAGCTCGAACCAGTGAGCTTGGCGACGGCACCGGCACGCACGTATTACAATGGACTTACTCGGTCTCTGGAGTCCCATACCACGAGTAGTCGACCTCTACCAAGGCTGAAGGGATGTATTTCGCGTTCTTCGGCGAGGGTCAACTGGTCTCCAGGCGGGCATCCCATACGTCATCGGGTTCGATTTGGTCGAATGTGAGTTCCAGGACGTCGAAGAGAAATTTCAGCGCGCCAAGATCGCGAGCGTCCTTGCTGTGACCTCGTTCAATGGAGCGCTGATACGTGGCTTGGCCTGTGGAAACTACAGAAGCCTCCGATGGTCAGTACTCCTCGGTGTCATGCAACTCGGTGCCTTCCAATAAAGTACCCTACGCCAAGTGAGCAGCCAGATCAGACGGGTCGAGCGTCCAATATTCAAACTTTATAGCCTGCGAGTGCCTGCTATCGAGGCTATTCAATTTTAACGAACGCCTGAGGGACGCGCCACATTCGTCAATGTCCACCTCAAGGAACTAGAAAGTTACTTACATCTCACAACATCGGCCCATCCTGCTAGAGCTGGAAATGAAGACGTTATGTCGGTCAAGAGTCAGTCAACAACTGCACTGTCCTTGCGTACTTGCAGTGGATATCCACGGCGTTGGAGGCCCTGGCTCGAAGTCGAACGGCCGCCCGGTAACACTTGAAGCTTTGAAGCTTGGAGGTTTTTTGTGAAGAGTGTTGTTGGATATCGTGTTCCACAGGACGTCCTTTCTTTCGCAGGGATGCGTGCAAGATGCGCAAGGAAGACCTAAATTCAATACTCGGTGATTCTATGGCGGCCAGAAGCAAGGAGATCGTTTTAAGACTCACCGGCACCACTTACCTAGCATTCTCCCGCCAAAGAAACCTATCCGAATCGTCGATGGTTGTATTGTCTCTATTGCCTCCTCTAGTCTATCTTGTGCAGCCAACATCGTGTTCCATTAGCATCAATACGGCGAATCGAGAGGTGTACACTAGTAATGACAACATATTTCGGGGATGCTTATGCAGTGCCGCTGGCAATGCCAACGGCGATGTGTATGTGAGTGTACGTATAGCCGCTACAACAACAAAAAAACGGGAGAGAGAAATGATGATACACGTCTTTGCCTTGCTTCCCACAACCCAACACTGAAACGTCCGCCCGAATAAGGATACCGCCATGCGTCCGTGCCGAGCCTATTGGCTATTCGGCGCGGGCGCGTTGGCAGGTGGGGTCATGGGCACGCTCCCGTCAACGACGTTGGAGCCCTTGAGGTCCTCGCGCTTGAGCTGTAGCTCCGCCTGGCCGCCCTTCTGCGTCTCCGCGGGCTCCGTCTCGGGCGTCTGGATTTTCGTCATCTCGCGCACGAAGGAAGTACCCCAGTACGCTGCGGAGTATTTCGTCACGTACTGGTGAGGCTCATGAGCATGTGTGAAGTGATGGACAATGACGACAAATACGTACTTTGAAGAGTTTTCGTTGGTTCTCTGCCCGAGTATCCGCGTCCATGCTGACGGACTGGAAGATCGCGTCGGCGACCTCTTGCGAGTCCCACGGGTTGACAACGATACTGCCGTTCAGACTGTGCGCCGCGCCCGCGAACTCTGACAAGACCATGACGCCTTGCTTCTCCTGCTGACAAGCGATGTACTCATATGACACCTGCAAACTGATCAGATTCGCCGCGACGGCCATGGGTCAGGGAACTCACCAAGTTCATACCATCGCGCGTGGAGGTGACCAAGCACACATCGCTGACGGCGTACAACGCACACAGTTCATCGAACGGCAACGACTTGTGCATGAAGTGGATGGGAACAAAGTCGACCGTGCCGAATCGCCCGTTGATCCGGCCGACCAGCTCGTTGACGATCGCGCGCAGGTTCTGGTACTCTTCTACATCCTGCCGCGATGGGACCGCCAGCTGTGCAAGCACAACCTTGCCGATCCACTCCGGGTGCTGGCTTAGGAACAGCTCGAGAGCGTGCAGCTTCTGCGGCACGCCCTTGATATAGTCCAGCCGGTCCACGCCCACGATCACCTTCACGTCCCCGAAGCGCTGCTGCAGCTGCTTGATTCGCTGTTGCACGCTGTCCTTCTTGAGGTTGTCCGTGAACGACGTAGGGTCGATCCCGATCGGGAATGTGCCGACGTGCGCGAGCCGACCCTCAAACTCAACGCCGTTCGGCATCGTAGGCAGCGCAAGGATACGTGTGCAAGAAGACAGGAAGTGTCGCGCGTAGTCATACGTGTGGAAACCGATGAGGTCCGAGTACAGCGTCCCGAGCAGAATTTCCCGCCGCACGGGGAGAATCCTACGACGCGTGAGCATAACCCCGGCGTCAACGTGGGACGGACGCACCTGTAGATCTCGCTGGATGGGAACGGAGTGTGCAGGAAGAAGCCGATTTTGACGTTCGGCACGCGCGTGGGCGGTATGTCCTCCATCTCGATGCCCTCAAGGATGCGCTCGATTTCTGAGGCGGTCGTCGAGCCGTCGTTCGGCGGGCCGTCGTTGAGGACACGGAGAAGCATAGGGAGCAGCATGAGGTGGTAGTCTTGCACCCAGACCATCGAACCGGGTGAGAGCTGCTGCATAATCACCTGTGCGAACGCCATGTTCGCCTGGCGGTACGCGAGCCAGTTCTCCTCGTCAAAGTTCATCTCACCGGGGTGGTAGTGGAACAGCGGCCAGAGGATGGAGTTGCTGAAGCCATTGTAGTGACGGTCCGCGACCTCGTCGTCCAGGTAAACCGCCTGACACGAGTACTCCTCCATCAACCGCTTGTCGAGGATTGGGCGGTCTTTTGGAGGAATAAAGAATCCCGGCCAGCCGATCCAGGTGAAGGACATAGACTTCTTGCACCCAGACAGCGCAGATACAAGGCCGCCTGAGGACATCTTGAAGTGGTATTCGCCCGCCTCATCCTTAGTGATGGTGACGGGGAGACGGTTGGAGACGACGATGAGGTGGCCCTGCGCGCCGTCGAGGTCGGGAATTTGCGGAGAGAGGAGCTCGGACGGCGAGGAAGTGAGGGGTGGTCGTTGGCTCATCGTCGGACGCTGGCGGCGACAACGCGGACGTTACAGGCGGCGGCGACGGGGACGTGGGGAGTGCTAATAGCGGCGAGGACGATGGCAACGATGGTGAGCAGCACAGGGTTTTATGGCCGAGAGTAACTCGCACTTATCGATGATGTCATGCGACCGTAATTGATCGAAGCTTCGAGCCGGGCAGTCGGTAACCTAAACTTGGTATTTCTGCGCCCACTTAACCTGCCATTACTATCATTTACGTCCACCATCTGTCCGCAACCTCTTCCTCCTCCCCTCACTATCGTCGCTGCCCTTCGTCGTCGCTGCCTCCAGCCCACGGTCGCGCAGCTATTCGCTCTGATGCCGGCGACCACTCCGATTAAAGCCCGCAGGACTGCTCGATGATCATCAATATCGCGGCCCAGCCCTCCGCTTGACGGCCCGGTCCATTACCATTTCTTGTGCTCGTACTGCGGTCTAGAAATCTCTCGGTCACAAGTGAGCATGCATAGAGCCCGAGTACATAATTTTTGCAGGCGAATCTCTGTCCGCTGTCTTTCGGTCGTCGGACGAGGTCGTGATCGGGAAGCGCATCGATGAGCACGTCCATCTGCATTCGGATACCGGGATGGGTATGTGCATTGGCCCCACGTACACTTCGAGCTTATCACCCTCTTGGCTTGGAGGACTTCGTAAATGGCTCACTACTATGGTGGTGCTATCCCCCAATCCTCTGAGCAGGCCCAGAAACGCGCTGCAACTTCCTCAATTGTAGGCACTGCTGACCAGACCCAGACTAGTTGTCCTATGGCGCACCGCGATCAGTGGCGAACACTTCACCCCTGACCTTAAGTTGTAACACGGGCATTCAGATCAGGCATGTACCCTAGTTCTTTTCGGTAATGACATGCTTACGGCGTTGTGATTTGAAAAGTGCCTGGCCTCGCGTACGTGCATCGAGTCACGACAGATCCCTACAATAAACCCTGTGTCTTGAACGCGTAGATCATGTCGCGGGTGCTCTCCTGCTTCGTACGATATTTGAGTCCGAGAACCCTCGTCGACTTGGAAGCATCGAACACGAAGTTATGCTTCGCACTAGCAGGCCGGTACGTGGCATCTCCTCCGGGTAGGCTTCCGTCAGCTTCATGAGCGGCTTTGACTTGAATAAAGGCATCTGCGTGAGCTCCTCGCAGATCGTCGGATGTTCCGCAAGTTGACTCACCGAAGTCCTGCCACTTCCAGGATCCCTCAGACGCGATGATTCGCTGTCCACCCGCATCTTCCTTCTGGAATGCAAGCACGTGTGCCTCCGCAACATCTCGCACATCAACCCAACACATTCTGTAATAAGTACGTACCCCAAAGATCAGCGCACAAATCCCGATTTGCAACCGAATCTGCAACTGACTCGACGACCATCCCGTCCGATCGCACCTCAATCTGGTCTCTGGCCTTGACGATCACAGCCTCGTACCACTCTCGCAAGCTGTTCGCCATCTCTGCGGGAGAGCTCGCGGGCAGCATCGGCGGCCCGAAAACGTACGATGGGCAGATCGAGACGAGGTCCCAGCCGATCCCGCCCTCACGTTTCTGCCTTTCCACGAACTCCCAAGCCGCGCGCTCTGCGAGGACCTTGCTCGTGCAGTACTTGTCTGTGATCGACGCAGCGCGGCCGTGCGTGCGCACCTCCGCGAGGGATGCTTCGTTCCAGTCGTCCTCGGTGAACGTGCGCGGGAGGTCTCGGAACTCGCGGATCGCGGCGCAGGATGAGGTAAGGACGATGCGCTTGACAGACGCGCCGTAGGCGAGGGCGGACTCGAGCACGCGTGTGGTGCCGCGCACAGCTGGCGCGATGAGCTCCTCGGGATCGTCCACGCCTACGATGTTCGGCGAGGCGAGATGCGCAATGGCATCGACGTCCCTGACTGCTTCGTCGAAGGCGTGTTCCTGTCCGCCGTTTGCAGGTCAGTCACTAATTTATGGGTGATAGGTGTAGAGCATACAGTCATCTACCCCCTGGTGAGTCGCTACCCCCTGGTGGGTCGACTGCCTATCGCGGGTGATAAGGATAAATCGGGAAGATAGACGCTCAGGGATCGCCGCTTATCTCTCAAGCCCGACGCGATGTTCGTGGCTTACCGTTTGCGGGGCTAATGTAAACGGACCTGTCTTCATGCATGTACGATACAAACAAATGTCCAGGGCGGTGTTTCAAAAATACGAGCAGCCTTTTGAGACTACACCAGCACAGCAAAAACTAGAGACAGCGCGCCACCTGTCGCGGCAAAGACCCTCTGGTGCGTTGCGATGTCGGCTAGGTTACCACCTGCACAACTCTCTGTCGATGACTATATGCCCTGGCATCATGCCAGGTCGCCCAGATTCACAGCTCAAACGGATCTACCGACGTGTCTATGCAAAAGACAAGAATATTAACTTGGCTGCAGCCCGATACAAAGCTGCGAATGCCGAGCCTTCGCATCTTGCAGGACAAGGAGACCGAGAAGTGAACATCGCATACACAGAAGTATTTGAAGCAGGGAGTCCGGTGTGTGTACACCGACGAGGAGTACCGTGCTGCACGTCGCCAGGATCGAGACGAAGCGGAAGGCAAGGTGCCAGTGTTGGAACAGGCACGCGGGGCAACAATCCGGGCTGTCAAAGCAAAGCGTACACCGTGGCGTGAGGATCAGAAGGCGCATAGGCGGGTGCTCAGGGAGCGCAGGGATGAGGAGATAAAGAGATGGAATGATCAGTGCGACGAGAGCATAGCACGAGGTGAGAAGAAGCCTGAGAAGCCGAAGTGTGTGGAAGGACGTGCAAAGACTCCCCCCATCTATGAGGAGTGGATCGCAGCTGTTGATGGTCTTGATCAGGACAAGCTGAGGGAGCTCCATGACACAGCGGACGACTCAGTGAAGGGTAAAGAGCAGCCTGAGAAGAAACAGGTCTTATTCGACACAATGAAGGGGTTGCTAGTGTCGGACTAGGACTGATTTAATTCTTATGTGTATATATTGTACCCTACAGCATGCTCATGTACAGTACATTCGTTGTAGTCAATGTACACTAATTGCTCGTTCAATGCCCTGCAAGCGATGCAGATCCTACGCCCACTCGGAGTGTAGACCCAGTGCGTGCGACGCGTCCCTCGTTATCTCGGTGTAGATAAGATGTTGATTACCAAATCGGGCTCTTATCACCCGCGATAGGCAGTCGACCCACCAGGGGTAGCGACTCACCAGGGGGTAGATGACTGTACCTTGGTGATGTCCTCGATGACCATCGTCTCGAGCTTGTCGTGCGACGCGAATGTCTCGCGGAGCTGCTGGGCCTTGCTCTCTGAGCGCACGGTGCCCCGCACGGCGTAGCCTTGTTCGAGGAGCTTGCGCACTAGCCACTGGGCGATATAGCCATTCGCACCAGTGACGAGCACTTTACCCGACGTGATCGCAGGCATCGTCTAGCGTGAATGTGATGTGCAGTCTGGGATACTGCGTCCAGTTGGTGTGAACATCTTGCGTCGCAGTGCAGTGGGACCTGTATCTCGAGAAGCGCTCGTTCCTTTGTCAGACGACGGAGAGGATGGAGGGTGCATAGGAGGATTGGTGAGCATTTGGCTTTCAAAGCGTCAAGGCATGACGAAGTGGACAGGGCGAGGGAACGTACAGACGGCCGTAAAGACGGCTTCAGCATGGGCGCCTCCTCCGTCCGATGCGGGGGTTAGCTTGTACCGTGGGGCTTGGAATCTCGATTGGAGGTTGGAACGGGAGGAAGTCGATGTTCGTGCGTGAGTGGTATATGGCTTTCCACGTGACCGCGATGACGCGCGAACTGGCGCCGAACCCGAGCGACGAGCGTTGGGTGCGGATGATCTCCTCGTCGCGCTCCTCGATGGCCAGCAGCAGCGGCGCCGCGCACCATGTCAACGATTTCCAAGAAGCCACCCATCGCAGGTGCGTGGCAGCACCTTGACAGCAACGACGAGGCTGACGTCAAGCGCCTCAACGCACTCCACAGCTGTGGTCGGGTTATAGGCGACCTCGGGCCCCACACGCCCCAATCCTTTCTCTTTCCCGTCCGTTCCTGTCCCTCTTTACGACCCGTAACGACCACTCGACGCTATACCCCACAGTATCGCCATGGTCGACCGACCGGGCTCGCAGACGTCCACCACACCTACTGCCGTCGACGACCGCGGGCGCGGCCATCCACCCGACCACCAAGACTTACAGAATGGCTCCGAGAAGCAGACAATCACTACGAAGGAGCGGCCCACTGTCGCAGTAACACAAACAAACTCAAACGACACCATCCTCTTCTACGACGAGCCACCTTCACTCAACTATACCATCAAGACCGGCAGCCGCGAGCGTGCCATAATCATCTGGTTCACTCTTCTCTTCGTCGAGTCCGGCATTCTTCCCCTCATTCTCTTTTACTCGTTGGCCTGGGGTGCGCATCTGAGCACCACAAAGAACCTTGCGATCATCACGAGCTTGATTGGCACCGTCTCCGGGTTCAAGTTCGCCCAGCGCATGTGGTTCTTATGGTTTATCCGGGATCATGTCAGTCGGAGACCTATTGGTGTTGGACGCTGGGGCGTCGACTTCTTCCAGTGCGTAGCGATCACATCTTCGTACTACCAGCCCTACTAACCTCGACGTGCAGATACATTCTTAGCCTCGCCATGGCAGCGTTCTTCATCCCACTCATCATTGGTTCCTCAGTGTACGTTCCCACCTTTTTGCTCAATGTCGTTGTTCTGACCTTCCCGTGCAGAAATCCAGGGAGTCCGCGAATTACTGCTATGGCTCTGCCATGCGTCATGCTCGTCCTGACGTTACCCCTCCTCATCACCGGTATCTTCCCCTACCGGGTTCGCGTACCCTGGAGAGTCTCTTCCTTCCCACCGCGCCAGCCTCTCCCTCCCCTCGGCTACTGCTACGTCGAGGACATCGTCGCAGTCGACGGAGGTGGCTGCACGCAGTTTCGTCAGGTGAGTCGTCACGTATACTCTCTAACTGCTCCCACTGATAGTAACCAACCCTTTTCAGGCCTGGCGTACGCGTTACGAAGAATCACAGGTCATCCGGCACATGGTCCGCCAGCTCTCCGTCCTCTGGGGAGTCTCGGGCCTGATCGTCGCCGGCGGCGTGCTCGCAGCGTGCTGGACCGCGAGCGTCGACACGGCCTACGGGATCGGCTACGGGATCCCGTGGCTCTGGGCACTCCTCATGACTGCGGTGACCGTTGTTCGGGTGCACAACGAGCTCGCCCGCGAGCGCCGCGAGTGGGTCGCGAATATGGAGGATGTGCACCGCGCGCGGAGATTACGCATCCGCGAGGGGAAGTACGACCCGCCCGCACTGCCGACGACCGTGGACGAGGGCGTGCGGCGGAACCTGGACGCGAGGCGGTCGGTCGATTGGCGGGAGGCGGAGCGGGACGGGCATCGGAGGACGGCGAGCGATGGGAGCCGGTGGGTGCGGAGCCACAGCAGCCGTGCGAGGCGAGGTGTGGTGAGCTCGCCGACGAGGGAGACGAGCGGGGAGAGGACTGGGGAGGGTGTGGCGGCGCCGTAACCGTGTCGACGATTGGACAGCTGGCTCGACCACAGTGCAACGAAAGGGAGACGGAGGCGACTAGCCCTGGACTAGCCTGTCGCCTTTGGGTCGCCTGTGGACATGGACGTGTAAACACATCGCGTCTCGTTAGGCGTTTTGAGGCGCGTCGCCCGAGGCAGGCTGCTCGACTGCCTCCTCGTCCAGTCCGCCTAGCTATGCACCGTCATCTACCCTCACGGGCAAATCACTTGATGACCGTATACGTAGAGTTACATTCAGTACATACCACACTTGCCGTGAACACACACGAATGACGCGGTCACGTGGGTTGCACCGGACGCCACCGCATTGTGAAGACCTCTTCTATCTGTCTCTCAGCACCCTCACCAAATTCCATCTCCTCCTCGCCCACCACCACAAATCCCCATCTTCTATAGCACTGCACAGCACGCGTGTTTCTGACGAACACCCTGACGCAAACCGCATTGCCCATCCATCGTTCTTGTACAGCCTGCACCAACATGCTCCCGTATCCTCGCCCAGACATGCCCGCCCTCACGAACAGCATGTCTAGCTCCGACTCCCTGTCTTCTTTCTCCGTATCGTTGCATGTTTTTACGGCAGCATATCCTAGAATTTCACCGGAGACTGCATCTTCGAGGCAGAGGGTCTGCACAGCTGGAGGCGGGAAGAGCCGTTCCTACAGGTGCGTCTCAACGCTGCGCAGGTTGTACTCCGGACGATCCGAGAATGTGACGTCGGGAAGGGACGTGTCCATGGATGCAAGGAGAAGCCGCGCGAGGGCGGGAACGTCGTCGGGGGTCGCAGTGCGGATGGTAGGTCGTGCGACTGAGGACTGCGCTGCGGTGCTAGCCTCCGGCTCGGTGTCGATGATCATAGTCGCGTCAATGGGACCGGCTCGCGTGCAACGTCCACTAAGATCTGTGTGGGTGAAGATGGATAAGTTAACGCACGGTCGTCTCCGTATAACCAAACGAGTTGACCCCATTCGTTGCTGACCTTCGTGGCTCCGAGGCGCCTCCGCTAACTTGGAGTATGAATGTGATGACAGTCGACATTGACCACCGCACCGCATTATATTGTTCCGTGAGGCGTCTCAGCAGCTCATGCAGCTGAGTAACTGCAAGCCCTGATAACGAGCACAGCAGGCTTCCGCTGCGCCGCGGGTGCAAACCACATCGTGGTACGACATGTGGTAAATTTGTCTCCATTTTGACTCAAGTCAAATGCTGACCTCGTATTCATTCAGGCTGCTGCGATTATCGTCACGCGCGACGGTTGCCCTCGGGAACGAGTAGTTCCACACAATCCAGCTGCGGCTCAATAGGAGGCCGCTCGATGGTCACGAGGAGTCGGGGCGAATGCCGCTGTGGGTTCAAACGTTCAAGTTCTGTCTGAGTCACTGACTAACTCGTGCCAAAAGTTCGAGACGGACGGACCCTTGATACATTAACGGATGATATGCGTAATGCGGACCACAACCGGAGCATGCATGCATGGGACACAAGCTTGTCGGCACTAGACGAGAGCCTGAGCCTAATCGAAAGGTACGTTTTCATATAGGCACCTAGCACAGTCTCAGCGCTCAGCACTCAGTTCGGAAGAAGCACCACAGGGCAGCCATTATGAGAGATATCGACAAAGGCCATGCCTACGGTACACATTACACGGATGTGCAGGCATTGCCCGGTGCCGACCTCTGTACGACGTGGGATATTGGTGGGACGGCCTAGCACTCACAATGGGCCACGTCGAACTGCATTTCACCCTAGTTTCGCTCATGAACAGTTACTCGGGGAGACAGGGACAGTGACGAATCGTTGAGCCACCCTTCCTATTATTTGCTGCTACTCACTGTTGAACCACCACTGACACTTGCCACGCACGCCCACATAATGACTCTATCCCCCACTGCCCGCGCACCTCTGTAGTATCTAGCTTACCTCACGGACGCTTGATGGACCTGTGTAGGAACATCTGTCTGCTCGCCCACTCACTATGCGTGCCTCCGACTCTATATCGCTACACACCAAAAGACCATCTACGTACTTCTACCACGACCTTGCTAGGGACACAGGCCTCGGCGGTATATACTCACTCATACGGTCTCCCTGCTGTAATGCATACTGGATTCTGCCTATTCACGCTCCGCCCGAGCGGTGGTGGTGGCTCACGCGAGCTTCGCGACGTCGGTGTTAACGAACTGCGCGACGTCGAAGCCGGCTCCCGGGGCTGTTGATGAATAATCGTACAGGAACAAGGCATCCGACTCGGAGCACTGTTCTCGTTCTGAGCACCTCCCCGCACATTCCGTTAGACTCCTTCGTACGGCACAACTACCTATGCAAAGCGTAAGACATGGTACGGTGAGCGTTTTTGACACGGTCACTGTTTGACTCACTACGACTTGGATCAGGCGGCCTCGCACAGTGGTCAGTCCTCAGACACAGCAGGATCCTTCGAACCACGGTCTCTGGTTTGCGTGCAACAATTAGAAACTGCAGATGAGACATTCGAACACCGATATGAACACAATGAACGTACTCGAGCAATCTACGTTCTTCCCCAGGCTTGATGACGTCGTTGAGAATAGTCGAGTAGATTCTCTGCGATCGCAACATCTGCAGCGGATGGTCTCCTCTCTTGCATGCATCCTTGTGCTCCCGCCAATGTGCTTTCTGGCATGGCGCGCCGCAGTAATATATCTACGCTACCAGATGAGCTAAGGTAGAACCAGACATCCACAAAAACTGCGAACCTTCTGACACCCGTGACAGCGCTTCATCTTGAGCCCCGGACGCTCTGTCGTTGTACACCTGGACGCTTCACATCTCTTCCAGAGGGCAGGAAAAAGGGATCCAGCTTGGCGGCCCGTTCGATCGTGGGTACACTCCGAGTGTCTTGGCCGGATGCGATGTACTTGTCGACACAACTATTCCAACCGGTGCTGATAAACTTGCCCAAATCCTTTGGATACCATTCCGATCCCTCGGGCCTGAAGATGTCTGACCTGTCAGACAGATACAAAACATTCGGCATGGAACACTGACATAGGCAGATATTCAAGCTGAGTCGCCACATACCGGAAAGCCGGGTCAGCTTTCACTTCGCTTTCGGTATCGTTATGCTCGATGGCCATGAGCACGAGCTCGGACGACTTCTTCTTTCCCGTGTCCGGCCATTTCGCGGACATCAGCGTGTTCACAGTGGAAAAGGGTATGTAGGTAGCCGTATGTCCGTCGGCTTCCATCATGCGCTGGGTGACTTTCATACGCCCCCGCTCCTCGTCCCATCTCTCCACCAGCTCGATATTTCTGAGCTTGCAGCAGTTTGCATATGTCTTCGCCGACCTGCAGATGCATGCGAACGTAGGAGGATATGGGTGATCGCCCGTTTCATGACATTCGGAGAGTGACTTCCCCGAGAAGCATGGGCATTTACGCGGTGGTCGCGCTGGTAGTTCCGTTCTCGATGCCAGACGCGCCATTAGCTCTGTGCAAGCTGATGCTCTCGAGGGATCGGCAACCCAAGTGTCAAGCTGGGAAGGCGGGCCTTCGAGGAAGGCCCTATCAAGTCCAGCAGCGGCCCCATGGAGCGCCAGCAACTCGAGTAGTTCTAAGTCTAGAGCTGCCCGAGCCATGACAAACGGCGAGAGCACCGGGCTCTCGTAAGGGACGAGATTGACATCGGCGTGCTGCTCGACTAGGATCTGCGCCACGTGTCGCAACCGAGAAATAGTGGATACGGTGAGGCTTTCGTCCTCGGTGCCATTGTGGCGCAGCTGTCGCGTGGCCAGGTCTAGCGAAAACCCAAGCAACTCGTTCATGGCGCAGAACAGCGGTGTCCGCCCCTTGACGTCCGAGTGGTTGACGTCGGCACCTAGACGGATGCATTCGTATACGAATGGCACGTCATAGAGCCGCACGGCGAGTTGGAGGTGTGTGCTCCCGCACCCATTTGGCATGATCTGCGGGAGGGACCAGTCGTTGTCGTTGTGACCAGCCCATGTTTCGTCGATTGTCGTATACGCATCCCCCAGTGCGAGAACGTAGTGTCGTAGTATCAAGTGACGCATAGGGGACACCCTGGCGGCCCTGCCGTAGACCACGGAAAGCTCGGAGTAGAAATCTGGATCGACTTGGAGTTTGAGATCGTCGAGCAGAGCTTGTGGCAAGCATACAGGCAAGGCCGTTTTGGGCATCATCGAAAGTGGAAGCCAATCGGTATTCATCTCGAGTGATCGCTACAGCGCGGACTGCGGACGACAGAGGTTAGCTGGTACTAGTATGCCGCGATGACGGTTTGATACACAATGCGTACGCGTTGAGTTCCAGCGGCGGGCCAACTTCCTGCGGCTACCGTAAGAGTGGGAATGTCCGTGAGGAGTTCCCTCCTTAGGCCTTAGGCCTGGTGCCAGTGGTCATGAGATCCTGAGAGACGAATCAGTTATAGTAAGTACTGCCTCACGACATCGGCGCAAGCCAATCGATTCTCGGACCTTATGTCAAGCTTCTTGACGGTATGGAAGTTCGTTTCACAGCGGGCCAACACAAGGCCAACATGACCATAGTTCATGATAGGGATCAGATCCAGTCACTTCCGTCTGGCAAATCCTGAATTCATACACGGCGGGGGCTCAGTGAGCCGTCACGGAAAAGTGCATGTGCGGCGCGTCAACCGAAACATCGACGATACCAAGCGACTCCAGTAAGTAGAGGTATGTAACATACCCGCAGGAGCTGGCTGATCATCTCGCGCTTTGCCCTTACTTGCGGACACGGGTGTGCCCAACGAGGGATGTGTAACACGGGATGGCTCCATCGTCCAGGTCGTCATCGCTAAGTATCTGCGGTACACACGACTCGGAGCTCAAGCGCTCACGACATAGTGCCCCCTTCCTGTCGTAAATCAAGGCGAGCGATAGCAGCGTAGATTCCGCTCTCTGTCGCGACTCTGCTCGGCAATCTTCCGCGCCGCACTGGTGCAAGCAAGCGCAAGGTAGACGCAGCAGAAGCAATACCATTGTGTGAGGCTCCAATTCAGCTGCAGGGTTCTGATCCAGAGAGCTTCCGCGGCTCCTGGACGATGACCCTGGGCCCAAAGGAGGTCGAAATTCTCGATCATAATCACTGACGATCAATGTAATGAGTTTCCCGCAAATAGTGAGAAGTGCGAATGACACCTTCGAGGGAGGACCAGGTCTGATACGCAGCGTTCGCGAAGGCGACGCGCGATAGCATGCGCACAGATCAAGACTCGTCTCCAAAGGAGAGTAGTTTCTTCTCTGCTTTCTTCGGCTTCTTTTTTGTGCTCTTCGATGATTTGTTTGTTGGTGGCTCGCTATCTCGCCCGTCGCCTACAGCTTTCCGTTTGGAAGGCTTTGTCTTCGAACCAATCAACCCGTAGTTTTGAGCCTGCTTTTCTGCGCTCTCCTTCTTCAACCTGTCAGGCGAGGCGGACTCTTCTGCGCTTCTGTCCTCAGGGTCAGGCAGAGGCGGCAAGCCTTTCGCTGTTGTCCATGAACCGGTTAACAAGCGCTTTCCTCACGGAGGCCTAGCTCTCACCCTTTCGCTTCTCGTTCTCTGCCTCCCTCTCTGAGAGATGTTTCCCTTCCTTCAGTACCACTATCTGCGGTTTCTCCTCACCACCGTCTTCGTCAGCACTGCCCGGGTCGTCGTCTGGACGCTCTGGTATGGCAGGACGCTTGGGTATCGGTGGACGCCCAGATCCGTCGTACTCATACTCATCGTCGTCGTCATCGTCTCGTTCTGCCCCGCCAACGCGTGCCTGCAGCCGCTGGAGAAAGATGGGCGTGTGTGCGCTGTAGGCTAGCCTGGATGATAGCTGGTGGCGAGTCGGGTCCTTGGACATGGCGATAGGAAGTCGGAGCACTGCTTAGCCGCCTAACGCACCGTATTGGGCACCCCGCATCACGTGACGGCCGCCCCTCGACCGCCGTCGCGTTTATCACAAGCCGCCAACGACTATGTAAAGGCGGGGCCCCGCACCATCATGTCCCTGCTCTCGTCGTCGGAGACGCTGTCCTTCAACGCCTTTCTCGCCTCGGTCGACCACACTCACATCGCAGAGATCAGCCCCGACCTCGCCGAGCAGATCTCCATCAGCAAGGGGAGGCATGCCCTCGCAAAGGCCACGAAGGATCTCATGTCCCTGGGCAACCGCGCCCACGGCAACAGCAAGACTCGTTCGGGCGCCAGCGGCCGCGCAGCAGGGGCGGGGTTAGGCTCGGGAGCAGCGGCGGGTCCAAGCCATTGGCCGAGCTTCAGCCCAGATTCGAATGGGGGTGACGCGCGGTCTCCCCGCTCGTTCGACCTGTCCAAGTCGATGATGCAGCCAGAGCCCGGCGCATACACAACGCATCCACACAGCCAGTCGCAGCCGTCGATACACTCGCTCACGTCGGGGTCGCCCCCATACACGCTACCGCCCCTTAACGGCGACCTGCCGCCTACCAACGGCTTCGATACCCCTCATCGCAACGCGCTCATCTCATCCCCTTCCGCTCCTTCAACCCTGGGCCACCCAGCGGGCAGTTCGTCGAAGCGCTCCTTACCAGACGATTCCGAGCCCAGCAGCTCCAAACGGGCGAAACCGGCTGCGCCGCGCGAGAAGCAGCGCAGGCAGTCGTCGGCGAGTGCGAGCTCCGCCAGCAAGGCTGCCAAGCCCGCCCTGCTGACTCCTGCCGAGAAACGCGCGAACCACATCCAGAGCGAACAAAAACGCCGGGCGAATATACGGAGAGGATACGAGGCACTATGCGCTGCTGTCCCTGCCTTACGGGAGGCAATTGCGCAGGAGGAGGCCAACGGTGGAGGCGAGGCAGAGTCGAGCGCGAAAGGCCGAAAACGACGGAAGAAGGGCGAAGACAGTGCACTCGATGGACGAGCAGGCCCCAAGAGTGAGAATGTGGTACTGCAGAAAAGTGAGACCTCGTTCACCGCTCTACGCGTACGATGTGCTCACGTCCGTGCTCTCTCAGCCATTGACCACATACACTTACTGCTCAGCGACCGCGAGGCGTTGTTCTCTCGTCTACAAGCCGCGCGCCAAGCCCTCGGCGAGGGGCACCCCGCTTTGGTCCTAAACACCGAACTCCGGGATATCAGCGGTGTGCCGCTTTGGGAGCGCGAGTGGAACGGCGGAACGGGCACTGACGACGGCGCTGATGACGATGACGGTGACGACTTTGGAGGGAGCGAACCCGAAGCCTGAAGAGTAGAGGTGATATACAAAGTCACTATGCGGGGTGGTGGACACTGGAAATCGGAGGAGAGTATGGATAGTTCGTCGTGGCAACCGTGTGTGCTCTGACATGTACAACAGACGTGGACCAGGACTGTTACTGGAAGCCGTGTTACTCTTACCTTAGTGCTAGTCATACTAACGCTGTTGTCGCAACATGCTTAAACACGACTGTAATTTGCTGCGTCGTTCAACAGCACATGCCCTCCGGCTGAACTAGGTTCGACACAAACACCTCACGTGTCGCAGTGTGGAGGGTCTTGGTATGAGACTACCGGCTGAACAAAGCAGCCTACCCCTACAATGCATACATAGCGTACCACATGTATTCTGTGAGTCGATGGAACAGTACCGCAATTGCAAAGGCGATACCTTCGTGACCTTCAACTTGCAGCCCAGTATATGAATGCATCCCCCGGAACATTCGCCCCAGCTCTCAGACGCCGAGGTTATATTCGTCATCCACTGCTTGCAAGAAGTCCAACATCTACGACGGGTGCAGCAACTGATCACAACTTATGCCTTCATGACGGGTGTAGACCACTTACCAGCTTGTGACGCTTGTGGGCCATTTGCTTGCCTGGCTCAGTCTTCAGCCGCTCACGGATGTGGAGGAGTTTGTCATAGAAGTGCTGGACAGCAGAGGCGGATAGTGCAGGATCGTCCGGAGGCGTGTGCAGTGCGCTGTAGTTTCGCTCGTTCTGACGGACTCAGCAAATGATGCAAAGGAATACACACTGATTTGTCGCGGCGCTGTATGCGGCGCAACGCATGATGCCTGCAACCGAATGTTCGAGGTTGGTCAATTTGCAAGACTAGTTTGACACTCTACGCACCAAATGCTCCTATAGCATCCAGCCTATCTGCATCCTGCACGCAGTGTAGCTCGACGCACCCTTGATGCCATTTGCCCCAGTTCCCTTCCGCCCTGAGTCTCTTTTCTGTGGACCAGCTGACGTTGTCCACAATCTTCGTGATGGTTCTTGCTCTACCATCATGTACGAGATCTACGGAGTGCGCTGCGGAAAGCTTCTGAAAGAAAGGCAAGAAGAACGCGTATGGATCCGCCGCTTCAGCTGCAGACACGTATTTCTTGTCGAGGACGTCGTGTAGGAGGGCGGCGAGTTCTACGGTGAGCAGGTCCGGCTGAACGGAAGGGTCCAAGGTAGAGAGAGACCGTGCTATGTTTAAGGCCGTCTTTCTTACACGTTGCACTGATGGGAAATCTGTCAGCCCTGCTAACTGCGAGACACTGCGGTGGACATACCATGGTACGCGTCGTGAGATGAGTCGTACCGGGCCATCGTTTCAGTCATCAGAGATTCTGCTGCCTCAATAACAGCCTGCTCTTTCTGAGTGGGATAAATCGAGCAGCAGGCCCAGGCGAGAGGCATAGAACGAGTAACGATCAACAAGGAATATATTGTGGTCTGGGAAAGACAACAAGCGCTTAGCGCCTGGCAAGCCACCGGCGCGCGACGCGTCAACGCGTCTGTTCCACGTGACGGGCGCCGGAGAACACGATCGCGACCGCGTCTACTCTCGGCGCTTCGTCTCCGCTCGTTTCGGCCACCCCGACGTACAGCACCGTCTTCACTCCTTGAACTCGCCATGCAGTCCATTCTCCTACGGTGTCGGCGCCGTCTCGTGCTTCTCACTATCCTCGCCAGTTTGACCGCAGGAGTATCCAGCATAGTCGCGGACACGACGAAAACGCCGCTGACCGTTCTCGTGAGTCCGCTTTCGCTCGCTCAACCACGTATCCAGTTTCGCGCACGTGTGTCTGCACTGGAGGTCTGGCTAACGAGAGTTCATCGATCACAGTCGACAGAGATAGAGCAATGTGCTCCAGTTGTCCAGCTCGGTGAACTCAAGCAAGAGCTCGAGGCCGCGCAGTCGCCCATCATGCGACAGGTCTTTGCATGGCTGTTTCCTTTCGGACCGGGATGGAACTCGGGTGAGTACCTTCTTCTGATTCTGTGGTTTGTTGGGTTGGCCACGAAGTACGAAACGGCGTGGAGGCCGGTTTTATTATGTCCCATGTCCAGACCTCTGAGTGCTGGGGTGCCCTCGCACGATTATGGGGCCTCTTCCCTGGTACACCGGTCATAAGGCATGAGAAGGTAGAACTGCGTAGTGCATCGGCATGCGTACAACCCTTCTGGACGCACTTGCAGTGACCGTGCTCGTCGGGAAGTCATGTCCAGCTGCGGCTGAACAAGGCTCCTGGCTATTATTCAGTCGGTGCAGTTTGTGCGGCTATCACAGTGATCCATTGACAGACTCAGCGGCCAGGCCTCTGTGCGCTGCAGGTGGTCGTACTGCGTCTGGAAGCGGTCCAATACATCCGTTCCAGCGCTTAATTTGATTCCTCCGCGTCTTTGGTATTGCCTCGCTCCACGCAGCCTGAGGGGGAGTCTTACCTGGCGGCAATGCTAGCATGACAGACAGCTCCCCGGTATTCCAAGAGGCTGTAGAGTTCGATTATAACGTGTCTTGATGTGCTCAAAATATGGCGACGTGCCTTTATATGGGACTCCCTTTCCCTAGGGACTTGTCTGCCTCTCGTAGAACGAAGCGGAGTGAGAGAGAAAGCAAGAAGACCGTTGATTTGCCCATTGACACAGTGTCGACGCACGAGGGGTTGCTTCGAGGATCGGTGCCTCCTCGGAGCGTCGAAGCAGAGTTAACGGGCCTTTCTCGCCCTGAACTCGCAAATCGATCACCCTCGAGTTTACGGGCATTTGATCTAGCGTGGATGTTGAAACAGGACCAGCTAGCAGGCTCTAGTGGCCGGTGTAAGTCTGGGCGCTCGCCGACTGGTTTTCTGTCGGACATTGACTTCGGTTCCCATACCGTTCCGGGGTCCTGATGCGGTCCTCGTACGCGACGAACGTGTCTACGCATCTTCCTGTACGATTCCGGAAGACAGTGGGCCTGACTCGAATTTTACAGTTCTGGGGACTTTCTACATTAGCTCGTGAGTGTTGCATCCTCGTGCTCTCCTGCCAGCGCGCTCACAACTGCCGGCGCGGCGCCTCCGCCTCTCGTTCACAATTGACAGCGTACCTAATTTTATTCTCGCGTTCATCCCGGCGCAAATCAACACCAACACGCTCAACACGATGACGGCCTTCGCAGTGGGCGCTCTCTTCCTTCCTGGTCGACTGCATCCTCTAATCGGTGACATGCGTGTAGACCGGGGGCCTCCTCTCAGACGTGTTTCTGCACCTCGTGCCGCACTCATTCATGGGCGAGCACCAGGGCGGCGGTGTGCACTTCGTCATGGTCGAGGAGAAACGCAACATCCTAATCGGGTATAGTTTCCTCAGTCTCTTGCAGAAGTCCAAACACCTGAAATGTGGCGTACACAGGCTAGGCATATTTGTCGGCTTCGCGTCCTTCTTCCTCATGGAAAAGACCCTGCGCGTCCTTGGCAGCGAAGACGGCCATGCCGGGCACTCGCACAGTCATTCGCACGGCGAGACGGCCGAAGATGAGGGTAAGGCGTCTGGCGCTGCGAAGAACAGCGCTGCGAACGAGCTGCGCGCACGCAGTTCGAAGAAGGGCGACGCTGCGCCGTCGGAGCCGGAAAAGGCAGGGAAGCAGCCGTCCAAGCTTTCCGCGTATCTGAATCTGTTTGGGGACTTCGTGCACAACATGTGAGCCGTATCAGAGCCTCGAAGCACGTTCGACGTGCGCTGACAACCTCACACAGTACGGACGGGCTTGCGTGCGTCCTTCTTACGTGACACCCTCTGCGGCGTTTGCGGGTCAAACTGATGGAGCTACCGGTGCGATCAACAGGATGGCGGCGTCGTTCTATTCCTCGCCTCTGATCGGCGCGACGACGACGCTCGCTTGCTTCGCGCACGAGATCCCGCACGAGATCGCCGACTACTCGATCCTCGTCAGGAGCGGATTCACGAAGAAGCAGGCGATGCAGTCCCAGTTCTTGACTGCCGTCGGGGCGTTTGTGCGTGCTCTCTCCTCGTTCTACTCCCAGATGAAGCACGCTTTTCTGTGTGCGCTTCCGCCGTGACGGCATCCCTGAATGATTGCTGACTCGGACTCGCGGCTCGGATCCGCCTCTCTCACGCGCAGGTCGGGTGCGTACCAGTGACCCACTGTATAGATTTCCGTGACCGCATTGAACGCTAACTCGGTGCTAGGACGTTTATGGGGATCGGAATCCACAACCTCTCAGCATCGGACGCGGTCGAGAGCGGGGCGTCTGACCTCGCCGCGGCGGTGCGGCAGGCAGCCGCTGGGATCCTGGGCACGACGGTGCAGCTGGCCGATCTGGTGCGTCTGGACCTTCCTATCAATTGAGTGGGTGTGTGGGCGGCGGCGTGTTACTTACTGGACGTCCTCCAGGTGATACCGTTTGTCGCTGGCGGGTTTATGTACATTGGCGCTGTGGCGGTCCTGCCAACGTACGTGGATTTGGATGGCTCGGGAATCGTAGCAGGCGTGACTGACTTTTGGTATGGCTTGCAGACTACTAGAGGAGAGTTCAAGCGGCAAGCAGGCGCTTCGCGAGGTAAGGGCCTAGGCTGACCCTGCGCGGCCGGATAGACATCAAGGGGATTCACTCCAAGTGGCACAACCCCTTGATTACTAGGAATGCAAGGACGCTGGCTTGTATGACAGCTACAGTAGTGGACGGGTGATACCACTCGAGTCAATGCCTGCGATGCAGTGGTAGATGAGCTGGCGTTCGCTCCTGTGCTGTCGCAGTGAACCCTATAGGCAGCCATATGTGCTCCTACGGGCGTATCGCTTTCAGCGGTTTCCAATTCGACAGGCCCATCCCCGATGTACACAGATTTGGCCCCCCTTCGGGAACACCAAGATCGAGACATCGCAGGCCTGACGATTTGGAAACAGCTGTCACGAGCGACAGCGCTCACTACGTGGACTTTGTCTGTGCTGTGTCTGGTCGTGCAGGGAACGAGTGCATTGAACATTCGCTGACTGGGATCTTCAGTTTGCAGCAATGGCGTTCGGCGTGGCGTGCATGTTCATGGTCGCGTACGTGGTCTACGTTCGCACTGGTGGAAGCCAATGGCGTCACTGATACTTCTCGGACAGATGGAACGAGTAGAAGGCGCGTGCGAGCTTCGATCTTCGAAACGCTGCTCCGAGCATCCGCCTGTGCAGCCGTTGGTAGACGTAGACGGAGGGTACCCCGGGTTGTGGGCGAGCAGAGGTCGCCGTAGTGTATGTTGGACGGGTGGTATTTATACGGAGATCTTCGCGCGTCTGAGATGAGTAGTATATTGCTATCGAGATTGCGAAGCACGGTGGATCTTCGCTGCTGTGAACCTAAGATGCGAGAACACGGTGTGCTATCTGTCTGTGAACACAGTGCCTTCGAGCGTGCGGCCACACCGGATGCTCGCACGGACAGGGCTGGGGAGGGGGTGGGTTGATGGAGGGTTGATGGGCGGGAGCGCGGCGAGTCGCTGGCCGGCGAACGTGCGCGCACTCATTGGGCGGGGCGGCCGCTCGGCCGCGCTTGACGCCCGCCTGGTGAGCCACCACGATACTCGTCGGCCAGACGCCTCTGCCCTCGCCCTCATAAGCTACCTCCCGCCCTCTCCTGCTAATTCCAAACCGCCACCACGGTCGTGTGCCGCCTCGCCCTCCCCCGTCGTCGCCCCCAGCCCTCGCCCGACGACCATCCGTGAGCCGCACCCCTCCAGACACCCCACATCCCTGACTGCCTCCCTCTTCCTCCCAGCAGGTCTCGCGTCGGCGCACACATTGTCATATCTTACTGCACTCGCTCTAGTCGCCTCCCCAGCCAGCCAGCCAGGCCGTGACGCTGCCACCGGCTCGGATATTGTCCGCCGGCACCTCGTTCAAGCCTCACACGAAGATTTCTGCCACCGCCACCTCAGTCTCCGCTCGCCGCCGCCATGAGCAATAAAGGACGGTCTACTCCCCGCGTCGTTTGCTGTGCAATCCCGATCGCGAGGAACGCCAACAGAGTCCTGGTGATCACAAGTCGGAAACGGCCAAATAACTGGGTTTGTGAGTCCCTCCTCCCCTTTCTCGTCGATCGGCGAGGTGTCATCCAGCTTGCTGACTCTGCTCCTCGCGCCATGCTCTTGGGTGACAAAGTGCCGAAAGGAGGATGGGAGCCATCAGATGGGCAGTTGGAAGCAGCAGCCTCGCGGGAAGCCTTGGAAGAAGGTCTCATCCGTTCCTCTACCCTCCCCGCCCCTGCCTAACCTCCTCCTCCCCTCTGCGCCGCGTCACCATGCCTTGCGTGTGCATCTTTTGCAGCGGGCGTGCGTGGCAAAATCACCCGATTCGTGACGACAATCCCCACCGCGTCCTCGACATACCACTTCTACGAGCTCGACGTCGCCGACCTCGACGCGGAATGGCTCGAGAGCAAGGAGCGCCGCCGCGAGTGGGTCGACTACGCCGAGGCTCTCCGCAGACTCGCGTGGAAGCCCGAGCTTGCCCAGGGCCTCTCCCTCTCGTCTCTCGCGCCGAAGCGGTGACTGCCCGCCCTCCGTGGCACCGCGCCGCGCCCGCCGCGTTGCCCCCTGCACGCGCGGCGTGGCATGCGGCGGCCATCCTGTGTCCAAAACTGCGCTCTGGCGCCCACCTAATACGTCAACGCCCGCCCCGAGGGACGTTCGCCGCCTGCAGTCCGCCAGTTTGTAACAGACACTCGCACTATCGCTTTCGCCGTCGCACCGCATGCTCATCGTACCGTACCCCGTCTCCGCATCTTCCATCATCACAGTCCAGTTCACATAGAGCGCCGCACCACACCTGACTTAGTTTGGCCTTCGTACCACCCTCCTATTCATCACCACCCCCCACTGCTGCATATCTTAGCCACACTTTACTACTGTACTTTTGTAAATGCGTGTCCGGTATCGAGATACCTTGATCGCACGCAATGCCGGCTCGCGGTAGCCGTCGTCATCGTTGGTGTCAATGTCGTTCTTCGTGGTTGGCACATCCTGTACATTATAGCCCTCCGCGCCGGCAATGCCGACGCTTTATTCGTGCTTTATTTGTGCTTTCTGGCTGGTTACGCAGCGTAGATCCATCTCGGCGTTGGCTCACTATTTGCTGCGGTGTGGTGCCTGGCTGGCAAGTGCAAAGCCACGCGCGCAGAAGGCTGACGACGGCCTGACGTGCTATGTTCGGCGGCCGTTGTGGGTCCGGGATGCCGTGTTGTGTTGCGGTGCGTACGGAGGCTCCTGTGTTTGTGAGCTAATCAAGCTTAGCCCCATCTCTAGGTTGAAGGCATTTCCGGGCTGTCGTCGAATTGTTTCTCCTACGGTGTTATCGCACAAGGTATCAAAGATAGCACCCAGGAAGAGACCGGCATACACAATGTCCACAGTATATGATACACGCGGCTCTGCAGCCTCGCTTGACAGTGGATCCGAAGTCTCTTCCAGTAATTTGAAGTCTTTAGCTCAACTTCAGCTACCAATATCCGCGCTGACGTGAGTATTGCTTCTCAAAGGGATCATCGTTGAGCGGCTGAGCTGCTAGCATTTCGGCAGAACTCAATCTCGCTGCCCGCGGTGGGAATTCGGTGTGGCTGTGGTCTCCTGTGGTTCGCGGAAACTGCTTCTGTCAGGTTTTTTTCTGCCTCCTCCGAGGTGACATCGGACTGTCATTAATGCTGCATTCCTCGTGTTGTTGGAGGGATGCGCGATGTCAGGAGGTGGGCGCACTGTCGAACGTATTCCGCACGAATCCTCATGCTGAAGATTTTTGTTAGGACGCCGTCCGGCAACAAGGCAGTATGCGGGATTAGTTGACGTTTCGCAGCAGGTCTGGCTTCCGTGGATATTAAAGACGTCCGAACCTCGGACATACCCTGAGGCCGTTGGATTCCACTAGCTTGTTCTCGGCAACCTTCGAGTCAATGCGCTCTGTACGAACAACTCATACGACCGGATTTCGAAGGCCCGTCGTCAGTTGTCTCAGCTGGTATATTAGCTCTGAGCATGTCTCACAGTCGACCTCTTTACCGTAAGTGACACGCTTGATTCAAGAGAAGTGGACAGCACGCTGACATGAACGCCGCACCTTCCAGTCGACACTCTGCCGCCGCTCGCAGAGTAGATGTCAGCGCTGCATGCACAACCACTGGCACCGAATGGCCCGGGATGCGCTCGGCACAACCCAAGTGTTTCAGTGTCCCATGGAAGCGTCCGCGGGAATATGCCTCTGGGCGTCGTGTTTAGGTTCTGTCGCGCATGCGAGGTGCTCCCGCGATGCCAGGTACGACTCAAAGGGTGCCTCGCTACAGGCGGTCCATGAATAGCATGGGCTCCCGTGGTATCCGGCTGTAGGTGCATCTTCCACATTTTTTTTTCAAAATTACGAGTTTGGGGCATAGCTGATGTGTTCTTGCCCGCGCTACCTTGCTGATACTACACTGTATTCACGACGGTGGGTGCGCAGGAACGGTGAGGAAGAGACAGTTGCTCGGAGATAAGTAGGTATTGGTAGGATCTCGTCAACAGCCCAGTCATACGACTGCTCGTGTGCCGATCAGACAGAATTTGAGGTATGTAAGGTTCGATCGCCGGGGCCGATAACGAAGTACTGTGGCCTGAACTCTATTACAGACTCGTGTCAATACTAGCTGAGTGGGCACACAATCTGGGAGGACAAATATGCGAAGTTGGAACCACATTCAGCCGCTGATGTCGTCTCGGACGCCGAACCATGGTACATAAGTTAATGTTTTCCCTCACGCCCACAAGGGCATCATGAGTTACATTCTGCGCGGTCGCGATCTCCACTGAGGATGTTGTTGGTACAGGCGGATCTTATTTTATTGTGACCGCAGTGAGGATATTTGGACAGCATAAAATGCATGCAAAGTGCATCCTAAAGTACCAAATCCCAGCCCGCTCACGCATGTTGGTTGCACTTTCTGGGCTACTTATTAGTGTGACAGTGTTGCAGATATGACAGGATTTGTCGTGTTTTCTTTACGCCCTGTTTCAGCTAAGTCCATATCGTTGGGCCCCGCGCCTCTCAAACACATAGGCGGAGTCCAGCGGGTTCGATATGGGATCACGCTGGACGCAGCGGACTTCGACGGCTAGGCTGAGCCAGGCCGCCGCGACTGTGGCTACGGTGGCCCAGATTGAGCGGCACAGTGCCCGAATCGCTGAACACCAACTTCCGGCGACCTCCGCTCCTATACGCGCTTTCGGGGCGGGGCCCAACGATATGGACCTAGCTGTTAGGCACAGCCGCTTCTTGCTACCTGAGTAGCGGGAACTCATAACATCAATGCTCACTATCCCTCGTTGGCTTGATGCTATGTGTGCTACCGTGACTTACATGACTTTGATACACATAACGTCGATGTGATGTCATTGTATTGACTTGGAGTTGCCGCATCATTACGAACGCTAGTAGATGTCACTGGGCTGGGCGTAGATGGTCACAGCTTAGTCAGAGCATGCATGGACTATCATGCTGAATACCGTGAAGAAATTCGTCTGGCCAAGTTGTTGAACGTTCTCAGGCGATCCGCATGCTCTGCCAGTCGGCCTCGGCATCATGCAAATCTCGGTCTAGTTCACCCTCCACACTGCTTCATCATAGCAAGTACCGCTTGTTACTGTAACATGTATATAAGACCAAAATCAGACCTTCGTGTGCCCGGTTTTGAAGTCGTCTAGAGTCGCGTTCTGCATAGTGCACGTGACCGCATAGTTCAACTCGTTCCTCGGCTAAAATCGCTAAATGATCGCCGCCGCCTTGATGCCCACCGTACCATGTCCACGCTCGAGAATGTGCGGAGGCGTGATACATGTGGTGAGATATCCGGAGGCAGGTACTCAGTACTCAGTGTGTAGCTTCCATGTGGTGTGTGTGAGTCCGTCTCAAGCCGTCTCAGTCGCTACCAATACTTACTTACTACTTCAATTTGAACCTTTAGAGTCTCCACAATGTACCGCGGTGTCTACTTTTGGCAGGGCTGTTACCATGGGGAGGACCGTACCACAGCTATGTCCAGAGACTTACGCGCCGTTCGGGCAATCCTTCGATCACACTATGCGCCCACGGCCATCAGTCGGATATCCTCTGTGTTCACAAGTACCCTCGCCAGCCTGGCTGTAAGGCGGCCAAAGTCATGTCGCCGAAGGGCGTATCGCCCGCGATGGCTGTGCTAGTCAATCATTGACTTGGCTCTGAGCTACGCTCACAGGCGGTGTGTTGCATGCCTTTTCTCTGCGTCCAAGTTTCGCTGACTCTCGAAACCCTCGGCAGAGAATCTAGATAGATTTATGGCTGCTACGCCACACGCCAAGTGCAAGCAGGATAGCCTCAGGAAGAATGACCCAGAAATATCAACTAGGAGACTGCCTGGCCTGCTGACGTGACGAGTTAAATTATTGCTGCGCAGCTTCGACCGGCTTCAAGTTGTGCTTTGAACTCCAGGTGAATTATCAGTTCATCTCGCGCGGCTTGACATCACACTTACTTGCTAAAGCATCCGGCCAGCCGGATGTCTCACCGGGAGATCGTCCAGTTGCACTAGCCTGGGCCCTGGGCGCTGTGTCAAGCGTCTTGATGGTACAATATCCGACTCTGGCACCACTAGGGCGTGTCCCCCCGTTGTTGGCACAGCAATCTCGAGGCTTCTCACTGCACGACTGTAAGTCGTTCTATCACCGAGTAGACAAGTCAAGAGCGGCCAAGTGGTCCCGTGGCGTGCTATACACATTCATGGACTGAGCAGAGGCTGGACCGAGGACATGATCTCGACAACATGCCAGAACACAACTGCATTGTATATCTCATAATCGCAATCACAGCGGCAGCTGATACTCGTGTTCAGACAACATCAGGATGCAGCGCTGTGGTCAGAATCGCGCCCGTAGAAGACCGGTGGAGTCAGATGAACCGATGCAGAGATCGGCGCAGAATGCATACGGTCTCACCGCGGCGTATCATCTGGTCGTAGGAGTACATGCCTCGCATGTATATAAGGAGAGCTCTCATCGCTGGTTGTCTTCAGCTCCTCTTCCTCTTCGAGCTCAACTCAAGTGCAGACTCTGGCAGGTAAGTGACCATTATATTGTGATGCTACTACGCAGTTGTTAATGATTCTCGCTGCTACCAGTCGCGCTTTTTGTGTTCACGCCCAACACTCATTCCCTGTACGCCACCTGACGACTTCAAACATCAGCCAACATGCGTTATTCCATCGTTGCGACGGCGGCACTCGTTGCAGGTGCTATCGTCCCGGCTATTGCTCTTCCCATTGATTTGTACGTCCGTGCCCGTAACATCCCATTGACAATCCTGACCCATCCTCAGGAATACTCGTGGATTCTATGACGGGTCGCTTGATGCCCGTGCCGTTCAGGCTCGCTCTCCTGCGCGGAACCGCACCCCTTCGCCCCCGCCGCCTCCCCCTCCGCCGCCAAACACCCCGGAACCGGAGGAGAAGAACCATAGGAAACACAAGCGCGATCTATACGACGTCATTGAATACTTGCAGGCTCGCTCTCCTGCGCGGCATCGTACCCCTTCGCCTCCTCCGCCGCCTCCTCCTCCGCCAAACACCCCAGAGCCGGTGGTGACGAATTTGAATCATAGGAAGCACAAGCGCGATCTCTATGACATCGTTGACTACTTGCAGGCTCGCTCTCCTGCGAGAAATCGCACCCCTTCACCTCCGCCGCCTCCTCCGCCGCCGCCAAACACTCCAGAGCCGGTGGAGAAGAGCTTGAATCATAGGAAGCACAAGCGCGCCGATTTGGAAACCTTCGCGGATCTGTTGGCTAGGATGAAAATCGATGACCTGGATTGATGCGTAGTTGCTGATTATGCTCTCCGTGAATCAATCACGTCCCCATGTACTCAGTACTCAGAGCAAGTTGTCGTCATGTATGTGCTTTCAGTGTTCGCTAACCGGCCTGGGGGTGTGCCACTACTACCTGTGTACTTGTGTGTAGTACGACGTACCTCGGGCCGTATTCAGTTTGATGATGAGATGGGATGTACATTTAATGATCTTCGGATGTACCTAGCAACCCGACCTTGCTCGTCGGACCCAGTCGCCGAAGGGTGTGCAGATGTTCCCTTTTGCGTGGTGTTTGCGAGAAACATAATCTCGATCCATAGACGCCCGAATACAACGTGTTTTACATACGGTGACGGTCGCCAGCGAACCTCCGAATCGCTGTGACCTCCTACCACCCACTGGTGGCACGTAATGCTTTCACACTGACTCTACAGCATTTACAGCAGAAATCCGTTGTCCGAGGAGGTACGTCACGAGAGCGATTCCTAGGCGACTAGCGTACTACTGACATTGACGTGGCAGTGCTGGCGCATCTACCACCGTCCAGATTTGCCCAGGCCGCGAACCAAGATGAGGTTCATGGACTTATATTATGATATCATCAACACATTGCTACAATACACAGAGCGGCGAGACATGTTGCGTCTAGCGCATACTTGCCACGCTGTCCATAACATCGCGCTACGATATTTCGTCAGAGAGGTGACTATCACCAGTCGATGGAGCCCCGAGTCGATTCGCCGCTTTTGCGAGTACATGCTCAACGAACCCTCTCGTCCCGGGCTCTTGGCATCCCTTTGTATCAAATCCTGGCCATTTGATGGGGAACGGTCGCTGTCCTGTGCCGACTACACGGAAGGGCCTTCCATGCTCGCCCAAGTCATCAGAAGGTCCCACCAATTGCGAACTCTGTCCTTCGGATCGATAGGCTACCTGTTGGAGGACATTCCCGACCTAGCTGAAGCAATCGCGGCTTCCGCTGCGCTCGAGACGATACACCTCTTGGCTGCAAACGGGGCGACACTTACGGTTCTGTCCCGAGCGGTGAGCCGCCCTAAGGTGTTGACCTGTCGCTTCGATGACTCTCAGAGCTTTCCTCGAGAGGAGCTGACCGCGACACTTAACAAGTTCTCCGAGTCGCTTGTTTCCCTTTCGATAGGGTACCACACGGACCCTCTCTTAGCAGCGACGGGACCGAGTTGGCCGAAATTGCAAGAACTCGCGATATCGCATGGGATCATCTCGCACGTTGGCGTTATATTTCGCGCTTTCCCCGGCATCCACACACTTCGGGTAGGCCCCAAACTGGCAATTTTTAATCGTCAAACCGTCACTACCCCTCCAAAGTTGGATTTCCTCTCGACGGACATACCGCTGCCCCTTCAAGGTCATGTACGGCGCTTGACCCTACGTAGTCCCGAAATGGGGTACATGGCTGAGAACACGATCCACGCATACCGACCCGTCATCTTAGGATCTGTCTCGATACCATTATATTGGAACTCGGAGAACGAGACAGTGAAATTTCTGCAACTGACTTTCTGCGATGGGCGAGATGCAATGCAGATCGAGGATGACATCGTAAGCCATTGCGTATATGTTTCTTCTTGCCTCCTCACGCCTCTTATTTTGCTGCTATCAGGAGCGCTGCGTGGACGATCAAACCACGAAATACCTCGTGGCCATAACCATCACTCTCCCGGCAACCTTTAAAGACGATGGGTTCACCGAATGGGCGCATCGGCGCGCATTCAAATTAGCGAATCGCTCGCCTCATCTTGAACACATCGGGCTCAATCGCGCACCCGCCGCCGACACTGCGTACGTTCCGCCGAGCTGGCACGAACCTCGCTTTATGTGGTATCGGGTCATTCCGCGCTTCTCCGCTCGTTCCGTGATTCTGTTGTCCGAAGAGGAGGGTACCGCTGTGCACGAGGCGCTGCTGAACTTGGGCAAATGATCGACGTCGCGAGGGTGGCCACCCGTAGTCAGTACGTGGGTCAAGTGTGGTCTCTGCTTTCTATTGACATGACAATGTCAGGCCCAGCTACGTCGACGCTTAACCAAAATGAGATAGAGAGCAGAGCCCCTGTGTGGCGATTGCGCCGCGCTTTGGCCACACACTTTATCTCTTTCGGCGCCGCGCTTTGTGTGTTGTTGCTATGGCCTTGCGGTGGCCACCCTTAGCGCCACCCGACGCTTTGGCACCAGAGTTCACAAGCTCGTGAAACCCCTGTCCTTACTGGTATTTAAGGCCCTACTGCAGGGCCGACAAACTCATTCCACTCTCTCACTTCGCCATCGCATCCACTCCTCATGCGAAACTTGAAACTTCTCGTAGCCCAGTGGGGCCCGCTCTCGAGCCATCTCCAAGCATCGCGCTTCCTGATTCAATCGTCATCCCACGCCGGATTGCTGTTCGGCGGACTCTCATGGCCATGTATGTTCTCACCTCGCCGCTTGTCGCGTCCCGCTGACCTCCTCTGCAGGTGTCCCCGGCCAAGGGTTCGTCATACTGGTGTAGGGACCTCCGCGGGGAGTCCAGGTTCCATCAACATTCCAACGAGCGGCCACTGTCTGCTACGCAACCTGATGCACCCGACAAGATAGGCCGTGGTGGGGAAGTACGGAGCACGACAGACGACGGCGAAGCCCAATCGCTCGTCATGGTATGGCTATGGCTTACCGTGGTACCGCGCACCCTGCATTCCAGAAGCGTTGGACGAGGGATTTGGTCAGGCTCAATTTTGGTCAGGCTCAATCCCTTGACCTCATGCCTACCTCATGGGACCGACGTCGACACCGTCACCATCCGTTTCGCGCCCGGCGCCACCTACGATGACGGCTGGACCCATACCCCTTCCCTCAGATCTCGGCATCCCTCCGAACCAAGGTGGTTCCGTCCTGCTTGCGGATCTTGCAAGACGCACAACCCTCTGGCTCATCCGGGAGGAGTCTCCTGCGCCATCCTCGCCGACGGCGCAGCCCTCGTTCCAGCCCCTACTCCCGCAAGCCGCAGGACACGGGCTTCTTGCTGTACGAGTATCCCTCCACGTCGACGTCGGCGACCCTCCGTCGGTGATACTGACGTCATCAAGGGCGCGAAACGTTCAGTATCGACTATCCCGGGATGCTATCGATAGTATCCTGAGCGACGCTGGTGCTCCCACAACCCCATGTCCTTATTGCGGAAAGCCGATCACCGACGCTGACCTCGAGGGTCACCGAGTCCAGACTCATGCCTCAGGGGACACGGAAGACGTTGTCTGCTGCGTTGGAATTCCTCTCGATTCGTAGCAGCCTGCCGATGGCGTCCAACGCCACCTGTATTTGCGTCCTACGACCGTTGACTCGGAGATACTAGTGGTACAGGATTCAGTCGACGAGATGCATACCTGCGTCATCTCGAGCAAGGACCCTATTTACCTGGGTGCGAAGACGTATAGGTGGAAGCACATTGTGAGGCGGATGATTCGTGGGGTGTAGCTGTGCGAGGATAGCAAGGCATGCTTCCAGGATAACATACAATTGTACGGGCCGTACCACACCTCCATATCTACTACATTTATTTAGAGATTTCAGTGATATCAAAACTGATAGGAACTTGCCTGCTCCTTCACGTTGTACACAAAGACTCAGCTGCATTACGTATGTACTCAGAGTGTGAGTTGACTGGAATGCAGGACGTAGGCTCAGCTGCCTAGTGTTGGTTGTCAATGTCGTACTCAACGAGAATACAGCATAGCCCGTCAAATGAAGCAAGAGAGTAGTCGTAGTAGCATGTGAGGTTTCGCAAGCAAAGTCCCAATACATACATCATGCAGCGAGAGCAACAAACGAGCAAACCTACAATGATCCAAGCAGCAGTCCACTTCCACTTCCGCTTCCCCAAACTACATCCACAACTGGCATCCCTCACCGCCTGCCCAACCCACTCAGCCGGTTGCGCACTCTAGCCACGAGCCCACCCACGCCCTGCGGCTCCTCGCCCTTCACACTGAACGACACAACAGAGAACGACCTGCTCTCGTCCAGGTCCGCGCCCATCTCCGCCATCCTCGCGTCCTCCGCGCGGCCCGCCTTTCTCCTCCCCCGCCCCCTCCTCTCCGCCTCCGCCTCCCCGTCGCCGTTGCCATTGCCGTCTTCGTCGTCCGACGTGCTCGACGCCAGGCTCTCCGGGACGGACGACAGCGAGCTGGACGTCTGCGCGAGCGCGCTCCGGAGGGGCGAGCCCGAGCCGAGCCTGCTGTGCGCGTGCGCGTGCGCCGCGGCGGCCGCCTTCATGTTCGGGTTCGACTTGGACGCGCCGAGCCCGCCGAGGTGCAGGCTCCTCCGGATCCTCTGCGCGTTCGACGGGCCCGCGCCCGCCTTGGACGCGCTCGCGCGCGGGCGGGGGATCGCCACGTTGATCCACGCGGGCATCGAGGTCGCCGACGTGCTCCTGTCGCGTGCCGGCGACCGCGAGGGCGCGGGGGACCCCGCGCGCGGCGAGGGCGGGAGGGAGGTGTCTGCGAGGATCCGCGCGGCGGCGGTCCCGAACGACTCGCTCTCGTGGCGCGCGCGCGGCGGGGTGCGCGGGGGCGGCCCGTGGGCGAAGGCCGGTGTGCGGAGGGAGACGTCCAGCTCGCTGGCGACGAGCGCGTCGAGGAGGTCGACTGCGTAGGCGGGCACGCCGGGGTCGTCGGCCTCGGCCTGGGAGAGGATGTCCGCGCGCGAGCGGGGCGAGCCGGGGAGGAGGATGTCTGCGAAGCCGCCTGCCCACGGACTCGAGGGTGAGTCGGAGGCGGAGGGGGGAGGGGTAGGAGCCGCGAGGTGTGCTTCGGTGGTGTCTTGGGCGAGCGCGGGCTCGCGAGGGGGCTTCTGGACGGCGTGTCGGACGGAAGCGGCGTCCGGGGCGACCGCGACGGGGAGGCAGACGCAGACCTGGATGAGTGGGAGCCGGCGGGGCTGAGGGGGCGGGCGGACGGGGAGGCCGGGTGAGGCATGCCTAGTTGGAAGGCGAGGACACACGCGGAGTGACGGAGGCGGAGGGAGTGGACGCGCGACATGGTCTTGCGGCGCTGGGCGGCGGCGACAACGTGCTGGCCGGGCGCGAGCCGCGAGGCCAGCGGGACCCGCGTGCCCGCCCGTTCCAAGAATAGTGCGAGGTTCGCATGCGCCTGAGCCTGCTTCCGCGGCGACACCCGCGGGCCTCCTCCGTCTCCCTCCTCGAGGCGTGCGCGCGCGTGGCCGGTCTCCCGCAGAGTCGCGAGCGATGCCTCGAGCACACGCACCGCGTCGTTCATCTCTGCCTCCCGCTTGGCCGCCAGCCACCGCTCGCGCAACATCGTCTCAAACTCCGTGGGATCCCTATTCGCGCGGTCTGCGAGGCACTCGCGCAGCCTCGCAGCCTGCTCCTTGGCCTCTCGCGCCTGCGTGCCCAGCATGGCCGTTGCGCGCTCGAGAGCGCGGATTTGCTGATCGACCGGTGCAGGCTCGGCGAGGCTGTGCTGCAGAGACGAAGACACGGCAGCCTGCGCACGGTGGTAGCGCAGCTGTCGGCGAGAACGTGGTGAGAGGTCACGAGGAGCAGGTTCAGCAGGTTCGAGCGTCAATGAGGAGGATCGCGGCAAGCTCGTGGAGAGAGAACGTGGCGTAGATGAAGAGAGGCTCTGGCTGGCGGTGAGATCTGGCGTGCTACACGGGAACATAGTTTGATCAACAGACCGTGTCCGATCCATTGCGAGCACTCACAGAGGCGGCGGGGCAGATGGGTAGCGTCGTTCAAACTCTGCATTGCTCATCTTCTTCTGTGTAGATCGTATGAGCGGGAGTGGTACCAGTTGAGATGGGAAGATACGTACCACAGCCAGCCCGCCAGGCAGTCTGCTATAAGGCGAGGCAGACAGACCATGGGGCCTTATCTTTGCAGCCCGTTTCTTCCACGCAGGCAGCTCCGTGTCAAACACATCTTCTGCGACGGCGGGTACCATCTAGGCCAGAGCAGGAGGGTGGTATGGGGGTGGTTGCCGTCAACGTAGCTACGCGGGTGCGAATGTTCCCAGTTCGCCGTGCACCGTGCTGACGACGAGGGGACAAAGTCTGGGCTTAGTAGCGGGGCTGAGTAGAGGGGCGAGGCTGCAGGGACGGCATGGAGGAGCAGCAGGCAGGTGTGGATAGGTCGCAGTCGCGCGGGCGGGAATCGAACGATTGACCGACTTGGACCGACACACACGGTTGTCACTCCCGCCACTCACCGCCATCATGCCCCAGCCACGATCGCCGATTGCCAACAACGTTCAATCTCAGATCTAGGCACATTTTGCCAGTGCGAACTGACCGACGACATCAAAACGACATTCACTTTGCAGGGTCAGTACTTGGTATCTCGCCGTCTTCATAAATTACTACGGGCCAGCAAATACAAGAGACTACACACGCACGGCCATCAGAATACCCTACTGGCAGGACGCGCCTTCCGAACATTCCAGGACTCGGAGGCAAATAAGTACGACTGGTCGCAGTTGCCTGTTCACCGTCTCTTGATTGTCAGAAAGGTATGCATCGAAGATAAAATGGCGTGTTTTGGGACTCACACGGAAATATACAGGTTCACACTGGGCCACCGGCTCGTAACGTCTTCAACTCACGTAATCGATAGTTGCGCCCAACTCGACGTTATTCTCCTTAGCTAATTTTTGAAGACAGCTGCAACTCGAATGGGGGGGCTGCCAATGTGTCCAGCAGCCCCGACATTAGTCCTATCGGTATGAGGCAGTTCGTCAAATCGAGCTCTTGTATACGGATAGTCCCCTCTCTACGATGTGCGAGGAAGTCCTTGATAGAGGCTACATTGAACATCGTCCTAAGCCTTGGCTAGTCACGAAGAGCAAGTGGATGCTCAAGCTCAAGACCGACGGAAAGGCTCCATTGAATTGCGGGAGATAGTCCATGCTGGCAAGGTCTAAGGAATCGCATTAACAGACGGCGGAAGCTGAAAATGGAGGATATAGCGTGCTGCATGTTGGAGGTCTCGTACATGGAGTGCAAGTGGTGAAGCAGGGAGCTGATGTTGAAGCCTTCACATGGAGACACTTGACCATCGACATGTGAGGTGTGAGGCGACGCAGTAGCTCGCAACGCATGCTCGCGGGTATGCTCCATCTTGGGCAGCTGAAGCGCTCCGACAAAGTTACCCGCGCCGACTCCTCTAGGACGGACAGGAGATGACAACAGTCGCGAGTGTTGTTCGACTCGATAACTGTCCAGAAACGCGATCGCGCGTTCCAGCTCCATGCACGACAGACCAGGTTGCAAGACTTCAAAGTCTCGCGATCACTGGGAATGAGACAGCTGAACTCATCCAGAATATGCTGCTGCAATTCGAGGGGTAGTTCCGGTGGGGCCATGCTATATGCTTGCAAGTTCCTGTATCATGTCATCCACGCGCCTTCGACAATGCAAGTGACTGCAACTCACCGAGCCGAACGACCTGAGCGGAATCAATGCAACGGCTTCTAGGCTATCAGGGTTTGCACTCGTCAACACCACTTAGTTTGACAGCACATAACTGGGCATCGCGATGCGATACTGGTGAAATCTGGACTCCAGGCTTAGCGGAGGGCAACTTGAAGACAGTCGCGACAGAGATCAAATTGTACCTCAACCGCGTCGTCGCTGAGCCCCGCGGTTAGCCATATCCCCAAGTAGGTTTACGGAGGATCATTGAGTTGTCGAGGTCTGCGCTCGAGTCGATGGTCTTTGTGCGCAGATGGCAGGAGGTCACTGGCAGGAGGGGACGAGCGCTCAAGCGCTCAAAGCTGATCGGTCCCGACGGTCCGGGCGACCTGTGGCTACTTACTGGGGCCGCAAAGATTGAAAGAAACAGGCGTCTACTGACTGTTGCATCGACTCGGACTTGTATCGACCTCCAAGCATTCTCTTCTGGTCTTCAAGTTTTCTCCATATATCGGTCTGCATGGCATCCAGAGAAGGGAAGAGAAGAACTGAAGCGCGGGATGGGGGCAGAAGACGATATCGCTCGGTGCGCCGCTCTGCTACTTGCAATGAGCCCTTATTCACACAGAACGATCTATGCCCAGGATGGCACTCCGATCTGGGGGCAGCGGGTGATAGACGGTCCAGGAGTCTGGGTCACTTGCATCAAGGGGAGGGAGAAACAGACTGTCGGAGAGCTTTACGATCTGTTTGACTCTGTGAGTGGTGGATGGCAAGGCCATCTGTTCGTCGTGCTAATGCGTCTCAGCTTGCGTCCGAGCTGTGGCAGGAAGAGGGCGCAAAAGCCGGAAATGGGGAGACCGACAGTGATAACGGGGGCGATGACGAAGAAGAGCTCGAAAAGCAGATTGCGAAGGAGGTCGCTTCGATGAAACGGCCTAGGAAAGAGCAAAGGTTCGGTGAGTCCCTCGTCATGGACCTTCCGCTGGGTACTTAGAGTCGTCGCAGTTAATTGTCAGACGAATACGCCCTGTGGTAAGTCTGAATATTAGTACTGACAGAGTGCAACGAGTGACGACCACCAGTTGTTTTCATATCGTGCAAGCCTCCAGTAGATCCAGTGCAAATGGTTGTCAAGCATGTGCAGAATGTGGTGGACGCTGGTGTCACCCAGACACGGTACGTATTATTTTGTATCCGAACACCGTCGTCCTTTGTCATGTTGTCTAGGTACACGCAGCGACTGACACCGGTATCCGGAACCTGTGTCGCCAACCTTTCGGAGGTGCAATCGCTGTGTAAGAGGATCGTTGTACCATTCTTCGAAGACGATCCGGAGAAAATATATCGCGTGAGTCGTATCGTTCATTCATGTTCTTGTCTCGTTTCTGATCTCAAGAGACGTCGCAGTACAAGATTGAGCTCAGAATGCGTAACCATAACACGATGTCAAGGAGCACTCTCATTGAAGGGCTCGCAAAATGTATCCCAGAGAGACACCAGGTCAATTTAGACAACGCGGAGGCGTTCATTTTGGTAGAAGTCTTCAAGGTTAGTGCCACTACATACTCGATTTCCGTATCAACTCATCCGATCGAGTAGAGCATTTGCGGCCTGAGCGTTGTGAAGGATTACTACAGCTTGCACAAATTCAACGTGATGGAGATCGCGCATGCAAAGAACAGCGACGCACCGGAGGACGGGAGAATGGCCGACTCCAGCTCAACCGTCAAAGATGCTACTGAATGATGGTTGTACTATCATTATGTGTAACGAAATGCAGACCAAAGTACCTGTCATGCTGTAGCTATAGCATAAGATGTTTGTATCTACGTTGAAAGAATACGCGCGATTGTCCGTTTGGTGTCAATACCATATTACCAAGGTTTGAGTTTCCTGGGGCGCGTCCGTACGACAAAACGTGACCGCGATCTCATCGCGTTGCATTGGGCGCGTAGGCTCGGTTGGACTGCACACTCTGCTACACCGCAACACCCACTTTCAACGCTACCTCTTACATCGCTTGATCGTCTTCCTGGAACCGTCGACGCACAATGGGCGACCTCGTAGACTCGATGCTCGACCTGATGCGGCGGCTTCCACCGACCCATGTTGAGGAGAACGTTGCCTCGCTTGTCGCGATGTGCCCCGACTATGCGGACGACCTCCTGGGCAGCGTGGACCAGCCCTTGAGGGTGATGACGGATCGCGCGACGGGCAGGGACTACCTCACGTGCGATTATAACAGAGACGGGGAGAGCTATCGGTACGTGTCGTCTCCGCGGTGCAGGCACTGAACAGAGGATGCACGTACACCCGCCGCGTGCACGAGTAAGATGCAGTGTCTGATGGATAGTGTGCAGGAGTCCGTGGTCGAACGAGTACGACCCTCCGCTGGAAGATGGGACCGTCCCCTCCCCAAAGCTGCGCAAGTTGGAGATCACCGCGAACGAGGCGTTCGATACATACCGCGAGATGTGAGTGTCGTGTTGCTCTGTCGCGGGCACCCCCGAGATTCATCGCAGTCTTTCGATGTAGGTACTATGAGGGCGGTGTATCCTCTGTCTTCCTCTGGGATCTCGACGACGGCGGTTTCGCGGGTGTCGTCTTGCTGAAGAAAGGTTTGACATATCCATACCTCGCAATTGAATGCGCCCCCTCACGATCGTTCAATTCGCAGTACTCAACGCGTCATCACCAAGCGAGCCTTCCGGCTCATGGGACTCCATCCACGTATTCGAGGCCGCCGAACGCGGGCGACAAGCGCACTACAAGCTCACCTCCACCATCATGCTGCAGATGACGAACCGTGCAGTGACCGCTCCTGCCGGGAAAGATGAGAAGAGCAAGGAGAGCGGGCCGGGAGATGCGAACAGGGAAGGCGAGGTAGTGCTGAGCGGGAGCATGACGAGACAGGTGCGTTGTTCTCGTGGCCTTGCGTACCCCAGCTCATTGATATACTATGTACATCAGAGCGAACAAGACCACCCTTTGCAAGATCAGTCGTCGCACATCTCGAACACAGGGCGGATGATCGAAGAGATGGAGATCAAGATGAGGAACCTCCTTCAAGAGGCATGTCCTCGTATTCTGTCTCACGTACCCGTGCCCACTGACCTCGCCACTACTGAAGGTGTATTTCGGTAAAACACGAGACATCGTGTTCGACCTTCGCAGCATAGATGATCTGGAGAAGGCACGGCGGCAGCGTGAGCTGCAGAAGGAGCTCGTCGGCTTTATCAAACGGTAATAGTGCTGATATCGGGACGCGATCAATGTGATGTACTGGAAGAAGTGCTATCGAATGTATTCTTGACTACGAGAGCGGCGCTGGGTGCTGTGTGTCATCAAACCCGATTCCAGCCTCACTCTATTTTGAAGCTGCGGCTTTTGTGTGACAAATCACACAAAAGCCGCAGCTTCTAAATAGAGTGAGTTGCATACATATTGTGATCTTCACAGTTTCATGGCTTCTGACCTTGGTACTTGCCGACTTCCAAGCATGCGCATACCGAGAGTAGTTCACAATGAATGAATAGATGAGACACGAGGCTAATGACAAGGTGGGCAAGCGAAAAATAAGATCATGATGGATGTGTGGGAGACGAGGGAGTGAGGTAGAAATAGAATGGAATGAAACAAAGGCATGTAGGGAAGTAGAAAGAGATGTAGGGAAGGATGGTGAAATAATGAACGTAAAAAGGAACGAAACAGAGATCGCAGGGAGACACGGACATCGGGAGGATAAAGTATGTCTTGCATGTGCTAGGGAATCTTCGACGTAGGAAAGGGTGTGAGTTGATGCATCGTCCGGAGTACTGACGAAGGGGGTAGAGAGAATTGATAAGGAAGGGATGACAGAATCATCAAGAACGTTCGAATGCTTCCAGTTTGAGTCGTATCGACGTCGTGGAGGCCGTATTGGATGACTGAGCTCCGCACTAATGTGACCGCACTTTGGGGTGCGATTATTGAACGGTACGATGTATCGGATGGTGGGAGACTCACAAGTCATGTGTCCAACACAGCAGTCCACTTCGGATGTGATCCTGGAGGACGCTTCGTCGTGTAATGGCATGCGACGGGAAGCAGCCTCGCGTTCCAGAGTAATGAGCACCGCAGGTCCCGCGGTGTGCGTGCTATCAGTTAGTTCGAGATCAGTCAAGTTATTCATCACAGTGGAGGGCGTTCTACGCACCTCTAGATATGGATCATGACGCACTAATTGACCATGCACAGGTCCTGTCAGCTGGGTCATAGCGTTTCTTGAGGAAGACGTACTTGATAGGTATTTGAAGCCGATCTCCTGCACTCTGTCGTTGACAATCCCTACTTATCCCCGCTCTACGAACCCCTCGCATCCCCATTGGAGATTGTACCATCCACACCCGCGTCTAGGAAACCCTGACAGACGTACTGCCTCAAGCCAATGCGGCCAGCCCCTCCGTAGAGAGGCCGGTCTCCGCATCCATAGACGAATTCGCTTCTGCGTCATCATCATCCGGGGCGATATGTGCAGACATCTTCCAGAGCGCCGTTTCCAGCGCCTGAATACGCTCCCAGTTGTCCTTGAGTTCGCGGTCCTTGGCGTCGATATCCAGTTGCTGCTTGTACCGATCGAGTTCGTATTGATGGTGCTGTCGATGCATCTCCTTGAGCACAGAGGCGACCTTCTTGTTGGCAGCGTCGAGAACTGTGTGGGCCGCAAGGTGGATTTCATGAGTTTTCGCGTGATCAACCTGCTGGGCGTTCTGTGCAATCTTGTGCTGTTTCCGGGCGTACGCCAGAAAAACCACGAGGTCCCGCATGGCAGAGGAATCGTCCAAGGTAACAGAAGGATGTTGGGCCTCCTTGTCGGGCTGAATCATGTTGTCGTTGGGTACCGGTTTCTCGCCATTCGGGTTGCCTCCGCAATTGTTGCCCTTCATCTCGTCTAGCCGATGCAGGAGCAGGGCACGGTCCATTTCGATCGAAGCCACGCGTTCACTGAGTCGAATAGACAGCATCTCGGAGTTCTCGAGCTTTTCCTTGACCAGAGCGAGCTGAGCCTCTGCTGTTTGAGCGCGTTCCTTGACCGGCTGGTGTTCGTCATCGCGGCCATGCTGACGGTCTGCTTCGGGAATCTCGACCTGCGGAACATCGTGGTCGTTCCTGGTAGTGACGTTCTCCTTGACTAGCTCGTAGGCGATTTTCTGAGCGTCGATTTCGCCTTCAGCGCGTGACAGCTGAGCCTCGACATCCTGCACGCGCGCCTCCTTTGCAGCCAACTGAATTCTGAAGTCGTCGCGCTCCGTCTTAAGGGTGACGTTCAGGGTTTCAAGCGAGGTGTTCGTCTTCTTCTGTGCGTCGAGCGTGGTGCGGATGCGGGCAAGCTCGGCCTCGGTCTTCTGAGAACGTTGCTGGACTGCAGTCAGTTGAGACTTGACCTGGTTGCGCTCCGTCTCGCAGTCATCGATCTTGCCCTCGAGCTTGTGGATGCGATCTTCCGAGTCCTTTGCTTTAGTCGCCTCGTCGAAGGCGCGAGTCTTCCAGTCGTCAGCCTTGTTCTCTGCTTCCTGCGCACGGACCTCGCAGGTGTGGGCCTTCGCCTCGCTGATGCTGACTTGCGCCTCCAATCGAAGAATCACGGCCGCCAAGTTGTTTGCCTTGGTCTCGAGCTCGAGTGCGCGGGCCTCCTCAATGTCAGCTCTAGCTTGCTCATCGCGAGCGTGAGCCTCCGTGATCTCGTATTTGAACAAATGATCCTCTGCGCGCGACTCCCAAGTTCTGACCTCGGCCTTAAGTACTCGAATGCGTGACTTCTGGTCGCATATTGTCGCCTCAAGCTGTTGAACGCGAGAGTCCCGGTCGCGCATTGTCGTCTCCAGCTCCTGAGCGCGAGAATCCCGGTCGCAGATCGCCGTCTTGAACTCGCGCTCACGAGCCTCCAAGATGGTCACCCTGGCCTCTTGCTCAGCCGCACGGGTGTTGCAGCCGTCAATGGTGGCCTGAAGCTCGATAGTGCGTGCCTGGAGGTCGTGGACCTGTGCTTCCTGCTCGGCGATACGGGACGCCAACTCGTTGGCAGTGTTCTCGTGCTCGTGGGCGCGCACCTTCCAGTCAGCAGCTGCCGCCTCAAGCTCGGTAGCCCGGGTCTGCAGATAGCCCGCCTTGGTCTCGTACTCGGTCGTAAGGGCCTTCCACTCGTCGATTTGCCCTTCGAGCTCTGAAGCACGTGTCTCGAGGTCGGTAGCCTTGGTTTTCTCATCGTGAGCGCGGGCTTCCCAGCCATTGGCTTCGGCCTCGTGCTTCGCGGCAAGGGACTTCCATTCGTCGATTTGGCCGTTGAGCTCGGAAGTGTGTGCCTCAAGGCTGTTCGCTCTGGCTTCCTCGCCGTGGACGCGAGCTTCCCATTCGTTGGCCTTGGTCTCGTGCTCCTTCAAAAGGGCTCGCAACCCGACTATCTGCCCCTCGAGCTCGAAAGCGCGTGTCTTGAGACCGTTGGCCCTAGATTCCTCGTCGTGGGCGCGGACCTTCCAGTCATTGGCGTTGGTCTCGTGCTCCGTAATAAGGGTCTTTAGATTGTCGATCTGCACCTTGAGCGCGGAAACGCGTGTGTTGAGGCCATTGGCCCTGACTTCCTCGTCGCGAGCGCGAGTTTCCCAGTTGAACGCCTTGGTCTCGTGCTCCGCGGCAAGGGCTTGCAATGTGTCGATTTGACCGTCAAGCTCGGAAGTGCGTGTCTCGAGGTCGTTGACCCTGGCTTGATCGTCATGAGCGCGGGATTCCCAGTTACTGGCGCGAGTTTCGTGCTTCGCGGCAACGGCTTTCCACTCTTCGATTTGAACATTGAGCTCGGAGGCGCGAGTCTCGAGGCCGTTGGCTCTGGCCTCCTCGTCATGAGCGCGAGCTTCCCAGTCACTCGCCTTGGTCTCGTGCTCCTTGGAAAGGGCTTGCCACGCGTCGATCTGCCCTTCGAGCTCGGAAGCGTGTGTCTCGAGACCGTTGGCCCTAGATTCCTCGTCGTGGGCGCGGGCCTTCCAGTCATTGGTGCTAGCCTCATGCTCCATAACAAGGGTCTCCAGCTTGTGGATCTGCACCGTGAGCTCAGAAGCGTGTGACTGGAGGCTATTAGCCCTAGCTTCCTCGTCGTGAGCGCGGGATTCCCATTCGCAAGCCTTGGTCTCATGCTCCGTGGCAAGGGCCTGCAATGTGTCAATTTGTCCGTTGAGCTCGGAAGCGCGCGTCTCGAGGTTGCTAGCCCTGGCTTGCTCGTCGTGAGCGTGGGATTCCCAGTTATTGGCGTGAGTTTCGTGCTTCGCGGCAACGGCTTTCCACTCGTCGATTTGACCCTTGAGCTCGGAAGCGTGCGTCTCGAGGCCATTGCCCCTAACTTCCTCGTCGCGAGCGTGAGCTTCCCAGTTGCTGGCCAGACACTCGTACTCCATGGCAAGTGTTTTCCACTCGTCGATCTGCGTCTCGAGCTCGGAAGCGTGTGTCTTGAGATCGTTGGCCCTGCCTTCCTCGTTGTGAGCGCGGACCTTCCATTCACCGGCCTCGGTCTCCAGCGTAGTCGCATTATCCTTCCATTTGACGACTTTCTCCTTGAGCTTTTCGTTAAGCGTCCGCAGCTCGTGGATTTTGGTCTCATGCTTGTGCGCCTTGGCCTCGAACTCCTTCGAACTGACTTTCCAAGCTTTAGCGGTGGCGTCCAGATCGTAGGTATACTTCTGCCATGCCTCGGCCTCGGCCCGCAGGTCGGTAGCCTCTGTCCGCCACTCCGTAGCCTGTGTCTCCCAATCCGTAGCCTTGGTCTCGAAGTCGGCGGCCTTCACCTCCAAGTTGCGCTTGTGAGACTCGAGCTCCTTGATCGCAGCCTTCCCATCGGATGTACGCGACCTCCAGTCGTTGGCGAGGAGCTCGTGCTTCCGGGCGCGGATCTCGCACTCCTTCAGCGCGGACTGGAGCTCGAGCACCTTCGCTTCGTGCTCGCGAGCGCGAGTCTCCCAGTCGGTAGCCGTGTCCTTCGTCGTCGCATGCGTGCGCCGTTCCTTCCGTAGGTCCGAAAGGGTGCTCTTGTGTCCAATGCGCGAGTCGACGAGCTTCTTAGTCTGCTTCTTCACGCGGCGCCTGCCTGCCACGCGCCAGGCTTGCATAACGGAAAGCAGCTTCGCGCCGTTCGTCCGAAGGGCGGCGTTGTCGGCGCGGGCGGCGTCGGTGCTGGCTTCGAGGGCTTCGATTGTCTGCTGGAGGGCCGCATTCGCGTGCTGGAGGCGCTGGAAGCGGAGCTCCCAATCCAGCGAAGTCGAAGCCAGCTGCCGGCGCAAAGGATGTCAGCCGCAGGGAACCGAGAGGCGAAGAGGGAAGACGTACCTGTTCCCGACATTGCTTGTGAAGATAGCCGCGGATCGCGGACTACGGCGGGCAGACGTGAGGGAGCGGTAAGATGGGAATAAGTGAAGTACGAACCTGCAGGTACTGCACATGCTGATGGCAGTTCCTGGAATTGACCGGTCTTCCGAAGAGCCGAGAGACACAGAGTATGACACAAGGCAAGATGCACCAGTGAATGACTGCGAAGACCGAGGAGGCATACAGACCGAGGACGGAGAAGTACAGCACCAAGTTGCCGAGGACAGAGAGAGAACCTAAGTATTCTTCAACGGGCCGAGGTGGAGAGCCAACGAAGTATCCTGTGGCTATGAGAGAGACCAGTAGTTGGTAGAGTAGAAGTCGCTGGCGTGTTGACATGTTGGGCGGCATCGGTGTGGGCTTGTGTACGTCGAAGAGTGTACTGCTACTTGAAGGAACCCAGGTGGGCGGAGGCAAGGAAGCACAGTGATGAGCAGCTGCTATTAAAAGGGCAAGTTGAGGCTGCCATTGTGCCAGGCAGCACTAGGTCAGCCTCAACTGGCCCGGGATTGAACGCGCGGGCGGGCAGTGTACACAGTTTGAGAAGTAAGTGCAGAAGCTTAGCTTTTGATGCGATATTCCCGTGGAAGATTATTATGAGGTGCACCATGCCTAATAATCTTTCACGAGGAATGCGGTATATTACTGTAGAGGTAGGAGCTTGGGAGGAGGAAGAAACGATCCCATCATTAGCGCCGGCCGCGACTCGGACGCGACGCGACGCAGGCTATCATATGACCATCTAATAATATCTTATCAAAGGGGAGCCGGTTGTCTTACTCTACGTTCCCCTTGCACCAAAGTTCCAGTCAAACGCTAGCGCTATCCTTGCGCTACCCAGTCAAATGTCTCACCGCCTACTCAACAGATTGATGTTGATGTTTGTGGAAAATCACAAGGCAGTCCTTCAGCTTGCTGCTTCGAGTTTTCGCACTCACCTTCCCGGGTTTCCCTAGGCCTCTCTTCTTCCAGTGACTCCTCATGCTTGTATAAATTGTCCATACGTGCATTGCTTGCTCGGGAGACTATGAATACTGTGGCGAACTGCGAGCCCCACAGGTGCGCCGTGTGACAATGGTACACGATCTGGCGCAGCGGCGGGACACGTGTGACGTGTGACGCGCCCCCGCCGTTGCGCCCGCCTCAGGCCGACGGTGGTCTCGTACCCATCCGTGTGTACGCACCCACCACCGTCGGACGAGACCAGCCGACGGCGGGGTCGGGTGTGACTTGCGGCACGTCAATCTCTGCAGCGGCGGGCGGCGGGCTTGTGACGTGTGACGGCCGGGTTGTGGGGTTCGCTATTACACTTTGCAGCCAGAGACCCCCTAAGTATTACCACACCACCAACCACCGAGACCGACCTCAGCCCCGTTCACGACTTCAATATACAATGTCTGTCACTCCTTCTTCTCCCCCATACTCCGTCTCCGAGTTGGAGGCGATTGCCTATTATGCGGGCTTGCCCTCCGAGCCGAAATTGGTGTACCGTACGGGGACCACGCCGTGGAGGGAACCTACCGGCCCGGAGGCCTACAGCGTGCGGAGGGAGCTCAGGCCAGTCTTCGGCCACAAGATCATCACGGTCTGGAAGGAGTTGGGTGACAAGGTCGTCGCCTGCCTCGACTCCGTAAAGGTCAAGTGGACGAGCATCGACAGGTTCGCTTCGCTGAGTTTGGCGAGGCTCCCGGCCCCGTCGTACTCTGGATCGGCGTGCTCCCCGAGTCTCTGGCGAGGACGCCCACACCGCGGCGCTCGGTTGCCTCGCCCTCCTCAAGGAGTTCGACATCACCGACGTCGACGTCGAGTTCCGCGTGTCGGTCTACACCCGGTCGGCCGGCCAGGAGCTCCTCAAACCTGTTAACGACTTTCACCCCACTGTCGACGTGCGCGGACCTCTCCGTGCTCGGCCTGCACATCGCTGCCGAGCGCACGCCTTTCACTGAGGGCACCGGAGGCCTCTACATCGCCGAAGGCGGCGATAGTGACAAGGTCTTCCTCGTCAAGTTGTCCGGAAGATGTACCCGCATTACGAGGACGGCTACTACGAGTATCCTGTGGACCGCCTCCTCAAGCTTCAGGATTTCATCACGGAGGACGCGATGCACAACCCGGACATGCTCGATCGTGACAACAAACCCTGCCTCTTCGTCACAAAGAACGGGAGCGCCACTGGGGTGACCATTGGTAGCGCCACCGGCGTCTTCTCATACGTGCGAGAGTACTGCGGGGACGGCACTAAGCAGACATCGGTGGAATGGTCCATTCTGCCGTACGACAGAAAATCTGGCGACTTCTCCGCCGCTGGCGATTCTGGCTCTGTCATTGTTGACAGGCGCGGACGTATCGGCGGCCTCCTCACTGGCGGTACTGGCGACCCCCACACTGGCGATACTAGCGATACCGAGTCCACCGACATCACGTACGCGACGCCCTTCGCCTGGCTCTTCCAGCGTATCAAGGCCAACGGGTTCCCGGACGCCCACCTCCACCCGGTCATTGCCTAGGCGGTGTGTGCGTCGAGGAATATACTGGGCGATGGCAGAGCGCCCTGGCCATGTACGGTGCGCACGAGCGGTGGTCGTGGAGTGAAACGCTGAGCACGGCCGTGCTCCGTGCTCCTGCGTAGACGTTGGGCGGGCAGGGTGTCGGGTACTGTAGGATAACGTGCAGACTGTATTTAATTTGCCTCGATCAACATGTACCAATCGACTTCATGTTTGACAAGGAGTAGCGGTGCTCGACCCTCCTGCGGCTATAGCCCACCAGCTGGCCAAGAATATTTGATTTGATTCTCTTTCAGGTTTCGATGCACGTGGTACATGAAGACTTGAGGGAACTGGGACGGCGGGTAGATGTGAACAGGATAGCCCTGGCAAGTGAAGAGGAGCACCTGGGACAAACCCCTGTCCGGTGCTCTTGCGACTCGCCAGATGCCATATGACCCGCTCGCTATCCTAGGCGTAGGATAGGTTTCGCTGCGAAGCCTCAGCGGGGCATCGCAGGTTTCGCTATGGCGTCGTGGCTAGGCGCATCATAGGTTTCGCTATGGTGCCGTGGCTAGGCACATCATAGGTTTCGCTACGTCGCCGTGGCTAGGCGCGTCGTAGGTTTCGCTGGGCCATGTTGCACGGAGGCTCAGCACCAGAGTGCGACGTATGCTGCTCCTGGGAACGCTGCGTTGATGCTGTAGGCCACTCCTGCAGCCTCGTACTACAGGTCGGCACCTGTCATGGGCTCGCGGGTGAGTAGAGGAAAGATCAGAGGATGGGCATGGGACCAGAGAGCATGGCGTACACGTATGATGAACGAAGACAGCCAGCCCCTGTCGAGCGAGGGTGACAGAAGAGCGCGACTGCGACGCTGAGCTCGAGGATACTGGTGATCTTGGCGCAGGCGAGAAGAGTCGACCATGCATTCACGAGAGCCAATTTTGACCCTCCAAGAGAGCGCAAGGAGGCGCGACCGGATCGAAGGGAGGAGGATGCCATTTAGCCACACCTGCGCAGCGGCCCGGAGACGAGTAAATATGTCCAAGGGATTCGAAGACGGTCAAGTCGCGGTCAAGAGACACAAGCAGCGACACAGGGATCACTCCGCGAGGACCAACGGCGAGGATGAGTGGTCCTCCTGCAACTAATTATAAGTAAGTACTCAGCTGTGCAAGTAAGACCGTGACAAGGATGCCGACGCGTTCCTCGGCGCGGCCGCCGACTCGGTGCCCCCCGGCCCCCACGGCCTCGGCACTGGATGCCGACCGATGAGATCTCTATTCTTATGCTACCACTTCGACAACTTCGACCTCCAGATCCTCCTGCCGTCTCAGTACTTATCTCTGCCGTGTTCTACGTACGCACGCCTGAGCTCACATGCGAGGCATCCGGCGCCGCAATGCCTGTCTATTTCTTCATCACTCCACGGAATAGAGACAGATGTTTGTACAACCGTCTTTCACGCGTCCAGACAGCCGAAGCTTTCAAGCTTGTCGTCAGCCTGGCGGTTCGGCGGGTTACACGCCGATGAGCATCGTGCTGACTCGTTGCTGAAGCGCTGATCGGTGCCTGCTCGTGCTCCAAATCGTAGATAGCTTGCCGCGCAGCGGCGGTATATATGGCCCACCATGTTCGTCCACTCTCCTTCGCCTCGCCTCGATCTTCAGGAGCAACGTCCTTCCTTCGTAGCTGCACTTGACTTCTGTGCCTGCCATGGACCCGGAAAAGAAGGACACGTCCGACTCCGAGACGACTTCCGTCAACGAGCCCGAGCTCGAGAAAGACATCGAGGCGGCAGGCGTGACCGAGAAGGACCGCCCTGAACAGCCCACGCGCCGCTCCCGCAGGCTCGAGTTCGACCAGGGCGAGCAGCATGTGAAGTTTCGCAGGAGATGGTTCCAGCTCTGGTGAGTCGCAACACCGTTTCATTGAGAGAAAGTCGTGCGACATTCAATGCGTACAGGCTACCCAAGAATCCGCCACCACCTGCGCCCAAGTCACTCGACGATGCGACGCTCCTCCCCATGGTCTATGCATCGTTCATCTCCGTCCTCACGTATTCGTGGATCAACCCGCTCATGGTAAGTGATCGCGTTGAGTCGTGTGAGGGGCCGTTCCGTTGGGGGTTAGCTATCTATCACGACGTATATGGACCTTGTACACAGGCGTCGACAATGCACACACAGCCCTTTGCGACTTCCTCGTGTAGGAAAGCCCACGAATAGGAACGAAACGAATTTGAAGCCTACCGATCGATCATTGAAGAAAGATGGATCTCGGTTTCAGATTTTGATAGACTTTCCTGCACGAGGAAAGGGCGGCGGTGAGGCAACTTCCGGCAGCGTCTCATCTTGTGTCGTCACTGTCGTGAGAGTTCATCGTCATCGTCTTTAGCAAAGCTCAAGCACGGTGAGCTTTCCGGCCGCCTATATGTGCCTGTGCACAAGGTCCATAGCTGTGAGACACCCTGCGCGACTCGAAAGCTCTCCGAACGATACAATGCCACCCAGCGAACGACCTACTGCGACGACTTCTGCCAACGGTTCCTTTCAGTCATCTTACACTCACTTCTCCTTCTATTAGGTCCTCGGCTACCAGCGCACCCTCCAAGCCACCGACCTCTGGAAACTCGACGACGCGCGTGAAGCAGGCGCACTCGGGGCGCAGTTTGACGCCGCCTGGGCCGCGCGCGTGCAGGCGGCCGCGGAGTGGAACGCACAGCTCGCTGCGGGTGAGTTGCACCCGCCGCTCTGGCTACGCATCAGGTGGTTCCTCGTCGCGCTCGTGCACCTGGCGAGATTCGCGGAGACGAGGCGCGAGCTGGAGCGGGCCTGGCGTGAAGGCGGAGGACGCAGGGAGCCGAGTATTGCGTGGGCGTTGAACGACGTGTTTGGGTGGACGTTCTGGACCGGTGGGATTTTCAAGGTATGTTTGCGGTTGGGTGCGGTTGGTCGGGTGATGGGATGTGACGAGATTGGTTCAGGTCTTCGGCGACACGGCTCAGCTCATGGGCCCGCTCCTCGTCAGGGTGAGTGGTAGACAAGGTGTGCTACGGTGCCAGAGGTGCTGACCCTCAGCTTAGGCAATCATCAACTTCAGCGAGGCGCGGGTCGCGGCCAAAGCAGCGGGGGAACCGACAGCGAGCATAGGCCGAGGCGTGGGCATGGCGATCGGCCTGTTCTGCATTACGGTCACCGCTAGCGTGTGCACGCACCAGGTAGACATACTCTGAAGGTTCGAAGCAAGATGGTGTCTGACGATTTGTATTCGAGTTCTTCTGGCGGTCTATGACGACGGGCATGCTGGCACGGGCGGCGCTGATCAGCTCCATCTACAAGCGGGGACTGACTCTAACAGGAAAGGCGCGCACGACGCTGCCCAACTCGAAGCTGGTCACGCATATATCGACGGATGTAAGCTTCGCGCACCGGTGACATCGCATAGAATCTATGCTAACCTCAATGGTAGGTCAGCCGAGTGGATGCATGCGCTCAGTGGTTCCATGCCGGTGCGTCTCACTGTGTTACCGCCCAACAATGCTAACGTCGAGAGACACAGTTTGGACGGCCCCCATCCAGGTCACGATCTGCTTGATCATCCTGCTCGTCCAGCTGGGATACTCCGCACTGGCGGGCTTCTCGCTGTTCCTCCTGCTCATGCCCATCCAAGAGCGCGTCATGTCCTTCCAGTTCTCGATCGGCAAGAGGGCGCTCAAGTGGACGGACAGGCGGTCGAAGCTCATCCTCGAGGTGCTCGGTGAGCGTATACTCTCAAGGAGGATCTACGAGCGATGTGCTGATACGCTGTATGCGTGCAGGTGCTATGCGAGTTGTCAAGTATTTCTCGCACGAGGAATCGTTTTTGAGGAGTGAGTTTGTTACGACGCCTGCTAGTCGTTCTGTTGACTCACAACCTCCAGGGATCTATGACATGCGGACAAACGAACTCAGGGGCACAAGAAAGATCCAGATCGCTCGTTCAGCCAAGTGAGTGCACACAGTGGTCATGTATGCGCATTGTTTGACCGAGTCCATACGATACAGCATCGCCTCCGCCTTCTCCGTTCCAGTCCTAGCAGCCACCCTCTCATTCGTGACATACACCTCCACGTCCCACGCGTTCAACGTCGCGACGATCTTCTCCTCGCTCGCGCTCTTCAACTTGCTCCGCCAACCGCTGATGTTCCTGCCGCGCGCTCTCTCCGCCACGACCGACGCGCAGAACGCGCTGGAGCGTCTCAAGGTGCTGTTCCTCGCGGAGCTCAACGAGGGCTCGACTTTCGTCGTGGACAAGGAGCAAAAGATGGGTCTGCTGGTGGAGGACGCGACGTTTGAGTGGGAGGAGGGCCCGAGTGCACGAGAAGGTAAGGAAGAAGGAAGGAAGGAAAGGCGTCGCCCAGGCGACTCGACGCCTGCCCATGAACAGAGCGCCCCGTTCCAGGTCAAGGACGTGACAATGTCGATCCCCCGGGGTACGCTTGCAGCGGTTGTTGGTACTGTGGGCAGCGGCAAGGTGAATATATACTCCGCACCTCGTTGCTTGCGATCTGACGCTCGGGCTATAGTCAAGTCTCCTTCAAGGTCTCATCGGGGAGATGCGCAAAGTTCGCGGACATGTGTCCTTTGGAGGCAAGGTTGCCTACTGCTCTCAGACAGCCTGGATCCAGAACGCGTCTCTGGTGCGCATACAGTCAGTCTGAGATCTTGAATTGCGGACTCACATTCTACAGAGAGAGAACGTTCTCTTCGGTCAGCCATACGAGGAAGAACGAGTGAGTTCGGCAACTCCAATCCATTCTCGTTTGCGACTAAATTGTGCTTTTCAGTACTGGAAAGCGATAGAGAATGCGTCTTTGCTTCCTGACCTTGAAGTGCTCCCGGACGGTGATCTCACAGAGGTAAGTTCGATGATACGCTGCACACCATATTACTTGACTTCGGTGCTTCCAGATCGGAGAGAAAGGTATCAACCTGAGTGGTGGCCAGAAGCAGCGAGTAAGTTCAATTGACACAGTTGTTCTACTTCTCCGACCCTTACTTTGCACAAGGTCAACATCGCTCGTGCTCTCTACTACAATGCGGACGTCATTATTTTCGACGACCCGCTATCAGCTGGTACGTAAAACTCGCAGCTTGAGACGCACTGAGCCTAACATTATTGTGTAGTCGATGCTCACGTCGGAAAGGCTCTCTTTGCCGATGCCATCGTCGGAGCACTCCGCAACCGCGGCAAGACCGTCATTCTCGTTACTCACGCTTTGCATTTCCTCGACCAATGCGACTACATCTACACGATGAAGGTAAGCGATCCAGTGACACCATGACATAGGTATCACAGCGCTCAGCTGGTGACAGAATGGCCGTGTCGAGGAACAGGGAACCTACAGCGAGCTTGTGAAGAACGAGAAGGAATTCTCGCGTCTTATCAAGGAGTTCGGTGGTACATCCACGAAGGAGGAAGAGGAAGACATCGAGGAGCAGGCGATTGAAGCCCCTCGAGGCAAGCCGGTTACGACTGTCGACGAAACCAAGCTCAGGGAAGAATCCGCCAAACGCGCCGCTGCAGGTACCGGGAAGCTAGAAGGCAGGCTTATCGTCCCAGAGAAGCGAACAACAGGTTCAGTTAGCTGGAAGAGTACGTCGTGCATGATGCATACCTGTCTCAGAATGTCATTGCTGACATCCATGACAGTATACGGAGAGTATCTGAAAGCGGGAAGAGGATGGATTACTGGACCTGTCGTTCTGCTCTTCATCATCCTGATGCAAGGGTGCACCATCATGAACAGCTACACGTTGATTTGGTGGGAAGAAGAGTAGGTGCGGTTAGTCAGAAACGTGGCGTTGGCTAAGAAAATCTTCGTCTCTAGCAACTGGGGTAAAGGCAACTCATTCTACCAGATTTTGTATGCATGTCTGGGTATTGGTCAGGCTTTCTTCACATTTGCCGTGTAAGTGGATCGCTCGTGGCAGTTCACTGATCTGTCTGACGGCCGCTTTACACAGAGGCGGTACAATGGACGAGCTTGGCTTCCACGTTTCGTCCAATTTGCACCACGACGCAATCCGGAACATCTTCTATGCTCCCATGTCTTACTTCGACACGACGGTAAGCCGAAACTTGCAATTAACGTGTTCGAGAAGCTGACAACTACTAGCCTCTCGGTCGTATCTTAAGTATCTTCGGCAAAGATATCGAGAGTAAGCGCGGCGCCTCCGTTGTATCGCATAACCTCCTAATGTAATTGCTTCATAGATATCGACAACCAACTTCCTGGTAGGTCCCCGTACCTTGATTTTGGACTATTTATTGACCTGATTCCGCTCCCAGTCTCCATGCGGCTGTGTAAGTAAGCAATCTTGCCCATTTGAACAAGAGCTGACCTCCCTATTAGTCATCCTGACGGTCTCTAATATGATTGGGAGTGTAACGATCATTACCGTGCTGGAGCATTACTTCAGTATGTGCAGTAATCGTCGCTGACATGGATCACAACTCACGAGACATACAGTAATTGCGGTCGTCGGTATCGGACTAGGTTACAACTATTTCGCGTCATTCTACCGCGCCAGCGCGCGCGAGCTAAAACGGATCGGTGAGTAGATGCCAAACATAGCATCAGATAGATTCTCACTGCTGTACAGACGCAATGTTACGATCAATCCTCTATGCTCATTTTGCGGAGTCGCTTTCTGGTCTGGCGACGATCCGCAGCTACGGAGAGACAGCCCGGTTCCTCAAAGACAATGAATACTACGTTGACTTGGAGGACCGAGCGGGGATCTTGACGGTCACGAACCAGAGGTGAGGCGTTTTGGGACTCCTCGACTGTCGTACTCATCTTGACTCAGGTGGCTGGCAATCCGCCTTGACTTTCTCGGCGGATTGCTCATCTTCGTTGTAAGCAATGGGTTCACATGAGCAGGGGCGTATGTTCTCACTCGTGTTGGATGTAGGTCGCGATGTTGGCGGTCTCCAATGTCTCTGGAATTAACCCCGCCCAGATTGGTCTTGTCTTGACCTACTCAAGTAAGTCTTAGCGGGGTCATATGGCACAATTCGGGGTGTTGAGTCAATTGTCCTTAGCTGCCCTTGTACAACTGTGTAGCATGGTCACTCGCCAGGTGCGTGCGGCGGTGTTCATGCTTTTTTTGCAATTTATGTAGCCCATACTATCTCCAGTCTGCTGAGGTCGAAGTAAGTCCGTACTCTCGTCAAGTTATGTTGATTGCTCACCCGTTCCTAGACTTACATGAGCTCTGTCGAGCGGGGTATGTAACTTCGTCGGCATTAGATCACGGTGTCTCATTCTCTGCCATAGTCGTCGAGTACAGTCGAGGGGACAGAATCGAGCAAGAAGCACCCCATGAGATCAAAGATCGCAAACCGCCCAAGGAATGGCCTGATCGTGGTGCGATCGAATTCAAGGACGTAGTCATGCGGTACAGACCCGGCCTGCCTTTCGTTCTCAAGGGTCTGTCTCTGAGTATCAAAGGAGGAGAAAAAATCGGTGTCGTCGGAAGGTGAAGCGCAATGCTGTTCTTACTCATGTTGGCTGACATTGGAGCAGGACCGGTGCCGGGAAATCTTCGCTCATGTTGGCGCTGTTCCGTATTGTGGAACTGTCTTCAGGTTCTATTAACATTGACGAGTGAGTGCGATAGTGCGCAGCCAATGTGACCGCGTCTGACTTTATGTTATAGCATCGACATCTCTGCAATTGGTTTGAAGGACCTTCGATCGAAGCTCTCCATCATTCCGCAAGACGTGAGTAACCTCTACACCTGTAATCTGCGCCGTGACTGACCAACTCATACAGCCACTCCTGTTCAGTGGTAAGAGAACCAGTCATATATGCAACACGACATGACCTGACAGTGCTGTAGGCACCATACGATCGAACCTAGATCCTTTCAATCAATACGTAAGTTACGTTGTTAGATTCTACTTAGCGCTTCTGATATCCGATGTCTTCAGACTGACGCTCACTTGTGGGATGCACTACGTCGGTCCTATCTGGTCGACAATACTGCCAAGGCTGCGTGCGAAGATCACGATGGTACCGAAACACCTCAAAGTCGATTCACCCTCGACACTGTCATCGAGTCAGAAGGAGCCAACCTGAGCGTCGGCGAGCGTAGTCTGTTGAGTTTGGCTCGTGCTCTCGTGAAGGACAGCCAGGTAGTTGGTGAGCAGCCTTCCCTGAACCCGCATTTGTGCGTCACTGAAAGTCGTTGTTAGTCTTGGATGAGGCAACGTACGTGTTCACAGGCGCATTGCCTTAAGTGCTTATACTGACTCTGGTCGATAGCGCATCCGTGGATCTGGAAACAGACTCCAAAATCCAACAGACTATCCAGACGCAGTTCGGTCACAAGACTTTGCTTTGCATAGCCCGTGAGTTTTAATCGCTATCTCCACTTGGACCATCCCTCAGACAGTTAATGCCATCGCGACGAAGACCGATTGCGGACTATCATCTCCTATGACAGGATCTTAGTGATGGATTCTGGTCGGATAGCAGTACGTCATAGATCCTCTCAGACTTACTCCGCAGACTCACCGTGCTACAGGAATTCGATACTCCTCTCAACCTCTTCCAGTTGGAAAATGGCATCTTCCGCGGCATGTGCGAGAGAAGCGGTATCACGACAGCGGAAATAGAGAAGGCCGTTCTTAAGATGCACATGTTGTGATGTTGTGGTCGTGGACGACGAAATGTCACGGTTTACGCTGCTACTTTTTGGCCTTTAACGCATAGATGTCACCCTAGATGTATCATTTGACCCATGTTTTACGATGAACTACTACGTATACAGAGCTGTAGCGATGACGATGTTACGATAATGCCGGAGCGCACTGAGCCAATGATCAGCTAGACACCATCGAATCGAACCTCAGTAGTGTACATGTGTATTGTTCGAGTCTACATAGGCTTCGCCTCAAATGACGATAAACGGATTACAAACAAAAACGATAATGCCCAGGCGTTGACTCAGAGAGGCGGAGACTACCGTTGATCCGTCCGATCGACAAGCTGCCTCCGAGTGCAGCGAGTACTAAACCAGTCAGCGACCATAGTGTCCCTGTTTTGTGCTAAAAACTCCTCTCACAAACCGTTCTTCAGACCTGCGCAAGGGCGTGCTAGTAGACGTCCTCAACGGTCGTGGCGAAGATCAGTGAGTGACTGTCGGAACCTCATGCACTACTGCCAAAGATCTCATAGTAGCATATTGCACCACGAGTGTGGCTCTTGATGCTCGAGGATACGTGCATGCGGCTCGGGAGAACATGAAGGCGCACGGGTAAGCGGGACAAACCACTCGAGTGCTTGGTCATACAAGGGACTGAGGGGAGGCGTATATATACAGTACAGTGTCCCAAACTACTTGTCGTGGATCATCCGTCAACATAATTCTAAGTACACAGTAACACAAGTGGTCGAGCCGGAGACGATAACAACGATAACAGACTATGCAAGAGGACTGAAATGCCTCGTTCAAGAAATTGTTGACAAGATGTGTTTGAAGCTAGGGTCTAGATACAGGACGGTCCATCTCTTGGTCGCCAGTCAAGCTTCAAGTAGACCACGCTCTGACTGTATAGGTATCCACCTATCCGCGAAAAGTCCGACTTGCTTGGTGACAATGCGCCGATCGACGACTACACGCATCCCTGTGGCCAGAACAGGAGCAATTCGTACCCTCAGAGGATCGATTGCATCGGGAATGACGACGCCGTGTCCGGCATCTATATAGAAGTAGAATGTAACCGTCATCCTCGGGCATTTGCGATGCAAAGCGATGAATGCATCACTCAGAGCCGACCAATCAAGGAACTCCCAGAGGAAGGGTTGTTTGGAAGAATGAAAGTGGAGATCCACAACTTGCAAGTCGGTAGAGGTGATCCTCGACAGAAACACTGGGACGCGAGGCCATTGGTGATGCTTTTCGGGGGTGAAACGGAAGGTGAGCGATACGGACTTCAGACGACGATGATTGGACAAATCGAGGCGTTCCAGCCACACTGCAGCACACGGTCCGGTGAGAGACCTGACTTTCTGAGAGCCACAGAACTGACACTTACCATCGTTGGCATTAAAGGCGAGCTCGAGGTACTCCAATGTTGCGTTGGCCCTGCGGAACACCGGAAGCAGCATAGGCAGTAAGGGAAGCCACCCAGATGTTCCGTTTATTGTCCATCCCAATCTCTTGAGCCGTAGCTCAAACGGGGGCACCGCTAACGCAGCTAGTAGCTTGCGCAGCTCATCTGACCGTGAGAAGAGGTCTCCCATGATGTCTTCTATAGAGATAGGTGCCTGTTGACGCTTTGCAACGAAGTTCTGGATAGCGGTGGTCTCGAGAGGCCACGGCTCATCCCAACGGCTGTCAATGTTATGTGCATGCAGGGAGGAAACTGTTGGGAATGCCCCGAGGAACTCCAAAAGTTCGTTGATACCCATGACCTCCAGCCCGTGGTAGTGAATTGCTTTGAGATGGGGGAAGACGAATATCGAGGATAAAGCGTCTTGCATATTGAAGGCCTCGTCATCGGAATGTAAATAGTCCATGAGGGCGGTGATATTGAAGCGCCTAACACAGAGAACCTCGACCACAGGAAGGCGGCGCGAGATGCTGCTCAACAATTCGCAGCGCATCTCTGAACGCTTCCCACGGCGAGGAAACCCCAGTATAGGCAACTCAAGCTCCCGCACACAGGAAGCAACACCAGTTCCGATCCGGTCAGATTCCTCTAGAAGAGAGAGGAAACGGATGGCGTTGCATCTTGTGTTCAGCACGATGGTCCCGAGAAGATGTAATCTCGTTGTGCGAGTCCAAGCGCGACAGACGAAACTGCAAGACTTCAAAGTCTTCAGGTCGTCATGAAGGTGGTCCAGGACATGTTCTTGGGCCTCCAAGGGTAGCTCGGGCGGAGCCATGTTGGATCCTCGTAGACAGGCTATTATTTGTCAGAAACCCACAGCAATATCCATAAAGGTCCGTCGAAAACTCACCTCAAGTATGCGCAATGTGAAGACTGCGTCCAAGCCAGCCTCGTTATGCCCCTGATAATTGGCTACAAGCTAAGGACGACTCAGTGAGCAGCGTGCAGCTTGAACTAGCTCTTCGACGCACAGTACTGTATCCACTTGCACAGCAACACAGTGAAGTAACGTAGCTTTGACCTGATTGCTCCCGACGAGTTATCGGTCGTGTATTTGCACGTGTAAAACGACTTGGATGACGGAGTACTTAGTACAACGCAATGGCAGTAAGAGCCGCGAGATAGAGACAGCTGAGAGGCTGTAGTGGTGCTTAGGAATGAACGTTCAATTGTCGCTACGTGTCCGTCCCTTGGTGACTTATGATCGGACCTTGAGTGAAAGAGAGGACGCACGACTCCGCGCGCCTCGCGGCGATTGCGTGGCGCCACTTACGCGCTCGCACGTGATCGCGAAGCGCTATACACCCCGCCGACTGAGGATGATCCTGCTTGACCCAGTCTAGACGAAAGCAATGCTACCTAAAGACGCAGCTACAATATCCGACGGGAAGGGGGGGGGGTGCAAGAAGCAAGACTCTGTTCGTCTCATCCTAATACCAAGAAAAAAAGATACAAATATGCTTGCGGCGATGTCGCCCTCGTATCAATAGGAATGGGCAAACGCCGACATGGGGTCGGATCCCAACCAGTTGAAGCCTACGCGGACACGTTATTAGCTTCGAAGCGATCGCGCCTTTTATTATTGACCAAGCAACTAACCAGGTAGAACGACATCTGGGAACACGTCGACAGACTGCATGGACTGTATGAGCTCCGAATCAAAGAACAGAGGCGGCGACATGGGCGCAGAAAAACTGGACGCCGCTAACTGAGACGACATTGGATGTGACATCTGAGACGCGGACGTAGCAGTGATGGTTGAGCTGAATATCGTAGGCGACAATGTAGGCGGTGGTGTGTGCGGTTTGGGACTAGACTGGGTGCTCGTGCTGTCAGGCGCAGGAGACAGTGATTGTCGCGCGGAGGTACTGGCATGAGAAGGTGACGATGCTATCGACGTAGTTTTTGACCGTCGACTATCACGCTTGAGTGAAGACGGCGAATGGTCGATTCTGGCCATCGGCGTGTTAAGCAGCCCTTGCAAGAAACGCGCATACAGCTTGGGGCCATGCCGGTCGTCAATGGCCACTTCAGGCGACCCAAGGAGATCGATCACACGATGGACCAGGTCTTTGATTTCTACCCGCTGTTCCCTTGAAAGGTATACACTGTATTTCGGTTGCAGGAGCTGTGCATTGACAATTCAGTCGCGGGTTGGGCTTCTAGGAACAGATCTGGTACCTTGATGAGAAACGCCGACGCGAAGGTAACAAAAACGCTTTGAGCTTCTGGTCCGTGTCGAATGTAAATCACTGTGTGACACTGCTAAGTCATTGACAGGTCCATTCCAACTATGAACTTACTTTGACTAGGGGTGCCAAGGCCATCTACGACAGACAGCACCGTGTCCTTCGCCGCCCGCAAGCACTAAACGATTGCAAATCAGAATCAACATTGTGACGAAAGACGAGTTACGTACGCGCCAGAGAAAGGGCACCTCGTTGCTGGGAGACGCCTTGCCGAAGGAGTGCTGGAAGCCGACCGACAGCACGGAGAGCCGTGCATAACTGTACGCCAACTTCAGTAGCCCTATCCGGAAGTGGCACTGCGGGTCGTCGGTCTTAGCGTTGCACAGAATCGGTTTCCAGCTCTCTTCAAGGGCGGCGAGGCGGTCGTCAGTCTCGCTCGCTATCTGAGCCACATCGATGTTCTGCGGGGCGTCAGAGCTGCATTCTGCGGGAGAAGCGGCGGAGAAGGGAACGTACCTTGTTAATCCCTGAAGGGCGCTCCGGGTCGCTCCATATGCACGCCCGGAACTCCCCCAACACGGCCAGCTCCGCCTTGTAACAGCAGAGGTGAACGTCAAAGCCTTGCATGTTGTACGGCGAGCTCTGCCACCAGTCCTCCGTGTGCTTCGCGACGTAGTCGTTGTTATCGATCACAGGCGCCTCTCCGTATTGCACCCCCGTCGAACGGTCGAGGTTGTAGCAGTTGAGCCAAGTTCTTGTACGGTTCAGCATCTCGCGTGCCCGTAGTTCGTTCTCGCCTTTGGTAGTAGTGACCGGGTACCGCAGCTTGAGATCAGTCGCCATGCTACGAGACCGTGCAATAACGCATCAACACGCTGAGCACGCAGTGTCAGGAAAATAGGACTGACCGAATGGCGAGCCCCAGATAGAGGTAGCTCCTATCGTCCTCCCACCGCCGTGCAGGCACCGGGTACAAGCTGAGCAGGAGATACGCCTGAACCGCCTCGATTGACTTCTGACCTCCAATGAGCGCCGTACCCGCAGCCAAACGGGCATACTTCATGGCTTCCTGGTAGAGTTCCGGGCGCGGACAATAGTGCCTCGAAGCGATCGCGCATACTGTACGACATAGAGCACGTCAACTGACGTTCTCCGCGCGCATACGCACGGAATACTCACTGACAGTGAATAGGAATGGTGAGCGCCAATACGTCTTCTGCGCCGTGTAGATGACCGGGTCGAGCAGAGAGACGGAGACGTTCATGTAATCAAAGTAGCTGTGCCGATCGTGGTCAGAAGGCAAAGGGATTAAGAGGTCACGGAACATACGTGGAGAACAGCTT